TTAATTTTAATTTATTTTTAATCATTTAATTCTTTAATATTTATATATTTTATTATAAAACATAAAGATATGGAATATCCCTTTATGAGGTTACTTATTTTAATTTATTTAAATTAGCCTTTTTCTGATGTTTAAAGACTAAATCCCTTTCTGGCTTATCCTAATAGAGTTGATTATATACCTAATTAATTCTTGGGTTACTAATTTTAAGCTATATCTTCCCTAAAATTAGTTTATAATTTATATTAATAAGATCAAAGGATATTAATTCTTAATATTCTTAAATCAAAATAAAAAGAATTGTAATTTATTTTTGATTTTTCTTCCATTATAGGCAATAAGATTTCCATTAATATTATTAATTTAGTAAAATATCTTTTTTTTTAATATAATATTCTATATATATTAATTAATCTTAGATAGATTAGATTAACTATATATCTTAAATTAATCAAGGTATCAAATTCATATCCTTTCCATATTATCTTTATAATTAAATAAGGTCTTTTAATTATTCCTATCAAACATATTAATTTAACTTTATTTAATATTATCTATAAGATTCCCAATAATTTTTCTATCATATTTTATTATTTATTAATTATATTAATCATTCCTTATAACAGGTCTATTAATTATTTAGTTTTTTCTTAAAAAACCATAATTTTATTTTCCAAATGTTATATTTTCTTTTAAGATTAATTAATTATCTCCCTATATTATAATAATATCTATTTATAATATCTATCTAGGATAACATTTAAATATTAAGCCATTTATTTCAGATATTTATAAATAGGTTTAATTAAAATAATTATACCTTATTTTTCCTTATAAAATAATATATAAAAGACCTTATATATGTTCTTATAATATCATTATATGAATTCCCAATCCTATCCATTTTTAATTACCCCTTTATAATCTAGATTTTTAAATATATTTAAGGTAAATAATTCTGGTATTCCTTATCTTTTAAATATTCTTCTAGTAATAATTCTATAGATTTTCCTGTAATTTTATCTCTTGTATTTTTGGGTCTGTATTTCATTACTTTTAGATATATATTTTGGATTTATTAGGTTACCAAAATTATAATAATAATAATCTATTTATTTAATTAATTATATATGGTATACTAATTCTGGTTCAGGGGTTTAATTCTATCCTTCTTTATTATTAGAATCTTATTAATTTTATACCATTTACTAATATAATTATATTCCATTAAAGTATATCAGAATAATATTCTTATTTAATAATAATATAGTAAAGATGTTTTAATTATTAACTTATATTAAAAACATTATTTCTTTTTTTATCTTTCTTTCCATATTTTAATCTATATTTCATAATGGTTTTTATTCATCCAAAAAAGAACTGGATTCCTCTGAAGAAATATTTATTTCTTTTTCCTCAGAATCTCTCATACTTATTTCATTAAGATTCTATAATTAATTTATTTAATTTATAAAGTTCTCCATTTTCATTTATTAAATAACTTTGTTATAATTTAATAATAGGTTTTCTTCTTCTTCCTCTTTTTCGATAATGTTAAATATTCTTAAGGTTAAAGATCTCAATATCATTATTATTATATTAATTAATCTTCTTTTTAGGATTTATAATTATCTTTTAGGTTTTTTATATTAACTCTTATAATATCCCATTTTTTGGTAATTATAATATTTAATCTTATTTAAATTCCTTTTAGATTTTTTATCATTATTAATTATATTAAGGTTTTAAATCTTAATTAATTCTTTTTTTCTTTGATTCTTTATTATTTTAGAACCTCTTTTCTTTTTATTATATCTTTTATATAATCTATTATTATAAAGAATTATTTTAATTATATATTCATTAATGATGGTAAGTTGTTTTTTTTTAAAGAATTTATCTTTTACCTAAGTAATTATTCTCTTATAAAGGTAATTAAATTATATATCTTTAAGTAATTATTTTATAGTTATAAATTATTTAAATTCTACCATATAAAATATAATTTATTTCTTTTATTTAAAGTAATAAATAGCCTTCTATATTTTTTTTTCTTAAATAATTTATTAAATATTATTTATATTTTGTTTTTAAAATGTTTATATAATTTAAAGATATATTAAAATTCTTTTGATTCTTTTTTGGTAATATTAAAATGGTTTTCTAAAATGGATTGAAACTATATAAGGGTTATTTTATTTAAAAATTAAATAATAATAAACATTTATTATTCTTTTTATAATAGGTTTTCTTTATAAAAAAATAAATAGAATTTTATATATATAAGCTAATCTTTAATATCTAAAATCCTATCATAAGTTAACAGATCTGTTAATTTATATCCTTTAATAAATGGAAAAGGGATCATTATTCTTTCCCTCCTTAATTAGGGTCTTCTACCTCCCCTTTCCTTCTTATCTTCCCCTTCCTCATTATTGTCATCGTTTAACAATCCAAGAGATACTGAAGATTGGGAAGGGACCAGTTATTAAGAAATTCCTGATAAGGATCCTTTAAGGGTCTTCTTTAATCTAGCCTCCTTTAAAATTAATTTTTTTTTAAATCTCTTAATTTCCTTAAAGATAATTATTATTCTAACTTGTTAATTAAGAATCTCTTTTTCTTCTTAATCATCTTTTCTTATTTTGATATTAATTTCTTTTTATATTTCTGATTTTGGGATTTATAAATGTATTTTAGGAAATATTATCTTATTAATGAATTAGAATATTTTTTTTATTAGTAATAAATCTTAAATAATATGAATAAGTATAAGTATTTTAAGAAATAATAAACTAAACTATTATAAATCATTTAGGTCCTTATTTTAAAATTCTTCCTTATTTAATTCTTCTTTACTTTTTAAATTAAGGTTTATTAATTTATTCTATATCTAATCATAATATTCTTTAAAAAATAACTTTTAAAAAATATAAAGGTTTTCTATTTTATCTTTAAAAATTAATAAAATAAAAAAAGATTTAATTAATAATAATAAAGAAATATCTTATAAATAATTTATATCATTTTTTAACCTAATATTAATATTAATTAAAAAGTTATTAAAATATAATAAACCTATATCTTAAAGAAGTATAATCATTGTTGGATTAATTAATTTAAGGTTTCTTAATTTAAAAATAATAATATCAATAATAAGTCAAATGGTTAAATTGGTTCTGTTTGTCAGAGAGGCTTGGAATTCTCTCATTATACCTAAAATAAATAATTTTAAATTAATAATTAAAGAATTATAAAAAAATGATTAGATATATAAGAGACTTCTTTTTTATATATCCTTCATTTAAATAATCTCTATCTTTTAAATAAAGACCTCTAGAAATCTCCTTTCTATTTATCTCTGTAATGTTCCCAGAGACCTTTAAAGGTCATTATATAAACCTTGACATTTAGTCTCTATTACCTTTATAAAGACCTTCTTTAATTGATTACCCTGGTCCTACCAGGTCCTTATTCCCTGGCCTTCCTCCTGTTGGATTGTAACACTTCTTTGCTTTCCAGATTAGGGTTTATTAATTCATTTTATATTTAATTGTAATATTCCTTAAAAAATAATTTTTAAAAAATATAAAAAAAAATTATTTTATTTTTAAAAATTAATACGATAAAAGAAGATTTAATTAATAATAATAATAGGATATCCTGTAAATGGTTTATACCATTTTTTAATTTAATATTAATATTGATTAAAAAGTTATTAAAATGTGATGAATCTTTATCTTAAAGAAGTATAATTATTATTGGATTGATTAATCTAGGATGTTTTAATTTAAAAATAACAGTAGTAATAATAAATTAAATAACTAAGTAAGTTTTATTTATTAAAAAGACTTAAAATTCTTTTATTATACCTGAAAAACTTATCTTAAATTAATAATTATAAAAAAAATAACTAAATATATAAAAAATATTTATAATTATATAATTATTCCTCTTTTCTTTTCTTTAAAATTTGTTACTATTATGATTTAATTAATTTAATTCCAGATTATTTAAATTATATAGATTATTTAAATCACTTTAAATCATATAAATAAACAGAATTACATCCCCTTATAATTCCTCCATAATTAATTTAAGATACTTCCACTCTTAATTCCTTAATTATTACCTAATATTATTAATTCATAACATTAAGATATTTTAATTTAAAAATAATAATATTAATAAAAGATTAAATAATTAAATATATAAAAAATATTTATGGTTTATATAATTATTCCTTTTTTTTAAATTTAATATTATTATAATTTAAGTAATTTATTTATTTAAATATAAATTTAAATAATCTGGTAAATCTAATAGATTTTTTAAATCTTTAATAATTATTTATGACTAATCATAATATTTCCACTTTTTAAGTCTTTAAATATTTACTTATTAATTGATTTATAACATAAATATAAATAAAAATATTTACATAAATTATTAAAAATCTCTTATATATTTAATTTTTTTTTAAAATTCTTTAATTATTAATTTAAAACTATTCTTATAAATATAATAAAAGAATTTTAAACCTTTTTAACAAATAAAATATACTTAATTATTTAACTTATTATTAATATTATTACCTTTAAACCAAAACACCCTGGATTAATCAAATCCAGTAAAAACTATACCTCCCTAAGGCATAGGTTCGTCACATTAAGGTGGACAGCTGCTGCCAGGTGACAGAGGAATCTTGGCAAGCACTCTGTAAACACTTTGCAAATAAGGGTTTTTACACTCTGTAATTAACATAGCTCTTAAAATAAACCGCCTAGTACCTCGTGAGTTGCAAGAATTTAATTCATTGTTTGAAGACTTGCGGCGCCGTATAAAGAATGTGTATCCTCGTGGATGACTTGGCCGATACACATTTAGAGCCTCATTTTAACATTTTTAAAAACGCCTACATCGAGCTAGACATCCATAGATGATTGATGGCATGAAAGGCCAGCGTGTGTCTCTGCATTTTGAGTTGCATATAATGGAATGCCCATATAAACAATTATATTATTCCTGAAACAAAGCCCTTGTTGTGTTTACCCGTAGAACAAAGATCAATATACGTTTCAATTACATCCCCTACAACTTGGAATATAAAATGAAGAACACACTTCCACTGTAGTTACTAACAATATGATACCCCATCCCAACGAACGTCGCCTGAAACAACAAGCAAGTATTTGCCCTGAGTTGTAATTAAATTGTCTTGACAAATATAAAAATCACCTGGAATAAACACGGAAAAATCATGACTATCGAATTCGAGTTAGGCACGGCTGATCACGCAGAGTTAATTACTCATCTAGAGCTACAAGGATTAGGAGAGGCTTACGGCCACGATGAATTCGAACAGCTCTACCAATATCACGTGAAAGAAATTAGCAAGGGTTTGAACTACTACATAATTGCCTACGACCTGGAAGATGGACTCAAGGTCTATGTGGGGTGGTGTTTGTTGCAGTGGAATCTACGGCAAGGAATTACAGTCGCGTGGCCCGAGGCCGATGAAAAAGAGACCCTTATAGCCAACAAGATTTCGACACATCCTCTCCTAAAGAAGCTTCAAGAAACCAATCAATTAGTCCTTGACGGTGACTTCCTATGTAAGTTCGTGCCATTTTCAATTTGATGCCATACTAATACCAACGTATTATAGTTGCTACAGACCTTTACGTGCAAGAGTGTCCCCAGAAAAAGGTATTCATAATTGCATTACTCGAACATCTAAAGAGTCTCGCAGATACTACGGGCATGAGACTTCTCTCTTTTGTGAAAGGAAGACCCAACGAAGATTTCCTCGAACAGCATGAGTGGAAAATGGAGGAATTGCTAAATCAGGCAGCGGAAGACTCGGAAGCGCTGCTGGCATGGCCACGCATGACTGTGCTACGTGACATAGCCTCCCATAGTATCAACCAAGCAAAGATTCATTTCAAAGCTTATAAGCATTTGTACGATGAGGCGGTGCAAGAAGACGAGTGCCTCGAGGAGCTTTGGCTGGGACTTGGCTTCGAGGAGGTAGGACCGAGCCTAAGCTGGCCCACTGACTGGCTCGAACCAGAGAATGGAGGGGTAGTAGCGCCTACTGTGATGCGCCTCCTAGAGTATATACCGAAGCAAGGGTTAATTTGGGAAGACTGGCAAGAAACTCGTGAAAACCTTACTGCGGCGTAGAAACATGCGAGTAAACGCTGATGGGTAGCTCCCCTGTCTTCGTAGCCTTGCTGTACTCATATATTGGGTCTAGGTCCCTTCTTAAGGTGATTGGGGGTTCCCAATGCCTCCCAAACCTAGGTAGGTAATATAGAAAGTCTCCGGCGATGAGCTGCTGGTAGCCTGTCGCTGTCTGTCGTCTAGGATGAACATCTAGTGGTGATTTCAGTGACGCGGCGAGCGGTTATTGGGAGGAAGGGAGGCTAGAGTTACACGCCCTATCATATTAAACATTAAATATCATTTAGCAATGTATTATTCTTTATCTGCTTATGCTAGGCCCCTAATTAGTACAAAGTGATAGCGTTCATTAGCCACATATGAGCGAGTAGTCGTATACAGAGGCATATGCCAGCTATGCTGCAGTTGCTCTGCCATGTTGCGCTCAAAAGCGCAGTTGAAATCCCTCTACCCGGAGGGTATTCGCCCATCTCGTGTGAAATTTCCAATAACCCTAACATCAGAAGGGTACGTAAGCACCAGGCGCCTTGCCATCCTATTCCGTAAATCAGTGCCACGAGGCGAGTTATCTAATGATGAGAAACGTATTCTTATCGTTCTCAGGAAATTGTGTAAGAGGGAACCGTCCCTGAATATTACGACCTGTAGGCCGCAGACCGATGACGAAACGAGTTTTGCTCCCTTCCTTATCGATGGCGTGGTGCGAATCTAAGTCCTTCATAAAACCGGCGTTCTCTCTCAAGTCCAAGGGCTTCTTCATTCATAAGTTCAAAGAGTAGCATCTGATCTCGCGCCGCGAGACCTCGTCCCTGCCCTCGGAGTTCATCGTTTTGATGAAGGTTAGGCGGAACATTCTCTCCATACATTCCACGGCGTAGGCGATCGGCTTCTTCGCGGTCCATCATAGGAGGAAGATGGGGGATATTTCCTTGGTTTGGTAAGAGTTCCTCTAACGGTCGTCGTTCCCGTCGGCCTCTCGGTACTTGAATTTGTCGTCGTGGTGGCGGTGGTGGCGCCGCACGGCGAGCGTGTCCTTGCTCGCCGGGGATGTTGAGGAAAGGCATAAATGCTCTGCCTCCTTCGTAGCCCGGTGGGTTTCTGCGGTATTCGCATTCCATCTTGTGACGGCATTGTAGGAATTCGCGCTGATCGCGGTAGTACTCTCCGAAACACAGCCAGCACCATTCGTGGCCACAGGTACCTTTGACCACACGTTAGCTAACTAGAGGATTGCTTGTGATACTAATTTGGATAACTTACACGTAACATGATCGCATCCAGTGTACTTAAAAATATTCCTCTTGCATCCTGGGCATGGCTTGGCGATCTCCTGGATGCATTTCTCGGATGCCTCGTTGTTCTTCTGGTTCCTTTGGCGGCGTCTCTCATACTCCTCGCAAGTCTCCCCTTTATGCCAAAGAATATTGTGTCTTACGCATAGGGAGCGCTTACATTCGTGGCATTTCGCGCGGGAACAGCCAGTGGGATGAATCTGGCCGAAGCTACAGCGGGGGTTGCAACACCAAACGAATTCCGGGATGCTTGAGACTAAGGCTCGCATTGCAAGTGTGTCATATCTCTGGAATACCTCGGGGCTGGCGAATGCTCGGACATTCTCGTACGTAAGGAGTTGAGGGCACTCGGGGCATCGAAGGTGATCCCAAGTGGTGGTGTCCAAGCTGGTAGTAATCCACTGAGCAATGCAACCCTTGCACATCTCGGAGTTATGCTTGCAAGAGGAGGTAATGCGTTTCTTATTCGGCATTTCCGAAATTCTCTTCTCGTCGTTACACACGATGCATGTCTCCGTCAGGGGTACTAGCCACGCTTCAATTCGGAGAAACTTATTCTCGAATGCGCGAGGTACCTCAAAGTCGATGACACTACCTAAGCGGATGTGGGTACTTCTCTTAGCTAGTCGCCCACGGTAGAACAGCTTGATGTCACCGATATCGATGCCGATGTTGCGTCGGCGCGGTCTTCGGATGTACACCGACGAGAAGACGTGATCCTTTAACCAACCCTTAATCCTCGGTACCTCTGTGTGAGTAGGTTTGTGATAGACGTATTTCTCGTTGAATCCATGGAGAACAAAGAACTCGCCGACCGGCACAAGGTCAATGGTTAGATAACGGCAAAGCCAATTCTGCACTTTACGTGCTTCCCAGCTGTTTCCCTGCAGGGGACTCGGTCTCAAGCCACCAGTGGCCTCGACTATGATTTGGTTGGCGTCTTTGACAAGGTGTGCTTTAGATTCGTTGGAGGCTCGCAATAGCTCTGCTATGATTTCGCGAATACTGCCTACGGTCTTTCCTTCTGCGACTCCACGGGCGATTGCTTCGAGTTGGGGTTTGGGGAGCTTTAGACCAGTGCCTTGCCAGATAATTCGGATGGAGCCGTCATCGCCCGCTTTCAGTACACGATACGTTAGGACCTGGGCCTCGTTGGGAATATCAGGTCCATCTAGGCGTTTGTCGTCCCAGAAGAACTGTACTTGAGCGTCATCTGGAATGCGTCGGTTGCCAGTCGGGAATTTCTGCTTCAATATTTCGACCGCCTGATCTAGCTGCGAATTCTCCTTTACAGTGGCAAAAATCGACTCTCGGCGGCTCACGGTTGTATCGATGTCGAAGAATCCTATTCTTTTTCCATCGCGGGAATGGTCGCAAGAGCCGCGACGATGTCCGCGAGCGTCCTTTTGATAACTTGATGGCTCTCCGTGGCGAATGGGTGCGGCGAACGACCAGCGCGAAAACATGGTAATGAGCGTTGCTAGGAAAATTAAATCAATAATAAGGAGTGGTCTCTCAGAACCGTAAGGCACATATAAGTTTTAAGAGGTGGTAATGTGTCAGGAAAAGACTGGACGGAGGGGCTCTAGAAGATCGAATAGAAAAGCCCACCACGATGCGGCCTCACTTTGAGGGTGGTCAGAGCTCGAGTCATCAATACTATCGTCAATTCTGATGAAAAGTATTACACCTTTCTTGGTACTACCTATCAGTGTTTTGAGATTTATGCGGGGAATGCGCAAGGGTAAGCCAGCACTGGAGTGCTAAGAAAGTGCAGAAAGCTGGGTATTGGGTGGTGCTTCCTGTGTGCATAGGGTACCTACCTAGCTATGAAGGTGGGCATCGAAAAAAAAAAAAAATCCATATCCTGCGAATAATAGATGGACAGGGCATCTAATTGGGCGACAACCTACATGGCGGCGCCCTACATGACGCCGATCGTGTGCGGTGGCACCAAACGACTACTGTGAAGCCACGTGAGACGACATCCAGCTCAACCTCGAGCTGTGTCCTGATTCGAGCATAAAAATGACGAGTTGTCTTCGACCATATAGATGTTGTCAAAATCCCATTAGCTCCACGACGTGCTAGTTTCTTGGCGTTATAGTAGCTAAGGGGTCCTGCAAGTAAATTCCGCTTTCCGACGTGGAGATACACGCCGGATATCTCCGTCCCGCAAGACTTACGCCCGAGCCCTACGGCGATCGTCCCATCTTTCCCCACCTAAGCGTTGCCCTGATCCGTACGTAGCTTGTGTTACTGCGACAAGTACCACTTCCGCTGAAGCATCATCCACAGTAAGCCACCCCCTGCCGTTACGTACGGGATGCTCGCCTCACGGAGCCTTGAGGTTTTGTACACGAACACCTCAGTGATGTACAAGAAAAGAACTCCGACAAAAGTCAGGATAGCAAGGTCGTACACCTGAGCGTTGGTAATGTAATAGGCGGCATAAAGCCTAATAAAGCCAGTATAGACATTCTTCACACCATAAACGTGCGCTAAGAGCGGATGCGGCGGCGGCGCTCCAGGGCCACTAAATGCGCGAAGAGATGTCGTGGGATTGCTCACGTAACACACAACAGTGTGAATTGTCGCAGATAAGGTGCACTATATGGGATCCAACATTAGCTCATCTCTGCACGTAAGAAGGATCACACGAGTTCTAATCTTACATATAACAAGAAGTATGGTAAGTACCCCCCTTGATGGTGCGGGATGATTGAAGAAAGATTACTCATTCTAAACAGGTTCTTAAGTGAATCCTAAGAGGATAGAGCACAATATTTTTGTACGAGAAAAAGACAGTTTAATTACTATTCCTTTCAAAATTACGACGAGGGAAACCCCAGCCTTTATACCATAACAGCTAGGACTACATGAAGCCCCCGGCGCCTTTATTCCTTATACATGCATTGCACATATCCATACAAGCATTAATACAGATATATGGTTAAAGAATGAACTACTCAATCTCAGCACAAGTCAGCCCCATACACTGTTTTTATATCATTCAGGCCTCTCTACTTAGTTATAAATAGAATGGCTTTTCTACGCATATATTTTTGTCTCGACACACAAACATCATAACATTTGGAAAGTACAATGACAAAACTCAGTATGGTATTATCTTAGCTGTGTTTTATCGCTATAAGCGGAATGGATCAATCTAAGTTTTCCGCTTAACTACATTTACAATGACGAAGAATAGGGGTGAGACTCAGTCTCTTGCTTCATAATCCAACAGAAGTGAAAGCCTCTCGACTCTTCCTTGCCTAGTATTTAGTATTGCATAGCAGACGTGGTTGGTCAATTAGATAGCAAGTTGCCCAACTCACCCCAATCCACAAGATGCTCGAATAGGTCTAGATTATTTCCAGACTACCAGGATCTTACGCACTATCTATCCGTAAGTCCCGAATTTTATGGACAATAATTCACCAATGATATGTAGACCGAGAGCGACGGCCGGGAGTATTGGCACTACTCATTGTTTAAACGATCAAGAAGTACCAGCTTTCCCCCAGGTCGAAGCGCTGGCATGAAAATCTTGAGCCAATTGGGTTTAGACCCCAATTCATCTTCAGTTTCGATTTGTTCCATGGTATAGGATTTATAACTAGTCTCAAACATATAGCTCTGCAGGCCGGCGATAACGAGCAACTTGAGTCGTAGCCAGCGACCCATTTCTTGTGCTCTCTCTATAATTTCGTGCTTACCGATGCACCCGCGTTCAGTATTGAGTTCATTACTATATATGCGAAGATCCAGAATAACACTCTCGAGGCTTGGCATCTGCGACCAAGAAACCCATAACGGTGAGGCTCGGTCGAGGTCTATTGCCATGTCGAGAACTTCCAAGTTAGCGTAACCAATCTTAGCCTTAGGACCAACCAAGCCACGGGCATCAAGATCCAACAGAGTCAACGGCGAACGGATAACAATGTGCCTTAAGAGGTCGTAGATATGAGGTGTGCCAAACGGCGCACTTTTCTCTGGGGGCCGGAAATCATCATCATCAAACGGAAGGATACCCCGTGAGCGTCGTCCGCGGATAGGGAAAGCCTCCTCCCAAGTATCAAGAAAGGATTCCTCTCCAATATTGTCAGGTAATGAGTCTGGACCGAGTTCAAAAACCTGGGCACTCTGCCGAAAAAATATCTTAACGACCTCGTTGTGGCACAATTGATTAATCATCACGAGGCGCTCATCGCGTGTCTTGGTGGGAAGAAGAATGTGATCCTTATCGTGATGCTCAAAAGTCTCCCATAGAGAACTTGCGCTACTAATTGTTCCTTTTGTGTAGATGATAGATCTCATTAGTGGCCCAGAAGATGACTTTTTACACGCACTCCAGTCAGATAAGAGGAGATCAAATGCACATCTTGGTTCCGAGCCCATCGCGTTAGAAAGAATCATTGATAGTATCTCGGGAGCAACCTGATGGTTAGTGCGGGTTACTCGCTTCCTTTTCTTCATTGACCTATTATAGGGGCGAGAATAATTGGGCACTGGGGGCTGGAAATCGGCACTGTCATCAGGCAAGGTTACCTGGTATTCAGGAGGAAGGCAGTGACTAGGAAGGGGCTCTGGAATCACCCCAGGTAATGTAGGCAATGGCCATGAGAGATTTCGTTGGGATATCGCATCATGGATGTTCATTGAAATGGGGGCCATATTTTTGTTCATTATGCCCATCGATGCTTGTGCGACTTTAGGTTCCTGATAAACTTCTTCTATTTGGATACCTTCCGTATTGGTGATTTTTTTATGCCAGTGTTTGCCACACTGCTCACAAACAGTCTGCAATTGACTGCCTACATATTGTTGACGTTTAAATCCTAAGGGTGCTGAGTGAAATCGGGCCGTGCAGAGCGACTGTCTGTCTCCCGCACTCACCCCACAGGAGATAGGGCTTCCGCGAAGGGCATAGCTACTCCTACGAGCATTGGCAACCTTTTTACTTGCCGCTTCCTTCTTTTTACGGCGCTTGAATAGAACGGCCGCTGCTATTTGGGGAACAGGAGGATACTCCGTGCCATGACGATTTTCATACATGCTGAATTGTGGAATAATATATAACTGCTATATTTGTGGGATGAGGTATACAGATATTATCTGGTTGAGGTCGGCATAGAAGAAATTGCGGGCCTTCGCTGCTGATTTATATCATTTCTCATCTTTATGAGCAGAAGGAAATTGTTTGAATCATGTTGTGAGGACATAGAGTGAGATTTAGACTGAAAGAAGTGCATAAAAGGATATTTGTATTTATATAGATATCATTGTGTATTACGATATTAGTAAAGTATTATGGTATTATGCATCAATCAATGATTATATCATCTCACTGCGGTCACGTGCTGCCTTCGTAGAGGGAAAAATCCAAGAGTTCCTTGTTTGTACCTAGGTAGGCACACTCAACTCTTCAACGTGATTTTTCAATTCGGAAGACTTATCCGATTATTTAATAACGCATTAATTAATATGACGTGGAACATGGAGATGGACGTACCAAAAGCGCTTGACAGCTTATGAGTCTATCAAGGACCCGACTATTCGGCACCGATAGGTCAACCAGATTCCCGGCTACGTGGTTGCAATCGCGAAGACCTCACTAATGTAGGTACAATCATGCGGTAGATGGTGAGTAATGGGCACTACCTAGGGTAGCACCATCAATACTAAGTTGCTATTCGGCGCCCTATCTTTACCTTGGTATTTCGTGTAGAAACTAACACATAACCCTACATTTAGCATAAATCAGACCGTTCGATGTTCCCTATGCCTTGGAGCTCTTGGGATCGGCCCGCCAAGCCCCAGAGTTAGGGGACGCCATACTCATTTCAGAAAAGCATTACTGAAATTGTATGATGGCTGAGCTGAAGGGCGTTGCAAAAGGTCTTCGCAGCGGAAAGCGGCGCGATATATACTAAATTCAAACTATTGCTTTGACGTATTTGCGACAAATCAAGGCGAGAAGCTGAATTGAAACGATTCCAGCATGTATTAAAGGTTCAGAAGTTCAAGATTCATAGGAATCTGAGTGCCTATTCTGCCTGAGGCACACATACTAAACTGCGGATGATTGGCCTGCTCGGACTTTATCCTTGCAAGTCCCACTGTGGAGTTATTACTGCAGCCATTATGGCAGGGGTACATCTCATATCAAGATATCTACCATAAGTTCCCATCATCTCGATGTACTCGAGTACGATATCAAGATCATATTTCATACGCAAGCGCAAAGTGCACAGAAGAACGGCTCGGTCTCAGTGGGCCATTCGAATTAGAGCTCGACGAGTTAAAGGGTCAGACACACGTTTTTCACCTTTCCCGTACCAATGGCTCGGAAAGGGAGTCGTAAAGTTAGGACAGGATGTCTTACTTGCAAGTATGTACTTCATATAAATGGAAAGCAGCCAATCGGAAATTTGGACTAACATTTAATAGAGCACGGAAAGTTAAATGCGACGAGAACAAGCCACACTGCAATCGTTGCATCAATACTGGCCGTAGGTGTGACGGCTATGGCTCCAAACCAACCCCGGGATTGCTGTGGCACCGCCCACGCCAACTTCTCTCGTGTGTTGATCACGTAGGTGAAGGAAGAGCTTTACAATACTTCTACGAGAAAACAGCCTTGTACCTATCAGGAGCAACGGATCCATATTTCTGGACTCATCTAGTTATGCAATTCAGCAACTTTGAACCCGCGGTTAAGCACTCCGTTATTGCCATCAGCTCATTATACGAACAATTCCAGGCCGAAGCTGCCGCCCAATCAGGTGTACAACTGAGAAGTAACAGTCTTGCGCTCCAACATTACAATGCTGCCATTCGCGAACTGAAGTCAACCGATGACCAACCTTTAGTACTACTCGTTTGTATTCTCTTCATCTGCATCGAGTTTTTGCAATCCAATAAAGATGCTGCTATACAACATTGTAAACACGGAATCGCTCTATTGGAAAATGTCAACTACTCTTGGGCTAGAGAGCATTTGGTCCCAGTATTTCGCCGTTTAAGTACATTTCCATTCTATTTCGGGCAAGGAAGCAACGATTTCCCCGAATTAGTCTGTGTAGATGACCCTCTGCCGAACTTTTTTCAAACTTGGGCCGATGCACAAGCGGCAATGGATATCATATTGAGTAGGACATTACGAGTGGTCCGGGAAGGAGATGGATACCGCTTTGGGAGCTTACGATACAAGGCAGTGCCACCCGAGCTACTAGCAGAACAGGACGATATTAGGTACCTCTTGGGTCAATGGCACATTCTATTTAAGAGTCTAGATGCTAGGTCCACGCTACCCATGACCCCTGCCATTGAGAACTACAACTTAGGGGTAAACTTCATTGAAGTGATGTCTCGTGCCGTTTTGTCAGCACGATACGAGACCTGCCGAATCTGGTTGGAAATAGCTTTTGAGCCGGACGAGCTATGTTTCGATTCGCATCTAATCGGCTTCCGGCGGATCCTTGATACATTCTTGATGCTCGATGCAGCCATTCCAGAGTCGTCTCGGGTCCCTGCCGCCAAACGGGATCCACAATTTATCTTCGAGACGGGATTTTTGCCGATACTTCATTGCACTGCAACGAAATGTCGCGATTTCAGCATGCGGCTAGAAGCCTTACGATTGACTACAGTACTTGGTACCCCACGAGAGAATCTATGGGAGGCGGGTCAAATGTTTGCGATGGCAAAACGAGTTATCGAAATAGAGCACGGCGTCGTATTGAACGATCTCGGACAATCCACTGGTCCTCCTTTATATCTAAAATTTCCAGACGACGAGATGAGGATACGATTTACTATACCAGAATCTAAGGTATCAACGTTTATTAATGTAGACGGGAAGGAGATGCGCGGCTGGTCTACCGGCTTCGTTATGCGCGATCATCAAAACCACGTCTATATTCGAGAAGAATTTATCCCGGCTGAATGCTCTGACAAAACCGGCTTTCCTACTTCCCCTACGTAAACGAGGCCGAGGCTTATAAGAAGTGTGGGAATACGATGTCAATTCAAACGCGAGCTACTTCTCACCTCCTCCTTGTAGCATCCACCTAGGACCTCAACCCACCATACTGGAGCAATAAAGTATTCAGGCCATCCACATCAAAATATCACGCTATCCTCAATTGGCTCTCGAAGATAGTGCCACCAGCAGGGTAGGCACGTTTGCGAGAGTACGTCGATACCGGATAATTGGTCATATCAAAGGTGCGGCTACACCGGTAGCGAGTTCGCGGACGCCTGGACGTCAGTCGTTTCTCCAGTACCACGACTCTCCCACAAAGAGCATCAAAGTACATAGATGTGCCGCCGTGTAACCCTTTTTTTATCGAGAATAGGGTTCGAATATCGACCCTTTTCATCAAGATCCACTTTTACACAACCACCGCAGGATAGGAGTTTTGTTACACCAAAGAAAGGCCATAGAGTAACAAAGCAAGAAGAACAGAAGTTTTATGCAGCTCCCCAATACAAGTATCCTAGTCCTACAAGTGAAAGCCACTGTTTCTATTAAGTAGGAAGAGTGCATCACTTCATTCACTAAAAAAACTCTACCTTTAAGGTATTAGGCGGCCGTACGATTCATATCCAAATCTAGGAGATCTTGTACGTATATAATAGATATAGGTTAGTAATTTTCATATATCTATCAAGTCAAAATCTACGAGCTAAATATTTTCGTGGACAAGTTCGATACTATTATAACAATGGCATCCGAAACCCCTGTGGGAGGACATCTTATAGCCGGCCAACAGAGACTTCTAATTGAGGAACTCGTGGATAAATTTACTGTTGATGAGTACTATAAACGCATACCAATCTCTTACGGAGTCGAACTGCAGTTTATGATTCCCGTTCTAACAGCAGGCAACCCAGATCCACATAATGATGACTTCCGCAAGGTCGCCGTTGTCCCTCCCGAAACTACATATGAGCAAAAAGAAGACATAGTTCGCGACGAAGTCCTACGAATCCTCCGTGAAGAGGTAGGGGTGCCAGCGTGGACACATCCTGGTCCTCCATACCCGATTCGCGCAACAGTAGACATAATGGACGCAGAGTCCCGAGCTGTTTCGGGTATGGACCAGTACAGCCAATGGGTCGTGACGACCGACCGGGAATTAATCCCGAAGCCAGAATTCGCCGTGTTTTATTCCTGGGTAGGCGTAAAAGTCAGGTCTAACAAACGAGTCGTGAGCTGGCCAAATCATTTTGATGAAATCGCACAGGCTATAGTAGCTCTACGCTATAATCTCCGTATGCGCCTCAGACACACAACATTTTTATCTGTCCATGTAGGCGAATCGTGGTTTGATCCTATGACATATGAGATGGGGCCTAGGTTCTTCAGAGTATTCTGTACGCTATGGTGGTTTCTTGAACAGCATGTGATGGATCTCGTGCATCCATCTCGTCGAACGAGCCCTCATTGCCAACCTATAGCGGAAAAGTCGCGTCTTGCCCGTATGTCCGGCATGGATGTATCAAAGGAGTTATCGGAGGAGGGAATGTTCCCAGCAAATTTTAAGCATTCTTATGAGCAGATACTCTACATTGCTCCGCCCAGCCTTTTCCTTCATGGCATAGAATGGGAGCGGATCAAAACCATCTGGTACGCAGAAGACGCCGATACAATTTGTCAGAAGATGACAGTGCCAGTAACAAAAGAGATCACCATGTCAATACCTGCAGGTGGGGACACAACGTTTTTTCGGACCGAGAGTAGAGGTAGTGTTGGTTTCCAGGGCTTCACGAAGAACGCCACCCCCGAGGATCGTTGCTCACACAATGATGGAGAGACCGGTACGGTCGAATTTCGATGCATGGAAGGTACTCTTGATCCACTTTTAATACTGAACTGGTTGGCAGTTGTTATTAGGATATATGATTTCTCGCGGCGAGGTAATACAGCTGACATTAAGGCTCTAATTCAAAGGGCAAGAGGAGCTGTTCCTTATGATGGCTTACAACTACTCGAAGACCTTGGTCTTCCCGAACAGTTTGAATACTTCCAAGAGAAGATTCGTAACCATTGGAAAGAGATTGATATAGATCATGGTCATGATATGTTCGTTGGTCGCTATGGCGAACCAACAAGGAAGGGTGTAAAGTGGGTAGTCCTTTGAATACATATTTCTGATAGTGTTATATATATAGAGCTTCCATGTGCTAAAAGGGGTATCGAGATAGAGGATATGCCAAGACGGCAGATTCCATAGACCCTGCTATAATCCCAGGAATGCCCTAACCGTATATGGTATAGCTCCATCTCCCCTAGTGATGGTACCGAGGAACAAAAACAACAGTAAACGCCGCTCCGTAATTGTCATCCTCTCTATCTCTCTCTCGTCATCTTTTCGTTCACACTCATAACTTCCAGAGGACTTGATCATCATGTCGCTCACACATCTATGGCCTCATATATTGTTAGCAGCGCTGGGCGTTGCATCTGCATCTGAGCTCCAGATTCCTATGATATCGGAACAGAAGCCAATGCAAGTTGATAACGTACTTGGTAAACCATTGGTTGACACCGACGACCTACAAGCAAGCATCAAAATCGAGAACCTTGTTAGTCGCGCCAAGGATCTATATAGTATCGCGGAATTATCCGAGCCTGAATATGGGCATCCTACTAGAGTCATCGGCAGTGCAGGTATGTGACAGCACGATTTTAAATAATACGAGTTGCGCTTCATACTCATCAACCACGTTACGTAGGACACAGCGCGACGTTAGACTATATATATTCCGCATTAGAAGACCTTGGCGGTTATTATACCCTTTCAAAGCAGCCCTTCCCTGCTGTTCTAGGAAAGGTTTATGAATCTCGCTTGGTTGTTGGTCATGAGGTGCCCGAGTCCGCCTCGCCAATGTCATTGACTCCTCCCACTGCCAACAAGGAGCCTGTCTACGGAAGGCTTGTTCTCGTAGAGAATGAAGGATGCGATGCATCCGACTATCCAGCTGACTTAGCAGACAATATTGCTTTCATCCTTCGTGGCACTTGCTCTTTCGGGACCAAGTCGGAGCTCGCTGGCAAGGCGGGTGCCGTAGCAGCAATCGTGTATAACTATGAGTCCGGAGGCGTTTCAGGAACTCTAGAAACCCCTACGCCTAATCACGTCGCTACATTTGGCCTGTCTGGTAAGGAAGCCGGGCCTATTCTCAAGAAGTTAAAGGGAAGCGAGGTTGTTGATTCAATTGCCTACATCGATGCCGAGGTTAAGCAGATTGAGACCACGAACATCATCGCTCAAACTGTTGAAGGCGACCCGGATAATTGTGTCATGCTTGGTGGCCACAGTGATAGCGTCTCAGAGGGTCCCGGTATCAACGACGACGGCTCAGGTAGTATCACTCTTCTCGAAGTCGCAACTCAATTGACCAACTTTAACGTTAACAATTGCGTACGGTTCGCCTGGTGGGCTGGAGAAGAAGAGGGTCTCCTCGGATCGGACTACTATGTCGAAGTTCTTCCGCAAGAGGAGAACCTAAAGATTCGCCTCTTCATGGATTACGACATGATGGGCAGCCCGAACTTTGCCTACCAAGTGTATAACGCGACTAATGCTCTGAACCCCGTGGGCTCGGAGGAATTGAGAAATTTGTATGTGGATTTTTACACATCGCAAGGTCTCAATTATACTTTCATCCCTTTTGATGGGCGCAGTGACTATGACGCTTTCATCCAAAATGGCATCCCGGGTGGGGGTATTGCAACGGGCGCTGAGGGCGTTAAGACAAAAGAGGAAGAAGCTATGTTTGGCGGTAAAGCCGGGGACTGGTATGACCCTTGCTATCATCAACTATGTGATAACATTGGCAATGTCAACTCAACTGCTTGGTTGGTCAACACCAAGGTTCGTTTCTCTCCCTTTTAAAACATTGACGCTATGATCCTAACTGTTATTAGCTCGTTGCGCATTCGGTCGCGACGTTCGCCGTTTCTTTTCATGGCTTTCCCGAACGCTCAGACGTGGTGAACATGGCAGACAACAAACGGCCCGCTAAATACCATGGGCATCGCCTCGTTCTATAAACCAATACTTTTGTCAATCCAAACATTTACCAGTTTGTTCGTCACTATCTAAACACGTCCAAATAGAAGGGATATAGTGTAATAGTATGCAAAATCACATTTATACAACTACCTGATCTAATTATCAATTGATTGCAACAATTAGAAGTGACAAACTTGCATTAACATCAGATGAAACATAGAATGAAGTTACTAATATAATCTCAACGTTAGGCCGGGGCGTCATTATAAATCTTCGCACAGATTACATATGGGCTCTGAATTGAACGACTATACTAATAACATACTAGTTTACAATTATTTATACAATTATATGTAACCTACTAGTATATTTAATTCTACTAGTAACATTTACAGTAGGTAGTCACATGAGTATAGCTTGTGTTATCCACTAGAAGTTCGAAGTAACGAGGATGAAAATACTATACACGAACAGATGGTCACAGGTTTTGGTGAAACAACATATCATTCAAAGGCATCGCGGTCGTCAAAATAACTCTATCAACGAAGACGGGCTCTGACGTGGTCCAATAATTTAAGCTCTATTGGGCCAGTGCAAGAACACCGGCACTGTCCTACGGCGCGTTGCTGTACAGTTTCGCTTTTGTACACAGTCACGTCAAGTTTTGGCACCGGGGATATGTTCCAGTAACATTGAATCACGGAGACCCCTGGACCCCCAATGATTCACAGTGCATCTGAGTTAGTCCTCGAGGTGGGTGGACCTCTGGGTCTTCCCTTCGAGTATTTTTTTTATATAATACTCTTGGTTTACCTCAATTCTTTCCGTCATCTTGGCTCTTCAACCATCGGTACAGTACAACATCATACCAGACTTGAGAACATTTTATCTTCTATCTTTGCAGAATCACAATGCAGCCCTTCTCTCAGAACTCCTTCTCGGCCCTTGGGGCCTCAGTCCTCATTGGACTCCTTGGCATTAGTCCAGTAGCGTTGGCGGGCATGACGACCTTGACCACCTCTACTGTGGCCACCCCCTCTCCTACGACTTCTGCTTCAGCAGCCGCAAACCAGGGCAACTTCGTATTCATGATTGTCAACTCTCACACGGCTGCGGTATCAACTTCCCACGCCGCAGGTGCTGGTAGCCCAACGGCCATCCGCAAGGATACCAATAGGAACTTACTGCAGCCCCAAGAGACAGCAACGTTCGCGGTGCCGACTGGAGTAAGTTGTATTCTACTGCATAAAGTCTCACTTTACATGTCCTCTTGCTAATTTATATAACAGTGGAGCGGCCGTATGGGTATGTGGGAGGATACCTACAACCAAGCTCTCGACCGAGGCTCATTGTTGGAGGGATCCTTCATCAACGACGCGACCGGTCAAGCCGTTCTGGCCGTGGACGTGAGCTACGTGTAAGTAACCCTTAATATCAGGCCAATGAGCTTCTCTAACATGGAATCTAGGGACGGTTTCACGGTTCCGATGGTGTGCGAATGCAACAACCAGGTGGTCCTGGGTTGCAATCTAGATTTGCACGAGGTGTGCCCGGTTAGTAATCACGCAATTATCCTACTAACTCAGACTAGAGGCTAATATAGGTTATAGGACAACCTCAAGGTAAACGAAAAGACATGCGCAAACCCTTACCGGGAGCAATCTGGCCGTCCTGGCGACGCCAATATCTTCAAGGACTGCGAAAAGATGGCGTATACGTATCCCACGGACGACGAGGCCACTAAATGGAACATCCCCGGATGCAGTCGCAACCTTATGTGCTGCATAGGGACAGCCTGCAAGAACCACCCGGGCCAGGTTAAATGTCCCGGTGCAGTTGGCCAGACGCAGCCCTGTGGCGGCTCGTAGGAAGTTTAGTGGGTTCGGACTGGGCGGGTTCCCAGGGTGATTATGGGGTAGACATGTTAGGCGCACAAAGCATCGAAATTCGAGAATAAATATAGCGTCAATTTACCCAGATGATGAAACTTCTCGTAGCTCCCCCGATGAATTCATAGGTGAAACCCTACTCCTTGGTTGTTTTATTACATAACAACAATCCACGCAACTCCATATCAATAATACGAATCTCAAAGCACTATGATAATTAGCTAAGAAATAGTTTACGTAAGATACAACTAGCAACTACGTACCATATCGCAATTGTAACGGTGAGAGATAGATAGTCGGTGCCCTCCCAAGGATACGGATCTTCGGACGATGACCAACGACGATTACTCAAACTGATAACAAATATTGAAGGGATCGCGAGGGAGAGTACTAATACATCTCCGCAAACTATGCAGGGTGGAGAGACCCGAGGTATCGTATGCGTTGAATCGAGCAGTCCCATCCTACACCAAGAGATTAGTAATGCGGTCGTTAAGGGGTTCGTCGGAAATCCCTGGCGAAACTATACAGAAGAATTGAATACAAGAAAAAAGAATTTGTATAATTAAAACAAAATGATTTTGAAAAATTACTTACAATTCGGAACCGTCTACTACGAGCGCAATAACAGCCTTGAGGTTATGTTCAGCGTTAGTGTTGAAAAAGACTAGTATCAATGCCTTACCACCGAAACGGAAAGCCCCAACGTCTTTCCCCAAGAAACACTCTCATAGACCAAGTTAGCCAGTAATACTACGGAAGCGCCCAATCCAAGAATTCGCGCGATTGCGCCCGCAATAGCTGTAGCCCTAGGTGCGCGTGGTCGAGCCATACCTAGGTAGTTGTGGAGGGAACTTGGCGGGAGAGACCCGGCGACAACAACATTAAAAATAGCAAGTTAAGGCGGTTACGATTTTGTCTGTAACGTCGCGATATACCTAAGTATATATGCCGCGAAACTGGAAAGACCCCAGCCAAGAAGTTCAATAAGGGTCCTAGGCTTGAACTGGGGTTTTCAGGGCCGCCGCATATTAACCGTCCATTCGGATGCAAAGTTCGTCTTGGCGGCTAGTCGTCAGCACCCTCGGCGCGGTTCAGGCTTAACTACTACAGTAAGAGTATCCGTGATCATACTTGGAGAGGATCTTCATACACTTTTACGGGTTATTCATCCCCGAATGGATAGTAGTTATCTTTTTGGTGTATACTCTCCCTAGGATATAATTTGTTAGGATATGAGATGGATTTCATAGTCGCATTATAATATCTCCAAGGAAATAAGATTCAATTCAAAACCTCTATAAACCAAGTTTATTAGACATACTTAGAGGGCTATTTTATAGACTTCCCATATTTAGGGGATAATATGGTGTCTGTATACCATCGCGGGTTTATATCTAACGCCTTGGTGTTGCACCTTCACAATTATTATTATTAACATCACTCAGAGACATGATTGTCTAGAAAGCGTTTTCAATTGGAAACGAAGGAGTTTATAAGTTGTAAATGCGTCAATATCGAATTTTTATAAATATTTAAGTGTTGAGTTAATAGACTCTAGTACAGCTTCTAAGAAACGGCCTCGTTTCACAACGGGAGCAACTTAAGCTTAAATCCGATCGTTAGCGCTACTGCCTATTTGGGTAATTCGAAGCGGAGAAGCTAGCTTTACCGAGGCAGCTGCGAGATCCGTGATGAAGTACCTAGGTACCTCCCTAAGTTAAGATAGGACAGGGCAGGGTCGCAGTTGAACGGCGGATGTTATCAGCGATAACAAATCGAAGCTTCCGCCAAACTTCTAGGCAGCTAAGCCTTATGATTCAATACAATTTCTACAATTCTAGCACGACCCATTACATTCATCCCACTTCAAAGAATTACATAAAACATATAAGGCCGACCCACGATACCATTATACATGTAACCACAACAATATCGCATTCGAAACAGTAACCCAACTTATCCCCCTTTCTCTTGATCGAATAGCACCCATTCACGATATCACTGTAGCATGGCATAGTATACCGATTTCTGCGACTACTGATAACTCATTCACCATGGCTTCGTCGCCGACCCACGAACTTGTAAACGGAATACAACAGGACGAAGCTGCTGCTCCTGCTCCTCAAATTCCCGACAGTCGCGACCGTACTACATCACCTCCGATATACCCCTCCTCTGATCCTCCGCCGAACACTCGTCGCTGCTTCATCTGCCTTACCGATGAACCCGAAGCTTCCCTATCCGCCGACTGGTCAACACCATGCACATGTTCACTGGAAGGTCACCACGAATGTTTGATGGCTTGGGTCACCGATCTAGAATCTCAAGACAAGGATATCAAATGTCCGATTTGCAAGTCGCCTATAATAATCATGGAAAGACGGGATCGTGTCATACAATTTAGCAACTTCATTAATAAGAAGTTTTCACAATGGTCGCCACGAATCTTGTTCGGCTTTATTGCGTCTGGTGCCTTAGTTAGTAGCTCCATATATGGCGCAAAGGCAATCGATTTGTTCGCTGGCCCCGAGGCTACGGTGAACTTCCTACTCGACACCGAGGATCTTACCTTGTTGGATATTATGCGACAGCAGAACCAAACTGCCCATAGAGAAATTGGACCGCCGATAAACTTGTTACGTGTCGCCGTGCTACCACTCATTGCCCCCGGTCTCGTACTGAACCGACTGCGTTTAGGAGAGGTGGTTTTGATTCCAGCGTCGCTATTGGTAAGGGATTTTATCCTTATTAATATAGAACCTTCAAGTCCTGTTACTAACAGGATGTTATTGTAGTACGCAACGCTGATCGACCAGACCAACGAATACCTATCTTGGCCACCGTCTGCCGAACGAGCCATAGCCCTCTTCCCCGCCCTCAAGGCCACCTACTTCCACATACACGGCACTCTTTCTAAACATCTCGAGAAGAAATGGGAGGCGCAAGCCAAGAAGCAGATTCTAAACGAGACGGACGAGCAACACCCCCCAATTGCAGATAACCAGCCTGAACCCGAAGAAGAGCGTGGCGGAATCTTTGGAATCATAGATATTCAGCTGGGTATTGAGGAAGAGGGCGATGATGACGACTTAGCCGTTGGCAACGGTAACGCTGGTGATAACAACAACCAGTTGAACCGTCGCAACCGAGCGCTCGAGAACGGCAGATCCCCTATCAACTTCCTAGCCGGCGCATTAATGTGGCCCGGTGTGTGCTACGGAATGGGCGAGATACTACGACTTGCGATGCCATCGCGCTTCATCACACGTCCCGCTTCAGGCCCCAACACGGGGATACTACAAGAGCGATGGGGCCGCAGCCTAGTTGGCGGCTGTCTGTTCGTCGTGCTTAAGGATGCGTTTTTCCTATACGTCAAGTATAGAAGAACCATGAACCGCGCATCAAGGAGGATTAAGAATGTGGAGAATAGGCCTATCCGACGATAAGAAGGGAAAATATCCAATAGCTAGTAGACGTGCTTCAAGGGGTTTAAGGAAAGGAAATTTAAAAGAAGGGGCATACGATTTTCATGGCATAGCATATACGCGGATAGCAAGGGTATTTAATATGGTAGCCAGGCGCTTTTTTGTACGATATCGGGGAATATGCTATGACATAGGCATAGCACTTCGGCTTCACGAAGTTCGGCTTTTAATTAGGGTCACGACGGTTTTACCAGATATCTAGATTTCCCACGGCCTAGCCCAAAATTAGGTCAATGATACCACCATGATGATTATAAAACAAGGTTTTGGTTCGTGTGTATTTCGTAGATGTGTAAGATGCGATATGTTGACCATCCCAATGGGGATTGTTGTCCCACTTACATTTTCGCTATACAGGGATTTACAAAATGCGAGTCATCGCAAAACTACAACGTGTTATGTTCGTGAAGCAGCAATCCATCGTGTGCGGCGCAGAAGAACACCATAACGATTATTCGAGATATATAAATTTAGTATATCCTATGTGAATCGTATATATATGTCAAAACGGGATACCAACCAGAAATTCGTTTTTAGGAAATCCAGAACTATCGTCATTCCAAAAGTACCCCCTGTCTAGATCCCACCGCAATTTATTTATCCACGTAACCTCTACCTAAAATAGAAGAAATCAACTCAAACTACCGCTTCTATCCCAGCAACTTCATCCAGCCCAACCCTACCCTATCTATCCCCTTCCAGAAATTACTTAGACATGCCCCGCACCCCGCGCAAATCACAAACCCACTTCTCCCGGCCCGCCCCAACAGCCGTCCTCTACGACCTCTCCGTGCCGGACGAAGCCACGATCCACGTCCCGGCGGGCTCAAAATGGACCTCGGGTCCGCATTGGCATGAATCGCATACCGAGTTCCTACGCGTGCTTTCCGGACGCGCGTTTATTATTCTTGGGGAACGGAGTTTCGTCGCGGGTCCCGATGATGAGACGGTTACGGTGCCGAGGGGGGTGGTGCATGAGTGGATGAGGGTTTTTGTGGGGGAGGAGGAGGATGCGGTTACCGAGGGGGGCAGAGGGGGGAAGGGCGAGGAGTTGGTTGTTAGGGAGTGGACGGAGCCTAGGGATGGGGGGAAAGAGGTGTTTTTTAGGAACTTGAATGGGATTATTCTTGATGCTACGGCGAAGACGGAGACGGGTTGGCGGAGGAGATGGGGTGATAAGATGTTGGAGTTGGATCTTTGGAATTTGTTCTGGAGAGCGGATAATTATCCTGTTGTCTGGGGTACGGGGTTCGTCGGGGGTGTGGCGACGAAGGTCGTTATGGGTGCGGCGGTTGCGCTGGGTTGGGTTCTTGGGTTTAAGGGCGTGTATAAGGAATATGCGCTCGAGAGGAAGAGCTTTCTGCCTACACATGATGCGAAGAGGGATTTCGGAGTTGATCCGACGGGATCAGCTCCGTCTGTGTAGATGGCTCTCGAGATGGTGTTACACAGCCGTCGGTTAGATCCTATGGAAGGAGTTTTGTACTACGTGGGCTGCTTCCTACATCGGATATTGTCCGATAATTTTTAATATTTTTCGGCTATTAGTCCGATATCTCTATAATTTCTGGTGTCGGCTGTACTCCGTCGGAAACATTCTCGTCTCGTGGAGGAGCCAGCCTCCCAATTCCTTCTGTCAGATTACGGATAGATCCGTCGCCAGATTCCAACCCCTCTTGTTTTTCCACCTTCCACTCCCCATTCTCGGGATTGTATTCGAGAAGATACAATGTTTGCGCATCATCGCCATTATACTCATAAGTAATTTCAAGATTGGGTTCTCCATAATGACCCATAAATGTCAATTCAAGCTTCAATTCCGTTCCGACATCGACATCGCCGCGGAAATTAATAATGAACGGCTCCGATCGAGCTACTCGTCGGTTGTATTCGAGCTTTACCGAATGTAAAAATGTGGCTGGCGTGCCGTCCCAATCGATACCAACCACCTTCAATTGACGTCGGTCATTTTCTGTCGGCTCCATTCCGACCAGCAATCTGCGGCGTAAAATGAACGGCGGAATCGGAATATCGAGCTTCTCCATCACACGAACCATCAATTCATCCGCCTTAGAATGGATTCTCCAATCTGCGAGCGCGTCTAACGGGGTATCTTGCAAATTGCAAATCGCGAGTTTGGCTGCTTTCCGACGGCCTGGAGTCTCGGGGATCTCGTTCGCCGGACTTACAGTAAGTGATGAACCAAGGACGAGGAAAAGATCGGCTTTTGCCGCATGGTCACGCGCGAGCTGCAATGGTTCGGCAAATAGTGACTCGCCGAAATTGATGATGGTGTCGAGTAGCACCCCACCACATAGGGCACATTTTCGCCCTGTCCGATGATCGTGGACCGTCTTCTCGTAGGAGGCGACAGCGCGAAAATCTGCAGCTTGTTAGAAGAGCCATGCAGCTTTGGGGGGTTTCAGTCTATACCACGAATGTATTCCTTCCCACAATCCTTGCAATATTCTCGGTTACTATTGCCATGAAGTTCTGAGATCTTCTCCTAGCATGGTGGATGGTGGTCAGAATGAGTCACAATTGACGAGGCTCTGACGGACGTACTGCCGAGATCCCACTCTTCCTGTGCAAACCATCGCAGTTCTGACTAACAAGATACTTCAGTATCCCACGATTATGCAGCTCTACTAGCGCCATATGAGTAGCTGTCGGTACGGCCTGTAGGGTATTGACCCCGCTCTTCTGTTGCCTCCCCTGAGCTCTAAGCGTCCATATACCTTCTGGGCCGCGGAAATCGGGAATGCCTATAAAGATTAGAACAAGTCATGACTAGGTGTTCTAGTGGTTAGGACTAACCGGCTGATGTAGAGATTCCTGCTCCGGTGAAAACGACCATGTGCTTGTTCTTCTTGATCAACTTTACTAGAGCGTCAGCTTTTCGGTCGACTGCCTGGGGTGACTCTTGGCGCTCCTCGGCGGCAACTTTCGGTGCAGTGTTAGCCATGGCGATGGATAATGAATGTAGGCTAGGTTGGACGAAGAAGCTGTATCACGCATGGAATAGGTAGTAGGGTTAAGTAGGTATTGGATAGGTATAATGGTAGGATTGCCACGTGACGTCAACCCCAGCATCAAAAAGGGGGGTTAGCTCCCGGTTAGCCGTAACGGCGCGGCGCGGACTATTTGTTTATTGGTTTAGTTGGCATAGCAACAATGTTCACACACACCACTAACAGAAGTAGTCGTAGATATTTTGGGAAATAGGAATTCAATTCGTTACTTCGTTATCATCTAGACTTAACACTGAAAGCTATAAAAGAGGAAGATCTGCTCAACCTACTTTTCGATTGCCTCCATAGTGTCAACAGCTGTCTTAGCCGCTTCACGAGCACGAGCATCAACCCGCTCATCATCAGCGAAAAGCTGAAATTGCGCCTTCCAGATCTTCCAGTGCTCGAGGCTCCACGTATCTCTGGGGTTTGCCTTGTCTACCTTCTCCTTCTTTTGACATTGTTGATAGACGTATCGCGCCTCCTCTGAACGCATAACCCACTGTGCTGCACCCTGAACATGGCCACCAATCTTCTCCGGCTTGGAAGTCATACGAACCCTTATACTAGGATAGTTCTTGCCGTCGGGCAGAATATCACGTAATGCGCTGGTGAACCCGCAGTCGCTAAAGCCTATCACAGCGATGCGTGCCATAACAGATTGATAGTTGCGCCAGCGGGCCTCCGACTCGCTCCCGGGTGTCTCAACACCGGAGCCAGGGTGGCGAATAGCTGTATTTCATTAATTAGATGAACGTATTCTTAGTGATACTAATGGTGTTACAAACCGTCTGCTCCGATGCGGAACCACTCAGGCAAATAGCCCTTGTCCGACCATAGAGAAATCATTTGAACATCATCAAGGGAGCCACCATCTAGGAAGTAATCAGGAGCCTTGTGCTCCGGCATAGCCATGAGGGCTTGGAGGAACTCAATGACCCTAGTCTGGCCAGCATGGTAAGGCGGGAAAACAGGACACAGATTGGGGAAGCTCTGGAAGAAATGGTCGACAAATCCGCTGGCGTTGGGCGTGTCGCGGCGAGAAATATGGCCGTCTTCATCACGTTCAATGAGATCGGGTCGCTCCGATAGTTCTCGAAGCTTGCCCGATGACTGCTGCACAACCCAGTTATCGAGGGTAGTAGCAAGCTCAGAAGGAGTTCGCGAGCCATCGACTAAGGCTTCCATGATTCCCTTGCAGAATTGATCTTCCGCATCGTCGTCCTGGTATAAATCCAGGATTAGGGACTTGGGCTCATCTTGTTCAGCGGCCATGATCGGCTTGGCGATGCAATTATCCGAGAATAGGTCAGAATCGAGAATCCTATCGCCAGCTACATATGAACCGCAAATACTGGTTACAATATCAAGGGATATTTCAATTGCCACCTAATTAAATTGAAATTGTAAATCTTATAAGATATAGTGTTCAGAAGGTTTGTGAAGGTTGAAATTGAACTGGATGACAAACAGTGATCTGTGTCCTACCACGTAGGAATTGATTATGTCATCCTTCTCCGCACTGCTTAAGTAAATAGTCTTTACGGTTTGTTGCTTTCTAGATGCATGAGACACCCTCCGATGAATAAATAAGTCAAATAAGCATATAAACAGGATTGCGAAATATCCATTTTATAAGGGAATTTCAGGGTGAAGTCCAAGACGATAATATAAAGTATGTCAAGCCCTTGGTCATAATGACCTAGCCCCTATGTTATACGTTGAGTGTTATAGCCGGAAGTATGTAATGCTTATTGGCATTATGCGTATGTTATTGATCATATGGTGAACTCCCCGACTTCCTTCATAACTACCTAGGTACCTCGGTAGATATCTATGCAAATCTACAGTCAACATGGGATATGTTATTTCTGCTGGATCTCTAAATCCTCAAATCAGTATTCTAGCACGGTATGAGACTCTTAGCCTTTGAAATTATCTTTCTAGGTATAGTATGTAAGTGCTCGTACCAGCTATATAACGAAAAGGAGAACTCAAGCCATAATCAACCGAGAACATTATCTGGCGGCCACTGTATCGCTTCGAAGCCGGGTATACGTGGATGTCATTGCTGCTTATCGACATCATAGTCGAACCATATGACGCCCAAAATAGGGATCGAGTCTAGATGTGTACCTAGGTATATGGCGCAGCATCTGGTTGAGTATTGACTTTAAACCTCCCTCCGGCCCCCTTTTTCAAAGACACTAGCATTTCCTCGGGTCGATTCAATCTGCATCTCCTATCCGCGCGCTCTCCGTCGCTTACCATATTGGTTCTCGTACGAGCTCTGCATCCTGCCTCCTTAGGCAACTCCCCGATTGTCCTACGGCGTGGATTGATAACCCATCCTTCCCCCTTTATGTAGGTGTCGTTCACACAAAGTCCAACTGGAAACCGCATTAAAATCTCATCGCCCCAAACGGCGTCCATTACAGACACCCCTCAACACATTAGCCTAGTACCACGCTCCACCAATCTTCACACCGCTAGAATTCCTGATGAGTATCGTGGTAGAGGCGAGAAGTAAGGGAGTAATAGCTAAATGTTAGTTTACACCTAGCCCGATATCCTTCCTGACCACGTATGCCACGTCGACGAGGATAGTGACAGATGATTGACGGGCTTTCCGAAACATTACCGAGAACAGATCTTAAGAGCCTGAGGACATCGCCATATGAATCCTTCCTTGAGGATCCTATGCAGCTAGGGGTCTTGGTAAGATTTCTCGGTAGACTGATTAAGCTCGTCGGCCGTGTTCGTGGAAATGTTTCGAAACGCCGAAGTTAGACCATCCGCGTACGTTTTGAGGGATTAATAGCATTAATAGCTGGATTTAAACTGCTTAGGTAGATGACCCGAGTAATTCCAACACTTGTAGTAAGCACGGCTTAACCTATCAATTACGGCCTCTCCGCACCATCATGTCGTCTACGCACTAATCTGGCTGACCGAGCTCACCGCTGCTTGATCGTCGTAGGCAAAGACTAATCCGTATATCGCGTAGGACTTCAAGGTGAAGATAAAGATGTGGTGTCTCATCTGACAGTCGTGAATTTTGGATTTTTTGATACGCAGGAATAAATTTAGCAGAGTGGTTTATAAGAATTATTAAAGTGTAACAACTGTAAGCAGACATGACGCCTCTCGGGGATTTTCCAGTTGGTAATATATACTGCTCAAGTAGGCAGCAATGAGCGACTGTGGGGAAAAGAAGGCTGCTCAGCCTGCAGGCGAACTGTCGATGCGAACTGGGGTTTTGATGGGGTGTTTATGACGAAGCTCCTTGTTGAGGCTCTAAGTTCAGCATTTCTGAGGTATTACATAAGATGCTAAGAAGTCTCGTGCCACCATCTCTGCATATCGGATTTTATTCATGTAGGTGGTGGTCAGCGCGTTTTCGGTGTTGCCCCAGATCAGCCGCAAACCCAGCTCCTGCTCGGTTGCGCATGAGTCTTGAGTCATTGGATCGGATTACATCGCGCGTTATGAGCCCTTGTAGATGTATGTCTCCCCTTGCCTTAAACTACCTAGGTAGTTTTCGTGATCTTCATGGTTTAAGCAACGATGACGTCCATTTGGTGGAATCCACTTAAGTCTAAGTCATGTCCAACTGGTGGAACAAAAAACGGTGTCGATAAGATCTTTAATAAATACGGAATGATTATCTGGAACCCGCGGTGTGATTTATCACATCGTACATCGTAAGTCATCCGGAATAATAAGTGCTACGTACCAACATATAATCAACGTACATATAACATACATATTTGCCTAGGTATCTACCATAGCACGTACATATGTACTGAAACCTGCATCCCGTCTTGTGAAGACCCGTATGATTGGATCGGCTAGCTCATTGCGTTTCCTTCTTAGCGGAATCTCCGATGAGGACCATGTCTAGACGGGTAGATGGACGGATAGATGACCGATGACATCGTGCATTGAAAAAATAACAAATTGAAGAAATTGTCAAGATACGACCACCCCGGGCTGATAACATTATTATAATAGGGGTAATTATACGAAACACAATTATGTGCATATACGGAATACGGCATTGAGATGTGCGGGAGGGAATGAAATGTTTGTTCGATTGTCTCTTGTCAATTTGTGAGCTAATAACCAACTAAATAAAAGGACGGTACCGGATTTCCCATACCACCACGGGATATTCGAAGATGTATATAGAAAAGATTCCGTTTGTCGGAGAATAATAAGGTTGAATTTAGCCTAGACACCAAAATAAAAGGAGAATGGTAGCGGCAGCAGTAGCGGTGGCGGTAGCGGAAATGTTAATCAAAACTACCTAGGACCGGTAGAAGGTAGAAATAACGGTACGGTAGGTACCTTATCCATCGCAATTATGTACGTGCCTTTCCTGCTTAGGATGGTTGGGGACGGCTGGGATGGTACGGTAGCTTTTTTAATTTTCAAGCTAGCCACTATCGCCCCACATATCCTTACCGGACCCCTGGCTCACTTATCATTGGCACCCATACCCTCGGGTCGCGAATCACTGTAGCTGTAGGTAGGTACGAAGCGGGCAATACAGCGCGGGTAAGTACCATCATCATTTTCCACTTCTCACTTCTCACTTTTTCTTTTTTTTTGACTTTATTTCTTGTTTTTGCTTTACTTTCTTTACACTTCCACAAGAGACATTCACCAATGATTTTACATCATTATTTCAACACGGTACATACCGCCACCAAATTGGTTTTATAAAATGGTGTGGTTCCGACTCTATGGAAACACCACACTGTCTCATCTCTTTCCGTTGCCTTATTGCCGACACGTGTTCTAGATGCTAACACACCGTACCTGTAAGACGCTTGTACCTAGCCGATTCATCCATCGCCCATCATCCAACGGGGTATGAATAATAGTCGCAACATCACGGAACACGCAACGGTCAAGCCGTGTCACGTCGCGTTACGATCTGCGATCCCGACCCTGACCGTGGTACTAATGTCATCTTATTCCGAGAGATGTTAGAATTGGCACACCGAGAATACCAGTTGAGAAGTTGGGGGCCACCTCGGTCTACTCATAGTATTATTAACTGTACTTACCAGCCTAGGAAATACCTAGAAATACCAATTTCCACCAAATCCATCAATGTCAGCAGATATCGTCTCGATATGGTTATGGATACGAATACCTTTGAACACGGCCCGTGGGCGGGCGGCTGGTCTAGCGCCGCCCCCTGCTACCCTGCTCCCTCTTGATCATGTCCCCTGCCTCTCGATTTTATTAGCTGCATTTACCAGAGGAAATAAAAAAACAAGACCTCCAAGTTCCGATCCAGTTGACGTGTCACTCCACGACAAGGTGCTGCAACCGTCCAGGTGGTCTCTGACGAATTGCTGGAGACTTCGTTCTACGGCAGCGAAAGAGCATCGCGGGGAGATTGTTCCACCAAGCGCAGTGACAGCATTTTTAATGGGCAGCGTTTCGATTTGCTTGGGGTAAAAGTCACACGTCCCGTTCCCCGGTTTCCTCATCCAGTCGCCAATCCCAACCACAACCTGACAAGACGATAAACTAGCCGTGGCGTCAAAATGGCTCGCTTTAGCGTGAACCACGTTGTCGAAGAGGCTGGATCGCTGGGTCGAATGAAATGAAACAAAACGCTCCAGAGTCAGCCCCAATACAATACTCTTGGCTCGCAAATAGGGCATTCCGCTGCCGGGGGTTGGGGGATTAGCGTAATTTACATACGGCACCGCAAACAGTTGCGCGGCGCCCCAGTACTTATCCCTGTTGGTTCTTTTTTCGCGAACGTCCGAAAGAAGGAAGCAACTTTTTTTTTTTCTCCCCTTCCCTGTCTTTCTTTTTCTCCCCCCTCCCGCCTCCTTATTTTTTTTTCCTGCTGTTTTTTATTGATGTTTTATTTTATTTTTTATTTCTCGTTTGTGTTATCTTGTCCGCTTTTAGTAGAATCCACTTTCGGATTGTATATGTTGCACACCGCCTACGGCTACGGGAAAGGAGAAGGATGTGATACCAATTGGCGGCTTGGCTGCAGAGATTTCGAGTTCTTGGGATGGCATTGACTATATGGTGCCGTACCATGCGGCTCATGCTGGTCAATTCCCCTGACCCCCATGTTCTTAACTGGTTCCGTGATGACCGGTTATTCCAGCCGGGTGGTCCGAACAAGCTTAGTGTCGCTTCTAGACTTTGATTTCATAATGTTTATGGTTCCCGCGTGATAGGTGTGCAGAGCTGTGAAATTACTTACCGTCGATCCTGGGGTGTGAGGCGAACACTCCCTTAGCACCCAGGATACCCAGGACCCCCCTTTTGAAGCTAGAAGACCTAGAGGTATGTCATCACCCGTCTTGTTGTAGTCCTTTTCCGCGGTCTTGTTCCACATTAAGTCATGTGGTTTGTTTCACTTCCAACCATTCGATATTCAATGTTGTGTGTCGGTGCTCCTTAACTTGTCGACTTGTCGATATACTCACGGGGTATTATACAATCGAGACGTTTGGTTCTGGGCGTTTGCTGTCTCACCCCGTTTGGAACATCCACTCCGGACTTGGAATCTTAAAAGGATTTCAAGCAGTTTTAAGCTAACTTCGGCTCCGCTATTCATTGATTAGGTCTGAACTCACCTGGCGTCAATCTGTGGTTTTTATACTGCAGCCCGAGCGTGCGTGCGTTACCCATAGGGCTGATCTCCAAGAGTTTCCCAATCGCCCACGTGGTTGAACGGGTTTAGTGAAGAAAAGGCGGCGACAATACCTCCCTTCCTGGCCAATATCAGGCGAGAACCTTGATCGAACTAAGGTATCGCCGCATATTTAACCGGATTTCATTCATATGAGCTCGTGGCTTATCCGTTGCCACTGGAACCCCATCGACTTGCATACATAAGAGCTACAGCACCACTGCTGTATTGGACGACGCGTGTTTAATTTGTTGGACTATGACCTGGTTAGGTAAGTTGCTGCAAGCCCAACACTTTATGATTCCCTTTTTTTTTATGATCACATACCATTCTATTAAAAAAAACAAGGTGATGAGAGGAAAGATTATGGCCGAGGTGGACTATTTATGTACATTTACTCCTTGGGGGTTAATACAATAGGTCCAGGCATTCATGCTGACGTCGAGGCTACATTGCCTCACATACTCCTTTCTTCCTATTCACCCACATCAACTCCACCTTTACCTTTATCATGAACTTGTCAAATCCCGACACCAACTCAACAAGATATCCATTGGTTCATTTCCCTATGTTGGAATGTATATAGTGCTCATCCACTCTCTCGCCTTGTACATGTACTAGTATGTATAATCGATTGGGCGGTTTAGAGTTTGGAACTAGGCATCTAGCTGCCTCGTTGTGCCTTCTAGGTACCTACCTAGTGAATCGAGGCCGCCTCTGCTGCCTTTCGCCTTCCGCCTTCGGGTCGTCACCCACCATAGTAAGGTTTTGAGAGAAGCAGCTAAGGTGGTGAGGAAAGAGCTAGTCGCCTCTAAGAGGGGAAGGGCACCTGAGGATGGAACGAATCACCTAAGCCAGCATCTTAAAAATGGCTATACCTTCCTTCTATTGTCTAATTCTGATGGAGAGTGGTCCTTCGTGACTCATCATCTCGCTCCTACCTACCTTCTCCTTCATATGCTTGTAATTTGCCTGCTCCTCTTCATCTACCTACCTACTTCCTCACTCAGTCAGTTACCATTCTGACCTTAGCCACCCACATCATCTCTGTACTCATCCATTCACATGAGCTCTCAATGTTGCTTGGATGGAGGCAAATGTAACGCTTACGCTCTTCTTCACCGAAAATTGTTGCTGGTGTTGATCTCTTCCATTTTTCATTTAACACCATTCGAAGAATCTTTGAACTAACCTTCTAACGTTTAGGGCCATCCTATCCTCTCATCGCTTCGTCTCAGCTCCACTTTGCTGAACCTCCCTTGGTACTTTCAGCTATTCGGAGATCTCTTTACGCTTTGGCCTCGATTCGCTCGCCTAGGTAGCGGTCGAGAGAATGACGGACGAGGAGCTGCGAAGCTTGCAGGCCACGCTGCATTATGCCTACCCCCTTGTCGTGTTCCTGTACTTTGCTATCACGTCAACAGTCGCCGTTTGCACACTTCAGACATCGGACAAAGCTAAATCAACACACGTGCGACGTAAAGTCATTTACTATATCTTGCTCTGCTTCATTGCCACCTTCATAGCTCAGGTTATCATCAAGGCGATCGAAGTCATTTTATGGAGACGGTGGCCAACCCAAGATACAATTATCAGCTTACTCTCCTGTGTCCTAATTTTTGGGATTGAGCAAAATAGTCTTAGAAATGATTCTGATACTGTGTGGTATCCTTTTTACGGATCCTGGCTCATTGCGGTTGCATTGGAACCCGTAAACGCTTCGCTGCTATTCATAGTTGCCAGCAACCCCACGGCAACAATCCCGATCAACTACGATAACTGGCCATTATTCGTCCGGATTGATGCTTCCTTCGCCGTCGTCCGTTGCGTTGCTGCCCTGAGCGCCATTTTAGCGTACTTCCTTTGGCGGGAGAGTGGAATCGATGGGGACGAGGACGAAGAACGGGCGCCACTTATCCCTAAACCGAACCAACGATCGAATGGTGCTGATACATCAGGAGATAGTGGCTATGGCACTAACACGGAGGGCACGAATACGGATGCAACCAATACGGAGACAGCCAATTCGCCGAGCGACTTAGAATCGCCGTGGGAACGCCAACAACGTATTTCCCGAGAGAAAATAGAGAAACGTCTGAAAAATGAAGGCAATTGGATTGCTTACGCCAAGGGATTCCTCATTTTCTTTCCATACATATGGCCTGTCAATAATCGTCGTTTACAGCTTTATGCGGCTCTCACTGGTCTCTGCTTATTGGCTGGAAATGTACTCAACTTTCTCATTCCTCGTCAATATGGTGCCGTTATGGACTCACTAAGCGGTGTCTCTGGAAGCAATCCGTGGGTCCAAGTCGCAGTTTTTGCCGGTCTTCGACTTCTCGCTTCCGAGGCGGGGATCAACCTTCTGAGGCAGATGTTGTGGTTGCCTATTGAGTATTACTCTGAAGAGGCGCTTACGGCTGCAGCCTATTCTCACATAATGAACCTCTCCTCCGAGTTCCACGATTCGCAAAGTTCATCGGATCTTATCGTCGCTATCTCGAACGGAACCGCTATTTCGCACATGTTAGATTCAATATGCTTTCAGGCGGTACCAATGTTAATTGACTTGGTAATTGCGTTCACGTACTTGTCCACCAAATTCGGTCCATACGAAGGCTTTATCACCATTGCAACTGGTGCGGCGTTCATCCAAACAGCAGCCCACATTATTACAAGCTTCAAGGAGAGGCGAAAGAAGATGGTGAGGACGTAAGTGACCTAGGTTTCGTTTCTAAAATCTCAAGGATACTCCCTACCCTGATCATAGGGTCTTCGGGATGTTAGTGAGTTGAGTGCTGATATCTGCTTAGGTACTTTGAGGAACACTATATCCGTCAGGCCGGTATTCAGGGTTGGCAGACTGTCAGTGCCTTCAACCAGGTACCGTACGAAGAGAGGCGATATGGAATAGCGGTCAACTCCCACGTATCCGCGGCGAAGTCTCTATACTCTAGTTATTTCGTCGGGCATGCTTTTCAATATCTAATTCTCCTTGCGGGTCTGCTTGCTGGTGCCTTCTTGGCCGTTTACCAAATCACACATGGCCAAGCTACTGCTGGAGACTTCGTCATGCTTCTGACGTACTGGAGTCAGCTCACATCACCGTTGCGGTTTTTCTCTCAACTCGGAAAGAACATCAGCCAAGATCTGGTTCATGCCGAGAGGCTTCTCGACGTGATGACGACGAAACCAACTGTGACCGAGAAGCCTGATGCTCGGCCCTTGAAGCTGAAAGGTGGTAAGGTCGAATTTCGGAACGTCAGTTTTAGCTACGACAAGAAGAAGGACATCTTGAAGGGCGTGAACGTGTCTGTTTCGTCTGGTGCTACTGTTGCTTTTGTTGGGGCAACTGGTGCTGGAAAGTCGACAATCTTGAAGCTTCTCGATCGTTTCTATGACGTAACCGGCGGTTCGATTCAAATTGATAGCCAAGACATTCGGGACGTGACAATTTCTAGGTGTGTTTTACAGCCATTGCCCTCTCCTATTTTCTGGGTATACCTCGGGAGAATGGTCAAGTATTACTGGCGGGTTTGTGCTAATATGGCCCGGTTTTTAGTTTGCGACAGTCAATCGGCATTGTTCCACAATCTCCAATTCTTTTTGACGATACTGTGATGAACAACATTAGATATGCCAGGTTGACAGCTACAGACGAAGAAGTGTACAGCGCATGTAAAGCAGCTGCAATTCATGAACATATCATGGGTTTCACTGAAGGTTATACAACTCGAGTCGGCGAACGTGGAGTGTAAGTGACAATTTATTAGAAATGTGCTTACAACAATAGCTGACAATTTTAGGAAACTCTCCGGTGGCGAATTGCAGCGTATTGCGATTGCACGAGCTATTCTCAAGCAACCAGAGATTGTGCTTCTTGATGAGGCAACTAGTTCCGTTGACACTGACACGGAGCAGAAGATCCAAGACGGTCTCCGTGCCTTGTGCCAAGGCCGTACTACATTTATCGTAGCGTAAGTATGCCCTAATTATCCAGCCTTGTGAAATTGATTATACTAAGTCGAATATAGACACCGCCTTTCTACTGTTATGAATGCCGATACCATCTTCGTAGTAGCAAACGGAGAAATTGTGGAGCAAGGAAATCACGAAGATTTGATTGCTAAGAGTGGCAAATATGCCGAACTCTGGTCCAAGCAGATTTTCGTCAAACCCAAGGAAACAAAGGATGATAAGCAGAATGGGGATATCAACACGACACCTTCAGACGCCACGCAAACAGACGGATCTGGTGATGAGCCGACAAACGGTATCAAGGTCTCGAATGGCGTCCCCGTCTCGCGATCAACCCCATTGGTTACGAAAACTGTTCCAAATGGCAAAGCTAACGGACAGGTTGTGAATACTCCAAATGGGCATAAGAAAGAGGTAGATCCGTCGAAAAATCATGCTTGATTTTTTTGACTGATACTAACCTTCTCTTCGCAGGGTTCAAAGTTGAATCCTGGTGCTCCGGAGTTCACTCCCCGTTCTACAGCCGCGCCAAGCCTGGTTCCTGGGACCCCACTACGAAACAGCTGGGCTGAGGATGTTGAGGAGGAAGCGGATTATTCCGGTCAGGCACCCGCAGTGGACCTGGAGTCCGCTTCCATTTCTACTGCAATAAGAGCCTATGAAGAAAGTCCTTCGAGTAAACGTAACGATACCAGTTCACCTATCGACAATTTTGACATCCCGGACCCCAAGCCTCGTCGCAATACTCTCCAGTCCATATCTTGTCCGGAGCCGCCCATGTGTTTCTCAGGCAGTCCGGCCCGTTCCGTTAGTCAACCTGTACCTACCCCACCTGTAGTAACTTCTCCCAAAAAGGAGAATTCTAAACTGCCTGAGGAACGAAACAAACCAACACGCTCTTCTCCCGAGGCCAGGCAACCCCCTCAAGGACCCGCCAGGGGAAGAGGCGGTGTTAGAGGTCGAAATCGAGGCCGGTATCGTGGTGGGAGAGGTCGACAGCGACGCAATCCTTCTAACCCCAAACTTAATCAGAAGGATAGTGCGGAAGCTTTACAGCGACGCCGCGGCCAAACGTCTCGTGTAAGATAATTTCACCTTCTCAAATGGCGCTTTCATACGACACATCATTTCTATCTTTGCCTTCTTATCGTCTGTAGACGGAACCAAAATTTCTCTCGGGCACTTAACGTTGTGTTTTACGCATTATTACGATTTTCCTACGGGAGACGCTGTTCACGTTAGACGTATACAAAAAGGTCAACAAATGGGTTTACATTGCGCGTTAATTCGGCTACGGTTTTTAATTTTCGACATTTTATCGGCTGGTGGTGGAACTGCGAACGATGGAGACAGGGAGGTAGGGGAGAAATAAAAATAGCGACACGATATTGTTTTAAGTTTTTCCGATTTTTATTCGGCCGTTGGCATTCGAGGACCAAAAAAAGTTATGCTTAAAGACTCTTGAGGCATGCTCTTTAGGGGAATACGAAGGAAGACTTACGGCATGGTATGGAGTCGTGGTGTATGGCGGAAAAATTAGAGAGCATTGATTTCTTCCTAGCCCCCTTTTTTTTATCCCCAGGTTATTGTTTCTGCTGTGGAAATAACAAGAATTTTGTTTTGAAATCACCTCTGTACACGATCATCATGTACATTATTTTAGTAGATGCGATCGGTTGGTTGTCAATGGTGAATCCTTATTGTTTTTTAATCTATTATTGTACCAGGACTCGTAGCAATTCGTAAAATTCCCTTGGTGATCTAAGTCAATTCAAGCCAACGTCCAGTCATTCATCAAGGGGATGAGATATAATGTGGGGAGACCAATGATAGCTATAAGGAACTCAATCAATTTTCCTCCCGCCCGACACATTCCTCTCTTCAACGGCGCTACGCTCTTCCCGCATTCGACGCCCAACCACCCTCCCGATCTGTTCTCGGTACTGTTTTCAATAAGTAGAAGCGAATCTAAAATCCGATAAACGCCGATCATTGGCCAGCTCCACGTCCAGCTCCACCGTTTCCACCGGCACCGCCGCCGCCTCCCATCATATTCCTAGCCATATCGGCGATGTTAGGATCATTCATGAGGGCGCCGAGATCAGGCATTCCGCCGCCGCTCGAGAAGCGATCGGCCATCTCGCGTAGACGCGGGTTGCTCATGAGGTTCTGCATCATGTCCGGGTTCGACATCAGGTTCTGCGCCATGCTAGCGAACATGGGGTTGTTCATGATGCTGCTGAGATCCGGCATCCCACCGCCACCTCCTTCACGGTTTCCACCACCGCCTCCGAGGAGACTAGCTAGACCGCCTAGATCGGGTGCACCGCCGCCACCGCGCGGGCTAGATACATCGGGTGACGAGGCACCGGCCGCGGCTTCAGACTCGAGTTCTTCAACACGTCGCTTTGCGGTCTCGAATCCCTTGCGCATAGCCTCGCTTCCACCGCTCCCTTCGTGCTCAATACCCTGCTTATACGCCTCCATAGACCCCTTAGCATCGCCCAATGCAAACCTAGCGAGTCCTAATCGCGACCAAGCTTTCGTGTACTTAGGATCCAACTTCACGGCGGCTTCAGCGTCGGCACGCGCACTCGCATGGTCCCGCGCTGCGCTGTGGGCTGCGGCGCGGTTGGATAGGTACACTGCATTCGTGGGGTGCAGGGCGAGAGCTTGCGTGTAGAAGGATATCGCGCCGGCGTAGTCTTTGGATGCCATGGAGCGGTTTCCTTGGGATTTTAGATCTTCGGCTTGGGATTTTTCTTCGGCAGTAGGGACTTTGGTTTCTTCTGTTGTTGGTGGGGCATTACTCGTAGAAGTAGAGGATTTGGCGGAGGAGGTGGTGGATTTGAGTTTCTCGTATACGCCGTAGATTTGTAATAGGTTTTGGGTACCGACGGCGGAGGAGATGGCGGATGAGTCGCTGGGGTCGACTTTGAAGGATTCGCCGATGCAGTTTACGGCTACGTCAATGCTGTCTTTGTCTTCGGCGGAGAGGGTCCCGTCGGTTAGGGAGGTGGTTAGGAAGTCGCAGATGGCGAGCGCTAGGCGCTGTTTTGTGGTTGTTGTTGGCGCTGCCTATTGTTTATGGGAGATATGTTAGTATGATGTATGATGTATCATATCATATATAAGGCTGGGCCTCGAGTCTGAGATGAGAGAGGGGGAGGGGTAAGAGATTGATGGGATTTCATACCATGATTACTTGTTAGATTGCTGAAGAAATCGGTACTTGGTCTTCAGTAAAAAGCGGCTTTAGGTATCAAGAAAAGAATCCTCGAAGAAGTCCCCTTTGAATTGGGAAATAAGGGTCCGGTGGTCGAGGTGTGTAAGGTAAAGGGATGGTAAATAATAGAAGTGGGTTAGGAATGTAAAGAGGTAGATCGACTTTGTCTGTTCTCGAAATTTCGGCCTGATACCTGATACGTGGGGCTGGGGAACAAGGCCTAAATGGGAAAGTGGGGGTTTATTAGTGTTATTGTATTAAGTAAGCTATCCTTGTTAGAGGGATTCGATTTATTTATTTAGTACCCCTTTCTTCCCTCCCCCCTATTTTTACTTTTAGACACTTCAATGCCACAAAGAACCCAGATTGAAATAATTCTTATTGAATCACCAATTATTAGTACTGTATCTATCGAATACTGAATAAGGGTATAGGTAAACCAATAACACTACTAATTTCAATCAAGCAATCTCCAACTCACACAGCCTTCTTCAGAAAGCCCGCAGACGTTGTGTAGCCTCTAAGTCCGCCTCTAAAACTCCGGACCAACGGGGTCAACGGTGGCCGGTTCCCTTCCGAGCGGGTTGCAAATCAATTCCACATCGCCAAGTTCCCATTCAAACTTCGTGTCATTGAAAGTTTCCACCTCCTAGGTTGACCAAATGAACGCATTGACTGCATTAGCATTCGCTCCCACGAACGAATTAATTGGCACCGTCATCCTCTGTAGTTCACCGGTGAACCCCGCTACATATCGCCAACTGCTCTTCGAAGCGGTATCTGTGGAACTCTTCGTCGTCTGAATCTCGAGTGCGATAGAAGAGTCTTTGGGTCCTTTCATCGTAAAGGCGAGTTCTCCGTATCCGGATGCTACTGTGTCGATGCACGGAAGGGTTTCGTAGAAATAGGACATCCTTCCGGGGACGAATGTAATGAGACCATCTGCGAGGTCTACCGTAATGGCCGCCATGGTGCCGTCGTCTAATTGGAGATGGCAAGTTAGTCCGGTGTTTAATGAGGGGGCTCAGTTTGCATACCGCCCACTTTCAAGCCCAGGCTGTTCCGCCTCCACATAGATCCCCGGAAGTTGTCAATGAGGAGATTCGAAGTACACAGTGCGGCTATCGCTTGGGAGGCACACAGCCCTAACACTGCCCAGCAGTGTGTCGCATAGCGAGCAAGCATAGTTATTGATGACGCGAGTAATTGAGTATAAGCAGATTTGTTACTATTGCTATGCTATGAGAATGAAGGATGGGATGCAAGTTGACTCGAGAAGCAAGGTAACTAGAAGGAGAGTAGAGACATGCTAATGTAATATCGATACTTCATAAAAGAAAGTATGTTCAGGTGTAGACTAGTAACTGCCTAGGTACCTTTACGCGAACGTACGTAGCGATGGTATTTTAGCAGGGGCTATGATGTATTTGGTCATCAGGGGAGCACGAGCTTATACCTACCTAGGTACATATGCAGCCCAACTGCCCCGGAGCGACCCAAGTACATGTGCGGACTGCCTCTTCCAGATGAAGTGTCAGTATCTATATATTCTTTTAGGAAAGTTACGTAGGAGAGAATGGCGCTGAATAAACACAATCTGGTTAATATAATCCAATGCCAGATGAACCCGCCGAAAACCTCGAACCTCCTAGAAAGGCAAATGGTTTTCCAAACATTGAAAGCCACCAGGGTATACGTCTCCCCAAATGTAAACTCCATCCCCTCTAATCCGAATCAGGTATAAAATGCGCACCTCCTTCGCATTGATAGCCACCCGCTTCCCTCTTGTGACCGACGTATTCACCAAGAAGATCACTTGCGGAACATTCTATCACTTCGCTCGTAGATAAAAATCCCATACCGTAGAAGACCTTCCCCATTTGTTGAGCTGTGGTAGTCTTACCAGTACCTTGATTTCATTGCGTTAGCTTTTTACCTCTCTACCTATAGTTCGCGAGGGCAAATTGACATACCTGAAGGGCCTTTGAACACAAAATTCGTTGGGATCTGACGTCTTGGATCCATGTGAAGTTGTTTTGCACGGAGATACCGCTTCTGATAGTTGGATAGCTGATCAACGATACGGCCGTGGACCCGACCTTGAAGGTTAACTCGGCAATCGAACTGTCCCTGGTCCAAGCTACGATCCCAGTCAGGATCAAAATCCACAGCTTCGAGGACGGCACGAAAGTCCTGTTTTTCCTCGGGAAGCTCAGATTGTCTCTGCTCATATTTTAGCTTAGCTATGTCTAAGCAGCGGTCGACTTCGCCAGCATTCGTAAAGTTCGGGCGCATGAGTGCTCTTTCGAACATAGCACTAGTCGCTTCGGCTGCTTGAGTTGTATAACTCAAATCTTGCTCTCGTAACTTCTTCTCCAGAATTAACTGAAGCTGCTGCAGACCAAAGTTACCGAATTGGTAAGGCATTTCTGTAGGGAACCGACGTGCAAGGCCTGGGTTAGCGTTACGAAACATAGTTCTGATCCTATCTTCGTAGCCGACGAGGATAATGCACCGATCTTCACCGGGTACCCCCTGCACCATAGAAACGATTGTGTCAAGGACGCCGGACTTGAATTTATCCTGATCTCTTCCCGGATCACCAACGTCGAGGACATACGCTTCATCAATCACCAGGACTTTGCCGATAGTACTGTCAAGTATTTTTTTTGTTTTCGCTTCTGACTTCCCAAGACATTCTCCGATGAAGTCCGCTGGGTTTTTCAAGACAACTGTTGTATTGTTAGTGAGTTCCAAATCATATATTGGTGATTGTACTTACCGTCGCCTCGGCTCAAGTAGCCAAAGTCAGCCAATATTCGTCCATACAACTTGGCCATTGTTGTTTTCCCTGTACCCGGTGCGCCGACAAAGAGTCGATTGAGAGAGAACTTCAAGGGGTTTAGCTCATTCAATTCACGACGGTAGTTCATCTTGATCATGCGGATAATCCTCGCTATGTACTCCTTTACCTGCTCAAGCCCGACGAGATCCTGCATCTCAGCCCAGGCCGTGCTTTCATTCGACACTCGCGACTGGTCTGGTCCAATCAAGTCCTCCTTGGTGAAGTAGAAATAGTCTAGGTTGAGTCTCAGAGTTCTTTCCTTGTCCAGACGTTTCGCCTGTCGATCAGCTATTCTAGCAAGGAGATTCTCGACTTCTCGGGCGTTCCCAAAGCCTTTATAACCGCGCATCTGAGCTAAGCGGCGAATAGCAACACGCATGTATAGCCCGCTTGCGCCGCCCTCGATCTTCATATTCCCTTTGTATTGTTTAGTTATAAGATCGGATAGGATCTTCCATAGCTCCCAATCGGTAAAGTCGGCAAAATTGGCGCTATAAGGGATTCGGCTAGTGAGTCCTGGATTATGCTCGAAGAAAGACTCCATTTCATCTCTGTAACCCACAAAGATCACGACAAGCTTCCCAATGTTATTCTCCATTTTCGTGAGGATAGCATCTAGAGCTCTACGCCCACCGCCGTGTACGTATGGGGCGGTCAATTGGTAGGCCTCGTCAATGAATAGAACCCCACCGCCGCCCTCGATCATCTCGTCTATTTCCTCGTTTATCCACTTGACATCGTTTTCGGCTACAACTATCCCGGAAGTCTCCATCACGGAGTCAGATCCAATAACGCCGATTGAGTAAAGGAATTCCGCAAATAATCGAGCAACTGTCGTCTTGCCTATGTCCAAATGACGTCAATAAGAGGAAAGCAGCCTTTATAGCAGCGTTAAACCTTACCTGTGCCTGGGTTCCCTTGAAAAACGATGTTGAACCGTTCCGTATCTAAATTTCTCTCCTGTTTTTTGCAGACTCGCTTTCCATAAGATGTCCAGGAATTGCTGTTTGACTTGCTCAATACCTTTCATTTCCATCAGCTTGTCGATAACATCATTAGATCCATCTTCGTCATTGCATCTTTATAGGAATCCTTGCTGGACTCCCATTGTTGGTATGCCTTGGATGGTGTAGGTTTAAACAACCTGCCGTTGTTGTGGATCGATGGCTTAGTAGTTGAATTTGATGTCGTTTGAGGGATGGAAGGCCCAAGAAGGGGAGAATTTGGACAAGATTGAGACGCTTGATAGTATGGCGGAGAAGAACTTTGGATTACTTGCGAGCTTTGTATGGCGTCCTTCTCATCTTCTTGAGGTGGTATCGGTGGAATTGGAATCTTCAGCGAAGGATCCTCAGTCTCATCCAATTTCTCATCTATTGCGAGTTGTTCCAGCTTCTTTTTTTCTGTCTTCCAACTCGTCGCCTGAGATATCGGCTGAGCTGCATGACGCAGCGATTGTCGAGGTTGATATGGGGCTCGGGGGCGTCGTCGGTTGAGAAATATAAGTAGGTTCTTTGTGTCGGGACAATCACTCTCGATTTGGTTGGCGTTGGGTGGCGGCGTAAGCGGTTTAGATGCGGATTCGATATCGACCTTTACACTCGGGACGTCTCTTAGAGGGGATTGAACCGCCTCTTGAGGGATGTCTTGGGGCATCAGTGCTGTATCCACCGTAGGATGGACAAGAAACTCGCTAGAAAGAAAGGCGAGACTTAGATACAAAATATTGAAGCTTATACTCGACTATAAGAGCTAGCTCGAGTGTCCTTAATGGGAGGAAGAAAACGGATATTAGTAGATATATACCGATGCAATTAGTACCTACCCAAATATATAAAGTGCTTCCCACCGCCATTTTGATATATCCAGATCTCCTTAGAACTTACACAGCCATGATATTATGAGTTGGCTTTCTTTCCCAGGGAAACTACTCAACAACTAGGTAAGGCTCTGATGCCATATCCAACAAGTATGATAGGCAGAGCTTTCGTGCCTCGCTATTTTGTCTTCCCAATAAGTCGACAGCTGTCGCGCGGCAGGCTACAAGGCATTATTACAGCATCCAATAGTTAACTCTATTGTAAATTTTTGCCACTGGCAGTATGCAGGCTGCGTTTCATGTGGTCTCCTTGGGGAGCCATTGTAGCAAGATACGGTAGAACAAAGCCAATTGTTTCGTGGCAGCTGGCAGGCAGGCTATGCTGAAAGCGTCGCCGTAAGGCGATATGTTTTAATGGCCAAGGTAGAAATAATATTACAATTCCAGTGGCTCACCGTATTTTCCTGGGTAACTTGCCTGTTTTTCTTGCACTGCTTTCTGTCAACCCCCTCAAAGAAAAAGTAAATGTAAGGCATTCATAATGCCCAGGCAGAAAAGCTACATTTTAACTGCTGTAAGTTACAGCTGTCCAACCTTACCGGTCGATTGCCTTCCTACCTACCTAGGTACCTAGGTAGGTATAGATGCTGAAAATGTTTGAAACTCTGGCTAACCTACTATCGTTTTTAATATTTCAATTACGATACTGTCAAGACGCAGCATACCCTGAACCGCGCCCTGAACAATGGATATAGGAAGCATACCCGATTGGGTCTCCACGGCCTCGTCTATCGCTGCAGCCATTATTGGCATAATCACTCTTGTTACCGTTTACACCGGTGCATTGCAAATACTCTCCCAGACTCGGCTGTGTCGAGTTAGTTTTTGACATGCATCTCTAGGCCAGATTTGGGCCTCCGGCGTCGTACCTCAACACCAACCGCCAGCCTTAACTTTTTAATTAAAAATAAATTGAGACCTAATATAGTCTTTCCTAAAGGCTTTCCAAAGCAGGCTGGAAAGCCGATCTGTGTCGAAAAGTTTGACAATATCCAACCAAAACAAGTTGGGTCAACTTCATGCAGGCATTAGGTCTATCTCCAGAAGGGAATGCCTTGTATGAGATGCAAGATACGTCCGAATTAGTCAATGGAATCGTTCCTATGCGCTGGACTGGACAGGATCTTGCCGGCATGTGTTCTATCTTGGGATTTCAATCATTCAAGAAGCCTAGCTTCATATCACAAATGCCCCTTCCAATGAATTGATCTGGCCTACTTGGCTGGCTGCAATTTCGATCTGGGGAGAATAGTTTCGTGGCCGAGTTTCGTAGAAGAATGGACTTACACAATCAGCTGAGCCCTGATCTTCCCCGAGACTCGCACTTTTTAGTATCGCGATCGTGGAATTCTATCAACGGGCTTAGCCTCTCCGGGGATCGCTCCTTGTATCTTGGGGGCACTGATCGGTGCAAACATACGCAGGATTACGACAAAGAGGAAGAAGAGGCCAGGAGATGGATAAGGATTACGAAGAATTGATGTCCAAAGATCTCCCTGACGAATTCATTCTACGCATGTTGTTTGGGAAGAAGGAAAACCGCCCACCTGGATTGAGGCGGGTGGTAGAAAGAACCCAAAAGGGTGGGAGACCATTAGCCCATAGGACAAGGATGACAAACCAGATTTTCTCGGCAGTTTAATCCGGGGTGCTACGGAATCTACCAAAAAAGGAGGTATTAAGGCCGTGTCCCGGGCTGCTTTCAGTGTCGATAGAAGACGAGCTGGCGGATAACCGAGGTCTAAGCATCGATATATCTCGAGAATACGATCGAAAATATACTGAAGAGGAAGACATCGGCCGAAACAAATATCTTTACAATCCAGGAGATCTCTATATGGACGAAGAACTCTCGAAGTTGATGAAAGAAGCTCTTCTTCTTCTTAAACCCGACGGGTTCTATTTCTCGCCAATGGTGCGTCTCTGCGCAGACCTTCGAGAAAAGTATGAGTATATCGAAACACAATCCCACTGAAAGCAATTCTTTTCGGATACCGTTAGCGGTTGTCGAAATATGCCTGGTTTTTCCGAAAAGCGGAGCGTGGTGGCAAGCTCCAACTCTTCGTGCCGGCGAGTAGACGAGGTGCGATTACTCCAGCACGGAATGCGTCTTTGCAACGAGCTTCAACGAACAACGCTTCTAATGGCTTCTCTGAGTGGCTTAAGTTTATCGGAGAGAGCAAAGGCGGGATTTTAGATTGTTCGAAACTCGTGGACTCCTCGGAGGTGGGGAGGACCCCTATCGAAGACATAGGAAGAAAGAGGTTATCGCCACGAAATACCCGCCGTCGCGCGCACGTAAACCCCAGTATTAATTATCGTGTATATGTCACGCGCAGCAACAATAGTGATTTCGTTAGTCCGTGGTCGGCATCGTGGTGGGGGGCTATGTGAGCGGACGGTGCGATAGGTTTATACATCATCGATAGAGAAGTCGAAGATTAATGAAGATCAAATCTTCGGGGTAAAGGGGGGGAGGGAAGGTCGAGTGCAGAATCGCAATAGATATGTGTATTATCATCGGTAGGTGATCCTAGAAGCATCAATAGAATATCCTCAACCCGCCCCCCAATTACATGGAATATTATTTCATTATCGTTCGGGTCGATCTGAAGCTTGAAGGTATTATTATTCGCGACACGGTGGTTGGTTTGTTGACGATACAAAGCCTTGTGTCGGGGTAGCTATTTACTCTCCTATACAATAATACTACTGGGTTTCCTGGGGTTTCCTGAAATCGGTCGGTATCTACGTACCTCCTACTGAAATATTTAATACATCCAATTTAATCCCTCGGGTAACAGAAGTCACAGAGCTGTAATATGCCTTGTGCGACCAATATCTGCACGTCGTAAGCAACTAAGCCTAAATCGATACTCAATCAACAGTGCATGTTACCTAGGTACATTAACAATCGTCCGATTTGGTCCCCTTATCCGCGATTGGTAGAGCGGATCCCAAGGCAATTAGGCAGGCTAGACAGGGAGGGGAGAGAGGGGGAAATTCCTTTGTAAAAAAATGAGTGTAGGATGTATATGCGAATGACTGGCTTCCTCTATCGCCGCGGCGGCCGTTCGTACTGAGATTTTGGGTTGTCTATTGCGGCAGTTTTCACCTCCTGCGTATGTCCCTAGGCCAAACGAATGCCCTTAACTACCTAACCTCTATCTTCATTGTATCAAACGTGTTGTTTGATAGTTATTTTATAGCATCATAATGGGGCTAGCGGAAGCAATTGTCTTTGCTATGCGCAAGAGAATTAGGGGCGCCAAGAACCGGACTTTGGCTGAGCCGGTTCCTACCATCAACCTGCCTCATAGATGGAATCAGGAAGGGGAGTTAATCGCAAATTCTAAACCGGATAAATGTCATTGCTGTGGGTGGTCGGGCGACCCGGATATCATTTCTTCCTATATCCCTTGGGATGTTAGGAGAGATGTCCAACTCGACGGAAAGAACATTATTTCCCTGAGAGAAGAATGCGCTGTATGTCAACTTCTGAACATTATTTTCCACAGGGTGGCACCTATGCGAAATATAACTGGAACTCGTGTGAGCATTGTGAAGGGTTATAGTGTTTCTCTGGAGTGCAAGGATCGTCCCTATGAAGCTAATCAAGTATTGCTTTTCACTACGGAAGATCTTACAGGGACACCATTTGAGCATTATAATATTCTTAAGACTACGATAAAGAGTAGCGATTGGCTATTTGAGACCTCTTCCCAATGGGCACAAAGATGCATTTCCAAATGTCTGGGATCGCACGGATCATGCAACCAATTTAATAGGGGCAACAACTTCCTACCGTCACGGCTTATTGACGTTGATTCTAAAGAGCTGGGCGGTGACGTCGTTCTGATCGAGACGAAAGACATCATTCTTCCAGACTCGCGATATGTAGCACTGAGTTATTGTTGGGGCAATTCTGAGCCTGAATGCATGACCACAAATAGGAGTTTCAAAAAGAATATACAGAGAATCAAATGGCGCAGGTTGCCTAAAACATTTCAAGATGCCGTTATATTCACTCGAAGCCTTGGTCTGAAGTACCTATGGATCGACAGCATGTGTATAATCCAAAAGAATAAGGAGGACTGGCGCCATGAAGCGGGACAGATGTTTGGCGTGTATAGAAACGCGTACGTCACGTTGGCTGCATTGTACGGCGATTCTAGCGCTTCGGGTCTCCGTTCGTCGTCGATGAACAATCAATTGACGAAAATGGCGGATCTGTGCTACGGACAATACCGTTGCCCCATATATATTCGGCAGGATCCTCACTACTTAACCGACAATTATCGGGGTTCTCTTTCCGATTACCACCAACCGAACAAATGGGCACCTTTACTTTGCCGAGCATGGACGTACCAGGAGCGCATGGTCAGCCCAAGAGTTCTTTATTTCGACAAAAGTGAGATCATATTTCAGTGTTTCAGCACCATTGCTTGCGAGTGCGGTATCACCCAATACCATACCAGTTTGATGTCTCATCCCGAGAGTAGCAAGTCTTCTTTCTTCAACGCAGTCATTTATGATGGCGATGACCGGAAAGATGATAGGATTGACTCTGTCTGGAGGAGAGTTATTGTGGAAGAATATTCAAGCTTAGCACTGAGTGAGCACGACGACAGATTAGCTGCAGTCGCGGCCATAGCTGAACAATTTCAGACAGCTCGCCCTAGTGAAAGGTATTTAGCTGGTCTATGGTCGGGGTCGCTCATTAAAGACTTACTATGGCGCCACAGTGATATGCCCAATAGGCGAACGCAGCAAAACAAAAGATTGTGCTCTTGGCCGACTTGGTCCTGGACTTCTTTGCAAAGTCAGGTAGCGTATAGCATTATCCCGGACTCCACAGTCGTGGCGCAGATTGTATGGGCAGGATGTGGATACGCAGCCGACAATCTATTTGGAGTGTTGGTGAGTAGTATCTTGATTATACGTGCTAGGGTACTACCTTGTTTAGTTGAATGGCAGGAGTCTGGATGTAGCCTCCTCTACGAGTGTGGTGGGAAGTGGATGTACTTGGACAAGCAGGATAGGAATTTCTTCGAGCTATCCATGGATTGCGGTGATATTGGGGATCGATGTTTCCCCGTGCAACAGAATTTTTGTCTGCTTGAGGTCATAATAGGCACGTCGTGGGATGCGCGATACTATTTAATACTCTACCGCGAGGAAATGGAAAGTGATATCTTCTCGAGAGTTGGTCTGCTGATTTACCATATTTCTGGGACTCAATGTGAGAATTGGGACTATGTTTGGCGAGAGCAGAGTGTTATAATGGACTGCGAAATCCGTTGAAAGCCATAGGATTTAAGATCATTGGATCAACCTATGTACCTAATTATTTGTGTTAGCATAGATTTCAGCGCTACTTCACTTCTCAGCTAACCCCACTAAACAGACCCCTTTCCGGTAATAGGCGTCTATAGCTGAAGACCACTCTAACTTCGTTGGAGAACTACGCGAGGAACAAGGCATTATTCGTTGGCCAGAGCAAGTGCGGCTATCAACTTAGCTTGTTACAAGTTGGCTTAGCTTTTCACCGCGAGAGACTCATACTCGCGGGTGTGTCAAGAACTTGGCCAACCTTGGAACTCAGGCCACCTTGGCATAGCCGTTGGAGCCTATTGGACAATATCGGGCCTTAGGACAGCGGGAATGACGGCCAGCTTATTGCGTAGGTGCGTAGCTTATGCACTGCCGCCTACACAGGAGATGCTTCAAAAAGGTTACTATTTCCGCACACCGGTTTCCAGGCAATTTTCGATTTAATTCTTGCGATAATTATCGAATAGGCACTTGTAAGACGTTGCCGTTGGTTTTTACGTGAGGGCTACAACGATCAGATTGGGTTTGACGATATTGGAACTTTCTCACTCAGCTTATTATCTACCGTCCAAGTTACACTTATTGTTCGCGCCATCATCAACGCTTGGATTCGAGCGTTTTCATTCTTCAAACAAATAAAATATCTCTTCGAGTGTTTTGCGTTGCGTATTTCATTTTCGGCGTCGTATATTGAAGGAAAAGCATTGCGGGAGTATTCAAGAGCTGAGCTGTGTTTAGAATGAGTTGTTGAACGCCGGAGCAAGCCCGAGGCGTAACTACGAGAGGAAGTTCGGTGACCGAATCGCCTACCCCTGCTACCTCAACCTCGAGCTGTAACACATTGAACCGTCCTTCAATAATGGATACTACGACGCCATCAAAGACGGAGCGACTATCTCGCGTAGCAGCTACCTACTCTCAACTCTTCAAATCGCGACCATCCGCTCGAAAGATCCAAAAACGAAACTCACTGCCAGCTAAAACATGCGATCGGAAAGCCGTTGGCGAGTCGACAATTCGTTTAGTGGCCCCCACGGAGGAGAGCTCTCACCGCCGAAGCCAAGAGAGCCAGGTTGAAGGTACAGGCCCCAATTTTAGAACCCTGTAAGTGTTTTTCATCGCTACAAATTCTCCGAATGGCCTGCAACGAGGAGCTCTCAATCCAGCTAAGGAACCAATTTCACACTTGCCTTTTCTTCATAGTGTATCATTTCCCACTTGCTTTGATACCAGTCCGAAATTGTATCTTTTAGTTAGATACATCTCTTTTGTCGCGATGGGTTTATATTTAACACGATGTTGGCTTCTTCTCGCATTTCACATGGCGTCATTTTTTTTACTTGGCTGCTTTGGCGCTCCCGGAGTAAATACCACCTTCTTAAGGGGCACGACCTATTTGTCAGGGATTAGTTAATTTCCACAGCGACAGGAGACACGGAAAGTAGCCTCACCCTACCAACAGCCGAGTGGCCGCCTATTAGAGGTCGAATTGGCATGAACTGTCTAGTCTCAGCTAGGTTAGATGGGTGTGATCGGATGCTATGGTAGTAACGGAAGGGCTAGAAAGGCCTATGTTCGAGTTACGACTTTTCCCCAAGCTACCCAAAACAGTTCGTCAATCAAGATGATGCAAGGCACGCCTGGTCTTTTAATCTCTGTGGACCCATCGAAATCTGCCGATCTTCACCTCGTGGCATTTCGACATCTATTCATCTTAACCAATTTTCCCTTTCTTTAGTTCTAACTAACCCCCTTTTTTTTTCTTTTCTTCTAGATTCAACAGACATCAGAGGTCGCAATCCGAATCCGCCGTGGTTTATCGATCACGATCTCATGGTATCGTGTTGAAGCGACCAGCGCCTTTAGTGTCTCGTGTGATGGGCTCCACAGTAGGCCCTGAACTTTCGTATGTTTCTCGCGACCCCGGATTTACTCCTGAATCATTTGCGATGCAAGACCCCTCGACACGAGACTCCCCCGCCGGGACCAATCGGTCGAATTCCAATCCAATTGGGTCAACGTATGCCCAGCAAGTTCAACAAACACATCGACCGACGAAACTTCCGGCGGCAATGATGGGTAATTACGCACAGATCGATCCGCGACCTGCGATATACAATCGTTCCGGAAGACCCTCAAGTAGCGCTTCGAGCGTTGCGAGTTCGGTTAGGACGAACGAGACATTCGACGCCATACTTTCTAGCCCATCTAGCAGCAGGACGAGCTTCGAATCATGGAATTCGAGCCCGAAGAGAGCCGAGTACGGCTGGCAGCGACCGGCGCCCATAAAACAATATAGACGGAGAAGGGACACAGGAGAACTTTTTGCTACCTTGCCTGATGAAGTGTTAGGTCTTATTTTGGACGAGTTGAGAAAGTCACACCTGGCGCCTAATAGCACAAGCTGTGCGACATGCATGATGAGGGACATGTGCTCCATTGCTGTCTCGTCGCGAAAGCTAGCGAAAGCTGCTCGGGTTATACTGTGAGTCTTAGAGCGGAATAAAGAGCGAATCAGGACATACTAACAGAAAGTGAAGTTATGAGAATATCGAACTCGTCGGAGCAGATTCGCACGCCCAAAGGAAGCGATATAAACTGAATTTTGGCTCTCGTTTGGTGTTACTGCGTCGGACGTTAAGAGGGAACCCGGATTTGGCCGCAATGGTTCACACTTTGAAAGCACCAGCTGTGCCTCAAGGTGTTCCTCTCGATTTATACCAAAATTTAGTTGCTTCGATTATTATGGCGTGCCCCAATTTCGAGCAATTGGTTGGATTCCATCAAAACCAAGATTATTCGTTTAACCGCCTATTCCACGCTCTCTCGACTAGGCGCAAACTGGTTGAAATGCATTGGACACTCGAGCCGTCTCAATTTCAGAGGAAGCGCCGGTTATCGAATGCGGCGGCGCTACTAAATTCGGATAATCCGAATTATCAAGAAGCCCCAGGAGATCTTCTACCTCAGCAAAGCGAAGAATTCCTTGAGCTTCATACGGATTGGGAATATTTAACAACATTGTCAATACATTGCCTCCCGGGAGCAACAATTACACCAATATCTCTTATTCCGGATATAGTGTCTCGATTACCAGCGCTTCAGAATCTTCATTTATCTCATTTACCATTTACAGCATTTAATGACGCGAATTTACTCTCGCTACCCTCATTACAGACCATAACATTTTCGCATCTTCCTGGTGTTTCTAGCGAAGGACTATCCTCCTTCGTGCGGCGACCTTCGAGCCGATCAATTAAGAAACTTACTCTGCAGCACGTGGACGTGGATTCATTGCCCGCGCTCAGCCAGATTCTCTCGAATCTGACATCGCTGGAGAGCTTTTCGCTAGTCCAGAATTCGATGCCGATTATGCCGCCAAATGAGATGATATGGTTATTCCCCTATTTAGCATCGCCCTCGCTACGGAAGTTGCACTGGGATATCACGAGCCATCAAATATGCGCCAATGTGGCCGATTCAATCCTTGCGAAGAGCATAGCAGCGAACGGCTTCCCTTCCCTTCGGGTCTTACGGACACCAAACGACCCCGAAGGAATTTTCCAATCGCTTTGCAAGCCAGTGGAGAGCATTGAGGCGCCACCAAGTGATAAACACCGAGGCCTTATCTCGAAGTGCACTTCGCGACCTAGCCCTCCAGCGACGCCAACAACGCCCAGCACACCCAAGACCCCGAGCAAATCACCTTCAGGCTTAAGTTTCCCGATGGAGGACCAACTCTTCCCATCAAAAGCATCGAGCAATCTAGCGCAAGCACGTCTAGCAGCCCAAAGCCGACTAGAAGCAGCGCGCCAGACACCACGATTCGTGATCAGCGTAACTGAGGATGAGGTTGAGGTTGAGAAATACGGTCTCGCGGGTTTCATCGGACAAACCGAGTCTAAAATTAATTACTGCGTCACACCTGATGAGGGTGCGTCTGATGAGAGTGGTGGCTTGCTTGATGTTACAGATGTGCTAGGTGATGGAGGTGAGAACTTGAGGTTTGATGGAAGAGAAGGATGTACTGGGAGATGGAATACGTATAATGGCAATGTGGTCGATAAGAAAGATCGTGAGCGCTGGTTTCATACGGAGAGGGGACGGTGGAGGCCTGTGACGCTTTCTTAAGCCTGTGGATAAATGGGCGAAGGCGGGTGAGATGTTGGTGTTAATATTGTGACATGATTTGCGTATATATATGCTCTCAGATGAGAATGAGGGATATATGATTGAAATAAGAGGAGTGTATATGTGGTTTATGGGAGACCAAGGAAGAGAATGGGTGCGGCTCCTATGTTATATTCATACATAAGTACATACTATGATACCCCGTCTGGTACCCGGATACTCATTTTATTTAAAATATGATTTTTGCAGGATAAAATTCCTTGTCTAATTCTTGACTTGAGTAGGCCTCAGTATGTTTCGAAGTGAATGTGATGATTTAGGGGTTCAGCTCGTCACGTGTAACAAGGATGTGACTTCCTGTGACCGGGTAGCACTTGCTCTTTTAACACCGAACTCCGGACCGAAACCCGAGCGGGCCGCCCCCAACGTCATCACATTCCGAGTTTCGAGTTTAAATTGTTTCTCCAATTTGACCCCAATTTTCTTTCAGCCTCCAACAATTTCACGATCACCATTCACAGAGTATAGATTCGCCTTCTACATATTATTAGGTTTGATTCATCAAGCTTAGCAATCATATTTATTCTAGAGAAATGAGGTCTTCGATATTCCCTCAAAGGGCCTTGCGCCGCGTCTGCGACACTTGCAGGCATTCTCTGCGCAATCATGCGCCATCGAGCCATGTCGCTCCTCTCAGCACCTGCGCTGCGCCGTGTAGGACTTCCAACCCCCCACACCAGTCCAGCGGTATCAGAGGAACCCTGTGCAGAACGCAAAGTAGCAATGGTAGCGGTAGTGTAACAGTACAAATCCGGCATATTTCTACAAACCCCAGACTCGCGTCTTCTGCTCCAGGAGGGGCAGAAGCGAAAGACGGAGATTCGGGGAAAGTAGAAAGCAAGCAAGCAAGAACGCACTATGATCTCTTCCCACAGACCCTTCCTGCAGGTCCCCCGCCACAAGGGCCCTTTGCAGTGGATGTGCGCGCTCTTCGTCGGGAATTTCTTACACTCCAAGCAACTGCACACCCAGATCTTGCGCCACCAGGATCTGAGCGCCGACGCGCAGAAGCCGCGTCTGCATATATCAATGAAGCATACCGAACTCTCGCCGAAGCGTTACCCCGCGCTCAATACCTATTGCGTCTTCGTGGGTTGGATGTGGCTAACGAAGAAACGGCGCGGGTGGAGGATCCTGAACTTCTCATGCTAGTCCTAGAGACACGTGAAGCAATTGAGGAAGCGGAGTCCGAGGAAGAGTTAGAACCATTACGAGAAGAGAATGAGGAAAGGATAAAAGAGAGCGAGGGGAGGTTGGCGAGCGCGTTTGAGAAGGACGATATCGAGGAGGCGAGATTAGAGGTTACGAGATTACGGTATTGGGTAAATATTCGCGAGAGTATAAGGAATTGGGAGAGAGGAAAGCCAATTGTGCTTGAGCATTAGGGTGTAAACAAAGGTATAGGTGTGTACCTATATCTACCTAAGCAGGCTCTGGAGGAGAGATATGTGATTCGCTGTTCCTGAAAACCTAATAGATACTAGCCAAGGCAATCGAGAACCACTCAAGCAACTCCACAGTGATAACTCCACATTTGTCTCGCACGTACCTGCCTAGGTAGGTACATAGGAAAGGAAGAAGAATGATGTATATACTCTCTTGTGGATACTTCACGGGCAGGTAGGCACCGAGCTTACCCGAGACGAGACTCACTGTATTCCCGGTACCATACTTGCATCGTAAAAATCATGAGTCTCATTTAACTTAATCGTAGCTTCATAGCCAGCACCTACCCAGGTAGTCCACCATAAACAATAGTTTACAAATAGCTAGGCTACAGCTTACCTCGAATTCTAATAAAAAATTATAAGCGAACTATCAATGCCTTTCAAGGGGAAAAGAGAAGTTCGAACGTTACGTATTCGGTTCTGTTATCATGACTGAGCGACACCCCGGCCTCGTATCCCAGGTAGATACACATCCAATAAAGTTCATATATTCAACATTCAGCTTGCTTCTAAAAGTTGCCTCACCCCTTATTACTTAAAATTGACTAGTTACTTCTACACAAATATCTTAGACTCTTAGCATACAATATGATGATAAGGAATAGTAACATTCTTATCGAGGAAGTGATAGATTTTTTAAAATATTATATTATAAATAGTTATAGACTTTTAAAATCACCTAGTTTTGGCCATCGGCTGTATCCTAGAGGGGCTTTCTAAGGCGCAGGCGCTCCGCCCCGACACCCCACAGGTCCTTTTTAGGAAGTTAAGAAATGAGTAAGGATGATGCTCCCCTGCGGATTTCTTGAAGCAACAGGGACTTTGAGGATGAGGCCGCCGCATGTATCCAGGTTCCTACATACCTCGTGCATAGCACGCGGTGCAGGAGATGCACCACACTTTAAACCGGGATACCGGACGTCGTGCTCATTAATGTTATCACAAGTGGAGTTCATACGGCCCGGACAGAGCAGAATATAATCAAATTAGGCTTTCTGTTCAGGTAGGATGTATAATAATTTAACTAAACGATAGTCAAGGTCACGTCGAATGTCAGACAATTCATAAAATCTTTTCACAACCACGATATCTTCTTCATCTAGTTTACCTTTACCATGCGCAAAGCCATGTTCCTCCGGTAGCTTCTAGAGATAAAAAGAGGTTCCTAAATCGTTTAGTTATTTCTATCTAAGATCTTGGCCCGAGGTATTCTAAGGTATCAATTGGTGCGTCGTACTGCAAGAAGAGGGGAAAAACTACCGGGGCTCTCTCAGGGGCGTTCGTCGGAAGGAATTATTTATTGCTTATTGGCCACTGACGCTATTATATTGGAAAACTTCGGTGCCTGGGATCGCACAGCGAATCGTAACGTCCCTCCTAGACACATGATAGTTCACCCCCTCCACGTAATCGTGAGACATGTCTTTCCCCTTCCAGTCTATAGCCCCGCTACCTACCTACCTGCCTAGGTATCCAGCGGAACGTCTAGGACAAGAGACTCAATGCTATCTATCCTTCGTAACAAATCCCGTTACCTCATACTTATAAGATGCTAAGACCGGTCTTACCTAGGTAGTGATTCGCAACCAACGCCTTCTCTCTGTTTCTGGCTCCGCAACCTTACATGAATTATATTACAAGCAAAAGTTCTGAACCAGATTCAGATTATTGGGCACTTGCGTCTGCCATTGCAGATCCGTGCCCACACGTATGTACGAGTAGACTCGGTACATTGATGAAAACTTTGAGCTAGCAACGCAAAGAGTGCAGTGTAGGTCCTCGGTACCAAACTAGTCATCATGTCGCCATTGTCCTAAGCTTCTTGGACTAGGGTCTTATTGCCGTGTACTTGTCCCTTTACCTCTCCATTGGCTAGTAGATGTGATTAGCATTGCAGGTTGCGGCTGTTTTCTCAAAACCCAGCGTTTCATTACCGGCCTTTCAATAGTCGAAGAATGATAAGTCATTCCCGTAGGTAAATAGTACCATTTGACTGTACTTCACGTTGTCATTAAGAGAATGCGGATAAACATGTATGATGCTAAATGGATATATATACATTCCGTATTGTTTTCCAATATTAACTAATGCCTCCTAGGTAGCCAGGCTAATTTCCTGATTATACAATGCATCTTAACCCAGTCAAGCCGGAGAAACGAGATGTCGACTATCAAAGGGCTCTAGCCAAACACCTAATTAATGAATTCGTCAAGGTTTATCCCGACAAGGCATCCGCAGTTCACCAACATCTTGAGATAGTCAAGGTGATCTTGGAAGATATAGTAAAGGCCAGCGGCGTCCAGGCAAATCCAGTACTCACAAGGGTCAAGGAACTCTCTTCAGCCCTAGACTCCCTTCAGAGACGCCAAGTTGCCCGGTTCGAGCGACAAGAGCTAATAAAACGCATGTGCCGAAGGGGTGGCAACTGGGAGCAGTACTGCAAAAGCCGTGGCGAGGAACGAATGATCGACAACTGGGGACCGTTTGAGAATGTCCAAGATATGATAGGCGTTCTCCACGACTTCGGTGGCGCTAGGGTCTGTACCTGCACGCCTAAAGGTGTTAGAAGGGTTGTCTCTTTTCTTCAACAATGCCAACACGTGCGAGTCTTGAATATCGCTTATAAGGCTAATGGCAACTCGGACTTGGCTGATCTCAGAAGCCATGTAGAGATACTGGAGCTTGGGCCTTCTTCGTCGGGGCCGAACCGTACGGAACATAAAATGGAATCACTATCAGAAAAGAAACGGCCTATTGGATATCGAGCAACACATGTAGTCGTTGAGATGCTGGGGGACGTTATCCCTAAGTGGCATAGAGACTCTCACTATAGGATCGAGATTCAGGTCATGACTATCTGGATGCATTGGTGGTCTCAGGCTGAACATGGAATTGTTTATAAGCCTCATTGTCACCAAGCTTCAGACCAAGTAAAGGAAGTGTTGAATTCTTGGAACGGAAAGGTTACGGCTTTGGAAGACGGATTGGATCGGCTATCAGAAGGCTCAACAGATCCTATCATCTCTAGCGCAGTAATCAACCTCATACTCGACCTTACATTTATTTCACGCCCCTAGCCCAGCTTTCCGGGTGTTTTATGAGGCTAGAAGGACATTAGAATTCAGTCACGGGATATGAGATAGACTCTTTAGCATAGTAACTAAAGGGAACAAATATGAGCATGAAGAATTATTCTTTCGCATGTCTAAGAAGCTACCAAGGTTATGTTTCGATAGGCATAGGGAACCCCTTTTACCCCTATTTTCTGATCACGTGATATCCCACAAAGTCTTCCCTTACCTTCGTACCACCTTTCGGGGAATGGCTAAAGCCGCAAAAATAGCCATTCAAAGGCCTTCGAAGCCAGTAGTCAAATGATCATTGCAACTACTATGTATATCCAAGAATTACTACTTGTGATCGAAAAGGGTTCACTCATGTTGAAGAGTGAAGTAACGAGGGAGGGTAACAGAAACACGAGGGGAGGGTATGCCAAGCGCTTAACGTAAATCGACTCAATAGTAGACCTGCGAGAGTCCAGAAGCTGTATGATAGATGTCATAATAGGCATCATGGCTTCTAACGCTTTGCCATTTTGATTAATCTGGCCTATGACATATGAAATATCTCGCGCCAGGCCTTCATGGAGGTTATTCCCGTGATTATTTCCGTCCGTACTTGCATAAAACTCGGCGAAGTGTCTTAAGACGTTCAATTTATACAAACTCTGCTGGCTACGTCGGCGCCATCGATAGAGCTCGAGGATATCAACGCTGTCGAATTTGCAAAGACGGTCTCTGACGTTTTTGATCGAATACTCGTAAGCTTTCACGTACCGGCCCATTATCAATGAGTATGTTAACCACTCATCGATTATCAATTTGATTGGACCAACAGCTAGTATAGAAATGTCGTAAGTTGATGGTAATTGTTTCGACGCTTGTGTGCATTCTTGAATCAACATCGCTACCTCGTCTAACATGGACATAGGTCGCACTTCCTTAGAAGGGGAAGCTGTTTGAAATTCAGAAAATGCGACCAGTCGGTTTTGATTTTTTCTCCTTCTATACGGGACCTGGCGAACTCGGAATTCATCTCGCAGTACGTTATCATCCGCTGAGAGGTGGCCCATAACATCAGCCGATAGAGAATCCATTAGCATGAGGCCTAACGACCATTAGTCTCATCTCAATGAATTGTACGTATATACATGGAAGAGGAAGGAAATAATCAAGATAAAGGCATAGGATATGATAGTCAAGACATACAGATCCATCGATCATCATTAATTCTCTTGTGTAACATAGAGAAACACGAGCGAATAAACCCGATGCGTTTCCCAAAGAGGGCTGGGAGACATCTTCCAGGCCGTGTCACTTTGTTGCGGAGGTATATCTCATATGGGAAATCTGAGTGCGTATCCGTATCCCCTAAATTGATTGGCCTTTGGTAGTGGATGTTTACGAAACCCTCAGACCCAACACGTGTCGGAAGAGATGTCATGAGTGACGATGGAGGATTCCTCTCGATCTCAACAAAGCTTTTTTCGATATGTTCACCGAAAAAATTGGGATTAATATCAAAAGCCCCCCCTAGGATTTCGACGACGTCCGGCCTGACGTCTTCTACCAACACACACAGTCCCACTGCTTTGGACGCTGTATCATGTTTAGCGTATCTTGATATCTGACTAGCGAGCTTTTCAGCATTCAGTCTAGAGTATTCCGTAACTCCATCTTCGTAAAACTCCAAGGACGCAATATTACATCCGAGTTGCTCAACCTCTGGCTGCAGACAGGAACCCCTCAAGAATTCAAACAAAAGCGACGGGCCAGGCGATTCCTGGGATAAATTTTGCACGTAGTCAAAATAGGGCGAACTCATTTGTGTACCTGGGATGGTAGGTATTGAAAGGTAAATATTGCAGTGTTTCGCACTCTTAATAATCTGAGTAAGGTATCATAGGGGATATATCAAGCACATTAAGCTGTGGAAACTGTTCTGAAATGAATGATATTCTCTAGATATCCTTTAAAGAAATTATCTACGTGTTCGTCTCTTTATATCATTGACCCTCTAGATAGCAGAGTACTCTCGTCGTGATTAATAAACTAGGACACATCCACTCATGCATATAAATGCCCAACTAAGTGGTTGTGCTACTTCTCACATGTCATATGAATAGTTTTGTGAGGCAGGTGCAGTCATTTTCGCCAATGGCCAGTATTTCATACCAGAAGGCTCGGGCTTCGCCGCGGCCGGCTGAACACCGATACGGACGCCAGCCATGGTTCTAAGCTTCCATACATCAAAATGGGATTTGAAATCATGATAATAATAGATTACTTTACATTCTCCGGTCCTTTTCCGGCTCGCCCTATTGCGTGCTGTTCCTATACGCCTGAGAGGGTGGCCATACATCCAGAGATAGCGAGGAACCCCTTTAAACAATTAGGAATCTAAGTATATAATAATGTAAATTATGCACTTATCCCAATAGGTGCCTAACGTTCATGTGCCCAGGCACTCACTCCAAATATTATATAGAATTCTTTATTTACATCTTTCTTCTGGATTATAGTCTTACCTCAACTCAAGTGTGTGATCTGGAAGGTCACGATAAAACTTGTTCCTCACCGCTTCGCCATCCATCATACCGTGAACATAACTTTCCCCTATGAGATTGTAATAATACCAAGGGTCTTCATCCTTAGCTTTGTTTTGTTTTTCCACGATCTGTGCTATTTTCCCTTTATCTTTTTGCGCATCGTCTCCATTCCGTATTTTTTTAATTTGCCGTTTGAATGAGTTTTCTGCCTCTTGAATCTGTCTGTCCATCGTGTTTATTTTTTTCGTCAACTCTATTATTTCTCTTTTCTCTTTCAACTTCTCCTCCGAATCATCGCGGGCTTTTAATTTCTGAATCCTTTTTTGTTCGCACCGCTTAATCACTCCCTTAAGCTTTCCACTGCATCATCAAACTCCTCTCTATCAACCTCTATGGATGTTTTCTTTGTGCTTTTTCTCAGAATGACGGGTACTGTGCAACCGTAAATGATCCCAACTTTATCTCCCTTGCTAACCTCACTCGATGCAAGCCCTAGAACACCGCCCTTTGTTTTGAACAGTCGGCGATTCCAGATAACGGCCTGAACCCGTCGGCAAAACTCAGAAATAATTGAATTTCGCTCGTCGTTAATGAGGGCTATCGTATTTATACCTCCACTTCGCAGTCCTCCTTTCATGGCTGACTCTCTACACGCTCTAGAGTAGTAGTATGGCGGATTTCGGTTGTCTTTGCCCCGATCTGCAACCAGAGTCCTCCAGAACTCATCAGGCGGATCCTTGTGCTGGGGGTCCTTCCAACCACCTAGTTCAAGCCAAGTTGCTGGGATAGATCCATTTTGCGAGGCATCTGTTACCTTTACGACTTCGTCGAATACGAATCCCTTGACAAGAAGGCTATAATGCAAAAGAGGAGGCCTTTTCCGGAACTTTAGAGCCGCCATGTCTACGCTTTGTGTTTGATTGGCATTATAATTTCTGTGTCCATCTTCAGGGGCACCGACAAGTGGGTCAGCGTTTATCCTACCTGTTTTTTGAATATTCATTCCTGGGTGGTGGAACAATCCGAATGGCGCCGAAGACGCTCGAAGTATCCAAGACGGAAGTTGCAGATCGGCATTCTCCGTATAGTTCTTAGTATTTGCTTCTGAGGCACCATAGGACCTGGGATCGGGACTTGATTTTCGTTTCTCCAGTTTCGCGAGATCAGGAAAGTGTTTTTCTTTGTATTGTTGCCCTGGCTCCCATCCTCGCTTTTTTTTCTTTTCTCGGCCAACGTTTCCACCACAACTTTCCCGCTCCGTCCTCCCAGGGGTATTTCAGCTCCTCCTTCCACCAGTAGCGAAAGTTTCCATCCTTCCAATCTTTTTTTTGCATTCGTCATCCACTCCTCTGTACTTCGACAGTCACGTCGTATAACCCACCATATAGGGCTTTGGTCATTCGTTTTTTCTTCCCATCTGCCGAAAATATATTCGTATTTTCTGTGTTTCATCGTCCAACCATCTCTCTTGGGCTCTCTGGTCCGCCCTTTTCCTTTAGTCGATACTGGATCTTTTGCCAAACGGATAGATCTATTTTTAGGTTGTTCGAGGGCCCATGGACGACAAAGAATATCTAGAGCTTGTACAGGGTCTAATCGGTATGCACGGCAAATGCTAAACTCCACAAAGTCTCGACAAACATCAGTATATGGCCTAGAGTAATCAACCCTAAATGGCTTCTCTTCAAGGAATGAGGAGAGGCCGGTTCGCATGAAAAGCTTGTAGTTTTCATCTTTCAAGGCCGAGTCTTCGACAGATGGTGAAGCGTCTCTGGCTATGGCTAGAAGAGAGTATATAACATCCCGAGGTTCTGAGGTCTGGAAGATAAATATAGTGGTTACTAAGTACTGCAGACCTAACAAGCTGCGTCTCTCCAAGGGGTCGATCGTCGGGAGATCAGGTGCTTTTTCATGTTGTTCATTCGGATATTGATTGGCTAGTTCGCTGGGCCGTTCGCTAGGCAGGCCTTCAGGTGATTTACTAGGCGATTCCCTGGATGATCCGCCAGATGGCTCCTTAGGTGATATACTGGATGATTTTTTCAATAATTCTTCTTCGATGATATCCTGGGGAAATCTAACAACTTTCTGCGTTCGGAACACTTTGCTGGTAGCCTGAACCAGAAGGCTGGCTCCAAGTTCAGATACATGTTCAAACCATCCCGGAACATGACGAAATTTTTCATCTTTTTGCATTACTTCAGACAGCCGGTGCGTTGCTGTTTCCACTTCAACAAACAGCTCAACGGCCACAGCGAAGTCGCTCCAGGAGATTTGGTCAGAACCGCAGTAAATAGTCCCCTTTCGGTCTAAAGCAATCTCTTGGATCATCCAGCGACGCGAGAACCATGGTCGTTGCATGAGTACCATCAATGCTCGCCATTTGTGCGTGTATTTCTTGTCGGAGCAAATGGCGTCGAAGTTTTTCAGTACCATGATTTCTTCCTTGATAAACCGGATTGCCAAACCGCTTTCACCGTCGGCCTGTCCAAGCCAGATGCATACTTGATCTGCGCGAGTGTAGATTCTTGACATCATCTGGACCTGATGGTTCCGCTCGATGTCATTGCGTTGATTTATGCACATCGAATCGATCCAGATGGTTCGAGTTTCGTCTGCGCGCCGTAAATGCTTCAATGCCAATGCCAAGTTTCGTTTGATGGTCCTCTTAAATGATTTCTCGCCCCTTTCAATTCGGATCGCGTATTCCTCTCGTTCCTCACCCCAGCACCATGATATCGCTTCGTATTCGATCCGATTTTCTGAAACGATCTTATACTCTTTGTCTTTCCATTCTTTCTCGAACTCCTTATAGATAGGCCTTTCCTCTTTTGTGCCTAATCTTCTATATTTCTTATATGCCTCGGCCTTCTCTTCGCGCATTTTTTCAAGGATACGGGGTTTTGTTAGTATATGGAATGCGTTGTCATAGTCTGCCTCAATGAGTTGACAATCGATCTGATGAACAGTTGAGGCAGCGGGCTTGAGACGTAGAAGACGGATGCTTTTTGTGTTGCTCGATAATCGTTCATACTGAAAATTTTCAACATGGTCTAGCTCAGGGTCATCGAACCTCTGAAGTTCAGAGCGCCCATTCCCCTCTTTAGCGACAAAACGATAGATGCAGTCGTTGACTTTCAAGCTTTCTCGACACGCCATGCCGCCGCTACCCCAAGTATATTAAATAGCGAATAGGATTCCAACACAAGCGTCCGCTGAATGAGTCAGATAAGTAGCCCTTATGTAGGTATCTTCAGCCGTAATCTGTTAATAATGAAAACATCCGGAGACAGAAGAGAGCAACTTAAGGGGATCTCAGAATTTCTAAAATATGGATGAACATGACCGAATTGAGCCGGCGAAATCGACAGCTTTATTTTTATGCAGACCTCATGAGAAGCCACAGGGAGCTTCAGCTGTATAATAAGTTATAATACTGGGCACTATAACACATAGCTGGAATCCCACGTTGCCATTATGACCCTGCAAGCGTCGTAGCCTGCCTCATAATATGCAAGCCACCAGACAATCGTTCATTAAAATCTGTACCTAGGCGATTTCGGTCGCAGAATTAAATTGACATCAGATTTTACGCGCTGATATATCAAGCCACATAGCCGGTGTAATATGAACATGCAGAATATCGCCACAGAATAAAAGGCAATCATATAGAATTCAGGTAGTCCAACACGAGCCTCGCCCCAGAATGGCCTATGTTATGTAGCAAAATGGTATAGAAACCCCCTATGGTTGTAGAAAAGTAGTTTAGTATAAGACTAGGAGGCGAAGGGGTCATCCCGGCGCGCACATATAGTTACATTTTCGTAGCGATCAGCTACGCGCGGTAACACAGATAATGCCCCTTCTTCCCCGGTATGCGGTCGCTCTTGTGACGCAAAGAATTGAGGCTGAAATGCGGTGAGCTCCAGATGTTAACATCTTGCAGAGCTTATCTAAGGCTATTGGGTGCCACAGGCCAGAGTGGTCTTTCCGAAGACGCTTTCCGCATCCTGTGGCGATTGCTGATGTATCTGGTACCTAGGTTACGAGGGTCGCTTCTTACGGAGTTCTTACCTAGTCCAAAAGAAATATTGACTGCGTCGGGATCCTACGTTCGCCATACTTCCGAAGGAAGCCGTGCATTAGTTGTATCAACTGGATACCTGAAGCTGTGGTCATGATGATGTCTTGCGCCCGGAGTCCTGGAGCCGTGTAAAACCAAATCGGAAATGCATCCATTGGACGCAGGGTGATGGGGACAGAATTCGCCCCGATGTAGCAACCGTAGAACTGACTATAGCACCCCTAGCCGAGAAATAGTTATCACAATCGCTTAGATGCCCTCGTATTCTCTAAAAGTGAAGTGCAGACTTTATGGATGAATGTGTCTTGCCTAGAAAAGACGACGAGCCTAGTAGGCTTCGCCGCACCAAAAAAAAAAAAAAAAACGGCTCGTAAATATGCTCTCGCCAGCTCCCGTTGTGGGGCTACAAAGTTACTCGAAGGTTCTACCATAACCGAGACACCGTCACGCAACATTAGGGTAGCTGAAATGACTTATCAAGATGGCCTCTTGGCAAATAGAAAATTCAGCAAGGCGCCCGCCGTAGACACGAATTATAAATGGCTCCAAACACTCTCAGCGTAGGTAATGTTTGCAGGGGTTGCTGTTACATCGGTTTTGCGTAGCACCTGGATCGGGCATTCAAATCTCGTTGACGCCATTTTGTCCGTAAGAGCGGAAGAAGCCCAAATGAGCCCGACGCCGCAATGTTTCGCAGCGAACACAACCTAGCGTTCATTCCGGAAGAGACCCGGGGGGAGGAGGGGGCCTTCAGATCGAAGACACCAAGAGACGCCACTCGCATGGGTAGGTACTCTTGTTCTGTCGGCCTATACATTCATTATTGTACCCAGTGGTACAACTGTAAACCAATTGCTTTTTATCGGTTCTAACATCCTTGGGCCAAAAAGAATATCTGGATCGGCCTATACCTGCAGGCTGAGGATAATGAGCATGAATATGTATTCATGTTAAGACGCGGCTGCATGCTTATGTCAACTTTCCCCGTTTATTCAACAATAAAGGTTGGAGTGAGACCATCATGCTATGTCAAAAAGGCCCAATTTGAGAGGGGAAATAATGAATGATGTATGGAAACAATATGTAGATAATTTTAACTCCTAATATTGAAGCAAGTGAAGGGATCCTGAGGCTGCATACGGCAGTTAATAGCGCGGGATGGGCCCAGATATCCCCTGTTATTTATGTTAGTAACTATCTAATCATTCGACAATATGAAAATGCAAGTTCAAATATCTAATCGAAATTCACACGCAATTTCAATTATTGCCAATGGTATGTTCTGATATGTAGTGTTGTTGGCGTAAGTGATGGTTTACTTTCTAGCTGCTAATTAATCGTCGCACCTACACAAATAAAATAGTATCCCCACTAAACCCCGCTAAAGAAGTCAGAGCTTCCCCACGTAACAATTAACCTTAGCAGGTCCCACCTATCTGCTAACTTCACATTTGGGAACTGGCAACCTTGTTTGTTAATTCCATTCTCTATTTTAGACCGAATAGCTTCTACCTCTGCTCTCATTACCCCTCATAGACCAAATTACTTTCACTTAATTCGAGATTCCTGCTACCACAGACAAGCTGATAACCATGGCAAGTCCCAAAGTGAGCGAAGCGCTGGCCCAAGTCCAATCATCACCAGACCCCGCGTCTGCCTACGAAAGCCTTCTCGTGAACCTGAAATCCGTATCAACACCACAAACACTCCTCAACGACCTAAAGGCCATTATCGATGCCGTATTCAGCACTTCACAGCTTGGCGTAGTCGCTCAACGATCACTCCTCGGTCGCTTCGTAACCACAGTCCACGAATTCGAAAACCCAGACGTATGGGTAGCAGCTGCTGAACACGCCCTCGCAGTCCTCTCCTCCGCCTCCGCGGGCCCCGCATCGACAACAACAGCAAATACATCCACCGCGACCACCACATCCGGCACATTCCTAGACCAAGCCGCCTCCCTCCGCGAGCTAGCAGCCGACGGCCACGAAGCGAACGAAGACAACATATCCGCCGCCCGCGTACTAGCCGAGATCCCACTCGACAGTTCCCAACGACGTGTAACATACGAAGATCGAGTGCGCGTATGGGTCCGGATCGTACGTAACTACCTCGAAGTCGACGACACAACCTCCGCCGAGACCTACCTGAACAAGCTCAAGAACGTAATATACCAAGTCTCGGACCCAGCCCTAAACCTCCATTTCCGCCTCTCACAAGCCCGTATCCAAGATGCACAACGCCAGTTCTTGTCCGCGAGCCAGGCTTATCACGATATCAGTCTCTCTGCTGCGATTTCTGAGGATGAAAGATTGCATACCCTGAGTATGGCTGTGAAGTGCGCTATCCTCGCACCTGCCGGCCCGCTGCGTAGTAGGGCGTTAGGAAAATTGCTTAAAGACGAGCGATCGGCGGGCCTACCCGAGTTTGGCATGCTAGAGAAAATGTTTTTCGACCGATTACTGGCCCCAGACGAAGTACAGAAATTCGCGGAGGGATTAGCACCCCATCAGTTGGCGCTTACCGCGGATGGAACGACGGTGCTTGCGCGTGCTGTTGTTGAGCATAATTTACTGGGTGCGTCGAGGCTTTATGCTAATATTGGGTTTGATGCTCTGGGTGAGCTTTTGGGCTTAGATGCCGACCGTGCGGAGGATACGACGGCGCGGATGATTGAGCAGGGCCGGCTGGTGGGTCGAATTGATCAGATTGAACGTGTGATCTGGTTCGAGGCTGGTAGTGAGGGGGAAGCATCCGGTGAGAAGGGCAGTGGTCGTGCTGATGTGAAGGTCGGAAGAGAGATGCGTCGTTGGGATGCCAATGTGCAGAGCTTGGCGGAGGAGGTTGAGAACGTCACGAATGCGCTGCAGCGTGAGTTTCCGGATTTCGTGGCTGCGAATTTGGTCGTATGAGGGGTGATATGATGCTGCAGAAATATGGTGGAAGTGAAGACGGACAATGAAAATGAGAAGGAAAATCATTTATGATTAATGGCAATGAATGAGTACCCCTTGGTTTGGCGTTGCCGGATAATGAATGAATGCATAGATACGGCGTCACGGATAGATATTGTTACGAACCATACCGGTGCACTGAAATAAAAAAGTACTACTGAATGAAACAAGACTGAATAATTGAGAGTGTGCATCTTATGAATTAATATAATCTAGTCTAGGTCTCTCTTGCGGACTACTATGTATCCTTGACTAAGCAATCGCGGGTTCCCTCGCTCCTCTTCGAATATCATCTCCTCGATAGCTGCCCTCTGTCGTGGATCCGAGGCGATGGTACTAATATCGGTTTCTTGGGCCTCTGCAAGTTTCACGATTCTGATTAGTTCTTCGGCAATCTTCTCCCCCATCAAATTGTAGCCATCAGCTGTGAGGTGGACACCGTCCATTTGCCAATACTTTGGTCTGTCTTCAGGTACCATTTCGTGGTATGGTAATGCATTATATAAATCGAAGTAAAAGCTATTTGCATGAAGTCAGCATTCTTAACTCGATAAGATCCCGTAAAAATCACTTACAAGCCCTGCTTCTTATGCTCCTTAATCGCCTTATTCACCTGTTCTCTCCGCTCCTTGACATCTTTATACCGGGACCTCGTATCTGGTATTGTGAGAGCGAGCACCTTTCCACCCTTGAACATAGGTATCTCCCATGTCCGCTTCAAGGCAGCAACAATATCCTCAGGAGTGCAGCCCCAACCAAGGTCACTGAATACGGGTTAGCTTATGTCTCGATATGGCATTTTTATGCCTGAGAAAACCCCCGATTTGAGGCCATGTATGAGGGGTTACCTACTTCGTCCCGCCTAGTACGATTGTCCAGTCATAAGGTTCCTTGGCTTGTGTCGCTATTCTCCCTGGTCACACATTTAGTAAGTTGCTGTTTCACCTCAACTCATAAGATAATGGGCATAGAATGCTAAATGAGGGTATTTTTGTGATGGGGATTGTGAGATTATGAGATAGATGAGTCATAGCCGAATAAGAACCACTTACAAGAATCCCTCATGCGCTGCAAATACGACCCCCGCGTCACCAAATCCCCTGGCACGCCCTCAACCTCATACTCGATCTCACTATAACTATGCACCAACAGCGCATCCTCGAGCTTCTCCTTCAGCTTCTCCGCGTACGGTTGGCTCGCGGGGTATCCCGCCGTCAGCGAGTCGCCGAAGCACAAGATGCGAAGCGACGGCGGCGTCATCTAGCCGGGAATCGGTGAGATCGAAATAAGTAGTGATATCGGGATATGAATTTAGGACTGGCTGGGAATGAAATAGATGTAAAAGCTCGATCTCGATGATATGTCGGAGAAGGTGAGTGTATGTTGAGTGCTCGGACGGATGTAGATCACGAGATTGATGATGAATGGATGGGCCCCAGTCTAGGCGCCAACGCATTCAGGCGCCGCTGCTAGGCGAGAGAGTTACGTGCTTTCTGCCTTCTTTTCTCCGGTTGATAAACAAATGCCGAATGCTAAAAATGAGAATGCAAGAAAAAAACAGTCCGTTCTCTATGATGCGCAAGTCAAGAAATATAAGAGAAAAAAAGACGAAAACCCGGAAATGCAAAAAGGCAAGGTTGTTGTTGTATATATGGAGCAATAAAAAAAGGAGAAAGGAATAAGAATAGAAGGTGTAAAATAAAGTGGATGAGGCTGAACTACGTGGTTTATTCAACCGGATGAGTCCACTTGAGTAAATAATAAGGCAAGAACGGTATGGAGGTCTGTAGGTCTGGTAAGAAGAAGGTACGTACGCTTCGTTTGGTTGTTGACAGTGTAATGTGACTCGTTGGCGTCAGGCAGGTGCCCCTCCAAACACAACACATCATTGATCCGTGGCCCATGCCCGCATCAAATGCTACTGGGTCCGGCAGCTAAAACTAAAAGATAAGCCATCCGTGGGGTTCATTATAGTGGAGCACGAGCTGGCGATTAGCTCTCAGCCCTGTCAGAGCTTCATTGTAGTGGGATACATATATGTACCCTTGTATTTTTATGCAGTTAGTACTGAGGTACCTTACTGCGACCCTGCATATGCTGGGATACTTCTGATTTATCGTCAACTCCGGTGGGATACAACATTGAGCGCAACACTTATATTCTACGACATAAATTTATATTCGTATTTGCGTAGAAAAAATCTTAGTTGTTTTCAAAATTTAATGATGAGATTTCTAGAACCCTATGAATACATGTGACGAGTCGTTGAAGTACCTCAGCTCAGACACCTCATCACACGCCCACGAAAACCATAAACATCAAATCCGAAAAGTTTCTAATTCCATTTCATGCTAATATGTAGATGCAATAAAACCCTCCCTATATCCACAAGGGAAAGGAGATATAAAAAAAGAATTGAAAGTCTGTCTGCAATGCAATGAAAAAGTTTGAGTGCTTGAGACTCATGCAATGCCTTCTACCATATACTTCATCATTTGCCAATCCGGCCTTACACAAAAAATTATTCATCAATACTTGCTTGCTTTGACGATGGAAATCCACTCCTAGGAAATACTTTAATATCCATTATAACGCCTCCTTAGAACTGACAACAAGCCAAAGTGCTTTTGGATGTACCCTGAAATCCGTCCTACTGAATTCAACTAAAATGCCTGTCCGTGGTAAGGGTATTGATTTTGGCCTCGTCCTGGGGTTGGTGGGCTTTGCGCTTGGAATGGTGGTGGTGAGGATAGTTGAGCGTGAGGTGACGGCATGCGATGCGGGTTAAATCGAGGATCAAAGTTTCCGGGTGGAGGAGATCGGAATCCTGGACCAGGAGACGACCAACCACCCTCTTGTTCATAAGACATTGGGGGAGGGCTTCCAAAACCTCCATAATTAGGTGTATTCGGTCCACTTCCACTACGTCCCATATTAGAGTACATACCAGCTGGTGGTGGCATACCAGGCGACGGCATAGGCTGTTGGTATTGTTGGAAGGCTTGCTGTTGTTGTTGTTGTCGTTGGTTGATAGCATGTTGGGCTGCTTGACTACTCCAACCTTGTTTCATCTGCTGCTTTTCACGTTCCCTGGCTTCAATCGCGCCAACCAACCCTGCACTAGTTTGGGGAGGGGCTTTGTTACCCGCCATGTTAATTAACGGGGAGCCCGTAACGCGTGCGACGTGTTCCTGTTCACGGGCTGAGAGGTGTGAATCAACTCCGCCTTGGCCACCTAGCACAGCACCGGCGCCGCGAGAACCCGGGCGTTGAAGCAACTCGCCAGGTCCACGTGAGTTGGGACGCTGAAGAATATCGCCGGCTCCCCGAGAACCAGGTCGATTAAGTAAATCCTGGGAACTGTTTCGAGAGTGTGCAGTACCAATGTAATCCTGACCCTGTCCTCGAGTTAATGGGGGTGTTGGTGTACCTGCTCTAAATCCGCTAAGGGTATTCCCAGAAGAATGCCTTTGATGAGCATATAGTGGTGTCGACGCCGCAGTAGCCGCTCGTTGTTGGACGTATTCTTCAGCCGACAAACCATGCGCAGCGGGGCTTCCTGGGGTCATTGCAGCTGGTTGCCAAACGATACTTCGTCGTAATGTGTCCTCTGAGTCTTGACGACCATGTCCTGCTTCCATGCCGGGTGATCTACGTGGCGCGGGTGCGGGTGAATAGGATCGAGGACCTGGGGAGAACGATCTCGGTGTGGGATTACCGGGGGTGGGAGTTTTCGTGCGTGGGGCTGCCGCATAGTTCGTAGTCGGGCCAAAATCTATATCTGGAATGTCGAAATTAGGTCTAGAAGTTACGGGAGAATCATCCACATTTCCAGTAGAGCGGAGCACACCAGCTCTTGGCCGCTCCCTCTCACTTGAAGATGCCGTATCAGTTGAAGGACGAGAACTAGCGTAATCGGGACTATCGGTTGACGCTGAGTCATCATATCGACTACTTGATTGGCTCTTGCCAGTACCTTGACGTTGCACTGCAGGGTTTGGAGGACCCCGGGGCCCTGTATTAAGAGGACGGATTTGACCTAATCCGGTAGCATCGACTCGATTTCCTGTAAGGCTTCCGCTGCTTGTTGAGGGGGAGTCTGGTGCCATATCATTGCGCCGATGTTGCAAACTATCGGTACGAGCTGGCAATGGCTTCCTACTAAGAGAAGGAGATGTGTTAAGGGGTGGTAATGGTTTACGGTTAGTGGGGGATGTCGGCCCATCTGGTCCACCAGGACCCGGTGGTCCTTGTGGCGGATAACCTCGATACATATTTTCGTTCGGTGGATAGTTCGGTTGACCGCGCCCGTGAGGAGGCATGCCAGGAGGGGCCATGCCTGGAGGAGGACGACCGCGACCACGACCTCTACCGGGGGGAGGCATACCGTAAGGAGGTCCACGTTGTCCTGGAGGCATATTGCCGGGTGGGGGTCCATATGGCGGCCCGTGTCCAGGAGGAGGGGGTGGACGATTACCTGTCGCAGTACCAGGTCGAGAAGTCGGGGTTTTGGGTCGGGGACCTGCACCAGGACTTGGACCTCGCGGACCGGGGGGTGGGGGACCCATATTCTGGTTTTGGTTTAACGGTGATCTAGATCGCATTGCCATGGGGCCCATTTGAGGGGGTGGCAGCCCGGGAGAGAATGGTTGGTTATCCCTTAAAACTTCACGAGATCCGGCATTAGCAGACATCCCAGCGTTATTGGCGTGAGTATGTACCGGTGGTGGTGGGCCACGTTGATTTGGCTCTTGAGGGGGCGGCCCGCGGCGCTCCTCGTTGCTCCTTTCGCTGTCTAATGATTCCGCACTTACGGGAACGCCACCAGCTTTAGCAAGCTGCGTAAGCGTGGTCAATGACAAGCGGCTATTAGCACGGCGCATTTCTGGAGAGTGGTAGGGTCGGGTCGTAGGAACGTGACCTGGTGCGTGAGAGAAACTTGGAGGTTGAGAAACTGGCTCGGGGGTCTGCATTCTTCGCATTCCATCGAAATCACGGATCGGCGCGTCAATCGGCTCGTCGTCAGAGCTTACACGCTCCGGAGTTGAGGCCAAATCATTCATAAAATTACGTGCTGGATTAGGTCCTCGCATGGATGAAGCCGGGCTCGAGGTGTACGAATTATCCTGGTGGGGAGGCGGCGGAGGAGGAAGCTGACCAATGGATATGCGGGAATCCGACGCGTTACGTGCATGCCCTGATTTATTTCCGGAGGCCTGGTCTCGATCCTTGGGAGGTGCCGAGTCTGGTGGTCGACTATTGAGGGACATGGACCTAGATGTACGAACGGAAGGGGGTGCTTCGTCAGCAAAGCCAACACGAGGTTTCGAGGCGGCTGCACCAGCAGATGGGCCAAAACTAAGACGCTTGTTCTGACTGCCAGTTTGACCTGAACTTCCGCTGGATCCGTCCTCGATACTATTCATCCGAGTACCAGTCAACTCCTTTAGTTTCTTCCTCCATTCTCGCTCGTTCCAGCTCGAACTACCATCAGTCAATATTAGCCCGGACACGTCTAACAGTTCTAAATAGCCATAACGCTTGTGCTTTGGCATCGCAAACATGAGCGATCTCGAGTCTAGAACGCTTGCAACGAGTCTCCCCGGGCGACCGTAGAGACCAAAGGTGTCCCATGTGGGAAATAGAAACCTCAGCATCATCTCAAAACCACTGACAGCTGGGTTTACTTCGGGCATGATAAATACGAAACCCTCGCTCTCGGATGGTGGATCGGAATGAATCGTGATGTTCCCTTCGATCTTGACCAACGTCGAAGCATCTATCAGCGATTTAGCTTGAGGGTATAATGCGTACGCCGAGTATGCGTCACTGATCGTTGCTATCGGCAGCATTTTCTTGGCTTTCTTCCCCTCTCTTTTCGTATCGTAGAACTTGATATCTCCCTTAAGCAATGGGACATGCGAACGGTCGTATGGCGACTTCTTCTTGTGCTCCTTTATCGCTTTCTGGTACTCTTTTTCATCTGGTGGTGTAATAACACACCAGCAACGCCTCCACGGTACACCAGCACCAAATCGAACTCGGACCCATTGATCAGCCGGAGTACGTGCTCTTTCCATTATTACACCAATGTTGTTTAGCGTCTTGCCTTTGCCTGCTATTAATGCACCCGTATAGGCTTCTTGGAGGGTAGAATGCTCGAACATGGCAAGTCGGATGCCGGCGGTCCATTGTATTAGCGAATGTTTTGAATTGAAATGCAAGAGATATCGATTCCTTCCTGCCGTGGATATGCTGAGGATGTTTTGTAAAGGCGTCTCTTCATTTGACCTTGTGGGTAACGACTCGATCTAGGTATACGTCAGCTCCAATTCCCCTCGCCAATGCTCCACAATTATTCTTCTATTGTTCAATATTCATACCATTTTTATAGAAGCATCCGTCAAGTTGACGAATTTAGGCAGAACTTCGCCATCTTCACCAGCAGCATCCAGTTCTGCTGCATCCCAAAGGGATAGTACTGTTCCTACTAGTTGAGCGAAGCATTCCGTCCAAGTTCGATCAGGGTTAGGTTTCCCCTCTGTAAAGTATTAGGTCCTGGGTTCCTAAAGCCAATTCGTAATGACGCAGACTTACGGGTATTTTGGTCGTCGAGTTTTAGGAAATAACCCTCCTGATATAATTTATTGGCATGGCTATTAAGGAAGGTAAAGATAGGTTGGAGTTCGGGAATCGTATCTCCGCTGACATCCATGAGGGGCGGTTGGTAGGATTGGACCATAGATAATGGTCTCGAATTGCTACGACTTCTCGTTCTTCGATGCGTGTCACTGGATATAGGGGAATCGGCTACGGGCGAGCTATCATGGTTGATTCGGGCGGGAGATGCAGGAAGGGGTGTCGAAACTGCGCGAGATCGTGTTCGATTTCGGAAACCACCAACGTTTATAATGTGATGGGTTTTAGGAGTGGGAGCGTTGTTAAAATCCGATTTGCTATTGAGTAACGGCGGTTGACCGTCTGGCGGAGATGACGAAGGCGTGGGTGATGCGCTGTGGACGTTTTTCGGGTCACCGTTGAACTGTGAGTGGTGCGAACCAGAGAATTGGGACATAAACGAGAGAACTTTAATTTAGGGAGTAAGAATTAGCATAACGAGTTTGTATACCCGGTTAAATGCATTGATTAGTTCGACAATAGCATAAAATAACGGAGAACAACGGGACAGAAGTGTCAGGATATGCTTATTTCGAGGCCTAAAATTAAGAACAGGAACATCAATGCGTGACAGGTGCAGATGCCAACTTTAAGAAGTGATGGTAGGTTGGAAGTTTAATCCCATAGCGCAAGTTTAAGCGTGAGTGTAAATCTCGTTGTAACAATAAACAACTTTTGAGTTCAAGATAGGGCTGACGTATGTATATATTTTCTTGTGAAATTGAATTCAAATCCACGAATAGATGATTCGGTGCGGTATGACCTGTAAATTGTGGTAATTGGAACCCGGCAACACGGCCCAACTTTCGGTGTGAAACTCAATATCCGAATTCAGGGAACATGGTACATATATATATATATCTATTTATGTAGGTAAGTTACTCACTTGAGTTTCAATGTTCCTTTCTGATGAGCTAGAAGATATTATATCGATTGACACTTGTGTTGCTGATGCTAATAATGCAAGAATTCGTTGGCTTCTTGGCCTGCGTTTGTGGTAGGGGTGTGGAAATCATCCTCGTGGTCTAGGTATCTAAGTGGTTTAACATACCTAGTTATTTAGGTATGCTTGTGCAAGGTATGATGTATGGTACCTTTCCACTGTAGGATACGACTTGGGGAATATTGAAGGGATCTCTTCCCCTTCCCGACGAAACGAAATCGGAACAAGGAATGAAAAAGGACAGAACAGATGAAAATCAATGCACTAACCGCGATTCCTGGCCATTTTGACCCAAGACGAACCCAACGGCTCCTAGCAAACCAGAACAAATTCAGAATCTCTTATTCCATCAGACGAGGTGCTTCAACGTTGGTATCTGTCTGGACTACCTGCGGTAAAAAGGCAAGGGTGGCCCACAAGGAACGAACTCTTGGCTGATGATTGCCGATCTCGAATTTCGAATTGCGTGGGCTTCGTTATTATTAGTTGGTTATTCGAGATAATGGAATCGATAAACTGCAATATGTCGGGTAGCTCGTGAAGTAGCAACAAAAAAAAATATTAATCTAGATTCTAGGTCGAAGATGCAAATGACGAAAAAAATTCAAGCAGTCAGATCTGGACTTGTCTTGCAATAGGTGGGCGGGTACGCGGGTTTTGTAGCTCGGGTTCCAAGCGTCTCCACGCGATACGAATTTGTGGAATGCGAGGGAAGGGTAAAGTCTCGGAACCCCGTATATCGTTGTACGAGTTGATATCCTGCGACAAAGATCAGGTGGCCAGGGCCTTGATTTTCTATTATATCTCCCCAGATAACCCCCAGCCTTGAATGATGCAAACTATTTCAAATCCGGGCTCGAAACCAATTTTATCAGAAGCTTCGTTGAAGGCGGGAAGATAAATGGACTTGGATCGGCAGAATTTATCACCCGTACGGAAGCGCCGGACAATTTGATATAATCACCCTAGTTTAAGCTGTGAGATAAACTGCGTCTTCGCCGTGGTACCGTGCTATGTTGAGACTGGGCGTTGTTAGAAGAATCAGTGGCTTTGGATCTGAAGGAACGCCAGCAAGGTAATTTTTGTGGAATGGGGTACAATAATAAAATAGAAATGCATAGGCTATCTTACGGGATCTACTTGGCGGCAACAAGAAAAAAATAAAATAAAAAGGAGCTGGCTTGCCGGATTCGCGCCTATCTATCTACATACGTACACAATAATAAGGGTGGTATGTCAACATAGAGGAAAGTTGATGACAAAAAGGATGACGGAGCAGGGGCATACGTCAGTTCACAAGATGGTAGCCGTCAGTGAATGGCTGGGCAGGTTGGTAGGTAATGGTAGCTTCACATTGATGGGACACACCCGCTCTGGCTCGGAGATACCACCATTTTATTCTAGCCGATACGTATACGGCTTAGCATGTCATACTACTGCAAAGCTACTGTAAATTAGAATATGAATAGCAATACGATAACGGTATGTAGTGGGTGTGTTGCGGGCCTTGTTACATAATACGCCGCGCATATGTATATATACGCCGTCCCTTGACGTCGTACCGTAGATATTGTAACTTGGACATAGATGTGTCGATCAATCACCCTCCATCCAAGCCCGCAACCAGTATAATGGTAAATGACATACTGGCTACCTAGGTAGGTACCTAACTTACGAACAAGCCCTGACGCCCGGTTTTAAAGAGAAAGCCCGCCCCAATACGAAACATCATTTCTAGAAAGATCTACACATCCTCATACTAGAGATCCTCGATATCATACGTAGCAAACAGCAGAAATGAGGGGATTTTGATGCCATGAGATACTATCTATCATTCATTCAACATATATCCTAGTTGAGTTTGGTTGATGGGTTGATGGTTGACAGGTAGTAAGCAAGCTTAAAAAGAAGAACCACGGTTTCTCCCGAGAGACATGATTGGGTAACGAGGAATACCGGATGCGACGGATATTTCCATGTGGATGCGTATGACCAACCTCGATGTATTTTTTTTTGTTCGTCCCTCCCTTGTTTCAGTGGACTTTACGTGGCATATTGTAGTTGTTCACTATATTCCCGGCCTACAATAGATAGGCATCTAGGATCTGCAAGCGCCCAAGTTGTATCGCAGCGGTTCGACTTTGCAGGACAAACCAGTCATGAGATTGTACCTTAGATGTAACAGGTAAGAGACCAGCGAGGAGGCGCTTGGTTGCGTACCAACCACCCATTGTCAACCATTTATTTGTATCTGTAAGGTACGTAAGTCAGACAGTCAGCTCTGACTGCGCGGCGGTGAAATTTTAACAGGTACGAATCTTTCGGCCACCGTTCCACATGCCCGCTATGCTACGACTAGAAGGAACGGTAACAACACCTGGAATTGTTTGGTTTTGCAGGGGAGTTTCAAACCCTGTCCAAATTCAAGCTGTCGACATCGAAACTGTGCCGCAAAATTCCCGTAAGGTCTAGCCGCCTTGCATCTTGCAGTCTTGCACCCTAGTGACAGATCACAGGGGACACCCCCAAAAGGCCAAGATGTCTTGGGTTTCGCTTTTTCGACCGCCGAGATCTGGGCGTCCGTTGCACCGACACATGTAAATGGACGGACGGCACAACATCCTTCTCCTACGTTCTACCATTGCTTGATTGAATACGGGCAAATTTCTGGGCTGCTGGGCAGGCTAGCTGTAATCTGTAGCTAAGCCCCCTTCATGACGCGCGTTTTGCACAATGATTTCCGGCGGTTTTCTTCCTTCATTCAATCAAGGAGAAATGAAGTTTTTATGTATAACGCCAACGGATCAAGGCCGCAGATCAACTAAAACAATAATTTTAAAAATGGTTGTAGCTGATACGGATCCCACGCAGTAAGGAAAAGGGACGTAAATCCCGATGCGCATACGTCATGTTTGCTACCCGGAGCAAATATTAAATATTAGAACAGAGCTAAATCTTTTAGTGAATGCCACCAAAAAGCCTAGAAGCCAAATTAACTTCTTTTTCTCATGACAATCAATTTCACTTACTGTAATATTATCCACTTCAAAGCGACGAAAAGTATATCAAGTGGCTGGAAACTGACCAGATGAGCTCGTCATATGCAACTAACCTCATTTGTGTAGAAACACATGATTTATTATTGAACATACTCCTCACATCACTAGACTATTCTGAAGACACAATACTACCCAGATATCGAACAACTCTCATACTAAGAAGGCGGAGACTGGAATCAGTTATATGGACTTACCCCAAATTCGAGCTTCGTCTATTGTTTCTATTGTTTTACTCCTCCGGGGATCAAGTCCTAGGGGGTTATGGCTGCAAACCTGCTAAATTCACCTAGGCATTTATACCAAGACGGTTATCGGCAGACCCTGAAATAGGTAACATTGCAGCAGATACGCGTATTGGAACGATGCGTACTAAAATAGTCGTAGCCTCGTGGGTCACTTAGTGGCTAGTAAGATTTCATGCCGAAGGTAACATTATAATAACTAATTCGCATTTCCATATGTTCTACTTTCTATTCTCTCTTACGTTATTCTTAGTGGTACCTAGTTTAGCTCTCCCGACGTCTGTCTTGCCTCGACACCCAAGTACCAAGTATACCTAAAAGGGGTCTTCACAGTCTAACATTCTAAGCAGAGAATTCTATAAAAGTAACAGCAGTATCATTCTTAAAAGATACCAATTATAAGATCAATGCAGCGACTTTGATCCTTGCCTAATTGAAAATGATGTCATCGTAATCCTAATTTAAAGCATGAGCCTTGCTGCACCAAGTTCCAAATACCCGGGATCATTAGGTACTGTAGGTACCTCACGTGTAGGATTAACTCTGCATTCAATTAACTTTGGGTGTTACTTAGCGATAAGCACAGCTTAAACTCCCTTATCGCTCTAGAAATGCCCTGCTACCGGCGACGTGATAGTGATTGGTCGCGCAGCCAAGCTTCACCCTCTCAACCAATTTATTAGTTATTTTATGTAGCTTACAACGTAGCGCACGCATTTCTTTACTAGGTGGTATTCAATCCCACGATACTTTCGGCTGCCACTCAAGCGCCCTCAAGGTCCGTGGTTAGACCTCATTCGTTGGCATGAGAAGGTCAGCTCCCTCTTTTTTGTTGGCCTCTAATTTTGGTCCGACGCGACGAATAATAGTATCCTCTGTCCGCTTGACGCGATGGCATCGGCGTCCCCAACATACTGCGGGCGGTAGTCACCCTCCCATAACCACCGAAATATCCGGTCAATTCACAACTCCCATCGAAGACTCCGGTCCGAAATTACCGTTCCGCTTCGAAACGGGCTTTGCGCTGTTCGCAAAACGAGCACCGAGACCGTTCCCCCCACCGTTCCTATCCCCTCCCTCGGGTTCGTTTTCGGACCCCCTTAGTACCCACCACCAGAGTCGCGACAAACGAGCTTTTGTGGACGGTGAACTCATCCAGGGCTGGACGAACGGGGATGATGCTGTATATGCGAGTGATTATTTCATATGCGCCAATGACGGGGTTGGTGCCTGGTCAGCTCGGCCAAGAGGCCATGCAGGGTATCTGTCCCACGGTCACAATGAGGCTTGCGCGTAATTAACAAATGGACACAGTCTGTGGTCGAGGTTGATACTGCACTTCTGGGTGGCGGCGATGCAAGAAGATATTGCGAAATCGCGACCGCCAGACCAACCGTATCATCCTGATCCTATACACTACTTGCAACAAGCTTACGAGCGTACGATCGAAGCCACATCTGGACCGAATGATTGTCTGGGGACTACAACAGCGAGCGGGGCGCAACTCTTCTACAAAGGTGACACCAACAGCACGGCATCATCCCTGTCGCCCCTCTTATATGTCACGAATATTGGCGACTCCCAGGTCATGGTTGTGCGGCCGAAAGCTCGGGAGATGGTTTATAAATCGAAAGAACAATGGCATTGGTTCGACTGCCCGAGACAACTCGGAACCAACAGCCCCGACACACCAAATAACAATGCAGTTATGGATACGGTAGATCTGAAAGAAGGCGATGTCGTGTTAGCTATGTCAGACGGTGTAATTGATAACCTCTGGTCACACGAGATTGTCGAGAATGTGTCTGAAAGCGTCGAGCGCTGGGAGGCAGGGGAAGGAGGTCAAGCCAGTGGTCCTCGGAAGGACGGGGCCAATGGCGGGATGACGTTCGTCGCCCAGGAACTTGTCAATGCTGCGAAACAGATTGCAACAGACCCTTTTGCAGAAAGCCCCTTTATGGAGCGTGCTATCGAGGAAGGCTTGGCAAGTGAAGGAGGTAAGTACCGCATAAGTGCGACCACACTGCTAAATATATAAGAACTAACAAACGTAGGGAAACTTGACGATATTAGTGTCGTAGCGGCCTTGTGCCAGCGGAATACAACATAATAAATCCGGCACTGTGCTATATACAAGGCACACTACCTGCATCTATATATAGGATGCCAATATTCACAAGGCTTTTCAGGCGGTGAAGGCCAATTTATGTATCACTACCTAGATACTGAGGACGCCCCCAATCATTTCCAACGATGGTTGGTGGCACAAGATAGATATCGAGATGGGATTGGCGTTGCATTATTCACGTTCTTGTTAGATCTACAATTATAGATTACCCGTTAGGTATAAATGGCGATTGGACACATTGGCAGTGGCATTGGCAAGGCGTTTAGGAGGAATTTTATTAACGAAAGAAAGACATCGCGACACACGAAAGATTGTCGGATGAGGGCTTCATCAGGATGTAGCTTGATAATGAAAAAGTACTGTACATCGGTAACTGCACTGTAAATTGGATTTGCTTAGTGGGGCACTGCTGTTAAACCCGCTAAATTTTAGAGTGTTGACAGGGGTCGGAAGCTTAATTCTTATCGCTATCCTTATCAGTAGCATTTGATACAGAAGAATTTCTAAAAATCAAACACTTGCGATTTCTTCCTCAGAAATCAACAACTCAATAGATAAACCAAGATGCCTCGCGCCAAACGAGCAAAACAGTACCGGAAGCTCATGGAGCAATTTTCCATGGGCTTTGGTTTTCGTGAGCCGTATCAAGTCTTAGTAGACGCCGACTTTATTGCGGAAGGAAACAAATGCAAAATGGACCTGATTCGCCGATTGGAGGATACACTACATGGACAAGTCAAGCCGAGTACGTCTCTTGCCTCAGTACACTGTGGTTGTATGTACGATTACTTTTACTAATGACGATCTTACAGTGATTACCCAATGCTCAATGCGACACCTCTACGAACGAAAATCAGAACCTGGAGTCCAAGCCGCAATAGAACAAGCAAAGAGCACATTCGAGCGACGACGATGCGGTCATCATCCCGACGAGTATCCGGAACCACTAAGTGCACTCGAATGTATGCATTCAGTTGTCGATCCAAAGGACAATGGAGTGAATAAGCATCGCTACGTCTGTGCTATCAACGATGATGATGTTAGGTCATACCTACGACAAGTAGCAGGAACTCCCTTAATCTTCATCAGGAGGTCAGTTATGATCATGGAACCAATGGCAACAGTTAGTGCGAAGATCAGATCAAAAGACGAGAGGAGCAAATTCAGAGCAGAACTCAAAGCACCTGCCGCCAGAAAGAGGAAGAGAGACGAGGATGAAGATGACAGCGATCAGGACGATGATGGAGAGCAAAATACATCAGGAACAAGAACAGCACAACAGCCTGAGAAGAAAAAGAAGAAACCTTTTGGTCGCAAAGAGCCTAACCCGTTAGCTGTCAAAAAGAAGAAGTCGAAATCGAAACCAACAAACGACCAACATTCTAAAGCATCCGACGCGAAAGACGCGACCAGGGCAGAGGAGGCAGGACAAACGGATGCACCGAAGCGAAAACGTAGACGAAAGCATAAGAGCGGCACAAGTACTGAGAATGCCACTACCTCTAATGATGCCGGTGTTGAGGTGGATGCATAGGTGTTGGGATAGATCTGAAAACTAATTTGCATCTAAGCAAAATGGAGGGTCTGGCATACAAAATTGGCGTTTTCTTGCGATCATGATGGGGATCCTGCGCTTTGTAGTCTAAGCATTTGATACCATAATTTAAGGCTGCTTTTCGTGCTCCCCAATTCTTTCCTCGCGATAAGGAAAGATCCTGCTCGCAGAATTCGTGCCCGCCTCTTAGGTAGATTCGCAACTATTCCCATTTACTCACCGTATCTTTATCGGTTCTAGCACTTAGGTAGCAATAGAAGTCAATAGGGGAGTTTTATGGCATGATTTAGAGGGTTAGTGGGGTTTTACAGCTGTCAGAGGCCGCGAATTAAGCCGTACTCAGCCTCAATTACCACTATCCGATACGCTAGCAAGGATACCTAGGTACATTTACTGACGTATTCAGGCGTATTGATTGTGGCTTTCCACCTAAAACGTTTAGATCATGTACCTAAACGTGAACTATCTAAACTTTGAACTGGACGATGCAATTAAAATTTCTTAATGATAAATCTAGAAAAGGATCTGACGAAATTCACTATATGAACCAAATACTAGATGCTCTAGCTTCAAATTGCCAGGACATCAGTGCCTGATCAAGCAAAATTATTCCCCATTTACCATAACTTTCGACCAACAAGGATCTGAGGGACCCACGGATTCGCAACTCTGACGATCCTTTTCGTATACTCCTCCACCTTATTACCGTGGGGAATGTGAAACTCATTGCAACATATATCCTGTCGGTGAACCAACGGGGCTGCTGCCGAACGAAAAGACGCAATTCTCCGACAAGATCGATTCAAGTAGCGCCGATTAATTATATGTTTAATCAGACGACCCCATGGCTTCGGGAGCAGGTGCCCAAGAAGTCGACGATTTCGGCCTACCTATTAGGAAATATGTCAGCCCCAGCGAGACGAAAAAAGATGACGATAATAACAAACCGAGCGAAGAGACAAAAGACAGTACCAACACAACTTCGAAAAAGGTAGAACAGCCAACAGAAAAACCACCTATTTCATCCCAACCAGAAAAAGAAAAGGCGGAAGAGAAACAGACACAAGATGTTGGCTTAAAACCTCCCGAACAAGCTACGAAGTCGACCCGAACCTCCGCCACGAATAGCGATGACGAAGACTTTCAAGATGCGCCCTCTACGCCTTTACCAGAGCCCGCACCCCAGCCCGAACCAAAGCAGCCGCAAGATATCGACGAAGCAAAAACACCCGTACCTACACAAACTGAGTTCAAGAAAGAAAAAGAGCCAGACCCTCCAACCGATAAGCCTAAAGACGAGCTAAAGGAAAACTCGGAATCATACGAGACCGTCGACCTACCACAACCCTCCAAGCGCAGGAATACAGTAGGAAAAGATGCAGTCTCGGGGCCGACGATCAAGCAGATTGAAGCTAGCAAGCACGCAGACGAGGCGAAAAAAGTCCCATGTGTAGACCATAGCCGAGACGTAAGCTCAGCAAGCACGAATCACGATATCTCGGAGTTCTCCCACCAACAATTAACGAACCACCATGAGGAAGAGAAGAAGGAAGATGACGAATGGCAGGCCATGCCGGCTTATGCGCCCTACGATATATATGATGACGATAATAAGCTCGTAGCTAAAGAGCATAACCCCGATGAAGACGATAATTATGGATATGGAGGTCTTGGTGGTGCTGGGAAAGGATATACGAGGGTACTGGACGACGAGGACGCTGAGTCGGAAACGAGTATGGATGATAACACACGGTATCTTTTCAAAGACCCTAAAAGTACGAGTATGACAGAAATGGATGAAGAGCAGCGGGACGCTGTTTCTCAACTTCAAGCTACGAAGGATTTATTGACGGAGGGACAAAGGATAGCATATGTCGGTGTCACCCGATTGGAACTTTCCGAGATGGTCAAGGAAATCGAGAGTTTTGAGCACCTAAAGAAGATAAAAAAGGATATCCAAATGGCCGCTGAAGCGACTCGAATGTGGTCTCAGAAAATCATGATTCGACTATATGCCCATATGGAAATTAGTCCTGCGGAACAGGTCATGATCGAGCAGTTGGCCGAACACGGGGTTATGCCTAAAGATCTTACGCCGGCTCTCATGCAAAATGCGAGGGTTAAAAATCCGATGGCGGAACATACACCATCATCTACCCCAAGAATGTCGTTAAAGAGCTCTCGGTCGTCTGTTTCGTTGTCGCCTGGACTATCATCTCCTGGCTATGAAAAGCCAGCAGAAGCTCCCCCACCTTACGAAAGCCATGAAGGCGAGGAGATGCCAGAAGTCAAGACACCCTCACAACTACCGGGTACCGATAAGATTGATATCGATTTAAGATGGACCGTCCTTTGCGATTTGTTCTTAGTCTTGATCGCCGATTCGATATATGATGCTCGCTCCCGAGTATTACTCGAAAGAGTAGGAAAGGACTTGGAAGTACCTTGGATGGACATCTGCAGGTTTGAGAAGCGTGTTACCGATGCTCTGGAAATGCAACAGCAAGCAGAGAAGGAAAATTGGAACGAGGAAGAACATCTCGAAAACAGGAGAAAACTTGCTCTCAAGAAGCGATACGTCATGATGGGTCTGGCTACTGTCGGGGGTGGTTTGGTTATTGGTCTCTCCGCTGGACTTCTCGCGCCTCTAATCGGCGCCGGTCTCGCTGCTGGTTTCACAACTATCGGAGTTGGTGGCACAAGTTCCTTCTTGGCAGGTGCGGGAGGAGCTGCCATTATCACCTCCGGTGCTGCTGCATCCGGTAGTTTCATGGGTGGTAAAGCCGCAAATCGACGAACAGGCGCTGTCAAGACGTTCGAATACCGCCCTCTACATAACAACAAACGTGTCAACCTAATTGTAACCATATCCGGATGGATGACAAGTAAGGTGGACGATGTTCGTTTACCTTTTAGTACGATCGACCCTATAATGGGCGATATCTACTCGATTCTGTGGGAGCCGGAAATGCTGACTAGTATGGGTGACACCATCAACATTCTAGCAACAGAGGTAAGAGACATATCAATCTTTGAAACGAAGAATAAAGCTAATAGAATTAGGCTCTCACACAGGGATTACAACAAGTGCTTGGTAGCACCATTCTAATCGGTTTAATGGCTGCCCTGCAATTGCCCGTGGTTTTATCCAAGTTGACATACTTGATTGACAACCCCTGGGCTGTGTCCCTCGATCGTGCTTGGTCTGCTGGTCTTATCTTAGCAGATTCATTGATTGATAGGAACCTTGGCACACGTCCTATCACCTTAGTCGGCTACTCGCTTGGCTCCCGTGTTATCTTCGCTTGCCTTCTCGAACTCGCACGAAAGGGGGCTTATGGATTGGTCCAAAACGTCTATATTTTTGGTTCACCTATAGTAGTGAAAAAGGAGGAGTTCCTCAAGGCACGTACCGTCGTTGCCGGTAGGTTTGTTAATGGTTACAACAGAACGGATTGGATTCTGGGGTACCTATTCCGTCTGACCAATGGTGGTATTCGTCGGGTGGCGGGTTTGGGCCCTGTGGATGGAGTACCCAGTTTAGAAAATATCGACTGCACGGAATTCGTGGTCGGTCATATGGAGTACCGTACGGCGATGCCTAGGCTCCTAAGGGAGTGCGGATGGCTAGTTGAGAGCGATGAATTTGGAGAGATTGAGGATCCGGATCCAGACCGGCACAGAGAACGGCAAAGGGAACTTATCAACGAGATTGAGGAGGCACGTAAGGATTTGGAAAAGGACGGCCAACAGAAGAAGGGTGGCTGGGGTATCTTTGGTCGCAGGAAGAAGAATTCCCGACAAGAATGGGAAGTTTACGAGGATACCAACAAGGGGTTAGACGCATCTGCGTCACCTAATACAGAAGACAAGGAAGGAAACAACCACGGCGTTTTATTCGACGTTGATGCTATCAGGGCAGAATTAGCCAGAGAGGAAGAATTACAGGTGAAGGAGTTAAAGTCGACTCTACCACCGATGAAACTCGACATCTCACCGCCACCAGCATCGGTAACGAGCCCGAGGGACTCCCTTCGCGAAACAAAAAGCGAACAAAACGTACTAAAGAGCAGCTCCTTCGAATACAGACTATCACAAGACCGCACACCAACAACGTTACCGCCCTCGAGAGCCCTTGGTTTCGACTCCCCATACTCACATCCGCCGGATGACGAGATACAGATGACCTTCGACACGGCGTACACAGAACATAATAAACCACCACCGGTGCCGGAGAAGGATATTCCGCTCTCCAGACCGGAAATGAAGACCGCGCAGACTACACCAAATCTCGCGCTTGCGGATCCGTGGGCGGATGATGACGAGGAGTTTGGCAAGGAGAAGGAGATTGAGATGACATTCGCGTAAGCCATATACATAATCATCACGCGTCCAAGGAATAACAGATAAGCAACTGTCTAATGTTGGAATGGTCTATCTTGTTGTTCATGTTGTAGTCAGGCTTTAGTTTTAGTGGCGTGCATTTTATGTATGTACCTAGGAATTGGGGAAACGCATGGTTTGGCGTCGTTTTACGTAGTTACTTCTGAAATGTTTGAGATTTTTTTGAAGGTCGTTCGTTTATCTATGGGCTGCTTAATGAGTATGTTCTAGGTACTTAGGATATTTACTCCGATTGGGGGAGACTGAGGTGTGGCGTGGTGATGTATCATGATTGAACTATGATGTTCTGACGATACGCGAATGTGAATAGGGGCAGTTGGGGTAATATGGAGAGGAGTAGTATACCTATCCAGGTGCTTATATGGTTACATACCTAGGTACATAGGTAGGCACCTAGTGATGGAGGATTAAGAAGATATCGAGCTTTCATAACGAAGAATAATCTGTGAGATTTTTCGTGTGTAATTTGAAAGTATGAAACCGAACTGAGCATGCCACGAAGCTTCCGCGGAGCCACATGTGGGCGCACTATTATTGTGAGAAGGAAGGACAACACTGGAGTTACTATGTTTGAGTAGCTTGGTTGATGGTCCCGATATAGTTAACGGGAGAATGTTCAATCTTGCGTCCATCCAATGGATTATCTTTGGTTTACAGTAAACGGGAATATACGAAGGTGTAGCTTATGGACTCAAAAGTATTACTATTTTTAAGATGCGAAACAAAGAACGTATACCCCCAGCGCCGAACGGAGAATTTCGCTCAATATTCCAAGGGAAAGTCCGAAGAGGATAGGAAATTAGTGCTATAGGTCTCTAGCCAAGGTGGGACTCGGAGAACGCGCGGCTCGCTATCAGAAGTGCTTAAGTCCGTGGAAGAATACTCCGGACTATAGTCTGCATTTCCATCCAAAAGAGAAGGTTGATGATATTACCCTCATATTTGTTTGGTAGTATTTGAGGCTGTTTGAAACTCTGCTCTTTGTCTCATCAAAAAGGATGAAGGTGGTATACCGGATCATTTGACCCTCCGTGCTATCTCGCTCTTCGTTTTCGCATCATGGACTTGTATTTTTTCTTCTGTCTTGAATCTCAACACTGTAGTATCATGGATTAAAATGCAACTCTCCATAAAAATAAGTAGCGATTAGTCGATTAAATGTCTCCTGCATACAACGTTCCTGTTGAACCTATCCCTCATTCCGAAACCTCGAATACACAAACAAGGCTAGTAGTGCTGAACCACTACCTAGGTAGTTGGGGGGCGTCTTGAGATCGATACTTAAAATAGTGACATGTGCCTTTTCTTCCCGAGATCTGGACAACATGATCGATATCAATCAGGCCTGTCCTTATGGTTGGCTATTTATAGCTTCAGCCGCCTAACCTTGACGGCGGAATCGTTTATTGATCCTGCCGCTCCTTGCTCGTCGTCGGCTCCGAGGGTAGGTATTTACGGGGTCGGCCGAGGGATACTCTGTCCAAATCCGTGCGTTTCCTCTTTTGGGTTGGTGAGGACTTCTGAGAATCTTATAATTACCTAATTTGGGTGAATCTTGATGGTACCTTACATGATGACGAGCATGGATTCTGCCAGAGTGATATTCATTCTATACTATTGGAATGGGCAAGCAATCTCGAGGCTCTGCACTCCTACCAATATGTTTGTGGATACCTTTCGTTGTTTACGCCTCGCGGATCCGCGTAACTTGGCATCTTTTGATTTATACATGCCATTCCAAATGTTACCGTATGTGGGTATAATTACCTAGGCATCTTATCTATTGGCTTGGAAGGTCGTTCATCCCGAATGAGCGAGGGGGATAGGAGCCTTATAAGTCTCAAAATTATACGTCATACTTACATAGGTACTTATATGTAATTTTCGCGATATTTCGGCAGGCGTCACGCGTTGTAATAAGCCTGTCTTCATTCTTGTTGTCATTCATATTATGAAACGGCATTTAGCGGCTGAACCTAAGTATTCGTGTGACTTGTAACTAGGTAACATATTGGACTTTTTTCAAGGACAGAATCAGTTGGCAATACCAAGAAAAATAGTATCAATATAGAAGACACTATGTTCTATATATGTCAAGGATAGAATTGTTGGTGAAGTTCCGGCTTGGCTGTATAATCGTATGCTTCCTTTGGAGTTGATGGATGAATAATGAAGTATAAAAATATTGCTAGGATTTAACGGGACCGACAAGCCACCCGTAACCCCACTATAATAGCAGCATACATACATAATTATACTGATCTTTCATAATTCATGTACAAATACAGACTACGGAGTAATACAGAAAAGAGCAGTAAAATCTACGAATAAGAATGTTTGGTGGCTTCTTATTAATTCATCTAAATATACGATACGTTAACAAAGAAAGACTAAAGCTAGCCATATGACCATAACTTGATGACTAGACCGCTTGTTATTTTGTACTGTATACTTATACTTGGGGCTGACGGCACTTGCCTACGAATGTACTAGATAACCTGGTTCGTCTGAATAGTGGATTATTAAGACTGACGGGCTTACTTATTAGAGAAATAAAAAGGACATGGCGTCCAATAGGAATGCTTTAAGAATTATTGGTGTTAGCTGTAGAGATGCAAGAATATGGGGGCCTTTAGCGTATGTGCGTCGGCGGGGTTGCTATTTTTGCACTGACAGGCCCAGCAGGCTTACCTAAGTAAAAAGGGGTTAGCCCTTGTTAGGACTAGAATAAGACGCTAAACTGCCTAGGTAAGGTCAGGGTCTGATCAGCCGCAGCCCAATTTTTTTTTCTAATCTTTTCCCTCATTATTTTCTTGGTTCAGTCCCATTTCTTTTCTCGTCTGACATGTGGAGCGGACTCCGCTACCCGGCTAAGCTCATCTACTATATCTGGTTTATCTTTATTTATTGAAATTGGAAAGCCGAATGTCGCTTTCCAATGGGAAGAGACTTGAGATGTTGATGGTTAACGGTGAGCAACTCTGAGACAACCCGAAAGCCATCGTCTGAATCCAACACTCCATCCACGCCGCAGTAAACGTCACTTGTTGGATTTAGTTAAGCGTCTATAGCCAGCCTCAATACCCAAGACAATCGGCTGAGTTGTTAGTAGATATCTGCCCAGACTGCCAGACTAAACCCTGGTCTAAAAGGATCCAGAACCCTTGACACTCACGCGCTTTGTCGTCAGACGGGCGACGTTGTCAGCAAGGCCTTGTCCAATCGCACTCATTATTACCATTTGGGGTATTGATCCTATCGATTCTTCCATATGTTCCATTTACCTACCTACTCGGCTCCTTCGCTGCGAAGCACCATTGCTTTGTAGGACTATCGAATGTACTATAGACAGCCCTACGTCTAGGTTCTATTATACCATCTCTGGTACTAACGATTTGCATCCAAACTTAACCAATGCGTCACTGCGATACTACGCTTTTCATGCATTACCCTCGAGGCTAAACCCCTACCTTGGGGTACATTACCCACCAGGCTTGAATTTGGCCGAGAATACGTACACTTCATGGAACCGTATAGCAAGTGAAACCTAATGTGTCGATTCAACAATGCTCTGGGTAGGACCTATACCAAAATACTTAGGTATGTACATAGTAGAGAGTTGACTTACTAATGCCTCTTCCTCTTAACATGGTTAAGCTATGACGACGAGACGTTGGCATTGGTTTTCTAAGCGTCCCTAACCGGCGGACCAAGTAATAGGCTAGGTGAAAGCAGGGGGTTATTGGCCCCGTACAGCACGAGGACGCCTAGCTGCTATACGCTCGTTCAAGTCCTGATCTCTAAAGTCGGTAGCATGATGGTGCCATCCTTCCTCCCCGCTGGTTGGTTTGGAGGCGCAGCCTGGCCTATAAGGCTTACTGCATGTTAAGTCTGGTTGGCTCGCTTTAGTGATAGTAGACCCGCACCTCTTTCTTCAGCATTTCCCTAAGTGGGCAAAGCTGAGAGCTGATGGACCGGGCTAACGTATAATCCCTGTTTCTCACCATTTCCTCTTTCTTCTCACGCCCGTGCGTGTATTCTCTTACTCTTTTCTGTTATTCCTTAGTTTTTAGGACTTCGACTGGTGATTTCGACAAAAAATTCTGGGACTGCATCGTTTCGTGAAACATATACACAACAATACGCAGACAAAGACGAGTGTTGGTTGTTTGGAATACCATCGAGATCGGACATGTGGTAGGCTTGGATCTACTTGGGCTCTAGGGAATTTTACCGACGACAACTAGCCCAATACTTGACCACATAACAATGCGGCCCGATGTTTCGGCACTCGGGATACTGGCCTGCTTGACGGGATTGGCGACAGCACAAGATACGCGGAGCGACGGAGAAAATGTGACAACAACAGGCGGGACGGCGACAGTGCAGTTTATACCGAACGCAGTGATTGAGGTGCAATCTCTTCCGACATACCCCATATATATCCAAGGTCGGACGGACGAAGTCATAGCATACAGAAATGCACCGGGTGTTGTAGAACTAAATATCAATGCCGTGTTGTTGCATCGATTTACCGACAATGCGACTATTGGGCAAGGGGCTATGATAGACTTTTCGACGAGTCCTGTCGACCTCGACTCGGACTCTTCGAAAGTGCGGAGGCAGGAAACAGAACCATTCCCGTTTACGAGTACGTTGTCTTTTGAACTGGTTTTACGCCACTGGAACTTGAAATACTAATCCTACCATAGTGACTAATGAAACTGTGACTCTTCCGGTTCAGCACGCTTCGGTGTACGGCTCTAATATTAACAAACTTCTGTATTTCGAATTTCAGTGGCAGAATTCGACAGGAAGGGGATCTAGCTATAGTCAACTTGTCTCAGTTGTCTCCAGTGACGCGGAAATAGATAAAACAAACGAGCTTTTCCGAGATTCGCAAAAGGAAACCAATGCAGTATTTCCTGATGTCGTCCAGCTAGATTCTACAACTAACCCCACGACATCTGCCTCGCCTGCTGCCGAGACTCTCACGCAGGCATCGACGAGCAATATCGGAACTAAATTAAGCGGAGGTGCTATTGCCGGTATCGCGGTTGGTTGTGCGGTAGCTGGTGTTCTCATTATCGGGTTGATCGCGTGGTGTCTATTTTTCCGTCGCCGCGCTAAACGTGATCGCAACGTTGGCACAAACTACGCCACGAACTCGGGCTCGGGCGCCATTATCGCGGATAAAGAACTCACGGGAATGACGGATACCTCACCAAGCGCAGCATATCCCGATGATGGCGGACATCTGCATGATCCACGGGGAAGCATGGTGCGTGGCGATGATGGACCATACGGGCCATATTCAGACCGTGGTGCCTCGCCGCTACCCCCTCCCGGCACCGCTTTCGCTATGGGCAGCCAGACAGATCTAGCTTCCGGTCGCCCTAGCACAACAAGAGCGCCCTCACCACCGCATCAATCCCGCTACGCGCATCTAATCGAGGAAGGCATGACGGAGGATGAGATCCGAAGGCTGGAGGAAGAAGAGCGACATCTAGACGCGGCGATTGAGGGACGGGGCCATAGGAATAGGGCGGGTAGCGAGAGTATACACGTCGCGTCTCCGTCGTTGGCGTCGCCGTCATAAGGTGTAATGGGATGGGTAAAGAAAATAATATCAAAAAAAGAAAAGGCAAGCATGCATGTTTTGTGTATGGTGTTCCTCGGAGTTATGGTTTGGGGGTTTGGTTTGGTTCGTCGTAAATGATAATTTACGTGTATTCATGGATTTGTGTTTTGAGAGTGTGGACTTGGTTGATGTGGTATGTTGTGAGGAGAATGAAGAATTGTGGACGGTGAGATGGTGGATGAGGGAGAGGTGAGTAGGGGGACGAGGTTGAAGATTGATGAGAGGAGTGGAGTGGTGATGTAGTTCAAGTACAATATCCTCTTATGCGTATATATGATTTATACATTCGTTAAATCTTTGGCGTTTATGCCCGAGTGACCCCTATAAATGCGCGATAACATTGAGCGTAAGGTTTTGCATCTAAAACAGGCCGTGAAGCAATGAAATACGTAGTTTTGGGATAGCTGATAGCGCGGAGATGACACGGCTGCTTGGCATGATGATTGGATTGACTCTGGAGATAGATAGTGATGATATATATCCTAGATACTTCTTAGAGTTGAGGATTTCTCCACAGAAGACCTTTGGTTTGTTAATGCCGTAATCTACTCGTACTTTTATGTTCGCGTAATACAGGAATAGAGTGGAGCACACCTGCCCGTCGCGATTCATATCAGCCTTAAACATCTATCCATTAAGATAGATATGATCTACAACAGTCTGGCTGATAAACATAGTCGGTCCCGCGATTTCATTAAATCGTACATATCATAGTATTACAGTGGGAATTGCACCTCCCGGAGCTGCTATAATAAAACACAAATACATTTGACTGCTGCGGGGAATCTTAAAACATCCATACACTAGCTACTTCGAGTAGCCTTCATCACTTTTCCTTATCTGATGGTGACACCAACTTCGATTGAATACTGTAACAAACTTCTCTCCAAATTGCTTCTCTTATCGTTACGATCGGCCAAAGGTAAATAGACGCCCAACCATATTGCTAGCGAGGTTACCCGCAATGTTGCTCGAGTAGAGGGCGCTACCCGCGAGGTTAGAAGCTTGGCTGAATTTGTCGCATCGCGAGAAGGCGAGACTATTCGTGACTGTCAAAGTGAGAGCGATAGCTATTCATTTCCCAATCGTTAGCCTCCTATTCCACTATCGTAACGTAGCACTGGGGCCACGTAAGCCACGAAAACCAAGTACTTACCGACGAGAGGCAACCACATAAACTTCAAGCGCACAAGAGCCAATATTGCAAGAGCGACCCATAGAACAGGCTGCGCGTAGATAGCAAGCCAGAAGAATCGGCTATCGGTGGCGTTGATGGTTCGCGTGGCTGGGTCGCTGCTTTCGAAGACCCAGCGGCTGTCGCCGGTCGATGGGTCGACTTCGTTCCACCAGCGTAATCCGACGAGTCGCCGTCCTGCGATGTTCTTGAGGTAGTAGAAGTCGGCGGCGAGGAGGAGGATCGTGATGATGAAGATTAAGACCATGTTGTCTGTGAGGATGACACCGAAGAGGTAGACAAGGAGTGATGCTAGAGAGTAGATGTTAGCATGGTTTCTCCTGATTATTTGGTCGCCTTGTATTCAGATTAAGTGGATGCAAATTTGTATAGGTTTCTACATTCCAAGATTGAAGATACTCACACATGCGGAATGCGAGAAACGTGAGAAGAGTGATGGGATGCGAGCTTAGGCGCCAGCTCAGGGAGCCTGGCGGGTTTTGCGCTGACTCCATTCGGGGCTGATGTTTTGCTGCTGTCTTGTGGTGTTATATCATAAGAAAGAAGACAGTAGATCAATTGCGCATTGCTTTTATTAACTTCAACATCTATTTCCGGATTGGTTAGTGGAAGCTCGGGAGTTGAAGCTACGTAGCGGGATGGTTTGAATGAATTGAGAGTCGGAGCAACAGCTCAGTCTGACGGCGCGCCGGGGTTCGTTATTCCGACATGCTGTCATTTTTGGTTGGGTGGAACCTTAACTCGCATAAATAACATACATAAGCGAATTGGGGTTCCTGCATAAATAATTATGCCATTGTGTTACCATATTCCGTTTCATTTATAAGAAATCACCTCATTCATTAACTCTCCTTCTTTCTACTTATACTCAAGCAATTTAATTCTCGTTACTACCTATTTTATATGTAGAGCTTTGAATTGAAACTTTTCAATGTCGTGATTAGATTCACACTTTAGATATTAATAAGGATACGCGCGAACTTCATCCTCACGACTTATATCTAGCCCCCTCGCAAGTTGTTCTTCATGCTTTTTATCCAAATATTCCAGCAACACATCACCATATTTGTCCTTTCCCTTATATCTACTCACGTCATCTCCCCAGCTTCGGATCGCACTTGCTAGTCTTCCTGGCACATAATCTTCCTCCGCTATTTCCATGACTGGGTGAAAGTAGGTGCGGATCGTGAATACCACGCCGCCAGATCGGGGCAACCGCCGGAGGGTCTGCCTTTCTGATCGGAAATAATGGTGCTGTAACGCTCGGTTTTTCTCTGCCGTGTTCCAACTAGCGTCTGGTGCATCTTCATCCCCTATACTGTCCGACCACCCCAAATTATCATCCACTTGAAAGAAGTAGTTATTTCGCGCTACCATTTCATCCGGTCGCAATCTTCTGAAGAAGTTCATCATCCCCTTTTCTAGTTTTTCCTTATACTGTGGCACATCGCCCGAAGTATGGATATCTGATAGCCTCATCATGTACTTATCTTCTAACCTCCAAAACCCAGGTAACAAAACAGCTCCAGCCATCAGGTAGTACTCGCTATCAGGCCGTTCGATCATGATCGCCAAGTCATCTTGTACGAGTCGCGCGGACATCTGCATCGGATCTTCTTTTAGGGGCCGTTCCACAATGTTCAACTTTTCTCCTGACCACAAGTTCTCTATCCCGACGTCTGTGCGCTTATACAGTGATGGATATCGTGCCGGCAAATAATCAACAAGATCCTCCAGAAGTTCCAACGCAGCGGGATACGCCTCGGGTGCTGTTCTACAGCACTTGCTGCCACGCTCCTGGATCCGCCGTGCCTTGTCTGCGTGAAAACGTGGATAATGGTTGTCCAATTCAATCCAATCGACGTGCTTAATAGACCGAAGTCCCATAGTCACATTGTACTTGGGTCCATATCGGAATGGTCGATACGGAAGGGGCTTCGTATTTTCAACCGACCAATCTGGATAAGGATCTGGTTTCGGCATACGAAAGTCCGAAGGCATCCATTTTCCCCATTCTCGTCCTTGATTTTTCGGATTGCTTGAAGTTGCTTTTTCGAGTGTTGGGGTGGTGGGTGTGGATGGTCGCATTGCTTTATTGCCGAATCTCCGTCTGCGTACGACATACGCTATCCCTGTGGAGAGTAACAGAAGAGCGAGAGCGACAGCATAAACGGTTTCTTTGAGATGACCCTGCGAAGACAGCTCGTCCCAATATGCCTTCACTACAGTAGCACACTCACTACCTGACCTCTGAATTCGGTCATACGCCTGGTTGGCGTGCTTGCCAGCTGTGTCGGACGTCCAATCGAACATTGCGAAAATTGCCACAGTATAATGGCATGTATATATTCTATTTACCGGTACGCAGAGGTTCAATCCCGAGTACTAGATTGGGAATATGCTACTTAGATATACAAGATTTCGGGTTCTTCGTACCGTTCTCGGCCAGGTATGCATGCATTATGATGGAGATGACTCGGGACTGGTCGCGCTACTCAGCGATCCTCCAGTATACAAGGGAGCCTCAGTTTACCCCATGTGAGGAGACCAATCAAAATTTGGCTAAAGACAAAACACCTGACAGGAAGATCTACTATAGGAGATATCTCGGGCTTGAGATATTCTATTTATCGTATTGTTCGTCCACCGTTCTCGGCCGCATTACTAGCGGCGGTAAAGGAGATAAGGTTTTGCGAGGCAGGAGATAGCGACATGCAAATGAGGATGGAATTCCATCCCTATCGGATCTAATACGTGTATAGGTTAGGTAAGGCGATATCTTGATTACCTAGTTCGTTGATAATGGAATTGGACCCGAAGCTGGGGAATACATAGCAATGATGCAATCTTCCCCGCTGGGGCGATAGGGGTAGGTTGTCTCCGTCCAGTCAGGTTGCACCCTGTTATCGTCTTTATTCTGCTGATAAGATATATAGAGACCGTACGTAGAGCCACGGTCTACACCGGAGCACGTCTCATAATTTTTGCCATTTCGAACGAAATTTATACCATTACGGCTTACGATAACATGATTTTGAGATGTGTTAGGTTTGAAAGTTCTCATCATACGATCTCCATTATGTATCTATGCGAAAATTCCGCAACTATTTCTATATCCGACATGACCGTCAATCTATAAGGCTAAAAGGGGTACATGCATGTAGCGGTGCCGTGCGACTAGATCTCGAAAGGAGGCATTGCTCTTTTAACAGGACATGATCTGTTGGGCATCCCGAATGATATAAAAGTAACTCGCATCTATTACTAATGTCCTAATGATAAGTCCTTGCTTGGGTTGTGGAAGAACAACTTAGGTGCTTATCATATTCACGAATTACGGCCTCACTAGACTACACGTTCAAAAGAACGATTCAACTAACATGGCGAACAATGTCATCTTTCAACCCCTGGTACGGTTCACGAATTCTGAAGAAGTTCATGCTATGGATACTTTATTGAGTATGCTGCGATCGTTCTGGTACGAATAATATTGTTGCGCCAAGAGCTCCTGAACTACGTCGAATTCCTGTATAACAGACGCATTTCGACGGCAGAGACGTCGAGAGCTAGTACGAAAAATAGGTCTCTCGATTTTGTCGTAAAATAGACCAGAGTAACGCAGAGTAGAAGAATGAGTAGAGGAATAGGTAGAAGGATGGGTGGTAGCATGAGATGTTTGAGGAACCCTTGGACTGACCGTGAAGCTGACTCGCGGCAATAGTGCCCTTTGGTCCCGGGACGCCAGTCCTGATGCATTTTGTTCTCCATGGCCCTAACTGCCAGCCTGACCGGCGCCCCGGGTACGGAAAACGATCCTTCCCCTCTCCCTTCCGAGCCTTTTGTATTCCGCTCCTCTCCACATCGGTGTACTAGCTGCGATTACAGCATTCTCACGAGGATTTAGGCGCGCTATGCGTTCTATGCGCCCAGTGCGTCCCCTCGAAGATATGCGCACCGTACATTCTCCCAGTAGTAGTACTGGGAAAAATGCTCCAACGACATGAGGAACTGGCATATGGATGACCCGTGGCCGGCCCCCACCACAGGCGGGAACTTGAAGCCCTATTGAATCGAATTGATTAGTTCATATACCATATCAGGACATCGGGATAGTGATTATGGTATAACATACGTTTTGGTGGGGGGTCCCATGCTATCTTCGGCTCGGCAACGGGCACCTAATGCAACCGTGAAACTATACTCTGTTAGTAACGTTTTGCTAATACCCACGAGTAGACTGTTTCGTCACTTACTCATGACCACGGTTCGGCCCATGAGACGAGGGTCACCTCCTCGTGTCTTTGTTGGCGGATTTCCGTTTCGCCTGACAGGTTCTTCAAGGAGGCTGTTGTTACAAAGGGAGGTATACGCCTCACACCATCCGTCCTCGACAATGTTAGCCGTCACGAGATGCGTCTGGGTCTGGGTATTCAATTAGAAAGTTAAGATATGAGCGACGCTCGCCGACACGCTTCGCAGGTCGCCCTGCCCGACCGGCACGCGATGGACGCTCGCTTGCGGGTGCCTGCCCCTGGGTACACGTGTACCGTCTTTTCCTGGCTAGGACAGATCCATCGCGGCTCTGCCCCAGCACTTGTCCCAGTCCTGTTTAAGCCTCTCAGACAAGGGACACGCCATCAAGCAAACACCACATGGTTCGCTTAATGTCTGCCGATGTTTGAATCGGCGGAACCGCCCAATACCATCGTCAAAGATCCATTCTGGTTCTGGGGAATCCATATCTTGTTTGTGATGGTATGCCTATGGCTGGTTCGTGGTAGTCACTGAGACTACCAATTCCCGTGTAGCTTAACACTGGAGCTACTATGAGAATCCCATCCCATTACACCGCGGTATGAAGTTGCCGAACACACGCGGCCAGCCCCGTAGACTCAGGTTGGGGGGTAGGGCGCAGCACAGGAGCTGATCCAGCAACTGATCCCCAGTCGCTCGTGTAGTAAGATTGCGACATTAATAAGCCCCCATCATGGCAGTGGGCTTCGGGTTTTTGGTTAGGAGGAAGGGAAGCGCCTCTAGCGCAGTCGCGCGATCTTTGGTTGGTTCAGTGGTATGCGCCCTTGACGCAGATGCGCGTGTCTCGCGCGGTGGTGACTCCCCTTTATAGTCGATGTTCGTGGCGGGAGCACAGACGTCAAAGCAGGATCTCGCCTTAGATGTCTAACTCGTCTAAAGTCGCTCGACCTGGGACAAGGTACTTAAGGAAGTTGAGGATGAACTTTGCGACTTTCAACGAGGTGATAGATCTATGGGATGGCTTGGGGGTTGGGGCTTGAGTTCTTGCGAGGCGTACTAGCTGGGGTGGTTGGTGAAAGCGCTGTTGTTCCCTGAGTTGGCGATGAGAATCTGGATACGTTTGTGCTGCTCTTCTGGGAGGCCTGGTAGACCCGACGTGCCTCTGGAGATGAGATATTAATTCGAGAGGCACGAGAACGCCGTCGACTTGGATTGCTGCCTCAGCGCCGGCGGGGTTGTTGGGCCTGACTATTTCTCTATTGGAAATAGACATGTTGTGTGCTATGTAAAGGTTAGTGAATTTATTCGGCGTGTAGTGTTGAATGCTTGTGTTACCACTGACTTACGGAATAGAAATTGCTTTCACGCACTTGAGGTGTTAATAATTATTAACCACCTTGAATACGCCGTGGAAGGCAGACGCGACCATCCAGAGCGACAATGCTTTTAAATGGCTTCTAAATGATGCAGTTAAAAGAATCTTGGAGGGCGCCGTTCCCGCAGATCGAGCCGTGATCTATTGATGCGGAATCAGAACCGTCTAGGTAATAATTAGTTGATGTAATCTTGGGAGATGCTAATGAATATAGATTAACATACCTGATGATCTCTCAAGCTCGCTCTAGGATGATTAAACTAGAGGGTTTGCGCTGGCTCTGGATCAATGGGATCAATAGGAGTGCGGCGACGCGGCCAGTGTAAAGAAATCGAGAAATAAGAGTGTGTATTGGGGGAGGTCTTCACGATGATGAAAAAAATCATCTTTATGGTTAGGATTATGGTAGATGATTATTAGGATGGATGAGTTTGATGGAATGGGAGAAAGGAATTGCTGTGTGGTTTGTGGTGAAGAAGGACGGCGAGAGAATATGGTGGGGGACGAGGGACGGCGAGGCAAAAAATAAATAAACACTTGGAACTGTAGGCAGGCACCTAACTAATACGTGACAAGCACTAAAATAGGGCTTATCTACAGGTACTGTGGGCGGTCCGTCCAGCGAGTGATAATTGAGTTTAGTGGCTAATCAACACTGTAGGTTCGGCGGTGCACCCATGCACTGTTTGGTACTGGCAGTTGGTGGGGTATTCTCCCACGGCGCACCGAGCAAAAATACTTTTTATTTATAGTTAACAATCTCGTAATTTTTATTGTGAAAATACATGTAATACCATGGCACTATCTTACTTAGACCTTTATCTTGCACTGTTTACCTACCTGCCTATGTACCTAGGTAGGTATATTACCTAAGTATTTTGGTGGAACCATCAGAACATGTACTTCCCAGTGGTGAGTTTACTATAACCCTTATATAATCAAGCGTTCTAACTTATATCGTCGCGCCTGCCAAGAAAGCTCCATATTGCGACAACCTTCGAACGAAATGAGTCTACGTCAAGGCACAGACAAAGGCATATAGGAATTCGAGACGTTGCTTGTACACGCCACCTGAGGCCTTGTCCAGGTATTCAACAATACGTAAATCCCGATATCGCAAGCGATAAAACTGGTATATGGAGCGATTACAGTGTATCAGACAGTCTCTACGATGCCTTAAGGTTCTCCCTAAAGTGTCAGGGGCTAGGTGCCGGTTAATAGGCGGTTAATAGGGGGGACGATGGCCGAAGTTCAACCAATCAGCGCTTAGCGTCTGCCCGTATTAGGCAATTTACAACGATAGCGGCAGCGACGCCTGTTAGGTAATCAGATGCTAGCGCCTACGTTAATGTCAACGTCGCGATAGAGCGCAATAGAGCTCGACGCTTGGTCGGTGATCAGTCTCCGTTTTGGAGACGTGAATATTTAAAACAACGAGTTATGATGGATATACCTCAATTAATAGCAGAGTTAAAGTATATGGAAATTTTAGTGATCTGAACCGAAGGATGAGTTGTATTGTAAGGGGTATCGAGACCTTCCAACTGCGACGTAAAGGGGGCTTGGTTTGAGACATAAAGAAAAGGGGTAGCTTATGTTCATTCGTCTCCAGACATCCTTTTATTAGAGTCGTTCTCGCCGTTTCGGCATATCGTGCTTTCGAAACTTATTTACACTCCATGCCTTGCCAGTAGGCAAGAACGAACGTCGTAACCTAAGAAAATGAAGTATCCCTACGACTCAACGAAGCATTCTATTAATGTATGTCAATGTGCCTATAAGAAAAGGAGTTAACGGTATTTCCAATTAAATGTACTTGGCCATTTACTGTAATATGAATGGGACATAACGTAGGTTACTATCTACTTCCATCTAATATGTTGCGCCGTCCATTCTTCTATACTTTAAATACAAAACTTCGCCGAATGCTTCTGAAGATATAAAACCTATCTATGCGGAATCGTCGTCCTCTTGGCAAGTCTGGAAAATGAGTGCGGCAATGTGATGTGGCAATCAGCTCAATATAGAATGGAAATGCTCTAGACGTATTTTACGGTATGGATGCGTCACTGAATTGATATAGTAACCTCTACATGACTACTCAGATGTATGAACATTACCTTCATCATTGGATTTAGTATGGGTTTGATAGGACAATTCTCTCAGGACGATGCGGCTCCCAAGACACCCGTTACCCTTATCAAATATGTGCTCCTGAAGTACCCAGGAACCTAGGTATTTAGGTAACTAGCATCCAAATCAGCCTTCTCGTCGTGAATTTCATGATCTTAATCAGTACCCACGCCTACACTTTGCCTAATCAGTCAATTTTGCGAGGATTGATCATATCGGCCAATTGATCGTATTTTAAATTGGTTAGACTATACTGTATTAGTCGCATAAACTGGATGATTAGACCCCGGCTCTATCTTTATAGGTTAGTACCTAGGATCACAGTACTATGCTTTAGGCCGTGAATTTTCTTATTCGCTACTGGCGTGTGGATACTGTGGCAAACACAGTACATAATCGTCTCAAGTCGTTGCGAGCTGATTAACCAGGTCGATTCTTTTTCTTAGAAAGAATTAAGAAGGCAGCAAACTGCAGACCAGTGCCAATTGAGATTAGACGGTCGAAAATTTTCAATGCCCTCCTGATCCTCGTCACGCACTGTCAAGTCTCGAGGTCATCATATGGGCTGTGTGATCAAGTGAAGCTATCATTTACTGATTCACTTGTTTGGCCCCTCCAGTGATCCAATGCATAAAGCATGAGCTCCCACCCATCCATTCCAGACTCTAGAAAAAACACTTACCCATACATTCCTTTCTCCTTCATCCTTTCTACGGAGGACATAAAGTCACTCTGACCGAAAGTGTGTGTATCGTCAAGCACTACCGAAAATACCATCACAACTCCTCTATACGACCTTTATTCTATAGATGGAGTAAGCCTATACGTCTAATTATAAATATTTTAGTTATATGGGTAACTGTAAGAGTGCTCCCGAATGATCTATTTTAACGCCGAGTTGTACTAACAATTATCAATTATACAGAAGTTGACCAACTCAATCCGATAAAATTTATTCGTCAATTCATCATGGCATACCATCGACAGGAACAATCGACCTTCCTCCATAAACTACCCCAGGAAATACGAGATAAAATCTATAAGCTCTACCGCGAGCTTTGTGTGGGTCAAACCACAAATGGATTTCAGTTGGGTAACATGGATCTTCGCGGAGAGCTACGCAGACGTCAATTTTCTGCGCACCCCGCATTACTCGAGACTTGCAAGAGGATCAAAGAAGAAGCCGATCGCTAGGTACATCGGCGCCTTGAGATCAACTATAACGACTACACTGGCGGGAATAGGGTCCTGCTCAGTGTTAGTGCGGTTGGTGTACTCGACGTGTCGAAGATTACGGATGTCAAATTAAATTTCGAGGATTTGGGAGCGAGACCTGGATCGGCGTTCCAGATGGTGAAATGCATTCTCGACAACGCGCCGGAACTTGTTACATTGGAGATCGCATTTGGCGATATGGTTTACTCACCTGTTGGGGAGTTGATCTCAGCCAAGAAGGTCATCAAGCCTTGGTTCCCCATCTTGGCCCAGGCTCAGCGACGACGAAAATCTACGAAGCTGACAAAAGTAAAGTTCACTCGGATCCCTGCGGACTGGGCAACAAGGGCTGTTAGATGGATGTCACGACGCAAGATCGATGTGACACTGGAAGTGGAAGTTCGCCCCCCTCCATCGTGGGACTGGTGATTAGTGTTGGACCATGGGGGATTACGATGGGTTGTGGGTGGATGATGGGGATCGTGAGGGAGAATGGAGCGGAAATGGGACAAAAAAAAGAATGGCAGGGTTGACGATGATGAAGGAGAAGTTCATTAACTTCCCCTACTACTGGCCCCCATAATCATCCCTTTATTCAACAACTCACATCGGGGGTTCAGTTCGTTGCTTTTTATGCATTTTCATGAAACCAGTATTATAACTTCAGCTTAGACTTCATCAAAATTGCTAGTTTAACTGAGCTGATCACTATTAGGTATCAGTATTAATTGAGGCTGCATTGATTTATATATCTTCACTGATTTGTGAATGTAGATGTAGTTGGAAGAGATGGGCGCTAATTTCGTGAGGTCGTGAAGCTCGAAAGCATTGACCACCGTAAGATACTGTAAATGCTACGGATAAGATAAGGATAAGGATAAGGTACGTGATTATAGGTATCGACGTACCTATGTACTGTACTGCTTATCTCATCACATGATTGGACAAACCAGATAAGCCTATCCATGCGCTAAAACTGATGCTCCCCGATTTTCAGGACCCACTCAGAACTTGAACCTTGCAATCAAAACGAGACTCCGTCCATTCATCCACCATCAATCATTTATCGACATACTGCGCGCATCTAAATCTATCCATCATCGCGTCGCCATTCCTACTCGTACCCTCAATCTTACTACTAATTCACTCCACATTTTCCTTGCCGCAAATTTACGCCCTTCCATATGGCCCGACGTCCTGGTCGCGCGGCCGCGAAACGTGCTGCTGCGAAGCTTGGTAAGTAATCGCACGCGCTTCAAGACTCAGGAATCATTCCTCACATACTGGTTGCTCTGTCGCATTTCAAGTATATCGAGCTAATCTTTTTACTACTTACTTAGAGAGCACCCCGAAGACTCTCGAGGAGATGGAGGATGAGGTTATGCCTGATGCCGACGCATCGGATGCGGACCAACAATTAGTAGAACCTGAGGAACAAGAGAATGAAGACGAATCCGGCGCCGAGCCCGAAGAGAACCAAGATTCCGACGTCCCATCTGCCAAATCACCATCCCCTGCACCTCAGCCTGTCATCCGAAGACGACGCCTAGGACGGCCCCCTAAGAACCGGCCTGCTGACTGGGATAGTCTACCCCTCGAGACTCCCCAGCGCGACCCGAATGATACTCCCAAACGACGCGGTCGCGGTGGATGGAGAGGCAGAGGTGGTCGAAAAGGTGCTTCCTACCAGCCAACGCAACAAATCATCGACAAGGAGGGCAATGTTATGGATATTGTTGACGATGAGTGTGCGCTACCCGAAGATCCCGAAGGAGAGACCAAGGTAGACAAGTTCGGGCATCTGCAGGGAGGGCGCGAATACCGCTGCAGAACCTTCACTGTTGCTGGCCGTGGCGATCGTCTGTACATGTTGTCGACTGAGCCTGCCCGTTGCGTGGGTTTCCGAGACTCTTACCTTTTCTTCGCGAAGCACAGACGGCTTTATAAGATCATTGTGGACGATGAAGAGAAGCGCGACATGATCGACCGCGAAATTATCCCCCATTCCTATAAGGGCCGTGCTATAGGAATAGTTACAGCCCGATCGGTATTTCGGGAATTTGGTGCGTTGATTATTGTCGGTGGCAAACGAATCATTGACGATTACGAAGTTGCCAAGGCACGAGCAGAAGGTGTTGTTGAAGGCACAATTGCCGATCCTAACGATAGATTCGTTGAGGGTGAGGAGTACAACAAGAACCAGTACGTCGCTTGGCATGGTGCTAGTGCTGTGTATCATTCCGGAGCTCCATCTGTTCCTATGCAAAATGGCAAGGTAGACATCAAGAAGAGACGAGTAAATATCACCGATATCAATTGGCAACTTGAGCACGCTCGTGAAGCAAGGTATGTTTGGCATTGACTTATCACTACTCGTAATAACTAAGCTAACCAAATTCTCCAGTCGCTTTAACTCGGAAATTGGCGCCATTAGACGTCTAAATACATCTGGTGTTTATGATGTTCACACCAACGTCATGCAGTATCCCGCCAACATGAACCCCACGCATGCAAGATTTGAGCAGGTCAAGGATTCGTCCGCCCCGAGCGAAAGCGCTCGCTTCCCTCCTCTCGACTCTAAGGTTCCGCGTAACTTCAAAGTTATCGACACGTACATGGAGACACCTCCAGCAGGTCTCTCGCCTGCCGTATACGAGCAATGCGAAGTGCCTGGCTTCCTCTCTGATTTCCAAGGTCTTGGAGCCATTCCGAAAGATATCTTGGACGAGCTTCCGGCTGAATGCCGAGAGGCATTTGACAAAGCTGTGGACCAAGAAATCGCCTGGAAATCTAGGTGGGGCCCTGAATCTATTAATGGACATCGCAGAGAGCCAATCATCGATGCTGCCATCGTTCCTTATTATAAGTCGTAAGGCCAAGTAAGGTTGATGAAATTGGCATATACACGCCTTGTATAGGTGCTCTACGAAGGCGTTGCAACTGATGCGTTTTTTCAATGCCCAAATTGATTACCTAATCATATTTGTTTGTGCTTAGTCATTGGGGAAAAGGGGTTAGTCATCTGAAGTCCCTTCTCCTGGTGATGACTTTCACAATGTATCACTAGTACTTTTACGGAGTTTACGGTCGCGAAAAGGCGCGGAGGGTACTTCTTAATTGATACCAGGAACTTGTAGCTATTAAAGGACTAGAACTAGCCAATGGATTAAGTGTTTCACTGATGGAGGGTTTGTCGTTTTGTCCCCGTCCCACCATCATGGGGATTCTCAACTACTAATAATTATTCGTCAAGTTATGCTTCGACGAGCGCTTCTACCTATCGATTATAGCCGTGCTGTAGGGCTAGTACGACTTGCGGTTTCACTATTGACAGCGTTGAGACGTATAACGGATGACTAGGTTTAAGTTTCCAAAATGGTTGCCATCTTATCTTCAGACAGTTTGAGACTTTGGAACGTTAACCTTGTTTTATTCCCATCCTTCTCCTTTTTCATCCCAACCGATGATCTGTCGTAATAAATATATACATAGCACTTTGGAAACCAGACCGGGGAAGTGAGCCTTCTCAACCTGAGAACATATCTTAACCCATGGTATTTGCTCTTGCAATCATGACGTGGTTTACCTTTACTTTATGTACCCTAGTGATCACGACGGTCGCACGGCCAAGTGACGTTACCCAAATTCAACAGAATGAAGCCGAAGGGTTAGTTGACTATTCATCTTAGCAGATACCACGAAGCCAGATCTTCCTCTAACCAAACCTCAGAATCGACAATCCCATAAATGGCATCACCCACCCCCACGTCCCGTACGGGCGTGTAATCAACTCATGCACGAAACCCAACACCGTCGCGCTAACCTTCGACGATGGGCCTTACGAATGGACACGCGCCGTCGCCGAGAAAATGGAAGACGCAGGGTTCCGCGCTACATTCTTCATAATCGGAAAGACGTACCAGGACTCTACTCACCTAACGCGACGCATCGATGACGATAATACCGAGTATCCTAACTTACTTCGCGAGTTGTATGGCCGCGGACACCAACTCGCCTCGCATACCTGGACACATGAAGATCTCGAAGCCTTGAACCGCGCGGAAAGGATACAGCAGATGCGTAACAACGCACAGGCTTTTAAGAACGTACTCGGTGTCGCGCCGACGTATATGCGTCCGCCCAAGGGCCATTGCGGGAGGGAATGTCTGGAGGATATGCGGAGGGAGGGGTATCATACTATCTGGTGGGATATCAATCCGGCGGATTGGGAGTTTAATTCGGAGGGTAATTGGAACGAGACGGTTAGACGGTTTGATCGGGATTTGGGGAATGGGGGATCGATTGCGGTTTGTCATGATGTGGAGTTTTTGACCGTGGAGAAGTTGCTGCCGCATATGATTCGCGAGCTGGAGAGGAGGGGGTTGAGGGGGGTTACTGTGGGGGAGTGTTTGGGTGAGAGGGTGGAGAATTGGTATCGTGGTTAGAGGTGTTGGGGAGAAGGATGGTTGGAGGATAGGTTTGCGTGTAGAGGTAGGATATTGGTAGTAAAGTATTGATTAAAATACCTTCGAAAATCTCCTCAAGATTTGTTGACTTCTGTTCCTGTCTACATAATACGCCTATTAGCTTGCGCGTTTACTGTGGAAGCTAGCTATCTTCCTTGAAGCCGGGGTCAAGCCCCAGCTATCAACGAAAAAAAAAAGTTATTGAGTGATACGCTCGTCGTACTTCCAAGTGTTTTCCTGAAATGGGTAGGTACTACACTTCGAAAGTCCAACAAGCAGTTCACAAAAATAATACCAGAGGTATTCAAGTTCCAAAAATTAACCGCCCTGTAACAAGTGAGTAGGTTCAAGCAAGGGGAAGCCACTTGGTAGCCAGCCACTTGGGAGTAGGAGTAGGAGTAGGAAGAAAGAGAGCGAAGAGGACAGAGAAGGGAGCAAGGAGGGAGCAAGAGAAGATAATAGGTAGGGAGGGAAAAGAAAGATAGCAAGGAGGAAGAGGGAAGGGGAGCGAGGGAGCATGAGAGGAGGGTTTTAGGGAAAGGAGGAAGAAAGAGAGCAAGGAGGTGGAGAGGAGGGGAGCAAAGAGAGAGCAGGAGGAGATGGAAGCAATTTAGAGCGGCGACGGTGAGAGTGTAGAGGGATGGGAAGAGGGTGGAGGATTTGGAAGGGACGGGAGGGAGGTAAACTTAGCGAGTAAAACTTGAATATGGGCAGAGAAAAAAAATCCTAGATGTTAGCATATGCCCTTTGTTGTTGTTGAAGTCCTTGTAAATATTCCTTACGATCCCGTCCTCGGTGAGCCTCGTATCTTCGCTCGAGATCTTCCTTGGTAATTCATGTTATACCCTTCCTCGGCGGGCCCTCGTTCTTTTGCCCTTGGGTATCCTCGATAAATCCTTTAATCCCTTCCTCGATGGGCCTCGTATCTTCGCCCGGGATTTTTCCTCGATTGGCTGCGTCCTCGTTGCCTGTTCCTTCGCCTCCTCGGTGGGCGTGATCTGTCTGTGTTAAAATGGATAAAAAGGCTAGGATGATAGAGGGAGAAATAAAATAAATTATTGTCTATGAAATGGATAATAAGAGTGGAAAAGATGGAAAAGATGGGGAGACTTACCCTCTGATATGGACTTGGCGAAAAGAGAACGTGAAGAAAGGAAGAGAGGGAAGAAAAAAAGTGAAGGGAGGGCACATATTTATACGCAAAGAAAGTTGTCGAGCCAACTTACTGATTAGAAAATTGTTCCCAGGTACCCAAAATCAAAAGATAGTTGCTATGGAATAAAAAATTGTCTGGTTTAATTCCCCAATCAAAAATTAGGATAATAGAGACAAGTCCCTGTTGGAAGGAATAAATTTTTAAAAATAAATAAATGGCCGAGTACTGCGGTTCTTTCTATTTTGATTTCTTAAATCACAACATGGATCTATGCCTACCCTATGAACTCGAAAGAATAAAAGGCAGTTACCAATGTACACAACACGAACACGTAGAAAAGTCCAAGTATCTAGAGAGAAGTACGTGTGATATCCTTGTTATTCCTTTACCTACCCGTATTTTCCTCACCAACCAAAATTTTTGTAATCTATAATTCCATTCTAGCAATGTAGGTACCTGTCTGATATGTTCAATGAAGGACAGTACCTAGATACCTAGACTATGAGTGCCCAATGGGGTATCACAATACTTATAGGCACTACCATAGTAGCATTAACTCTGTTACACATGGATATATCATTGAGTACATCGACTTGAGGCCATCGAAAATAGGGGTTAAGTAATTACGTAATCAATATTTGCATAGAAAATATTATATTTTCGACCTACGTACATGGATTCGTATCTCGGTATATACGCCTTGTATTTAATTTTTGGTGAACATAGGCATTGAATCCATGATGTACTCCTCAACTATTAATCATTCGGGTGCCGACGACCTCTCCCCCTATTTCCGGCTTAGGTAAGCAGCAACGTGATTAGATAAGCACCACCCAAAATACTCATAATTATCCACGCGTCCACAGCCTTAGAATATTTATCATACAATTAAATTATAGCAACAGTCGATTTTACCTTGTTTGTATTTAAGAAGTGAGGTTCGAGGATAGTACTTAGTATTTCCTAATCGGGTAATTAGTAAACATCGGCCGGCTAAGTATTGCGTGATTTCACGTGACCACGAATTCTTCCTAATTAGCAAACTAAATAAAACTCGCCCACAATCAGCTCCAGCACGCCGCATTTTCAACCTTGTATTACCCAATCAAAAGGCCTATCTGAATTTACATTTGGATTTAGATATGGCAGGAGTTGCCGTGTTTCGTCCATTGGTTAGAGCCCCAGTAAGGAGCTTGGCACGGACCTATGCCACTTCCATACCATCGAAAGCCCACCATCGTGTGGTGATCGTTGGTGGGGGAACTGCTGGTGTAACAGTTGCTGCTCAATTGCAACATAACCCGGAATTTCAAAACAAGGACATTGCTATTTTAGATCCTGCGAAAACTCATCACTACCAAGCAGGTTTCCCTCTACTTAATAGGAATTATTCTTAGTCACTAACATTTTGATAGCCTGGATGGACGTTAGTGGGTTCGGGCCTGAGGCCCCTGGAGGATATGCACAGACCTATACATAGTGTTATCCCACAAGGAGTAAAACACTATCCTCTACGCGTATCTACTTTCGACCCCGAGAACAACGCCATCAAGACGTCTGAAGGAGTCGACGTGTCCTACGACTACTTGATTGTAGCACCGGGTCTCGAGACCAACTTTGCTGGTATATCTGGTCTTGAGCAGGCTCTACAAGATCCCGCCAGTCAAGTGTCATCTATCTACTCGGAGAGAACAGTAGAACAAGTATGGAGGAACATCCAGGCATCTAAGAAAGGGCCGGCTATCTTCACTCAGCCTGCTGGCATCATAAAGTGTGCCGGTGCCCCTCAGAAGGTCATGTGGATGGCTCTCTCGCAATGGAAGCGAGACGGTGTGCGGGATAACATTGATATCACCTTCGCGACTGGTGGTCCTGGTAAGAATTCCCGAAGTGTCGTGATCTAAGTTTTGTATGTTGACTTTGATGCAGCTATGTTCGCCGTACCGAAATACTCGCAGGCGCTCGAGGAATTACGTAAGCAACGCAATGTGGAGGGCCTCTTCCAACACAACCTCGTCAAGGTGGACTCCAAGAACAAGGTGGCAACATTCAAGAACCTAGCTGAGGGTGCGAATGGAGCGCTTGTCGAGAGGGAGTTTGGTTTCCTTCGTAAGTTGAAGAATTTGGTTATCTCCAAGCCGCAAAATTGTCGCTAACTGGGCTCTGGTAGATGTCGTACCACCACAGAAGCCGTTTGATTGGGTCGCGAAGTCGCAACTAGGTGAGTTCAACTATTGAATGAGGACTGAAGATTCTTTCTTAGCGCTAATTCAGTCGTATAGCCGATGCCGCAGGTTGGGTTGACGTCGACAAGTCCACTACTCAACATACCAAGTACAAGAACGTCTTCTCCCTTGGCGACGCATCCAGTCTCCCCAACAGCAAGACTGCCGCCGCAATCACAGCACAAGCGCCGGTCCTTATCGACAACCTACTTGCAGTTACGAAAGGCAAGGAGCTTAAAGCTGCCTACGATGGCTACGCAAGTTGTCCTCTCCTTACTGGCCACGGTGAGCTCATGCTCTGCGAGTTCAAGTACGGCGGTGTCCCTAAAGAGACGTTCGCGAACATACTCGGAGGCCAAGAATCACCTAACAGGTTATATTACCACCTAAAGAAGGATTTCTTCGTAAGTGATGTCAATAGCCTCGTCTCTTTACCCATTTTTTGCTAACAGTCCCATAGCCGTATGCGTACTGGAACTACTTCGTGAAGGGCAATTGGTATGGACCGAGTGGATTTTTCAAGCCTGATATTACGTCGAATTAAAGTATTCAATCTTAGATCTAGCGCGCATAAGAGTCCCATGCATAGAGAATTAGATCATTCGAACCATGGTTACACCTGGGTGGTTGTGTAGCATCAGTCAGCATTTGGCCCCGTCCCCTGATGACAGGGGGTAGATACCTTAGGTACCTAATACGATTAAGGAAATTAAATCACGGAAAAAAGGAAGTGCTCACGTTTGATTGAAATGTTAACCCCATTAGGCTTAGTATGACTATCGTATACGAGGATGCGACGGAAAAACCGAAACTCTTATATGTTGAAACCACGATTTCAATGCCTTGTTGAGACGCAAGTAATCGCTATAGGGGAAGTCCGGCGGGCCGGAGTGGATATAATTCTCTGCTTTTCGCAGTGAGTCTAATTCTATCTGTCTAAGAACCGCGATTACGCAAGATTGTACTCCTGCACCAACTTGTCTGCGGCAGTAGCACCGGTAACATATGCGACTGCTTGAGTATGGCAACTTGCTAGAACTGGGACGACGCTCATATCAGCCACGCGAAGGTTATCGATGCCAGTCACCTTGAAATTTTTATCGACTACCGCGTCTGCGTCTCCAGCGTTGCCCATCTTGGCCGTTCCAGTCATGTGCCAACTCGATCCAATGTTCTGAACCCAGTATTCTAACAAATCCTCATCTGAGTCGGACTTGGGACCGGACAGCAGTGCTAAGTTGTCCTTGTCATACGCTTCGTGTTTGGTGAAGTTGTAGACCTTACGTAGAGCCTCGATGGCTACTCGGCGATCAAAAGGCGATGCGAGGAATTTGGGATCAAACTTGAGGATGACGTTGGGATCTGAAGACTGCAAGGTGACCTCTCCGCGGCTTTGGGCATTGTAATACCAAACTAGGAGACAAGAGTAGTCAAAAGTAGGGAGACCGGGAGCGATCCAGTGGATGGGGAAGTGAGTGAGCACCTCATAATGAGGAATTGTGTCTAGAAGCAAATGTCTCTGCTCATCGGCGGGAAGATCCTTGAACTCCTTCGTCTTAGGCAGGTCATCCAACTTGAACCAACCGATACCAGTCGAGCATCCGTACTTGGACCATGGCCCTGTGCCATCCTTCTTCCATTGCTCCAAGGCCGTCTCCATAGCCTTCGGGTCACCATAGAAAGAAGCACGGGTGGCCTTGGTTTCCTTTCGACTGTGAATAATCGGGATGAACATGTGGTCACGCAGACCCTGGCCTACTGCTGGTACATCTTGAACCACAGGTATCTTGTACTCGTTTAGCTGTTTAGCAGGCCCGATACCAGAGTGCATCAAGATTCTGGGTGTATCAAGAGCGCCAGCACTTAAGATCACTTCCTTGGAAGCGAGGTCTTTAGATCACATTAGTCCGTTGATGCTTTTATAGGTAAGTCGCAATTCGAAGATACTCACATTTCTTTCCATTGGACTCCACTCCGATAGCTTTCTTCCCATCCAAGAGAACGCGTTGCACAGGAGAGCCGCTGACGATTGTCAAATTATCGGGCGTGGGGGTGATTAAATCTATCGCAGTTGAACGAAGACCATTGTGTAATGTGTTGATTGTGACCGACATTCCAAGGGGGTTACCGGAGTTGTGGTCCTGGTTCAGCGGGAATCCGGCCTGCTGGAACGCATCGAGCATCTCAGGGAGATCTTCCTCCCACTCGGGCGCGTACCCGACATTGAGGGGTCCGGAACTGCCATGATCCGCAGCTTTTGGGGCAGCGTATTTTGCGTCAACGCCCGCAGGTAAGCTGCTGTTAAGTATTTCGATTCTCTTCAATCGATTTTGGATGTGCTCCCAGCGAAATGCGTCATCGCCTACGATCCTAGCCCATTCGTCATAATCATCACGGGCGCCAATGCTGAAAACACCAAAATTGACAGCACTGCTGCCTCCTAGACAATGGCCGCGTGAGTAATCTAACTCACGATTGCCGCAATGTTCTTGGGGCGTGGTCTTGTATCCTCTATTTAGAGCTTTGTTGGTGAAGGTGGTCCATCGCTGCCCGGCAACTCGGAGACTTCGGTCACTCCCACTTTCACCATCTTCAATGAGAAGTACAGAAGGCTTCTTAGAAGATTTCGCCAGCTCAGCTGCGAGGGAGCAACCAGCCGGTCCGCCTGCACACTATTAGTTCTTGAAGAAATTATGCAGGGAACAGGGACCAGTTCCCCAGGTTGGGCAGACTTACTCCCAACTACCACAAAGTCGTATGTGGATGCCATAGCTCTTCTTCGACTGATGATCACAATTCTCTATCTCGTTAGTGTGCAGGTACAGGGGTATGATTGCGTGAGCTGCTTGACACGTAATCTGAGGAGAAAATCTATACAACGTAGGTCGTTCTAGGAGTTGGGATGACAAAGAGCTTTTAACTCCAGAAGCTCTCCCTAAACTCCCGAGGTTGGTCGAACAAAGACATTCTACACTAGTGATGTTTCAATCTGCAGCCGTAGTAAATCCGTGCCGCAACACAACCGGCTGCGAGGATTCATGCAAGCGGCGTGTAGCTGTACGGACCATCTGGGGCTACTAGCTGCTACAGCTACACGTGGAACAATTCGATTAATCACATGTACTGTCAATCTGGTAATGCGAGTAGTTTCCGATCGTTCATTTACCAATGTCACGGCAATAACCGGGTACTACACTATGCTTCTGGAGCTCCTCTATCCCTGAGAACCACCTGAGTAAGCCATTACTATGTTCAACACAGACTCACGAACCCCCATATGCCTCTCCACTGTCGAAACTGCTCTAACATAATGCTGCGACCATTAACAAGGAGCGTCGGACCGAGTTTATATGGGTTCGGCAGGTTGTAATAGGCAGGGGGCTGATCATTGATTTGCTGATGTGCCCAAGCAATTGGGTCCAACACAGATACAATTCTAGAAAAGCCCCAAAGATTGGGTTGCTAAGTATATTATAGCAACTAAATATCCACCTACGCCACGAATTGTGGTCTTGGTAGGTAGGGTGAAACCTGACCAATTGATCTAACGATGTGACATTACTATTCTCCTTTGTCATTCACCCCCTACGTTTGGCAGCATAGACGGATACAGCCCGGGTCATTCTATTGGAAGATACCCCAGTAACACACGTATGTACACAAACCCCCCTCTTCTCCCCCGGTGAAGAATTACCCACTAACAAGCGGATCCGATATCCAACTGCATAATTAAGAATGGAGGTTGGTTATTAGCGCTCCGCTAAGCCCCCACTGCTACCCTTGAAGATCGTCATGGTTCTAACGGCGTAAAAAGCAACTGACAGGCACTGGGCGATCGGCACCTGAAAATGCACGACCCGTACACCAATGTATGAAAGCGGTTTAGCTATTCCCTTAATGTAACTTATGCCGCGTGATATGGTGGTGTTTCTTCAGGGACATGTGCAATGCCAAGGAGAGTTTGGACTGCATAGTATTCATAATACAGCCTCAATTGTGCAAGTCCACGCGTGTATTATGTCTGGGAATCATAGAAATAAGGAGAACATCAAGACCGTAAACACGCCGCAATTCCCAGTAGACAGTCCACGTATAATGAAAAACACGTGGGATTGTTATGCCATCGCTATGACCGAGGCTGGGCTGAAGTTTCGAAATAGAACAAGTCCAGATGGATTTTGTAACACACTTTTTGCCTTCGAGGCCCGCATGTAATTGGGATTTACTCGGAATTTCCTTCGGCGAAAGAAGTAATATTCCATAAGGCCGAGATACTCCTTTACCCTAGGTACCCATAATTCTTTAAGGAGTTGTTGGTCTTGAGATGTCATTCCTTTTATGTCAATCTACAACCCACCTCATCTCACATCTTAGATCCCACAACCTTTTCCACCCGATGTAGACGGTCTAGCCTATTGAAAAGCCACTTGCTAGCGTCATCTAAACGTGACCAACAATGGCAACTGCCGAAGCTTTCACCTTGTTATCCATAGGCCTAGTCATCATTGGCTGTCGGGTATGGGCGCGATGGGTTCTAGTAGGGCCTGCCAACTGGCAGCTGGATGATTATCTCATGCCACTTACTGGTGTAAGTTATGCCAATGTCCCTCCCCATAGGTGCTTAGTATCCTACTTCATAGGATAATGTCGTTAACATGTTATTGGGGGAATCTAGATCGTCTTCGCGCTCGAAACAGTGGCGGCGTATCTGGTGGGGGCACTCTTCGATGGTCTTACGAATAGTTACATGACGGATGAGCAACGCGCCACCCTAGATCCCAACTCAAGAGAATACTTCAACCGACAATGGGGGTCTAAAATTCAAGTTCTCGGCTGGTCCCTCTACGCATTCATGCTTTGGTTGTTGAAATTCTGCGTCGCGGTATTCTATGGGCGTCTGACGTGAGTTAGCTGCCTCGGTATCGGGGAATGACCACTAATTGGGATAGATCCGGGTTGATGAACCTCAAGATACGAGTGCGAATCGCATATGTCCTTCTAGCTGTGACATACATCTTCGTCTGCCTTTCGCTCCTCATAGGTTGCCAACCCATGGAAAAGCATTGGCAGATTAATCCAGACCCTGGGAGTGAGTGGCGCTTGCCCGCGGAGGGGACCGAACCCTAGCTAATGCGCTGCTTTAGATCTTTGCCAGCCGACAAACTCGAAGTTGAGCGTGTATGCGGTGGTCGTACCGAATATCGTTACCGACGTATACTTGCTCTCTATTCCGCTACCGGTACAGTGTCATCCTCAAAGTGTCAATTGTGGCGCATAACTAACTTCGAATAGCTTCTATGGATTGCAAATATCAGCATGCGACGCAAGCTCACGTTGATGATACTGTTTAGCGGCGCCATTTTCGTCATGGTTGCGGGGATTATCAGAGCGGCCACAATTCTAGGGGTATGTGACCGACACTCGTTGGGGGGGTCCTAAAACTAATAAATTTTCAGGCTGGTCCAGAAGGCGCATTGTCTGGAAGCGAATGGGCATGCAGAGAAACATTTGTCTCGTTAATCGTCACGAACCTCCCGATCATCCACCCGTTCCTTCGTAAGGCTGCATCAAAAGTCGGTCTCAGCGGCCTATTCAGCCGATCGACACGAAGTAAGACCGGTCCAAGTGGCCCAAGCCATCAATTAGGGAGCAAGCCAGCTACGATTGGGGGTTTCGGGCGTTCGCGAAACAAAGCCAACCATCCTCTTTCAATTCCACAGGAGACAGCGTGGGGGAGTGATGAGCACATCTTGCCGCAGGAGGCGGGCAGAAATAGACAACTACCAGACAGCTCGAGGGACATTGTTGTGCTGAAGGAGTTCACTGTTACATCGGACAGCAAGGAAGTTCCTTAAAAAGCAAATGGTGGTGATTAAGAGGCGTTTTGTCATTTGGGGGTAGCCTTTGCTTACTTTCTATCTCCGAGCTAATAGAAAACTGTATAATACACGGTGCGGTCTAGCACTAAAAATAAAACGATAAAATGGATTCGAAGACTAACCGTCTCTTGTTAGGGTAACTTCTGAAGTACCTGGTTGTTTCTTATATTTCATGTAATGATATAGCCTGGAGCTAGTAGGTTCAGTTAATACACAAGCGAATCTCTATTTGAGGACAATCTCCTATTTCGAGTATTTAATACGACGAGACGCCAGATCGGCGCGCGACTCTGTAAGCAAATGTAAATTTACATCTCAATTTTACCAATCAGTTACTTTGCTCTATGACGATGCTTTGAATTGTTAGCAGCTACCGCCGGCAAACATTGGGGAGTCCGAGAAAGCAAGAAAATTTCTGGGGTTTCACCGCTTCTGGCCGTTCCGCTACGGTGCGGTTTCACGGCAGGATATTGGCAAGAAAGATCACTACGCATGTACCTACGATGTAGGTATCGTTTCAATCTTATGCATATGCGCGGCCGGCGGTTTTTCCCGCAATGGCGACTTAATTGGTGTAATTTGCCCCATTTATGCACATCATACCGGTCAGCTTTCCATTCCAAGTACCAACTTCGTAGTCCTTCTACTGACTTGGAAAGACTCGGGGCGCAACAGTTAAGATTTACCAACTACAACAGCATATCAACGACGATGCCATTTAGAGTACCTAGGTACACTCATTATCTCTTCCAACATGAAATGCTCTGATTTAACTTTTAGAATATTTCTCAGAATTGATGACGTTTAGACACTGTATCATTAATTACTTTAGAAATAGAATAGCTAATACTAAATGTTGTAGAATATCCCTCCTTTGATTTTTACGAGCCAGTCTTCATAAAATCTGACGACATGAAGCTTTCCTCAACCGGGGCAATGATATTGTTATATATCTCATCGCGCGCTTTATCTTCATTCAAGTCCAGATCGGGGCTGCCAATAGCAAGTTTGAGACAGTTCTTGACCGCATTCCGGTATTGGTCATCGGCAAGTATTTTCACCTGGCGCAAAAACAGTTCGACGTTCTGGATACCAGAGCTTGTCGTGCAGTCGAAAGTCTTGCTAAGATGAACAGTGTGATCTTGTGCGCAATTCTGGGAAATAAACTCGTCTGGGATTCTCCATAACATAACTTAAATGAGCAAGGCGAAAAGTGCCCACATCATTTGGCTTCCGCTTGCAACCAGTGGAGTTGAATCCGGTGATGCTGGTAGTCCTGTGGTGACGTACACTTTACCATAGTCTACCGTATTGTCGTCTTGTACCACACGAATGTTCTTACTAATCGGGTAGCGGGGAAGCCAAGGTGCGCCATATAACTTCAAGATGCTTGAAGTAATAATAGAGGCAAGACTGAGTTTCTTGGTTAATGACGGTTGGCTGTTACAATTTCCAATAGCCTGCTCAAGGGAGAGAAGGGAGTAGCTATTGTTTTTGGTCGCCAATTTGCTACGATATACACCGAAGCGGCCATCTTCTGATATAGGCCGCTTCGATATGAGGTGGCCATAACAATCCTTATGGTATAAAATATCCTCGCAAAGATTGGATATCTGCACTCTAAGCGTCGGATCGCTAGGAGATGGTGTTGAAGACTCTTTAGTGACTGTCGATTGGAATCTTACTCCCTTTTTCTTCTGGAGCTTTTTAGGAGCTACAATATGAATTGTTGGAATTGATTTCTCGGGGGGGGTTGATTGGGCGTAGGACCACATTGACCCAATCCCAAGGGTAATTGCCCGAGTTTTCCGTGCCCTCTAGATGATATGAGAGAGTAAGGTGAAATTCCAACCTGTTGGCGGAGACGACTTCATTCCTCATCCAAAACTCTCTCTCTTCCGCAAAAAGGCCTAGACTGACGCCATGTTGTTGAGAGTGGGAATATGTGCGACAGAGGTTGGGGCGAAGTGCGTCATAGACATCTTGCGTTGTGGCTTGAAGAAGTCCCATCCAGTTACAATGTGACCTCTTTTGCCGCCTACTCTCGAATTCAGAACCCTGCATGAGCACGAACTTGAGCGTAAGGTTCCTGGACCTCAGCTTCTCTATATCCTTTTCATACACGCTTCTATTGATGACCAGACTCATAGATTTACTCTTTGGCGACTTTACCTAGGCAAGTTTTAGTTGTAACAAGGCTAAACCCCGGATAGGCGACGACAATTTGTGGGAGCGAGTTTGTACTTACTTCACATTGTGGCCCGAGTTTCAACTTCTTTTTCAGTTCTTCTATAGCCATTTCCATATCTCTTACTATATCTAGGAAGCCCGTACAATTAACTCTTGATTCAACTCGTAATCTAACATTATCATTCTCCCACAGTAACTCGGGAAAGGCTGAGTGCATTGTCCTTAGCTCAGACGGTGGAGCAACTTCCTCAAGTAAGGACATACACGTATTTCGAAGACTGGTACTTTCTATATCGAGGTCTCGAGCCAGACCTTCTAGGATTCTCCTCTGGTCTCGGTACTCGGAAACTTTCTGATAGTTCCTTATAACTGAGATGATGAGGGGTATGGCACCTAGCACGGTGCCGACGATTTCGAAGCCGGACATTCTAGTGTTGAATTTAGATCCTCAGATTTACCGACAATGGTATAAAAAGAAATCTTAATTTTCTTCTTGCTTATGGGAAACTTCACTGAAAAGCGGGGGACAGGCCGCTCGGCTTTCATGAGAAGATGGTAGGGTAAGGCGGGAATTCTAGCAATCACATTGGTCCATAGCGTCTGTACGTACTGCCGCCACGTGTACGACGAAGTAGGCACGAACTCCGAACCCCGCTTCCAAGCCGTGCAGTTGGGTAAGCTATAATTCCTCCCAGATCGTCGCCGCGGTATAGGTTACCTACTTGGAGGTATTATACGATAATTGCTATGATGGAAGCATCGATTGCCCAGCACGTAGCTCAGTGTTTGAACACCTTTAAAGTGATCGCAAATACGCGTAAAAATGATAACAGCACCATAAAGACAATCACCAACGAGTGTGACAGATTCAAATCCTGGTCTGCAAGTACAAGAGCCCATCACAACGGGCAAGCCTCTTTAGACCGCTACTTACGTGATGCCTCTCACTTACGAACTCAAATCAAAACTCTCCTCAAAGACCTTGAAAGATCATTATGTGAGAGTACGTATGGGGGTATGGGGCGATTATCTATAATTACGTTCTAACGAAAATCAAGTCATATCCGTAATGAATTCTCTGGGTCAAATTAAAACTGATCGGAGTGACTTCATCGATGAGGGGCCCCCGCGATCGCCCGGCGACGCTATTGACCCTGGAAAGGAGATCGAGCTACCCCAAATAACTATGGAAGTAACTCATATTATTGACTGCCTTTTAAGACTTTTAGATTCGATCCGCCATCCAGCCCCCCTGGACCGTTTGATGTCCTATTCCTCCATAGATACATCCCATTTTGAAGAGAATGATACTTGACATGTCTTCGCAAAATTCAAAGATATAGATGAATCCCTAGCGGTCCGATTAGGAAAGGCGATTTCGAGACGGCGGCAGTACTTCAAGTTCTGTGAATCAAACTTAGGCCAGAATCTTAGATCCGAACAAGATTCAGCATCGTCGTTGATACCTCCAACGTCGGAAACTACGTCTATAATTAGCCAACCGGACGAGGACGGCTATTCAGAAACAGGAGCCTCTCAAACATCGTATGCGACAACCATGTCAGAACTCAATAATCCAAAGGAAAATAACGATTTAGATGCAGAGCCATCGCAGACTCGACCTAGAGCACCCATTCGAGCTTCCGAAAGGATTCAATTGCCACCTATGCCCCTGCCTACCACCGAAGGATATATCAGGTGTAACTACTGCTGCATGGCAATGCCAATCAAACGTTCCCAGCGGCGGTTAGTTATTATTTCAGAACCCTACAAATTCACATCTAACGTTCTGACGTAGGAGGCACGTCTATGAAGATCTTCGTCCGTATATCTGCCTCGAGATAGACTGCCTCACACCTGAGAAAGGGTACATAAGAAGCAGCGAATGGATAGATCATACGACACAGGCACATTGGAAGATGTGGATTTGCCCTTACTCTTGCCAGAAAAACTTTTTGTCGATAGATGACTTCAAGGAACACGTAACACAGAATCATCCACAAGCGCCCTCAGGAAGTGGTCTCGGCTTACTTACCGAGCTAAGTGAGCGGTCCAGGTCATGGGAGGAAGGAATATATTGCCCTCCCTGCAGTGAAATACTAGGAACTCCAAAGGAATATCAACGACACGTGGGTTACCATCAAATTGCATTGGCTTTATTCGCTCTACCTCCTTCATATAGAGGCTTTGAGACCATTGAGGAGGTTGAAGAGATCGAATCAAGTGACGCATCAGAAGAAAGCGAAAATTCGGTCATAGACGACGCCACCGAGGACCCTTTCTCAAATCAGTCCCTTGAAACCATCCTATACGATAACCTAGCTAGACATCGCGATGGGCCTGAAAAAGATTTCCTCACTCTATAATCTTTGCAACGCCTATTGCCAGCATCGAGAGCCCGGGAACACCTTAAAAGGCTCTTCCAAGAGGTCCTTCAACTAGGCTATACGCCCAAGCATGACAACGTAGATTTTTATCTAGGACTTATATGTATCGATAGTCGTTTTACGAGCGATCAGACGAGGGATAACAAAAAGACTTATATCAGTCTCTTTGCTACGCTTGTTTTTGCCGACAAGGCCACAGCCATCTTCGAATTCATAGATAGAGGCTTGTGTGACCAACAGCTGCCAATGGCCCCTCTCGAGGGTCGCGCTTTATCTTCAGAGACATTTAACTACATCAATGATTGGGGAAGACTCAACAGTGAAGCATTTGAAAGATGGCAGTGGAAAATGAATGTTCCCTTCTTAAGGTCCGGGAGACACGAAGAATTTGATCGCCGTGTTATCTTACCCTTCATAAAATATACAGAAAAGCCAATTCATCAAAGTATTGAGCACTCGACCGGTGTAGGAGGATATGGCGAAGTTTCCTTCGTGAAAATACATCAAGAATGCCACGATTTTCAAAGAGTCTGGAGTCTGGTGAGTAATATTCTCGCATTCAATTGGACACCTCCTAGCTGACGCATGTCGTTATGCTCTAGCTACCAACGCCAGAAGGCCCTTTCGCTATCAAGAGGCTTTTGGGGGCGGCAAAATCGCGTGTGGAGGTAGAATTTAAAAGAGAATTAGCTATGCTGAAGAGATTTGGTAACGGTGCACATTCACACATTGTTACACTCCTGATGACTTTCAAACACGGCGATAATTACCATTTCATTTTCCCACGAGCAGAGTACGATCTCCTTTATTACTTTGAAGCGATACCTCATCCAGAAAGAAGCCTTAAAAGAGTCCGATGGCTAGCCGAACAATGCCTTAGAATCACAGAGGCCGTCCACTTGATCCACTTTCCCCCCAGAGCAGATAATACAACGTCAGAAGGGGCATTATTCGGTAGACATGGCGATATAAAATCCGAGAATATACTTGTATTCAACGACGGGAATGGAACGGACGTCCTCGTCCTTTCAGACTTCGGACTTGGATCCATGCATCACGATCGGAGCAGGTCGAATGTTCCAAACAAAGGCATCCCGGCGACGCCAGGCTTTAGGCCCCCCGAATGTGATATGGAAGGCGGCACAATAAGCAGAGCTTTTGATATCTGGAGTCTTGGCTGTCTTTTTCTTGACATTCTAGTATGGTTCCTTGGCGGCGAAGATCTCAGGAGGCAGTTCGAAGACGCACGGATGACGCCCCACATTACGGGGGTTAACACGCCTATCTACTTCGAAATACTATCGACTGAAAGTGGGAATAATAGATATCGCGTGAAGGAAGAAGTAATAGATGTAAGAATAGCTATTCTCCCCAGCTTCGTTAACTTGAAGGCTAATTGATAATAGTGGTTTGCTAAGATGCACTCTCATCCCAATTGCACCCACTTTGTGCACGAGTTTTTGGACCTAATTGAGCGGAGGATGTTGCTCGTGGAATCGCGAAACCAACTGAGGGCGAGAACTCCTGAATTACTAGACCAGTTGAAAATATTCCATGAGAAGTGTGAGGGCCAGAATTACCAAGCTTACTGTCTTGATCAGGCCCCATTGAAACGTCTGTCGAGCAGAGTGCCTCAGGATTGCTGAGTGACACTGCTAGGGGGGTGGTTGATGTATCCCGTGTTACCACCAGGTTATTCGAGGGTAATATGGTTAATCCTACAGAGGATTAGCAAGAATTAACTTAAAATTGATGGAAAATCCTCCAAAATTAAACGACTTATAATGCCAAAAGATCTAACCTGACAACTAGAGAATTACGCCCCTTTACAATGCGATCACAGCATACCCATGTATTATGAAACCAGATACCTAATTGTCTTTTATAGAAGTAGTGACTTGTTGTAGATGATGGCAATGCGATGTTTCTGCCGTGGAGACGATCATATGAAATATCTTAGATACCTAGGTTAGGTACCCAGGCAGAGAATAATCCAACACATTAATAAGCATCTAGGGCTCAGACATGTTGTTTGCTGGTAAAGAGAGTGTTAAAAGTAACATGTGGACAATGTACCAAGTACAAGTAACTGGTTGTAAAATCAAACGTGGTTATCGTAATAACGGTCAACCCCATGGAGTCGTGGCATTCGAAAACGGCAGCATATACAATAAATTATAAATCAATCTAACAGGACATGCTCTCAACCAAGTACTAAAGAAGGCTAAAATCCCAATCTGCATCGCGGCAACAGGCAATACAGAACTGGTCGATAATTTATCGTCTATAAATTCCGAAATAGATACTCCGAGCCGTCATTAAGCGAAGGAGATACTGGCAGTTTCCGAGAACCCTACTCGAGTACTGGGCTTGGTAGGGAAAATACCTACCTACATATGTACCCAGGTATTTAAGTAGGTAGGTACTAATTATGACGCTACCAAATCGATCGGGTAGCGTCTCAGCTCATGTAGCGTCAAAGGGATAACGTCAGGCCATTGTATCCGGAGCCGAGTCAGGTCAGTGGGGACTCATCAATTGCGTCATGCGTTCTCAAAGGTGTTTAACCAACCAGTAGGCTAAAAAAGCAATTAGTTATCGATGCATTATCCGACTAAACGACCGTCATACACTTCGTCTTCCCTCCCATGTCTTGTATACTTCGCAGTTTCATAGCCGCCACATCAACAACACAACTACAAGTTATAAGAAAGATTGCCACGATGCCGGTCGTTAAATCAGCCTACGATCCCAAAGATATGCAGTTTCGCCACCTAGGGCCCACGGGTTTGAAGGTGAGTGTGCTGTCTTTGGGCGGGTGGTTGACCTATGGAGGTACGGAGAAGGGCGAAATTGTGAAGAAATGCCTCGAAACGGCCTGGAACCATGGTATCAATACGTTCGACACGGCAGAAACTTATGCTTCGGGTGAATTCGAGGTTGAGATGGGCCAGGCCCTAAAGGAGCTTGGATGGTCTCGTGATGAATACGTCCTAACTACTAAGATATTCTTCGGTACCGGTCGCAAGGAACCCAACACCCGTGGTTTGAGCAAGAAGCACATAGTCGAGGGTTTGAAAAGCTCACTTGAACGGCTACAACAGCCATATGTTGATGTTGTCTTTGCCCATCGCGCCGATTTTGCTACGCCAATGAAGGAGGTCGTAGAGGGTTTCACTCAAGTCATTCGAAATCTCAACCTTGCCTATTATTGGGGAACTTCGGAGTGGAGCGCTACCCAGATTATGGAGGCTACTCAGATTGCAGAGCGATATAACCTCATCGCGCCAGTCGTCGAGCAGCCGCAATACAACGCCTTCCATCGCCAGCGTTTCGAGGTTGAGTACGCACCACTATACGACCAGTTCAAATACGGCACCACTATTTGGTCCCCACTAGCATCTGGTCTGTTGACCGGGAAGTATAATAACGGCATCCCCGAAGGATCACGTTTCGCCAAACACGGGGAGTTCTTTGATAATACCATCAAGTCGCTTCAGAGTGAGGAAGGCAAGGCTAAGATCGAGAAGGTCAAGAAGTTGACAACGGTCGCTGAGCGTCTTGGCTCGAATACGGCATCGCTGGCATTGGCATGGACACTAAAAAATCCGAACGTCAGCACTGTTATTCTTGGAGCTACGAAAGTAGAACAGATCGAGGACAACGTCAAGGCTCTTAAGCTGGTCGAGAAGCTTACCCCCGAAGTTATGGAGGAGATTGAGAAGATCCTTGATAATGCCCCTGCTCATCCCCCGAAGCTTGGTCGCGAGAGATGAATTACCTAGGTACCGGATTAAAGGGTCGCGCGACGAGTTCTAGATTGAAACAATAATATAGATATCTGTTCAGCATAAAAATTCTCTAGAATTCAAACAGCTTAAGATTTTAGTCGTAGAATGGGTGGTTCAGGGGATGCGGGGGCGTAATCTCGTTTCTCTAGGAAGGGAAAAAAAAGCATATCTGGGTCACAATAAAGTGACGAAATGGCTATGGGCGACTACATGTATCTTTGGCGCTGAGATATGAAGCCCTGACCAATCATTTTATTCAACCTCGCCAACTTGCATATCAGCTTCCAACAGTTAAAAGCAGCGGCGCATCGAGGCTGAAACCAGTCTTTTCCATTGCTAATAACTTCTACTCTGCCATCTTTTATTTATTCATTGTTTTTAAGATATATGTTACTTCAATTCAATTTATACAGAGAACATGGATTGGTCAAAAGAGTCAGTGGGTATAAGCGACGTGAATCTGAGGAATGTCTTCAAATACGAACCTGAAGCGACGAGAGTAGCAAAAATACAGAGCCCAAATAAGGTGACAGTCTAGTTATATTTACACAGCAGAAGCGTACACCTAACCATACGCGGCAACAGAAAATCGATATTAAATTACTCGAGACGGATAAGGAGTGGGATCAATGGATGGACACGGTATGCAATCAACGCAACTGCTCAAGAACATGCTAATTGAAGCAAGGAATTACCGTCACCCGATAACGCCGAATCAGGCCTAATATTGATGTAGCACGAAGCTCACCTTAGATAAAGTCATACCTAGGCAGAAAGCTGACGATAATCATAGACTCGCAAGGAGGACAGGCCAGCAGACTCCGCCAATAGGCCAAGACATTATCAACAATGAAAAAACCTCAGAACCAGGGGAATCAAACGATCCCTTGCCGCCGAACCTCGGTGGGCGTCGCGGTGCCAGGGTGCTGCCTTTTTCGGTTGAAACTTTTCGTTCGATATCCAATAAGTTCTGCCTACACAACTCCATAGCGCGAGTGGTAAATCGAGCCGACGTCCCTATATTTTCTCGTGAAGAACTTGAGATGGGACAATCAGGTGGCTCTAAATACCCTGCATATGGTAAGGGGAGGAATTCTGAGTAGAACCATGTAGTTGGCAAGCTAATGAGAAGTTGCAGTTTATAATTGTCGGTCAACAAATGCTTGGGAAAAGGATCTCGCCCTGACGGCTACGCATTTTCCCCACATTGGTTTGACGTATGCGATGTTATTTGGGTGTCCAATATCCGTTGAAGATGAAGTGATCAGGCGATTGTCTTCTATAGACACGGCGGCGAGCCACCCTTTATTGATGCCCGGAATATTCGCCGAGCTTGAGAGAAGGCGGCATATAGGCATTGTTGAAGACTATATAGATAAAATCGAGGGGCTGATCTTCGAGCTTGACTATCAGGCCCCTGCCGGGCAGCAGGTAGATGGTTCGAAGAGTGAACGCAGAAACAAGGATAAACGGACGCAGTGGCTTGATACGGTGTATCTAAAGCACAATCTTATTAATTGGAACACGCAACTGGGCAAGATGGCTAAGCATGCGGACGAGCTCAACGATATACTCTTCAAACCGGACGGTGGGCAACAATCTTATAAAGAGAGTAGTAGCCTCTCGAATATAAGTGCCGGTAAGGGTACCGACGAAACCAAGGTTTACAATTGTGAGATGAGAAAGATCGGTACAAAGATCAATGACCGCCTTCAGATTATTATCGAAGAGTACGAAGAGAAGGCCCGAGACTGCACCATGCGGATCGATGGGATGGCGATGGCTACTCAATGGGTTCGGAACCCCCCTCCCACCCTCTCGTTTCCTTTTAGCTACCTTCGCCATTACATACTAACACATCGCATCCGGTAGTTCCAAGGAGAGACAAACGTCGATATAGCTCTAGCGACAAGGCGAGATTCCCAGGACATGCGGTCCATCGCAATAGTGACAATGGTTTTTCTCCCAGGAACGTTTTTCGCTGTATGTTGCCATGTCCTTTACGCCCTTGCAGATCTTGTATCAACAACAACTCACCTTCCATTAGAGCTTCTTCTCCATGCAGTTCTTTAACTGGTTTCCCGATGCCGTTGGAGACACCGTCGTTTCACAGTATTTTTGGATATTCGTCTTGGTGACTGCGATGGGGACCCTACTAACAGTTGGAACGTGGTATTATATTGCCGTTGTGGCCAGACGTGCCCATCGACGAGAAGAGGGGTCGGAGAACGATTTATCTAAGCTTGTATGAGGAAATGTTATAATAGAGAGCCAAAGTATTTTAAGGGATGTGTCATAGATATATTAGACAACAAGTTTTTTTTATTTTTATTGTGTATTGGATAAAAATACGATGATGTACGATAGTCACATCTACCATCTACTTATTTAGGGAGTACGCGCCGTTTAAAACGAAATGCTCACTTACCATGGATTATGGCGTCGTAGGAACGAAACGAACTTGTGCTGCCCAAAAACAACTCAATCAAGACACGATTAGATATTTAACTCATCAGGTATGCATTCGTCCACGATGTCGTCATAAGCATATAACGCGATCGGAGCTTTGTAGCAGTGGCTTAGCATGTTACTCACTATCCCAAGGTTTCCTTACACGCTCCACGAAATGTACCCTAGAACCGCGGGAATCTGAAGACGCCCCCGTACACATCTGCGTATGAACCTAGGTAGTAGGGTTGTAATATGCGATCTTAATAATGACCAATGTAGAAGATCGAACTGATGAATAGCCGAGGCATAAATGTGATCACTGCGTACACAAGTGCGGTGGGCGAGGACACATAAGTAGAATAATCGTAGATATTTATTTATATATTTTCTTTAATACCAGGATTGGCATGGATTAGGGAACAGGAATGAGGGACAGTCCTCCGCAGCGGCCGTTGCCATCGTCGCCTAGCGTTCTACTCCCACTTGGGTATCATTGCATCATGGATTTTGGCTGGGGGGCTTGGGGAAACGTTCCAATAGCCCGGACCCCTCTTTACCCTGCCATCAAGCATCATTCATGCGAAATCCCTCAGGAGGAAAGAAGAAGATAAGTTGGAATAAAAAAGTAAGAAAATGTGAAAAATAAATGTGATATAACGTCAGGAAAGCCCTAAAGGATCTTGGTTTTCTCGACGTCATCTATGCTAAGCCTTATGGTTAGTGCGGTGGCAGATTCTTACTAACTTGGGAATTGGCGTGTGGAAAGGTGAGAGAAAAAAAGGCCTGGACGTTCGTGGGAGGTAAAGAGTAGCGGCGTCTATGAGCGCATAGCGTGCTCGGCAAGGCGTAAAAAACCCACCGCTGATCAGCCCGCTGCGTCCGATCTGTGCGTCAGCGTAGGTCACTGCTCGAATAGAGTTGGGATCGTTGACCGTTGACCACGATGATGGTACGATGGACCCCTATCTATCTGAGCATCTACCAAAATCTACATACGTATGTGCAATACTAAAGAACCTGTAAATCGTGTCCAATCTATTGGCCTCGGGATGTACAGCCTGTAGATGGGATTCTTTAAATTTCCCGTTTCGTTTATGTATGCGATCGGGTCAGTTCTTTGGTTTACTCTTTTGGAAATCCTCATAATGCCGTAAAGCCGAGAGGGCTTGTTTCTTATGTATCGTGTCTAAAGATAGGACTTTTTCTTTGTGGAAATGTCCGCTAGAGTAAGGAGGATCAATACGAATAACCTACGGCGGAATCGGATACGTTGTCGGCTTCCAAGGAGCCGTACCATATTTGCACAATTGTGCAAGTGTAAATTGCTTGGGTTAGCTATACCAGATGCGTCATGGGCAGGTTTTGCCGCTTTGTTTAGGACTGGAAATGGGGAGGGGAGGATTAATTCTGTTCATTATGCGGAGTCGAGTCGGCTGGGCTTTTGGGGGTAGTTTGCTGTAAGCGCTGATCATCGTGAGGCGAGGGCTCTCGAAGGCACTAATGCAAGCTCTTTACACATCTGTACACAGTAGCTTTATTATTCCGGGTCAACCGTATCTGGCCGCGAGCATGATGAGAAAGATTTTAAGTGCCGCACAGTTCTTTAGTGGGATGGGTTCTTGAAGCTTCGGCCCCTCCCGTCTCGGTCTCTCTTTTTAACATTGGAAATCGTATTGGGTTGATGGATGTATTAAGTGCTTCGTGTCTGCGGTTCTATGGTGACCATCCGGACGGGCGGTCTAAAATTTGCGATATAACTAGATCTAATCTGACCTATGGGGGCTCGGAGAGAAACAAAGAAATAAAAAATCGACCAAGCCTTTGACCCATTCTGGAAGATCCCGCCAGAATGGCCGGTCCTTGAAAGCGTATCATCCATTTGGAATTAGGAATGGGGTACCCGCCAGTATGGACCAAGACCGGCCTAACAATTTGGCCTATATGTTGTACCATTAAATACAAACTACAACTGGCTTTTCTGTAGGTCGCAGATTCGGGTAAGTGGCGATGGAAACTGGTGACCTAAGTGGCATATTTTGGTGGACACATCAACCAGATTTACGGTGGTAGAGGCCATGTTAGGTCCGGAGAGACGGGCAAATAACGTGATAGCTCCCCACACGAAGCGCCCACACCGTGCTAGGTACTCCTCGTTTCCCCAGGTACTGTGAACATAGTGGATCGTTGAAGAGAGGGATTCTTGCGTATGGACATTTGTATGGGCATGAGCATCTCAAGGTGCAGCTACAGATACCTGTATATTCCAGGGAGGTATGCAAACACAGTGGGCGTGCAGCATGGGGGTCGCTGGACCTCCGCTTGAGCAAGCTGGTGCCTGCGTTTCTTCCCGGCCGCGAGAATATCATCACATTTAAATGTGTGGTTTGGATGTAGTCTGCATAAGTTCCAGGGTATCTGGAGCTACATAGTACCAGTATGCGCCCAGGTGCGGAGACTCGATCGTGAGGGGTTGAGAAGGCTTCCACTAATATCCCGAGTTTTGCTCACACCGCTAGAAAGGAAAGCTTTCTGGGCCAGTGCTGCAGCATTTTTCGCTATTCCTCCCACTCACTACCTTATCAAGCCAGTCAACCTCGTAGTCGTGTTGACGCTGGCTGGTGGCGCGAGCCGAACAAATCAACTCGAAATCCTAAATCTAGGTGAGCGGATCGCCAAATGAGGCATTTGAGTCACGGTGCGGTTGCAGATGCGATTCTGCCTGCTGAGATTATCGATCAAGCTTCCCAACGCTTAGGTCGGCATACGTAAGATATTTGATGACTATCCCGATATGATGGGATGATATTACTCTGAGCTTCCCATTCTGTCTTATGTTACTAGCATAGGACGGCGGCACGTGGAAGATGCTATGTACTCGTGAATAGCTGACTGCCTGGAACGAGAGCGAGGCTTAGATGCATGAGATCACTTAACCAACACAATATAGGTATCATCCTTCAACGGTAATTCAACTTGGGATCCGGGGTGGAGGGAAGGGATAATGACAAAATTGCGGATCAGCCAGTTGTAAGAACTTGCCTCTCCTTCATACGCAAAGGCTACACAGCTGCGTAGTTTGTTCTGTTGAACAGTGGCGGCTTCGACTCTGCAACCTTGTCAGCCTTTTGGGTTGCGGCCGACCATTCCGTACCTAGTACGTAAATGCTCGCGTGCATATTGGGGATCTGACACGGGCAAAGATGGCCCTTTCTTTTCCCACGCGACCGAAGCCACGGAACCCCTACGTTCAAAAAATTCGAATGGCTTGTTGACCCGCTTAATGTCGAGACTTGAAAGACACCGCTACTGCAGAGACGGACTCATGCAAAGGAAAATTCTTCTTCGGCTGGAGAACAAAAGAGGGGGTTTGAAAAAAAACACGGCAAACTAAAAATCAACCTAGTAGATTGATTCCTTTCAATCAAGAAGTTTTCTAGCTTTTCTATCGTTGTCTGTGGAGCAAATGGTGCTGCAAAGCAACGTCTGGCCTTTCCGCACTCGCTCGCTCCCCACGCATGTACGGAGTACACAGAGTGAATTTGATGAGTCGGATGCCGCTGCATGTAAGTGGGGGTTGGGAGCGTAAAACCAGCGTAACCATACATATAATACAACGGATGACAGAATATCGTATCTGGAGAAGGCTGAAGTCGAACTAACAAGACCGTCCGAGCTTCCCTTGAAACTGCAAGCCACTGTTGAGGAACAGCCTTCATTATGGGCCTTCATTGTGGGATCCTACGGAGCTTCGCGGTACTTTGGTGGATGTATACAAACGCGACACAGGACCGTTTTGTGTTCTAGGCTGTCTGAGATTCTGATTCGGTCGTCTAGCCAGCCAGCCAGCTTTGCCAAGTTGGAAAGGGTAGGGATCCATGTGGATATTCATAGTAGCAGTAGGTCAGTCCACTCCCGAGGTCTCGCCAGATACTAGGCAAGTGATCCGCCTAAGGACCGGTTCTTTGACATCCTTTTCTTCTACGTAATTGGTTAGATCGATAGCCGAAATAGTGACCTACTTGCGTTTTCCCATTACCTCATTAGCGAGGCTGGGCTGTGAAGGATGTTGCCGATTTTCCATCGAAAAAAAGTTGCATACATTAGTTTGATCTTCAAAGGAAAAATGCCCCTTTCGACAACAGTGACACAAACCGTTGTTAGCATCGAAAACAACCTACATAAGTGCTGAGGAGAATTTCTGTGGCGGTGACGTATGATAATGATGGGCGATGCACATGTATGAAGTAAGGGGAAGGGTGTCATAAAGTAGCAAAAATCCGGTGATCCGTGGTTTGAGTCTTGCAATCAGCAACAAGAGTTCGAACACACCACGTATGAGTGGGTGTACCCATCATGACTATTTCCTTACCTACCTACAGGTGTGTGCTGAGGCGTTCGAGAATTTCGGGATGAAAATGTGATCGAATGTGGGATTACCAATCGCGCACTGGCATGGCAACCTAGCAACCAAGGAGCTCAGCAGCTTAGCAATGCGTGAGTGTACCGCTTGTTGCAACGATCGGACGTTGAGTGGATATTACAAGTTGAGCAACTGCAAGCCGAGACTCGATGCTTCGGTTTAAAATCCCTCAGTGGTTCCGAGTTTCTCTAATATTGCCAATTTAACTTTTTTAAGGAGGGTTTTTAGGAGTCAGCGTTTAGTAGGGGGTGTGGCTCTACGATGGGATCCATCTGCTCCTTATGAATCTTATGGTCCTGATAGGTTGGACCACTTACGGGGTCGTGTACTATGTAGGTAATTCTGGAAATTATCGGATCGGTACCTGAATACATGCCTCACAGGGATAGCTTCACTCATTCTATCCATGTTCGTATGGATGATGGGTCATGGATGTCTTACATGCATGTAAGAGGTACGTAGCTGTCTAGTCGGCTAGACATTATTCCAGACACGCGTCCAATGATAGGATCAATCTCACTCAGAGCTTCCCTTGCGGCCACATAATATTTATATCGGGATGCTGGTGCCTTCCAGCAGAGGCTTCGTCCTATTACGAGGCAGATGATCCCATTAATCTTTGTTTCCTGTAAATAGGCTGTTACATGCTTTGGTAGGCATTTATATCAAATATCGTGGCATATACACCCTTGCATGCATATACATACAGCCAGTACAACTACATAGGTACATACATCCAGGTGGGAGTTCTCCCCATGTTTTCCTGCAGTGTTGTGGCTGTTCATTGTTAGAAGCCGTAGAGCACGGGTCACCTGTTGCACCGTCCCGAGGAGAAGGCTCAGATGGGGTTGGGGCCCTGCTGTCTGTGCTGTCTTACAGGGTCCTTGATCTTCATCGCTACATGGTTGCCCTACACACCTGTGGTTTCGCGAAATCTGTATGTGTACTTACATATGCCGATGATTATTGAAGAAATAAGGATGTACCTACCTAGGTCAGTGCTTTCTACCTAGCTGGTTGTGTGGCATTAGAAGCCAAGTGAAAAGTGAACATGACTGACCCTCCAAAAAGCCGTACACCTTTATTAGTCCTTAATGGCTCTGATGTTCCTTGATTCTTGTCAACGGAATTCCCTCGGATGTGACAATACACGGTGGTGAGGGAGGTTTCATCCTAGTCATCCAAGCCTAAGAGCCCGATGGATGTGATTGGTCAAAATAGGGTAAAGTAGCTCCTATTAAGACGAGCTACAGCACCTGCGCAGCTACACAGCTACAGAATACATTAAGACTGCTAAATTAAGAAATGATATATGTAATATACCCCAAAATTGAAAAATACCGTTTTCGTATTGCCGAGCGCATTGCTGGAACAATAGGACTCCGTATCCCACGTGCAAGGGAAAGCTATCCCGTTTCGACCATACAATGATATGACCTTTTATCCAGATGGGGGATGCAACACATATCAAAACAAAGGAGCAAAGGGAGGAGATGAAGGTTCCGAAATGAGTAGGAGCCCGACTCGTACACTTTCGGTTATCGTTGAATAAGTGTTAATTACAAGTATACAAGCTTATGGGAAAAGAGTAATAAGAACAACAATAGTAATAGTTTCCGCATTCAGAATGGAAAGTATGTCGTTCCCGAAACTTCGTTTAAGTTGTAACATTTGGTCGGTTCGAGATGGAATTTCTAATGTGATGCGATTAAAATGTTGAAGGGCATCATTTTACACGTGCTAAAGGGAGTACAAAGCCAACGGTTTACGTTTTCTTTACCTAATTTGGTTAGATTGTATTGAAGGTTGACCCATTCGAAACTAGCGAATAACTAAAAGAAAAGCATATTGTTTACCTAGGTACTCTTTGAAATAAATCTTTTTGACAACTAAAATATCTTAAAATATGGCTGCCAACCCAACTTACTCGTGCTAAATTTCATCGAAACTAAAATGACTAACCATGAAACAGATGCCACTATCAAGTCCAGACTAAATAGCGTATCTTAGCAGCTTAGGCATCTAGTAAGCGTTGTTTTTCTTTCGCCAGGACCTCGGTGCTTCTCCCGCCAATATACTTAGTACCAACAAGTTTGAAAGGGAACGCGTACGTATCACGAGGTTAATGACCACCCGGCGTAACTAAAATAGGTAGGACCCTGATTTTCAAAGATGGGTGTTTAATTTCCAACGAATTGTTTACATAGCAAACCAAGAAAACTCGAAAAGGGGGAGAGAATAGAACGAATGAGTGTTACTTGGGCAAATATTTCATTTTTTCGTTTTTCATTTTTCGTACTCGATACATATTAATAGATGCCTCATTTGGATTTTTCTTTCCCTTTTTTGTTATGCCTCCAGTGAAAATACTTCAAGCGCTGTAATTCGGTAGATCGGCTACAAATTCATATGCGCAATAACATACTCGGGCCATATGTATTGGTGGAATTAACCAAAGCATTATCCACTCGCCTGCTTGTCTCCTGTTAATGTTCTTGGTACATATGAAAGTACATATGTAAATGCAGCGCTACGAAAAAGGCAGCACTTTCGAGCCCCTGAAGTACCTGTGTACATATTTTTATGTGTATCCTTGTCCCTGTATAAAGTATTTATACCAGGTCGGCTTCTAGTAGCTACCTAAACGGTGCTAGAATATAGTGTAGTGGCCCCACTCCAAAGGAACATTACTGGGAACCGTGAACCACGAACCACCAAAGCAGGGCTATTCCGCAACCTCCGCTAGGTACCTCCTTCCAACCAAACCATTACTCCATTTACTCCATTACTAACAAGGTTGATCCACCCGCACCTAATCAGTTCTGAAGCAGACGCCCCCCTTGTTATTTTCCTCAGTAACTTTTCCAGTGGCCACTCGCTCTTATTTTTTTTCTGACGCCTGCGCGTTCGCCGCCCCGATGATTTCCACAGTGGACATCCCATACAAATAGCGTTTTTTTCTTCTCACGCCTAGTTACGAGATACGTACACTTTGACACAAGGGGACAGATTGGCGCTAGCGGTCAAAGAAGCAGTCCCACTTAGTCTTCTACAGTACACTGGCAGACTGGTTGGCTAGTTGATTTTTTCCTTAATTTTTTCCCTGACTTGAAGTTGCTATGGGTGGTTTAGGTGGTCTGGGTGTCTGAGTTGTTGCCAGTAAAAAAAAAAAAAAAAAAAAGCCCTGGAAGGGTGTTTGTGCTTTATGGTGTGTGTGTGGGCATATCCATAATTTTTTTCTCTTCCTAAGCACGGACTCCATCAACATCATCACTTGCCATTTCTATTCTCATCTTCCTTCTCTCTCTCTTCCCCATCCCCATCCTTCAACCTCTTCCCCCCCCAAAACTTCTTCCGCCTCACCACACATTTTGCCGCTTCGACCTCCGTCCTCCCTCTTTTTCTTTTATTTCTTTCCTTCTCCTTAATACCTCGCAATCCCCGCCGATCTGTCAATTTCATTCGACTTCGACCGAATTTCGATTCTCGATTTCTCGGAGTTGTCGACGCTAGGGTTCAGGTTTAACTTACCATCACATCCGGAAGCAGAAGAAAAAGAGAGAGGCTCAGCGAAGCTGTACTTTGTTGTGCAGGAAAAAAAAAGAAGTGTTCGAGCTGGACAACAATAACGACGACAACAACTTGGTCTCAGTAATACTTGGTTTGTGACCATCGACCTTTGTCAAAGCCGTCTCGCCGTCTTCGCGAGCGAAAACGACCCAAAGCTCCGACCACAGTCACGACCTTTACGACCAACTTTGTAGTTCAACACGAACAGCACGACAGTTGACTCGATTCGACTAGAAACGACCTCGATTGGCCTCGTTCTTCGACTCATCTTCGCGATCATCCTAGTTGACGAATCATCGAAGTGCTTGTCGCTGTCAACATTCTTACCAGGTAAGCAAATCGACATATTTTGACAACATACCTATTCAGACAATTCACCCTACTGCCTCAACTCGCATATGTTGTTCTTATAACATTGGATACTTATTACAATTACTACCTACTGCATTGTTTTTTTCTCAATCTTTACACGAATTTGATTGTTTCCATTGTCGAAGTTTATCCTGAATTTCATAAATCGAAGCATTCCTCGATTCTACAAATACCAAACATCTATTTTTATCCAAGTTGGCTTTGATTTCGAGGTCTGGATGAAAAAGAAAGCATCTCAAGCCTTGGATTCGTTCTCCATTCATTACCCAATCATTCAATTGAGCTACCCAACTATCAAAAACAATCAACCCGTCTTAGTTTATTTGGGTGGATATTTGCACCAAAACCAACGAGAGCACAGTCAAAGAAAATTTCTTCGATTCCAATCCATTGTTCTATTTACACACAATACCCGGAATAAACAACTAACCAACACACTACTTTAGTTTTAAGAGGTCTTAACTGCACCTCTTTGCTCGACCGCCTTCGCATCTTTTCCTAGATACGATTTTCATCATCATATTTTTCACAGTTGGCCTCTGGCGAGTTCAGCAAAACACCTCATTCGAGTAATTCCTATCAGCGTTCATAAATTTTCCTTATTGAGACATCAATCCACGACCAACGATTTCCCAAATCGAACAATACATCAAACGAATCGTCTAGCATAGCGGCAACCGATTCATGGCTCGAGCGTCTCAATAGGGTTCTCAATAACCTTCTCCTTTTCCGCACCTCTCCGTCTCTTCAGCCTTGGAAATTTCAGCCAGTTGTGTCGTGGTTTTCCCACACACCTGAGCCGTCTCTCCACGTGCTAGAAGCAGAATACCTCCGGCAAAGGTCGACCCTAGATCTTTGACGGAGCTCTCTCCCCCCAACCGCCATCATGCCGGGCGGCGTCTGCGCGGTTCTCGATTACGAGACCGAAATGATGGCTGAGTATGTAGCTGAAATGGCCGTACGAGTCGTCCTCCCCAAGTCTTCGGTTTCTGGTGCATTCCGCAAGTTCGTGAACCAGATTCTTACCTCCACTCGACTTCCCAGTACTACCATCCTCCTCGGAATGAACTATTTGGCCAAGCGGGTCAATATGTTAAACCAGACTGGCCAGTTCACCCCGAATGATGGTCAGATGTGGAAGATGCTTACCGTTGCCCTGCTCCTCGGTAGCAAGTTCTTGGATGATAACACGTTCCAGAACCGCTCGTGGTCCGATGTTAGCGGCATTGCCGTGTCGGAACTCAACACTATGGAAAATGAGTGGTTGAAGCACATCGTCTGGTCCCTATATGTCAACCTTGACAAGAGCCACGACTACAATGCCTGGCTCAAGAACTGGAAGGAGTGGGAAGAGAACAAGAAGTTCCACCAGTTACAGGAGCAGCAACGACAGCAACAGCAGACACAGTTGGCCTTGCGCGAAAGGTTGGCACCCATTGTCACAGCTATCCATTCAGAGCCCGCACGACAACACCATCCTCTCGCCTTCCAAGGTTGGACTCACGAGGAGATTGTCGAACATGAGCGGCTCAGTATGCAAGCTCGATTGTCTCAGGCTAACCCAGGTGCTTACCGTGGTCGGGAAGGTTCGTGGACTGGTCAGTACTCGAACCCTTGGTCGCAGCCTCAGGCTCCCTTGACACCTCCCGATTCCGGTTATGGTACCCCCGAGTACCTGAACTCGGCTGCCTCGGTCAACGCCTCCTACGAAGAGTGGTTTGCCCAGGCAATCAACAACGGTTGCTATAACCGACAATACAAACCTAGCCATGGTTATGGGTCTAGAAATGGTTCTCACTTTCCGCAGCCCTACTCTGGCCATTTTGGTCATAATGCGTGGGAGTCCGGTGTCGCTGATTGCAGCTGCAATCAGTGCAAGTCTCAACTTCACAACAAAGCACCTCCCTATTTCCAGCACCACAGCTACACACAGCCTGTGATGGGTTAAACCCATTCTTCCACGATCATGATGATACCGTCGATTATTGTCGACTTGAGTTCGGTTGAGGCCTCTTATGGTTTGGGAACAATAACAATAATGTCTACTCCGACATACTTCTGCAACATCTTCTGGCACATACCTTTTTTTCATTCAGATACCCCTCGGAGTTTCCGAAATATAGGCATTAGGATTGTCTTGTTGATGCGAGAATGAGCTGGGGTGTTGGGTTGGTTTCATCGACTTGACTACGCACGAATCGATAACCGGTCGGTGACGTCTATATGCGATACCCCCGTCCGATGTGACTTGGTCCATCGATCAAAAAAGTTGATTCTATTCCCAGGATTGGTGGTGATATCCTCTGCCCCGATACGTGATGCTCCCTTTGTTTTTGACGACTTTCCCGCATCGATAATTATATTGGCGTTTATTGGTCTTGTTGCCTAGGTTTTTTAGGGCGGTTCCGGTGTTCTTTTCTCATTTACCATAGATTCTGGCATGTTTCTTTTCGGGCTCGCATTTTTATAGCGGCGGCGGTAAAATTGAAGGCTTTGTTCGGCGTTTCCAAAAAAAATTAAGAGATGGACATTTCAGACAACCTCGTCGTCCAGTCGCTCAGCTATACTCCGAGTCTATTTTATTGCACGATAGATCTCGTTTCGTCAGCAGCATCGTTGCTGCTTCATATAACAAGCCACGAGTCCTTCCCTTGCCAGGGTTGTGTCTTTATTCACATTCATCGCTCTGACCAGCATTGGAACTACTTTCGTGCCATCCACGATTTCCTCACGATTCTTACGTTTGTTCGATTCACGATTCCCCATTTGACGCTGGTACGACTCATCAGCTTTTCGGGTTGTCACACCGGTCTTCTCAGTCGGTGTCGATATACCATAGATCGATCCCGATCATACATGTTCCACTTGTGGATCATAGGATATTCGAGGTCTTTCGCCACGTTTGAGGGTTCTCTGGTGCTAATTGTTTTCATTTATACTTCGGTTGACATACACAAAAGGGTTACTAGCAGCCGCGATGGGTGGTAGCATTTGGAATGAAATGAAAAATTTGGCCTTTCGTTCGCGTTGATAATACTCAAGTGTTATTCTCGTCCTTGGAAATTGGGACGAAACGGCTGGGGATGTGTGTTCGGCGACATTGTCAAAATGTTTACTCTTATCGCCATCATTACTACCCGTCGTCGTCGGCCCTTCGACGCCGCGAAAACCAATTACTTACACATGTCGATGTTCTTCGACTACAAAAGGGGGATGGAAATGGAAGTGTATTAGGGCTATTGGATTGCCCGCGTACTTTAATAGTATCGGGGTTGTCATTTCTACTGTTCTCGGCCCCTAAAGATGTGGCCTTTTTCTTTCTCTTTTCGATCACACTTCTTTCATGATTGCCACGACCACATACCAGGCAATGGGGTTAGGTTAAGGGTTTGCGGACTGACTGAAATGGCACCTATTTGGGGTAGGAGGAAAGGATTCTTAGGGGGGGCAGAGGTTGATATCACTGGCGAATTATTATTTGTTTCGCACGCATAGCCACATTGTTGGAGGTTTGGCTGTCTTGAAGTTTGCATGCCGCGGTTGGTTTGGTTTGGTCGTCGGTCGGCTCATCGGTGTCCCTAATAGATGAGGACATACGATAGCGGACAGGCATAGCATTTACATATTTTGACTGGACTCGATTCCAACCCGACCTCCCTTGGCTGGTGGCCCGGCGAGGCTCTTCTGGCTTAGCTTAGCTTGGCTTAGCTTTGGTTGTCACTACTACTACTACTACTACATATATCGATAAACCTAGACTAAAAATATTAAACTGTGCAAACTTCACTGAATATATTTGGCTTTAACATGCTCTTGGAACGCGAATGTGACTTTTTGAGTGATTGTTTTGTGTGGAGTTGTGGGTGGCTTCCATGTGGGTATACATTGGCCTATGCAGGCGAAAGCAGTCCACCACAATGGTATTGGTTGGACATTTAGATTAAGGCATTGTCACAAATAAAAGACTGAATCTGATATGTAGATTATCATATGTAGCCTCGGGACCTAGTTCGAGTATTTTTAATCACCTCCGTAAATGGTTCTTTGATCTTTTACGGTTGTTGGTTTGACGATAACCCTGCGGTTGTTTCCTTAGTAGCTACACTGCGCAAGGCATATGCTGTGGAACTTTAATACAGTAAGCAGGAACCCTTACATATATGTGTGTTTGTTCCCTACAGATTGATATAATAATAGCAACGAGATGAATTTAGCTTTGTGGGGATTTTTATTATGGATGATGGGGGTATCCCTTCGTTGAGGGCGGATGTTTGCATTAGAAGAGTTCCAGAAAGTGCAAGAGGACAAGGGACATCTGGAGGCGGGTCTTCGGCTAGCTGCAGGGGTCCGAAGCTTGGACGGGCTTATCGATTAGATGGGCTTGGTGGCTTATCTAAGCCGAGGATTATTGAGCTTTGCGTTACCTCGTTCGATGTCTTTCGAAGGTTTATTATTCGTCGGATAGATCCGTTGATTTCAATTATATTTGCCAGTCTCAAATAAACAGTCTTGGGAGCACACGGACTTGGCACTTGGAGACATGACATCGCGTTTTGTCTCAGGCGGTACGATTGCCGGCGATGGGGAGCCTGGTGTGTCAACGTCTACGTCCAAGTCACCGCCACCGCAACCTAGTAAAGGAAATGAGTGGGATAAGGAAACGGCGAAGAAGAATTCGGAGTGGGAGGCTGTGCAGCGCGATTTAGAGGCGGATCGGAGGCGGCGAGAGGAGGCGCGACGCGCGCAGGTTGAGGGGGGTGGGGGTGGAGAGAGGAGTTTGTATGATGTGCTGCAGGCTAATAAAGGTGAGATTTAAACTACTTTTCCCCTTTCCTTCCGAAGTGTTTTGAGTTATGGGGAGGTTGTGGTGTTATAGGAAGATATGGGATGAGATAAGTGTGAATGGAGGACAGCGAGGGGCGCAGTAGCTAATTGATACCTCAACATAGCGGCGAAGCAAGCGGCATTCGAGGAACAGAATCGCATTCGCAATCAATTCCGAGCACTGGATGATGATGAGATTGAGTTCTTGGACGGTCTGCAAGATGAACGGCGCACTGAGGAGGAGAGAGTAAAGCGCGAGACTGAGGAACGGCTTGCGCAGTTCCGTGAGGCGCAGAAAGCTGGGGGTTCCACTAGCGCCGAAGGGGCTGATGGTGATGGTGATGAGAAGGATAACGCTGAAGATGACGCTGTGGCGGTCGAGTGGAGTAGCGGTCCGGGCAAGAAGCGCAAGAGAGGTGACAAAGAGACGAGGAGTATCGTGAAGGGCGTTAAGAGGAGGACTAGCGAGTTAGAGGGAAGTGAGGCAAAAGCTTCTAGCCCGGAGACGAAAACGGAAAAGAAAACGACGGTGACTCATATAGACTCGGACTTGAAAGCGAAAGACAATGCTAAACCCATGGTCACGAAGGACGCTCAAGAGAAGCCCAAGCTCGGTCTGGTGGACTATGGTTCTGATGACGATGATGACGATTAGTTCACTGGTTGATGGAGTCTTAGGATGCGATATGGCATTATCGGAATAATGCCAATAGTTAAACTTCACTGTCAGGGCTTCGATCTTGATCTGACGGTGGGGTGACTTGTCGGTGCGCGGGTGGATATCAAGACTTGATAATTCATGGACACCTCTCATTGTTTGGGAATAGTGTTGGGTAAGCATTTGACACTTTGGACTTGCTCAGACTATGATTACTTACGCTACTAGCGACCCGAACTCTAAATTAGAGGATCGCATATTACGAGATATCAATACTACACGTGGATCAAGAAACCGGGGTCATGCTCTGGAAGTAGAGTTGTGATTAATTATATGCAAATACGATCACAAGTTTCGTTGGCCTGATATCTCGTAATTCAACATCACATGACATATCAACCCTTGGGTTTCCTTCAACCCCCTACCGATACTTTAAATATCCCCTATGCGTCATATATGCAAGTTGTACAAGACAGGTAGCTTTCATACCAGTCGTGAATGCGGCCCCTACGGTATACTATCCTTCTATGTTTATATTTTACAGAGCCCCCGCATTATCGTACTTTACATTTTGAATCTCTAGTTGTAAGTGGTAGTGTAATCGCATTCACTCGTCAGGCCATGAGGGGTTAGGTTCGGGTTTCGAAATAGCCCAGCGATAGAGGCTTCGTAAGCTTCCCTTGATCCAGCCCTCTACTTCCTCCTCGGGAACGATTATCTCCTTGGCGTGGGTCTCATCTTGAGGTTGTATCTCGAAGCGGCGCATACGCATTGCGATTCGGGGATCTAGTACTATAGGCTTCGCCCAGATCTTCTCTGATGGTGTAGCTGCAGCGTCATTTTCGCCCTCCTTGGGCATCTCGTCTTCTTTCCATACCGACTTAGGCCAATTGCTCTCCTCATGTTCGAGGGCGGTCTGCTGCTCGGCCCGCGTTAAGTCCGCATCTTCACGGTACTCGCGCGCCGCGGCAAGGCAAACGGCAGCAACCTCGCGGCCAATGTCGTCAGCTAGGTATCGGCGGTTGAGGAATCGTCGTAATCGAATGAAAGTATTAGAGAAGCCGAGGATGTGGGGAAATTCTATAGGTGACGAGGGTGAGAACTCGGAGGGGATGAGTAGTGGGAGGGCGGATGTGGGGTAATCGTTCGTAGTATTATACGGAGGTGGTTGCGGCGGTCGCTCCGGTTTTTTTTCCGGCTTCTCTTCAGGTTTCGTCTCTTTCTCTCCCTCGCCCCCTTCCGTCGAAGAGACCGGTTCTTCAACTTTCTTCACTTCGGGTTCAGGTACCGGAGGTGGGGTAAGCGGTCCTAACCAGCCTTCATGTATTCCCCGGACATACTCCTTCCATGTGTGTCGGCCAATTACGATATCACCTCGAATACCTTGCCATTCGGGGGTTCCGTTGTTCTTCCTTATTTGTTGTACTAGCTCATCTTGAGTCTGCCCTTCCGTTTCCGGTTGTCTTGTCCTCCGTATTCGCTCAGCTACCGCAGCTCGGATATCGCCTTCTTTCCTTCCTTGTACGAATTCCCAGTCCAATCCCGACGAAGCGAGTACCGGTTTTATGTATTCGGTAAAGTGGTCTTGTGCGACACGCAAGCCGTCGGCTGGGGGACTCTCGAGAAAGACAGTCAATTTTCGGGGGAGCTGGTGTGGATTTGAGAGGGGTTCGCGGGCGAGATGTGACACAGCTTTCGCCCACCGAGCCGTTGCGCGCTTCTTTTCCCGCTTGTCGTATATTACAGCAGCAGAGAATGAACCGGTGATGGCAAAAAAAATCATCCAGTTACGAGAGGGGAGTTTCCTGGGTAAAACTGGAATACCCATCATGCGAAAAGCTGGGTTGGGTTTCGGAGCCTTGTAATCTACTGCTGTGCCCGTTGTAGATGTCGCCTGTCTCATATTAGTCGAATATTCTTTCTTTTTTTCTCTAGACGTACAGGAGCGGAGGGCGCAGCGGGTTGGCCCGGAGGTGGCGTTGGCTCCGCCATGACGAATTGCCGCAGAAGAAATGCTCTTTAGGAGACAAATATTATATCTACACGTCTTGCCGAACCAAGGGCGCCCGTATAAACCAGAGAGCCAATCTGGATTTTAGCGAGTCCGCGCAAACACCAAGACGGAACACCTAGGAACCTCGTGAGATCTTCGATGTTGTAATATTTTTGGTGAGGGACCTTATCGACCGATAACAAAATTTAGACGGCCCGGATCTACGTAGCTCCTATCGGAATGCCCCACATTCTGTACCAAAACCCAAAAGTACCTGGGTACCCAAAGTTCTTTAGCTGACCGACTCCAAGGTTCCGATCCAATTAGATTGAACCACTCAATATGGACATATGTAAGCATATATCCAGTATACGATATTTAAGAAAAGGAACTTTTGCAAACTGTTGTATGAGTTCAATTCAAGCTGTCTTAATCAGAAAGTTGATGGTAGTATGAAAGAATTCGACTGCTTGACGAATAAGCTGAAGTTGAAGGAATATTCGACCTGAAACCCCTAAATCTTTAGAGAGACAACTAAGTTAGTTGTGACAGTAGAGCCGCATAGTCACCAAACTTTAAATTCCGTCTTACTAATATGTCAAGATTAAGTTGTCAATATTTCCTGCAAGGAATACCAGTGAACCAACCAAATGGAATCGGCAGGTTCGAACATGCATACCTACTTAATCTTGGGTTAGGTATCTTTAGGCTTTACGTAGGGGTTGTATCATCACGTTATCACATGCGAGCTAACTTAGCGGTGTTCTTCAACCAATATGAAGGTGGTGTGACATATTCGTATCGTAGTGATATCTGAAGGGATTATAGCGAATGATACATTAGTGTAGGACTTGAACGTCGTCTCCTTAAGGTATAGTAAGAATCATATACGATAGATCGGAAAAAAAAAATAAGATGATGTCAGTTTGGAATTGAGTTCTTAGTTTTAATTATATGACATGTTCCTGGACGGAAGTTTAGAACTTTGGAACTTTGGAAGCACACATGCAATGCAATCAAAACCTCACAATGAAAAGAACTGGGCGTTTGGAGCGGCTACTTGCATATACCTGCATAAGTTACCATCGATATACATTAATATGCACGTGGCCATCACTCTAGGGACCAAACGAAGCACTATTAAACCCCATTAACCCTGGACAAGGGACCGCCCGAAGTCTTGGCACGCCAAACCAGATAGAGTTAATCTGTAGCCGATAGCGCCCCTCTTTAGTTGGTTAGAGCTGGTTGGTGCTTGCTGGCGAGTGTTTTCAGGGGCTTCGTCGCACCCACTCACCGTCCTGTTCCGCCTGTTTAGGGAATGACCTCGACCAGTAGCATTTTATTCCATTTTACGGTTGGGATCCATAAGACAACTTCATATAATTCAGTAAAAATCCCCCCCTCTCACATTTCCCTACCGCCGTTTGTACTAGGTTGGGAAAGTAGGTCAACACACTGCATTGCTGTGTTTTTGATCTAATTTTTCTTTTTCTTCGTACATCCAAAAAAGAGACGATTGAAAGAGAGAGATCAAGGCGCGGTAACCCCTCTGTTAACCGCGGCGCATTCATCGCGTGCCGGGCACTTCATACACAACAATTCTAATTGGGCGTATCCGACTTCTTTTTTTTACCCCTTGTCAATAATCGCTTTCTCGAGACCTTGGTACCTTTTGTTTTGTTGAGGTTACTTGGAGTGATTGAAGGCATTTAGTTTGGCTTCGGACAAACGCCGCGATTGTCGAACTATATCACCTTCAAGCCCATAATTTCACATTCAGACCTCAATTTCTATCCCACACCGACTTCACATGTTTCTATTGCGAGTCGACTTTGTGAAATTGGTTTAGGTCGGAAGTCTTGTCTCAATCAAGTCCTCGCCAAAGGAGAAACCCTTAAGTAACATCAATCAAGATGGATCCTAATAATCGCCTTTACCTCAACTTCGATAATAATAATAACGGCCGCCTTGCTCCATCCGACCGACAATACCCCACCACTCCCTCGACTTTCCCCCAGCCGGTATTTCCCGCGCCGTCTCAACAGCATCTTGCAACCCAGCAAGCTCAAGCCCAGCAGTACGCCGGAGGCTATGCCCCAGCTAATAGTTATTTTGCGCCGAACCAATACCAGGGTCCCTCTGACTATGTGAACCCCCAAGCCGCTGCGGCCTACCAACCTCGATCCAATACTCCGGGTACTAATGATCCCAATGTTGGCCTAGCCCACCAGTTCTCTCACCAGAACCTAGGAGGCGCCGCCCGAGCTAATGCCTATGGAGCACGTGGTCCTTCGCCGGGTCAGCGCCCTAGAACGGCGGGTTCTTCTGGTCAACAACCTGGCTACAGCTACCTGAACCAACCGATGCCTGCCCCGGCAGCTTCACGCCAACCCGAGTTCCAGCCTGCGCCAGAGCGAAGCCCTGAGAAATACGGTCTAAATGCGAATAACAACCAGAAGAAGTGTTCGCAACTAGCGGCTGATTTCTTCAAGGATAGTGTCAAGCGTGCTCGGGAGCGCAATCTAAGGTAGGCTATTTCTACCCCCCCCGATACCTATTCAACGAGCTGCTATGCCTAGAGTTAAAACAATTACTAACCACTATACTCTTAAATAGACAGAGCGAGATGGAACAGAAGCTTCAGGACCCCAACCAATCCTCTTCGAGACGTGAACAAATCTGGCAGAATGGCGGCAAGAAGGAGGCTAGGTACTTACGATTCCTGCGAACCAAGGATAAGCCCGAGAATTACACAACAGTCAAGATTATCGGAAAGGGTGCTTTCGGAGAAGTCAAGCTGGTCCAGAAGAAGGCTGATGGCCAAGTTTATGCGATGAAGTCTCTCATCAAGACTGAAATGTTCAAGAAGGATCAATTGGCGCACGTCCGAGCCGAACGAGATATTCTCGCCGAGTCTGACAGTCCTTGGGTCGTCAAGTTGTTCACAACTTTTCAAGACGCAAATTTCCTGTACATGCTCATGGAATTCTTACCGGGTGGAGATCTGATGACAATGCTTATCAAGTATGAAATCTTCTCCGAGGACATTACACGTTTCTATATTGCGGAGATCGTGTTGGCAATCGAAGCTGTCCATAAGTTGGGCTTCATCCATCGGTATGACTAAATTCACCTCTTCGTACAAATATTATGTTACTAACAGACATTTAGTGATATCAAGCCTGACAACATTCTACTCGATCGGGGAGGACATGTTAAGCTCACTGATTTTGGTCTATCTACAGGTTTCCACAAACTTCACGATAACAACTACTATCAGCAGCTTCTACAAGGAAAATCTAGTCGGCCTAAAGATAGGAACTCAGTTGCTCTTGACCAGATTAACTTGACGGTTAGCAATCGTTCCCAGATCAACGATTGGAGGAAGTCGCGAAGATTGATGGCCTACTCTACTGTGGGAACGCCGGATTACATCGCGCCCGAGATTTTCACAGGACACGGTTACACATTTGATTGTGATTGGTGGTCATTGGGTACCATTATGTTCGAATGTCTTGTTGGTTGGCCACCTTTCTGCGCTGAGGATAGTCACGACACGTATCGAAAGATTGTTAACTGGCGACAATCTCTGTATTTCCCAGATGATATCACCCTGGGAACAGAGGCTGAACATCTAATCCGAAGGTGAGCTTACGGAAAACAGGCGTATTGAATTTTCAATTAACTAACTTGATAATAGTCTCATTTGCAACACTGAAGTGCGACTTGGAAGAAGTGGCGCACAGGAGATCAAGACTCATGCATTCTTCCGTGGCGTCGAATTCGACAGTCTTCGACGTATTCGTGCTCCTTTCGAGCCACGCTTAACATCGGCTATCGACACCACTTACTTCCCGACAGACGAAATCGACCAGACCGACAATGCGACGGTTATGAAGAACCAAGCCATTGCACAAGGAAAGCAGGTCGAAGAATCCCCCGAGATGAGTCTGCCTTTCATCGGATACACGTTCAAGCGGTTCGATAACAACTTCCGTTAATCGTGTGATTCTGTCTCAGACGGGCCTTTCAAGGCCTGCTGTCGAGAGTTCAATATACTAGACACTACTGAGTCGTGTCTTATGTCACTGGGCTATTGGTATGTCTCCAGGCCTGATGATTACCTAGGTAATGTTGGAGTGAGGCCTGGCAGCCTCACCAGGAAGGGGAGGCAAAATATCAAACCATGTCACAAGAAGGGATACAATGGTCTGTCTAATCATGATAATATCATGCCGTAAATGGTCATGGGAATGAAAGCTTTTGTATTGCGAGTTTTTTTGCTATGTGACAAGATGAACTGGAACGATGGACTCGACGAAAGCTAGCTATCGACAGTCGGATGATGTAATGCTTGGAGAGCTATCGTATGGTCACAGGACAAAAAAACTCGAAATCAGATACGTTGTTAGATACGAAAGTGAAGATTAGGTAGATAGATCCTGAACTTGTTTTGATCTCAGTGAAAAATGTCCCCTTTTTGTGCTGTATAAGACAAGATTTCGGTGTAATGCTTACATTAAAGGAGGCGTGTGATTAGATAAGCAATTGATATCAGATTATATAAGTAATATGTCCAGTTGTTGCCAGCCGGCTCTTATCTTATCTCCCACGCTACTGATGCCGCCGATCAATTGAAGCTTGTAACTTTAATCTTTTGGAACTTTCCATCTTCCATCATTCTCCATCCGCCTTCAACATCAATAATCCTCCCATTCAACCTACGCGCATACCCATAACGCGACAATAAATCAATCCAAATCAAAACCTGAGAATACCACCATATACTAAGAAAGCCTACAACAACAAAACACCATGGATTACCAAAACCGCGCGGGCTCCAAGTTCGGCGGCGGAGGCGTAGCTTCCCACAGCGCTACTAACGCTGACCGACGCGAGCGTCTACGCAAACTCGCCCTTGAGACTATTGATCTAGATAAAGACCCTTATTTCTTCAAGAACCACGTCGGATCCTTCGAATGCCGTCTCTGTCTTACCGTGCACCAAAACGACGGCTCGTACCTCGCGCATACACAGGGGAAAAAACATCAGACGAACCTTGCGCGCCGCGCCGCGCGTGAGCAGAAGGAGGGGAAGGGCCAGGTTGATCCGAATACGGGCTTACCGGTCGGAGTCGTAGGCGCTGGATTCGGAGCCGCGGGTCTGGTTAGGAAGAATGTTGTTAAGATCGGACGACCGGGTTACAAGATTACGAAAGTCAGGGATCAGGTTACGAGACAGCAGGGTCTGTTGTTCCAGCTACAGTACCCGGAGATCGCGCATGGAGCGCCGCCGCCGAAGGTTAGGTTTATGAGCGCGTTTGAGCAGCGCGTTGAGGACCCGCCGGATAAGTCGTTTCAGTATATGCTGGTGGCCGCGGAACCGTATGAGACTTGTGGCTTTAAGTTGCAGGCTAGGGAGATTGATCGTACTGGGGATCGGTATTGGACTTGGTGGGATGCGGATTTGAAGGAGTTTTGGGTTCAGGTTATGTTCTTGACGGAGAGAGAGGAGAGGTATGTTGGTGTGCCTGGATTACCGGGACGAAGGTGAACGGAAGGATGAATTCTCTCGCCAGTCCTCGTACCCGAAAACGCCAAGAACAGAAGGGTATGGCTAGAGGAGATGGCCCAGCTACTACGATATTAATCACAAGTCTGAGCACCGAGGACACTATTCTCGTGGCTATATACGACGATTTGGACCCCGGCTTATGTAAGTGGGAGCCGGAAAGTTATCCCACGGATGGTGTTGCGGCGTGCTAATACTTGTTACTTAGGCGTTCCATAAATACGCTTTCGCCGGATTTCCATGGAAAATAGGAAGAATGATGCCTTATTACAACATCTAATAAGAATTCTGATGTATGAATATCGCGCCACATGAATATTCTTGTTAATTTGAAGTATCCAACTGCTAATACCTAGTACCCTAACTTCCTAGGAAGTAACGAAGCAAAATCTGTAGTATTCCCACGCACTCACTCTTAGAAGTATTCGTATTGTGTCGTCGCACACTACCCGCCATGTCCGTACGACGACTAACCTTTCGGACAACACTCCGGGAAAATAGTGAAACACGAACATCAAGCGATTATGTAAGAAACTAAGCCGTGTAACCGGACCTCCGAAAACGACGGATATCCGCAACTAGAAAATTTCAGACGACGACTCATTCCTCCAATCTCTTGAATTCGGATGAGGCAGTAGATTTCCTATGATCCCGGGCGGCGATTAATACCATTATGAAAATTCTATGTCTACACGATGATGGAGAGAATAAGGAAATATTGCAATCGGAATTAGGTACACCTCCACACGTCATTGTGGCTGGCATGTCTTACTCATTGATCTTCTAGCTTCTCTACTCCCAAAATTGCAGGATTCGAACGCAGATCTCTCATTCGAGTTCGCCAATGGTCCTTTGCAAGACTCGAATCTATCGACGAACAATTCGTCACTAAATGAGTCGCCTCGCTACAGATTTTATGAGGCTGAGGAAGTCAAAGACATTCGCAAAGCTAATAAATGGCTAGCGAAGAAATTAGATGATGATGGGCCTTATGATGGCGTGCTAGCATTTTCTCAAGGAGCTGTCCTTATTTCCAGCTTCCTTCTATATCGGCAATGGTACGATCATGAGCTATCGCCCGCATTCAAATTCGCTATCTTCATTAGCGGGTGTATCCCGCTCAAAGTTCTGAAAGACCTGGGTGTCCCGGTTCCGAAACAAGCAGAGGATGCAGTGGCGCAGGCCAAAACACAGTGCGCTGAGGGTCTCGGCCCGTTACTGGACCATACTTCAAAGGCGCGACGAGCCGTGTTCAACTCGGATGACTGTTTTGGGCTGAATTTGAACAAAATTCCACTAGAGCTGAAAATAAGGATTCCGACTGTTCATGTATGGGGAGAAAATAGTCCCATGTTTCCAACTTCAGTTCAACTTGCAGGACTCTGCGATCCCTATATCAGAAAGATTTTCATACACCCCGGAAAGCACGAAATACCTCACGGCAGACAGGAATTGATGGAGTTGGCGTCATTAATAGAGTGGTGCATCGAGCGCGGCAACTGGCCTGGGCAAATTCCACAGTAAATAAGCGATTAGATCGGCGATTAGCACCTAGGCAGAATACCTCCCCTGGTTCACTTACGATGGGTAATACTTGGGTCATACGAGACCCCTTGTCCACGTTACACAAAGCGCATTGTATTACCATCAATTCCGCCATCCACAAGCAAAAGGGAAGAAAAGGAAAAGAAAAAGTGAGCAGATCTGCCAAATAAACCCATATTTTTAACAGCGACTCCCCGGGAAGATACGATGCGGCCGTAAATGCTTCACATGATCCGCCATACTTTTTTGCGAATAAAGCTCTTTTAAGGTCGAGGGGAATTATGAACAAACCAGTTCTTCTACCTACTAGTCGAGATCCAGCCAGGCGCATGAAGCGCGTTATTCAAATTCGTGTCGTACAAAGAAACGGAGTGGTCCATCATCTATCCCGTACGTTGCTTTTTTTCTAGGTCGCTTGGCATCATCTATTGTTTGTATACTGCAAAACTAGAGAGATACCATTCGCCAGTTATATGTTCGGGGTTTGACTGTCAGCTGAAATCGTGTCTACCCCACTCAACCGTGCCAGCGGATGCAGAGCACACGTTATATTGCAACCATCCAATCTTGCAGCTCGTTGAAGATATCCGCGCCTAGCCATAGGTCGATAAACGTGATGATGTATGAATGAGATCGTTCACGAAAGGACAAAGCATACCGAGGTGGTATTTGCCCACCACCTCTTACTTGAGGTCACCATGCATGGATTCACGATACCGAAAAAAGCAAAAATTGTTGGTAACGATCTCGATAAATGAAGGTAGGACCATGTTCATTATTCAATCCAAGGTATGAGACTGACCAACTCAATTTCTTCTGCCCTCCTATACGCTGACCCCATCTCTTCTACCTATACGTTATACGTGAAACTACACGGCTAGACTTTAGTATCTAGATGGCTTCATTTCTCTACGCATCTCTGCCCACTATGAGCGGTATTCCAGCTGTCTATGCAGTTACTGCAGCTGCCATCCTTTGGTATGTTATATCTACATTGGCAGCATGGTATCGCTTAAGGAAGTTCCCCGGTCCAACACTAGCAAAGTTTTCGTACCTATGGGCATATTTCGCCATGAGAACCGGCCGTAACCAGTTTATTATGGCCGAACAACAGGAGAAGTATGGCAAGATAATGCGCCTGGGACCCAATGAACTCATGATCTACGACCCAGAGACCCTATGGTACATCAACGGCGCCCGTTCAACTTACAGACGTGGAGGCTGGTACGATAGCGCCAAGTTTGATCCATACGGTCACAATATCCTATCCGAGCCTGATACCGTTACACACGATAAACGCAAAGCGAAGGTTATGAGCGGCTATGCCGGGAAAGGAAACGTGAACATCGAACAGAAAGTCGATTCCCAGCTCGCCCTTCTCGTGGACGTCTTGAGGAAGAACCACCTTCAAGAGGGCGACAACATTGTAGACTTCAGCAAACTCATCAGGTTCTTCCAAGTTGATCTCGTCACCCTCGTGGGTTCTAGTGAACCTTGGGGTGACCTACCTACCGAAACTGACAAGTTTGACTTCATCTCTCTTGCAGATGGCATGGTTCCATTTCTAGACTCGTTTATGATGGTGCCCTACCTCCGCAATTTTTTCGCCTCGAGTTTCTTCTTGACTTTAGCTGGTCCCAAAGCAACGGACAAGAAGGGAATGGGAAGATTCATGGGGTAAGCAAGTACTCTAGCGATGTGCTCAATTGCTCTTCCTTCCTTGCTAACTCTCATATTACGCACCATAGACTTATCAAGGGGATGGTCGAGAAGCGTTTTGGTGAGGACTCGACTAAGTCAATTGAACAGGGCGAGCAGGGAGACATGCTGGTAAGTGACGCAACTTTTCTCACATTGCATTGATCTGTTGTTAATCCGCCTCACTTTAGACCGAATGGATCAAGCATGGCCTATCCCGTCGAGAATGTGAAATAGAGCTTGCGATACAAGTACCTACAGGAACCGAGACTACGACGTCAGGGATCCGAGCGATCATGTTATACCTGTTGACCTCTCCCAACGCTTATCGGAAACTACAAGAGGAGATCACCGCCGGGATTCGCGACGGGAGGATCTCAAGCCCCATTAGTCAGGAACAGGCGAAGCAACTTCCATATTTGCAAGTAAGCTTAGATCTTGTCGCACCCCCACGTTGAGATCGTTCGCGCTACTTACATGAGATCATTAGGCTGTGATATACGAAGGCCTTCGAATGGTGCCCCCAGCCGTCGCAGGTTTTCCTAAGAAGGTCCCGGCAGGTGGAGATACTATTTGCGGGGAGTTCGTCCCGGCAGGCACGGATATCTTCGTCAACGTCTACACCATGCTGCGAAACAAGGAAGTCTTCGGCAAAGATGCAGATACATTTCGCCCGGAACGCTTCCTAGTATGCGATCCGGCCAAGAAGGCAGAGCTTATTAAGACCGTTGACCTTATTTTCGGACATGGTCGCTGGCTGTGTCCGGGGAAGACACTTGCCTGGTTCGAGCTTAATAAGGTGTTTGTTGAGGTAAGTAATTACATTCTGCTACTGCTTAACTTGTGCAAATATCCACCTGTTACTAATGCCGTTTTAGCTCTTGAGGAACTTTGACTTTCAAGTCGTCAACCCGGAGTCTCCTTGGACATGCAAGGCATACATCAGCATCTTGATTGAAGATTTCTGGATTCGAGTTACAGAAAGGCGTGAATATTGAAACTCCTAGCTAGGTATGGTGGGTAAAACGTACAAAGGATACGTGTTTACTGGGGTATTAAAGTATTCGGAATCCCTTACTTTACCTTTCCTACCTCCACGCCAACATTTCGTTAATTCCTTGTCCGCGACAAAAAAGCTCGAACCAACACCATTAATATGGTGGCTCTGATCAAAGCTGAGGGATATAGGGTGAATATTTGGATTGTCTGCAAGCCTAGTCTTTTGTCAAGTAACGAATGACCTACGTCTACCACCTTTCTTTTACACGTAGCCCCCACGGTCATCCCTAGTTCCAACACTGCATTCACTATCCTTCCCTCTGCCGGCACCGTCCCTTGCGTACTACAACTTCGTGCTACGCATGCCAGGGCCCGGGCTGGGCACACTGCCGCGTTATATTGCGCGCATGGTGCATAGACTATTCTTTACGTCACGGATAGGTATTGCAACTGAATTGAATACAGCGCTACAACAGCGTCACAGTCACTACCTTTGGTAACATACATAACAGACGAAACGCTTCCGGTACCTTGCATTTTATAGGGCCCTTACTCTCGCATACGGCATATCTGGCTGCCGGAAAATCTTTTCTGTAGCACGCATGATTTTGAGCTCTTCTGGAAGCTCTAAGAACTCCAGATTAAGCACCAGCAGTACAACGACAATACGAAATTCCATCGATGCAAGTTTGCGTCCTGGTAGAAATCATGGCAGTTAGCTTACTATCTCTATGTCAATCACGAGTAAATGTGAAAGTGATTACCTGCGCAACCCCTATAACCACCACCAAACGCTAGCGATGGTAAGGCATGTGGATTGAATGTCTCCTTGCCAGTGCTGGTATTTTTTAGTAACCACCTTCTTGGATAAAAACTTGCAATATCGCGGCCCGCGTCAGCACGTAATCCATCCTCGAACTTCGTTGCGGCGGCTTGACTGCTAAGGCTGCGCTTTGACTCTTCCACTGGAACGGGGTCGCGATTAAGGTGATAGTTCATAATGATCTCTGCTCCTTTTGGTATCTTGCAACCTAGGATTTCCGTATCTACCAGAGCTCTGCGAACATTAGCCTTCGCCACGCCAGCAAGGCGAAATCCCTCTTCGCACGTAGCATCAAGGTAAGGAACGTCGGCTGAAAGGATCTCTTCCACGGGGGGCTGAACGCTCGAAAAGGCAGCTTTGAGAGCTGTACGTAATTCGTCCTGGACATCTGGAAAAGCTTCCATATACCGAACACACCAGGTAAGAGCATTGGCAGTGGAATCGTGACCCTAAAAGACTATTAGCTACGATCATGGGCTCTATATATGCGGATGACATACCCCAACAAGCATGACGAACATTTCATCGAGCATATTCTGATCCTTGGTTGGGTCGGTAAGGGGCCTTTTGGCCTTCTTAGCTTCGACAACTTGACATCGAAGAACTAATTTTGTCCAAGAGCCTTAGTTAAAACGCCTTGGCCATGAGACAAATTTGACAGAGTATCGTACCTAGATCCATCATGCATGTATCGAATTCACCCGCCTCCAGATTTCCGATTTCAAGACGTTGAAACCGTTCGACTGCATTCCTCATGACTGATCCGATCTCTGTACTAATTCTTCCTTTAGGAAGATACCACGAGGTGGCTCACTCGAGTTTGCGCCATTGTCTGCGTTAGTATGACTAGCGTTTTGGCTTCGCAATTTGTGTATCTCGTGCCTCGTTACTCCGGGCTCTTCACCAACAACGGCGACCCAAATAGCATCCAGAGCCACGTTCTGGAAGTCCTCGTGGACACTAAAAGGGTGGTCTATAAGCGACGCCTTGAGTCGCCAAAGGTCTAATAGCTCGAGAGTGGCTTTGTATATGTTCGGCGCCGCGGCCTTGCGCAGGAATTCCGAACCCATCACGTCAGCCCACAAGCGCTTCTGGGCCTTCAACTCCGGTGTGGTGTATTGGCTGATAGATCCACGTGGAAACATGGGGGCGAGTATATCGATTGCCATTGGAGCCTTATCAAATTCCTTGTTACGGCGAAGGGTGATGTCTTCAATTTCTCTAGGATCCTCGAGAACGATGAGAGGATTGCGTATGCCAGGAAATAGGAACTGCGCAATCGGTACCCCGAGCTCCCGGGTCGTGACGGAAAATAGACCATCAGAAAACTCGTTTGTTGCTTGGGTCACTGGCACCATATCAGGAATGTCGCCGGCGATACGACCAGCTGACTTCTGTTTATATGGGATGCCGGGGTACGGGGTCGGGTAGACTTTGCGCCATACTATGGCGATCAGCGTGACGACCAGCGCAGTCAAGCTTAATACAAGCGGGCTTTGAAAAGGCATGATAGCTCCACATTGTTTTTTAAGTGGTGGTTTACGGTAACGAGTGAGAAAAAGAGCGGGTGTGGGTTATTAATCGACGGGTGCCAGTTGGGAGACAAACGAAGGGAGAAATCAACCAACCTATAGCGAATCGGACTCTACTGAAGCGATGCAAGGGCCTAAGTATCCTATGTACCTAGGTATCTAGGGAGATCCCTAGCTGATACTAATATATTAGTAGTATGTACGGACCTTACAAGGTAAATGTATGCATTTGAACGTTGCAAGGTACCTATAACATATTATCAATTACTTCTAGCCCGCTTCGCATGACCTCTAAGTTGCTAACACGGATTTCGTCTATTTCTAGTATTGAGCACCGGCGCATGTTACGCAGATACCATTTAGCCCTACGTCTTGAAGTTGTCGTCTATTGTCCGCGTTCGTCAGATTATTCGGCTCTCACCAGCCCATGCTTATGATACCGCGTGTTGTACAGAGGGCATCACATTTAGTTTCCGACCCGTAGTACAAAGGCAGACTTAAGTCATCTCTCCGATCCTATATTACTTCCACAGCCCCATTACGCCGTATTGCAATTTGTTCGTGCCACCAACATTCTTCTTACTCGATATTATCGCATGATCAATACGTATAGATATATATAGTTCGGCTGGATGAGGCGAAGTGAAAGCCCTACAGTAGAGTCGATATAATTTTTAGTGGGAAATGTTAAAGGTGGTGGTAGTTTTATACTTCTTAACCCTGCGTGAGGTACGAAACTTATAGCGCTGCTCAATAGAATAACTTCAAAACATGATTTTTATTTAATGGATAATTTGAGCTAATTGTGAAAGTTGGGAGGTACTCATGTTAATAGTATTCGATCGCATCAGTTTAAATGATGGTTGGACGAAATCATATATGACATTTCGTGAAATAATACCTGGGGGAGAAAGTTACCTTGCATCGGACGTGATGCGAATATTTGCTGCACTCAGAACTATATCTACGTCACATAATTGTGATCGTGGGTGGTGAGCATTCTTAATTCTGATTGGCTTAACTCCCGGAAAGGGGGGGAGGTAGTGGGGGTATTCACCATACAGAATTTAAGACTAGCGCCACAACCCCTGGCCCGAACCACAACAAGCGAAACACCAACTTCCTATTTAAGGTGTCAGCCCCCCCTTTCACATGGCGATGCTATCGTCACGTTGGGAATTCCGGTTCACGTCTTTTTTTTTTTTTACGTCTCCCTGAAGAATGCTCAGCTGTGGCTGCTTATCTGCTTTGAATTTTCATACCAAATTAGTGGTTACTGTCGGGATGGCACTTTTCACTCCCGACCGAGAATATGTTCGTAGCATACCTCGCTATTCCCATACAACAAGAGCTTTATCGGATGATCGGTGTCAGCAATGCCACATTAAGCCCCCGAAAAGGTTCGTAGGGCTAAGTCATCAACAGGAACCGCTTATATCCAGATTGTTGGTGGTAATATGTGAGACCCGATGATGCCTGTTCTAAGAAAAGCGATGACTGGATGTATAACCTACGATGTAACTAAGTGTGACCTCTTAGACTACTAAGATTTCACGAGTCGACCCGTACATATAAAAGCTATCGCCGAATTCGTTATTCCCTGACTCGAGCATTAGCATTCATAATACTAAGACATTAAATTACTACTAGACTCAAACCTCCAGAAAAGCGAATATTACCGTCAACACTAGTATCGGCGGATACTATCGCCAACCTATAACAATGTCCGGTGCCAAGGACGTAAATTCTCCGCTCCTTCCCACAGGAGCGAAGACTTACGATCCCCAGATCGGCTCACCTTCCGTTCCTTCGAACCAATCTAAAGCACCAACCTCGCCCCAGAAACCAGGTCAGGCTAACCCAACTCCGGTCAACCCGGCAACCCTAAAGAATCTGTCCTGGGGAGCACCAGCCGGTCTTTCCATCCGAGGTCCTAATGATGAGAATTTGGTTATCTTTAGAAAAGCGTTAGGAATCAACTATCACTACGAGGCGGCGGACAGCGGTACCTTGGAGGAAGGGCGCACATCTGCTGTTGGCATATATAGGTCTGTAATCCGGGAACAACAAAGCAAAGCCATCCAGCACGCATTCCTCACGGCTTTCCTCTACCTCTGCTACTTCGCTCAAATCGTCATCGGCGCCGCGTTAACGGCTATCGGCCCCACTTCGGGGCGGTACCAGACACTCATCACTGTCCTTGGCGCTGTTAACACCGTCCTAGCCGGTCTCCTAGCTTTGATAAAAGGCTCAGGACAACCGCAGAGGCTAGAGAAAGATCGCGTTGGATTCCGAAGATTGCAAGATTGGATTGAAGAAACAGAGGCTTTACTCGCAGTGGGTGTCATCGGACGGAATAGAAAAGAAGTCGGATTACTAGTCGAAAGCGCATTCAAACGGTACAACGCAGCAAAAATGAGCGTCGAAAATAACAGTCCGGATTTTTACGTCAACCAGCCAGACTCGAACGACGACCACTCGGACGCCGCAGGAAAACCACTTAAGCCGAATGGCCCTTGATGTGGAAGTTCGGCAGTGCCTATCTCTTGTTTCTGAGTCAGATGTTGGTTCTGACTAAATTCCGGGGAGAAGATGGGGATTGCTTATCTTGTCAGATTGCTATAAGGGGTGTGTTCTGGATAGGTCAATTAGCGGCTTGCTCTAATAATATATATCTTGTCTTATTAAAAGCCGACCTCAATAATATCCTAACATTGTCCACGTGGATAAGCCATTCGATTGGGGTTTTTATTTGAAGTCGTGGTATAACGACGGCAATTGATTTTAATTGACGTTAGACCTGGGATACGAGTGTGAGGTCCGCGGTGGGATAGGTTCGAGATTCATATTCGGATTGAGATCGCCTATATTTCGTAGCAGTGAGAGCGACTCGTTGAACTCATGACTAGCTCTTGGGCGAACCCCAACACGAGTATACAACATGTCGACCCAATCCGACGAAGTAGCACATAGTAGAGTAATGACTTGGATGTATTGAACTCAATACCCATGACCTTACATTTGCTCTTGTTTTGTGACCCCATCTCCAAATGTTTTAAACGTCTGCGCTTGTTTCGTTCGAGAATATGAGCGAATCGCGACTACTTTTAAGTCCCTTCTGTTTCGCTTTTCATTCCATTGGTGGGGCTATCTAAAGCCGAATTAATGAATTGAATAGGTAGATCTTGGCGGGAATGCTGCCCCTGAACGGATGGTTGACCCCAAGCGCGAAGCGACTCTCATCCCGGCCCCGACAAGCCGGCGGACGTTACGGACGCGAGCGCTGTGCTTGAGGGGATATGTGCTATAAAATCTTTGTTTCCGACGCTGCTGGCTTCGAGATAATCGCTTAGCCCCGCGATCGAGGACGCGAGCTTCCAAGGTGGATTCTAGCGCCTTCGAATTTTGCATCGGGATGAACCGAAATATGCCGCGGCCGTAGAAGAAGGAACCGTAATTGCTACTTTACACCAGCTGGTGTCGTGGATAATTTTCACGTTCGCGTTCCGGGTCTTTTACACCATGTCGCGGTACCCGTACGCGAAGGACGAGCTATTCGGATCGCCGAGGCGCTCGGCCGAAGATGTCTTGGAGACGGTATTCATAATAGACGAGTTACTGACGGACTGCCATGAGATCGGGACTCTCAATTAAAGTCTAAAGAAGCATCGTGAGATATATCAAAGGGCTAGTGGGTGTGGAGAGCGATGGTGAAGATGTTAAGGTAAAATAGCTCATTGATAGGTAGTAGATCATGTTCGGCCGAGCTTGATTCATTTCGGGTCAGGGAATAGGTACTTGGGGACAGAGTCATCTTACATCGCGGTGGCGCACGGTTGAGACTAGGGTAGATGCAGGATGCATGCGACTGAACAACCCAACTCCGAGGAGTATACAGTAAGAAATACGGTGATATATCTTGCATACTACATCTAAGTCAGCCATATGCCTTTCCTAACCTGTTAATATTAGACGATTCCTCAGCGTATTAGCGACTACATCCTGAATCTATTCGTGTTAAGAGTCCTGTTGATACGAGTATATCCACGGATATTAATCAATTTAATAAACCCTGGTCTGGGTGGAGACTTATAGCTGGCCAATAGTGTCTTTATAATGCATACTTTGTACACAGTAAAGTGATACTTCATCTGCGCACGGTAGTACCCCGGGCGAAAAGTAATCAGAGACGAGGCTGGGACTGCAATATTCAGCTTTTACAACAGAATCGGGTGCAACAGGGGTGGCGAATCTAACGGAAAATAGATATCCTAGGTACTTTTTTGGGCAGACGTAGAGTTATAAATGAACGCATCGACAAAAGGATAGAGACGTATTCGCATCAAGAGCACATTGCGGGGAGAAGGAAAGAGATGGATGAACCACCAGGAAACGCCTACTTTCCACCTTATATTCCCGACGTGGACCCAATCTACGGTCGCATTTACTTTTTAGAGGCTATGCCCCCATCAGCAACAGTTGTACCCTTAGAAGAAGAACAAGGTACAGGATTAGCTCAAATAAACGGTAGAGACGGCTTTGGATTGAACGAAGAACAGGAAAAAGAAATCCGTACGTACACACGCAATAAGAGTCATCCAATTGAACGTGGTTTTCTAACCTTGACGTAAGTGGAGAAAACGAGACAGCTCTGGTATCATAGGACGACGGTGGAAGATGTGGCTTCATGGATTCGGGAGTGCCATTCGCTGAATTTGAAACTTGATATAGATCGGGTTGCTCGATATGCAGCGTACAATCACAATCTGCCAATCGTCGAATACCTCGCCGAGCACGAAAAGGCGAATCTCGCGCAGCAGGACACATTTGGCAGATCCGCCATCTTCTACGTCTTAGGAGACCATAAGATCCTAGAGGGTTTCTGTGCCCGGTTCAAAGACGGTACTGGCGTATACGGGTTGGACTTCCAGGATGACTTGAAATGGACCCCCTTACACTATACGGCCCTCTTGTCACGGCCAGATTGTACCGAAGTTCTTCTTAGGATGGACGCCAACACCCAAGTCAAAGACAGAAATGGGAAGATGCCGATCGATCACGTTAATCTGGTTTCTAACATAGGGAGGAGCCATCTCCTCATTTTTGCCTTGAAAGAATTGGTTCCATGTTATCCGAATTTTGTGTTTGGAATTTCTTATCGCAGAAAAATACAAGAGCCGGTAGAAATCGATTTGAAATTTTTTGATGAGCGAGTCTTAACCCCGAAGAACGAGTCGGCCTGGCTTCATATTCCATGGACAAACGTGAGCATTGATTAATGGATGTTTTGATGTGGCATATTCTGATTATTTATCTTAGGGCGTCATCGTATTTGTACGTTTCTTTTTTGATCCCTTCCTCGTATCTGTACCTACCCACCTCTTGAGTAGGCATATACTTGACGTGTCAGAAACCGTGCTCACTGACTTCTAGGCTATCCTCCGACGACTGGAACAACAATCAGGGCTCCCGGATGGGGAGTTTTCTTACTCTTCTTGGTTCCGGGACCCTGCTGTTGTTGCTGGTAATCAGGACCTGAACTACCGCATGCCTTCTTATGAATCAAATTTTGGAAAGCGTCCAAATGTACATACTCCTGGACCGTGGTTTCCGTATGTATCCATTGTGGTATGTGGATTTCTATCTTATTCCACCCAATACTGAAACATACAGTTTCCATTTATCGCACTTCGGACCAAAACGAGCCAAAGGTTGGCAAGGTTAAAGACTTCCGGTTCGAGGGCTGCTGTGACGAATGGCTTTGCTAGGAGTGTGATACGATTCGAGCGTACGCTTGACGAGACATATTACCCTTCTCTTTCCGCTGAAGCCCTCGAAGCTCGAAATGAGGACCAAGTGGTTTCAAGAGAATGGGTGGAAATACGAGACCCAGATTCTGATGACGGTGATCCAATGCCAATTTTAATGGTACCCCAATTGTGGATTTGGCGATTACATGATCATATTGTAACCGCCTCTCCTACGGAGGGACTGCTTCCCGGGAAGGATGCGTATGGTGAGGATGTTGAATTTGATAGAAACGTGGGATCAACCGAATCTCAGTACTTTAAAGACATGGAACCGAAATGGATGAAGTGGGATTCGTGGTATACTGGAATACAAATTGGAATCATCATAGCACGCCATATCACAGCATTCGGAGAATCGCAGGCGGGTGGCCGTTTCAAGTCACCTCTCGATATCTTTGAGAGAGGTGTAGTCAGGGTTCTATTAGACGTCGAAGCATACATGGATCCAAACAGACCATCACGGCCCATTATTGAAGAAGAACGCGAATTTATGCATAGAATTACCGACATTAGAGAGGAACTTGCTATGATACAAGAAATTCTAGGCCAGCAACGGGAGATACTCGAGAGACTAATTCAGGACTATGAACACTATAATCCTGACTCACTTTCGTTTATGGACCCGGGACAAGATATAAGGGACCCGAATGCCAAGTGGGAGATCGTGAAATCATCCGGAACCAAGCTTCGTGGGTACCAAAAAAGGGTGGATAGGATTGACAAGGATGCGGAGAGAATCGAGAGGGTGATTCAAGACCAGCTGAGCCTCAAGCGAACGCATGCTAGTATTAGCGATGCTCGATCCGGGCTAATCCTCAGCGCCGCTGTTGCTGGGCTCACTATTATCACGATCATATTTACGCCTCTAGCCTTTATGGCGAGCCTGTTTGCTTTACCCCTCGACAGACTGCTTAGTAATCAATTTGAATTTAACAGGCCGGGCGGGACCGACGACGCGAATGGGACAGGTTCTACGGCTGCGTACACGACAAAATACATTGCGAAATGGTTTAGTGCGTTCTTACTCCTCATAATTCCTCAGAGCTTCTGATATGGCTAACATTAAGAAGCTGTGGTCGAGTTTGTGTCATTAGCGACAACATCGTTCCTAGTAGCGCTGTGCCTTTGGTTTTTTGGGGGCACAGAAATCCTGACTGCAATATGGGAAACCCATTCTAGGAAAACGGGGATTGGGAGGCGTACCCAGTCCACAATTGGTGGGTCAAATGAAAAGAACGAGACTCTAGGACTTAGTAAAGTAAAATCTAGACCGAGTGCTGAACAAACTATTAGGAGAAGACCTACCAGACTTTTCGGTCGTGCGAAGCAAGGAAAGTCAAGCCCTGTATAAAGGAATTATCCTGAGCGCAAATTTGCCTTGCCATGCAACCGTTTAACGTTACGGATCCGGTAGAGATGAGTTGTGGTACAATAGGGGCAACTGGCTGACTAAGCAAACGAAATAGGGGTGCAAAATTTTATAGCGAGCGGCATAGAGGCGATTAGATCACTTAGCTTACCTACCATGCCCTGGTTCACACGAATATTCCAATGGGTCCATTTTTCGGCTAAGTCTTTTTAAATAATGAGATTAAGCTATACCATATGAACGATCAAGATATCATATCTCTATACAAAGTAAGTATCGAAAGCCCCGCGACTTCAGAACAGACCTATCCATACGCGAGACGAATTATTCTACGAATCAATTCATGTGACCTTCCATCATTTCTACACTCTTGTGGTAATCGTCCGTGCCGTTTTCGGGGTCTCGGTCCCTGGTCTTGCATCCGGTGCTGCCAAACGGGACTTTCCCGTTACCGTGCGCCCCATCGATTCTCATAAATCCTTGGCCCTTTGCCTTCAGCATGGTCTTGGCTGCGTCTTCAAACCAGCCATTGATGAAGTCGCCATGGAAGCAGTAACCGTCACCGATCTTTCCACCTACTGTTAGCGAATGCGTTGACAATAATGGCGAAGAGACGAAAAATACGTACCTCTCCACAAGCAAGTTTGAAGGGTGGGACGCCTTTCCATCCCTGTGGGATTGCTCTGCGTGTGTCGTATCTGACCGAGAAACGCAGCGAAGGCATTCGCTTCATATTGGGTGGGCAGCGTCCGCCGTGAAGCGCGGCATATGTGTAGTCGGTGATCTTGTTAGGGTCGACGCAATCGGGGAATCGAAGGATGGCTTGCATGTGTGCGCTGCATGTCGACCGTGGGAAGGCAGCGCGAGGTCGGGAGTTGCGATCCTCGGGACCATTACCGTCGCACCACCATGTGATAGCGGTCACCTTTTCGTCGATGTCCGCTTGACTCTTGGCGGACGCATTACCAGCCACGGCGTAAAAGTCGTTCGGGAATGGAATTTCCGCATGGTCGATCTGCTCGTAATATGTCTTGAACGTAGCAGGGTAGATCTCTGTATAGTTCTCGCCGTTCACATAGTACAATGTCGGCGCCCCTTGGTAACTTTGGTTAGTCTTTACGGCTGGGAGGTTTTGGCCGTGTCGATCAACATACAGTATACGGACATATCGTTTGGATTCTCTCCAGACGGGCAGCCCTTCTGAAGCTCGGCTGTAGTTGGCAGATCCTTAGTCACCGAATCAGAGCCATAGAATGAGTGCATATGCGACACATATTTCCCCGGGTACACGATCGGGTCGATGTTCTTTCGCATGAAGGGCTTGTGCTCGATGTCCGTAAGGGCAGCGGCACTCCCCGCCAGGATAACGACGGCCACGCGCATCTTGGTATGACTAATGCGAGCACTGCGAGAAGACTTGAAAGAAGGTCTCGTTTAAGGGGCTCTAGCGAGAGACGGTCCGCGACAATGACTATATAGCCGCAACAGCGGAATTGGCGCCCATTCGCGCCGCTCGGGGGCGGGGACATCCAACGCATTCTAACTACCGAAGGGTTTAAACAAGTATTGTTTAGCCCTTTATTTTAACTCGCGGAATCGAAGGCTGTGAATGGTGAAGCTACTTATTGGCGTCCTATTTAAGTAAGTCCCTATGTAGGATTTCATTCGGCAGGTTTCGCTCCGGTTGCAAGATCACGACACTAAGAATGAACACGGGATTGAATAGGCACTATTCTGAGATGAGGCTTTTGATCCTAACTGCCGAATAATATTTATATAGCCTCCAGTTCTGATTTGCGGGTTTGCAAACCACAGTCCGTATAACTCTATATTGACGTCTCACTTGCTTAGTAAAGGCGTATATAGGATTTCACTTAGTAGGCTTACGTCCGACTTTCAAGAGATAGCACTATAATTTCTTTCCTTTCCTAGGTATCGTGCGAAGGTAGGTATAATTCGTAAACCTTTCTGATTCCAATCTTCATTTTATTGTCATATTAAGAAAAGTCATAGTATCTATTCGAGAGCAGTTCCATCGAGTTCTCTGAACTGAATGGTGAAAATCGTCAACGGTCGGGACGTATCACTGGAATTTTACGGCGGGGAGGACATTGAAGGGAACAGAGTATGACAAATAGCTAAATATACCTTGTCGACTACCCCCTGTAAAACGAGCGAATACGCTGATCATGGCTAAAGTCATAGAAATGGTCCCAGCCAAGCCAGTGAATTGGGGAGTTGTGCCAATCAAGTCCTAGCTGTTAGTAACTTAGCCGGAGCTAGGTTCAGTAGGCATGGGGCAGTTGATGTGGCGCATGTGATTTATTTGGTAGTAAAACAAGAAGTGACATAATTCTATTTGATATACATATAAAACGATTGACTCGTAGGGTGCTACCGACGGTATGATAGCATTCCTTTTTAATCCAAAAGCAACCAAAAAAACGCCCCAACGATAAAAGTGAATGTGAGTCTAATGTTTATGTCTGTCCCACGGTCGACAACACTTATTTCCAAGTGCAACTGACGAAGCCGTTCTTCTTCGCGGCACCTGTGTGGGTCATCACGCCGCAGAATGTGATAACAACATTTCCGGCCGTACTCCCCGCCGCAACATTAACCACAACACGGTCCGTAAGCGGACTACCACCGGTGTAGACTGCCTTGGACGCTAGGATGGGGAACTCGAGGAAGGTGGTTGTGCACTGAGCTTCGAAGTTGGGGATTTCATTATTTCGGTTAAAAAATTGATGAGGATATTTGTTGGTTCCGACAGTTTGCCCTGCGTTGCTGAGTTGTCCTGCTTTGGAAGCGGCTTGTTGGATGTCGGTGGCGGAATAGGTTACCCCAGCGCAGACGGCGCTGCTGGGGAAGCCGCTGAATGTGAATGTAGGAACAGTGGCACGGGTATCAAGGAGCTCATTTATATCCCGAGTCTCAAAGACATTTTCCAGGTCACGAACTTTAGCTGCGTCTCTAATCGGAGTGACCAGGCCGTTCACGAGGGAGAAAAGAAGGGTAAGTGTAAAGGCTGCACTGAAGGACTTCATGGTGAATATTTGAAGGCGATTATGTATAGCTTATTGATTAGCAGATGTTATTGGTAACGATGACAAGAACGGCGTCGATGAAACGAGGGCGATAACCATCATTTATAAGGTATCTTCGTTCAAGACATCAATATCTTATCCATCTACTTGAGGAGTGCTCGTTCCACAAATTTGCTACGAAAATAGATGCTGTTTACCTGGGTATGTACCTGGAGCTAATGTGCAGTTACGATTTGGCCGCGGATATAATCCGTTTATTGTATAACAGGGATACTGGCGCTGCTGTTCCCGGATATTGTAACGCTTGCTACAATGTACTCCTAGACAACCCCGCTTAAAATTTATTTATTGAGAATGGACGGGGTAGCTTAATCATAATGTTATATATATTCGTGTTCTAAAAAAGGTTGTCGACCAAAATATTGGAAACGCGACGGTAAGACTGAGGAGAACAACAATTTGTGTCAAAAAAGGTTAGGATCCCCGCCAAAAGAACCCTTCTGTTCATAGTAATATTCCCCTCAAGTTAGCTAACCAGCAATCTAAACATACCTAGGTATTACCAGATACGTCGTGCACCGCTACCAACAAGACAAGGTAGTACGATTACATAAGCAGCATAGCCCCCTTTTGGAGTAAACTATCGACTTGAACTTTTCCTCTAATTTTCATCTTTTAATCTTTTTTCTCTGCATCTACATACTCGCTAATTTCTCATATCCCATACGAAGATGGCACCATCAATTGACTCCTTTTTAGACGGAAGAATTGCAGATCGATGGGGCCCGTCGCGGAATGAGTAAGCCGCCATCCCCGTATATTTACTCTTTATCCCACTACTAATCAATCATCAACAGGGCAAATGCCTTGCGGGAGCTGTTACGCGGCAGTGTAACCCCCGAGGAGGCAGCCGAAAGATTCACGAGTGATGCTAGAGCATCTCGCACTATTAATGCGTGCCACAATTCCTTAGATGGAATGTGGATACTCATTAAGGATACAGCAGGAAAATATCCCGAACACCACGCCAAGGTAGGTGTTGACTAGAATTTTGTGCGTATTCTCTAAAGACTAACATGTCAAAGTTAGTTCAATTGATGGATGCCGTTCGACGACTTCCTAATCTCCAAATTGGAGGAGAAAATGTGGAATGGTCTGAACTCCCAAATCTACCGGAGTGCTGGGGAGAGCACGTTTTTGATCGTAAATATCCGCTGACACGCTTCAGACTGCCCGTGGAGGACTAACACATTAATAGGGGATGAAATGGTATATTCCGAGGAGACTATCTCGGTAATTGCTTTTACAGCTCAGCTTTGTGCTCATCAAGTGGTCGACCATAATGAGTTCCTATCGGCGGCAGAGCTAGATTTTCATGCAGCCTTCGAGAAGACTCCGCTTTCAGGTTCCGTTCTCAAAGCTGAAGACATCCATAGGTTGAATGCTACCGTACCCGTCGCGGCACAGTGGATTTTCTATGCTGGCGAAACGATTTATAACTGTGAAGAGACTTTCGGCCTTAAAGTTAGGGAGGGTCTATGGACCGGCCAGCCGGGCTTTAGTTATGGAAGATGGAAATTGTGGAAGGAAAGAGCCGAATGGGTATGCAGCCTGAAAAGAGTAGTCAGGCACGAGACGATCGAAATAGCGAGGGCAATGGTGGAGAAGATGACTCAGATCGAAAACAATGACGCTTGAGCAATCTTTTGTGGAGTCGGGCTGGAGATTGAATGGTATGCAAGGCGTAACGAAAAAACCCTTCGGCTCCTATTGGCCTCTTATAATCCTATGTTATTCCTGTTGATAGCAAAAAACAAGTGATCCATCAGGTATTTCGGCTTTTAATAAGGATGGAGAGTACCTTCAAGATACCGTGGTGCCATGCAAACCTGGAACTCGTACTTCTAAAGAAAGTTAAAAGGGGACCGTTTTAAAGTTCCCCTGCCCCAGCAACAGTTAATTCCAACAGAATTTCACGAGGGAACCGGATTAACTGGCGTTGACTGTGTCTGTTGGTCAGAAGGGTAACACGTGACGAGTACTACCTAGGTAATGTGCCAAGGTATTTTAAGGGGCGAGTACTGCGCCACATTTAGCCACCCCCTTTTATTCACGGGTATAGATACAACAACTATCTAATAGAAAGAGTTCCCCTCCACTTGCCAAATTAATAATTGATTCGCAACGATAAAGACGATAGCACTTATAATCATCCCCAAATCTAAAAATATTACTGCAATTATGCACCCCTTAGGACTGCTTGCAAGTATGACCTCTACCTAAGCTAGGTACCAAATCTTAGAACGAAGGGTACATGCATCAAACTCCTTGGTGCGAAAACACAACTTGCGATACCCCTAAGCCGTGAGTTCAGCCTAATAAGCGATATTACACCCATTCTAAATCGTGTTATAGTTTGCACATGCAACAGGCAGCATATATAGCAACGCCGTCCAGAAACACCATAGCCTCCACGTCAACTTATCTTCCTTCAACCCAGAATAATTCAATGATCGAACGGAAACAATGAGGCCCAAAAGCGCTTGCGGCGCCGCTGCTAATAGCCCCGCTTCCCAGTACCAATGGACGAAGCAAGACCATAGAATCGTTGGCACTGCAACCGTCCAGCGCGCAGCTCTATCTCCAAGAACTAGAGGCGTAGAGCGACGGCCTCTTGCTCGGTCGCCTTCCTGATCTTGAAGGTCTTGCACCTGCATTGTGGTGAATATGATGGCGCTCACGATAACCGCCCAGACAACCCCCGTGGAGGTGATATCAAACGGAGTTCCGATAGCGACTTTAACGGACCCCACGTTGAATATCCCAAATGCGACCGCGATGATAGCATTGCGTTCAATAAAACCTTGATCGCCACCGCGTAGGTCGTTATAGAGCCACGTCAAAATCATAATACATAAGCTTTCGACACCAACTTTCAAGTAGAAGTGGTTTAACGCTATAACGGCTGGGATCATGTAGAGCATAGCATGGCGTATTTGGTCCGATGTGATGAGTCCGCGTGGTACGGGTCGCCAAGGTTTGTTGAGGGCATCTTCACGCGCAGATTCAGGTAGCCGTTGATTTGCGAGATCGAAGATAATCAAGTTGGACCAGTTGAAGAGTATAACTAAAGGTAATCGCGGTAAAGCTTCGAGCGCTAAATCGATTATCGGGCCGCTCTTCGTCACTAATAAAGAACCGGAAAGTGCACCGCAGATACCGAAGACTGTGTTGGGGCCCACAAAGGTTCCCGCGTTAGACTCTGTGAGGAGCCAGAAGAGTGTCAGGAAATCTGATAAACGCTTAATCAAGCTTTTAGGGGCACTAGAATCCTTTGCGGACGCCATATTTTCGCTGTCAATGGTGGAAGAAAGTGTTCTCGTAGTTGTCGGGATTTCCGGTACAGAGTCTTAGTTTCAGGGTTAGATCCGAGACTTGCTGTCTATAAGTTGCCCCAGGGGGATAAGCATAACTCGGATCCTAATACGAATAGGACACTTGTGAGGTAGCACAAATAGCCGTTCCCAACCCGAATGATTGGTTATTCCGTATGTCATGCTTCCAAAAAACACGCCATCTCTTTAACCCGAGTAGGTATGAAGTCTAGTGCCAGTAATATGTCTTCATTCTACAACAGCCAGCTACGAGACACGGAGATGTCAGCCAACTTAACTTCTATATGAGGGTATGAAAGTGGCACAACTGAAGCTTTTCGCTACTACACCATCCCGCGTGAAAGAGCCTCGGCCTTAACCAACTCACCGGGGCTTACTTGCATACCTAGGTAAGCAGGGTAATTAATGCGCACTGTGTAATAGCTCGATTACTTGAATCAGCAGTGAATAATCTATATCGGATCCCGAATTATTCTTAGACGTCAAAAAAGGGTTAAAGCTTACCAGGTAGGTACCGAAAGCGACATCTCCATGCATGATTTACTGACGTATTCCTTCCACTCGCCAGCCTCAAGGAATCCTAACACCTTTTCACGCCATCGTAGATTACCCTTCAAACTTCCTTTTCAAGACTTAAGGATTCAACACTACTGCTGGTTATAATGCCCAATATTGGTATTGCAACATGAAGCAATGCATTAGGTAGATACGTTGGCTCCACTTATCCTAGCCGACCGCGACCTTGCCGTATATCAGGACTATGCTGCGATAAACCCCTACTTAGCAATTAGAACAACAGTATATGGTCCGAATTGATTCCGTTAACTTATCTACTTAAGGTATAGGTCTGCAGTGATAGGAATCCTAAACTAGCTGCATATTATTCTATATAATCTAATGACAATCATGGTTAAAATAGGTTATTAGTTAATTATTGGACGTAGGACACAGCCTTCCATCAAGGCGCTGCTCCCAGCGATCGCTGCCGACAGCCGTTTTCGCATAAAATATATCGTCAGGGTCGTATTTCGTCTTAATAGCGAGTAGCTTCTCATAATTTCCCCCGTAGAACGTGGACTTAAAACCAGGATCCTGAAAATCGGCCTCATTTAAATAAACACCCCCTTGAGGAGTGAGAGATTGTAACGCTGGTAGTAAGTCATTCGTAATCTTGTCCTGTGCCACTTTATTTTGGGGCCAATCCGTGTAATTGACTGATGTCCCAATAACCACGCTAGATATGGTTTTGCGAAAATATGGATTAGCCGCGTTATTGCCGGTTGCGTTTGCGACATTGAAGGAGACCCCTGACATGAGCGTCTGGGAACTGATATACTGAACCGCTTTCACAAGCCCATCAACATTGTTTTCGACGAGGTCGCGGGGGATTAGCCGGCCTCCCACGTTGTAATCTGATACGTTCCAGGTCGATGTCATAGAATTGTAACTTGAAAGGAAGTCCTTGTATTCGGCAGACGAGTATTGGTATTGAAGCCCAAGCTGGTCCATCACAGCCTTTGTTGGCTCAAGGAGAGAATCCAATTCTTGTTGGTGTAACCCTGAGACCATTGCGGGCATTATCAAAAATCCGGCGGGGGAAGCTACCCACACCACCCAAGCACCAGCATCAACAAGGCTGGGTAATGATTCAAAGAATGTCCCCATGCTTGAATATATAGCGTCGGTATTGCTGCCATTATTTAAGAGTGTTAAGTATGCGGCTGAAAAGAACGTATCGGGATGAGCTTTCGCCGTCATGGAAACCACAACAGCATAAGTGCCACCGCCACCTCCGCTTAGAGCCCAAAATAAGTCGGCATTCTCAGTAGCACTAGCCGTTACTAGCTTCCCAGCGGCAGTGATAACTTCCCACTCTAGGACTTGGTCAGCGGCGAGACCAAATTTCGAGGATAAAATGCTGACGCCACCACCTTGGGTGTAGCCACCAGCAATTCCTACGTTAGGACAATTGCCACCAACGACCATAAAGCCACGGGCGTTAGCGAATTCGTAAGCTTCTAGCCCTTCAACACCAGCGCCCATCTTAATCGCCGGACCTTGATATCCCGAAGTGTTATAGTCCTCGATAAGCTCCAGGGATTTGAGATGATGGGTCCATATTGCAAGAGCGTGTGAACCCGTTGACTTCCCAAGGTAATCATGACCGGTATTTCGAATAACAAGTCGCACATTGTGCTGTTTAGCAAAGAGAATGCCAGCCTGCAGGTGAGCGGCGGTTGTGGCGTTGATTGTGTAAGTAACGTAATACCCTAGCGTACATGGGTCATTAGGACCCGAAAATGGATTGCAACTATTATTCGAGAATTGATAGGCCATTGCTGACGACGGAGAATTCAGATGGGTTTGAGGGAAGAACCAATTATTCCGGAGCGTGTCACATGCCTCTTTGTCGTAGTCGGATATGCTACCCGTAGTACCCAATGAAGAAGAATGGTGACAGACGCTAGATATTGGTGTGGTTGCAATCAAGTTCCCACCAACTGTACGGTTCAAAGTGTCCCAGGCGTTCGGGTCCGGCCAATCAGCGTCGCCTGGGATAGATCGACAGTAAGATTGGGCTTCATGGTCTCTATGGCGAATTTCGATTGCTGTTGTAAGCACGATAAGTGACAAAAACCCAACGAATAGGCGGGCCGTCATTTTCGCTGTCATAGGATACCGAAGCCGATAGTGGGGGCGAAACGGTGATTCCATAAACCAATATGACAACGCTAGACTTGTCAAAGGCTATGTAGCAATAAGAGGCTCGAAAATTCTCGATACCAGACCAGCGGTAACTAATCTCTTTAATCGCAATTTTGGTTACACACACAGACATTGGTTGGTAAGCCACTTATGCGAACGTAACGGAAATAGGTATTCAAAACGCCGTGGCGCATAGTAAAATGAGCCGTGAAAAAAAGGAGGCTGATTACATGAAATGTTAGTTGCTTATACTTGGATCCGCTATACCTTTCTGGGAAAATTATTGGTTACACATGCATAGCATTAACAAGGGTGGATTAAGCTATAGCTGAAAAGGAGATGCTATCGTCAGCTCATTAATTCATTGGCTCGCTACATGGTGCTTACATTAGGTAAGATATGTCGTGGGACATAGTCCCCGCCTTATCTCCGCTTCCTATTCGCAATAAGGCACGGATTTGGAAAAGAGAATAGCAGCACGCGGTCACTCCAGGGTAGTTTAGAATAATACAGACGAATAATTACTAAACACATACTTAGATACCATCTCATACCAGTGTAAATGTTGTATCTAACGTGATCCCTCGCCATGTCCAGTTTCAATTTCTTCCACACCGACATTGAAAGTCTCGTTTCATATGTGCGGCTACCATGATCAGTCCACGCGGGAGGTCACTGATCATCTTAATGGTCATTTTCGATGTATTAACTCTCACCTTTTTGGCATTGCGTTTCTATACTCTTTTCCGGATAAAACAGAGGAGTTACCGGCCTGATGATTTCATAATTGTCATATCCACTGCCTCACTGTTGGCCATGGAGGGCGCAGTGTTCTGGGGTAGGTCACATATTACCTACCTACATGCTTGTGTATCCATGACTATGAACCATCTAACTAACTGACATACCTTTCTAGCCATACACAATGGTCTTGGCTTTCATACAGCAACTTTGCCATGGTCAGACGTCGCGATTCAGATAAGGGTAAGTCTTCAAAATCTCTTGTTTCACCGCGTTGAGTACTTTATCCGTCTGTTAGATATAACTTGGAATGTTACTAATTATGGGCCCATACTGCGGTAGATGCAAACCTCTACCTTATTCACCTGGACTATCTCGACGTGCACCTGCAAGCTGGCACTCTTGTTCTTATATCTTGATATTTTTCGTATACATGTTACCTTGAGGAAAGCCATTTGGCTCTTGGTTATACTCACTTCCTGCTACGCTCCTGTTTTTATACCCTTCTTCATGACCCAATGTTCTCCTGTCTCGGCGGCTTGGGACCCAGTCTTATCCAAGACAAACTGCCGCTCTCTGAAAATTCAAGAATTGGCATCGGTTGCTGTCAACCTTTTCCTTGATACGGCAATCGTCGTTGCCCCTCTTCCTGTCGTTTGGCAGTTGAAGATGCCCACGACCAAGAAAATAGGGGTCAGTGCCATATTCGGCCTTGGAATAGCGTATGTCTTCCCTTTCCCAAAACATGACCTACTCGTTATCTTCAACAAGATTCTACACTAGGTTCGTTTCATATTGGCTAACATATCTTCCTCCCGATTAGAGTGATCGGTGTTATGATATGGCGCCTTATCTCTACGACGAGTCCTACCCATAACCAAGATATTGTATACGAGTTATATACAGTATCCGTCCAAGCTCAATTGGAATGTTGGCTAGGGAATTTGGCAGCCAACTTACCCACACTTGGCCCCTTACTGAATAAGATGTCAGGGTCAAAGGTGGCTAAATACATTATAAGCTCTTTAAAAGCGAAGTCAACCGATCATGGTTCGGCATCGGAAAGAGGACTTCCTCTGAGGACCTTTGGCGGTTCTGGAAAACCGACTAGGCCCGGCGGACATGGTGATTTTCACTTGCTATATGACGAAGGCGACGGGCTTAATACTCAGCATGGTATCATGCTGAATTGGGAAGTGAGGGTCTCTACAGAAACGTCAACTCATAGAAGTGCGGCGAATGGTCATAAATCGACAGTAGAAACACAGAGTCAATAGGTCTATAGTAATAATAATAACGAAAAACTAATTTATCTCGCAACGACACCCGTATTAGTCTACAGTAAACCGTCCTCTCTAAAGGTGCTACAAGGTCAACAATGCAGGTCGAGAGCTCGCAACTTACGTTCATACGTGTAGTGATCAGGTGGAGGACTCCCGGCAAGATGAACCCATCCCAAGTCAGACTACTGAAGGACAACATGCAACTAAAGTTAGAAATTTGCGCCCGCATCAGGAGCTGAAAAGCGATATGAACATGTGAGAGTACCTATCTACCTCGGACATACCCAGGTACCTAGGACAGGTGTGTAGTTGTAGAAGAGTGGAGACTCCTTACCGACCAAACTATCATACTGTGTAAGATTCCTACCCAATATAGCACTGGTTCCGCCCTCCATGGAATCATTGTAGTACCAATGTTACGTGTCGCCTTCGGTGTTTAGGAATCGATTTTACCTTGTCAAGAATAGTCGTACGGGAGAGGCGATCACAAATGTTTAAGTATTTGCCGAAGACTCTCTAACCAAAATGCCGCTAACTATAATCTTCTCTGCAACAAACCCGCGGCTTAATTACCGGCACAGCCAAGCAATATCCAACCACTAAGCTATACATCAACTCGTTGACATGGATGCTTTGTTGTTGCTGGGTGTCATCGCCGGCGTACTTGCGCATAATGTCATTTTCATCCGTGGAGAATGGCATATGCGTATCTCGTCCATTCTAAATGGCCATTTACTGGTTGGCTTTCTTGTTACTTATTTTACATACCAAACCATAGGAGACCGAAACGTTGGTGAAACATTGACAATATTTGCGGCCGCAACTGCATCGTATCTAACGGCTTTATTCGGTAGCATGATTGTATATCGACTGTTCTTTCACCAATTATCCAAGTTTCCTGGGCCAAGACTTGCTGCTGTCAGTAAATTCTGGCACATTTTCAACATCCGTACATCAAGAAACTATTTATTTCTTAGACGGATGCATGAAAAGTATGGCAGTTATGTGAGGACCGGTAAGTAGCTGAAGAACACGTCTTTTATGAAGTGTGTGTGTGTATACAGCCAAGTGCTGATAATATGGGGTTCATTCTAGGTCCGAATGAAGTCACCCTTTTCGACCCGGGTGTTTTTCAACTACTCGACGGATGGGGAAACACCACAACTAAGGATATATGGTATGATATAATGCAGCCGAGAAGCTCTGCTATATTCACGCGAGATGAGAATATGCATAGAGAAGGTCGAAAGGTATGGGTTCAGTCCCTCTCGACTAAAGGTAAGACAGCTGTCATATACTATGACCTACCGTCCATTAACTAATCAGAATCTTAGCAATGGATTCGTTCAACCCACGAATCGCGGAACTTACTCACTCCTTATCCCGCTGTATCGCATCATATGGTTCTGAAGCAGTTGAAGTGGGCGAGGTGATGTCTTGGTTCTCCTTCGACGCAATGGGAGAAGTCGTCTTTGGTCAACACTTCAATCTTTGTATGTCTTCATAATATACCTCATGATATCTGTGGTATGCTGAACATCTACGATATAGTACAATCCAAGAAATGGATCACGGCTATTCGTGATCGAGATGGTGCTTTATCTCTGGTCGGCCTCATCGGCGACGCAAGCTGGATTGCGCATCTAGCCTTCTTAATAGTTCCATTTTACGGCAGAGTAAAGAATTGGTTTGATATGGTGTCTTTCTGCGAAGACCAGATGAAACTCCGACATAAGGTAACCCCCCCTCCCCCTATTGCGGGTGGATTTACGGATCATAATCATTGTTAACGGTGTGTTCTCCGGTTGACTTAGAACGGTAGATTCGAAGATAAGCTAGATATGGCTGAGTTCTTCATCGAGGAGCATGATGCGCTAAAAACTAAAATGAGCTTGGAGGACCGCGATAACTACCTCGGTGGTACGGCGGTAACAGCAGTTGTGGCAGGCAGGTATGCTCGTCTCAGCTTTGACACTGGCGGGATTGAGCCATGCGCTCCCCGACCTATGTGTTGCACAAGTACTAAACTAATGTCTGCTGGTATAGTGACACGACTCGAGCTGCCCTCGTTGGCGTGTGTTGGTTTCTGGCGAAGTACCCTGATCATGCAAACAAAATATTGGCCGAGATTGCGAATGTGGATGTAGACAATGCTGATATTCTTGCCACCCTCCCACACTTGAACGCGTTTGTCAATGAAACGCTACGCCTCCTGCCGCCGGCGATGACAGGAACCGCAAGGCAAACGGGTCCTAATGGACTTCTCTTCAACGATGTTTTGATTCCGCCGCACACTAAAGTTACGGCGCCTCGATATGTCATTATGAGAAGTGAGTATCCGTATCACGAACCCTCAATATTTCTCTACTAATAAATGTTTAGTGGAATCCGCATTCCCCCAACCCGACGAGTTCATCCCCGAGCGCTGGTATTCGCGTCCGGAACTTATCCGCGATAGACGTGCCTTTTCACCATTTTCAGCAGGGAGCCGTCAATGCGTTGGGAGATCGGTTGCGTATTCGGAGCTTCGTCTAGTGGTAGCAATTCTGCTCAAAGATTATCATATCGAATTTGCTCCGGGGTATGATCCGATGACCATGTGGCGAGACATGAAAGATCAAGTCACCGCGCAGCCGGGGGATGTCATGTGTTTATTCAAACCTCGGGAGAAGTAAACAAATATGGATCATATTTACACCCATCTGTGCGGAAGGTTGCTTAGGGGAGATTACCCCTAGGTTGGTTGATGCTATGCGAAAGGAGGCGGCAATATGAGTCGCTTAGAGGTATTGTGGTGTGGTTACAGTGGAGGTGGTGCGCTATGATCATAGCGCTGGAGGATGCCCCGAAGATGGATGCTAGAAGTTATAGGGCGGGCTTTACGCTATAATGTATGGGGGCTTTGGGTGCCTCCTGAGGAGAAATTGAGAATAGAGGGCGCCGACAGGCTTAATAAGCACTGGAAAGTCGGGCCCAAACCCTATTCAACCACTAACCTAGGACCTGCTGTTGTGGTGGTTAGGCGGTTATAATAGTGGGAGCTCACTGTAAATCTGCAACATTAGCAACGCTTAGCGCTTGTAATAGTGGTAGAAGCTCCCTCGCTCGGGCGCGGGGTGGTGGAGGGGTTGTAAATTTAGTCGCCAGTTTCGATTATATTTGAGCATGCGCTGTAATTTACCGCGATCCCCGTGGGGTTCAGGGGGTAACTCCCTGTAACTTTAACCCCTCATAACCCTGGGGGTGCCACCACATTGTGCAAAAGCGCCATATTCTAGCGATTTGACAGCTGGGCCCGCAGCGAAAGACTGTGAGATAAGCTCCCTATAGAATGGTTTCGGGCACATTAAAACCTACTATGTGCACCTGCAAGTAAATCATCCAACCCACCCGAGCGAACCCTTAAACATAAGGTTTCGAATAGCTTCAGAGATTTCAGACGCCCTTTCCAAATATGCAAGACAAGGGGGTCATGGTATCTTTTAATTGGTGAGAGCTTTTCTATCGTCTACTAATGGTGAAGCCCATCCTCGATACTACGGCGTTCAGTAGCCTGCATATGTCCTCAACATGAGGTAGCATAATTTCGGTGGCAGTGCCGGGGCGCCCAAGAGAGTGCCTAATAGTGGACAGTGGGAATGTCGAAATTGCTACGTCTAGCCTCAGCCTCGACTGACAGCCTCCCCCCCACACAGGGACTCGCATCGATTTTTGACGTTGGTATTTAATAATCCTCCTTTAATTATTAAATGTTTCCTTGTCTTTTATTGTATTATCGGCAGAGCTACCGGATGCGTCGGAGATGGCCGAAGTCGCTGGCCTTATAATAGGAGTCGTCGGGCTCGCAGGCGTAATAGGCGCCTTCAAAAACGCCATTGACCTTTTTAGTGGGTTTATGAACTCGCGAGCATTCGGTCGCGACTATGAAATACTTGATACTAAGATCGATATTGAGAGGGCGATTTTATTGCAATGGCCCAAGCAAGTGCGAGGTTTGAGAGCGGAGTATGATCCAAGACTGGATGACGATATCACTCGACAGGCTATTGCCCATATACTATGATGCATAAAGCTCCTATTAGGCGACGAGGCCAAACTCAAGAGTCGATATGGTCTAATGGAAAGCGGGCGCTATACCAGCGACCAAGGGAACTCTGAAGCCGTGATTAGTTGTGGGAGAATGAGCAAATTTGTTGAAGAATTTGAGAGAATGAAATCGCGGAGAAACCTGCTAATCAAAACGTCAGCTCTAAGCAAGAGAATTCGCTGGGTTATCTGCAACTGAGAGAAGTTCGAAGAGTTGACTGAAGAGTTGGCTTATTTCACTACGAAACTTACACAAATCGTCCCGGTATCCACCACTCAAGAATGTTCAACTAGCCTTGGTGTTGGTCTCGACCCAAACGTGACGGAAGACCTTCAAGGACTAAAAGTTGTCCTCGACGCATCTGACGGTTGCCGAAAAGACATTGCTAAGTCAGCCCGGCGTCATCTCGAACTCGCCTGTCAGGAACGGATCCTCCGCAAATTGTGGTTTAGAAATATTAACGAGAGAAAACAGTCCAAGCCTCCTAGCGACACTAGAATTGAGAGTTTAGCTCGAAAATATGGATGGGCTATACCTACAACGGGACCGTCAGATTCGGAAGATTCCCTTGAGGACTCCGGTACTTTCGAGGTGGGTGTTGATTAGGATAGGATATTCGCGTCGCACGATTTTCCATTGGAAGACTCGCCGTCTCCACACAAGAAACACCATCTCGATATGAATCCGCAGGAACCGTATGAAAGAACCTGTCTGACGATTCGTACGTCGTAGCGCAATAACATTTCGAGAAAACGCCCACGCAAATACAAGCCCATACAAGTTGGATCGGGGTAGCAATCAATGCATCTCAAGGGCATGGGGCTCAACGAAAGCCGAATCGTGGAAAAATACAACCCGGTGGGATGGTAAAACCGATAGCATGTGTACCAATACGACAATAAACCCCGTAACGGCCCACATCTATAATTGGTCTATAACACATCGCCGTGGATGCGACCGTGATTCGTAGGGCCGGTTCATATCAAACCATCCGGAGAGCTAGTGGATTAGGAAAGTCGTCTAATGACTGCAAGAATCTAGACCGTGCTCTGCTGTTATAATAAGAGCTATAAATTCCTTATTTATCCAGCCGCTTATAAGTGAACAGCGTTTCCGTTTTGTAGATCTTGCGCGTCTCTTTCAATTTTAATTAGTCGCATTCACGCTACGGAAATTTCTACTGCAAGATGTTGGCGACTTTACTTATATCGTTCTTGGCTCTCGTCAGCCATGCATCGGCAGCCACGTGGTACTTCCTCCGGTACTATCCGGCATCCGGAGAGAAATTCACATCTTTCTCCGGGGAAATGGCGATCCCGACTCTGCAGAAAGCCGGGGTGTACTATCTCTGGCCTGGACTCCAGCCTACTGACAATAGCGGCGTGTACCAAAATGTCCTGGACGGTCGGAGCGGGACTTGGTGGATTGGTTCGGGCTGGTGTTGCTCAAATCCCAATCTTCCGTGGGGAAGTGGATTTAACACCTATGCCAACGAGAAAGTGACATTCGAGAATAAGTTGGATAGCGGTGGCTCAAATTGGGTGTCGACTCTTACCCGTCAATCTACTGGCGAGAAGGTGACGGATAGCTTTCCATTAGGTAGGCCGAAAGATCCCCTAGAATTTCCGAATGTGTACTCACACATCCATCCTTAGGAACCAAGTCTTTCAATCAGGCACTATTCGCCATTGAACTGTGAGTTATTCTAGACAATCCGTTGACGTCGTAGCAGTAAGGGTTGACATATCGTAGCACTAGCGTTAATTGGGACTTCGGACCGCTTGCATTTTCGAATGTTGTGATTGTCAGTATTCATTTTTTTTTTTCGCGGGCTCGCTATTTTTTTACATGCTCCGACTAACTGGGAACATAGACGAGTACTGGTACGGATTCGAGTTGGTGTAATACGAAGCCCGAAAACTACAATTCGGCAAGCGTTTATTCTATCTCTGGCTTGAGGGCAAGTGTGAGCGGGAATACTGTGACTTGCAAAATCGATTCTGTAATTCTTCAGAAGCCAGCTTAGTTGAAATTGTTGAAGTTTGATGGCTGCAAGTTCATAATTCTGGACCCCTCTTCAATTACATTTTAATGATGAGTAAGCGAGCTTGAGAATGACTCTGCTTACATAAGAGTCTTCTTGTAGGTGCGGATTAGGTAATGACATTAGGTAGTTGTATCAGGTAATCAACAGATTGATAGAGTTTGATTACCTAATTCTTCTTCACCAATACAACTTCCAATCCCGAATACATATCTTCAGCAATATTACCTTCTTTACTGAGTACCTGGAAACTTAAAGCAACTTAAGGCCTCATGATATGTGGAAGTACATGGGCTACTACTGTCATCCTCCTCCCAACGACCCTATTATAGAATAGGATCCTTTTATCTGGTTCGTAGCCGAAAGTAGTCTGTACTAATGCCCCGCGTATATTGGTCGGCTGTGTAGGTGGGCATGGAAGGGAAACTATTCCTAGTTTTCTTAAGTCACACACTAGGAAGTTTAAAATAGAGAAACACTATAAAAACGGCGGAGAAAAATCTAAGCATCGCGTTCATTTACTCATTCGTTCGTGATCATATACCCCCATAGTCAGTCGCGTTTCGCTAAAACCTTGCCGACCAGATACAAATATTATTCTCACGATATGATCTCCGCGCCTGCGAGCATGTCCCACGTAGGCTTCGGTTTAGTCATGTCTTGGCCTATTGAATATCTTCCCTCTGCCGCCTTCCGTTCCACATAGGTGCGTGTCTTGTCCTCAACCTTCTTCCAGTCTAATATAGCGGTTCCGACGGCCTCTCTGTTCTTCGATATGCGCGAGAATGCATCGATGACCCACGACAAAGAGTTGAACTTCGAGTTGTTGTCAAGGATCGGTGTGTCTTGGAAGATCTTGATGAGTCGCTGCTCGTCTGTAACTTTGGCGATGAGGACGCGAGCTAGGAGTCTGATCTCTCCCTGTATATTCTGCAGAGGCCGTGCTTCGTACATCCACTTCCCCGTGGTGGGTACCTTCTTGACGTGGTAGCGCGTGCCGGGAACCTCTCCCTTGTCTTCGTACTTAGGGCCGATGAGAAAACTCCAGTGGTACCTAGGTAAGAGAAATTAGACCCGCAGGAGAGCATGATGGTTAGGAGAACTGCTTACTTTAGTAACCCATCCTCGGCGATAGGGCTGGGATACAGCGCAATGTAAAGTCTTTTCTTGTTGAAAACCATATTGAGTCCGCAATGACCGGTATAGCTTGTTCGCGAATTCAGATTTGAATATCCGATAAGGAATGTGGGCGCTGAGCTAACATGCCCCAAGGATCAATAGGCGGTAAAAGTATCGCTTTATCTAAGCACCGTTGTGCAGATTCTCGCCGAGTTGGATTTGAATCCGGCGGTGCAACAAAAATATTCCACGTGCTCTGTTGCCGAAAGTACGATGACTCCGGGAACCCATAGTGGTTTCCTCTTCAGGGATGAGTCAAGACTACGTCCGTCCATATTTGTGAGTGCCTGCCTCATACAAACCGGAAATACAGCTGTTACTTCCCTTTTATATAACGGATGAAAAGACCTTTGGTATTCTAATTGGTTCCCAATTCCTGTGGTGATCCGATCTTCGACCTATCAAGATCATGAGCACCAACCGCTCGGACCTTATCCTACTTAAGCTTAGATTGAAGTTACACACGCGCAAACCAGAACAAAGACTTGATTGCGTGGCACCGAAATATATGATATCGAAGTAGGCATGTTAAAATTGCCTCCTTACGGCGATACGTCAAATTAAAGGCCAATAAACCACGTCTGTCTGGCCTGATACCTCCTGTCGTATGGATTGGCTAATGAGCTTTCTAAAAATTATAAAGTAACAGTTTTCTAACCGCTAGTCTCACGACTAAATGCTGGTTGGTTAACAGAAGAGCACTTACGCGGCTATCCCACTACTCTGAAGACCACATAACATTCGTTAAATTCACTTCAACTCTAGTTCTATGATTACCATTTAACCCTCATAAACTTTTTATTTGCGATTATTTAAATTCTCGATTTCTTTTTATTTGTGTTACATTATTAGTGATCATATTTAAGAAAAAGGGGACGTGGTTACACAGCTAAAAAGCGGAGGAAAGCGCCGATCGGGACTATTTATACCGTCACTTGACTGGACTTGGAAATTGATGATCCAGGCAGTGCAGTAGCAGCCGTCCCGTCAGTGCCGTTGCCTTGCGTGCTTTCCCTTTACCCCAACCTAATCACTTGAGACTGGGGCAGGTTCAATTTCGAATTCTTTTCCTTTAGAATTCCATCTAAAAAACCTAAGATCAACAACATTTTCTTCATATCAACTATCCACTATCCACTTAGATCCGATCGGTGTTTGTTTGTCCAGGGTCCATTTGATCGTGTCGCTAGGCCAAGACGCGATTGATTTTCGCTGGTTCGAGCCAGACCCATTTTGACAATTGGTCTTATTATTGGTAACGAGTGCCAAAACGGGGTTTGCCTGTCTTATCGGAATCATCAATCTGTCGTCATCGATCGTAAAATCCCCAGCACGAGCCTTCGTGAAGCCCAGTTTTCAAGCCCCAGATCCGAAGAGCGCCATTCCCATTTGATTCTTTTCGAAATCGGCCTTTTCCACTCCCTTCCAAAATGGCTTGGGAACTCACTCGGCGGCGTTTCATTCGCGCCATCAATAGCAAATTCATATTTGACCGCATCGTATGTTCATCCCTTGCGAACTTATCTCACCGTTAGCCCTGCTCTTCCCTTTCAGCCTCGATCGTCGTCCGCATCCATACCATCATTGCCATCCTCCTCATTGTCATCCTCCTCATCGTCATCCATATACTAAGACGTCACCACTATCCATTTAACCGATATTCCTATTTACTAACATCTTCCCTCTCTGTATCTAGCCTCTTCTCCATGCAGTCATCTTCTTCATCGAGATGGCAATTATCGCGCGCCTGGTGTCGCGCTTTAACGCTTACTATGATGAACGGCCAGGTATGAAGCTTTCTACCTTATTACGATTTCGCCCCATACGATGCTAACGATATACAACTTAGTCCTTACAATGATGGTAACGAACGCCGTCCTTGGTGGTATCGCCGACACCGTAGCCCAAACCATCACATCCGTCCGAGAACGTGCGCTACGAAAACCCGGCGGTCTTACCAAAGACGACACAGTAGCTATCGAGATCCACGAACTAGACCGCAAGAACCCATGGAACGAGCGGGAACTAATCCCCGAGTCCAAAGATCTTCCGCCTCCCTTCGACTTCGAGCGATTAACGAGATTTATGGCATATGGTTTTGGAATGGCTCCTTTACAATATAAGTGGTTCAGCTTTCTGTCGCGAGCATTCCCCATCACGAAGACGAGCGCATTTGGCCCAGCGATGAAACGAGTGGCTTTCGACCAGCTAATTTTCGCACCCTTTGGTATCGGATGCTTCTTCACAGTCATGACTGTAGCGGAAGGTGGTGGCCGAAGAGCTGTCGCTCACAAGCTTAGGGATATGTACATTCCTACTCTGAAGGCGAACTTCATGGTCTGGCCTGCTGTGCAAATCATCAACTTCAGGTTGATGCCTGTGCAATTCCAGCTGGTAAGTTAATTCGTCATAAGATTCATGGCACATGTTTTGACTAACAGTTCACTCTAGCCATTTGTCTCTACCATTGGTATCGCCTGGACTGCCTACCTTTCGCTTACGAACGCTTCCGAGGAGGTTGAACAGAAACCAGCCCCCTACTCTCCTAATATTCGTCTATAAACAAATTGCATGCCGCTCAGTGCACTATAACTGGGCCCTCTCCTTACTATATAACATCCTGACTTGGAAGTCAATCCGGCGGGCGTTACGGTGTCGGAAAACATGATTTTCGTGTGGTAATCAAGACGGCGGACACGATACAGGACGGCGCATTCTTTCTGGATGAAGATTTAGGGTAACCTGGGATAACCCTGTATATAGGTATCTACCTAGATGGGAGGAATCGGAAGCATTATTTGCACATACACTGAGCTTCCGTGATTCCAATTACATGACGATCGAGGCTATCCCCCGAAATTCTAAGCCTCCTATAGAAACCCGGGGAATATATGCAACCTAAGTGCCTGGGTGGAAGACTATCATTGGCCAATTCATAACTACGAAATACGGTATCAGAAATATTCCGACTTGCTCCTTTGTAAACGGACATTGATCATTGGAGCACAACGGGAGTCGGGACGGTGACGATCGGCCGAGGGTTCATCGCACCACTAACGTATCCTTAGTTTTCGCAACGAACGGAGGATCGCGGTTGTCAAGCGGGAATCTCCTAAGTCAATCTAAAACGGCGATGTATCCATCCACTAAATTTGCCGGCGTAGGTACATATATGCATGTTAAATTTAGCGTGGTTAGGTGCAGCCACCGGACGTCACCCGTCAAGCTCCTTTACCTCACCCCACCAAATTGTAGGGGAGCTGCTACCCCTCTGCCCCTCCATCCATCCAGTATTATTAGTCCGGCTTCCCTTCTGCGTGTTTTTTCTTACGGACATCCTAGGAAAAAAAAATAAAAACATCAGCCTTGAAATACCGCAAACCTACTTTGTGATTATTCCTCTAATTCCTCAAAATTATCCTCCAAATCCAAGTGTCAATTGAAACCATCTAGCCGTCAAAATGTCTCTTTCTAACAAGTTGTCCATCACGGACGTTGACCTGAAGGGCAAGAGAGTGCTCATCAGAGTGAGTGATCCAAAAATGATTTAATACGAATCTCGTTTGCAGTGTTCGATTGCTATAATATCTACAATCCATTATATCACGCATTCATGCCATATAAACTAATATAACTTCTTTGTAAAGGTTGACTTCAACGTCCCTCTCGATGCTGATAAGAAAGTCACCAACAACCAACGTATCGCTGGTGCCATTCCCACAATCAAATATGCTATCGACAACGGTGCGAAGGCTGTCATATTGATGTCCCACCTTGGCCGTCCCGATGGAAAGGTCAACCCCAAATACAGTCTAAAGCCCGTTGTCCCTGAGCTTGAGAAGCTTCTTGGCAAGAGCGTGGAGTTTGCACCAGACTCCGTCGGACCCGAGGTTGAGGCTATTGTAAACAAAGCGGATAACGGCCAAGTTGTTCTTCTAGAGAACTTGCGTTTCCACGCCGAGGAAGAGGGTTCTTCTAAGGATGCGGAGGGCAAGAAGGTTAAGGCGGATAAGGCTAAGGTTGATGAGTTCCGCAAGGGTCTGACAGCTCTTGGTGATGTCTACATCAGTAAGTTCCCTAAACCGACTCTCGGAGTACGAAGAAAACTAATTGATATCTCTAGACGATGCTTTCGGAACCGCCCACCGAGCCCACTCTTCCATGGTCGGTGTCGACCTACCCCAGAAGGCCGCCGGCTTCCTCATGAAGAAGGAACTCGACTACTTCGCCCAAGCCCTCGAGTCTCCCAAGCGCCCCTTCCTCGCCATTCTCGGCGGTGCCAAGGTCTCCGACAAGATCCAGCTAATCGACAACCTCCTCGACAAAGTCAACAGCATCGTAATCTGCGGTGGCATGGCCTTCACATTCAAGAAGACCCTCGAAGGCGTCAGCATCGGAAACTCCCTCTTCGACGAAGCCGGATCCAAGAACGTAGCCACACTTATCGAAAAAGCCAAAAAGAACAACGTCAAGGTCGTCCTGCCCGTCGACTACGTGACGGCGGACAAATTCGACAAAGACGCTACCACGAGCACTGCTACGGATAAAGACGGTATTCCCGACGGATGGATGGGTCTAGACTGCGGCCCCGAATCTATCAAGCTATACAAGGAAGCCATCGACTCCGCTCAGACCATCCTATGGAACGGTCCCCCCGGCGTCTTCGAGTTCGAGAAGTTCGCCAACGGTACCAAAGCCACACTCGATGCCTTCACGGCTGCCGTTGCCGCTGGAAAGATTGGTATTATCGGTGGTGGTGACACCGCTACCGTTGCTGCCAAGTACGGTGCTGAGGACAAGTGCTCGCACGTCTCGACTGGTGGTGGTGCTTCCCTTGAATTGCTAGAGGGCAAGGCGCTACCTGGTGTCGTGGCTCTTAGCACTAAATGAGGGTTAGGTTTATCGATGCGTCTTTAAATTAGACTGGCATCGGATAACGGCAAATATGGCCTAGAAATGGGGTTTCGGTCGGTCAGTTGATCGATTTTCAAAGGGTAGCTTACCTACCTGAATCCACATGGGATGCCGGGTGCTGGTCTGGTTACATAGACCGGCCGGATGGTATCTTTAACATCATCATTGTTGCGGTTTTGGTGTGCTTATTGATACATACAAACAAATAATGTTACGTTAGGAAGTATGCGTTGAGTTCATTACGTATGACGTAGCTAAAACAGAATAGAGGAATACCAAATACAAGTATTAGATCATAATTTATGCCTGTAGTGTTAGTTTCTTCGAAGTTAGGAAATGTCTCAACTTTGGGGATGGGTAAGCCTTATTTCGGTATCAACACGGAAGAAGGCGATACACGGATGTGTTAGGAGTAGGAATAAGCAGGTATTCATTATCCACCAAGCATCCTTGTATCTACCAGTCTGCCAATCTATTTATTGATCGTAGGTAATCTTGTTCACTTCCCTTCCCGCGTCGTCACGATGCCGTAGAAAAGCCAAGGATTTAATACAATCAATTTAGTTTCGTTACTTCTCTAGCCCTGCGTTCCCGTTCCTATCTCGTTCGGGTTCCCATCTCGTTTCTGGTTTGGGGCGCGTTTAGATCGAATGTGGTTGGAAGCTAACTATGGTGTAGGTTGTTCTCTTCATCTTCGCTTCGACGACTCGACTTTCTTGAGTTCTTCTCTGTTTAGGAGTTAGTGTTGGTCCCCGATAGTGCGGTAATAGTTGGGGCAGCGGGGACGAAAGAGATGTTCCAGGTGACGAGATACGTGGTAAGGATGCAAGATGGGGGTGGTTGTGAGCGTGTATCCGTATACGCATGTTTGTACGTACCTCAACTGTGTAGAGAAATCATCGGTGGTGTCATCATCGTCCCAGCTCTCCTCCCATAGGTGTTGTGTCGTGGTGCCGTCGCCGCTGGTAGTGGTTGCTGCTTCGGTCTCTTCTGCGGGCCAATCTGTTTTGTGGCGTGTTAGTATTCAGGACGGTCATATATGATCATTGTATGGCAATGCTGGTGGGCAATGAAGTAATGGTGTATAATGAAAGCCTAGTATAGAAGCAGAAGTAGGACGACATCATAAAAGTGATGCATGTAGATGGATGACGGCAAAAGGTACACCCGTGTTTGTAGCAGTTTCAGAGGTAAATGTACCTTCAACAGGGAAATCCTCAAACTCATCGTCCTCCTCAAGCGCAGCAGTAGGTTTCTGCTGCTGGGGTTGTTGTGATTGTTCTTGCTTCGCGGTTTCAGTAGCGGGCTTGTCACCGGCCTTGTTCGTTGGAGCGGCCATGGTTAGGTTTATTCGATTGTTTGAGAGGTTTCGTGTGCTTTGATCGAGCAGTAGCCAAATCTATGAATTGGACAAATAAATGCAATTTTAATCGACTGCTATTGTTATTAATTTGTCTTGCTTGGGGCGAGGCTGAATGTGGAACGGAGGAAAGAGACGAGGCTTTGAAATTCCAAGGTTCAGTTTGCGGGTTTGATGTTTCTCGAGCTTGCCTTGCTATCTTATGTAATACAGATTGTTAATAAGCTCTACCACACTGTTCTAGCGCCAACTATCGGTACATAGGTAGCTGTTACCCTAAGAAAGTAGATGGGGCTTATCTCCGAACTAACCAATCAGTTCACTTCCCGAGGTTGGGCGGAGAAGGACCCAATAAGCTTGCGTAACTGCAGTACAATACGCCTCTAATACGCACCTTCAAGGTTCTCGCCTGCATACAACTGCAGCAATGCCCAGCTAAAACCAGGCCAGGCTCCGAGCTTTGTTTCTTTAGTACCAACTCAATATTTATTGTGCACCTGCACATGTGTTATTGATCCGGTAGGCTTTGCTGCAAGGTTGAATTTAATTCATGGATTTGGTGTCATGTAAACTGAGAGATCATCTTTCTAGTGTGCTCAGCCGCAATCTGCTACAACATTACAACATCCCTATTTATTTATGTCAGGCTTACTATCAGGGCCCTTTCTTGGCCAACCTCCTTACACTTCCTCTATATTTCGTTTAGGGGTTTCAAAGATAACGCACGGCACTTCCAATTGCTTTTATAAGAAACATTGTTTTCATTTCCATTCACTCATGACCATACTCATGACTACCTTCAGGGATTGTATTACTTAGACATTCAGTAACTCACCAAGACACCTCAATCTAGTTTAGTGTCGGCGGGATTCATCCTTATCTCCCGGTCTACAGACGTCATCCCGATTCGCCTTATTTGGGGTTCAAAGGTGACTTTGGTCTCAGCCCAGCCCCAGCAGCACACGAGTCAATACCTCCAAGGTTGCATACAATATTGTGCTTATTCAAGTCCTACTTTTTTACATAATCCTCTACTTTTTTTTCTGCGTTGTCTTTTTTTCTAAACCAAAGCTGAATGTATCAATCCTTTGTCCTACTGTCTACGTACTAGAGATTTTCAAGCCATGCTCTTACGTTAGACCATCCCACTTAGAAACTAGACGGCTACCTCGCGGCAGCTACGGATACTACGGACTTATCGCCGCCTTCTAATTAAGACACTAACGGGACGAATTTTCGTACATCCCTCCCTCCAAGACGGCATCCTCTTTGTTGTTGCTCCGAGGTTATACACAGTCAATATCTCACCATGAATTCGATCGGAGCTTGGCTTCGGGGTTCCGGCTCCAAGTCGAACTCCGCTTCAACCTCCCAGGCAGATCTTCAGGCACAGGAAATAGCTGCCTTGGAGGATGCCTTGATTGGTACGGCTATGATTATGAATGACGATATCGAAGGCGCGGAGGAGAGGCTACGAAAAGGTGATTCCTCTTTTCATCACCTGGGAATGTGCGTCTGTGTTTTCATGAGAAGTATCCTCGGATTTGAGAAGTCAATTATGGCTGAAGCAGTCACGCGTCTCACGGACTGCGAGAACAATGCGTGGAATGAGATGAAGAAGGCCCAAAAGGAGGGTAGAAGCGCAAGTGAGGCAGAAGACCGGGTATATCCCCCGGGGAGCGAGTATTCTCTAGTTATGGCGGATTCCCAGCTTATGTTTGCTGTCGTGTCCGTCCTTCATGAGAGCTTGACAGAGGCCATCAAAGGTGCTTACAAGTTGCGGAAGGCGTTCATCACTCTAGATGAAATAATGCAATCGGAGGCGGCATATTTGAAGAGAAAGGGTCTGCGCTCGGACTTCTCCAAGGAAAATATCTCGTCGTCTTCGAGTTCAACTTCCGGTCAGCGTGGGAATGGCAGTGACGACACAGACACCGACCTTGATTTTGTGGACGCGGACGAGGCACACTCCGGAGCGCAAACACCCTTAAATTATGAAGGGCATCTAATCAAGGATTCCAACAGCCCCGAGAAAAGAATGAGCCAACTATCTTTGAAATCCGACTCGACATTGCCACAACCAGCAGACAAACCAAGTGCGCTAGCGAACTCGTCGTCGCAAATTGGCCTAGAAAGCAGTCCCGATTCGGACGTTTTCAAGAATCCTGTCGATGCCTTTGTTCATAGCGGTGTGAGCATGTGCTTCGGTGCTCTCTTACTCATCTTATCGACAATTCCACCGACCTTCTCCCGTCTATTATCCATTATCGGCTTTCGGGGCGATCGTGAGCGCGGAGTCCGCATGCTTTGGCAGAGCTCTCGATTTGATAACATCAATGGAGCCGTGGCTGGGTTCATGTTACTTAATTATTATAATGGACTCCTAGGCATCGCTGATATTCTCCCCTCCGAAGAGGACGCCAAGAGGGGTGCAGTTCTGGCGTACCCAAGAGCTAAATTCAAGGAGCTTCTCTCTAGGATGCGCGCCCGATATCCGGATAGCAAGCTCTGGGTTTTCGAGGAGGCACAAGTCCTAGGCTACAACAAAGACTTGCGTGGTGCAATCGAAATCTTGAAAAATAACAAAGATTCAAAGATGCGGCAGGTTGCAGCGTTGAACAACTTCGAGATGGCGTTAGATTCCATGTACATCCATGATTACCCCGCTATGCGTGACAACTTCATTCGGTGTGTTGAGCTCAACGACTGGAGTCATTCCTTGTACTACTACATCGCTGGATGTGCTGAGTTGGAGCTCTATCGGGATGCGTTTCACAGTGACGAGAAGAATGAGTCAGAGATTCAACTCCACAAGAAGAAAGCAAACGAGCTCTTCCGAAAAGCACCTACAGTAGCCGGCAAGAAGCGCTTCCTAGCTCGACCCCTGCCATTTGAGCAATTCGTAACCAGAAAGCTGCAAAAGTGGGAAGATCGAGCCAAGGAATTAGACACCGATCTCGTAGACATCATTGGTGTCAGTCCAGCTGCAGAGATGACGTACCTATGGAATGGGACCAAGAAGATGCTAGCTCCCGAGCTGCAAAAATCTGAGAAGATCTTGTCCTGGGGCCGGCTAACAGCGTCCGAGGAAGTACAGAAAAAGATCAAGACAGAGATAGATGAGCAGGCTACTCGTGATGTGTGTCGAGCTGCAGTATCCCGTTCGTTGGGGAGACTCGGTGAGGCACGCGAGCTGCTCGATAACGTTCTGGCCATGGATAAGTGCGTTCCCAATTCCCCTCCTACCTACATAATGAATATGACTAACATGTGCTGCAGAATGGCGTTCAAGCGTGCTAACAGAGACGATTACGCGTTACCTGCAGCTCATTATGAAATGGCGGTACTTGCATGGTGGGAGGTGCAGAAGCCTGAACTCCGAGAGACAACCGAGAAAGGAGATGATGACGACTGGCTGCGGGAGAAGACAGAAGAGTGCCAGTCCTGGTTGGATAAAGTGGCCAAGTGGGAAGCATTCGTCCTTGATGCCAGGATCAGCATGCGGGTTCTTGCCGGTATGGACACGTTGAGGTGGTACAAGAGAGAGCACGGATGGACTGTTGCCTGATTTCCTTGTGGCGTTCTGTTGGGGATTTACGGGAGCGCGCATATCACGACATTGCTGCCTATGATGCGGCATGTCAGCTGGTTTTATGGGTATAGAGGTGTGAAACATAGATGCAGATCGGTCCCAAGGAGATGGACCTTGCAGGTGTTGGTCAGGGATAGAATCGGAGGGTCAGGTCATCGAGACCCTTTTTTTAAGACATCCATACGGACACTGTTAGGATACTGACATTTGAGCGCATTTCCCCTATGCAAGAGTCCGATCATGATGTGGTCTTGCATGCAACACCGGTGCACGAATTATTCGGTTCGACACTCGTGACTTCGAGTAATCGAAGGAGAAACAGAAGCGCCCGAAGTGGCAGCATCTAAGTTTCCCCTTTTTTCTTCTCTCTTTTCAAAGGTAATGAATGCAGGTAAGAAGATATTTTCATATATACCTGAGCTCCATCCCCTCTATGATGATCAATTCAATCCAGATCAACTCAATTCACCTCACCCCAACCTAATACGAATACATTCGTGTCTCACTTCTTATATATACTTATCACCATCAACATATTGACTATTTCCTTTGTTTTCAATACATCTGACAGCAGACCCCGTCCAGCCGCCCCGACGAACCTTTCCTGGGTTTGACAAGAGACACCCGGGCACGGGTAGCTCGATTCGGCTAGGGAGGCTGGGTCGACAGACTTCGTTGCGTTCCATACCTCTATGGACTTTTTAAGTAGGCATTCAAACGTGGCCTCGAGGTCGTCTTCATCGAGGCCTTCAGTCGCCTATACTCGAAGCAAACGTCGCAGGCCGTCTACGGGGCTTCGGGCTCACAGAGGAGAAGATGCCGGCGCCCTCGACACAGATAACACATTATGACCCGACGCAATAGAACATATACCGTGGCTTAGAAATAAGGCGCGAGAATTGCATCTAACAGAGTCGAAGAGACAACGAATTTACCCATCGAACCAGGATGTCTCGTCTTGAATTGCTATTCGACCATCGGATGGTAACCACCAGTATGGGATTAAGTTGACGAAACACCATTTCGTTCTACAGCAAATATACACATTCATAACTATGTCATTAAAACTCGACTTAAATTAACCTGGCACCCGCTTGTGGAAGGCTCGCGAATTCTACAGCGCCGACTTCTTCGACGACGAGGGTAGACTTAGGGAAGATACAGTTAACCCAGCCGACCTACACACCCACCGCCAGGACGGAGCCTAATAGCCACACCTATAATGGCAATATTAAGAACCCAACAACCTTAAGAAGGAGGTGGCGCAAGGCAAGGTGAAAATAATACGAGGACTAATCGGAGACATCCCGAATTTCACCACAATCAAACTTGGCAACGTTCCCATTAATATAATAAGGGGATGGGAAAAGAATAGCAGCGCAAGGGTAAGCACTTATTTCTATACCTTCACCAATCATTTGACATCGCGCCACTAACACTTCTCATGAAAAAAGGGCCACCAATGGACGAAGGTCGACCTAACCGAACTTTGACATTTACCCATATTGAACTTGCCTAAGCTGTATACCATGCAGACAAACATTAAGGGGACTCTAAAATTACCTCTGTCCCCGAATCCGAAAGACTGGCGAGAACGAAGGGCTCGTTAAAAGAATTTACGTCCCCAAGACGAGTAACGGCAAGACCACCCCCGGCCGCCTATAGGCTTTTAAGACGCTGCCTATAGCATTGAAGCGCCGGGTTTTCTTGCTCGCTAATACTTGGGCCCCTAAGGACGTGTAAAAGCTGATTCACCGTTCGATCGATCGCTTCACACGCCTGGTCGTTTATAGGTTTTAATTCTAGGAACATTACTATCTCTTCGGGGGATGTCGAGAGACCCTAGGTCAATTGTCTAAATAACATCCGGAACAAGGAGGTAATGGCCGAGTAAAAGTACGTTAAAACCCGCATACCCGCCTGAGTTTGGAACTTGACCAGTAGGCTAACATAGTTCTAGCATCATAAATAAATGCCCGTATAAGGGTGCTATGGGGCTAATGGATCGGTAGGGCTCTAAGCCCTTCGATATCTTGTCACCGATCTCTTTTGCCTAAGTTCCGGCGTCTATGGCGCGACAAATAATACTTCCTCAACATTATTTTTATCAGAACTGCTTTTGCTCACCAATACTACTGCCACCAAGGACGCAGCCTCATAAAAGGAGTAATAGTGAATATACTCCTATTCATCCATGTTGGATCGGTTGGCGATACGCAAAACGACATATAAAGCCAAATAACAGACCAACGTGGAGAGTACGTTCTGGTGGATTATTCCATGCAGTTGAACGCATGCGAGACATCTAAGAGCTCCCCAACAACCTTGGAAGGGCCGGAGGCTAGGATCATACAACAACGCTCAGAGGCGAGCATAACTAAAGAGCCTCATGCACCCATATCATCGACGACTTTAAATGGAGCCAATATTCACTCCCACTTTCTGGCATACTGCATAACCCGGCCGGGGACTTTTCGGTACACGACGGCGATTAAAAGTGCTCCTGGATTCTAAATATATATTCGACCATAATAGTCTACTCCAATGCGCCTGCCGTTAGTTTAAAGGGACCTTAAAAGAGGCCCCATTTCCGTAAGGTTCGAATAGGTATGGGACCTTGTCCCGAAGCAATAGCTCCACCGCCTCAGACAGACTCAGATTGCGTCTGGCCTCTTCCTGGCGGAGTTCCCCTGGGTCGTCGCCGTCGTCACCCCCGCGGGTGAAGCAGTGCCAACATTACACCATTTCTCAAGTACGAACAATGTCGGTGGCCAAAAAGCTTTCATATTTCGGATCTGGTACTTCGAAATGACCTAAGTATACTTGGATACTACAGAGGAGGCTTTAATCTCCCACCACTCCTTCTAAACATGGGGGAAAATATCGAAAGAAAAAATTTAGTTCACCTTCAAGCAACGCGATAAACCGGCAATAAATACCAACCGCGTCAAAAATATCCGCTCGTCGCCGGCGCCTGTTACGCCCCGCATAACTCAGAACTCGTGAAATAATCTACCCGCCATCCTCATAAAGGGTATTGATCGCAATAAAAATCGATCGTGTAAAATAGCGAGTATGGTGAGGCGACGGGTAAGTAAAACTGCCTGCCATGACACATATAATTGCGCTTCGCCAAATCAATGGGCACATTAAAGAGGACTACATATTTATCACCGGGAATGGACCCGAGATGTTCGTACGGCGGTGTTCCGTCGATGTCGGTGGGCTCGGGTCATTCGAAAACGTAGGTTGGAAGCGATGCAAATAAAATCCACCAACCAAAATCAACGTCTGTAACACCCAAATGGAACAGCGGAATGATGTACTCAAGTATAGTTGAACGGCGGGAGAGAGCGAATCACGTCCCATCAATGAAGCTCTATAAACCCTCCCCTAACTACGTCACTATACTCACTAATTCGTCGGGGCCGAGTGTGCATATTTACTAACCCTCAATAGCATGAATAAAACGGACGGCGAAACAGACGGGAAGAGGCTCATCCTATTACTAGGACTCATAAGCTATTGGGATCTTTTGGGGGCTTCGAGACGGGTCTTGCTGACCCTCCGGGATTGGGTTAAACTTACGCCGCTAATGGTAATAAACCACGATAAATTACCTAGCCACTCATAAATAAGCCTCAGCAGCTCAATAAAGCTAAGGCCATTCCACCAAAAAGCTTCACTAAGCTCCCTCCATCACACTTTAAACCACCTGTGAGCAACACTATCATAAGTAAAATAGGGCATAGTGATGTGCAGGGGGGAATTATTGGCCTGTGGAATCCCTTGGCTTTCTGGGGTTACGTTGTTTTTTTTTACTCCCCTCAGGCTGGCCAGACGTGCATTCATCTCACATTTTTCACGGCACAATGTATCATGTGCTGGATATTATCTAATAAGAGGTCTACTTTACTCTTGATAAGTCGGAGTGAGCCATCCGCAAGCCATTTACCTAATTCTTGGTACTAGTGTTATCTCCCCCTGAACCTCCCAGCTGCCGGGTGTAGCTTAGGGTTAAAGGAGAGCCGTGCCGCAAGTAACGGGCTTCTTGACTGGCCTCCCCATGTTAAGGTTCGAAAGCGACAGACGCAATCGATTAGGACCGTCGCTACTCGGTATCCCCGTCTAACCATACCGTAATTATCACGCGACTTCAGTCCGGCGTCGCTCCTAAACCTGCCTCCTGGCACCGCCTTCTACGGCACCAGAAACGACGGCAGAAGCGACGCTTTCTTCGGGTTTAACGTTTAGCGTTCTTTCTTCTAGACATATTTAGGTACTGAATCTTATGTAAAAGTTTGGCAGATATTAAGTATAAAAGTTCAAAAAGAAAGGTAACATAATTACGGCGGTCCAATAAACACAAAACAGTCATTACACCAAAACGCCGTACAAAAGGACAATATGGTGGCATCACGTACTGTATTACTGTAATTACGGGGAGTCGTGCGCTGAAGACCCCTATAATTACAGGGTATGATCGTCGTGGCCGATGGATTCAGCTGAATCAGATAACTCCGTGTTCCGTCACTACGGGATAACCATGCGCGCAGGATCGCTTGCAGCTCGATGCATTCTAGATTTCAACCGCCAAGGAACGAGGTGGTCGGAGTTTCTCGAATGATGCATCCTCTCTCATCCGCGGAAACTAAGCTGAGAATGTCCAAAAGGAGGATGTGAGGGGAGAAATAAGATGGACGTCTGTCCCAATAACTTGTGCCCCTGGAAAGCAACCACTCACACAGATCATGTGAGAGGGCATCCTAGGAAAATAATCAGCCACCATGAAATTCATTACCCTTCTAGCACTAACCACCAACTTCTCCCCAGCCGTCGCAGACCCTCTACTTGAGCACCGCGCCGCTAACACCACCGGACCTCCATTCCCAGCCAAAACCATCTTCCAATTCAACGAAACAAACACATGGATAGAAAACCTAGCCATCCGCCCCAACGGCGACCTCCTCTTAACACTTCTCACCCCAGATGCTTCTCTCTACACCGTCAAACAACCCTACAGTCCCTCACCCACGCTCTCTCGTGTTCACTTCTTCGATAATGCGACCAGTCTAACTGGTATCGCCGAGATACAACCTGACACATTCATCATACTAGCAGCCCAGTACCATGCCGTCGGCGACCCAATCCCCGGCTCCGCTATCGTGTGGGAAGTATCCTTCCACAGCTCCTCGTCCTCAGCGCCGTCAATCCGTAAAACCACAGATTTTCCTGAAGTCCAACTCGCCAATGGCGTCGCATTCGTGCCGTCTTCCGTACACCATGGCAGCGACGTAGTCCTCATCAGCGATAGCTACGGCAGCTGTCTTTGGCGTCTGGACACGCGGACTGGTGCGTATGAGATGGTTCTAAAAGTCTCGGAGATGATGGCCCCGGCAGGTAGTGTACCACCGCTTGGTATCGATGGGTTGAAAGTACATGGTGGATATGTGTATTGGGGAAATTGGGCGACTGCGGGGATTTACCGCGTGCGTATTGATGCGCAGGGATATCCTGTGACGAATTCTACAAACTCAACGGCGGAGGTGGAAAAGGTGGTTTCGTTGGTTCCGGAGTCGGATCATGTGGATGACTTTGCGTTCGATAGGCAAGGTCTTTTGTGGACTGCGACTAATGACGGTAACATTGTCGCTGTGGTGCGAGCGGGTGGGTCGTTTGAAGCTGTAGTCGGTGGTGCAGAGGAGGACATAGTGGCTGGTGACACGGCTATTGCGTTCGGAAGGACAGCACTAGATCGGGATGTTGTGTATGTTAGTACAAGTGGTAGCCTGCTGAATAATCAGACAGAGCCGGCTAAGGTTGTTGCTGTTAATCGTGCTGCATTTCGCTAAGGGGTAAGCGGGCTTGTGGGTTGAACAGGATTGGTACTATCATACTGCATGCAGTTTGAAGGACCTGGGAAACATATAGAACATGCACCAATTGCTCTCGAAAGAGTATTTGGAAAGTGAATTGAATTTAGTTCTAACAGTTACCGGGAATATTGAATATAGGCTAACCGTATGGGATCCCTTAACGATGCTCTCTTCCCCCACCATCCCTTCTTCCATATGATATCAAGCCAGGAACTCAGCGACCGTTCTGAATCACGACTTCCTTCACAGCCTACTCTTCACTCCCTTTAATTGCTACGCGACCAAATTCCTCAACTCCTGCCCAGCCAAAAACCGCCTCAAGTTATACGTAATCAAGTCTTCCGCGCCCTGCGGTCTACCACCCGCCGCATGCGGACTCACAATCACATTCGGCGCAAGCCACAATCTCGAGCTCTCAGGCAGGGGCTCCGTTTTAAACACATCAAGCGCTGCACCACCAATCTCTTTCTTCTCCAGCGCATCAACCAATGCATCCTCATCAATACTCGTACCACGACCAACATTAACAACCCACGCGTGATTCGGTAATAACTTCAACCTCTCGGCATTCAACGCATTAAGCGTAGTATCCGACCCCGGCAAAATCATAACAAGCGCATCCGTCTTCCGCAACAACTCGGGCAACCTATCCTCGCCATAAACCTCGACCCCATCCCTAACCCCCGCCGACCTCGCCACCCCCGTAACCCTAGCCCCAAGCGCAGTAAGCAGCGGCGTAAGCGTCTTAGCAATATTTCCAAACCCCCAAATCAGCACCTCCGCATCCCTTAGGGTCGTAAACCGATCTTTAGGTCTATCCGGCTGCGGCCCGCCAAGATGTCCCGGCCACTTCTTCTGCACCTGATAATCGCGCATCTCATCAAACCGCCTAGCCCCCGCAAGCAATAACCCGAGCGCATGTTCAGCAACGGTATGATCATGCAACCCAGACCCCGTAGTAACCTTCACATCCCCTTTAAACCCGGCGTTCAGGACATCATTCGGTCCCGCAGCAAGTGATTGTATCCACTTCAAATTCCCCAGCTTCTTCGCCGCGTCTTTCAGGTTATCCGCGCTATTACACCAAGTCACGAGGATCTCGGCATCGGTATGTTCGTCCGGGATCGGTTTCTTAACATCGTAGGGATGTAAGGTCGGCGCGAAGCCTTCGAGGCTTTGGACGTCGAGTTTGAGGGAGGTGGGGTAGAGGAGCTTCATAGTGGGGGATGTTGCGGTAGAGATTTGTCTAAGTTTAGGTATCGAGGAGTATACACGTCGAGAGGTGAGTCGAGCTAGTAGCATCAGTCGTTAAAAAAGAAGAAAAGAGGGAGAAAGTTAAACTCTTTCCTTTGTGACAGGTAGAAATGAATCTACGTAATAGGAGGAATAAAGTTAAAGTTCCAAGCACGTATTTACCGGGTTACATGTACGCACGCAATATGCCGTGTAACGGAATGTAGCCGGCATGCGGGGTCCGGAAAGTAGAGCCTATATCGGTGGATCGTCCCTTTCTTACCGGGCTATTATTTACCGAGTAGCTTCAAAGTTCCTTCCAGCTCCTATTGTATCCATAATATCGGGCTCTAGCTTGCAAGACTAAATTGCGAAATGGAATACAGAATTATGTCATCGTACATGTTACGCAGTAGGGCTGCCATATCACCGAGTATATTCTAGAGCACATAAAAAGCATTAATGATCATGAGGAAATAATAAATTTATAGCAAAGATATGACAAACGCCATTGTTTATTCAATTTAATACATCTGCTTGTTATCGGATCAATCCCGTGAGGGATATATTGTTAGGAACCCCTAAATTTATAATCAAGTAAAACAAAAGAGGAAGGGGTATAATATCATCAAGAACTCTCACCTTGCGCGCCAGTACAAATAAAAACTTAAAAATGCATCAGCTTTCATTAAGGCATAGCTCTAGTCAACAGCAGTTAGGCAAGAGTTCGTATAGATGCTTTTTCAATTTGCATCTACGATCCCTAACACCCCCTGAGAATCGTGAAAGCCTAACCAGTAGAGCATGTGCCGTGAAAAATCAAATTCTCCATCCATTACCACGTATGCCACGCCACGCCACGCCACAGATGCCCTCGTCATGAAAAAACTCTTTGCAGCCTATAATCAATTTAGTGCTGCAAACCCTCTGTCGACGATGTTGTTGATGACAACCTCGTATTCGTATGCGATAACGTGTTCGTGGATGGACGGTCGCAAAGCTCTATGTTTCAAGAGCAAGACAGCGCAGAATATGTATTGAAAGAAAATTAGTACCGGCCAACGGAAATCACCCACGGCGAGTACGTTTTTCTCTTCCTTGCGCAATAAGGCACCTTAGCTTAATAGCCAGGTGAATATGGAAATAAGAATCGAGAAGGAAGCGAGTAAAAACAACGACGGGAAAGTACCAAATGATCTGTGTATCTCATAATCAGATCTGCCAGAGAATGGATAAGACTCATAAGCTCATGGCAAATTTGGTTCATCGTAGCTTTTCAGCCAAGATGCATTAACCCTGCATCCGTCGCATTACCGTCTCCTAATGCCAGTTCGCCGAGAGCATTCTGGACATCACCCTTATCCCTTCGCGACTAGTTAACAGGAAGTCGGTCCATGCGTCCGTTGCCCTTCGGGGCGAGCCAGTCCTTCTCAACAAGTTGGTCACGAGAGGGGTACATGTGACGGTAAGCAGTTCGAATAGTACCATCACTGACACCCGCAACAGCCGCGATATCCCTCGACGTTCTCGAGTCGCCCATGAGATGAGATGCCATGTAGATGGCGGCAGCAGCGATCGATAGGGGAGATCGACCAGCGAGGTCCTTGAGAGACGAACTTTTCTCAGCGAGAGTCTTGGAAATCTTCTCCATAAGGTGAGGGTTCTTGAATTGGAGGTTGTTGCAGTATCGAGCACATAATTCAGCCGCGCCGGTAGTACCGGTGGCTTCGTAGTTCTCGACCATGAGGAACGAACCAGTAACGTTAGCGTCACGGTTACTCTGCAAGAACTTCTCAAGAACCTTGAAGGTTCTGCCGATTTCCTTCTTGGAGACCTTAGTCAGAGAGTAGATCTCACGGAAGGTTCGGGGAGCCTTCGACTGGCGACAAGCGATGAAGATGCAACCGGCGATAACGGCCTCTTGCGGCTTGCCCTTGAACAATTTGTTGTCTTCAGTAAGCTTGAAGATGTGCTTTGCCGAGTCTTGTGTGGTTTTGGGAATGCTAATAGCCTCGCACAAGTTCGTGATCTCTCGGTAAGCAGCTAACAAGTTCTTGGTGGCCTTGTCATTAACTGTTCGGTTCTGAGCACGGTGTAGCTCTCGCGCGCGCATTCCTTCGCCGAATCCGATGCTTGTTTCAAGCTGGGAACCATTAAGAAGAGGGTTCATAGCGTCACCAACACGGGAGGGATCATCGTTGCCTTGGTCGTCGTTGGCGAAAGTACGCCACTCGGATCGGGTGTCGATGATGCGATCGCCAAGGACTAGGCCACAAGAGCCACAGACCATGTCACCGGAGGAGAATTCTTCGATGAGATTCGGGGGATCTTCATTGCAGTCGGGACAGAGGAGTCGCTGGTTCAGATTTTGCTTGTACTCTCCATCTTGACTTTGCTGGTTCTGACCGCCGCCAAACATGCGCATCATGTCATCGTCCATACTGGGCGCCATGATTGCCAAGATGGCAGAATGGCGATGGAAAATGGGCGATGGACGAGATAAGATGTGTGGGTTATGGTCGAAGTTCGTCGGGGTGAAATGTGGACGACGGGTAAAAAAGATGTAGATGCGAAGGTGAGACGCGAGGAAGATGCCTGTGGAATGTTCCGAGTTATGTCAGCGTGGGTCTAAGGCGAAATTTGTGGATCCTTCCAGCAGATTATTCAGAAGGTACAAAGTACGTGATTAGCGCACGGTACAAGATCACGGTACGTACCTTAAGGCAGAAAATCAATTTCAGGATCCACCTGAGATACTTAGATACTTCCAGGTACCTCAGTACTCACGTACTTACGTGTGATGTTTCTCACGATATCTGTGATCTAGATTTCTTGCTTCGTAGAATCCGTTACGGTTTCCTAAAAAGATATTTTCTATTTCAAGTCAGCAATAAATAAAAACAGAAGAAGAAAAGGAAATTCAAGAAAAGATATCGTGCAGGTAGATATACTGACAATTTTCAGGCTTATTCGAAGAAAGAATTCTGCTGAAAAGGAAATGTTGAAGAAGATTATTCTTGTTTGAAAGAATATGTTTTTTCCCCTCAACAAGTTGTATGTGTATAAACTATTAACTTGTTTTCAAGGTGTCTATCCACCTTTGTCGTGCACTTACCAGCTGCCGGGTGCAGCTACAGTTATCTTTCTTCTGCCTTAGGAAATCGCATATCCTCTTAGGTGAAGATGGATCATTTGTTAACCACAAGGTGTGTAGATATGCGGTTGTGTTGAAAAAGTTGAAAAATCGAATTTCAGATCTGAAGGACCTACGGGGGTCTAAGTACATAATCCAGTAAGCACACGGTCCCTGAGTGGTTTGGCCATACCGCACCGCCATTATATTTCAATAAGCGTCAAGCTTCCCTACGCAATAGCAATCTTCCAAATAAAGTTCAACCGAAAATCTAATCTTTTCCTCTCATTTATAACATTTGCTGTCACAACCACCCCTTTAGCTAACCGCACATAGACACATCCTAAACCCTACCCTCATCTAAGCCTAACGCGCGTAGGCATCCCATCTTTCGGCCTCCCAACACCATTACCAGTGCGATAAATACGCTCCCCGCCAATAGCATCCACCGGCGTCGTGCGGCCCCTGATACTTCTTAGTCACTCCCACCACGGAAAAGGGGCAAATAAAGGGACAAAGGTGGAAAAAGAACTTACTGCAAATCATGCCATCCCACCCCATCAAATTCAAACTCCATCTCCCTAACCGTGAATACTAGAGCTAGCTTTAACTCCATCAGCGCAAGCTCCTCCCCAATACACCGTGTACTTCCTAGCTCGAAAGCGCGCCATGCGTTCTTGACTGGGTATAATGAATGCCCTTCAGGAACGAGAAAGCGCTCTGGTAAGAACTCCGTAGGTCGCGGGAATAGATCGGCACGGTAATGTATTGCTGTGGGGCTGGTGTATACAGTCGACCCTTCGGTCGGGTAGACGGTCCCTTCGTATACGATATTAAAACCGCGGCTTCCTTGGCGAAGAGTTGAGCCGAGAGGATGCAGACGGAGGGTCTCTTTGATGATGGCAGTTGTGTATCGGAGACTGTTAAGCTTGCCGGGTTGTTTGGATATTTCCTCTGCTGCAAGCTTAGGGTTCGAGCCAAGGATTTGGTCGTGTTCCTCGCGAAGCTTTTTGAGTACTCCGGGATTTCTGTGGACTTCGTAGAGGGACCAACATCTGTGACATGTATTAGTCAGATTCGAGGTGCCTTGACCCTTTCCCTAGTGGCGCCGGAAGATATACATTGCCTGAGCGGTCGTCTCATGACCAGCTAGTATGAAGAGCTTAAGCATAGAGACGATAGTATCGATGAACTCTTTACTTGGTTGGACGGACTTATCCGCGTGCTCCTTCTTGAACTCTTTAACAGCGAGATCGATAATGGTCTTCCGACTGCTAGCATCCGGCTTCAGGCTTGACTGGATCAGTGGGAGCAATGTATCGCTTATAACTTTGGAATTTAAAGCAACATCCTGCCGATATGACGATTTCCAACGCTCGATCCTCGTTCGAATATTCTCGGTTTTCATGTATGTAATAAGTTTTCTGTAGGCGTTGAGGAACGGCGTGGGGCCTTCAGTCTGCTCTCTCAAGCGGAGATCTCTAGCGATTGCGAAGTTCAGTAAAGTGACGCTGCGCACGACACATGTTTACCTACAGCGAGACTCGTGTGATGACGTCGAACGTCAAGGCTACGGTCTTATCGAAAAGCCCAAATAGTTCTCCATAAGTGCCATCTTTTCCGGCTTGTTCCTTCAAGAGCTTCGTAAAGAGACTGACCTCTTCAATTATGATAGGAGCATGCGACAAGAGGTTCTGCATTGAGAACCCCGGATTCAACCGAGAACGCCATATTCGATGATTCGGTGGGTCCATGGATATCAAGTCCTCTATAGGTACGCAGAGGAGTTAGCGGCCCTGCCTTTAATCTTTTTTTCATGTAATGCCTCTAATCTAGACAGGAAATGAGGATCGTTTAGTACGTACTACCACCCGTAACCGGAAACGTAGCCCACGAAAATCCAGGATGTCTCGGCTGAGGAGTCTGTTGAGTGAGTTGAAAACAGGCCTCAGGGCTAGTAGCCATGATAAACGGTTCAGATACAAATGGCCACAGATCTAAGTAAATCACTGGTGGACACTTCTCCTTTTCACTAGGGAAGTATTTCCGCCAATTCGTGGTGAGTTTCTGATGGGAATAGACATCGTGGGCATCTTTCGGCAGACCATCCTTTAAGCTCTTCATTAATGGGATGTGACCAAGAAGAAATGAGTGTGGTTCAGGAACGGGCTATATGAATATTATCAGAATCAATTCGTATCGAGATTGCGTATTCTCTATTTTCGTCCCGCCTTAGTGACGGAACTGGAAAGTCGATATGAACGACTTACAAGCCCTTGATGTTTCATCCTCCTAAACTTAAACCTCATTCGGAGGCCCGTATAGACAATGTTTCCCAGCCATAAGGCCGCGACGAGGATAACCGACAATCCAACGAGGCGCGGAGCCTCGAAGTGTAAATTGGCGAACGGGAGAAACATTGTAGTGACGTATTCATGGAAGTATTGAAGAACAGAAGGCAAACAATCCGCAACGACTTGTATAAGACTTAGTGGGGAATGTGATATATCATCGAGGTCAATTACTGGGATTTATGGTGCGTAAGCAATCCAAATAGCTGTCCTCTGATTGGGGTTAATAGATGCGCTGATGCGGCGTATATCCTTGTCCTCAGCACTTGTCGATCGTGAATAAGGCGTATTCGAGCTAGTGCCTAGTCTTTACATGACAGTCAAGATTTGTATTCTCTTTCTAAAAGCTGCGCCGCTACGATATATGTGCGGCATTAAGTCCTTTTAGTCACTGGTTTGCAGTCCAGTACAGCGAGAAGTCATCGGTATCTCTCTGGGTGCATCAGACAGACCGCCTAATGCAGCGCTGTGGCATACACCAAGTGTTTCTTATATGGTAGGACATGAGACGATTAAATAGGTTCCACTAAAGGACTTCCATCTTCACCGAGGGCCGAGAAGACGGATGGTCCTCTTGCGCCGTGTGGGGAAATATCAAGTCCGAGGTCCGAAATATTACAGGTCGGATTACCCGATCCAGATCGATATCTCGGACGCCGGTGTATATCCAACACCGAGAATGTTCTTATATCCACCTGTGTTAGTCATGTCTACACAGCCCTATTAAACGACTGCGCAGCTGGGGATGATGATGAGTACGTCAAAATGTCTCCGACGACTTCAAAAGACTAGATCACGGACTGGGTAGGAGAAAGGGATAAAAGGCCACGATGTTTTGCCTAGAATTCCGTCTTCAAAAACCAATGAATACAAGTCAGACAAGATGGCGCCGAGAATTCTTGTTGGATCAGGGACCTGGGGTCACAACTTCAGCATCGACCAAGTTCGCGAGCAGCTCACGAGCGTCGAAAAGCTGGGTTGGAAGGAGATAGATACAGCAGCCGTGTATCCCTTCACCAACCCGAATATCGCAGAAAAATTCATTGGCGAGATTGGCCACGATGGCTTCGTTATCGACACGAAGGTAATGTGGTTTGACGGCGGGAAAAATACGTTGACGAATGATGCGATACATAAGTCAATCGACGAGAGTTTGGCGCGCTTGAAGACAGACAAGGTACGATCGTATCTTCGCTGGTAACCGAAAGAACCTAGCTAAATATCACAGGTTAATATTTATTACATATTGGGCCCGGATCATGTAACCCCTTTGGAAGAATCAGCCGCGGCCTTGGACGCCGTGTACCGGCAGGGGAAATTCGCGAAGCTAGGCATTTGCAACTTCTCGCCGGAAATGTTCGGAGAATATGTGAATATCTGCGAGAAGAAGGGATATGTGAAGCCAAGCGTATTTCAGGGGCAGTACAATCTTCTCTGTCGCACTTACGAGAAGACCTTATTCCCTTTCCTCCGCAAGCATGGTGTTTCCTTCGTCGCGTTCTCCGCCATCGCTGGCGGAATGTTAACCGGCAAAGTGACGCTTACAAACAATGATCCCGAATCTCTCAAGGGGACGCGTTTCGAAGTTTCGAAAGACAATATCATGGGTATGGCTGGTAGAATGTGGTACGACAAGCCATGTTTCCACGAAGCGATTCGCAAATTGGCGGAAATGTGCAAGGTTCATGGGATCGATATCGCCGATGCCAGCATGCGGTGGGTGCTGAACCATTCGATCTTGGACGGAGCTAAGGGTGATGGCGTCATCCTTGGACCTCGCAATCAAAAACAAATTGATGCATATGATGCTTCAATTCGGGCGGGGCCTCTTCCGGCGGAATTGATCGAGGGCATAAATGGTCTCTGGGCAAGCATAGAAGAAGAGGCTGCGTCAATCCTCGTGTATTAGTCTTGATCCTTGAGTGGAAGTTCGCCGGCATTCCCCGATAGAAAGGTCGGTGAGCAATTGCTGAGGACCCAGTTAGTTGAACAAATGGCCAGCCGATTTGGAAAATCAACTATCATTATCGCCAGCGTCAATACCTGCACTTTCACCTCGAGGACAGAACCCCGTATATAAATGGTGTAAATTGAGAATTATGAAGATCATACACTATCATTACTAGAGATTAGCCATTATTCCTAAACGCCGACGCAATGCTCCCCGTGGTATCATAACTCCAAATCCCGATAATATCTATCCCATTAAATAGACCAAATGCAAATAAATGTTCAATAGATTTCCATCCACTCACGATGGAATATATAATCGCGGTGGTGTTATACCTCTCGCAGGCGACGGCGATCGCGAAGGATGCGAAATGACCAATTGAGGATGAGGTTGCGGTAGAAGTGCCGGATGTACACCCATCTCGAGGTCCTGAACACCAGGAATTGGTCTCTGTGCCTGGCTCCCGGCTTCCCAATCCTTCCAATTATCTCTGGGCGCCATGGGCTCGCGCTCCGAGTGATCGGCTTCTTCCATTTCATAATCCGACATACGTGAGTGGCGGTGACCTTCGATTTCGCCGTGTGACGACGTCCGACTTGCTAGAGACTTCCGGATCATTTGAGCCCTTTCCAATTCCTCTGCGGCCATCCGATCTGAATCGCTTAATTTGCGTCTCTTGTGGTCCCGTTGGTGGAGCGGGTCTTCTTTGCTTTCTCGCTCAGTGCGCTGCCGTCTGCGTGCCAAATATAGCGCCCCGAGTATAATTAATGATATCGCAGTGAGAGACGCGAGAACAATGACAGCTATTAACCACGGTTCCATGGCGTCCCAGTCGGCGTCGTCGTTTCTTGTTTCTGATTCTATGTGAGTGTCGAATGCGTCGTCAGGCATGCGCCGATGCAATGAGGGTGCCATACTGATTCCTTAATCATGTATATATATCCACTTCTAGTAAAGTGGCGATACCTAGATAGTCGGAAGGCGGTTCGATATATCTACCGTGGGTCGCAGACAATATCGGGAAGAGAGCTCGGATGCGAAAAAGCTGTTGTGCAAGGAGGAAATGCTACATCTTTAAGTTATTACGCACCCCCCGCGTTGCCACACTTGGCTGCCGTATCCAGTGAGAGAATACGAGGGACACCGAGTTGGAGCGACCGAGACACTATTCTATAATTGGACCAATCAAGTGCTGCATGTCTTGCCATATGTGGTTACATTCGTACACGGCAACATACGGGACGGCAGGGCATATCGGTGATCCCTGTAATGTTAGCCGGACCGTACGGGGAGCGTTGTTGCGCGTCAAGGTGAATAAAACGAATTCTTATACTCTTTTAGGTCAGTATCTGCATGGAATTATCCCTTAGTTGATGCGTTCTGCCATTCTTAAGCGCTTGTCTGCCTATAAAGACGCTGGATAACGTCGCATCGGGCGCAATTTTGTCGCAAATGATCGAGGCTGAGCATCTTCGTTGGTCGGGTCCACCCATGACATGGGTGCGCCCACGAGGGATGAGCATACAACAATTCCTACTTTGGTATATAGGAATGCAACGCAATCTAGTTGCTCGCAAGGCTCCCTCATTTTTTATTTTTTAAAATCAAAATGCCATCATCAGACAAGAACAAGCAATAAGCCGGCTGGGGGCATCCGAAAGTTAACGCTCAAAGCCAACAAAAATTGGAGGACTTTCTTTTTCTTGTTCAACAGTGTGACGTGCACTAGATGTTAAACGACGTCAAGTTAGGTAATACGGCGCAGATCGTTATGCTGGCGTTGCGGTCGTTACACACGTAATCAAAAATATTCTCGTCAAGCCTCATATCAGGTTGACATCTGGTGCTTTGTTTTTCCAGTTGGCCATTCGGACTTCTCGGCCGGTCGAGTTCACCCGCAAAATATTGATGGGGCGATGCAAATCGTGCCGTTCCGGGCTCGATTCAGCGACCAGATCTTCAACAAGGCCAGCAGTTAGACGTATTAATTCGACCGAATTTCTCCATATTCGCAATCAATTAGTTGCACCGCCCACCTAGAGCACTCATTCCGCGCAAGGGCCTCCTCTGGCAAGGTAAAGGAAGACATCCATGAGGTGAGTTTTTTAAGACAGATAAGCTGACAATATGAACAAGATAACGATCGTCGAATCCTTTTGAGCAATGAATTAGCGCTTATAAACAGAAGGGTATTTCCGCTTTCCGATTTTTAATATCATGTACAATCGCAACAAGATACCCGTCGCTGTAAGGGATGCGAATGGGAAGTAGGGGACATAATAGGGCTGTAAGGAAGATGCCGGTTCTACAGCGTCGGGTCCTTTGCACTAATAATAGTGGCGGAATTGCTTTAACACAGCTAAACTGTGGGGTAACTACGCTGGAAATTGAGCCGAGCCGAGGGGGAATAGCGGCCGTTTTTCGCTACTCAAGTAAACCCACCCAGTTACCTTAGTGTCGGAACACGAGCCTCGAATTTCGATTCTTTATCGTATTTTCCGCTGAGCCTAGTTGAAAAGGGCAGCTGAATTCTATAAGGTATTGTTTTCGCAGGGCCAATTATATTGCCTACCTTACTCCAGCTTGGACTTCGGTGTTGAACGTCAGCCCGTGAATCGTTGTACCGTTCGATTATTCCGGGTACCGGCCGATACAGCCCCCGTATGCTCAGCTTCGGTGAACAGCCGCTCTCAATAGATCGCCATGCTTAGTCGCACAATATTCCGTGCTGGTCGTAGTACCACAATCTTTAGGACTCGACATCAGGCTAATTTTGCGCGACAATATTCTGCTGTGAGCAATGAAGGATTATCGTCTCTGCCTTTGGCGGGTTACCGTGTCCTGGACATGACCAGGGTTCTAGCCGGCGTATGTACTTGTAGCGAGTGATCTTCTTGACCCCAGCCATGTGCCACAATCGCTTACATCGTCCTTATCATAGCCATACTGCACACAGATTCTTGGCGACCTTGGGTATAAACGATACGTTCCTTTTTCATGACGCAAGGGAGCATCCTGAGCTAATATTGTACCGAATGCAAGCGCAGAAGTTATCAAAATCGAACATCCAACACGCGGCGATGATACGCGCGCCTGGGGTCCGCCCTATGCAACGTACCGAGAAGGGTCTGACCTAGAAGGTCCGGGAGAGTCAGCATACTTTATGACAGTAGGTTTCGCATACCTAGATATGTCGTCTTACGTGCCTAGATAATGATATTAATGTTAGTTTAGGTTAATCGTAACAAAAAGTCGTTGGGCTTATCGTTCCAACATGCCGAGGGTGTAGAAATCCTCCACAAGCTGGCAGCGAAATGCGACATTCTTGTAGAAAACTATCTCCCAGGTACTTTGAAGAAGTATAACATGGATTTTGAGACACTGTATAAAATCAATCCGGGTTTGATTTACGCCTCGATCACGGGATATGGCCAAACAGGACCTTATTCGCAACGAGCCGGGTATGATGTTATGGTTGAGGCTGAGTTCGGATTGATGCACATCACTGGTGACCGAAATGGTCCACCTGTAAAGGTTGGTGTGGCTGTCACGGACCTAACCACGGGGCTTTACACGAGCAACAGCATCATGGCTGCTCTTCTAGCACGTGCCAAGACGGGCCGCGGCCAACATATTGACGTTGCTTTAAGCGACTGTCAAACCGCCACCCTTGCTAATATCGCAAGTAGCTGTCTTATCAGTGGGAAGAAGGATACTGGCCGGTGGGGGACAGCTCATCGTAAGTCTTAGCAGAGATTGTTTTCAATAGCTCTCACTAATTACCCCGCAGCATCGATAGTCCCGTATAAATCTTTCGAAACCAAAGACGGGGATGTCTTATTCGGCGCCGGAAATGATCGATTATTCGGTATCTTGTGTGATGGTCTGGGCCGACCGGAATGGAAGACCGATTCTAGGTATAGCATCAACTCACAACGAGTAGCCAATCGGGAAGAGCTAGAGTTCGAAATCGAAAAGATTAGCACCCAGAAAACGACGCAAGAGTGGCTAGAAGTTTTCGAAGGAAAAGGCATGCCATATGCAGCAATCAACGACGTTCAAACAACACTGAACCACAAGCACACCTTAGCAAGAAATATGGTGGTAGAAGTAGAGCACGAACAATGTGGACCGGTCAAATTGGTCAACACACCTGTTAAGTATAGCGAAAGCCAACCTGGTGTTCGAACCGCACCACCAACTCTAGGTCAGCACACCGACGAAGTTCTTGGGGATATTCTTGGCCTGGAGGCAAGTGAGGTAGCGGCGTTGAAGGAGAAAGGAGCAGTAAGGTAAAACTCCACCAAATAAGATAGTACAGAGATGCAAAAGAAATCATTAAATTCCATTCAACAGGCCATATAAAACAAATTAACACCATTGAAACATTTTCTGTATACCTAGGTATCTTCGGACATCTTGGTGGGTGATTGAGTTGAATAATAGCAAACGACTAATGGAATTGACCAATGGTATTAGTCCATTCTGAATAGGGGCGTACGACATTGGTTAACTAAGATAGGTACTCTGCATATTAGGAAATAAGATGGCACAGTGGTCTTAAATATTCAGCAATCAGCAAGAGCAGATGACCAAACCCAAATGATATTTAAATTGCTATTGAGCAAGTTAAAAAAAATAAAGTGGTCTGATCTTCACCAACAGTGCTGGCAGGAGCCCCCGGGAAATCGCACGATCACGTGTATGTCACGTGCTTAGGCCTCCACCTACGAATTTCAACCTTTTAATCTTCAATTCATCATCTTCACATTCTTCTATCTGACATTAGAAATATCGAGACGAGTCTATTGATCAATTACCATCAATCAAAACTCATATTTTCATTAATTGAAACAAATCCGCGGTAGGAAACCGACACAGAGTCTACAAGACAAACTATCACATCACCACTTACATTCGAGACCATCTTGTTCAACCCTCTCCAGTTCTCTCGTTATCGAACGCGAGAATACAAATAGATATGGATGCAAATAAACAGAAAGAAGGCGATGCGCCTACGGCGCCAGTTGAAACTTCTACGCCGAAGACGTCTGCCCAAGCACCACCTCCTACAGCATCAAGTCCGGCGCCAAGCATTGCCAGTTCATCGAGCCGTCCGCCCTACATGCCACAGTTCTCAACGACAACTCAGATGATCCTTAAACGTATCAACTCTAAGCCAGGAAGTCTATCTTCAGCTCTCTCGTCTGCTTCTTCAACTATACGCCCGACCAACTTCAAGAAAGATGAATACGAGGATACTAAGAGACGCCTCCTAATGAATCTCAACATACCTCTCACAATGCCTCTACCGTATACCGGTAAATCTCACTCTACCAACTTATCTACTACAAATAAAATACCATCATCTACAGCGAGTACTCTACGTGCGCCAGTGAACGATGCGTTTAACCTCCGCACTCCACTGCCGACTAAGAGTCGAAGCCTACCCGCGTCGAAGCAAGCACCCCAGGCGCAGAAGATGCCAGCGCCAAAACATAAGAGTAAGACACAGCGCGGCACCAAGCGCAAGAGGGGCAGGGATAGCGAGGAAGGAGATACATCTTCCGTCCTAAGCGAACTATCTATGACCGATAACGACGGCACCACCATGGCGATGCCCGCCCCCGCTATCAGCACTTCTGCCAAGGAAATTCAGGCCGCGCCTACTATGACTAAGTCCGGCCGCCAGGTGCAGAAGCCGACCCAGTATAACCCGTCGGAGCAATTCGCACGTGACGCAAAGCGCCGAGCTTCAGGAAAGCAGCGCACACCGGAACAGCAAGCTCTATGTAAGGTATGCACGCGAGGAATTGGTCTATCGACAAACCAGATCGTTTATTGCGATGGATGCAACTGTGTCTGGCATCAGATGTGTCACGAGCCGTATATCGATGATGACTTCGTCAGCGATGGGTCGCGCCCTTGGTTCTGCAGCCGCTGCGTCGCTAAGCGTGAGAACCATCTTGCGCGTAAGAAAAATATCGAGGGTTTTAAGGGCGTTAGTTGGGCTGCCAAGACCAGCAAGCAGGTGAGTCCAATCTAACTTCTAAGTTTTTTATTTCATCTCCATCCCCTATGCCACATGACATACTCGCGGGATGGATTCTAACATCACACCAGAAACGCTCCTACCTCTCCAGCGTCTCACATTCCCAACTCGTCAACATAATCATCTACGCCACAGAACTACACCCCGACCTCCCTATCTTCCCAACGCACGAGCCGCGACGCAGCGCAGCTCAATCGGCGCGCCCGTCCTCCACGTACGATGGCACACGTATCAAAGTCGACACCAACACTAACTCCAATTCCACTTCCCACACCAATACCAACATTAACGTAAACGTGCCCACCGGCCCAGCGCTTTACTCCAGCAAAGTATCCACCCCCGACCTCCATCTCGCCGTAGCGAAAACCAGGGAATCATCACCGGACTCGGATTCGGTACCCCCGGCTTGGCCGAAGGTTGGTAAGGGGTGTCTGGCAGGTGTGCACATGGATGAGGATGATCTGAGGGATGATGATGATTATGAGGCATTTAGCACTGCGACGTATAATGCTAAGGGTCGGAAGGTTTCGGAGAATGGTAAGACAGTTTAACCGTTTATTTGAATCGGAAATGGAGAGGAGGGGGGGGGTTGTTGTGATGCGGAAGCGCCTTATTTTTTCGGAAGCGGGAATGATACCACCAACTCAGGAGCCCAGGAGGTGTCCTACTTAAGGAATACGTGATTTAATGTTGAGGAGCAGCGGAGTAGGGAGAAAGGATGATTATACATAGGACGCTGGCAGCTTTGATATTGCTGCAGTATGCTAGGTTAATTTACCTTGAACGGTCAACTGGTGGCTAATATCCATCACGATAGGGACCCAGTACATAGTTCTTAGAGTCGCTGGCTCATAATTGCATTATAGTATTAGCTACCCGAAAAGGATGGGAAAGGAAAACTAATAAATGATACTCATTAATAGCTAAAAGATAGAAAGAATATCAGGAATTGATTCAGAATCTACTGCACCTATAGTGTAGGCATTAAATGGTGAAGGGCATGTCTAATCCTATCGGAGGCGGTGCTCAAAAAATGCAATTACGTCATTATATCATTCGTGTCTCGTTGAAAAAAGAAAGAAATTCGGGCAGATGCATCACAAGTAGGGGAAACAAAATAATCAATAAATCAAAAAGTGAGACGACCACCACGGGACTCGAACCCGCAATCTTCACCATATTCCAGTACCGGAAAGTGACGCGATACCATTTCGCCAGGCAGCCCAACCCTTTAAGAGAGTGATGGGAGGTGGGGAGTTGTTAACGCCGAAGCATCTAATTGGCTTTATATGGTGTTATCTTTAGCTCCAATCAGATAGCCCCTAACCCCTATCTCTCGGTATGATTCGCTGTAGGGCTTCACACCGTGATTTAGGTACGTATTTTATCGCGAACTACACAAAGACTGTTGGGCTTTTCATTATAGTGGTGCATAATTCATAGATTGACATGTGAACAGTACTTTGGATGGAAATTTTATGTTGATATCTCGAGTTATAACACAACCGCCCTTTGAAACCAAGGCTAACATCTCTGCTTTACTCTAGAATGCATACTTAAGATACAAAATCAATTGAATTGAGAATATCCCACTACTGGTAGGTAGTGGGATTTTGTTTTCTCTGGGTTTGGCTCAGCAAATAGCAGCATCTATTTGTCGGTGAGTCACCCATGTAGCAACCGCCTTTGTTATTGCAGTGGAGTACCATTTGATCGGTGTATTTGGTTAGAATTTTGGTATAAAAAATATGCATTTCAATATTCTGTATAGAATGAGAAGAACATTGAACATTGAATGGATTTGAATAAAATTTAAGTTGTTAGGCACAGGATGCGGAAACAGTTAAGGGTTTGATCCATATTGGCAGTTGCCGTTCAGGCGTGTTGCAGCTACCTAGGTATGAAGTTTACCATTGCCTGAACAACCTCAAACTTAAATACCCAGCATTTAAACTAGTATATTTGTTTGCGTAAAGAAGCGTGCTGCTTCTTCCACAAAATTTCTCAGTTGTAAAGTAGATCTACAAGGGTCAATTGCAGACCGCAGCAACGCGTTCTATAAATTAGTAGCACTCAGACCATTCCACCTCATTCGAGCAATTCATAAACCTCACACTCGTCACAACAACCAACTCACCAGGCACCAAAAGAATCTTCGACAATGCCTTCCCGAATCGAAAATACTTGCGACACCCAATTTCCCATCAAACGCTTACCCGCGGAACTGCGTCTTCGCATCTGGGAACAGGCGTTAGTAAATGAATCAGCAGGGCGTGTAGTGATCCTCGATGAGAGGAACAACACAATTTATCCCTTCAAATCTCTTGCATCCCCACTCCTTTCGGTCAATGTAGAGAGCCGATCCTGCGCTCTCGAATTCTACGGCACCAAGCTGAATGTCTGGGTCAACGGCTATCCCGATGACGAATCTGAACGTCCAATAGGAAGCTTATACCTGAATTCCCGATACGATATATTCACGGCGAATTTCTTTGTAACGTATGACTTCGACCTTGAGCGATGTTCGTGCTACCAACGTTCAATGGACGAAGAGGAAATCGAACCAGTCAACTATTCTGTGGATTTCGGTACCCAGGAGTTCCCTATGTTCTACGCAACTTGTTCAGAGGATTTCTGTTCTTGCGTAGAAAGGGTTCTGTCGATAGAGCGTGCGTATCCGATACCTCCATATGATGATTCTATTGCCCACCTCCTTAAAGAATCATACTGGCCCGAGAGAGTGTTTCCAGCCATCCAGGAATATTTCTATGACGAAGGGTATTTAACTAAGAGATATAATCCACTAGCCTATCTCTCTCAGCGACAACCCGGTGAACTGCTCGTGGATAAGCTGGCATTCACGATGAGCAAACTCGGGGAAGGAAGAACTACTCCTCCCTCATCCTAACTTCGACTGTTTCGAGGCGGACGAAGACACGAACTGGATCTCACTAGTCTCAATACAAATAGGCTGTTTAATTGACGCCTACTCTCTCAAATGGACAACGAGCCTGTTACGAACAACCCATTCTAGAAGGAAATAGTGTTATTTCTATTGCTCCCCGTTTTCGCGAGTGCCTACCCAACTAGGTGCCTGGGCAGTTTACGTTCCACATTGGTGGTGATGGACTTTTGATCAAGGAGCTAGATGGAAGGATGGGGATATTGCACAATAGATGTACCAGCACGCGGTCACCGGACCGAGACCGATAATAAGGCACTGCATATATTGCAGATATTAACCGAACGTAGCAACTAGTACGATGCTGTTTCTCTTGGGAATAGCTTACCCTCGGGACGTAGATGAAATAGAGGATATGGACTGGCACACTCGTGCCGCCATGCTTGATATGCCTCGTAGCTACACTCGTAGAAGTTGAATAACCAGGACACTCGTCCCCCTCGAACATCCAAGAATCACGTTTCCAAGTAGAAAGAGAATACTCACCACTCATGACTTTCCGACAACCCCCCAACCTAAGCACCCAAAACAAGCACACAACACAAAACGCAAACCAACCAATAATTTTTCAATCCGCATGCCTTTTGTCCTTTTTATTCTTTAAGAATCCAGTGCTAGTCAGAGAGCCAAGCCACTGCTACACTAGCACCTATCTACTTCATTCGTATCGTATCACATCGTACTACTTTTTTTCCCCGTTACCAGCACCACACCCGAGAAGTAAGCCAGCCAGCCAGCCCCCCTGATCTATGTGATGCAGCACTCTCCACTATGCAAGCTTTGCTCACTCCTCCCGTGTCTCCCCGTTGTTCTCGAAGGAACCTATGTAACGTGAATCTACTCCTTGGAAATTCTCTGTGAATAAGGTAGGTGATGGTGAAGGGTAAGGATATGTTGTCGTATGTCGAATGCCGAAGTGGTCTTACGCGAACGCTGTCACCTCTGGCCACTTCTGGTGGGCCGCCGTCTTGAACGCGTCGACCTCAGCACTGCGCCATTGTCGCAGGAGAGCAAGCGACTCGGTTGCCTGCTCGTGTTCGATATCCTTCAGGCTGAGGGCAGCGACAAGATCCTTCTCGCTCTTCTTCTTGTCCTCACCTAGTAATCTCTCTATCTTAATTGCAGAGATGACATGTGCCGCGCTGTCCTTGTGCTTCTCCTTAAAGTCTGCATTGAACTTCTTCAAGTCCGCTGAGGCGTCTACGACCTTGAACTCGGACTTCAAGACCTCAGCAACCTTGGGAGGCAGGGATGCAAGTTTCGAGTTTAAGGCCTGGCGGAATCGGACGACCTGCTCATGGACCGTAGGATGATCCTCTTCAATAGCCAATGCAGCATTCAAGCATCGCAGGGCGAGAAGGTATTTTTCTGTTATAGGTTAGCATACATCATATATACATATGGAAATTCTTTATATTACCTCGCCTGATGAAGACCTCAAACCCGGCGATCTGTCCGTCGAGGTACTTCGGGCTAAATTGAAGAATAGGTGCAAGGAATTTGGTGGCTTCGGCTAGAGGTTCGGGGGTCGTGGCAAGTTTAAATCCATTCGGGTCGTCATCCTTCTTAACGAGTTCAGTAGTAGCACTCTTGGATTTGTTAGGGTCTTGCTTGGCGGCTCTCTCAGCTGCTTCTCGCTCGGCTTTCTGGGCTTCTTTCTTGGCCTTCTTAGCGTTCTTCTTCCTCTCCGCCGCCTCGTCTCCATTAGTACCCGCAGATCCATCCACACCGTTTAGTGCTTGGCTACTGTCGTACATGGTCACGTAGATAGCGATGGCACCGAGAGCAGCACGTGTGTAAAATGGATGTTCACGAAGACGGTCCTCCCATCGAATCATATCCACATAGGCACGGATCTGTCCTTTTCGCAACGAAAAGCTGTGGAAGTCGAATTGATCCTCTTGCCATACCTCAAAGATGCTATAGACAGCATGGAAACGCTTCAGGGCTAATCCTATGTTCCCGTTACGGACCCACGCCTCTCCATCTTCGGTGAGGTACCACACGCTTTGCATGTCAAGCAAGTCATTCAATGGGCCGCCCGGGGAATCATTTCTAGTGAAAAGACCCATTGTTTTTAAAGCAGCTTCGCATTCGTTATTACGTAGCTGGTATTTTGCCGCCTTTGTGTTGATGTATCGATCTTTCAGATCGAGTTTGCGGGCCTCGTCCATGGTCTCTGATGCTCTTTGGGTGTTTCCGTGGTGCTTCCATATCCTTGCCTTAGTCATGTGAAATTCGACGTTGGTAGGCAATAGATCAATGCCCTTATTCACATACTCCAGCGCCTTAGTAAGGTCACGACTTAGGTGGTAATTGTAATGTTGAGCGAGGTAGTACAACGCCGCTGGCTCCCCTTTTAGTGCGTCTCCATTCGTCACTGTCTCCTCACCGGATGATCTCTTTGAGTTGAGATACTCTTGCGCCAAGGATCCGAGTGTTTCCCTCTTGAATGAATCAGTGTAGAGATGCTTGAGATTTGCGAAGGTCGAAGGAACTCCCTTGTCTAACATCAATCCTAGATAGCTTCGGGCTGCTTCTCGAAATTGGTCGCCTAAATGAGCTATGAGCATACCGTTCGTGAAGGAGGAAATTAATTTAGTGAGACATACCAACAAGAAAGTCCAACGGCAATCGCTTGGCGGCGTCGCAGCGGGGGTTCTTTTCGGCGTACTCATCGTAAATCGCCTTTCGAGCCGAGTTGTCATCAGCAGCGAGACCTAAGGCGCCTTCAAGACTCGCGTAATATTCTGGATGTTCCGGGTTACGGTCGAGTAGAGAGCGGTAGGCATCAGCTGCTTCCTCCTTCTTGCCAAGCTTCGAAAGGTACTCAGCACGAAGCTGCAAGACGGCTAATCGGTCAAGATTATGCTTAGCAGCAGACTCTAAGTGGTCCAAAGCTCTCTGGTAGTCCCCAATTTCGCCAATGATGGAATTCTTGTACATGATAGCTTCGGAGTTTTCGTAGTCGGTCTTAGATGGTGGGACTTTTAAGGATTCTTCGTACTTGGAGAGGACATTCTCGGCTTGGGTGAGGTTTCCTGCCAAATGGTGCGCAACTGCAAGGGCTGTCCAATTCTGCCGCAACTGGGGTCTAGCCTGAAGCATGGCAGTTCTACTTTGTATGTAACCTTGGTAGTCGCGCATTTGGACCTGGAGGAAGGCAAGATCTCTTTGAATTTGGGGGGATTCAGGCTCGAGTCTTAAGGCAAATTTGTAAGCCTTGATAGCCTCCTCGAAGTTCTTCTGGTGTCGGTATAATAATCCGTAAACATGCCAACATATGTGGGATTTCATGTCGGCTTGTAAGGCTTCCTTTCCAAGTGCAAATGCGTCCTCCGTCTTCCCTTGTTGGTTGATAATCAAAGCTTTCATCGCCATCGTATCGCCATGTTTGGGGTTCTTCTTCAGAATTTGCTCAGCCGCCTTCAACCCCCTCTTGTATTGTTTATCCTCATAATTGCGGATGACTTGTCGAAAGAGAGAGTTCTCTTTCGAACTGAGAGGTTGAGGCATGGTTGTGTGATTGCTCGCGCAGCTCCCCCACCGTCAAAACCTCGCTGTCGACGACGTCGGTGTACTCGGGGACGGCGTTTAGAACGTGGGGACTCGACTCTACACAACGAGTTAATTCGTCTTGTGACCGGAAGACAGCTGGTGGATTTGTGTGTATGGTAACTTTTGCTAACCTTGTATTGGTGATACAAACCAATCTTGTAATGCTAGCTGCAATTAATTCGGTGTGAGGAGATTGTAAGTCACGCCGGATTGCTTGCTTGCTACAACAGATTGTTGTTTTTGGTAGGTAGAGAAGTTCGAGAATGCGTTGAAGCTTCCTAAACGTTCGGAGCTTTTGCGCTTGTTTAGCGGCTGCACCGCCGAAGTGGGATGTCTTTTAGGTGAGGAAGGTGGGCGTGGTAGAAAATTTAGAGCTATGGATAGCCGATGTTTACCCGATCCAGTATGTAACTATACCACATTCTTCTACGAGTGTAAGCTTTATATACGGTATATTATATAAGCTCAACTTTTCCCAGATTGACTGAAGAAAATGACCAGAAACATGAGACACGTCATGGATTCGCTATTTGATATAAAGGGTACTGGTTGTTTGATTGTTCGTGTTTTTACATTGTAGTGGTGAGGGTACAAAACTTGACAACATACATGTCAGGTAAAGGCTACTATATATCTAGGCAATCAATAAAATGTGAAGCCTCAGATCTAGCAAGCAGTAGTCTAGAGACCATTTCTCTCATTCGTCATAAACTCGACGGCTCTCTCTTTGCTCTCCAGTTATTCAAAGCTGCCTCAGCATCTGAAAAGTTGTCACCACATCGCTCCCGTACTAAATCCCAGGTTCGTGATCGAACAATGGTTTCGACACTCCTTTCTTGTCTTAGCAAGTTTGCTAATTGCTCCGTACGAGGCTCTCGAGGGAAGTATCGACCGGAATATGGATCTAATCTCTCATCAACTACTCGCTCGCGGCTCTTCTCCGTCTCGGCGTCCCGTAAAGCAACCTCGGGATCGTCTGGATCTGGACTAGTAGCGACGTAGGCACAATATGTCAAGACATCGGATCTCGCTTGCCAGGAAGGGAATAAAACCTTATCCTTAAACGCCTGGCATGCTCGGGGGTCGATAGACCGATTAGACGCTCGCGCGATCCGGACAGAAGTCGACGTGGGATCAAACCCCGATTTGGCGGGTGTCACGAGTGCATTGAGGTTTTGGGTTATCGAATCATCTATAGCGCTACGAGATATTCGGAGGAAGTCTTGCGAAAAATGAGCCTTGGGGCTTAAACACAAATGACCAACAGGGAGGGCGCACCTCTAAGGGCTACAGTAGAAAAGCAGAACTGCGGCGTCAAGCTTGGCTGGACGGAGGGTTCTGTCATGGTATCGTGAGAGGCCGGTGTTGAAGAAACACTTTTCGCATCGGCGGCATCCGTCGTCGAAGCCGGTCTCCTAGACCAAAGTATTCCAGCCAGGATGAGTGATTGTAATTAAAATTTAGTCTATAGACTATGTCAATGAAATTTAAGTGACATTTCTACCTTTCCATTGGTAGTCAGGTAAGTGACGTCGAAATGTGAAAAAGATCGTGGAAATGGAGAATGAATGCAAGTGATGATGACGGAGCTTTCAATGTTCCAATTGATAAGCTCGGGTGGACCGGGGTAATGATATGTACCTAAGAGAGCACCCCGCTACAACGGTCACGATTAGTCATGATATTGGTGCTCGATTAGTGCATCAGGCTGATTACGCGACAACGCCTGCCTGGGGAAGCTACTAGTTCAAAATGTTACGGGTACCTACCTGCAGCATTAGTTCTAGCTGGGTACATTAGGTACGTTTTACAAGGGATTACTGCCAAAATCTACCAAAGCTTTACGTTTAGAGCTCCATCTCGTCACTTTCAACATTTCACCATTTCCAATCATCACATTCTTCTCCTCGTCGCAACATTTCCACAACTACCAAACTACTAATCTAAACTACCTTCGTTGATCAAACAGTATTCTTCTTTTTTAAAAGTCTGGTCTAGCATTCCCTAGCGCCTTTTACATTATCCATTCGCCCATCTACTATGTCGAGTTCCCAAAATCTGGAGAGCGTCGAGAGACGCGGCTCCGATGATGGTAGAGACAAGAAGGATGGCGGACGAGGCGACGATGGCGCAAACGGTGGCAACAACGTTAACCGCGATGGTGACACCGTAATGAAGGATGAAGAGCCCGAGCAAGAGGAGATCTTAGACGAAGAAACCCTCGGCCTCACCACAGAAGATCTAAAAACACGAAAACGCCTCCTCGAGAATGACGCAAGAATCATGAAGAGCGAATTTCAAAGGTTATCACATGAGAAGGCGACTATGGGCGAAAGGATTAAGGAAAACAACGAAAAGATCGCTAACAATCGGTTCGTCTATCTATAAATAAATAAACAAACGTTCTTAACATTCGTGACTACTAGCTAACACTTACACACAGACAATTACCTTATCTTGTTGGTAACGTCGTTGAACTTCTCGATCTAGACCCTACCGCCGAATCCTCCGAAGAAGGCGCCAACATCGATCTCGATGCTACAAGAGTAGGCAAATCCGCCGTCATCAAGACATCAACTCGACAAACTATCTTTTTGCCCTTGATTGGTCTTGTCGACCCGGAAACCCTAAAGCCCGGCGACCTTATTGGTGTCAACAAGGATTCTTACCTAATCCTCGATACATTACCCGCCGAATATGACAGCCGTGTCAAAGCTATGGAGGTTGACGAGAAGCCTACCGAGAAGTACAGCGATGTTGGTGGCTTAGATAAGCAAATAGAAGAACTCGTCGAAGCGATAGTCTGGCCCATGAAGGAGGCTGAACGGTTCAAGAAGATTGGTATCAAGGCGCCTAAAGGTACGTTTCCCATAGCACTCGCGAGTTCATAGGGTCTTATGCTGACGATATTATTCTAGGTGCTCTTATGTACGGACCTCCGGGTACAGGCAAAACCCTTCTAGCTCGAGCTTGCGCCGCCCAAACCGATGCCACGTTCCTCAAACTAGCCGGTCCACAATTGGTCCAAATGTTCATAGGTGATGGTGCCAAATTAGTTCGGGACTGCTTCGCGTTAGCTAAGGAGAAGGCCCCTGCTATCATCTTCATCGACGAACTTGATGCCGTTGGTACCAAGCGTTTCGACAGCGAAAAGAGTGGTGACAGGGAGGTACAACGAACAATGTTGGAGTTGCTTAACCAGCTGGATGGTTTCGCATCGGATGATCGTATCAAAGTCCTGGCCGCCACGAATCGTGTCGATGTTCTTGATCCTGCTCTCCTGCGATCAGGACGTCTAGATCGAAAGATAGAATTTCCTCTACCAAACGAGGAGGCCAGAGCCCAGATTCTCAAGATTCACTCACGCAAGATGAAGGTCGACACGAGCGTCAACTGGGGTGAATTAGCTCGAAGTACGGACGAATTTGGTGGTGCCATGCTGAAGGCAGTCTGTGTCGAAGCTGGTATGATTGCTTTACGAATGGGCAAGAACAAGATCAGCCACGAACATTACGTAGACGCGATCGCTGAAGTGCAAGCCAAGAAGAAGGAGGTGAGTTCAAACGTCAAGTATCCGATTATTGTGTGCTTTAAACTAATGATTTTCACAGACCGTCAACTTCTACGCGTAATTATTCATTCGGAGCGATAGGCAATCATGGGATAGAGATTGCCTCAGTGGGCTAGGGAAGGCTTGTAATATAATTTGGCACACAACCGGAATCGAGCACAATTTGCCAATTTTCAGCTTCTGGTGCCTGATGTGGGAGCTATCGCCGAAGTCCTCAACTTCCGGGAAATACGGCGATACACCTCCCAAGTATTCAACCATCACGTTTTCCCAGTATCCCTGTACTTTAATCCATCTAGAAATCCGCCCCGACATCCATCCATACGCTGAGAAAAGCTGCTAGATAGGTAGCCCAAGGCGCAAACTCATCGCCCACGGGGTGTAGCTAAACAAATTAGATCTCACATTAGTGACATAGGAGCCCTACCTTATCACCGACACATTTCATGTGCCTCTCCCCCATCAGAGCGGTTATGAACATTCATCTGTTTGAAGTGTAGATGAGTAGGTCCTAACAGTAAATATCGTTCAAATTCATCGAACGAATTCTGAAGATGAGAATAGTGAAGTGGGAACAATTCCACTAATATAACTTATAATAAGTCATTTTCCTCAATTATCGTTCTACTCGCTTGGATTGCAATTCACCTAGGTTCTCTTCAGAAATTTATCCGGGCAATTGATAGGAACATTCCCTAAATAAAAGGCATAAAGAATATGTTGCAATAGTGTTGCAATACATGTCATTGATGGTAACATTGCAAGTTTTCGTACATTGAAAGCTCTTCCCTTTTACTAATAGGAACCACCATTCCATAATTACAGGTTCGTATCTATAATAAAATTCTAAGTAAGGAGTCGTCGCACCAATAGCAGACCGTCGTACTTTTATTACATCATAGCCCCTAATATTTGAGGCTTCAAACTTGGCCAATGTTACTAGTTGAAGCGTGCCAAGCAATTCCATTTTCCGTTCCTGGTCTACTATAGCATATTTTGATCCCTCTTATTGGGCTTCTCTATTGGATCCTTGAGTTCTGAAAGACTTGCAAGGGATAGTTGGAACTTGTTAATTGTGACCGGATATCGGATGATAACTCGAGTCGGTAGCGTAAGATGAAGTCACGAAAGAAATTGGTACCGGAATCATCTCCTATTCGGTGCTTGACCAACAAACCAACAACGAAATAACTTAAGTTTGCCTCTTGATATAACTTATCAAATTTCATTATAGCCCTTGAGTACCTTACCCAACAATTTGTCAGGGTATCTATCAAAAGTTGCGACTCGTCTAGGCTTGTTGATTAGGACTGTTTGTAACTCAGTAACATACTATACCAAATATAATCTATAGCATATAATGAATGCACTTTACCGAGACTTCTAAGTCTCAAAATAGGATAAATATCTGTAACAACTCAGAAATTAGTTAGGGGCTTCCAATCCATATGAGAAAATAGATGACGCCTTCAAAAGAGAGATTCTTGGATCTGAATGTAACCTTATGAGCCAGACATTATACCCCAGGAATAACAGCCCTAGAACGACGATATAAGCGGGGCAGCAGGCCACTGATCTCGTCCCCCGGATAGATGACGGAGTTGCCAAGACGGCTGCCGGCTACTGTTCGAAGGTCGATAGAATGTCTCTCTATTAGAATTATTACTTCCAAGACCTTAAATAATAGAAGAGGCATATTATAATGCTCCTAATTATAGCACTTACTAAAAAATAAGTAACATTTTGGTTTAAGCAAGTTACGAAGCTGTAAAGTCCTAACAACCGTCGCCACACTGCCGATCTAGCTAAGTAACGCACTGATACGGTTTGTCAAGCCCTCGTTACCCTATCCGGTAGTGCCTATGACGATCATTTTCCGTCTTTTCTTGCTTTCCTTGATTTTTTCGAACATTCCTGTTCCCAAACCACGCGGCCACGCTTCACCTTTCCATTCGACGTTCGATTCCCTCTGCCCCTGAAATCTCTAGGCGAATCCCAGCTGCGAGCTGGTTTAATTATGTTTCATGCGAAATACTTCCCGTAGTTCGATTCGAGCCGCGATTTCATCGATCCGAGCTAGCGACGGTTACGAATGCACTTGTGCCGTACGGAGTAGTCACGGCTCTAGCGGAGATATTCCAAGACCTAATGTAGCGATCGTGACGGACGATAAACCAACGCTAGCTGAAGATAGTATTCGAAGCCTTCTCGCCTCGTTGCTATTTTCTCAACACGAGATGTCTAGCAGCGAAGATCTCCCCCGGATCTCTCGAATGGTGGGCAGCGGCTCTCGAGGCTGGTATGCGCCTTGATGCAAGAAGGGTAACCTTCTTTTCTAGAACTGTGGCACTCCTGGTGTAATGGACGCCACACGATACTACACGATGGCCAGGTAGGTTGTTCTCGAGGTTGGCAGCTAGTGCGCGACTCCTTGTCGTTTGACCCCTTGCAGCCCGCATTATACTATTCTCCTGTCCCTGCTTTGCGGAGGCCGAGTACCGTCTTATAAGCACCCTGTCTATAGTCGAGACGTTCGACGATATGCTATTCGTCGTCATGGCTTCCAACCGACGTGCTACCAGGCAACGGGATGCCTCCCCGATCACCTATGTCACCTCCTTACAGCTCATCTTAGGTGGTACCTTGTTATTGTCGTCAAGGTAGTAATTTCCTTGCAAATTGCAAGAGCCGCGAGCATAGGGCTGTAAAGGTACGCGTTTCATACGAAGGGAAGGTAGGTTGCTGCATGAAGGATAAGTCGTGGCAAATGAACCCCCCTCAGCGGCAGTGCAAGATAGTAACTCAAGCTTGAGCCCGGTGAGCTGGACATCGGTCTTGACTTCCGCATGGAGAAGTGAAGCTTATCCTCATTGGCCATCAAGCTTGGGCATGAAGCCTTTGTTTGATGTCACTGCTACCGGTACTGTAATAATCCCATGTCAGAGTGATCAACAAGATATCACCTCGTTTCGTAATGTGAGGTTATAACAGCTCATCTTAAGATCCGCAAGCTTGTCCAATGCAACCGAACATCCCGGGGTCTTGGTATAGTAGCTATTACGCTGAAGCTCGTACCTGGCAAAGCCCCATCGCAAACAAAGCGCCGAGAGAAGCTTGACGGTCCCGGTTCTCTTCGTCATCGCATTTCCTCGATAGCCACTGACGAAGCTTTAGACGAGCAGGATGGAGACGAGTCAAAGAACCACACAGCAGGGGATAGGAAGACAAAGTGTATAAATCTCCTGACTTTCCTCCCGAATGTAGGTTTCGATCTTCAGTCTTCTACACCAGACAAAGATACCTCCGCATACCAACAACGACAAAGCCTTTTCCCAAAAAGACCTACCTAGCTACTTAGCAGCTTACTCTCGCTCTTCCAAAGTCTTTCGCTCTTAATTCTCTCGCTCAGAGTTTTAGCTCAACAATCTACCTACCTATAAACCAACCAAACCAGTCAAAATGAAGTTCTCCCTCGCAGCCGCTACCGCCATCTTCGCCGGCGTCGCCCTCGCCGTCCCAGCCGCCGTTGAGCAGCGCCAAACCTACACGCCCTGCTCCGGCCTCTACGGCACAGCCCAATGCTGCGCTACTGACGTCCTAGGCGTCGCAGACCTCGACTGCGCTAACCCGCCGTCGACACCTACCGACGCTGATAACTTCAGCTCCGTCTGCTCTGCTATCGGCCAGCGCGCCCGCTGCTGCGTCCTGCCGATCCTCGAGCAGGGTGTTCTATGCGAGACCCCTACCGGTGTCGACTCTTAAGAAGCTTCTACATCAATAACTGCCTCCGCCCGTCAATACTATGGGATAGAAAGGGGTTTAGACCACATGATACACGGATAATGATAGGGAATTGGGGGTTTATACACACACCGGTTAGGACTACTAGGTCTGAGGGAAAAGGTGTAATGTATAGTGTATAAGTTACGGGATGGAATATGGATACAGCAGCTTATGATATACGGAGCTGGCAATGTGTGTATATATACAAGGGCCTTAATATCAGAGCAACAATTCTCGTCATTTATGCTTCGTTCTTCACTAAGTGTTCATTTAAGCTATGCTATTAGCTTGTTTACTATGATTGGTATTATTGTCTTAGTAGTACTAATGATAGCTCGTCTTTGTTAAAGCTCCCCGAGCTCTTATTACTATTTGCGCAGACATTACGATTGTGTCGATCCGTTACGTAGCAACTGGGCCACCAACAAAGGGCTTGCCTAAACCAACTGCAAAAAAATCCCACATTTGTGCCCCCACGCGAAACCCGAATTCAAATGTCTCAGCCCACGGAATTTTCGTTTTAATAAATACTCGCTGCTCCCGTATGCCTCGAAAGCGAACACGGTAACCAGCGCATGTGGGGCCGTAACGCTAGTTTGACGGCGTTATGTTACGGCCTCCGTCCGGACAGGCTATGGGATTACCTGCGACTTTGAAGTGATCAGAGGAGCTTATGAGACGTCGAGAATGCTCACACTCTTCCAAACCCCCCATTCTAGGAACAGCCCACCGCGAGGAAGAAGAAATAGGTCTCGGCGAGTATTCCGTACTAGTGTCATTAGTGTCTTGCTGTTTTGTCCCTTTTGGTGATACCAACCCTCCCACTAGAGCGCAAGCGCAAGACCCTCAGTGACAATGATGCCATGAAGATGTAAAGCCTATATAAATTGTCTATGATGATTATCCGGACTGGATTCTTGTCTACGTTGGACGTCAAGAGCGCATTTTGCTTAAGGCCTATCATGTTCGAAGTCTCTCGGCCTAGCACCATAGGGCGGCTAAGTCCCTAGTTGCGGCTCCCTTTTCTAGGGGTACCGTCATGTCTTCGTCAATTACACGTTGAGAAGCTTGGCTCGATCAAATGCCGTCACTAACATTCATTCTAGTCCCATGACAAATATAAACCCCCAGCAGGGCTCATACATTTGGCTTGGAAAGTATTCGTCGAGTAAGGTTGTACACCCTCTTAAACTAGGTGAATACGAATATCATCGTCCTCTACAAGGGCAATTTATCATAGGAAATTGGAAAAAATGCGTGCAAATCTGCTTCTCATCGGCCTAACGGCGGCTACGACGTCGACCACTCTCGCTGCAACAGTCCTGGCGTACGCTCCTGACAGCAACGAGGTCGCTGCTCGTCAGGTTCTTACCTCGTTTTCCGATACTGTACCATTGACTACGAATTCGGATTCATCATCCGCTACAGATGCTGCGTCTTCATCGTCATCCACCGACTCGTCAGGATCTTCAGCGACAGACTCTTCGTCATCTGGAACCGATTCCTCCGCATCGTCGTCAGCGACCGATAGTTCTTCCTCTTCATCCAGTTCGGGGGATTCTTCCTCTAGTACTATGTCGGGAAGTGATTCATCTAGCATGATGGACTCTTCGAGTATGAGTATGAGTATGAGCGACAGCTCTACGGGCGAAGGAGCATCTTCGACTTCGGGAGGCGGAGGATCGACCGGTCTTGCGCCGAGGGCTACTGCCGCCCCGGCTGCCGGTGTGGCGGCTGCTGCTGGGCTAGTTGCCGCCGCTCTGATCTAAGGCGTATTCGGTCCTGTGATCATTGGTATACGGCAGGGAATTAAGAGGGGTCGAGCAAATTTGGACATCACTCATGGCGCTCGTTAATTGGGTAGTATGGTCAGGCTATCTCCCTGTATATAGACAAAAGTCGGATGCGCTCATTAATGGTATAAGATATTGCCCTTGACGACAAGTGCAGAATTGTTAGTGCGAACATGATATAGGTGCTTGAATCTCAATGGTCGTCCTCTCGCGACTGACTAGCTGGTGTATAATGGTGAATAGCCACTTCGGTGTAGATTCGGTGTCTACCCAGGAAGATCGTCTCCAAAGCTTCTTGAAAAAAAAAAAAAAAAAAAAAAGAACCCACATACTTACTAGACATGGTATCCGAAAATCTGGTGGCAGTTTCTCTGGAAGTTTTTGATCTAGATATACAACTTGAGATTAATGGCCATGGAGACAGGTTCAAGACGTGGATAAATGCTAGGGGTTGTGGTGAAAACTATTATAAATAGATATCCTCGAGGAAAATAATCCTGGGCAAGACAAATATCGCCGCTGTGGGGGCGGGTATTCCCCTTTCACCGTATGGGGCTTTCTGGAACACATCTGTCTTCCAAACCATAATCTGTTCGCATTCTACTCTGTCAAGAAGCAGATCCATTCTCTCGGATATGCGTGCCGAAAGATAATGTGATGTAATTAGGTTCACTGTACTATATGAATAGTACGGAGGTGGATATTAAGGTTCGTCCTCATCGAGATCAGATCCCGTCCATACGCAGGGAATATACTAGCGGAAGTGTACAAGCTGGATATGTCCGGGTCATTTCCGAGGAACCTCTACAGTAATGCCAAGAGATCTCAGGTGAAGCGTTTGACCATGCGTAGATATATAGGCCGACTTGGTTCTGAGCCAAGACATCACTGATTCGTGCTGTAGGTGATTGTCTAGGGATCCTAAGGTATCGCTCCCATTCATCTTGTGCAATTAGGGAGCGGATATGCACAAGCCTCAGCCAAGTACAAAGAATATTCGCGAGATCCGAAGGACTCTGAAGTGGATTTTGCTAGAATATATGTCGAGTATTTGAAAGAAAAGGCGTGGAGTTGTCCATTTCCAAGAGACCGGGCCGCTAACTAGACTTCCTAGCTATGAAAATGCCAGAGTCATTAGTCTCCCACGTGTTCTGGTATGGAGATCTCTCCATAAAGTCGCCCATGCTATATAGCCGCTTCCTAATTGCCGCCTGCTTGTTTCCCCTTCTATCCGGTCTCGGTGCGCGATATAAGACCTGTCCCTGTTTCCACGGAGCATTTACACCTAGCAATAAACGTTCTCGGGGTAAAGATTCCGAATATCTTTTCGTTGACGACTTTGGTGGTCGTGTCGGATCGTAGACTCGCTTCTTCTTAGGCCACACTATCTCCAGTGTGTTGGCTATGTGGCTCTTAGAGTTTGACACGAATTCGACTTCTTTTCGCCTGCGGAACGCCTTTGTTGGTATATCTGCAAGTTCGCACACTTAAGGATCATGTAGCGCCTTGAATCCATCGAGCTTCCCTTGTTTGTTTACTATGGCAGCGGTCGAGGATTTCATCCTGTTAGGGGTGGGCTTGGCAGTCATTGGCTTGCGAATGTATCTTCGCATCATAGCGGTCGGATGGAGAGATATCAAGCCTGATGACTACTTGATAGTCTTGGCAGGGGTAAGTTATCATAGTTGTCTCGGTGATCTTGGGGGACATGGTTTGTTGATACTTGAGCAGCTTGTATACTGCGGCCTTTCGACATCTACATATATCGGACTTGACAAATACGGTGGTCTCTCGAATGATGGGATGACTGACGAACAGCGTGAGACGCTTGATCCTAGAAGCAAGGAATACACACTAAGGTACGCGTTGCTTGCTGTCAATTGACGGACCATCAAGAGTCTAACGTCTGACAGAGCTTCCGGAGCTAAACTCGAAATCGTGTCCCGAGTTCTATATGCGACAGTCTTATGGTTGACGAAAGGATCCATGCTGGCATTCTACCGTCGCCTCACGGTAAGTACCTTCTATTACCTAGGACATTCTAATTAGCGTATTAATATTTTCTTTAGGAACGATTCGGACAATACGAGACCCGCATACGTGTTGGATATGCTATCCTCGTAGTTACATGGTTGGCCGACCTCCTCATTACTCTACTTAGCTGCAGACCGTTCCGCGCGAACTGGCAGATAAACCCTGATCCAGGTGGTAAGTTATCGGACAGAAGCTCGGCCATGCTAAGAGGAGTACTAAATATATTACAGGAACATGTCATCCAGCTACTTCGCCGTATAGCCTGTTTGGTACGCTTAGCTTCAATATCATCACTAGCTTGTACGTGTTCTTTGTGCCACTCCCGATCTTATGGATGGCCAATATCGAAATGTGGAAGAAGCTGGGGCTCATTCTGTTGGTCTCAGCGGAGTGCTTCGTCATCGCGGTCGCTATTCTTCGTGGATACCTGATTACTGCGACCCCCATGTCTGGTGCTAGACAGGCTAGTCGATGGGCGTACCGAGTCTCTTTTGTCGCGATTGTCACGACGAACCTTCCGCTCTTCTTCCCACTACTATGGCGATTCGTAGCATTAATGGTTACGGTAAAGCCACACGTACGACACATAAAAACAATTACAACGTTCGAGCGCACGAGGTTAACGGGTCGGGGACATGGCGATCACCGTCTGGCGGGCACTCAAAACACCTTCACGAACTCGAGCGGCTCGTGCCCTAGTGATCAATTGGGCATGGGGGATCTCGGGGTTGACCTTGAAAGTGTTCTTTCTACCGATGGCCGATACCGTAGAAGTACAGTGGTGTCTATACAAGAAGATAGAATTGGACCGTGGGTGGAAGAATCATTTTGGCGAACCACTGCGGCGTATCATCACGTCTGCGCGCATATTAGACGCGAGTCGTCGAATGTCTCAGGATATAATGAAACTTAATACCAGCACATATATTAATTACAACTTAATTTGCGCACGAGGAACACAGAGCGCTGTTTGAGAACTAAAAATGTTAATGATGTTTTACGGAGATACAACCACGGAAATAAAAACCAGGCAGAACTTTTGGCCCCCAATCCAATGAAAAATATTTTCCTGGTTAGGACTCCTCGGATCCGAAATAGTGGCCGACGTAGCACTGCGTCTCGCTAAGAAAAGCCTTGCCCCAGGATCATTCGATATTTGGGTCAAAGCCTGTTTGGTCTCCATACTTGGACTGTGCCGTTATTATGCAGATTTTAGATCTCTGAAATGATAAAGTGATTATGTTATCACTTTAGCAAAATTGCTAGGACTTTATCTTGGTGATTGTTTGGTCAGTAACCAGGCACCGAAATTATTGTGAGGATTTGCGTCCCTGGTTGTACGAACTGACCAATGCAAAATCGAAGCGGCATAATAAAAGGGGGTCATGGCTGATACCACGCCCATAACTTACATGATCGTCCTAACTTGCATGGGTGAGGCAGATTTTGCAGGGAATGGCGAACAGAAAAAAAAGCATTGAGCGAGAAGTTGTACTGTACAAAGAGAGCGCGTCTTCTAGGTATCTATCTACACGCACAAGTGCGTTTATAGCAGCACAATGATATAAAGCGCCTGTACATCTGCAATAGCAGCGACGACCCAATAGTGGATATAGTCCGAGTTGGCCTATTCCTATTTCATTACCACTGCTCCGGTGGTGGTAGACGCCAGGCGCTTATTTCATCACTCAATTAAGGCTGGTGAATGCTTAATTCATGTTGGCGTATTTTCGGGCTGTGTCTTACCCGCGACTAGCTTCTAGGTGATACAAAAAGGGCGTTTAGAAGGTCAGACGGCCTGCATAGGTGCCTACCCGGCTTGTGTGCTGAATTATCATACAAAACCCGATCTGGCGGTGACACGATGTCGATGAGGTACCCAGCGAGAGAGATGCGGCACAGCTACAGGTTGATGGTACCAGCAGGTTCATCCTTAGCCGGTACCTACCTAGGTAGGTAATTACCATTGCTTTTTGTATCTACCTCGGTAGCTTGCGGGATATACTGTATACTTTATCTACGCCTTGTCCCAACCACCACCCATGGGCCCAAATGATGACTATTATCGAGTCAAAAACATCAAATACATCTAGAACGCATTTCCATATTGCATCTTAACCTACAAATTGCTCAATATATGCTCTCTTATCTAGAAGTACCTAAGTAGGACACACATAGTCGTAGAGATGTAACAAACAGACCTGAACTACAATGCAGTCATGTTACGAACAAAAATAGTATATAGCAAAAGATATATAGGTGGTATGCGTGCGCACATGCATTTGTGGTACATCGCATGTCCTAGAATAATACCCTATTACTGCAGTATTCCGTCATATCAGGAACTCCCTCTCCAACCAGATGGTATCAAAACGAGTCCCCCCAAAATCTGACACGCATATATATCTCTTAGCGTAGACGTACAGATCGTATGCAACAACTCCAGAACTGGGCAAGGAAAGGTGAAAAATGCCCTAGAAAAGCTACATAGAAGATGTATTTTACAAGGTTGTAAAAGAAGTTTTTTGATGCCCAAAATCTATTTCCCGCTTTCTCCGTAACGCCTGTGCTGCCTGCTAGATTGATGTTGCTCGTATCATCGCCCTTGGTGTTGACCTTGTGTTGGTGATTGGTCTACAACTTGCCCTGGTGAATGTGGCGTCTGCGGCGGTACATAAGTCTGCTGCGGCGATGTTTGATGATAGACTTGAGTGCCATCAAGTAGGTGGGGGTCATATGTTGTCGACCCGGGCAATTCCGTCGGTGTGTTACCCACGGCTGCTAGCTCGGAGCTATTCGATTGACTGTATTGTGTAAATTGTTGGGGATATTGTTGTGGATATTGCTGGAGGAATTGTGGAGGGTATGACTGAGGGTATTGTTGATATTGAACGTATCGCGGGTCGTACATCATTCCGTTTGGTGGCGACCCCGGCGTGACTGTTGATGCTTGTGTCATGCCAGGAGAGCTTGGGTTCTTAACCGGTGCGTAATAGCCTTGAGATGGTCCATCGTGAGGATTGTATGCTGTGGCAGGCGTGGCCCCTTCAGCAGCTGCAGCTGCAGGTGTGTTACGACGGCGTAAAAAGAAGAATGCAATGGCGCCGATAAGTGCTAACCCTGCAATACCGACACCGACACCGATTCCTGCCTTGGCTCCTGTCGAGAGACCGGTCGTTTGAGCCCCAGTAGCATCTTGACTAACTGTCGCACTGGGGGCGCTCACACTAGCGGAGCTGCCTACCTCATCGGGCGAGAGAGCCTTCCATGATCCGGACCACGATTCTTTCCAATCATTTGTGCTCGCTTTGATTGAGTCTTCATTTTGAAGTTCCACGACAGACGGAGCAGGGACATTAGGACCAGGTGCCTGAGCCAGCCACCAGGATTTGGTACCCCAATTTGCACCTACGAATGCATCTTGCAAGAAAGCACGGCCAAGCGTGTACGACTTAGATGGTCCGGCGTAGCAGGGGAAATACTGCGTCGCCTTCTCAACTAATGGAGCAGTTAGAGTCAAATTTAGATGCCGGAAGGGAACCGAAATAGTAACGTTCTTGGTGTTCGAGCCACCAAGGAAAACAAATTCCAGGACGGAAGCCGAGTTGACGATTTGAGTGTATTTGGTGTCGTCGGTATTCCAGAAGTATAGACCGAGGTCTTTGTTATAGGTCACGGGCAGCTCACTGGCGATTGCGTCGCATGTTGACTTGGGAAGCGACAAGTACGGAGAGCAACCGTCGACGGATACCTGGATACCCCCCGAATTGATAGAAGAATTGCCTGATGAGAGAAGACCGTCCTTAGACTCAAAATCCCAGGGTGATGATCCGTCAATCACTCTGATACCGACATCCTTTAGGCTGATCGCTTTCGTGTAGTCTTCTGAATATGAAAGAATGTCTCCTACTACTCGGTTCTGATCATATCCTCCAAAATAGAATGATCCCGGCATTCGAGGGTTTGCCGAACCAATGTGCATGCCAAAGGAGTTAGATGCGGTTGTGTTTTGAGCCCATAAATATCCAGGAATCAAACTAGCGTTAATGGCTGGTCCGTAGCTGTTGGAGAAAGACTGGTTGACCGTCTCGGGTGCTCCTATTCCCAGGCACTGTAGTAACCAAGGTTAGTAATTAGTCCTCGAAGTAATCTTCTAAGCAATAACTCGGTTCGGTTCGCTCGATATTCGAAGTTCCGAATCCCAGTATGAACTCAAAAAGAAAAGGTCTTGATGTTACGTACGCCCACACTCATAGGATACCACTGGCCATTCGGATATGCCATATATGACGAAGTCAATAGCGCCAACGAGACATTCTCTATCGTAGCACCATTAAAGTCCATCGTATCAACCCACGACTCTGTCATCTCGCCCTTAACGTCCACACCTAACATATAATCCGGATTCGACTGGAATGCAATGTGGCCTGTGGATCCCGTGCTGTCTAACTGCGACTTGGCGTCATTGTAAAGTCCGGCCTGGTTAGCATAACACGGAATTGTCGTATTATCATTACAGTAGTCGCTAGTAAGGAGGAAACTTTGAAATTCTCGTCCCGGATACATCGATATCTTCTGATTGCTTCCTAATGTCACCTCTACCGCCGGCCAAGGGCCATCCGGGCCAAACATCGTGTCCGACCATGATGCAGCTACAGGTCCCTCTCCCGCCTGAACTGGTTGAAGTAATGCTAGATAGGAAAGGAGCGAAATGGGTAAAACGAGTGAAGAGGACGCCATGGTCATGGTTACAAGCACGCACAGAAGTGCTGTGCTAACGGCACACGATTCTGCGGCTTAGTGCAAGACGACACTAAGGCGTCGCGATCGAGAGATGAGAAAGAAGAAAACTTGACATCAGAGAGGGAACGTGAGAAAGAACAGAGGATAGGTCCACCACTACCATATTGACTAACGAAAAGGTCCCTCGACCGGGGACGAAATCCGCCTTGAGCAGCACATAGTATAGTACAGTACATCCATCACAGCACGTGTAAGTACCTAGCTCAGGGGTATAAGGATCCATGAGCGCTTATGGAAGGTCGCGACCAAGCTTTTTTGCTTTCTAGGCTAGGTCGAGTCCTACGCTACTGCTGCGATGAACATAAGGATATGAGGCTGTGGATCGTGAGACCTGTCAGGGCCGTGTATCCACTGTCTCTACCGCTATACGGCATTGGAAGGATTCAAATGCTGGAGAGCCCCTAAGCTTGATTTAGGCAAGACCTGCATCAGCTCCCGCTGACGAAATCACTTTTGATGGAATCCGGTCGGTATGGCTGCGCCCCTTTCGTGCTGGCCTAGGAGACCCCCCTTGAGATTTCCTCTTTTTGTTAGAAGAATTAAGATCTATAGCTAATTAAACCACCGCCACTGTATTTTCACGATCAACTTTGCGTATAGTTATCACGTATATTGTGAACGTATACCCACCTAAAAAGCAATAGATGGGGAACTTTGCACAAGTCCCGCGCATGTATCGACCTTTTTTAATTACTTATACGCTAGTTTCCGGTGAGGCTAGGGTGGTAGACGGGTTGATGCATGGACTTTGACCTTTTTTGGGCATCCAAATATCCACTCTGAAGAGGATATGCTGCATCTTGTTGATATGTCCTAGAGTCCGATAGGGCTAGCAAGGATGAATATTATTAGAGACTGCAATAGCGCTGTTGTCACCCCAGCAATGCGCTACATGGACACTAATTGGGTAGAATGAGGGATTCATGACCCGTGGTAGTGTGCTAATTGCTTTGGCTCCTCCTGAGCTGCCCAGGTGCTGGACAACGCGCGAGTAAGGCGAATAGCGAGCATCACGTTGCTTAATAACGAATGAATGAAACCGACCCCGAGTTGAAGATGAGAGTAGACGCTCGGCCTATCAACGAGTATACTTACTCATCTTGAGGTATATCTTGAGGTATAGTGCGACGAATCCAGGTTTCGAATTTCGAGTATCGTTATAGCTGAATTCTGTAGATGATTTTCAGCGGTTACGGGTTCGGGTCCGGGCTGTCTTCAGAGCCCTGGGGGCATGACATAGTATTGTACAATATTACCTACCTAGGTATGTAGGCGAATCCTTCCAGCAGGTGAAACTTCATGCGGAATATTAATGGGCTGTGTCAGCTTAATAACCCCAATCATACTAATAGCCAATTAAATAACAGAACCGGGAGTCAATGTTCAGTGTCTATAGTAGAGAGGTTTGGGGGCTGAATAGAACCTTGGAAGTTGATTGTGACATATCTCTCCCTTACCTAGGTTGTGTAAGGCAAACATTTCGTATAATATGAACTCGTTTAATTTTAGCGATAGAATAACTCATAAATGGAGGTTTAATATACCATGCCACACAGTAAGAATGGTGAGTCTTCGACCGTGAAGTTGAGAGATGGTGGTTGTATTTATTATAGTGATTGAATAATGTTGTAGAGTTGAAGAACTTGGAATACGGGGAATATTAGGTACATCTATTTTACCTCAAGCACTATATTATAGCGCCTAATCTACCTAGGGTAAATCACATGTAGGGGAGCCTAATCCGAATAACATCCGGCTCTAGGCAAGATCGATCGCCCAGAATTACGTGTACAGTAACTGCGATACGGCGTAGAAGTAAGTACCCAAAATAAAGTAAAGTACTTCGACTAATGATTCAGCCTGATCGGAACTTGAACTTTGACCTGCACCAGCAAATCTACGGCACCACCTTTTTTCTTTCTCTTCCCATCGCATCCCTCCCATCCCCATACACATCCACATACACATCCCATCCTAATCTGCGCCACGATATAGTGGATACGCAGATGCGTTTTAATCATCAAGCTGGCGACTATTCGCTTACCTGACTAGTCATACCATTCTTTTGCTGGAAGACACTCTTTTTCCAAATGAGCGTTGTTTCATCATTTAGTCGGAATTGATTCCTGTCTCTTTCGGCGAATCCTCCCCGAAACCGAACTTCCTCTCCGTTTTATCCTCTTCGGCCGCCGTCGTATCCTCGATCTCTTGTCCCCCGAGCATTTAGTTCAACATGGCTCCGCTCTGGGGCTCTTCGTGGTCCTCCACCTGGGGTTCTTTATCTGGATATAGCCAAGTCCAAAATGGTGAACAGAATACGGCGGCCACATCTAGTACCGACTCTTCCCACCTAAAACCCAGTATCGGCCAAATCCTCATGTCGAAGCGAGTGCGCTATGCCGCCATCTCTTTCGCTGCCTTTGGCCTATTCTTCCTTGCCTTCCGAAACTACGATCGCCTACCATCTATCGAGAGTTTCCGAGGAGGAAATGCTGCCGCTGCCAATTCCAAATCCGACTGTGCTCCTGCCGTTATACCGACCTACGAGGAAACCCAGGTTAACTGGTCGCGATACGCATATACGCAATATGTCACCAATGCTGCATACCTCTGTAACTCCGTTATGATCTTCGAGACTCTGTTCCGGCTGGGTAGCAAGGCCGATCGTGTTATGATGTATCCCGAAACCATGATGGATCCCGCTGAGACGAACCCGTCATCGGAAGATGCTAGGTTGATTGTGAAGGCTCGTGATCAATACAAAGTTAAGCTAGTACCCGTTTCCATCCAGAAACGTGCCGGTGGTGATGGTAAGTCTGCATAAATCTGTGCCTATTCCTATATGTTTCATCATCTAACTTCGAATCCAAGCTACCTGGGCCGAGTCATTCACCAAGCTTCTTGCCTTCAACCAAACCCAATATGAGCGCGTCCTAAACGTCGACTCCGACGCCACCATCCTTCAAACCATGGATGAACTATTCCTCATGCCTCCTTGTCCCGTCGCTATGCCCCGTGCTTACTGGCTCTTCCCGAAAGACAAGATCTTGTCATCCCAACTTATGCTAGTCCAACCAAGCGCAGTTGAGTTTGACAGGATTATGAAGAAGATGGAATCTGCCGGTCGCAACGATTACGATATGGAAATTGTGAACCAGCTATATGCTGATAGCGCCATGATCCTCCCACACCGTCCCTACGATTTGTTGACGGGCGAGTTCCGTGGCGATGACCACCAGAATTATCTCGGCACCGACCGGGAAGAGTGGGACCCTGTTGCCATCTTTAACGAAGCCAAGTTCCTTCACTTCTCTGACTGGCCGGTGCCTAAGCCATGGATTCAAATGTCCGATTCGATGCGCCAGGAGAAGCAACCGAAGTGTGTGGAGAAAAATGGCCAAGAGGATTGCTCGGCTAGGCAACTATGGAATGGATTTTATGACGATTTTGCACAAAGGCGTTCGGTAAGTCTTGGCACCTATAGTTCACTCATCACATTACGATATACTAACTTCTCTATTAGGATGTTTGCAATACCAGGAAGAAGGGCAAGCGATAAACAAGTTCAACTTGTTGTAATTATGTTGTTTTGCGTTTTTGGTAATGAGAAAAAAAAGTCCAGAGTTGTATATTATGTGGCATGACGTGTTATAGATACCAGCATCAAACCACAGTGGTGCGTTTTTATTCTCCCATTAGAGGGCAATTATATTCAGCGGTTTCTGCATTTTCTGTTATTCCATGGTGATACTTGACGTCCTAGACTAATGTTGCTTATGAGTGTCTAACAACTGATTGCGTATTACTAACCGTTATATCACTGCATTTTAATAATAGGGGCATCATCGTGGACGACAGTCTCGATTCAACAATAGGTGAGCCATATCACAGCGATCACTAAGTATTTATAAATTCATTATGGCAAGAAATAAACGCTCCAATTCTCCATTTATTATGATTATCTAGTCACCGACGTCTCGAATTATTGTCTCGACTTGCACCAAGAGTTCGAGAATGAGTAACGTCCACTCCTCATAGATCAACTCAGCTTCTCTGGCCCCGTCCGTGTATAATCACATTCAGTTGCCATCTAGCTGCCCCAAGATACCTTGCCACCCTTCCAAGGGATAGGTGTTGCGCCTTTGCCGTGAGTATAAGAATCGCTATCCTTCTTACGCTCTTCCTCAAGCTTGCGTTGCTCTTCTCTCTTGCGGCCTTCGGCTTGGCGCCTCTTCTCCTCTTGAGCTTTCTTGTCGTCGGCCGGTATTGTGGTGGGTGTTAAGTTGAAGTTGGTTAGTAGTATAGTTTATAGAAATATGGAGAATATCTCAGAGATAGTCTGGTGTTCGCTTGGAAGTAGTGTATTGGTGATGTGATATGTTGAATTGTTAAGCCAAGTGTCCTGCTGCAAAAGAGAAGAGTGTTGGGATTGTTATATCCATTTTCTCGAGCAGCACAGATGTGCTGTTATGTCTCCCAATCGCTGTTGGATCACAGTATGATTGTATTTACAGTCTCAAAACACGTCAACGCGGGAGGATTGGACTCGGGATGAGTGACCAAGGCGCCTTAACACGTTACTCGTTGTACATCGTTAGGAGTTTGACGTCCGAGTCCAGATATCTTGCATTATGGATACGCGGGTGGCCGTAACAGTATTCATATTGCTGGCTCCTACCCAATAAGCTGATATACAATGAGTTACGTCAAGATCGATGTGCAGCAGGTTTATCCATTATCAGGATAGTAGTCAGTCGACACGTGAGCATGTATACAATCATGTTTGTCTCTTTATGATTCATGGGACTCAACTACTAGGTCAACATAGACTTTTAAGAGTCTGACCCCTTAACGATGAGGTAACTATCTAGACAACCTTAGGTAATAAGGCTACCGTATGGGGTTTATCGTAACAGTGGATATCCCCCACTGAGGCTCTTCGGTATATAAATCGAGCTGAATCTGCTGGATAGCCACGTGGGACTTAAAGGCACTGCAAGATATAAATAAATCCTGGGGAGCTGACCGAAAGAAGCTCTTTACAGCATGTTAATAGAACGTCAAAGAAACCGCATCATCTAAGGAATTGAGAGTTGCATGAGCATCAGCTATGGCTGTCTTGGCTTCAATTGCATGTTCCGGGATATTTTGTGTCGCGTGATGCTATGCCGGTAGAGCCTCGTGTTCTGTTCATGGAAAGTCCGTGATTCTCAGAGCCGACTCGTGCCGCCGCTCCGATTCCGGTGGTGATAGATGAGGGAAATAAGTTAAGCACATTGGGCGCTCCTTACTGCCTCATGAAATGCAAAATTAGGTTTGTTATCCCCTATACATCGTATCATCTTTCGGGTTTAACTTTTGGCGTAATCTGCTAACGGGTATACTCGCGGAGGAAGGAACAGGGCCGATTCGATTTTGACATCAACTGGATACCATTGGTGGTCGCACGTGGTGTTACGTATTAGGTAACTCATGCAACCTAAAAAAAGCTTCTAAAAACCACACCACGATAAAGTTTCTCTTCATCTTTTTCTTTTACAACTTCTTTTTTCTCTTGTATGTTTATCCTACTAACGGCAAGCTGAAGCTACACACAATGCGGGATATAACGGTTACTTCGGAGTATACCGAAAATGATCGGATGGAACCAATTGGACAATCCGTTATTCGGCGCCCTCGAGTTACACGTCTGGCGGTCAGCTGAATTCCAAATTCAAAAGGTATCGGTTAGACCGCTGTATTTATCGAAGTGCAGTGCATACAACGGGAAAAAAAAAGATAATCTTATCGGTATGTAGACGTCTTAATCCAACCAAAAAAGCAAATCGAAAAGGAGGGGTGGCCGTGATTCGCTGACTCCCATGTAGCGCGTCACATTATATCTAATAGTTGGCCAAGAATTGAGCGAACCAGGATGCTGGATTCAGGGTCTCCCTCGTCTAGCCTACAGCGAGCTGACGATCACCTGAATGGCTACCATCACAGGAAGTCGAAGGATTGCGCACCGCATTGAGAAGAGAGCAAAAGTGAAAATTAGGAAGGTGAGCACATGAAAGTGCCGCTCTGTCGGATCTGAAATTAGTCTAATCAAATTTTCATTTACATAAGACATCTACGCATCGGAAACAGCCCTGATCTTCCCAACGGTACCCCGGTTGTTGAGAGGGCTTGTTTGTATGCATGTTACCTAGTCCGGTTTAGTTCAGGCATGTGCGGCCTATTCTGCCGATAGAGAACTTCGCGCAATTCAGCCCATCAGTACCATATCAAACAATTACGTTTGCCTGGTTGATGTCGAACCGCGCACAAGTACGACATCTCTCGACAGTCGGTGATGGCTATCGAAGTCGAGGAACTGGTTATTCAACCATTCCGGGAAGTTGTGGAACGTGGCAAAGAAGCCGTCGCTAATGCCGAGGCGGAAGCCAAGGCGGAGTCGGAGGCGCGCGGCGATGCAGACGAGGATAATGAAGACGATGCCGATTCTTCCGACAAGCATGATGTGACGGCCATGCTAAAAACGGCGCGTGCGCTAGTCAAGGAAGGCGAACGGGCCTTACAGAGGCTAATGCCGCTATGGAAAGAACGTGTCGACAAATATGGCGACGCGTTTACGGAGGCTATGCGACAGAACGGTAATCCACATTTGCTTTCACTACACGACTTATTTAGATGAGTCGCTGTCACCTTGTCATTCGGATTTAGGCTAGGCCAACTAATGCGTCGATTATAGATCAGATAATCGACAGCCAGAGGCGGTTGGAAGATCTGCTCTATGACTTGGATGATTTCGTCGATGTCGATTCGTTTGACGCCGAGAGATTTGCCGAGGTCCAAGCAGCATCCAAGGCTTTCGCTCTGACTCTCATGGAAACTATTAGGAGACTCCATATCGAAGAGACTGCGCGGCCTCCATCCCCCGATCCTTCGTGGATACAACAACTATCACCCCGGGCTCTAAATACGAAGGGTCGTTCCAACACTGGATCTATTACCCCTGCAAGGCTCAGCGAAAATGCTAGTGCCAGTGGTGCTAATACCCCGGCCAGGCGACCGTCTAGTCCTGACATCCTAGGCGCGGAGAGGGATTGCATTAGCCTTGTATCCGGACCTCCTACCGCCGCACCTCCGAATTCGAGAACATCGGCTTGGGTTAGCGAACAGACGACAGCCGCTAAGTTATGGCCTCGCAACAACTCGATCCCCGAGAACGACTATTTTGTGGCGCAACCTATCTTCAATAATCTCGATAGTGTCGCTTTACATGGTCAAGAGGCACCGACGCCGTCTGTTCCGCCCCGCAGTCCAGAGACTTCGTACAGCAGACTATCCTGGTATACTAGCACTGGCAGTTTTACCTCGGGGCCAAGATCATCGGTCCAAGTTCCTACTAGCGACCAAAGGACGACTTCCCTTGCGAAACTCATGTCTGGCCCTCCCGAATTCCGTGAATCAAGACAGCTTAAGCCTCCATCATCGCCTATTGCGCTTGTCTACGAAGATGGCCTAATACCTGCCGACGAGCTCTTCGTGTCACGGGCAAACTCAATCTCTGGCTACCAAATAGGGCTCGATAGCAGTCTTTATATCCACAAGGGATTATGCTCGGGCGCGTTGACATATCGGGTCAAAGGACGCAAAAGCGCTACTAGATCTGTCCAGGAATATGTAAGCAATCTACGTCACATATTTGTATCTATTTATTCATATGATATATACGAGAATGTTGTTAAAACCATGGTTTTATACTAATCTTAAATGGATAGGGGACCAGACGCAGCACCGCCCGATGCACCGAATGCGAGTTCGCGCAGAGCCTATTGGAACTAGAACTTGACGTCGCGCAGGATCGTAAGAAACCCCAAACCTAAGTTGGGATGCCGGACTGACGAAATGTTTTTGTAGCGACTGGCAATTTCGAGAAAGCGGGGGTTCTGTTCCGCCTCCGTTTCCTATACAAATCACACTTGATATCGAGTTCAGCCTTCACCATGCAATTCGGCTGCCTGTTTTGCGCAGAAAAGGGACAGACGGTATATGCAGACGACGCAACGGTCTTTATGACACAAGAACAGCTATTCAAGCACTTGTCACGTCACCCACAGCCTCTTCCTGAGATTCAAGGGGTCACGGTCTTATATGGTCAGGTTTCTAAGGAAGACCCTAATGCCGAAGACTACGACCTTCACTTTCCGAATCCCCCCGTTGCTAGTATCCTTCCAGATGCGCCTACTCTCGCAAAGCTCCCATCTGCGATAGCTATTAAGAGCCATATTAAGCGTTATGGGCGAGATCTGGTCGATCCTGATGGTAGTCCGGATCAGGTTATGAAATTTTTGGAAGGGGCTCGAATTGTAGGCGTTGAATTCCCGGAGAAGTGGAAGGGTAAATGGTGTACCGGCTGGCATGATGGCCAATGGGGTAGTTTCCCCACGAAGAATATCACGCTGGAGCGACCTTCAATCGCTCCCGGAGCAACCCCAAACGCCGAAGGAATGTTCGTTACGACGCGCTGGAAATGGGAGATTAAGGATACAACTCATGGGTGGTTACCGCTCGACAAGGATGAGACATTGTCGAATGTTACATGTAAGCTCCGAGCTTATACTCCCTTTGGTCCTTAAAAAATATCAATGGCTAACCATACTTTATTTATAGGGATTAGTCAGAACGATTGGTGCTGGCATGGGACGAAGAAGAATGGCAAGTCGGGTCTCTTCCCATCATCACATGTTAAGATGGAGTCGCTGCGAGGTAGCCATGAAGGAGATGATGATTCTGCGACAAAAGGCAAGAAGGCAGGGAGCTTCAGTTTACCTACCATCAAGATGCGAAGGATGACGATCGGAAGTTCCACGTCCTAGCTGTTTCGAAGTTACATGGGGAGTTATGGTTTCTACTGGAGTGGTCAAGGGGGTGAGGCGTTCGTTCTGATAGTTCTGTGTTCTTCTGTGCAGGTGCTTAAGAGGGTGATATTCATCAATGCTTACAGGTAGAACGATATCTTAGTATTATACCCTCGAGGACTATATGAAAAAATTAATATCCCTTTAGTTGCCTTCATTATTTTGTATCAATAGCCATGTACCTAAGTATGCATCTAGGTACCTGCGAGCGTGGAATAGGCCCCGCACCTCCACGATTGCTTACCCCTACCATGCTATCTAGGCGTTTGGTGCCCCACCTATGAAATAAGGTCGTGGCGTTGGGAAAGTACGTACCGACGCTAAAGCAGAGGCCCTAAAGTACATATGTATCGGATATCATGACATCACCGGAGCTTTTATTCCCTGCTCTTCAGCTCTTGGTTACTTCATTTATACCAATTTAGAGAACGCCGCTCCAGACCCAGCCTTGTTGCTTACCTACGATCGAGATTCTAGCCGCATGGAAGAAGCTATTGACTTATTCTATTCGATAAAGAATAGATATGTTCTTTTCTACTTTGAAACTAGTTGAATTCGTCGTTTGAACTGTTCGATATGTACTTGGATTCTGACGTGCCACAAGTTACATATGTACTGTAGCTACTACGTCATATTTGTATAACGCAATGACCACATTTGTACATGTGGAAAGCCTTAAACGGGCACTAAACGTTTATACTTTGGAAGCTTTCCAAGCTTGGAGAACGTTTCTTTATGATCGTTGAACATAAATTCGTATCATCCCGTGTAATTCATATAAAGAAGGTACTTGCATAAGTGAGCAGCCTTGGAGGACTGGAGACCTTTAATGCACCAATACGTCTTCTAAGTACCTTGAGCTGCCTGACCTAAGACGGGATTGACAGGTCTAAGCTTGTGACGGTAAACAAAAGAAAACAGTGACGTGATACATTTTTATAATTTCCATCATCATCCTTCATCATCATACATTCTTCAACTCCACTGACCTTTCTTCCCCTTCGCCAAACAAAACCATCATCGTCGTCCTTCCTATTACTCACGATAATTGTCACGAATTAATACGAAACGAAACACGATTCATTCCTATCAACTTAAGAATATTCGGGGCCAAGTATACAAAGAAAACAGCTAGGAATTGATTATTAGAGCTTAATTCGTCATGAGGTGGCTCTCCGTCTTCTCCCTCGGCCTGGCGGCTGATGCCGTCGTGGCCAGTAATTGGTTTAGCAAAGCAGGTAAGTCACATTCTTGTTCAAGTTCACCTATATCACCTGCTAACGTGTTACACTGTAGCGTACAACAAATGGCATGAGACGGAACTAGAGCGATGGCTCTCCGATAATGATATCCCCTATCCTACACCCGCTGACCGCAAGGATCTCGAGAACCTCATCCAAAAGAACTGGGACTCTTATGCCGTTGCTCCCTACAAGAATTGGGATTCCGACAAGCTTACATCGTACCTACAATCCAAAGGTGTTGAGACGAAGGAGTCGGCCAAGTCCAACAAGGACGCGCTTGTTTCCCAAGTAGCTAACACCTGGTATGAGACGGAAGACAAGGCTCAGACGGCTTGGACTGATGTACATGAATGGATCTTGGATACTTGGACTGAGAGTTCCTTGAAGGCGTTTGCTGATAAGCATGGCATCCCAGGTAATAACACCCACCTTGGTATTTGTCTTGATATATGGCTAACTTGATATACAGTTCCCCAACCACGAACTCGCGATACTCTTCTCCAGAAGGCCCGAGCTAATTACGAGACGATAGCGAAGAAGGCCGGAGAGACCGCTTCGTATCCTGGTGATTGGCTGTATGATTCTTGGTCTGAGTCTGACTTGAAAGAGTGGCTCGATACTCATGGTTTCCCTGCTCCTCAGATCACTGAAGTAAGAATACCCTGTAGTCCACCAAGTAGGGGAAATGTTGTTGCTAACACAATTTTATAGCGCAACAAACTGATCGCCTTGGTTCGTCGCAACTCGCGTCTTGCGTACTTGAGATTGCAAGAGCAGAAGGCCTCTGCCTCCGCTAGCGCCAATGCTGCCTACGCTACTCTCACGGACAAGGTTATTGATGCTTGGAGCGAGTCCCAACTCAAGGAGTTCTGCGACAAGAACGGAATCAACGGTATATAATCCTTCCCCATCCCTATTTCACTACTCTAACTAACACAACCACTAGTACCCCAAGGCAGCAAAGTCAACGAGGTCCGCGCCATAGTCCGCAAGCACCGCGCCGACATCCTCAGGGACAACGTCTCGGCATCAGCCTCGAGCGCTTTCGGCGCCGCTACCAGCAAAGCGGGTAACCAATACGCCAAGGCGACCAATGACGCCAGTCTAGCCGCCCAAGATGCGTTTAACTCAGCCGTAAACACCTGGTCCGAGAGCAGACTCAAGTCATACCTCGACGCGCGCGGCGTGCCTGTCCCACAAGGCTCGAGGACAGATCAGCTCCGCGCTTTGGTGCGTCGAAATGCGCATAAAGCAGCTCACCCGTACGGCGCGTGGACATGGGATGATCTATCTTACGAGAACCTCAGGCAGTACCTAGCGAACAGTGGTAACGCTGCCGCGAAGAAGGTCGGCGAGAGTAGTTCCGCGACACGTGATGATTTGGTAGATGCGGCACAGTCGGCTTACTCGTCTGCTTCGAGTGCGGGTGGAGGCTCTTATGCTTCGGCTACGAGTTATCTTTTGCATGCTACGGAGGCTGCCAAGAAGAGCACTTTTGATACGTGGAGTGAGAGCGAGTTGAAGGCTTATTTGGATAGTTATGGTGTTGTAAGCTCACCCTACCCTATTCTATCCTCTGAATTTAATATGTGATGGTACTGATGTTATAATCACAGCCCGTTCCCCAAGGCTCTACCGTCAACGAACTCCGTGCCGAGGCCCGCAAGCAATCGACATACTTCAAGTACGGTACCACGAACCCCGCCAGCACCGCCTTCGCCAAGATCGGCGAGAACGTTAAGGACGCGTACCAGTGGGTTGTGGATCAGCTTGGTGCTGGATCCGAGGCTGCGAAGAAGAAGGCTGGTGATGTTAAGGAGGAGTTGTAAACCGTCTACTTCGCATCTTGCCATTACGGCTTTACGAAGCCCTAAAGGTGGGGTGAAGTCTTCAGGATATTGGCCGTTGAGGGTATAACCGCCCGGCTTGTACACTTTACGGATTGTGTTTCCCTAGGAAGAGAAACACCTACGAAACAACAGACTCGATAGGGTCACGTAAAAGGGGTGTATGGATACGATTGATTTTTACTTGCGTTTATTTCTCTGAGGTCGGTATTAAGGGGCCGTTATGTCTTGCATGCACGTTTTCCTTTTAAGTACCTAGGTAGTGTTGCACCAGGATGAGAGAAGACACGAGGCGAGGAGATAGCATAACGCTTGCTTTGCTAGCTAGTTGGGTAGCTTGACTGAATAATTGAGATTGTGCAATTAGTTAAATCTATGGTTTCGCCCAGAACATAATAACGTCATTTTTGACTAGCGGAAATTCATGGGTTTGTGCTGGCGCTGGCGGTTTATATTCCCCGCAAGGTGTCCCGCATACGGCTGTCGTGACCTGTTCCCTCTGCAGCCGATGTAGAGCTCGGAGCTCGGGATAGAGCATGGCGATTGCGTCCACATCTAGGTGGGTAGAGATACGGAGGCGACTTAAGTCATCAACCTTCTCCGGCAGAGCAATCCTCGTCTTTCCTGTTGTAAGTGAGAAGTATGTAGGGCTGTCCTCCCGCTCGGATGTTAGCCGAAGTAACTCTCAAGTATATTACATTCCTACTTTTGGACCCGAGATCCTCCCCCCTAATAGTAAACCAAGTATCCCCCATAAAGTCTTTCATATAGGATCGACTGCACACAGCGAGTATCGTGAAAGTGTGGGGGGATTCCACTTGCTCCCGGAAGACTCTGGTCTTGATTTTGCAGCTCTGCCTCTAGATGTTGATAAGTATATGTTAGTAACATTTATCTGAGTGTTCATCGGATACATCCGATGATATGTACCTACCTACGTACCTAAAGCTAAAACGGGTCGCGTCCTTGGAAACGGCTCCGCGCGAGAAAGGAAAAGGAACGAGACGAAAAAAAGTACAAAAGGAAACTTCGGCCTTCTACATAGCCCCGGAGATCTTACGGGCCCTCCTCCTGAGATTGATTGCGCTCTTATGGTAGTGGAAGGTAGTGGAATGGTTCTCCGGGACTTAGCCGGGGAACAGGTGACGGGAAGAAGGAATATTTTTTGACTCTACCAATGACTATAGCTAGTGAAATGACTACTATTAAAAGGGAAAAATATTTTAGGTTGAGTAATAGGACTTTCACGAATAAGTGTCATCAGAATGAGGAAATCAGCTTTTTATTGAGTTTGCTATGAAATAACATGAGACCGCGAATAGCGTCGTCTCCTAAATTGGGATGAGACTCATGAAAGCAATCATACCTTTCGGCATGGTTACGAACACGATTTATCTCGTAAATATCCCAGCAGACATTGCCCCCCTATTGCTACAGATGCGAAACATTTCGTCCCACAGCTGTTTTAATATGCATTAGAAATTATCCGGCCCGAATGTGATCTGCTCAATTGCCACATCAAGGAAATTTGAACAAAATCCATAGTTCCTGAGCTCTTTGGTTCTCGAAGTTTTGATTATGGCGGTACGTTCAAGAAATTTCTATCAGATGTACTCAAAGGCAGGGTCGTGGACGGGAGTTGTTATACGTCTCGAAACGTGGCCACGTCTGCCTTATCAAAATGCCAATTAAGTAAGAATTGGAGGATGACAAAGTGCTATTGGGGGATCGTTTGGGGGGCAAATGGGTGTGGTTGGTTGAATTGAAAGCAAAGGGAATCAGTTAGACTCATAATAGGAAATACGCAGAGTTTTGCAATGTGTGATTTGAATGGCCAGGAAATGACCTATGGGAATAGGCCACACCGTCCATCGTCGTATTTGGTAGAGGGGCAGTCGGGCGAGGGGTCTTGTTGTATTAAAGGGTTAGATTTTGAGGAGATCTACGTCTGGAATGCTCCTCTGTCGTTTATGACCCAGATGGTGCTCCGACGATGCCTTTCTCTTTTGCGACATTGTCGCGAGGGGACTGCTGGTAAGCTCCGGCATCATCTTCTTCTGTTTTCGCATAGGGGAAATGGGAACGTTGGTAGTAGCGATGCGTCCATCCTTAATGCCGCGAAGCGTACCTTCATAATAGGGGCCGGAGAATGCGAGCGAATCACGAGTAGCTTTGCTGCGGCTGATTAATCGGTGATTCGCCTGGTCTCGACGGAATGCACCGACGATGTCGGTGTTGTGTTCGAAATGTTCGAGAAGGGAAGTTACATCACTGGACGCGGTATTCGGGCGGCCTGGCGTGCGGTTAGGGGTAAAAAATATTTGATCGTCGCCTTCGTCGTGCTCGAGGCCCTTCTCGCCTTCAGACGATTCCTCCTCTTCTTCATCGTCATCTAGAGTGATGAAATCTTCCAACTTGAGACTCTTCTCTGCCTCATCGACAACTTGGTCTTCAGAGTCAGAGGACTCAACCGCATTTCCGTCGGATGCTTGGGAATACCAGGCTTCAGCAGGGCCGACAGTGTGAGTGTTCATGAAATCTCCATATGTACTAGAGGAGATCATGCCACTCATCATGATATTGCCTGGATTGCTGAGGATAGGGGTTGACGGAGCTTGCTCGAAATATTGGAAATTGAACTGCTCAGGAGAGAGATCAAAGCCTCTTCCTCTCATACACTGATGAGTGAAAATCATCATCTTGCCAGTCCTTGGGTTTAGGATAGCGATAGGCTTCTTGCTGGATTTATCTAAGTTGAAACGACCAATACGTGGTTGGCCACGACGGGGTCGGATTAGTGTAACGACGTCCGAGTCGGAAGAGTCATCCATAACTTCCCGTCGAGTCTTACGTCGAACAGGTTTCTCAGGCGGATCTTCCTCGTCGGTAGTATCCCCATCAGCTAGGTGGGGAAGATTAGCACAATCTTGTTTACGAACCAAATTACCATTACTCACTTTGATATCCGTCCAGGGAGACCTCGTCGTTTTCGGACGAATCAACTGAGCTGTTCATAGCAGTTGAAAGCTCATGGCTTGTCATAGGGGTAGCGACAGGTGTGCTGTCATCCTCTTCCATGGATCTGATCAAAGCCTCATAATCAGAGGCTGTGTCATCGACGCCGCTTTCAAGCCATGGAGTGGTACCATGGCCATAATGGTCCCAAAATGCCTCCGAATTAGATGAGTCGTAAGGGTCTGGATCATGCTCAATCTCTCGCCGAAAAGAAGGGTCTAGGATGCTTTTGTCGACGAATAGATCAGGGAAGAAACCGTGATCAATATCGTCGTCGGTTTCTGTTGAATCGCCGTCTGACGAGTCCTCAGGGATGTCAAAACGGACACGGCGTTCTGTGCTTGTATATCCTTGATCATTACCAAGCTCGTCGGCGTCTGCTTCTGACGAGATACCGTCCCAACTGGCATTCTCATCTGCATCATCATCGTCCCCTTCGTAATCATCCTCCTCGTCATCGTCATCTTCCTCTTCCTCCTCCTCCTGTTCATCTTCACTCTCATGCGGCCGAGGAGAGATAGAACTGCGAATGATTTGCTGCAGCTCGTCGGAAAGAATATGCTCCTCCTCGGCCGCATTTACATCCTCCTCATCGTCATCTTCCGAGTCGCTGATGTCGTCCACTCCGGAATATCCGCCCTCATCGGATAGGTCAAGCGACGACGACGCATCGGAGCCACGTCGCTTATTGCCCTTGACGGGAGTAGTCGGGGGTCTTTGTTGCCGCACGTTACGGGACATTGTAATGCGTGCCAATCGTGTGATATGTGAGGGATGCAGGGGTCTACACGGGATCCACCCCCGGACTCGGGGCTGAAGAAGATCGAGGTAAACGGCGGTGAAGCCTGAATCGGTACTCGAGAATAGTCGATGTATTCTCGATTCCAAAGACGGACCCTTGAGTCGATCAAGCGTCTGGGTCTTGCGTATACTGCTGCAAGGAATGTGGGACAGAGTATACTGCAATTGGGAGGAGAGAGGGTGGAGGGGGGAAGTGTATCGTCGTCACTAAAATCGAAGTCAAGTCGTCAAGGCCCGCAATGAGTGGGCGATATGCGCAGTAATTCTGATGGGTATTCAGACTTCCGGGAGGTACCTTTTTAGTTAGAAAGGGCACACAAGACAGTGAAAGTCTGTATAACTTCGTCGAGAGAATTGTCGAATTATGATTGAATATCTCGGTGAACTGCTGGACTACGGGACATGCCTAGGAGCAATCCAGACATGTCCCGTAGTGGGAATTTACAGCTCAGCGACGGCCGAAGGCATGATTCTCGACGAAGTTGTGTGTTATCTGACTGAATTGCTCTTGAAAATTAATTATAATGCGACTTCGTTGTCTGGTTGTGGTGGTTTTAGTTTCCTTGGAGGGAAATGTAAGAGAAGAAAAAAAAAGTTGCAAATGTAGACCCGGGAAAAAATGACCGTGGATATATCCCACCCTGTACCTGTACCGCCGTACCGTTGTAACTTGCACTTGCACCTAAACTTTTTTTTTTCTTTTTTTGCTTTTCCATTAGTGGGGTGACCCTGAACTCCGCAGCTCACTGCACGGTCCCTGATTCGTCTGCCGCCGCGGGTGAGACGAACTAATTCATTTTAGGAAATGCGTCACCGCCTTTCCTGACTTGCATCAGTCCAGTGCACTAAAGCCTAAAACACCCCTCTAGAACCACTAAATCACCAGTAACGGTCCACCGTGCGGGAAGCTGTGAATGGCTGTTTTTAGGTCTACCTGCTGCTAGATGCTGGCATTTGGGACTTGGCTGGGCGCTATTTCAGCGTTTGAAGCCGCATGGAAGTACCTCCCAACGTACAAACAACCATCCATCGACCCCATCGACCCCACATCTAACCTTAGCTAGGTACATGTACCTACGTACTTTCACTACTGTAAATTTGGTTCCGACTCCAATTTGAGGTGGAACTTCTTTTTTTTTAATTCTTCTCATCGGCGACAATGGCTCGATTTCATCAGTTAAAAACACAACAAAGAACATATCATGTCCCACTACCTATTAATTCTAGCCCCGAGATACCCCACCGAAAACTTGTTCAACGGTACGAGGGGTCTCTCGTGACGCATCTCGAAGAGGAGTCATATTGCCAGGAGATGACACACAGAAATCAAACTAACAACACCTATCTTTTCTTTTGCTCATACGTTTAATTCCTAAGCGTATGTAGGCGTACGAATATACAGTGCTAAGACCTATCCGAAGATACTTACGAGAAATATCTACTCAACTGCCCTATCTAGACGTCGTTCCGGATGGCTGGTTTTCCAATACTACTGCCTTACGAATTTTATATGAAAATGGATGGTAATAACAGTCACATTCATTTTAGGAAATGGCACGTGTGGTGGATGGGTTTCTTTGCTGCATCTTGTGTGCAGCTCTACGTACCAAAAACTGATAAATAGGCGAGATGGGGTCGTTTGTACACGTAAAGAGGGAACTCGACCTTATTTCGTCCGCTTCCGATATTCTCCATCCTCCATCGACCCATCCGACCCCTCGGTGGTGATGACGATACAGGAGCAAGGGTACCTAGATACTTACATACAGATTTTGTTCATTTATCCCCACCCATTCCTCCATTCCACGGATTATCATTCGAAAGTCCAGAACTCACCCTAGCTGAGCTCCAACAATGATCCGTACAGTCACATAAAAAGTAGATCTTCTCTACTGGGAGCAGGTACATAATCGATTTCTACTCCGTTTTTACCATATTCGTTTCCATGCGAACAAGCATCAACGTTCAACCTCTCCACTTGAGCAGGTAGCGGATATCGACAGTGACGTGCATTTTGCATGCAATCGAGATTACTGGTTTTTAATTCTTCCCGCTCACGTCAGTCTAAATTACGCTATGTATGTTTGGAGGTAATTCAGGGGTATCATAGGTGTGGATAGCTTCTTTTGGTTGGGGGTAGATAAAAGTATACTAAAGTAGATGTATCAATATTGACAAGTCATTGAGAGGGACGCATGTCATGGAATTGCAAGTGTCTCATTTGACCTTGAGCTACGCAAACTACCCAGAAATAGACTCGGGAGAGCCTCGTTGGCCGCGCATAGAGGCGAGGAACTAGTGTACTTGTACTGACACACAACACACATGTATCGGGTGCTTTTCTTATTGGTCTTGCGCGAGATTTTACTCCTATCCTCCTATGAAATGCGTAGTTCGTTGCTCTAGCATGGGACAACCCAGGTACGTGGCCAGCCAATGTTGCACGAATTATATGTCATGAATAGGGGTAGTAAGACGCACAGCTGGATACTTTAGTACATACGAGGAAACTTGCAGATCAGATCATGAATTAATTTAATAAAATTGTTCGAGTGGTGTAACCAAAGCGATGCAATTAGTATATCTGACGGATTTAACGGAGTTCGTTTGCAGTCGATATGCCCATTGACCGCAACTTTTAATAGATTCTTCCTCACGCCTCTAGACGAGCTAAAGGCCGCAATGAAAAATCAAAAGCAAAAAAGCATTCGCGTCACCTGGAAGCAGTGTAATACCAGGGACACGGTGGAAGCGATCATAGGCAAGCCTAGAGGATGCGCTTCCGCGATGCAAAAATTAGAATAATCACGATTGAGTTCAAGTAGAACTCTTTCAGAGATTAAACTGAAAAGAACAGATACTACACTTGATCTAAGCCAAAAGGCTATAGCAGAATTAGCAACGGCGTCATCGTCGGAATGGGGGTATTCGGAGGAACGTACCAAAGAGAGCTAAAGAAAAAAAGGAAGAGGAAAAAAGTTCGAGCTCAGAGTAAACGGGAATTTAATATTCTTGCTAGGGTGGAGAAAGTGGGGGGTTAGCCACAGTAAGAGCCACAGCTCCAGACCGCCCAGTCTGCCAGTGTGGAGGGACTATCCTTGTATGTGGCTTGAGCTCACCGATTCCGACTGATTACCTAACACAAAAATGTCGGTTGCCGGCGAAACAGATCGTACAAAAGTAAATATTGACCTTAATCTTGACCTACAATTTTTTGTACACTGTACTTTCATATCTTATCCACCTTCAACAATTTTCTACCTCCAACCATTTTCAATACAAGTGTTGCATCCGTATCGAACGGGATATTTCTTGCATTATAGGACGCCTTACGAGTCCAAATTTTTCAATTGTGCATCCTATTGCGTGTAACTTGCATTCACCCTTTTTTCATATAATTTTCATCCCATTCTAATTCTTCACCGCATCACCACTATGGAGCCGCCTCAAAAGGCACATGCCAACCTTTTCCAGGTTTATCTACGACTACGTCCTCCTCAAGCTGGAGCCTCCAACGCTGAACGATTTCTTTTAGTTGAGGATCCTGCGGAGGATGATGCGCCGACACATATTACATTAAACCCGCCGAACGATCGAAGACGAGCGATTGAGAAATTCGCATTTACACAAGTCTTTGAAGAAGATGCTACACAACTTGATTTATTTCAAGGCACTAGAGTCCTACCTCTAGTAGAGGGCGTATTAGCACCTCATGGAGGTGATGGCACAGATGGCCTGTTGGCCACTTTAGGAGTCACAGGCTCGGGCAAGGTATGTCCAACGAAAGCGCCTTGGAAGATGCACAAGATCTAACCTAAGTATTACCAGACACATACAATGCTTGGATCCCGAAGCCAGCGTGGCTTAACACAACTCGCTCTTGATGTTGTGTTCCGATCTATCGACTCGAACATTGTCGACTGCGATACAACGCCTACACTAGAGGCTAGCATAAGATCATCGGATGCATCCGAAGGAATGATTTATTCTGCGCCGTCTTTCCTCGAGACAGTATACAGTGATTATAATGGACCATCACGAGCTGGGTCAAGAGCTGCAACTCCAATGATTGTACGAACCCAATACAGTTTCATTCAACCCCCCTCCCTCAACAACAGCTTCCGAGTACCCGGGCGCTTTCCAGACAGTCCACAAAGCGTCCGACTTGTTAGCCCTGAAGATGACAGATCAAGAATAACACTCCTATCGACACCCCCTAGTCAGAGGGAACAAATTGTATCACCAACGAGGACACAAGTTGCGTCTGTCGAGCCAAAGTTGGCTCGCTTCCTTTCACCTAAGAAACACTATATGGCACTCACCTCTGCCGTAAGAAACAAGAACAATCTTACTAAGTCTCCAATCAAGGGCGACTTCCCCCCGCCGCCGACACCGAGGCGTCAACTACAACGACCGTCCGCACTTCCTCAAGCGCCTGACATTAGCGCGATCCGAGCATCCTGCGACCCGTCCGCCGAGTACGCGATCGTTATCTCCATGTACGAAGTATACAACGACCGAATCTTCGACCTCCTAACACCCCCGACTAAGACGAACTTTACCAAGGAGTACCGTCGACGACCGCTCCTCTTCAAACCGACCGAATTATCCCCCGACCGTAAAGTCGTAGCCGGGCTTCGAAAAGTAATATGTGGTAACCTTAGGGAGGCGTTGATGGTTCTCGAAGCTGGGCTTCACGAGAGGCGAGTCGCTGGTACTGGCAGTAACAGCGTGTCGTCGAGGAGCCATGGATTCTTCTGCGTGGAGATTAAGAAAAGGCGACGCGGTCGGCATAACGCGCGATGGGGTACTAGCACGTTAAGTATTGTTGACCTAGCAGGCAGTGAACGAGCAAGAGACGCGAAGACCCAGGGTGCGACTCTCGCAGAGGCGGGCAAGATCAATGAAAGCTTGATGTATCTGGGTCAATGCTTGCAAATGCAAAGCGATGCTAGTAACACAACAAAGGTATGCAATTTACTTCAGCGATGGCTTCAGGGATTTTGCTAACATCGAATGACACAATAGCCCAACCTGGTTCCCTTCCGCCAGTGCAAACTGACAGAGTTACTTTTCTCGAATTCATTCCCTTCAACTTCATTAGCACATTCTGCAAGTAGTAGGCGCGCTCCCCAGAAGGCGGTTATGATTGTTACCGCCGATCCATTCGGCGACTTCAATGCGACGTCCCAAATTCTACGATACAGTGCCCTAGCCCGCGAGGTTACTGTACCGCGCATTCCTTCTATCACATCTACTATACTAGCCAATGCAAATGCAAACACCACAACACATTCCCATCAGTCGGAATCGAGCGTGGGCTCTCGTAGTCCTACGAGCTCACCTGTGCTTTCTCACCACAAGCCGTACTTCCAGCCTTCGGGGACACATAGTCGAACATTCTCACCTATCTCCGATACGGAGCGAGCGACTATGGAGAATGCAGCTTTGGAGATTGCTAGGATGGCTGATATTATCGACCAACTCAACGCCGAGGTAGCGCGAGAGTCGGAGGCACGTATGGCTGCCGAAGCACACCTCATGTCCATGGAAGACCGCGTTGCGGACCTAGAGCAGGAGATCCGCGAGGAATGTTACGCGGACTTTGAACAGCGCCTTGCGTTAGAAATGGGCAGGTGGAAAGCTTCCATGTTGCTTGAGCAGGAGCGCGGTGAAGAACACTTAGATCGCAAGGTGGAGGTGCTAGCCCGTAGTGTGGGTGTGGTCACTGTTACGGCGCCGAGCTCTGAGGAAGATGATTTGGAGAACGAGGATAAGGAGAATATCCTGATTGAGAATCTGGAACAAGAGAACGAGCGCTTGAGGAGAGAGGTCGCGATACTGAAGCGCGAGTTGTCGGGCCGTGCGCCGAGTAAACGTTCGCCGCTTCAGGAGAGGGGCGACGTGCCGAGCACTAGGTCCTCTACTGCTACCGGAGCTGGAGCTGGCAATGACAGCCTCGGCAATTTGAGGAGTAGCATGGAGCAACTACGCATGAACGGCGAGGACAAGAAAGTTCTTAAGGTAGCCAGCAACGGCAGCCCAACGAAGAAAGTCCGCAAACTTCCTGCGAAAAAGTGGGAGGGTGTTGCGGCAGGCGATGACGAGTTGATGTGAATCGGAGGGCCTTATTAGGTACTTAATGATGATGCATGGCGGGTGATGACGGTGTCTGGTGCTTGATGCTTGAGAAAGAAAGAGAAAGTATATTGAAAATACCCCCTATTCTGTTCTATATGGTCGCTGGCTTTTTTTTATGGTTATCTGGTCTTTTCTACAGCTACTGGTTGCTGGCCACTTACTTAGGCTACTTTACTTTGCTATATACATTTGCTGTTTGCTTGACAACGGGTGTTTTGGGGATGTGTGATGGTGATTGTGAATGTTGAGAATGTCGTTATGAAGAGATGTCCTCCCGAATAATTGGATGAAAACGTCAGACGATGTCTTGATCAAGTTCAACTACAGGTTATCTACTTGGGCACATACGTAATCAAGATCTAGACGCGGCGTTCGATCGATTTGGTCAGCCTCCCACCGCCGGCTGATCAACCAACGCCTCTCTAGGAGACCGATCGACGGCGATTGATTACATAGGCCTAGATGGACCATTGAGGGTCGATTAATTTGATGAGAATTCCGAGTTAAAACTTTCCTATTCAGTGACGATATGTCAAAGTAAGTGACATCGCGAGTGACGTTCTTGTGGTGATCGATGCTAATTCTATGTGCTGCTATCTAGACCTTAGTTCGTTGGTTTTGCTTCCGTGTATTCTAGAATTCCTGACCTTCGAGATCAACATCAAATTCGGATGTTCCCGAAGGAGGAATGATGAAGTAATCCACATAGGGTAACATACTCATACGTAATAACCTTCGCAATAGAGCTTGGAAAACGTTGATGACAACATCCGTATGCTAACTTATGTAAGTCATCGAAACGCTTATTGGATCCGAGGAGATCGCGATACACCTCTAATTATACAGTTACTTCCTGAAGGCTCTACGAGCTATGAAGATCTGATTTTCTTGTATTCATCGTCTCTTCTGAGGTTCGTTTTGCCACGCACTTCTCTTTACCCGCTGTTGGTTATCGAATCCACTCCGGTACAATTTTCTACAGACATCGCGCAGCGTTCAAACCGATCGTCAATACGATTCTTTCATTTTCTTCTAAGAGCCTCCAAGTACACACAGTGATGGGGTCGTGAGTGTCCTGACTCTGAGGGACTGAAAGCTGTATGCAAGCTTCGTGTTTCAATCTCGGCAATCTACTTTCTCAAACTAGCATCTCTCCTGAAGAGTAAAACTCCGATATTGCGATCAATCTATTTACACCGACCATGGCTTAGAAAAACATACGCGAGGGCTTGACAGGCCCAGTTATAGCCCCTTTAAGCCACCAGTTCGGGGAGCCGCCTTAAGTTCTTCGTGTTAAGGATGCACCTCTCCCACTGATCAACAGAGCCAGACTCTGCCCAGCCCTTTTTATGGCAAATGAAGTTGTTTTCGTATTCTAAAAGTTTCGATCCGCGGCTATCAGCCCAATATGGCGCTTACGACGTATATTGAAGGTAACGTTGAGGTGCGGCGACGGACCCTTAATCTCAACAATTGTTACTGGGCCGTTATATGATATGGCGATAAATATAGGAGGCGAGCGCATAAGAAGTGACTATCCCACCGCGCTAGTAGTGAGATATGGTTTCATTTCGTAGATTAATGGCAACATCTGTAACCTGAAGTCTTCGCCACGGGTAGCCTGATCGAATATCGTATCCCTCCCATCGCTGCTTTGATAATCTTCCACTTGGCTCCTAGTTGCCTAAAGTCATTTCTTCATGTAAATTGTCGGCTTATATCGTCATGCGAGTATATCATATTTTGAGCCTAGTTACGCGCCGTCGTGCATAAGCCAAGACATTGGGACTATTAGTCTCCCTATAGAACAACTACTAATTATCTCTTACTATCTCGGGGGAGCTTGACGGGCCGCGTCCATCAATGGGCTTGCTTATACAATCTCCATCCCACCGCCGTGCGGCGAGGACCAGAAATAGATATTTCGTGTATTTTCGGCCTTGAATTACACCGGCCTTGGCAACTTGGTCACTTGTTGAAATGAAGTTTGGACGAACCACACCACACGAGGACCTGCATGAGTTTACTCCAAGGGACCCGGCATCAATTGGCTAAATATATTGGACAGAGGCAAGTGCCATAACCAGGGCCCCCTTCACGGAGCTTACCAGACTTGGCGTCCGCTACACCCTTGGATAATATGGCGCTGATATTTTCCATGACCCCAGTCTCGGCATCATGGACGTGTACGGCATTTCCAACTGTCGATCTTTTCCTCAGCAAGTTTTTCATCCAATACCATGGCGCCGTCGCGTTACACTAGATCTCGTCGAGATCCCGTGGTGCGGTGCAGTGACGGTGTGGCTAAACGCAGGGGCGTCGAAAAAGAAAAAGGACTGGCACGTTTTTTTGGGCGACCATTTCGTCTCATTTTCCTCCCATTACCAGCTTCACACTTTCACTTGAAACTCGCGTCCGTCGGTTTGGATTGCAAATTCGGAGGTCTAACGGGATTGAACACGGCATTAGCCTTACGCCATCGCCGTCGTCTAGCTTCGCTTAAGGCTCCGGTGGTGTAGTCACCCTCCGTTTCTCGTTTGAAGCTTTTCTTCTGGGGCCCCGCTTTGGTATCGTGCTGGTCTCCCACAGCGGCGGCTCGATCTCCGTGATGTGGACATAACGGGCCGCGGAGCCACCACTGAGGCATATACACCCATATACATGTTGCCACCCCTGATATCCCCCGAATCAGAACCTCTACCCCATCCCCCGCAATACCCCAGGTTACTTCGGGCCATGATCCTGAAACTTATACCATTCAATCTATATTGCGTCGGAAGTAGTGACACCCCCCAGAATTCTAATATCGACAATGTTTGGGCCTTGGCTCATAATTTTGATCGCCAACACCCACCAATTCCCCTCGTCTAATTGGTCACTCTAGCATGCAACAACCGTTTTGGACACTGACCCGTCACATTTTTTGTTCTAGAGGGCTCCCGTTTCGTACTGTTGCCCCCCAAGATTCCAGAACAACGTGGTGTAGACTTGTACTTTGCCATGGGGGCCAACCACAGCCTTCATCTTCGGAACACCCGCCGGAGCGTTACTAGCATAATTGGGATTTTAATCTAATTCAAAATGGTCATAAGGCCGAGAGAGTTAGTGATCGACTATGCCCTACTACGACTTGGCCTTGTCCAGACGGAGCCCGTTGCCGGCAATATGGGTCTACAGTAGATTGTTTATTGATAGGCGAGAACACCACCATCGTTGGTGTATATAACCGACTCGCGTCCCAGATGGCCAGATCGGATTTGTTCCTGCGCTTCACATCGCTCTCTAGGTTTAGAACTTCTCACCTTTGAAGATCAGTCCAGCATCATGTTGTCTCTCGCCGTGTCAGCCGCCCTTCTGGGGATGGCAACTGCCCAACAAGTTGGAACGCAACAGACCGAGACTCACCCCAAGCTCACCTGGAAGAAGTGCACCAGCGGTGGCTCGTGCACGCAAACCAACGCCGAGGTGACCATCGACGCCAACTGGCGATGGCTCCACACCACCGAGGGTACCGACAACTGCTACGACGGCAACGAGTGGACCTCCAAGTGCAGCTCTGCTGAGGACTGCGCCACCAAGTGCGCCATCGAGGGTGCTGAGTACGGCAAGACCTACGGTGCCTCCACGAGCGGTGACGCTCTTACCCTCAAGTTCGTCACCAAGCACGACTACGGTACCAACATCGGTTCCCGATTCTACCTCATGAACGGTGCCGACAAGTACCAGACCTTCAACCTCAAGGGTAACGAGTTCACCTTCGATGTCGATCTATCCACCGTCGACTGCGGTCTCAACGCTGCTCTTTACTTCGTCGCTATGGAGGAAGACGGTGGCAAGGCCAGCTACTCCACCAACAAGGCTGGTGCCAAGTACGGTACCGGTTACTGTGATGCCCAATGTGCCCGTGATCTCAAGTTCGTCGGTGGTAAGGCCAACGTCGAGGGATGGGAACCCTCCACCAACGACAAGAACGCCGGTGTTGGCCCGTACGGTGCCTGCTGTGCCGAAATCGATGTCTGGTAAGAACACTGCCGAATGAATCCTTCTGGAAACACTCGCTGACAATTGAATAGGGAGTCCAACTCTCACTCTTTCGCTTTCACACCTCACCCTTGCTCTGAGAACAACTACCACGTCTGCGAGAAAGATGGCTGTGGTGGTACCTACTCCGATGACCGATTCGCCGGAAAATGTGATGCCAACGGTTGTGACTACAACCCGTACCGTGTCGGTGTCACCGACTTCTACGGAAAGGGCAAGACTGTCGACACCAGCAAGAAGTTTACGTAAGTTAATTTGCATCGCCCATTATTTACTTACGGGATATGCGGCTAACATCGCTGACTAGTGTTGTTTCTCAATTCTCTGACAACAAGTTGACTCAGTTCTTCGTCCAGGATGGCAAGAAGATCGAAATCCCCGGCCCCAAGCTTGATGGCTTCCCTGCTACTAGCGACATCACACCCGACTACTGCACCGCTGAGGTTACGGCCTTTGGTGACCGTGACCGCTTCACTGAAGTTGGTGGCTGGGACAAGCTTAACGAAGCTCTTGACCTTCCCGTAGTCCTTGTCATGTCCATCTGGGATGACGTAAGCCTCACCCGACCCCCTTTTCGGTGATGCGACTTTCGCTAACTCACGCTACAGCACTACGCCAACATGCTTTGGCTCGACTCCAGCTACCCCCCTGAGAAGGCCGGTACCCCCGGTGGTGACCGTGGTGACTGCGCCCAGGACTCTGGTGTTCCCTCTGACGTCGAGTCCAGCATCCCCGACGCGTATGTATTCCCCATTACTTGGAAATTTCATAGAACATCAACTAACAGCTTCGCAGCAAGGTCGTCTGGTCCAACATCCGCTTCGGACCCATTGGCTCCACCGTTACCGTTTAAGCGACATGCTAAAAGGCAGAGGCTTTGCGGCCGTACATATTCCGCGCATGTATATATCTCTACCCTTCTTGACAGATTGTTCCCCCGAGTTAGCTCTAGAGAGAATAAAATGAATCACGTTGTCGCCATTGAAATTTCTTTTTTATAGTGCATTAGTGAACCTTTTCTTTCCTTTTTCTTCGTATGCATGTGGTGCTGATATACCTAACCGCAATTCAAGACCCCTCATTTGCATTGTTCAGCTTTGAGCATTTTGAAGATATTCACCGTGTGGACGTAGCTATAGGTACCTAGGTAACTTAATCGCCGTCGGTGGGGGTATGTAGCACGACATAACGTTCATCTTAACGACTATTGGAGGCACATTTCCTAGCTCCGAACAGCGCAACGGTGCCCATGGAGAAGGGGAGGGGGTATAAACTACCATATTTTTGTCGAACATTGAAATCCCTTTGATAGGAGCTACCTACAATACCTAGGCAATCAACGTTACAGCTACTCAGGTTCTCGCCTGAATTATGCCTCAATAAGCTGCTACGCTTAGACCTCCTCTCATCTGTACCTAGGTAGAATTCAAAACACCCCACGCGCAGCCTTCAACTGTGGTCAAATGCAAGAATGAATGTTCAATATCGTGGGTTTCCGACTTCGTCTTCCGCTACGCCGACCTATTCATATCCACACTCGTCCCTGAAGTTAACATGCACTCCGGCCGACAAGGACCGCCTGACTAAAGTCCCCGCTGATGGGTCCTCGGATAATTCGACATTGTCGATGAACCAATTATCACTCTCTCCTCATTTTGAGGTGTTACTCAAACAGGGTCTGAAGAGCAATGTGGCAACGAAGGCGGTGATGGCTTGGGACATGGATTATTCTTTCATTTCTTGGGCCCTTGCCGATAGGCTAGGACTCACGATAAAACACGTCGGTTCGAAGAATAACAAGACATACTTGACTCGGATAGAAAAGGGGCCGTCGGTCGGATTCATTAAATGTCTCATTCTAGTTGATTATTTAGGTATCACAGTCGAGGCACGGTTGCGAGTTTTCTACGGGGCTCCTGGCATTGACATCCCTATATACCTCGGTCGCGATTTTACCAAAACTGCGAATCGTACTCTTACGTCTTCATATTCGCAGCCGCAAGCATCAGTCCGAATACTACCTATGCTAACCCTATCCGACATCTTTCAATGTGTATTGAGTTGTTCTTCGTTGATCGTTTCCATGGCAATAAGGGATCAGGCCCCTTTTGTAAGGACAGACCAAATAAAGGACAACCGAATTAAATACATGTCCGACTTCTGGAGGGCGCTATTAATTGGTACACGCAAAATCTTTCCGCGGAATACCAATGCAGCTGGTCCTCCAGAGTTTACACGTCTGGCAATTGACGAGTGCACAAACTCCGTAGGATCTGATAGCAGTGTTGACAACAGTCCGGATAGCTTGAGCACGCCCGAGTCAGACGAATGGCTTCCAGAACCCATGGACGAAGATATTATTAAAGCAGGCCACCCTTTCTACCAGGCCCTTCCAACGATTACATGTAGTATATTGATAAGGTATCTTGTCTGGAGGAGTTGCCAAGGGGGTCACGAGGCGAGCGAAAATTCGTCGGGAAATGTCAATGGCCGCCAAAGTCCTTCGAGGCCGAGGAAACGACGTAGAGCGGATAACAGCAAAAATAATGACAAGCGAAATGAAGACGGGAGTCCATCGAGCAGTAGGGTTAGAACATCCGACGAGAGCAAGAGTGCGGATACGAGAGGGTTATCTCTTGCATGTCCATACTACAAACGCGACAAATTCCGGTATCATAGATGTATTCTGTTCGACACGAAAAGAATTAGCCATGTCAAGCAACACCTTCGGCGCAAACATCTCCAACGACACTATTGTCCCGTGTGCGGCCAGGTATTTGATATTCAATCAGATCAGATGGTTCATATTTGATCGCAGCTGTGCAGCAAACAGGAATTTCAAGTGCCTGATTGTCTAACACGAGACCAAGATCACGAGTTAACAACTCGAGTGGACAAGAAAATGGGACTTGAGCAACAGTGGTACAGTGTATGGGATACTGTTTTTCCTGGAGTAGAACGACCAATGTCTCCTTACATTCAGGAGCCGGTGCAAGGAATAGCCTCGAGCCTCCGGCAATTCCTGAGAGAACAAGGAGCCACAATCGTCGCGGACCATTTACAGGAAAGTGGAGAAATATCTTACGACATGCCACGGGAGGAGCGTGATCTCCAAGCGGTCCTCGACACGGCAGAATATAGGATATTAAATGACATCGTTGAGGCATTCGCAGGACATAAGATATTGTGTAACTTCTTTGAGGCATTCGCAGAAGAAAGGGTGTCCAGTACCCTTCGCTAGGAGGTTCGCAGAAAGATATTCCCGTGAAAGTCGAGGCGAAACGCCCCCAGATCCCGAGAGAACGAATGGACAGGCGGATGATCTTTCGGGTCGATACGTCGCGCTAGCGTCTTCTGAATCTAATGAAGCTGTATTATCGGACACGCTGGAACAACACGTCGAAACTAGCGCTGCTGGATCATCAATATTCGACGCTATTCAATGTCCATATTCGAACCGAAATCTTGGGGAAGCCAACAGACAGGAACATGGCGCTCAGACGTCCCCCCAGTTCGACCTCTATGAAGCCGAAATAACGGCTATATTAGATCCGCACATTGATGCTAAAGCTGATGCTGGCTCATCAATGTTTAGTACTGATCAAATACCGGATTTAAACCTGGATTTCTTCATGACCCCGAGGGTTGGCAATAATGGCACTCTTGACGATCCGCATGACTTTAACCACGGCGATTTTCTTGCTGATGATTATCCCCTCGATGCGGTTTGAACGGGTCCTGCACCGTTTACATGATGGGATGAGCAAAGTATTCTTATTCTAGCTATCGTTTTTTGTTGCTATCGCGTTACCAGGGCAACTAGCTAATTTGGGAAGGGAGGAGGTATTTCTCGGCGCCTAGTTTTGAAAAGAGAAGAGTTTACGATGAAGAGATGGTTTCGAGAACTGACTTTAGATAAGTCACGGGTTATGGTTGGACTGATTAGTATACGCATATTTTATGCGTAAGGGATGATGTTGGCGCTTGGTCTGTCGCTGCAGTGTCCGGGTGAGCGTTGCCATGAAAGCATGTTTGAAAGTAGTAGTATTGTTTATGAATACGATTGGATATGACGTGCCGCTACTACTTTCTATTATTTCATTAGAACTGCCACCTTTCGTCGTTTTCTAGGGGTAGTACTAGCGGGGTCGAATCTTAAAAGGCTTAGTTGTTGTTCTACAGGGCACCTATATATAACTCCTTCATTAAGTCCATGTACCATTCGCTGGCCCGAAATATCCAACATCAGGCATCGTAAGCCATGGTAAGCCTTGTCCATCAGCAGTGTTCTGCCAAACCGTGTTACCCCACCAATCCGGAAACTGCTTGTTAGGCCCGTACGTGACGGCAAAAAAGATAACGATGCCGCTGATAGCGAGACCTATATCCAACGCCGCCGCAAGGATATAATTGTACTTGGTCCACCAAGCATAGAACTTCTTATAGATAATCTTGTTAAAGATAAGGTTGACGATGTACCAGCTACTATAGTTGATTCCTGTAGCAGGGGGGACGTTGTAGGTGCCGACGAAGATGAGCGGCCAGTTGATCTTGCGTACGAAGTCGCTTCCCGTCCTCTTCCAGATGAAGTACGTGATTGGTGGCATGATAAGACCAATCCAGAAAAAATGCAAGAGGGGACTATAGATCTTGCCGGCGGAGTAAAGACGTGCGGGACCGACGAGACCCCATATAACCGAGCTACTGTATACGGTACGTCCCTGAGGGCAGCTGAAACCGTTTGGCTGGTCTGAGGAACAGATATCGGGTATGTTTCCTAACATCCACTATAGTACCAAGATTAGCATTGATTCTACCAATAAAACTCTGTGCGGTCGGTGGGATATAAGCAGACCAAATTTACTCACCAACGTTACTCCTACTTGAGTCAATGCGCCAAGCACGGTAGCCAAACCTTGTGCCCAAAACAGAGTGCGTGGTGCAATTTTCAAGTAATGGCCCATTTTCATATCAGCGGCGAAGTAAATTCCTTGACCTACTACATCTTGCGATAGGATCTTGAACAGGATGTTGGCGATCGGGCGGCCTTGGAACAGATACCCACCGATAAACTCGCTTAAGACGTTAAGTTGATTGGCGTTTACATTCGTCACTCCTTGAATCATTCCGCATGGTACCATGTAGATAGCGCCGATAGCAAAAGCCATCACAACACCGTACACGGGCAATCCTGTGTGGTAAACCTCGGTCATAGCAACAGCCATGCCAAAAGTGATGAGCACGATCGCCGACCACCAGTACCAGGGGGCATCCTTATAAGCTCTCATAAGCCTGGCGTGGATGTCGAGTTTTAGAGTGCCGCGAATCGCATGACTAATTTCATCCCAATGGAAGAAATAAATATGGGTCAAGACGCTGTGATTATGAATGGTGAGTGAGGCTTCCTAGAATAGATGAAGAAATTTGAAACTCACCTGGTAATGGATGCGAAAGATAAACCGTAGACAAACGCGAAAGTCGCAGGTAAGTAAGGAGGGGAATATGCCTTATACTTCTCTTGGTCGAATAAATTGTTGGTGACAACCTTTGCTGTATCGTAGAGTTGTCCGAAACGATCATACACATCCGCCGAACAAAGTGGTAAATAGGACGTATACCACGTATTCGTGAAGAAGATGGCAGGTGTGATAATCCAGAAGAAGACGGCAAACCCTACGAAAACATTGAGAGCTGCCCAATGGGGACTAAGTAGCGGGTTCGTATTATACACGACCATAGCCCAGTCGAATGTGAGCGGGAAAAGGCCCACACCGGTTACCCTAAACGGTCAGAGTCAATATAACTTCCTCGGAAGGGAGAGGAGATATATTAGTACATACATGCCAAAAATCTGATTCACGGCAAGATTGTCAGGTGCGATCCAGCATATCCACGTGAAATAACTCAAGCCAGTGAATATCAAGCCAGGGAACCAATACCAAACAAAGGCGGCGGTTCCCACAACCATAAAGAACTTTATTCGAGTTATTTTCCATCCGTTAGCTACTGCATTGGCTCGAGAATGAATTGAACTCAACAGGGCTACGTTGCTGAGAACACCGGGCCAGATCATCGTAGCACTATAGCGGGGTATTAGTAAGTGGGGGTAAGAGGGGACGACAAGCAAGACGATGGGGTAGTGAGGATAAGTATGGTAAGTCAAATTCAAGAGCGGAGTGAGAGAGAAATAAGGGGAGTGATTAAGATAGATGAAAATAAAAGTGAAACTATCGGCGGTACGTACGGTTGAACAAGCATCGACCTACAGAGGCCGGCAATACCATACCCACATAGCTGACAGCAAATGACAACCATGACGGAGAAACCGGTCGGCATATCGAATCCGTAAAATCTGGCAGCTTGAATGATGTTCGTCGAGTCTGCGGAGCCGAATCCGAACGAGACATTTGACATAATAGTGACCATAGCATGTTCTTTAATGTTGAAGTGGCGATCAGGATTAAATCGACTAATAGGCAAAGCCTTAGCGATAGCGACTCCCAATGGGAAAGCCAGCAATTCCGCAACGAGCGATACAATATGAACTCCGGGATAACGTAATGAAAAAAACTGATTTACTCCGGCTCCCAAGAAGACGAATACCTGAGGAATGTCAATTAATTGAAGGCATCCATATGAGATTGTTTTACTTACAATACCTAAGAACCAGGCTCGGAAGGTATTCACAGGCATATCTGGGTCATCCGTCTCAGGCACTACCGCTCTCACGGCGGGAAAAGGACTGGTGTCGGCATCCCAATCGCCCTCCTCTTCGGCTTGAGTGAGAACAACAGCAATATCAACTTCAAGATCGGTTAGATGTCCATTTGCGATCTCAATGTCATGGTCAGTTGTAGTAGTGTGATCGGCGGACTTCAGGTCAGTGGGCAAATCATTGCTATTCCCTTTATTCTCGACATCGTTCTCAGACACCGGCTCATTCTTTTCGGTTACCATGGCAAACAGTTAAAGCGATAAGCTGATTCGAATGAAGATACGATGAAGGGACGATCAATCATCTACCCGGGTGGTAAATCTGAAAGTGTAGACCTTGGTCGATCCAAACGGTTGGGACCATGGGTACCTAAGTAGAAACCTCGGTCCTTGCCGCTGGTACGCGTGCGCATGTTGCCGTGACGTACCTAACCTGTTCTAGGTATATATGTGAGGTATCATTATCGCGGAGGTAAAACTAGATATAGGCGATTACCTATTTGTTTTGTAGTGCTTATCCCATAGTAATGGTATGGTAATTGGGTATGGTACTTGGTTTGTGAAGGAGATAAAGAGGGGGCGGGGACATCGGCTCGTTATAGACAAGATAGGTAATTTACCCCATGCATGAGATCTCCGAGATAGCCAATCAAATGTTGCAGCATTATCTGCGCTTCTAGACTCTAATTTACTCCTGCCTTTTTCAGCTACCTAGTAAAACCTAACCAATTAGATTCCATTTATACTTCAGCTCTATTTTTCCTTTTCCATGTACCTAATCCGCTAATATAAGGTTGCCCTTCTTCCCAATCGCTCGTAGTCTAAATATTTTAAAATGTCCCAACTCTATCCTTTCTTTCTTTCTTTTGAGATTTTACTCTTCAATCCAGTCTAGGCCACGGCCACAAGCCCTCCATTGGCATGTCGTCGTAAATAATGTTGAATGAATTTGCCGGGGATAATGCCGAGTAGTTGTATACAATTCGTCCATTGGCCCCGAAAGCTTGTGCGCCGTGCACATTGGCCGCAGAGATGCGCCCCAGCCTGAAATTAGATAGGACGGCGTCCGTCTCGGCGTGAACTTGAAGGAAGGCGGTCCATCGCGGCGGATTCGACTGTGTATCGCGCAACACGTATTCACGCGTCCTTATTTTTCCACTTTCGCAAATTTGATTGACGAAGGACATATCAAAATCCGTGTAGATATCAGTTGTGTCCCCAATCTTTCCCTCGTTCCAGAGAACATTCTCTTCCGTTACATGAAAGCCATCTCGCATTAGCTCGGTGATGTCTTTGCACCTAACATTAAGCTGTGCGAACCATGGACTGTTCCTGTTCGGTCCGGCGGCGCCAAGACATAGCCATAAAGCTATTGGAGAGGTATCTGAGAAATAAAAACCTGTCTCTGGTCGTGATACGATTTGGCGGATTGCATATGTCTTTGGATAGGGGTCATCGTATGCGGGAGGTGGATCAGGATCTCCGCGTATAATCCATGGAATCCACGATGGCAGGCGCGCAAGCACCGTGATAAAACAACGTAAGTGACCTAAAGGTGTCATTTTCAATATATGTTTTCTTGTTTGTGGTATGTCGTTATTCATAACACCTAGGAGAATAGGAATACTATACTCGCACTCGACAAATTCACACAGGGGCGACCTTTTTATACCTACCCAGTTGATGTGAAGGTCCGTGTTCACGATATCGCATAGACAGACAGCTTTGACAGCAATAGCTTAACCCAAATACACATAGATCAGAATAACATCGAACCGACTGAGCTTGATGTCGCTAAGACCTTTGAACTTAGACCGTACGCTCAACATACTAGGGATTTAATATGCTGGAGTGGTTGATTGACTTAGCTACCTACTTAATTGACAGTTGTAGGTTGCCGCAGAAACTTCAAATTAGTTGAGTATACGTAAATTTTTCTTAGCTGATCCCCCCTTTCTTCCTTACCAAAAACTTATAATAATAAAAGAATGAATCGAGTTTCATAAGGTTATTATTTGAATTAGGTACGATGTCAACATCTTGTGGTGCGAATTGCCATTGAGTTGCAGACACCCAACCGAAGATCGCTTAACAGCGAATGAACGACCATTTTGACCTCAAAAATAAACAGAAAAAAGATCAAGGTCAGACATAAAATATTACGGACCCGGCATAGAATTAATCGGGTAAATAATAAAATTATTACGCAAACTATGATGCAGTTAATTGAATCAATTGATAGTGCCAAGACATGAGGCGTTTGTGGGGTGCATATGGTCTGGACGTCATAGCCGTGTAACCAGTACGTCATAGCCTCCTCATATATTAGACCCCGAAAACCAGGTACAAATACGATAGCTTCTCTGTTATAATTTGGATTTTTCAATAATTTGACTACAGGTTGAGGTTGTTTCTTAACAATACTTCGTACCAGTTATCACATGGGTTAACTACTTCATCCACAATATACCAACATGGCAGAGCAAGATCGCTACGGAGGTTGGTTTGGCGGGAACAAAGCCGACAAGGTGCAAAACAAGGTGGAGCAGGCCGTTCCCAAGGCTTCTGGTGCTGAACAAGACCGCTTCGGTGGTTGGTTTGGAGGGGATAAGGTAGATAAGGTGAAAGACGCCATACCACGAGACTTCCGCCAGGGCTCAGGAGCGGAACAAGATCGCTATGGACGATCCTTCGGCGGAGACAGGCTTGACCGGATCGGCGATAAAATTCCACAAGTTTCAGGCGCTGAACAAGATCGGTATGGTCGATGGTTCGGCGGAGACAAGCTCCCTTCCAGAGCAGATATCGAAAGGAGACTACCTAAGACGTCAGGAGCTGAGCAAGATAGATACGAGCATTGGTTTGGTGGGGATAAACTACCTACTAGAACCGACATCGAGAGACGACTCCCACATACCTCAGGGGCTGAACAAGATAGGTATGGACGGTGGTTTGGAGGGGATAAGGGATCGTCCGCTGCCGGCAAGGTGAATGAAAGCTTGCCGTCAGGTTCCGGCGCTGAGCAAGACCGTTACGGATCCCACCTCCAACCCGGACAGCCTATCAATATCAGGCTTGGTGGTACATCGTCAGCTCTTGGGCTCATCCAACATGCGATAATACCATCCTTTGGTTTCAACAGTGGCCTCAGTCTCATCGCGTACGGCATAGCTCGTTATAGCGACAGGGTTGAAGTCAAGGATCTAGTGTGGCCTGGCGCACAAGTCGCTAATGCTTGGTGGAGTGCTGTGGGAGGTCCTTTAGTATACGATGGAGTGCCTCTCTCAACCGCCTGGTCCGCTTTATCGTATAGTCAAAAATTGCTTCTCACCGGTGTTAGCGCCTGGGGAACTCGTCTTTTCTACCGCGTAGCATCACGTGCGCTCCGACGAAGCAAAGACGACCCCCGATATGAGACAGCCGATCGGAAGGACCCAGGGTTCTGGAATAAGGCGTACTTCACCAAGTTCCTGCCCGAGGCTTTCATAATAACTTTGACCTCTTTACCTTTCACGCTGCCATTCCGTGCTCCGGTCGCTAGCGCCCTTGCTTCCCCCTTCCCTGAAGCTTCGTCGATCACACACAGCCTTGCGATTTTCTTGTTTACCGCCGGCTTCGCTCTGGAGACCCTAGCTGATTCTCAACTTGAATCCCACAAACAGAAAGGGAACACCGAAGTCAACCGCGACGGTGTGTGGAGCATCGTTCGACACCCCAAGTAAGTCTTATAAGAGTCTAGAATGTGTATGACAACATGCTGACAGTTTATAGCTACCTTGGTGATATTCTATGTCATCTTTCATTCCCTCTCTTCCTCTACAGTGCCGGCCAATTGCACCCACTCGCTCTTCTTGGTCCTATTGTCAACTACGTGTTCCTCCGCTTCATCGGAGGAGACAGGGAGAACGAACAGGCCCAAGAAAAGCGCTATTCCAAGGGAAACCCTGTCAAGTTCCAGCAACTTCAGCAGTACAAGCAAACCAAGAACAGCTTCTGGCCCCGCCTAAGCGAGGCGAGCAACAAGTGGGTGTGGACTGTCGCGGCAATTGGTGCCGGCGGCGTCGCTCTCGAGCGATCGCTATCCAGTATTCTTGGATCCTAAACTTATAAAATATTAACTAAATAAATGACTATATTTTTCAATTGTCCAATAGGGAAGTATGCTACAATGTGTTGTGTGTCATTGAGCAATATTATATTGGCTACGTTTTAGGTCTAGATATTTCAGGTCTGACTGCGTCTTACCTTGCGCTCCCATACCTTCTAATGCATACGCAAATTTCGGCCGCGGTCCGATCGGCTTGGACGGCGCCGATATAAATTTGCTTACCCACAAGGAAGGATGACCACCTTTGCAAGTTATGCCCCGAAGTTGATCGGACTCCGTTCCGATCGGATATCTGATAATTGTTGGGTCGCACCACCGCAGATAGGGGGCCGTGGCCCCTCCAAGGCTGGAGTGTATTTAGAGGGTCCATGTATTGCGAGCGGGCTTTTGCAAAACTCACGTAACGCGATGATGACTAGAAACTATGAGTGGAAGGTGCATTTTACATGCTCTTCCGCCTCCTTACCACATTTCCTAGCCAACTATCATGCGCTCATACGTGAGACAACAAATGCATATTCAAGCTAAGTGTTTCCCCCTCTTCAACCATCATGGGGTATCATTAAGTAGGTAAGCTACTAGGTTGATCCTGACTCCAATCCAAAGAGTCGTGAATGTTGCAATTCTCATAGGTTAAGGCAAAATTAGGTACTCTTTTATACCAAGTCCTTGTATAACAATAAGTCTTACGGCGATTTATATGTGTACCCAACGTGATGTATGCCACCGGAGTATGGGTATTGACTTGGTGGTGTCCGACGACTATTTATTACCCATGTGCCTCTCTGTTCAGGGAGGATTATAACCATCACTCTCAAGCATCTACTACTTCGTCAAAAACAATAAAGCAGTCCTACAGCACAATTTTCTAGTCATATCCTCAATATGCGGTTCTCTCTCTGCGTATTCGCTACTCTGCTCGCCGCGGCGACTGCCATTCCTTCGGGTTTCGAGCCGGCAGCCCTTCTTGAGCCAAGGTGCCTTCCAGCAGGCGGTATGTCATATCAGCAACCTTCAATTTAATCTTGTTCCCTTTCAGCGCTGAAAACTAACGTGAACGATACTTAGCCGACTGTACAAGCGACACAAGTGCTTGTTGTAACGGCGAATGTTATGAAAACCATGGCTGTGGTTGCTACCAGTGCTACACTGGCTCCGGATAGTGTTTCGTTGAGATCTACGTTGCCCGAACCCTCGAGTACACGCTAAAAGGGGTTCATTTATGATTCAAGCATAGTGAATGACGATTGAGCTGTGGTGGGGGATCTTGCCTCTGCTTCTTATGGCTACTTCATACTAGGAGAATATAGGGGAAGGGGTATATATTAAAGTCCGATGTCTCTTTTCCATGATCATTAGGATCATACGAATAATGAATACATGATGAATTAAAGCGCAATATATATCGCCCATAGTGTAAAAATGAATGGGCTCCCATTCTCATGATTCCGGAAGCTTTGCGACCCATCCGCATAAGTGGTTAGCCAGCTGAAAACTCCAGCCGCAACTTCTGAAGACTGGAAAAAATACAGAGACTAATTGTGGATATTAAAAAGCTAAGAGGATACTATGGTGTCTAGTGGGTGAGCTGAACAGTGGCTAGCCCAGGAACGAGGAGCTACCGGGACCGCTAGAGCGAATGCGATGACTTCCATTCGATGAAAAATGGAATTTCCACGAACTAATAGGCGATACTAAGATGCTAGCGGAGATTATACCGATGGTTTAAGATCTAGAACATTGGTTAATGGCAGTCTCTTTTCATCAAGGCCGACATATATAAAGCCATCAGGGGGCGCTCGCGCATTTGCGAGGTTTTGAGATTTTCTTGTTTTGACTTCGATTATTCCCTCGATCTTAAGGAAGTTATTCGAAAAGATGAAGTCGACTCAAGTCTTGGCCTACGCCGTTATGGCGATTGCCGGCGCGGATGGTAAACCCTGCAGCAGGAAGTTGAGTAGTACCTCATCGAGCGTCGCAAATGCTTCGGCTACAGCATCTTCCGCCTCAAGCCCGTATAGCGCATCTTCGATTTACTCTGGTTTGACGGATTCCAGCTCCAGTAGTACTGCGCCTACTTCATCTACGGAGTCAATTATAAGCACGTCGAGCTTGCTGTTCACTCCCACCTCAACTGTATCTGTACCTGAGACTACTTCATCTTTCGCAACTCAGACAACCTCAAGCTCTGCTTCTTCATCAGCAATCTCCACGTCTTCTACATCGACCTCTTCGCTGTCGACTTCTTCGTTATCAACCTCTTCCACCTTGTCCACTTCCTCTTTCTCTTCGACCACCACCTCCTCATCCTCTTCTTCGTCTACGATCTCAACATCCACATCATCGACTTCGAGTGCTCCTCCTGCGATTCAAACAATCAGCACAACAGGCCTAAGCTGGATGGATGCGATTGCACTAGTCCACAACACCCACCGACGAAACCACACAGCAGATGACCTTACCTGGAGTGTCGACCTCTCTAACACAGCGGCGACATTAGCCAACACATGTATCTACCAGCACAACACGTAAGTTTTCCACCGCCGTCTCCCATCGGGAACATGCGAAACCATACTAACTCAGTCCAGCATCATCAACGGTGGCGGCTACGGTCAAGTCATCGCAGCAGGATACACCGCGGGCCAGATAACCATAATGCTAAACGAAGTCTACAAGTCGGGTCTTCAGAACTATCCCCAGCCATACGGCGTTAACAACCCCGATCTGTCCAACTTTGCAAGCTGGGGCAACTTCGCGCAGATCCTGTGGGCTGCGACCACGCAGGTCGGATGCGCGGTGCAGTACTGCCCCGGTGGTCTACAGAACGCGGCGGGCATACCGCCGTACTTTACCGTGTGCAACTACAGCCCAGCGGGTAACATAGTTGGCCAATTCAGTAATGTACACGCTCCTCTCGGGCAGCCAAGTGTGGAGTTCGCAGAGTGGGTTTACGTTCCGGAGAAATGATGAGGGATAGTAATGTTAGGGGGAGTCGCCCAGCCCCACTAAATAATGAGGGCAGGAGAAAGAAAGGGAAATACACTTTAATATTAATATTAATAAATTTCAAGTCACCCTAGATCTAGTCAACGATGCGGCTGACTCAACTATGATAAGAAGTGAAGTCTAAATTAAAGCCCATACGCATTAGGAGGCGCCGATTCGGATCGGTGTCCTCATAGGCCAAGATCTATATGCGGTAATTCTATTAATACAAAGAGAATAGAAGCGTCGAGATAATACACTCAATGAAGGAAAAAACAACTCTTTTTTTGATATGCTCCTCCTCTTCCTCAATTATTTACCCTCAGCAAAGCGCCAACCACTCCTTGAAGATCTGCACTTCCTTATTTCGGAGCTGAGTAAGGGTCTCGCTGTCAGTCGGGCTAGGTACGAAGAGATCCTCTCTGTGTGCTATGTTGCTAGTCAATATCATTCTCGACGCGCATGGGTCGGCGGAAGGCGGTAGGTAGTCTACGCTGACGGCTGAAGTGGGGTCGTATTCGGCGTTCGACCAGATAATTCGCGTGGAGTTCCGAATCTTATCGGGGGAAAGATTGTAGCGCTGGAAGATTTCTTCCTGTGTCATGGTTGTGACTCCGTACTTTTGTTGACAGCCTTTGGGTACTGCGTCTGATGAGTAAGGAGCGGCAGGGAAAATGGTTCCTTCCGGGATGTTGTTTGAAGCCACCGGAAGGTATGTGCAGTCGATGTACTCGAATGGAGCGTTTTCGATGCCTGGGACTGCGTTTTGCAGGAACTCGATACTTGTGTAGTTCATGCAAGGAGCGTTGCTTGGTCCCGGCGCGCCAAACCATAGCCAGAATGTCCGGTTAAGAACCTGAATGGGGTCTTGTTCTTCCAAGGTTGCATTGATGAATTGGTCTAGGGGATAAGGGATTGGGTTACGGCCTAGCTGAAGAATAGGATAATTGAGCTCGGCGGCGAATGAAAAAGGCTCAACCAGAGTACTGATGAGGAGGGAGTTCCCCAGAGTGTCATTGACGGAAGGGGTGGAGCAAAGGTTGAGTTCTTCCTTTAAACTCGCGATATCTGGAGAAGCGAGACGTGATTGCAAGACTTTGAAGGCGTTTTCGATCTTGTCAGCGGCCTCCTTAGAACGGTCTAGGTAAACTCGGTTGACCCATTTCCACCAGTTATATGTTTCTGGATTACTACTGTTCGAGAATGCTTTCACGGGCCCCGCACTAGCCAGAGATGCGAAAAAGGCGTCCGGGTGATTTAGTCGGAAGGCACCAGCGAGGAATCCGCCGTATGATCCACTAGCGACGATAGCTTTGCTCTGCGATGCCCCAGGGTTGGTCTTTTTGACGAACTCAATGAATGAAACCGCGTCGGCCATGACGTTGTCTAGGGTGAGGTATTGCATAGCACTCGCGGTATGAGAGTTTTCTCCGAATGGCAGGCTTTGGCCAAAGTAGCGATGCTCTAGAGACACAGCCAATCCCCCGAGTTGTCTAGCATAGTCGTACATGATAGTCGTGTTCACACAGTCGAGAGCCCAGGTCTCTTCACCCTGGAAAAACATGATGGGTCCGCCCGGCTTGTAGAAATCATCTACGATGCTGTAACGCTGCAGAAAGGTCCCGTTGGACTTTCCATAGTGGTCGATTGGTTGGGAAATCCATTTGTAGTCGCAGTCTGAGGTAGTGGGCAGGGCATAGCTAACCCCAAGGGCCGCCACGATCAAGAAAAGCAAAGAGTTCATCGTCGTGTCAAACTACGCTAAGTGGTGGTCTGTCTTGTCTGTCGAGCCCGAAAGAATATGCCAAGGAGTCGTGGGGACACCTAGACTTTTATACATCCTCTTAGTCACCTACTCCTGAAATATCACGAGTGTGCGTCGCCGTGCCCTTCTCACAGCCTTCTCACATAGGACATGTAGATCGGAGTAATTCATTAAACCTTTTGCCTATTTAAGTAACTTGGGGCGCTTGAGTGTAGACCGGTTTAACTAAAATCCATTGTCTAACCCCTAATAAGTAACGAGTCGGTTATGGCGGAATCCCATCAGAAACCTGTGGAGGCGCAATCGGGCGTAACCCCGGACTTGCGGCTGGAAGTGCCGGGGAGGCATGTGACCAATAGCATTGCGCCATCTTGCGAAGAATGTCCCATTCCGGTAAGCAACGGTGGGGCTAGGCATACGGTGTCCCTGACGGGGTATCTGACTATAGCAATCAGCCCTATGTGATGGATACTATGCAACAAGATATCACGGGGTCAACATAGCTATTTGGGAATGCAACAGAGATCTCTTCATTACGTGGTAGTAATCTTATTAAGTATTATTAGAACCATTTGAAATTAGCTTCGTATGCGGTTTTGAAAGGATCGAAGTTATCGCATAATAAATTGCCGTTCCTAGTAGAGGTCTTACCCCTATTACAAAAGGGAATGTACGGCGTATGATCGTACCTGCCTACCGGCGAATCTCCTAGTTCATACCTCCAAGTGACCACACTCCGGAATCCGGGCTCCACATATCGATTATCGGAGCCGCTACACAGGGGAAGTACTACTCGTCCCGGTTCGTAACGCACCTTTCTCTGCGTCCAATCGGACAATAGCCCCGACATAAAAGAATAAACCAATAGGGATTGAAGAATGGTTGTGGCATATCATAATTTGACAACACCCTTACTTGGCGACCTTACCCTACCTAAGTACCTAGGTAGGTAGGTAGGTTCACTGTGGCTAATTCACCTGGGCGGTTGCCTAACATGCATACCTACCTACCTACCTAGGTACCTGCTTGGGTAGTTATAGATTTCTACTATCTATAAACGACACCAAGTCCAAATCCTATCAGCCATAATGTTATTCGGGTCCACCTAACACTTGATAGGGACCAGAAAAATGTCGAACCAAACGCTATCTAAGCCAGCCGGGTCTATTTGCAAGATGCGTCGTATACAATCTGTCGTGGTGTTCGACTTTAGTACACCAAGACCTGGCAGCAGCAGCTTAAACCTGATCAGCCGCATTCAACGCTTAAGAACGCGACCTATCTTTTATCAACCACACGGAAACGACTTCATGTATCGTCTTTAGAGGGATAGATATGCCCATCACCTTCGTTTTCGAGATTGTTACATACTTCACGCATCCAGATCCGCCACCAAGGTCTATTAACACCGAAGAACCGCCAAATGCTATTAGGCGCGACGTTCCTCTTTCTTCATATCTAGGTATGATTCCTTTCGCCTAGACCTATACTTTGTCCCATCTACCGCCTAGGTAGTGGTTGATACCTACATGCATCGCATGTTATCGAGCCGAGTGCGAATGTTTAGGATAGGCTACTGGGACCCCCTTCATAAAGCATAACAATATCAACCTACTGATAGATGGCCCGGTTGAGAGTTGACCAGGACGATGATCCGAACATCGAGTATTATCATGGACTTCCGTATCTATTCCGAGACAAAGATTGGCGCGCGGGTGGTCAGATGCGCGTTGTTCGCTTTCATCCGACTAGTCAACAACAATATACGGTATTGAGTCAAGGTTCGGATCGGCTTAGGATTCCTACTCCAACCTATATATATAGCTTGAGGTTCAATCGATTAATATGAAACTGATGGTCATGATCCGACCTTAGTTGGCACGAAAAGCGTCGGAGCATCGCTTTCAAAACCAGAAAATGAGGCAAATAAACCCTGGCGGGAGGCGGTAAAGTGTGGTTGGGTTTCTTGAGAGGTTGGTTGACTAAGTGATCGCGTCCTATTGCTGGTACGTGTTGCCTCAGAAACAGCGGGTTTTCATAATAGATCCACTGACAACGATTATGAAGAATAATTTTAAAGCCGATTAAGACCACGTCTAATTGCAATTGAAACCACTCAAGTTATCTCGTGTCCCTTTTGGTAAGGTCACATATTTTGAAAAGCGAATATTGGGGGAATCCCAAATTTTAAGTCTTGTGCAAGCATCGGGCTCGGCTCACGAGCGCCTTAATACTTAACATATTGAGAAACCGGTTCGGATTTCAAGCGCGATTAAGCCCTAAATAACGGTCTGTATTGGCGGTCTAGATCCCCATTTTAAGAACTGTGCGCGTACACGTGTATTAGGCGGGCGTGCGTTTCGTATCGTCCCCATTTCGTTGGGCTGACGACGAATGAGAGGTGTGGTTGTGGGGTGAACACCAACGTGGCCGCGCCGCAAAAAAATCACCGCAACTCCCATGGCCAACTTGAATGCAAAGTAATCTCCCATCCTTTGACGTAGATATAACACATACGAACAGGGCTGGCAATGCTGTGAAGTTCCCATTTCTTCCCTGCCTCTCAGCAACGAGAAGAAATGGTTTATTGCAGAAAGGAGGCCACGTGGAGCCCAGATTCTTGTATCGGGTACGGATAATTCTACCCTATTCGTGCTGCCTCCAAAACTGAATATAATGTCGGCCGGTTATTCTCGCTGTTGAGATCCTCCCATGGCGGACCTCCGATCAATTGTTTATGGTAATCGAGTATATTTGAACTGTGACCTTTTTGGCTTCATAGACGACATCTAAAACTTATTAGTTTATGCTTCGGATGGAGCTTTGAACTATAAAGTGAGAGCCTCAGCTGTGAAGAACCTCCCTAAATCACTTTTCGAGCAAGAAATACTTCTTGCATCCCAAACCCTAGTCAACCTCACACCACCGATACTGGAGGTTAACCAGTTATTGCTCGAAAAAATGGCGCTCTACGTTGTCCCAGACCCCATAACGACAGGATTGGCTTTCTCGAATGGCCACGATATAGCTCCATACCGCCAAACCCACTTTCCAGCTAAGAAGTCGATGGGATCTAAGCCCACGAGGCCGGTACCGATCTTGCAAGAAGCGGAATTGTCTGCTATCCGAGCAGAAAAACGGGTGCAAGCCTTCTGGCAGAGGGTGAGGTACCTTGGGCCTCGCCCACCTATGCCAACCACACACCGTACTGTGTATCTTACAACGGCAGAGGAGAACCCAACATGGCTTCAGAACCGGCAAGCCAATATGAGAAACAGCCACTTACACCAGCTCCCTGACGAGTGCCTCCTACGGATCCGTGACTACCTGGATGGCCCCACAAGACAAGTTGCTAGACGCACGAGCAGCTTGTTCCTGAGACTCATTGCGGACCTAGATCTCGTCCAACACATGAATCAGAAGGATACGAAGTCACCACACTTTACCCTACCACTACCATGGATGTTCAACAGGGGTCGACAGATCTGGCCTCTTCATGGTACCTGCATGGAAAGGATTAGCCAGAGCAAGCTCGTGACGCCATTGTTAAGCCGTGACACTGGTCGACTTTGTATTCCCTGTCGTGCATGGAAGGATACGGAACTCCTTGACTACATGCTCAACTGGCTCAAAAAACCCACATGGTGCTCGGGCTGCAAGAAGAACCACCCCCTTATTTTCTTCTCAGCGGCCCAACGCGCTACTTCGAGCACAAAACGTATATGTATCGGGCGCGAAGCAAGCATCAAACTATGCTCTCACGAAGCATTGACATGGGCCGATCTCGAGAAAGCATCGGCCAAATTCGGAGGATTAAAGGGCGACGAGAGAATACGTATAGAGAAAAAGTGCATGCACCGTTCGCACAGGAGTACAAGAAATAAAGCTGGTAGCTTGGATCTACCCGAAATCGCGATTTCGAGTACGAGGATCATAAGTCTGCATTGGAGAAGTCCGGCATTCGATTTAGACCCCACGGTTCCGGTGACAAAAGACCAGATACGCAATTATCTCGCGTCGCGGAAATCCATATTTGAGCATGCGCTATGCCCGCATGTGAAGTTGGATGATGGACAATTACTGCTACCATTTGAGCAGAATCAATGCGCCTGTTTTGATGGTCCACAAGCCGTCGGACATGTTCCGGCTCACCTACACCGACATAAATCGTGGGAGAAATGTTGTCGTTGTCGCGCTGCAAATAAGCCGCATCTTCAGGGACAATTTCTGCCTCCGGAAACAGGAGCTGGGAACACGTTATACTGGGGTGATTCGCTTTGCCACACGTATGAGTGCTCGGAATGTCGGGCGGAGTATTCGTGGTTTAGGGATGACACGTGTCGCGTGTATTTACGGGCGCATAGACATCCTTTCGGAAGAACTCCGACGAGTAAAACTTGGCTTACACATCTTGATCCCGAGTCTTGGGGAATAACAGAGGATGAAAAATTGAAGCATGTGGTTTGGTGTCCGGATTCAAAATGCGCAACGAGATCGCGCTGGAGTCGATTGTTGCGTTTGTTGCTTGCAAATGCCGATGCACTTTAGGGCTATATGTATGATAAATTGGTATGGGACTTAGAATATACCCTTCTATAGGGCTTGTGAATATTGAAGAAGCTCTGGAGGACACTGCGGACGCTGTGGGCGTTAGGTCCAGAGGCGTAAGATGCGCTATACACAACAAATACAGGCGATCTTTCTCAAAATTGATAGCTTTAACAGGTACCTAGCTAGGTGCCTAGGCCCTTTCTATTGCTTTTTCCCATGCCCTGTCATACTAACCTCCAGAATCCGATCCTGTAACCCCTCCCCTTCCACAAAAACCATTCTGATGCCCGCCTTTTCCAATCTGTGCTGACCGGAATTCACGACTTTGAATGTGTCCGGCTCCCTGATTCCAACGTAGATTGTCTTTATAGCGCCACTCAGACCTAGAATCCTCTCCACACACGGCTTATTCCCAGTCAATCTACTGTTGCAAGGCTCCATGGTGGTGTACAGAACAGTGTTTGTCGGTAAGACGTCGCCGATGCGCGTTTCTTCGACACCATGTTGATCAGCGATCTTGACGAAGCAGCAGTGTTCGGCGTGGACCCGACCCGGGTCCCCGGGTCTGTCACTAGGTAGTTCTAGTGAATATCCCGTCGAAAGAATCTTGCCAGTGTCTTCATCAACTAGACATGCGCCCACACAGAATTTGTCAGGTCCGGATGGCGCTCGTCGTGCTGCATCGAGAGCATGTTCCATGAATGCCTTATGATCGCCTGGGGCAATAGTGGGGTAAGCCTCAGCTACGGCCATGTCAGACGAACTGTACAACAAGGACCTATGGGTCAAAGTAGGTAGATATCTTGGGATTTCGTAGGTGTAGATTGGGTGCTTAGATCATAACTTGAAAATAGATGAAACTAGTTAGCTGACTTTGAATAGGATTAAGAAAGACCTTTTTCGGAGTAGCTCCGTTGATTTATTCAGAGGATGGTGCACTTGTGATACCCCAAAGCCTGCATACGACCTGATTTCGGAGCTCAGTTCCTGCTGGTGTGACACATATCGGATCGATCCGATACTACATATGGTAGATACGCAAGCGCCACTCAGGGCACATGACCGAACCCTTCAAAAAGACCTCTGTCGATAATCTAACCTGCTGTAGCCCTATTCTACAGGTAACCTTTAGTGCATTATCAGCGCCCAAAATACCGATAACAGCACCCGTAAAAAGGTCTATCACTACCTAGATCTGACTCTACTACACAAACTACGCTTCTCCATATTGTATCTTAAGGCACGTCAATATATGAACTCTAGTGTATGAGAGGGGTTAGCGAATGGTAATATTTTACACATATTGGTTTGGGGTGTGAATATGGGATATTTTTAGGCGATAAAATGAACCCACACCTCACCCAGGGGTTATTCACAGCAAGTAAGTGGTTACCACAGCTCTGGGTCGGTCCGCTGCATAAGCGCTGTTTTAGCGGTAAATGATGCATTTCAGGTACCCTCTATTCTTTTTATACCCCTGGAGCTCGCGATAAAATCCCACTAGAAATATCACCCCAAAGACTCATTACAGCCAAATCGCCCGAATCAAAAGATGGATCGGAACAGTTCCGACGGCATAAATCCCGATCGACGGGACACCAAAATCGACCCCGCAGTGCTCGCGAGTAAGCCAGATATTTCCTACTATTTTATTATATCGCTAATGAACGTATACTTCAGAATTACCGGAAGACGCGACAGTACTATCTACTGAGGATCATGGAACCAGCTTCTGGGCAATCACCAAACGAATCAATATTAGACTTAATGATGGGTCTCAGGCATCCTTCTTTATGAAGGCTCTTTCGGGAGACACTGGGAAGAAAATGGTGGAGAGCGAGTACGAATCAATGAAAGCCATCTACGAAATCCTACCAACTTTCGCTCCTAAGCCAATCGCCCATGGGACGTACCAGACAGCCAAAGACACCCATTTCTTCTTATGTGAATTCTGTGAGATGCTCGGCGATATGCCGAATCCACATAAATTTTCCATGCGCCTCGCAGAGCTACATCAAAAGAGCGAATCCCCAACGAGAAAATTCGGCTTCCATATGCCAACTTACAGCGGAAATCTACCACAATGGACGGAATGGGAGGACAGTTGGGAGGCTCTCTTCGCGAAGAATCTTCGCATGGCTCTTGATCTTGAGATCAAAGTTAGGGGATACGATCCAGAATTCGATGTTTTTGTCCCAGCCATCTTCGACAGGGTCATCCCCCGCCTACTCCGCCCTCTCGAAAGCGATGGCCGCTCCATAAAGCCGTCGCTAGTCCATGGAGACTTGTGGTACGCCAATTCCGGGATCGACGTGAACACGGACAATCCCCTCATTTTCGACGCATGCTGCTTTTACGCCCACAACGAGTGTAAGCACATCATTAACCTGGAAGCATCCGAATTACGCTAACCTTTTTACGCGCTACAGACGAATTCGGCCAATGGCGCCCAACCTGTAATAAGTTCGGAGTTGAGTATCTTGAAGCCTACCATAATTACGTGAAGATATCAGCTCCAGAGGAGGATTATGACGGCCGCTTAGATCTCTACAAGTTGTGTGTTAACCCACCCGAGGAAAATATTAGGAATTTAAGGAAACTAACGAGTAGCTAGGAGATTAAATACGCATGTGTCAGCCCTATTTCCTCAAAATCTTACTTTAAGGGAACAGTGAGTCCCCCTTTGTAATCGATGTCGAGGAACAATATCTAAGCACTGACGATCAATAGGATGCTAGGTGATATGAAAGATCTGGTCCAGAGATACACTTAACCACTTAGATGTGTAGCTTAGGTATAGCCACCTAGGTAAATGGAAAGTAATATTCTATCATTTCGTCAGCGTATCGTCCCATTCTTCAATAATAAACCCCATCAATAATTAAATGGTAGAATATGTTCTCATTGTGCGGCTATCTAACGAGCGTAATGTTGCCTAACTAAACAATCTACAGAAACCATAAACCATCGCAATTCAAGAACAAGAGCCCCAAGGGCTATTCCTCATGCCGCCACCAACTCCTCAGATGTAGAACATTCCATCTTTGAGATTTTCGTGGACTGTGAGACCATTACTTCCGGGAATGGCATCGCCCGTCTCCTGAGTAGCAGCCCTATTTTTGTAATAGTGTTTACCCCTCTCACAAACGAGATCCGCATAGTATGCTGGTGTGCAAACGCCAACGGCGTTGGTTGTGCGGCCGAATAAGTAGCACAAGCCCAAAGTGAAAAGCTCAAGTTGATTGGCTGCGTTCTGCTTGTGCAATTCCCGAAATATTTGGTCGTATACAACAAAATAATGAGTTGGGCGAGCTACACCCTTAAATGGGTTGTGAGGCTGCAAGAAGAAATCCCAAGTGACGGCTTCAGTCACCCCGCGATCAACGACTGTCCCTGGCGCTGGATTCCCCGTGTTATTTTTCTTACCCTTCTCCTCCTCCTTATTTACGAAGAATCGGGTGTGATGCCGTTTGGCAACGATAATAATGGTGATATTTGGCGTTTCCCCATTCCTGTAAATACTCTTACAGGCCTCCCTCAGTTGTTCAAGTTCCTTCTTGAGAACCTGGCTGTATTGGCCTTCAGAGACACCATCGCGGTAAACGAGTATGTTCCGTGGGTATTTATTATTATTCTTATTTGCCCATAGTCTGAGCCGAGTCGTGAACATCTCCTGTAGGTGTGACACCATCTCCTGACGGGCCTCAACTTGGCGTCGTAGAACAGCAGGCCATTGCGCAAGTCGCGGATCGCAGCTTGCTACCATCCCCGCAATGCTAGAATCCCCATGGACCGGTGAATGCGTAACATCAATTCCTACGATCATCGTCTCCTCTAGGTCGATAATCTGGCCTAGATTTGGGCTCTGAACTGTTTGATTCCCGTACCCAAATTTCAAGTTGAGTTTCAGAGCGAGGTTCCCAGCGAGACTCGGAGTATTCTTCTTATTATCCGACAACACGTTCGCGAGGATGCAGACCGTCTTGACTCCAATTTCGATATCGGCCAGCCTCTTGACAATATGGTATGTCCCACTTTTGTCCGGCAGGACTACCAAGAAGAAGTCGAAATTATTCATGGCATCTTGAAAAAACGCCCTGAGTCTGGTTTCGAGCGTACCATCCGCGTTGATGAAATGTGCCTGGTTGTCCCCTGTGATAGTGATCCCCATTTTCCCCAAATTTTCCCGGAGCCTACCTAGATCGTAGCCCAAATTTTTTGACGACTGGATTATAGCTACACATTTCCACTTCCAGCACGCAGATTTGCCTCCAGCATTCAGTTTCTGCCCTCTCAGATTCCATTTGTAATTGTTTTGAGGTTCGCCACTATAATATTTAACGGTCGGTTGGCCCAAGACACGACCGCTAACAGTGATTAATTTTTTGTCAGGGACACTAAAACCAAATGCTTTCTAGTACTTTTGTGAGAAATGGTCATTTTTTCCATGGACAACTTGACTTACCATTTTATCATTAGCCTTGACGAAGCTAAGCGCCTCCAAGGCATTCGAATAGATATCGGTCGCGTTTATCAGTGGATCTCTAGTCGCTACCTCGACCATTCTTGCATGCTGCCAATGAGTCAGATTCTTTGCCCTCTGTCCAGCCACAACCGTGCAATGTTCAGGCGGTAAATAGACCGGATCTTGGCGTGTGCCAACATTAATTACTGGATAAATATCATTCTGGACAGGCTTCCCGATTTCTAGTAATATTAGTATCTGTGTAACCCTAGGGAGTTATGCTGTTATTATAGCGAAAAAAAGATATACCTTTAAAGTGATCGTAGACACTGATATATTCCCATGTACTCTTTCCGCCCTCTTTAGGCTTCTTTTCACGATAGAACTCCACCTCATGAGCCAGAGCTCCGTATTTCAATACCCTAGGCGGATTTTCGATCTTCTCAGTGCTACCTTCTTGGGTGCCGTCCTTTGTCGAAGCGAGGTCAAAGATGGTTTTGACTCGTTTTCGAATCTTATACTCGATTTTGACTCTCCCGAGATGTTTGCCCAGCGCTGTAAATTCCCATTCCTTCTTTTGTTCCCAAAAATCGTCCATCAATCTGGTGAGTTCCCCCTCGCGGCTGTCATGAGTCAGTAATGGCTTTCTGATAATATGCTCGAGGGTACTATTTGTGTCGTGGAAACACAAATTCTCAATTCCAAAGCACCGAAATTTCTGTAAAGGTAACTCTAGCTGTGCAGGTACTTACTAAAATGGCCCCCAAGCAACATTTATATTTGCAAGAAGTCTCCTAGCCCCAAACCGCATGCTTGTGTAATAGCCATTCATAGCTAACAGCCCTTTGAAGACACTACGTACACGGTTTCTATCGTCGAGTGGGAAGGCTTTGCTAGACCCAACAATGTAATGTTTTTCAGAAATCTTGGGGTGAAAATTCAAGAAGATATTCAGCGTCTGAATGACAAGGTCCTTTGGGTACGTCTGCTGAGGATTCTTCAAGTAGTCGACCAGTTCTGAAATTGGGAATACCTTCTCTAGTTTGAGCTTTATCTGGTATGTCTGCGATTTTCCTGATGTGACAGCTTCACCCTCTTTATAATAGACGACATCGTAAGTCTTCTCGTCCTCGATTTCCTTGAGCGAGATGAGAATATCGGCGAAATCAGTAACGGCTGTAGACTCTTTGACGGTGTCGAGAAGTAGTCTAATAGTGCGGAAGAGCTTTCTACCAGTTGGTTTATTCTTCGGGTCACCGAAGCTGATACTATATCGGTATATCGTTACCTTAGGATCAGCCTTAAGCTCCACGTAGTTGGCCCAAAGGTTCACCGGCGTTCCCAAAGTGCCAAAACCCGGCCTTCCGGGCATACGAGGCTCGCCGTTGGTCTGCTTCTGTATACTAGCCTGGAGTTCATTTTCGGCTTTTGTAACCTCTTTGGACGGACTGGTAGGCTCCTTTCTATATGATGCCGCGTCAGAGACTGGTACAATGAATACGATGTGAAAGGACAGGCTTTACTTACTTAAATATCTCTGCTATCTCTCCCTTGTTTGTAGATGCCTGTCTGTAGCCTCCACGACCGCCTCTGTTTCCCTGTTCTCGGTGCGAGCTTTGATGCCCGCCATGACCTTGGTACGATATTTGACTTTGAGAGTGGCCCTGGTATCGACCTCGACCTTGGCCTTGGCCTTGACTCCAGTTCTGGCCTTTTCCTTTGCCCTTATCTCTAGGCGGCATGGCTACGGTAATATATGTTCTCGATCCAAAGTGTGTCAGTAGGAGTAAGGGTAGTTCCTAGTTGCAGTTCAATGTGGGCCTCGATACTAAACGGGTGAAAGGTAGAATGTTGAAGAAAGATAGTATGTAAGAAACTGTATTCAATGTATACCGTTAAGATCTCCTTCCGCGTAACCTTGTCGTCTATCAGGAGTAGTATCTCGGTAGATAATTAACAAGCTAAGAGTAGTCGTATAAAGAAAACTTTGATACGACTCCCGGATAAGATTTGTTCGGGAAAACGTTGTTTTGGAGGAAGAGAGCCTGGAGGAATGGGATATGTTATATAAAAAGAGCCACAAGGCCTGTGTGCATTGACCCGTATGTAGAATTTCTCAGCTATTCGGCTACGTTTTACGATTGTGAGTTATATCACGTTTGTTCAATCATAGGAACGTCGTGTTGTTATAGATTTCACCTTAGTTTCTACACAAACGCCCACTTCAAGGACCCAACCAAAGCCGGTTGGTTACACGTGAGCTGTAATTTAGATATAGGTGTATAAATCCTGATCCAAGGTTTATTTTGCTACAGACAGGAAAACATATCAAAAAATACAACACATGATGATACAACATTTCTGTGATTGCAAATTGTTTTAAAAATGTAACAAAGTCTTCGGAGTAATTAAGAAAGCCGTTCCTTTGTCCTAAAGCTGGAAACCACACTATGAGTTAGCAAAGGATACACCAACTGATCGTGTCTCTACAAGTTGTCATTTTAGTATGTCTGAATACTTGTCAATCCGTCAAGGTTGTTTATTTTGGACAGATAGTGGTCTTGTTGGCTTGATGGTGATTCGCCTAACATGCCAAAGCTCATAATCATTGTCCTGAACTTGTGGAATACTTCTCGCCGGTTGCTAAATAATACACTGGGGCCCATGGATCCACCAGGCAAAATATATGACCGGTCTCTGACTTTCGTCTATCTTAACTGACACGGTTAGAGAGAAATTGACGTCCGTAGTACTATTCGCCTAAGTGCCTAAGTACCTAGGTCATAGAAGCACGCTGGAGGGACGTAAGCGCACGTGCCAACATGACCCTTTTAGGAAGGTAGTAGGACACACGATCTTGGCTTGTACGTACCTAGATATCGTCAAACCCTGGGTCTAGACGCCTGGAGTCGGATACGAGAATAGCTTAGCTACGAACAGATAGGTGGAAATAGCGGTCCTGGGTTAGATAAGTTCATCAAAAGAGAATACCGAACCTGACCTGTAAACAGAATTATTCCATGTAAGGTGTATTCCGACTCTCTGGATTGGAGGGTAATATGCATGCATGCAGGTTCATTTCAGCTGAGGCGGGCTCTTTCAGCGTCAATTTTCTTTCCCTTATCTAGGTCATTTCAAGCTGACCAGTCGGCTGCTGTTCTCTATAATCTCACGGTGAGAAACGTATCATGGCAGGGTGGCGCCGTACTACTTGTCTCGTAAAAGATTAATTCACTACCTCGGTACGTCCCGTGTTGAACCTATAATTATAATAGGTTTGAAATACGTTAGAATAATGTTAACGAGCAAAACGCAAGGGGCAGATAAGTCCATAAGTTGAAAAAAAGCTGATGCTGGCAGAGGGGCACCGAAGTTTTTATTTCCAATTTAGGAAGATGGCGGTCGGGATTACCGCTCTTGAAGTATTTTCAAGTACTTGTGATGTCTCATAATCGCTGACCTCATTCAATGTGGCCAATGATGGATCGTAAGTGGCACCAACTACACGGTTGCCTCCCCGTATCCCCAGATTAACCTTGTCAATTACTTTTATTGTGATGTACTTTAAAGCGCCGACTCCCATAAACAGAGGGATTCCCTTGAAGCTATTCGCACAACAGAGATTTTCTATTTACTTAGTTAGCAATAGTGGTGATACCTAACAATGGCAAATGTTGCGTGAGTAAGTGAAATTGGTATCTGAGCATCACGTTCGGTGCTTTACCCGGGTCATTATATACAGGCCCAATACTTATCGGTTACAAAAACTTGCCCCAATAAACAAAAGCAGCATAGTTACGCCTATCTCGTTGGTATTACTTGTTGTCGGATGCGCCTATCAGTACGTACCAGGGCGAAAAAAGGAAGGGCTTGGACGAGAAGAAAAAAGAACAAGGGGCAATCCTAGTTTATCCCCGGCTTCTCTACTAATAACGGCGAAAAGAAGGTTACATCAGACTTCCCGTTATCAAGACCGTAGTGTCCAATCAGAGGATCGTCCTGAATGCTTGGCGTAGACTAAGTGGAGGAGATGGTCCTCGGTGCCCCGTTCCTTTGGGAATGCCGGTCTCCAATTACCTACCTCATGTACCTAATCTTTGATGATTCTGATGTTTCCCTTATCGTCACCACGGTCACAGGTATGAAGGCACTGTACATCATGAACTGTTGTACCTTCAAATACGCAGAAGCCTTCCTCATAAATTCAGCAATATCTGCTTTAAGAACACCTTATCTAAGTGGCCCTGAATCTGTATTTGTGACACTACATACCTAGGTAGATAGGGTCTAGCTGATCATGATCGTTGATGAATTATTCACAACCCATCGAATCAGGATTCTTGTGTATCACTTACGCACTACGTACCTCCTAGCGGATGGATTCATGGGGCATCCTCTATCAGCAAACCCCCCGTTTGCTTTCTCTGATTAGATAGATACAGTCCTCTATCCTAGCAATAGGTAATCTGGGTAGGGTGGCCTTCCCCTTCTAGAAGACCTCCATAGCTCTAGCGTCTACCGGGTTCATCTAGACCACGCGATCGCCGCCTGTGGTCGATTCGCCCACCGAGGCTGACTTTGGGAAAGTATTAAAATTCCCAAGCTTTCCAATCTGGAGAAGGATACACCCGATCGCTTGATGTCCTGGTTCGCGTCTCACCAACAATAAAACCTCTCTTTTTCCCATTCCCTTCCCCTTCGTTTTTTTCTTTCCTCGCTCGTCCCGTCAAGCTCGCAGGACCGGTTTCCCCACACTCGGTTAGGACGAGGATTATTTCTCCGAGTCAAGTCCGTTTAAAACTAACTAGGAGAGGCGGATAAGGAAGAAAAAAATTTGCCAAGGGAAGCTCTCAGATCCGAATTTCAATTCGATGAGTTCGCCTGAGTTCAAGGGCCTTGCCGGCCACAATTCTTCCTTTCAAGAAGGCGTAACTCCTAACCCCGACCCCGCCTTAGACATCGCGAACGAACACCGTCCCGAGCACTTGCACCACGGTGGACTTGCAGCGAATCCTGCCAATCATCCCGATGAGGTCGTTTACTCAAACACCTCGCCGGATAAGAGTTTAGAGAAACCACGCGATTACGCGACTGCCGAGAAAGCGGTTACCGATGAGGATAGTGGAAATGTCGGCCACATTCGCGGCAATGGGGATGACGAGGAGCAAAGTTTCCTTGCTTACTGGTACCAGAGATATAGGGCTTACGTTCATCTGACCATATGGCTCGTCTTCACGGCGTAAGTCTCTGCCGCGGCTCTTAGTGTGAAAATATAATCAATCACCGTCGCGTGTAAAGTCGCGGATGCTGACAAACAGGCTTGTTCAGATGGTGGATTTACGGCCTCGTTCGTTTCCGGAATGAGAAGAATTGGTTGATTCCGTTCTTGCTGTATCTTGCGATAACGCTTCGCATCATATTCCTCTGGATCCCGGTTAAATATGCCATGATGCCTGTGAAATTCGTCTGGCGACACACAGCTTCGAGAGGATATGAGCTCACACCGAAGAAATTGCGCAAGCCGATTGCCGCCACTGTTACGGTCGCAGTGTTCTTGATTGGCACCATGGTACCAGCGGAAACTGGCGAAAATACTCGTGCGCGCCGAGCGCAAGCTCTATTCGGGCTTGTCGTGATGATTGCTGTCTTGACAGCAACATCCAGAAGCTGGAGGAAGATCCAATGGCACACCGTTATCGGTAAGCAAACATCACATTCAAACCTGTTTTCGTGTGCATGAATTAACTTTTGTCCCCTAAAGCTGGAATGCTTACCCAATTCGTCGTTGCTGTCTTCGTCTTGAGAACGCAAGCTGGATACGACATCTTCAATTTCATATCGACGTTGGCGAGTACCTTGCTCAGCTTCGCCAAAGATGGTGTCGAGTTTCTGACTACTGAAGACGTGTCTAATTTGAAATGGTTCTTGATTACGGTCGTGCCGCCCATTATCTTCTTCGTGGCTCTTGTTGCGCTTCTGTACCACGTTGGTCTCATTCAATGGTTCATCGGCAAAGTCGCCGTTTTCTTCTTCTGGAGTCTGCGCGTTTCGGGTGCTGAAGCTGTCGTGGCAGCCGCGACACCTTTCATCGGACAGGGTGAGTCGGCTATGTTGGTCCGACCGTTTGTGCCGCACATGACGCTGGCGGAACTTCACCAGATCATGACGTGTGGTTTTGCGACAATTGCTGGTTCCGTGCTAGTCGCGTACGTCGGACTTGGTCTGAATCCTCAGGCTTTAGTTTCTTCGTGCATCATGTCTATCCCGGCGTCCCTTGCTGTGTCCAAGATGCGATATCCCGAGACGGAGGAGACGTTGACATCCGGTCGCGTTGTCATTCCGGCAGACCAAGAGCACAGAGCCGCTAACTCATTAGAAGCATTCGCTAATGGCGCCTGGCTCGGCTTGAAGATCGCAGGCATGATCATCGCCACACTTCTTTGCATTATCGCATTTGTCGCTTTGATTAACGGGCTTCTCACCTGGTGGGGTGGTTACTGGGGCATCGAGAAGTTAACCATTCAGTTCATCCTTGGTTACATATTCTACCCCATTTCATGGCTGCTCGGTGTGCCTAACGCGGATCTCCTATATGTCGGGGAACTTATCGGAACGAAGATCATCGTTAATGAGTATGCCGCATTCAACGCTCTTAAGACCGACCCCCGATACTCTGGATTGAGCCTACGAGCTCAGCTTATTGCTACATATGCTTGTTGCGTAAGTCATAATATCCCATACCTCTATGTTAATGTCTCGCGATGATTTGACACGTATTTAGGGCTTCGGCAACATCGGCTCTCTCGGAACGCAAATCGGTGTTTTGGCTCAGATCGCCCCCGGTCGTGCTGGTGATGTATCCAAAGTTGCTCTTTCGGCGTTGGTTTCTGGTGTTATCTCGACCTTAACGTCCGCGAGCGTTGCTGGTATGCTATACACCGACGGAGTAGGTGATTTTATTACTGCGTCGAGTTAATGATCCGGGGTATTGGGATAGCCGTAAGATGCGTATGTAGAAAAAATTTATATATAATGAAAATGAACATTAAATAAATACTTCAGTGCATTCTCGATTAATTTTATTCTATTCCTGAACCAACGGCACCACCTATATTTAGATGTTTGCGCAATATCACGACAGTATCTAGCCTAAGGCATATACTCGGCCGGGTGAGTCACTTTCGGCTCTAGATCCGACGCACATTCACCGTGGGTTCAGCTCATCGGAACAACATCCGCCTGGCAGATGGTGGCTGTCGGATAGATCCGAAACCTACCACAAATATTCACTACCAATTGTTGGTATCATCCATTGTCATCCAATCCTCCGATTCTCCATTCGCACCAGTATTACCAAAATTCAAGTCGAAAATCGAGCCTAGATGCCCTGGGAAAGCAAGGGACCCAGCGAAATTCGGAAATTCCGATGAATTGGCTATTACATCGTTAGCTTGTACTTAAGACAAATTGCGATATGTCTTGACTTACGTGAATAAAATCCCAGGTCGCTGAACATTCCCTGATTACTGAGGCCCATTCCGGCGTCGTTAAAGGTAGTGGACGAATTTACGGATGCGTTTCCTACATTCTTCCTAATACCAACACCATCTCCTTTAGAGCCCATATCGTGCTCGTCGCCACCAGTCGTCTTCGCTAATATGATACTTAGAGTTTCTGCAGCTTTTTTCGCTTCCTTAGACTTAGCGCTTCGACGCATCCAGATCATCCTCGTCGACCGTAGAGCTGCTAGAATTTCTTCCTGTCGACCCATTGTCCGCCTATGGTATATCAAGGAACATAGGATCATCGTTGCTGTCAGAAAATGGTGGTTCATAAGGGAGCCGACGCGGAAACGCAGTACATGGAGTAGACCTCCGGCGCACATTTCCCTATCGAGAACCTCCTGAATTTCTAATGAGCGGAGTGATGCATCGAGGCATACCTTGCGGGAATATGCGAAGGTGTCCTCGTCCGTCGAGGTCGATTCTGCGTATAGGAAAGGTCGGTGGAGCATGATCTCTCCTTTAAGGTGAAGGTGGGTAAGAAAGAGGCGAGCCATAATCATATGCGGTGTGTCGGTAACCGTAATTGCTATTGACTTCATCTTCAGGGGCGGAGGAATACTAGCTACAGCCTGTCGGAGAACTCCGTCAACTCGCATCACTTCGGCGTAGCTAGGTGTCTCAACGGACGCCGCGAGTTCAGAAACATATCCGAGGGCTACTAATACCCTTCTTCTCGCTATAAGGCCAAGAGTCGTTGTATGCTCTGTCTCTGGACGTGAAGGGGGTAGTTCGGTCGTGTTTTCGTCGAGGTCGTCGTCGTTGAGATTACGTGGTTCGGCGGTATCATATTGCGCCGACGAAATCATACACGGCATTCCCATTTGGCCTGAGATCAGAACATCGCCTAACATAACGGTAGCCCATAGTCTTCTTCGCATTTCAGCTTGAAGTGGAGATATTCCTGGGAAATGTCTAGGATCCCGATGATAGCCCATACGTAATGCTAGATTGACCTCCAAACCTAGAAGAAACCAGATATCTTTGTTGGCGTCGGTGATCATGACGAACTCAATGTAAACATAATTCGTCATCGTCTCTAAGCTATACGGCGTCAACTTCGTGTACTCGCCTAGAATTAGACATTGCACAATCTTTTCGCGGTATAACTTGATTTGCAGTTGTTCGGCTTCTCCGCCGTGAGATGCTTCGGCACTATCTGATGACAGAAGTGCGAGACATATCATGCTGAAAAGAAGACCAATCCACATAATCGAGGGCGCATCGGCAGGATTGGCCCAAAAAGTCTCATACTATAAGACTATTAGCATTATAATTTCTATCTTTATTAATAGAATTCAAAGCATACGTGCCTCGCGAACAAATGTAGGGCCATGGACGGCGGCTAGCTCCGAAAAGATCAGCCCAAGAGATACACTTCATTTTTCGGAAGACGTGTACCTACAACTAGCAACCAAATCCAGGCGGTTAAAAAACCGCGAAATATAGCGATCCACCGCGTCCTTAGGAGGCAATGCAGCGAGAATCTCGGCCCGCGAAGCCACACGTCCACACCCATAGAGTAAGTGGGCGTGCGGTGATTGAGGCCTTTCCATAGGATTACTCGTAATATCATCGTGAGAGTGATCCGGAGTGTCAACAAGCCTGAGATTCTCCTCTTGGTCGAAATGGTCCTTCAAATCAGCAATACTCTCCAAAATTGCGGCCCAATGATCGCCTCCGACGTAGCGAACCTCCGAGGCATTTAGATGCATACTTCCGTAGTCGGATTGACCTTCCATAGATACGTCAGCGGGTGATGAATTAGTAGGTATATCATGATGATCCGTGTCGGAAGGTGGTCCGTTGCTAGTCGGGATCCCCGCGGTTTGCCGTTTGGGCATCAGAGACTTTACCAGGCCTTCCAGGTACACAATACGATTGTGAAGGCTAGGGACAGCCGTCGTTGAGCCGGATAGATTGGGCGACATGGCGACGCCCTGATTGTCCACATAGGTACATGGTTGGGCCCGCAAGATGCAACTTGAACATGCTGGCTGTTGGCGATCGCATCGTAACCTACACAGACCATCAGTATCGGACCCGTCATTTCATGAATCTAGAACACTCACTTGCGACGCCGACAAAAATTACATGAAAGTTGAGGTTTTTCTCGACGTCGATTGGGATTCACGGGACGAGGGCGCGAGGCCACATCTCCCTGTTCTTGTCGCTGCGCAGGCGACTGAGACCCACTGGAGGATGTAGTTTTATGCGTTGACATGTCCATCAACTATCGTGACATGCATTCTTCCCTTAGTCCTTCTTATCGACAAATATAAGTCAACTCATACGAGAGAATTTCAGCTTCCTAACACTGTTCCTATCCTCGCTTGGCTTATGTTTCCGCGTCGTAACATTTAATTGTGTAAGATGTAAGACGGCTAAACGAGCGCTAACAACGCCGTAATCAACCTGCTGCCAACACCTGCACACCCCCTGTAATGCCTTAATAAGAGCGGACATCAACGGACCATCCGTTGGCTATTCCAAATTCCTACAGTCGCAGCTATATGTTTACTCAACACCGATAGAAATAAATCGATAAAATCAGAAGATACAATTATCCGCATACGTAATTGATAATCCCCATACATTTGAAGCGGGAAGAAGACCGAACACCACTATACGTAGGTAGCCATATAAGCACCTAGGGGACATGTGAAGGTAACAATATAGGGGAAGCTCAGGTGCCCTAATTACAGCAATGAGCCCTAAATAACACCTGAGTAGCACTTTTAGCGCCACCCTACAGGCCTAATAAAGGTGGAACACAGGCCTCTATTTAACACTAATCCAGTATTCTGTCAGGGTTCATCGCAGGCGCCAGCCGTAGAGCGGCTTGCTTCTACACATTTACGACCAGTTTTTCCCAAAGAAGTCCAACACCGCTTGGTAGCCACGAACGTATTCCTCCTTAACACGCGGGTTAGCAAGATCTGCTCTTGCCGCCATCCAACCATGTACCTGATCACTAAAAGTCTCAACGTGCTTCTTAGGAACCTTGAGCCTGTCGTCGAATTCCTTAATCTTCTCAACGGGTTCATCGCCCGATGCGAGTAGAATGAACGGCACCTTAATGCCGTTAGCATCTGCGGGGTCAACCATTCCTGGATGAACAGCCGCTGCGACCTTGAAAAGACTTGATTCACTAGATGTGACGAGCGATGCGACTTTTCCACCCCAGCAGTACTTTAATCGAATACGTTAGTAAGAATATTTTAAAGTAAATGATCAAATAACTTCGTGCTGTTGAACTCACTCCTAAGATACCCCAGGACTTAATGGAAGGGTTAGCGGCCTGTAGCGCCTTGACGTATTCCGGCAGCTTGGCAGCGACCGTGGGCGGGAGATTTTCAGGGTTGCCAAAGAATTCCCCAACGCCCTTCTGCTTCTCCTCAGTGTCAGGAGGGAACCTTGAATCATAACATTAGCAACTACATCCCCTTGGCGGAATTTCAGTCATTTTCCATACCACTCGATTGGCAATGGCTTTTCCTTAAACCAGTCCGTCACAAAGACCTTGTACTTTTGGTGCTTGTCGCTAGTAGCCAAAATATCGGCGCCTTGGAGCGTCTGGTCAAAGTACCCGAAAGCATCGTAGACAGATATGATACCCTTTTCAGCATCGGCCGGGCCAGTGACGTCTTCACAGCAGAAATTACTCGTCAGCAAAAGAAGAATTTCTATACAGCATTGGAAGACTTACAAGTCTTGTAACCCCCAAGTTCTTCATAAGAACCCTTCGTTATATATCCGGTTGAAACAACGGGCGGGATGTTACAACACGCCTCGTTGTGTCCGTGGGTCGCTGGCATAGTAGACATCTTGGTTGCTTGAGAAAACGAAGTTCTTGGGACTTCTATGACTTTGTTCATTGATAGTTTATATGTTTTCAAATTGTTGTGCTTCTAGCTTGATCTCAACAGGAAGACGAGACAAGAAGCCAGTCTTATACATCATTACACAGGCTACAGACGTCGGAGTTAATAGCATCTCCATGTAACCCGCATATCACCAAAGATTTGCGGTGGATAGATGTTGGTTTCACAGGCGAAAAATTTGAGGTTCTCATGGTGAATCGGATGGTTATTAAGAAGCAGTTTCAGATGATCGGTACACCTAAAGTGAATACTTACTTAAGGTAAGTTATGAATTTCCACCATTCGTAAAATATAACCAATCAGCATCCCCGTCGTCTAGTCATAACTCACAATGTCACTATATGCAGGGCCCTATTGCCCCCTCAAGGGCTAACCGGGATAACGGAGAAGACGGCGAAGAGGGGCCTAAGTCCGGGCGGGTTGTAGACTTACGGCGAGGTCTGTAGCTCAGACGTCTATTTTCCCACGGAACCTCCGCGGAGCCTCCTTTACCTACCGCACCCGAGATGATTCTAATGTGCTATTAATGTCCACTCATCCCCGGCTTACTCGGTCCGAAATTAACATTCTCGGAGAGATTGTTTCATCATACAGTCAATAATCGGTCATCGCACAATAACACCTTCGAAAAGGTAAATTCTAGGTCACGATTAACGCCATATATGGGATGGATACGAAGAAATTTTAGTATTCATTCAATTTTATCCATATCTCCAGCAGACATTATCAAATTCGTAAGCTGAGTATGTCATTACGGTCGAACTAATTGGAGGTTAGGTATGGACGTTGTAGACAATCCTACCTCGAAGCGCACGCACCTGCCGACGGCTTCAGCTCAATCAATCAGAGCTCGCCCTCAGCTTGTATTCAATGGCTTCCGACCATAAACGACGACGCTGCAAAGAATGTTAGCACATGGACTCCATATTTCCCCATTAGCGCCGGTCACTTACGCAGGTAAATAAGCGTGTACGCTTTTGTCGCGTATAGTCTCGCTCGCTCTCTGGATACTCTTGGTTACTTCCTCAGGAGACCAACCCAATCCTTTCCCGAGCAGGTGCCTCATAAGACTATTAAAGGCATCTTCTATGTTATCACGCATTTTCACACCGATATCCTTATACTCGCCCTTAGCCCAGCCACCCATAGGCATCGCACGATGGATCTCCCCGACATCTTCGAATCCGGTTTCCTCCATCCACTTCTTGAAGAGTATAACATCGTGTGAATGCTTGTTCCCGAGGCTCCTCAATGCAAGTGCGATGTCTAAGTAGTACTGTTCCAAGAATGTGCCTTTAAGCGAACCGTCCACGTCCAAGAGAAACGGATAGTTTTCTTGATACTCGAGATAACCCCCTGGGGCAAGCGAGTCATACGCCTTTCGGATTAACACCCGCGGGTCGTATGGGATCGTGAAGAGGAGCCGACAATGGACTACGTCGAACTTCTGCGGGAAGTCCCAAGGCCCCGTGAAATCCCTCTCCTCGAACTTGCAGTTAGGTAGAACCCTAGACTGTCAACTTTACGAAAATGCAGCAGGGTATAGAAGGGATACGAAAGGGGAAGTTACATACTCTGGCGGTGCCGATTTGGTGATGTCGATCCCTAACACCTGTGCGTTTGGATGTAACTTCGCTAGGAACTCGATAAGCCTCGTACCCAATGCGTCATGGGATATACCAACTCACCGAATTCAGTCGACCAGACTCCCGTTCCCGATGCGACGTCGAGCACATGCTTGGGTTCTTTCACCGGTGCTTTAAGGAAGTCACCATCTAGGACCCTAGTCCATAAATTATGTTGCTTGTTTAATCGAGACAGCTCTGCCTAGATTGATGGTTTAACTACAAAATTTCCCAGCCCGGCTATCAAGCTTACCTACTTCATCAATTGGCATATAGTATTCTACTCATAGGGTAAGTACATGGCCGGATATATTTTGGGGGCTCAATCAGGGGCAACTCACTTTCCATATCCCGGCGTGGACGATCATGATGATACGCGGTTGGGTCTTTACCGCCCGTGTCTACCTGTGTTATCCTACTCCAACGGGTAAGTGAGACATCCAAAGACGTCCAAGGATGATACAACGTACTTCACTGAGTGATCCCCAGGATCATAGTCGTCGTCGACCTATGCCAATCAGCGAAGATTCTATTGAGATGTTCTCTAGCAGCGAGACAGCATACCTCAATCCCCGGAGGATTAAAGTCAGGCAGCCTGAGCGACTCGATCGTAAGATCAAGTCCCTCTATTCCAGCCATTATGGATAATCTTAATCCGCGTTAGGTGCCTAGGTAAGAATGTAAAGAGACTAGGAGCGTTCACACAACTTTGTCTCAGGGGGCTAACAGATAGCCAAGACGGGGCGAGTCGAAGGGAAGCTTGAGACTGTCTTAAACTCGATTGTAAGGCTCTCCCTTGAGGATTTATATACAAGAATTCCATTCCGTCAGTCCGAATCGCAACACACCAACCCCTCATGAATCTTAGCCAGCTCGAACCAATCTCGTGCGAAACTCAGAGCGGACTGGGCCCCTTATGCCTCTAAAATGTGCGGCTGATAGTATAGTTCACCAATGGAGTCTAAGATGTCGCTCGGTGGGTAGCTTTGCTGCACCGCTGTATATGACCCAATGAGGAAATATATGCTGAAATATCGTCATATTAAGTAAGATATAATAGAGCCTACACATAACTTTCACCCGAGACACTATAGGAGTCAGCTTGGGGTTGCGCGTCTCCTCCCTGGGGTAGTATCTACCCACCTAGTTAACGATCTGACAGGCTACACAAATTTCTCCTTGGTAAGGAGGCTATCATATACCCCTGTACTCAATTAGGTAGATCAGGTAGTCAAGGGAGTATGTCACGATCAAAATGGCAGAGCCTCCCAAAACTCCCATGCGGGAGGAAGTTTTTTGCGATGTCCCAATAGATCCCGATTAGGAGAAATTCCCAACATGGAGCTAAATATCTACTGGGCTAGTCTATTCATCTTCGTGCCCATAGTGGTACTCGCTGCCGGATTGCGGGTCGTCTTACAGCGGCTCCATGGAAAATGGACGAAGCAGACATGCCACTATGACAATGAAGCTAAAGTGTTCCGCAAGGTATTCTTGCGTGTTTACCTAATCGTCATGGCATCAGAGTGGCTCCAGGTGAGTTAGGAGAATGGTAAACGATATTCAAGGCACTTATGCTCACTACTTCACTAGGGTCCGTATTTGTATACACTCTTCCGGGATGAAAAAGGTCTAGAAGATCGGACAGTCGCGATACTTTACATTACTACGTACGTATCTGCGGCGATATCGGCTTTCTTCACGGGGTATCTGGCGGATAGATTTGGCAGGAGAGCAGCTTGTCTGGTATTTTGCGGGGCACACTCGCTCGCCTCTATTTCCGTAAAATTCGATGCAATGGAACTTATGATAATAGGAAGAGTCTTAAGTGGAATAAGCTTGAATCTGTTATGGACCGTTTTTGAGAGTTGGATGATTACGGAGTATAGTGCGCGCGCGTTAGATCGAAGCTCGCTTCCCCTGAGCGCTATGTTCGGTGCCATGACGAGGTATAACTGTGTAACAGCAATTTTGGCTGGTATTATAGGATATTATATCGTCTTATCCACAGGATCGAAAGCTAATCCATTCATTGCTGGCGTGGTAAGGCCGCCCTTTTGTTCTTATTTAATTTGCTAATTGTACGACAGGTCCTAGACGTCGCGGCTGCTTTTCTCATGTTCAGGACATGGAATGAGAATAAAGGAGTTGACAACAATCTTGATTTGTGTAATAAAAATGATCTCGCCAATGATCAGGCTACTACGAAGCTTAAGGAAAGACCCTTGGCGATGCTCAGAGATGCTCGGATATGGGTCCTCAGTTTCGTCTCTTGTTGTTTCGAAGGAACCATGTTTATCTTCACTTTCTTCTGGCCGGGAACCCTGCAAGAGGCTCACAGTCGGTATCAAACCCACGGAAACGATGCAACTCCGTTCGGCGTAATCTTCGCTACTTTCATGGCAACTATGGTCTTGGGCGCGATGCTATTCAGCCTTTTTACACGAAATGCGAACCCAACAGCAATAGAACATACATCAACACTCGGCGATATCTCGCCTACTGCGCTTCTTACGACAGCACTCTTCATCGGCGGATCGAGCTTTATAATCGCAGCATTTTCCAAGGCGGAACTCCATTTATACCTAGCATTCCTTCTACTCGAATTTTGCAATGGTATATACGTCCCAAGCATGGCGTACCACCGAGGCATGATAGTCGCCAATTCGAGCAGAACTTTAGTCTACGGCTTGATGAATATACCCCTATTTGTCTTTGTGGTCATTGCGCTCTATACCACTACTAGCAACGGAGGTAAGTAAACACTTCTAACTACCGATAATTGATTTCATCTAATATATATATTTTACACAGTAGAGTATAGACGTGTCGTATTCGCATCGTCGGCGTTGTTGCTTCTAGCTGCGGGTGCTGCCGTCGTGTTGGGGCTTGGTATTTTGACTAACCACCTGAAAAACTCATTAGGAGAGGAACTCGAAAAAGAAGACTTAAGCGAGATATAACATACTTATTTCGCAATGAAATTTCCATGCGTTAAATATGCATCAAGTATTCCTAAGTAATGTAATCTTTGATAGACATCATTATATTGGGCAAATGCGACACGCCAAACGCCATACGTATGTCTACCTGAATCCCTATTATAGGCCTAGGAATCTTATTTTGAACCCGCGATTTCATCCCTCTCGTCTTCCCATTCATCCTCATCCATCAATTCACCAAGCGCTTCTTCAGCATCACCCGCAAGTCCCTCGCTATCCATCTCATCATCGTCGTCCTCCATCATCTCATCAAATAGATCGCTATTATTGCCATCCATATCAATATCATCGTCATCTTCTCCCTCACCTTCTTCTCCGTCCTTTTTGCTCCTAGTACCATTCGCAGCTCGTTCTTGTTTTTTCTTCTCCACGTTTGCTTTTTGTTGTTTCCTTCTCGCCTCCTTTTCTTGTCTGCGCTCTTCCCATCGCTTTTCGAGATCTTGTATTTCTTGTCTTGATTTGTGGATATGCTCGTGCCACATCGTCTTACCGGAACATAGCCCCTCCTCAACCTTGGTCATGCGCAATTTCATACGAGGTCCAAGTTCGACGAGGGTGACCCGTCGCCGCTCCACCCTTTCGTCGGTCTCGGTAGCTCTATCCTCTTCCTCACGCTTGGCTGCGCGGGCTTTGCTGGAGAGCACTCTCCGCGGCGCATCCTCAAGGACCTCAACTTCGGCGTCTGTGTCCATTTCACTCCCACTGGTGCCGTCTGTCATGTAGCCCTCGCCATTTTCGCCGCCTATCATGTATTCGGAGATATCTTCTAGCTTTCCAAGATTCGGAACGCCACCCTTTCTATTCTTTGTGCCAAAAAGTTTCTCCGCAGCATCTAGTCTACGTAACGGCTTAGACACTCCGGCAGGTTTTGTAGAAATTGCGTAATGTCTGAAGTTAAGTACGAAAGAACCGTCGTCCTTATCGGTGGCTGGCTCCCTATTTAGAAGAAGGACTCTTCGTATGGATTTAAGTGGCGTGGTTTGTGGGTTTATGCGAGGGAATAGCGATTGGAATACGGTGGTCGTGAGCGTTTCGAGGTGTTTAGGTACTTTGGAGTTGGCGTCCGCGCCTGGTGTGGAGATGTTGTTCATTATGAGCTAAAGAAAGAGAAGAATCAGTAATCTGCAAGAACAAGGCGCAGGGTAAACGGCTTCATACCAAGGGTGGTGTAATATACTCCTTCCCGCCGCCCTTGGGATGTCTTTGCGCTTTGCGCACATCTTTGCATAGGGAATATTTCTCTACACGGAAGTGTAGCGTAGGGCCACGCGGTGTGGTGGCTATGCGTAGATTCGTATTACCAGATTCGGATCGTGAGAATAGAAGGAGATGGGTGACGCCGAGAGGACCGGTCATGGTAACATAGTCTCTTAGACGATTCGCGCGACGCTCTTTTAGACGACTAGCAGTGCCAGGTTCCATAACCTGACGAACATCTTTGGCTAATTGACTAATACTAGATCCGACTTCGCCGGCACCTATGCGAATGACCATGCTCTTTGGATCTTGTACTGCCGAACGGCCTACAAGAGGGGCCTTGTGTTTGGGGTTGTTGGCGCCCACATGGGTGCGCTTCTTCGTTCGACTCTTCGCCATTGTTTACTCTTTGTTTACTCTATCGCAACTCTCGACCCTCGAACAATGGTGTAGACGTCAATCGCAAAGTTATAAGCGCAAAACGGATTCGTCCGTCGAATGATGCAGCTTTTCGGTTGTGTTGAAAATGATTGGAAGAAGCTTCGATTTTTATTTTTCTTATCTGGCAGAAAAAAGGCTAGTGTCCCACAAATCATTATCTCAAGTAGTAGCTACTTATTATCTCCACTAAGATGATAGTGTAGATGCGTACCGCTACTTTGGAGAATTGGTGGGTCTGGTCAAAGATAAGATATACTAACCTAAACTGGAAAGCGGTCAGATTTTTACAGGTGCGGGATGCGCATCTCAAGATTTCCTTACCAACTTTTTTATTTCTTCCATTTACACACGACAATACAACAATCTCAACAAGTCACCTTCTAAGCTTATGCGGAACTAATCAAGTAGATAACTCATTCTGTGCACATATTTTACTTAATCCCACACACAAAACTACAGATTAATCCAAGATGTCTTCCGCAAAGCGAAGGAAAACATCGCCTACCGCCGAGACCCACGATGCTCGCGATGAATCTCACGATTCCGCGACCCTCGATGAAGGCACCGCTACCGAGTCTGCCCCGAAGACCTTCAAAGAACTGGTGCGCTTCCAATACCTACTTCATTCGCCCAGAATATTTCTAACACAATGGAATTTTTTAGGGTATCGTTGACCCTCTAGTTGAAGCATGCGACTCCCTTGGATACAAGCATCCTACACCAATCCAGGCGCAATCGATTCCTCTCGCCCTACAAAATAGGGACCTTATAGGCCTTGCCGAAACTGGTAGCGGAAAGACGGCTGCATTTGTCCTACCCATTCTACAAGCGCTACTCGACAAACCTTCACCTTTCTTCGGCCTTATCCTAGCACCCACACGTGAATTAGCATCGCAAATTGGCCAGTCGGTAGAAGCTTTAGGCGCCTCCATATCAGTACGATGTGCTGTAATCGTCGGTGGCTTGGATATGGTCCCCCAATCCATTGCCCTATCCAAGAAACCCCACATTGTCGTTGCTACACCAGGACGACTACTCGATCACCTCGAAAAGACGAAGGGTTTCAAATTATCAAATACGAAATACCTGGTCATTGATGAAGCCGATCGACTTTTAGATATGGACTTCGGTCCTATACTTGACAAATTGCTCAAGTTCCTCCCTAGGGAAAGGCGGACATTCCTCTTCAGCGCCACGATGTCGTCCAAGGTCGAAAGTTTGCAAAGAGCCAGTTTGCGAGACCCTCTGCGTGTCAGCATCAGCTCCAACAAATACCAAACTGTTTCCACCCTACAACAGTACTACGTATTCATACCACACATGCACAAGGATACATACTTGATTTTCTTTGTCGCTAGCGAGTTTGCGGGACGTTCCACCATCATTTTTACAAGAACAGTCTATGAGACTCAGAGAGTAGCGATTCTACTTCGATTCCTAGGTTTTGGAGCCATTCCTTTGCATGGTTAGTCGACATATTCAATCGGGGCGGTGGATTCCGATACAATTGCTAACTCCATTTCTATAGGCCAATTGTCACAATCCGCCCGTCTAGGTGCACTCAACAAATTCAAAGCTGGAACCCGCGACATTTTAGTTGCTACCGACGTTGCCGCGCGAGGTTTGGATATACCAAGTGTCGATGTTGTTCTCAACTATGATTTACCGCAAGACAGTATGTTACTCCTAATTTCCACAAGCCAACATCACTCATTAGAATGTTTAAACTATGTCATGTTTGCGAGTTAATTTTTCATTACTAATAAAATATGTGCAGGTAAAACATATGTGCATCGGGTTGGACGAACAGCACGTGCAGGTAAAGCTGGCCAAGCCCTCAGTCTGGTAACACAATATGACATTGAGATTTACCAGAGAATTGAGGCTGCGCTAGGTAAGAAGCTAGATGAATACGAAACTAGCAAAGAGGAAGTTATGGTCTTCAAACCCCGAATTGAGGAGGCCCAACGCCATGCGCGTAACGAGATGAAGAACCTACTTGAGGACCGTGGTAAGAAGGGTTCAGTATTGAAAGGTCGTCATGCCGATAGGGGCGGGAAGAGGCGACACGATGCGATGGATGCTGAGGAAGGTTAAGGACATGATGAATGTATATGAAATGAAAAGCCCTTAAAAACATAGTAAAAATGAGTTGGCGGATTGCCAACCCATAACAGATACCCAGCAATTCAGAGCTTATTACCACCTAACTCGGGACGGTATAACTTTTAATGGAACTCATCAGATAGATTCTAAAGCATCATAAAATGGGACAATAGCGGCAAATGCGAGAAGTAAGCATAATCAATGTCCCTAGGTATAAAAGCAATAACAACACATAACGGCTAAAGCTAACTTATAAGGATTACTATTATGCGCATCACTCTCTCTATTCGGGAATAAGTTGAGAGCTACCTAGCTCTCATCCTTCCCGTCCGAATAGAATAATATGATCTAAAATATAGAAGGGTTCCATGTACCCGAACCGCGCTCGTTGGAAGGATTCCTTAATCCTCCAATCGCTCTTCGGCAAGTTATGCCCTGCTCAGCCGATCCTCATAACAGCATTTTGAATTCCGTCCGTCTTTCTTCCCGCTAACAGCGGCATTATATCGTTGCCGAGTCTTACTTACATAGGTAGGTAGGTACATCAATCACAGCCTCTTCTACAGGTATTTTTCCTAGTTAAAGCCACAACGGCGGGTAAAGAGCGGTGTCATTAAGTAGGGTAAGGCTTTAGACATGCGTAGAATCCTTCTTTATGCGACACAAGTCAAACAAATTTCGGTATTAAAATCGTCCATGGTTACACTAAGAAACAGAGCAACTCCTAACCCATAGGCGAGCCAGAAGAAATGCCATAGGTAGAGGTTAATACCTCTAAGCTCGCAATTCGATATAGTAGTAGATGTCTAATTACCTAGGTACTCAACGTATAGTGCAGATTCGATTAAGGCTTCAGCTGAAATATAAAGACTTTAACCCAGTACCTAAGCATACAAGAAAAGCTAAAGAATAATAACTGTCATCAAGGAGCTCAACCCATAGAAACGCAGAATGCTTAGGAGTAATACTCAATTATTCTACGATGTCGCATTAAGAGATCTATTCAGAACTACGATCAAGTCTAGTAGATACCCCATACACCACCCTCTCATTCACTAACCATCATTCATTCGCCCATCCATCTCCCAAACAACCCGCGCACGCATCCAAATACCATATCCGGCCTCCCTTCTCAATACCATCAATCGCACCCCAGCACATCCATACCTCATAAGTGGACAAAACCTCTCTTTTCGATTTTATTCCCCGTCAGGCCCCTTCATTAGGCCGCATCCATCCTCCGGGACGTAACCAACCGGAGGACGACGAACACTTGTCAACGCCGAAAAGGAGTGTAGGGCGACCCTATTTAGGACATTTCTCGACGTGGGGTTTGTGGGGTAGTAGATCAAAAACGAGAATGAAAAGAAGCGCAACGAGAACATCAGGTACATAAAGAGACCGTCGTAACCCGGTCCGTGGCGCTTCTTCGTCGTATTTACTATTCTTTACATTTGTTGATTCGCAGGTGTACATGTATATATGGTTGATCAGTCCCCACGCGCTGCGTTCCTGCATATATACCTATTCATGTACCTACAGGGTCATCCTATGAGGCGTTGTAAGACGTTTTATAGTTGCGCATAGGTTTTGATAGGATAATTGATCAATGACAACAGGATTTAAAACCATGTCACTCAAGTTAAGCGATATCAAATTTCTATTGGGAATTAACGAGGGCAGGACCTCTTGTGATCTTCTCCACTAGATGTGCTCTGGATTTCACACAAGAATTCATCTATTGCCGTGGATGAGGAAAATGACTAGCTTGGAAAACGTGGGAAAGAGAGGGTCTAGAACATGAAATGTTGGAGTACAGAGATGAAGAGTCGAGTTCCTCGGAGGACAGCGATGAGACGACCCTCAATCACTACTTGATCTAATTGGGGGATCAAGGAGGTCAGATGTGCTGAGTGTTACGACTCTCAAGGTATTAAGGATACGAGAAGCTCAATCCTCAGCCTCTTCACCGTTAGCAGCAACTTCTTTTGCCACTTGGGTTTTGCCCTTGACGGAGAAGTCGTCGACGTTGGCACCCAGCTTCTTAGGTACGTCGACGCCATTCTCGCCGTTCTCTTCCTCGTCTTCACCTTCACCTTCTTCATCGTATCCATCTTCCTCTTCCTCTTCTTCTCCAAGCTCATCATCATATTCAGGGACGTCTTCATCGAACTCCTCTTCTTCGCCTTCCTCTTCGCCGTTCTTGGCGATGGGAGCAGTGGTCTCGAGTGGAGCGTCCGTCGTCTTCTGCTTCTTCTTGGGAGGAGCTTGAACCGGTGCCGGAACTGGGTCTAGATCTGTTAGTCGAAGCGAAGAGGAGGGTATCGCAAGAGCATGAAGCTTACCCTTTACACCATTCTCCTCCTCTGCGGGTTCATCCCCTTCATCATATTCCTCCTCATCCTCTTCGGCGTCATCGACATCATCGTCCTCTTCGCCTTCCGAGATGCTATCAGAAGGGGTCAGTAAACCCTTTTTCAACAAGGTATCTGGCGTATTTTTCTAGAATTGGGACGAAAATGGAACCACGCAAATCGACAATGGAGACACGATGTTCACAGCAATGCGCTAACAGACGCGACAATGCGAATTGGCGATGCGATGCTGTCGCATGTTTTGCGATAACAGGGATTCCACCACGACAATTCCAACATTTCGCAGCTATAAGCGAACCTGGGTAAAGGATAATAGGATATAAGTCTCAACTTACTACTCCTCTTCCTCTTCGCTCTCGTCACTGGGAAGAGCAACGAGTTCTTCTTCCTCCTCGTCTTGCTTCCTCTTTCGAGATGTCATTTTTGGGGCTTGGGGTAAGGCTGGGCTTGGTTTTGGGTGGGAAAACGGGTATTAAGGCTGTAGATTGATAGTCTGGTAGGAAAAATTGGATGGAAAATAGATGAAAAGGATGGGAAAGGAGGAGAATAAAATAGAGAGAGAAGGTAGGGAAAGGGGATAAGTTGGGACAGCTGGGGGTGGTAGGTGGGAAACAGTGGCCGCTGTGCTTGGGGAAAAGGCTGCTCTGCGGTGCGGTAGGAAGGGGGGGAAGAGAGTAGAGCGTGGGCTATGAGAGGGAGGGGACTGGTAAGCTGGATAGCTGGGAGCGCTGGGAGCTTTGGGGGGGATGCGAGAGTGAGAGGGGAACAGACGGGGGAGCTCTGGGGGAGCTTTCGCTGCTTGCTATGGGCACATACTAGGCGCATACTGGGCATACTGAGTACGTGCCCGCGCCCACGCCCACGCCCGCTTAGAGCTTAGTCCTAACAGTTCCTCTCTCGCTCCTCTTCCACCCCTTCCACCTTTCCACCCCCCTAGTTGCAGGAAGGGCTGTAGGGTGTCTGTAGGGTGTCCGTCATTGTGGACTAATATGTACGGATGTACATATCGTACATACATCCAAGAAGTCACTCAAGGCTATGCAGGTGATGGTGTGGGACTCGGACCATCTCTTGGTCAGGGCTCGATCGGGTCCGGGAAGCTCAAAATAGGTAGTTCGAGTTTTTTTGATCTGTTCGAATTGATTGATTGATGACGATTGCGTAAGAGAGGAGCTTCGGTCTCAGAGACACCAGCCACACTTTTTTTTTTCTCCTCCCTTCCGCGACCAATGCCCATCCCCCAGATTTGCCCCCTCATTTTTTGAGAGCCACTTGGTTCATCCCCCAAAAGCTTGGAGCGAGCAGCCTTGCTAATACGTATTGTTGCTCCAAAAATAATTCTGGTGATAGTTTGGGTAGGTATCGTGGGCGCCTGTATGCATTTTCGTAATCTTTTTCTCTCGCTTCTTTTCTTGCTAAGTGGTCGAAGATGCATAACATCTGTTATGAATCTAACACCACTGCTAATTTTGTAGCGATTGATTTGAGGTATATTGAATCTGCAATAAGTCAAATAGCTAATGAAGCGAATGAAACTTACCAATGATACTTACCAAAATGTATTTTGAAGATTAGTATTTGTAAACGTGATAATTACTGCGACATAATTGGAACAGATTATCCTGATGTGCAGGAAATCTGTCTATGTTTCCATGCGCGTTCGTTCGCGCATCCTGTGAAGAAACGGAATTGAGTACCTAGTAGTTAAGTCCATGGTCGCAGCGGACATTTCCCCCGTAAGCGGAGATCGGATAGACTCTTCCCGCTTCATTTCCAGGAGAGGAAAAGTATTATACAATATCTAACCGGAGTCTTTTCCTGGTAAGGGATTGTGATATTGATTGGCATGCATCATGATAGGCTCTTTTGCGAAGGAGCCAAGGAAACAGGGGAACGCGTAGAACACGCGTCGAATGTTCGATACAAGTGAGACAAGCTTCTCGGTCGCGATGCGTCTTCCTCTCATCTGTCTATCCTTCGTTTGTCATTGAAGGAGACAGAAATGAAGGCAAAGATAATAACATCAATTTGAAGCGACCGATGAAAAATTACTAGGTTTGTTTCTTCATTAAGTAGAATGTTGGTGAGGCCAGTTAATGCACTTGTATAGGTGTGCGCATCAATATTTCATGGTGTTGATTGTAAGATTGATTTCTAAGTAGAATAAGGTGAAAATTTTTGTTATTGTTGATGATGGTAAGATGAAGATCTGTCATTAATAATAAATCCGAATTCCTGGGTTATCGGCTAATTCCCGTCCGTACCAAAGAAAAAAAAAAAAGTTCAAAATTTCAATTGCACTTGCCAATGTTCTCTTCATTCTATGTACATTTCTAAGGTTGTATGAATGGGCAAGGTACCTGGTAAAGTGGGCAGCTGCCAATTGCTTCCTCCACTTTAAGTGAAAGAGCCCATAGCGCTAGGGATGCCTTAGCTGTGCCCCTGATCCATAGCCTCGGAACTACCTAAACCAGGTTGTCAGGCACCGCCTGAACGCCTTATGTCCTCATAATGCACCTCGACTACCTAGGTACTAAAATACATGTGCAAGGTACCTCCTATCATTCTCGGATGTATTTTCTTGTCTTCCAAGTTGTGGTTCTGGATACTTAGGTAACCACCTACAATATCCGAAACAACGGACTATAATATCTATAAAATTTTTATCAGGTATTAATTCGATCAAACTTGAATCATCAATTGTCAAATCGAAATTATTTATTATTATTTTACTCGAGTTATGTACCAGGTATATGAATGTATACGTCAATGGTCAGTCCTAAGTGCATGGAAGTATTGGAAGTATCATTGATGCAAGGTTTGAATGTACATAGGCCTGCATTATGCACTGACATGATTATGTGACGTTGAAGGGGACTTGATCATGATCTACTTATTTCTAATACAAAAGTGGTAGTATCAAAACAATCCCAACCACAATACTACGCATAATCACAGACGTGAAAAACCTACATATCTCTCTACCTAGGTACCTTAGGAATTTTGAAGAATTTCTGAGCCCCAAGTCGTTGACGAACTGACTCAATAATAAAGAATATTCTTAGTACAATATTTTTTTCCCTCTTTGGCTGTCGAATTATGTCAAGACAAGACTTGGGGAAATTACATTGTTCCTTGAGCAAAAATGATGTCAGCCTAATAATCAGCTCCTCGATCTCGTTACCCGTTTTGTTGTTTCCTGGCTGGTTCTACCAATAGGAACGGTTGTTTTGGTACCCGCTAAACAACCTTGTTCAATGTACGGGCCACAGTCCGTTCCGCGTCCGCTAAAATTAATTTCGATTACTTCGACTATAGTGGGCAACGAACACGGTACCTACGGGACGAGTGGAGGTTCGGTTAAGGCCAACGAAAAATTCAATTCTAAATCCTATGGAAGTAATCGAGAAATTTTCTTTTTCTTTTTCTTACTTCCTTCGTAACTTGATGTGAACTTGATTTACAATTGTGTATTTCGTTGGGTGCAATTGGTCATCTCTTTTTCTTTCGACCTCGCTGGCTACGAGCTTTATGCTCAGCTATATGCATTAAGGCGCGTCGATTTTTAGAGAGGGGGAATACCTACACATCCAATACAAACGCGGAACCACCTAAACATACCCCAAGGTAGCAATAGCTGGAGCCGACAGGACCGACTCAAGAAGATGCATCGTGCAGTTTATAGCTGCATGTCTAGACCCAACTAGAGTCTGTTGATACATTAGCATCATTGTCCTAAAGGAAACCGCCGACCGCTTACCTGTAGACGGTACATACCGAATCCACTCAGGTTGATCGCCTAACTTGAGTACCTCAGTACAAACTTAAAAACCTTTAGGAACTTTTAGGCAGGTACACTTGTCACTTGTCTCTGAGTGTATCTCAAAATTCAATTCCCCAGCTCTAAAGTCAATCAGCCAATCTTCCTTCGACTCACAACGAACAAACACAAGAGGGAAGAAATAAAAAAGAGACGGATATAACAAACAACGACCTACCTTAACCTGTCACTTGGTTCCAACTACCGGCATTCGGAGGACCCTGGATTTCCTGACCTACCTAGGTAGCCTGACATCAGCGAGCTTCGACAAACGTACCTACGCAGAATTAATCTTGTAATTCTGTCCTGCCATATTCCCCATATTCAGATCTCACATTCGACCGCCCAACTCGCATTTGTCTACACCAACACACGGGAAGATACATACTCGAGAGACCAGCCGTCCGTCCATCTTTGCCCATTGTACAACGTTGATACTTGAACTAGACGGAGTTACTACCGAAATGGATGGATCTTGAATTTCGCTCTCGACTACCTACCACCTACCTCGCCCTCTTTCCCTTTTCGATGCTGGAAGAATTCCATCCTTTCCATTCATTTGATCCCCACCGACTCTTTCATTCGTTCGACTGATCATCGCTGTTATTGTCTCGAATTTCGGTCTCGGAGCACGCCCGTGCGTGCATATACCCCATCCAACACTCGCTTTGATTGGATTCCCTTGCCATTGAAGACCTCGTGCTACTATATAGAATTTTAAAGGGGACACATGGTAGATGGACAAAAAGAATCAAAGCATTTTTGTGCTTTGCATTTATTGTGTTAACTCTCTTGGTTTCTAATTGTTCAGCCCTAAGCAGATTAGGGAGAATATTTAGCAAAACTGAGAGGGTGCGATTTTTTGTATCTGGGGGAGCCGCCAAGTTCTAGATTGCTTGGCTTTGGACAATGGCGCCAACATTAGCGAAGACGGATTATTCGCTACAAGACGACTCTAACACAGTCATATCTTCTGAAATGCAACTGCAACAACAGCAAACAAAACCTGGAGATGATGGATATGTGACACAATCTGATTCGAGATCGGGTCCAAGATCAGACACATTATCAGCTGCAGCCGGGGTCGGCACACCTAGACCAGAGCGCGGTATCGGTATGAAGTTCCGGGAGTTTGGACTCCACGCTGCGAGAGCCCAGGATTCGAAACAAACCCCGGTTCGCCCAATTTTCCCTAACACCAACACCTACAGGCGCAACTACAACTACAACGACCACGAAAAAGACGGCTACGATGCTGACGAAGACAACGATGACTTTGACGACACAACAGTCATCACAGCTACATCTTGGAATTCCCCTTCCACTAATCATAATACACCCTCAACAACTATAACGTCGTATTCCCGTTCTAGTCCCATTGTGGAGGACCATTCATCTCGCATCTCACCACCACCACCTAATTCACCATTGTCCCCTCGCTGGGATTCTCTAGGTTACGACCGAAGTGCAACTCTTAGTCCTACGTCTACAGCTGTTAGTAGTCTCCATAGTAGATCCTCGAATGCGACCGATGAATTGAACTTCGGTTTTAATTCTATCGTGACTGGACACAGAGATGAATCCAGTCAGATACCTACGAAAAAGATAAACGCGACTGAGACGGTGCGCGTCGATAACTTTTCAAGACCCAGGAACGCAAGCATAAAACAACCTTACCAAGAAACTCCTCGCTCTCGGCCTACCAATCATCCCCCAGCCGATTCAAACCATCTCGACCTAAATTCCAGCCACCCCCTGTCCTGGCCTCGGGAACGGGGCCAATCCATATCCTCCAACATGTCCGCTGCCACCTTTGCTTCCGTTCCAGGTCGACCTCCCCCCGACCTATATAACCGCGACCATCCTCGAGGTAGGGGTCGACAAGCGAATCCTCCACCTTCCCGACCACCCGTATCATATATTCGAGCCGAAAGTAGCGGGCCGACTTTTGCTAGAGATCCGATACCACGAATGGCATCTATGCCAACTGAAGAGCTAAGATCCAGTTACCGGTCACAGCTTTCAGCATCAACAGCACAAGGAACCGTTATCACCGAGAGGAGTAGCGTCGCAACGAAGAGCAGTTCTATAACCTCAGTCTACGGCCCGATCGACGTAGATGGTGCGGACGATGCGGTCGATGATAGCTTCAGTATAGATGATGTGATGGGAATGTATGAGAAGGGGTTCTACGACGACTCGGCGCCCGAAGAAGACAATAACGAATTGGTGGACTCGAGACCACCAACCGCCAAATCAGAGTTGAGCAGAAGGAAAACCGCCATGTTAGAAGCTATGACTGATTTATTGCCGATGCCGGGAGCACGAGACTCTACTCACATCGATCCGATTGTACGAGAGTCTACCGCTATGTTCCATGATCCTGATATGCGCAGCCATCTACTCGAGGAAACCCCTGAAGAACCTCCAGAGAGCATCAACGAGCCTGAGAATCATGATGCAGAGCCTAGTATTGTCAATATTATCGATGTCGATCTCAAAGCGGAAGACGAAGTCGAAGATGATAGCGATGACGAACCACAACCTCCAGCACCCTCGCGTCAAATGACGGACATGACCATTCCCGAAGATGACGATGAGCGAGACCGCTACGGATTTAGAAAGAGCAATCAGTACGTCAGCAGAGAGCAATATGATCGCTGGAATCAAGGGTATACCGAATACCTAGCTAGGAGACGAAAGAAATGGACTGCATTCCTGAGGGAACATGGACTCATGACAGATAGTCCTAACCGCTTCCCCCCTCGCTCTAATAAAGCAAAACGGTTCGTACGAAAAGGTATACCTCCTGATTGGAGAGGTGCAGCTTGGTTTTATTATGCCGGCGGTCCAGCAGTCCTCGCAAAGCACGCGGGCTTGTATGATGGCCTGTTAAAGCAAAAAGCCAAAGATGTGGACGTTGAAGCCATTGAACGAGATCTTCATCGTACTTTTCCGGACAATGTGAAGTTCCGCTCTTCTCAGATGCCATCCGCCTCTAATGCAAACAGCCGGCGGACTTCGAAGGAGACGGGAGGTGCTCACACGGCAGAAGAGAAACCAATGATTACATCTCTACGTCGTGTTCTCCATGCTTTCGCTATATATAACCCAAGAATTGGTTATTGCCAATCGCTCAACTTTCTAGCAGGGTTGCTTCTACTCTTTGTGGAATCCGAGGAGCAAGCATTCTGGTTACTTAATATTATAACCCGAATCTATCTTCCTGGAACGCACGAAACGAGTCTCGAAGGTGCTAATGTCGATCTTGGTGTACTGATGTCCTCTCTCAGGGAGTCTCTGCCCAATGTATGGGCTAAGATAGGAGGTGAACTAGATGGTACCGATGCTGTATGGCCGAAGAACTGGAAGCACAGGCATCACAAACCCGAATCGACGCGACTCCCACCCATCACTCTATGTATGACTGCCTGGTTTATGAGTTGTTTTATAGGCACTCTTCCTATCGAAAGCACTCTCCGTGTGTGGGACGTTTTCTTCTACGAAGGGTCCAAAACATTATTCCGAATAGCTCTGGCGATTTTCAAAATAGGCGAAGGCGAGATCAAGGCCGTGACAGATCCTATGGAGATCTTCCAGGTGGTACAGACGATACCTCGCAGACTTGTTGACGCCAATGCGTTAATAGAAGCCTGTTTCAAGCGCCGCAATGGCTTCGGTCACCTTAGCCAGGAAGCCGTCGACCAAAAGAGAGAGGATAGAAGGAACCAAGTCAAGGCTGAAAAGAATAAGCTCGCAACCGGCCACGACACACATGCAGATGCGGATGTGAGGAGGAAAGCAACTCTATTCGGCCGACGAAGAGAAAGAGATCACGCTCATGCTCACGCCGAGCTCGTGTGATCGCACTCTTCATTGCCGTTAATCATTATACCATGTTTCCTTTGTTTGTTCCGCTTCGCATATGGTTGTTCAGACAGCAGTCTCACGACATATTCGCCCCGTGATGGCAAATTTGCCTCACGCAGCCGGCATCTGCGATTCTGCGCTTTGTTCTTTTTACGATGTCCCATTTTCTTATTTTTTTAAGCATGTATAGGCGTTGATGACAGATTACGATACGATATTCTTTTTTCTCGTTTTCGGCAAGGAAATACCATAGAGAGGAAGCAACCATATGGTTATCCATGTGTTGACGATCTGAATAGGGCAGGCCATGAAATTGGAATTCGTTTGCGCTGGAAGGGAAAATACGCACTGCATTTTTAGGGAACCTGCAACCGGCTATGCACCAACCACTTGAGTAAAACCGAACCTAGCTACGAGTCGAAGGAACTCGTAGTTGTGAGGAAGGACAAGAATACATTCGCATATCAGCCAAGATCTGATTTGGGCGCTGGTATCAACGGACACAATCATCAATGGACCTGTCTCTACCTGACATATGGATTTGCATGGCCAAGGATAGGAAAAAAAAAACACTTTACATAGAGAGCATACTGCATTAGAAAGGGGCAGGTTTATTATAGCATCGACTGGCGGCGTAGCATATATGCATTCGAAGCATTCAATCCATCAACCGTTGAATGTTGTTCAACTATGGAGTGAAAGGGCGTCTTTTTTCTATTTATTCTGGGGTCAGCAGAAACTTTTGATAATTTGCTCCGGATTAAGATCATTAAATACAATGAGTTGAATTTATAGTGGCTTCTTCATGTGATATTTTCTATTGTGGAATAAATTAGTCGAAGATTCACATGGTTAACCGTGCCATTACTGCCTTAATATCGTGATTAATTCATCTTGACAGTGCCCCAAGAGGGATCGTAAATGTCGTCATATTGCTCATCATGGAGGTATCTAGCCCTATTTCCTTAAGAAACTTGATCTCACTCTTGCTAGCTCGTCCGTATGATAATCGCAACCGATGCGCGCAAATGCAGAGACCGCATGATAATGCTTTCCCTCCCCAGAACCAGCCGGTCTCCAACACAATAGTGCCATCTCATTAAGCATAGCTGCGTTGTCGCCCTGTATCATTAATTCCATCCCCATAAACCTATTTCTCATCGCCTAGCCGCTCCGAAAGAAACGAGTAAGTTGGTCAACTTATCCGTCCATCCATCTACGAGCACAGACCGTCAAAGCCGTTGATAGCATCGCATGTACCATATCCATATCCATCTATTTCTTCCCCAGCGCATACCTCGTAACATACGACCGAGCATTCTTCTCAAACTCCCTCGGATTCGTACGGAACTCATCCGCAATCCTCGGTTCCAGCGGATCATCCGGATTCGGTTCAATAAGCAACTGTCGCACGGCATCCAACACCGCAGAGACGCGACTCGCCGGCTTCCAGTTCTCGGGTTTGAGCATGGCGAGACAGATATTACCCGCGCTGTCGTTGGTTACGTTGGGGTGGTAGATGCGCGTTGTGAATGTTACTAGGGGTGCTTTGAAGGGGTAGTCCGGCGGGAGAAGGATGGAGAGTTGGAATATCCCGCCTGCGTATACGGTGCCTGGGGGACCGGTTAGGGTGGCGGTCCAGAGGTGGAGGTCGGTTTCGGAGGGGAGGGTTATGGTCATGCCCTGAGGGGGGTTGTTTGTGCAGTCTTGGAATTCCTGTAGGTTAGTTAGTAAGTTAGCCTATGCCTTGGAGGAGATGCGATGGTGGGTTGGGCAAGGCAGGGATGGAAAAGCGTACCTTGATAATGCGCTTCTGTGAGGACGACATCGTGACTGATTTATTAGGTAGATATTCGTATCGTGGTTTGCTGTGTGGTTATCGGAATTATGGTTGTGGTTGATGATGATGATGATGATGACTGCTAGAAGTTGGAGAACTTTAAGAGTAAGCAAGATTTATAGACCTGTCTAGATGAAACGTGCCTGAAAGGCAAACACAAAGAATAAGGAAAGAAGGAAGGAAGGAAGGAAGAATAAGGCACCAGCTAGAACGTTAGTTAATTGGTTTGTCCGTCAAGGTTTCCTAATGGTGAGGCAGTCGCTATCAGTTCAGGTTGGGTGTCTAGGTATAAAGTAAGAGCAATGATATCATCCTTGAATACCCGTAAGTACGGCTCAGGCAGCTGCGGTCCCTGGTCCTTTGAGTCTTTAAGCTCCTGTAAGTAAAGCGGGGCAGCTGAAAGGGAATGCCCCTCATTTAGTCAGACAGGGGTATCTACAGTACGTATCACCCCTACTTGACTATACCCGGTACCTAGGTAGTTCCTCAACAGTCATAGATAAAGGAGTAAATTTTCAGATATAACATGTTATAGGTCACTATATCACTATAAAACTTCACACAATACCAAATTTAAGTAGAAGAGGTTGATATATAGAGAGGAGTTATATAAGGAGTAGAGATAATAAACCTGATACACCAGTCTACGCCTCATATTATTTGCGTATTACTTTTTAATCGAGATCACAGATTAAGCCAAGGATCTTCGAACAGCTGTCTTCCTGTCTTCAGGGCGCCATTGCAGCATTCCTCGCGCAAATTCCAAGAATGCCTGCTTTTCTTTTCCTTCTAGGTATTGTACCGACTTCTCAAGGCTCGCATCCTGGGGCACTTCTATAGCTGCTTGCCATTTTCCTAACATTGGTTAGATATCAAATCGTGCAGGTAACTTAGAAGCTTGTCATACCGTCGCTTGTAAAGAATTCCGAACTCCGTGCACCTCTCTGAACTAGGTCAGCCGGCGGGGGACCCAACAGACTTACTACTTCAGCGAGATGTGCGCGAGTAGTATAATCCTTTCTTTCAGGGTCTTTCCCGTAAAATAGATGTCTGCCTTCGTAGAGATCCCAAATCTGTAAAGACACAGCAAGTGTAAGTACGGATAATATTCATGAATGGGATTGGAAGGAGGGCAAGACAACTAACCACGACTCCGACATTCCATATATCGATTGGATAGCTCCAGTCTACCTTTAGCATAACCTCTGGAGACCTGTATACGTTGGGCTGAGCATCGTGATTCCGTTTCTCATCTCCTGAAATAGCAGAACCAAAATCACTCAGTATAACATCACCAAATCTCTTAGGCAAATCGAAATAGCGGGATAAATAGATCGTGTTCTCTCCTACAATCTTGCGTGGCGTAGGCGTCTCCAACTCGGCCTTTGTAAAAGCTTCTAGGACACCATCGTCCTCGATTGCAAGGAAGATATTGTCGGCTTTGATGTCTTCAGATGTAAAAAAGATGCGTTAGGTTATCTCAGCGGGAGGGGTATGGGTATTATAATACCTACCTGTGTGAACGATCTTGCATTCAGTATGTAGAAAGTCAAGCGCCAGGAAGAGCTGCTTAAGGTTCACCTTGAGAAGATCGTCATCAAAACGATTGGCGGGATTTCGAAGTACAATATCTCCCCAACTATCCCACAGAGGCTCTCGTACAAGGCAGTGGTGGTCACCACCAGGGCGTGGTAGTATGAAAGTATCCAAAGCCGTTGTAACGCGACGGCTCCCCGCGCTTAGACGCTCGTACATCCGGAATTCATCCTCATGTCTTGTTCCTCTCGCATATACTTTTAGAGCGACATGGCTGTGTTCTCTGAGATCATTTGTCAATAGAATACTTAAACTTATGGGATGAATACCCCCTGAAGATTTTGAGCAAGCCACACAGTGGAGGTACTTCCAAATCCAAGCTTTCCTACAACTTGATACTTGGACGCATATACATCGCCGATTTTTACGGGGTAAAAGTATCCTTTTTGGAATTTGTCGAAATGTTCTTCTTCCACCACATATGAATCGTCGATTACGTCGAAACCCGTTGTTGGGAACCGTAACGGAGTTAGGGGTGCGCGGCGGAAAGCATTACGAGCCCACCGTAAGAGGGCCGCCATAGGTATAATCCAAAACGCGAAGTAGCATAAGAAAATGATTTAGATGGTAAACATGCCTGCAGTCCTTTTTAGAAAAGTACCTACCTAGCTGCCTAGGTAGGTAGCAAACATGAATTTGAACCACTAAATTGGTCGACCCGCCTCTTACCGAACTGTCAGGTTCAACTAAGCGCCATGTGTACCGTCCCTGCCATTGCCCTGTGGTGGCCTGTGTCATATCAAACTTTTGAGAAACTCTGGTCTGTGTAAATTAAGTTCGTTGCGGTTCGCCTCTGCTCGGACTTGTCTGGGAAGAGGCTGGTCCCCACGATGCAAAAATTAGGGCTCAATACCTACCTGGGTAGGTACTTATATTCTTGGTTACTACTACCCGTATATTATATAGGCCGACTTTTATAAATTTATATTTCTCAATACGACTTATAGATGTCCTAGGTACATATGTACATTGGAACTAAATCAGTGTTATTGTTACTCGTTCTTCATCCGGTCTCGAGCCCATATATTCCACCAGCCGTTCACGCCCCAACATCTTAAGCCAGCAAGCGATGCGCCTATAATACCCCGGCCTTCCTTCACATGGTTTCACAATTATGCCTTCCACTGTGTCGCTGATTCTAATTGGTATCGCGAACGCATGATCCCAATATTTGGTGCATGCTTTACTATCCTCAGTCACAGTCAACTCAACCTCCTCCTTCCCCGCTGTTATATAAAACTCGGCGTACCCTTCGTTGGTTTCTTTGAGAGGTCTCGTTTGATAGAGGTAACATCGTAGCTCTATGGGTGATTCCAGGGTAGGTTCATTTGTGCCGTTAATCGTATGCCCATCGTACATGCTGAGTACGTCTATCATCGAAGCGTATTCAGATTCCCAACCAATTCCGAAAACCCGGAAGGAAATCTCCGCATCGGAACTAGCCCAGCTCCATGAAGGGCCAGTTTTATACGATGATTCATCTATGGACTTCCCGCTTACTGGCCTCCATAGAAGATGAGATAATAGTTGAGAACGCCACATGCCTGCGACATATTCGTCGGTGCCTTCTAGTGTATCCCAAATTCGGGACGAAATCGCAGAGATTGCCACGAGCTTATCAGTTTTAACTGATAATGCACACTTTGAATAATGTTCTACTATGTTCGTCCAGTCTTGGTAAATATGACGCCTCATATGTGCAACCAACTCATCCCGAGTAGCTCTTTCAAGACTTGCATATATCTCCTCGATGCGGGACATATCCTCCACCGCGTACTCGCCGTAATGAATATCTCGATGTGTATGCTTGTAGCAAAAACGGCAATTTGGCGACTCGTTATGTCTTGCTTCGGAAGACCCTAATCTGCTCAACTCCAGAAACGTGGGGCTTAAGCTTGGAGGCTTCACGGTAAAATCCTGGTATTGCGGCATGAACTCGACCTCAAAGTCGAGTATGAAAGGGTAGGTTTCGCACTTAGAAGTCTCGGGACATTCCCAGAAGAGCTGTTGACGTCCACAGTGGATTTGTCGTGGTGCTAATAGACGTTCTTGTTGGACCCAAGCTCGCTTGTTCAGTGGTGCTTCTTCAACGTCGCTATTCCACATATCATTATCCAAGAAGAGATATTTCTCTTTGCCTTCTTTTGTATCTAGTGTTATTTCCAAGGGTGAAACTAGTCTGGGATCTCGAGGGTGAAAGCAGCCTTCGCTCGGCCCCCTAGATGCCGTTGCGGCAATATTGCATCTCGAATAGCGGTACACGTCGGCCATGGTCACGCTTTCTCGTTCCCAGTCTTCCTTAGAATGTTGAATAATACACAATGAATCAATCCAGAGGTATTCGCTGCGAAGGAAGCGACATAGGCGGATAGCATCCTGAAACGTCTTGGGAAGGTCTCTAAACGAGATGCCGTTCTTTATTCGATGTTCATATGTCTCCATCGTAAGCTTCGGGATTTTGTTAGGATCTCCCCAACAGTGGCTGAGCGTCATGTACGACCCTTTAGGCTTTTTTATCCGCGTTTCGTGGAGTTCGACATCGATAAGGCTAGAATTGTTATCGCCGAGAGTGTCGTCGCTGAGATTCCCTACGTATAGGAGCCTCGTCGGCCACCACTCGCCGCTAGGGCAAAGTTTTCTGCAGTCTTTGTGATTTTTAATGCAAATTTCTATCCACGAGCGACATAATTCCCACGCCTGGAGACTGTCTGTTGAATTTGGCGGCGAATAATGTTGCTCGCGATATCCTACTAATTCCTTGCGTACCTTCTCTCGCCCTATTTAGTGATACGTCAGTGATGCATGCCATCAGTCACTTTGTCTGGACTGTTTGTATAAGCCGGCATTAGGTAGTAATGACCTACGTGATGAACCTGGATAAGCCAAATGATTGTGCGGAGCTCCCGCTATTATATGAAACGTCCCTCCCCATTGAACAAGTGCTGATCGCTCTTCGAAAGAATATAACTCAAGCAAGATCACGGAGTGGCGCTGTCGGGAAACTTCAATCATACGTCTCCCCCAAAGCTCACCAAAGTCGTTGCGCTGCCATTTATCATAATAAATGAGGCAAATACGGCAGCCGGATTCGGCCGCATCGCGCAGACTGCATACCGTGGGGTGATAGTCGCACTTCAGTTGCTCTGCTTCCTGCGATTCTAAAAGAGAGAAAATCTTCTGGCAGTAGTCGCATAGTAATGGCCCAAACCGCGTTGTAGAGCCGCTTATTTCTTGGTGACTTGGAACTAATTCAGACGCCATGAGAACAGGACGCCGCTGACGCTTACTACTAGGAAGTTCAATAAGTATAATCGAGAAGGATATGGTTATTATAAGCTATGCCATTATTTTCTTCTTTTTTCTTCTTCGTTCTCTTCTTCTTTTCTTTCTTTTTCCTGTTCTTCTTCTTTCTCTTTCTCTTTTTCTTTTTCTTTTTCTTGTTCTTAGAAATATGGGATATATAATTATATACATCTTACCCGTCAGCAAGCACTCTAGTCCAGTCGAACTTCCTCCAGCGTTTTCGAAACCCCTCAGTCCTCCTATCAGACTTGTGCCACCGGCCTTGCTTTTTGATCACGTCCGGCTCCACATCTAACATACCACCCAAAATCTCCCTCGCGAATAAGTCTCCCCTAGGCCATCGATTAGAATCTTCTACTACGTGACCTAGACCTCCATCTAAGGTGAACCACGCATGGAAATAAGGCATTTCTTTAGCAATTGACCTTCTAAACGCCAGTTTGCCTAACCCCTCACGGGCCCGAGCGCCAGTGTCGATTATTTTCTTGTGTTGCGTCCATTCTTCGTCAGCAGTGAGCATTGCCTCCTTGAAAAATGCTGGGGCTGTGTCGCCCTGGTCGTATGGAATGGGCACGGCCTGCATAGTTGCATGCATGTGTCGGTGAGGAGTTGCTGCATTTTCATAGAACACTACTTCCCGGCCTTGCTCATGGTACATTCGTGTTAAACACTTCATGAAATTGCGAATTTCCTCCCATTCGTCATCGTCGCATTCTAATAGGTTGGTTCGGTGCTGAATAGGAACGATTACAGCGCCGCCTTCACTCAATTCGGGCTCTGTAGGTAGTGTTAAGTAGACCCGCGTTGCCAATGAGATTATTGGGGCTATTGGTGGCTGATCCCGGTCTTCGTGGTGGCAGAGCTGACAATTATCTAAGATCTTATTGATCTTTTGAAATTCGCCGACGGCTTGGTTCTTTAGATTGATTTCGGACCTTTGCACGCGCCTCGCTAATTTGTCGGCGTTTTCGTCCATGTATTCGAGATCATCGTCAAATTTCGCATCTTTAGCTATGCGCTCAGCTAGACGCAAGCCATCTCCTCCAGCCTGGCCCCGCGTTCGTCGCTCTTCTCGGATCATGTCTTCGATCGTCATATCATCATTCTGCTCGACATTTCCCCTTTCGCGACCGCGCTTTGTCTCGACGGCTTTAGCTTCACCACGCGTTCCTGCTAACATACGATTCTCCATGACGTTAAGAACAACTGCTTCGGGGTCTTTCGATGCAAAAGCTGCAGCAGCTTGGTTGTATTCCGCTTCCAATTTGGCAGCATCCGGTGCTTTCCTCAGTTTTGCCTTCATCATCTGAGCTTTCAACCGGTTTAGCGTTGTCTGGTCGATTTGCGTTGCCACATGAGCTGTTGCATCATCAGGGATGACAGTGCCTTGGTCTAGATTTGTCGGCTCTGGTGAAGCTAGTCGCTTTTCGTGCACACCTTGGTTCAATTTTCTCTCCTGAAATAATTCGCCGCTGGGTTTCTCCTTACCAACGTAGCCGTCACCGTAGACTTTACGTCGGTCCATCTCGACCTTCTCTTCACGCGCATCATCAAAGTCTCGTAGACTGCCATATCGCTCTAATGCTACCTCATCCAGGGATCTCCCAGTCTGTTCGGTTGTGTTGTAAACCCCATTTAACTTGGTCATTCTCCATTTTGAACCACCGTCGCCAAAAGTGTAGTCAACTTCGTGTTGGGCTGGTAGTTCGATGTCATCGAGGGATTTTCCACTATTTAGCTCCTGTAGTTGTGCTGCATTGATTTCTCGTTTGTGAATTTCTCTCTGCGGCGCTTGGCTAGGTGGCGGCGGTGGCTTGGATTGCTTAGAACCTTTTTGCGTGTAATCGATATCTAGGGCGGATGGTGCAGTCATCCACGAGTCTCGGACCAAGTTCGAAGTAGCCTTAGTTGGTTTTGTGAAGTCTTCCGCAACTAGCTCTTCATCAGGTAATGGTAGATCTTCCTTCGCATCTGAAGTCTTTACATGTCGGTCTCGTTTATCGGAATCGCTTCGATCATCTCTATGGCGTTCGCGCCTGCGATGGCGGTCATCGTCTTTGGAGTGACGCGATCGTTTATGTCGGTGTCCATCTTCGTCGTCGCCTTCGCGGTGGTCATGCGACCTACGATGCCCATGGTGGTGACTATCGCGGTCGCGATCGCGTTCTGTTGATCGATCTCGTCGGTGATGGTGTCTATGCTTTCGATGTTTCTTCTCATCTGCGCGTTCCCTTTCAGTTTTCTCTGCAGCAAGAGTTTTTTCAAACTCGTCGAGGCCGTCCATCCTGAGATGATTATATGGTGGTGAATGACGCAAGAAAAGATTCCAAGTTGATATGACGACAAGCTCGAATGATAATCGAAGAACTGATTAAATAAATATTTTTTATAGAAATGTGAAGCTGGTAGAAATCGGTTTATCGCTCTTATGCAGATATAGTGGGTTGATATCGGGTTCTGAGTTTGATAGTTCTTACCCGGCCCAATAATAGTTTAAAACTGGTGTACCTTATTTCCTATCCAATCAATGTAGGAAGGCACTAAGCGGATTGAAAAAGCAATCGAATAAAAGTTAAAAAGGTGTTCACCTGGGAAATCGAACCATTACCTTGTACAAGCAGTGCTAGTGATGAGTCAGCCAGATTTTAGCGAGGTTGGTCAAACAATTTTAGTGCATTAAAGCGATGACTACAACAGCTCGACCATACGGTCCGACCATTCTAGTTTTCCCTCCCCCACTAACTTCTCCGACCCACAAAAAGAATCATCCCTCTCTTTTTTTCATTGATTACATCCCCGGCCCTCCTCCATTCATCATCCACTTACAAGCCAATCTCACCAACGAGTCTCATCCAGCCAGTATATTGGTTTGATAGGGGGATACCAATAATTGTATTCAATTTTGCATTGCATTGAGATTGCCTACTCGCCGACAGTTTTATTTTCTCTATTTGACTCACCTAGTGGCTTCCCCATTAGGGGTCGCGTCGCTGGACGAGCTTCGCGATATTCATTTGATTGGCATCACTTTTCTGTAAACCACTTACACCCACACTTACACACCTACCTACTCTTTACTACTTCTACGCTCGCCTATGTACTCACACCTTCAATCTTCGTCTTAGATACACCCTTGTACCATATTACTTTCATAATATCGCAATCATGTCTTCATTTCTAAAACCCATGAAGAGAAAGGGAGCAGTTCAATTTAGACCAAGAGGAACTGCTCCTAATGATCGCATCAAAGAAGTGTTGAATCGGGGTCGTATGGAAGAAGCGAGGGCGAGTCCTGTCTCTACAACACCCACGCCGGCGAATCCACCCACTTCGGATAGAACCCCCTGTCCAAACCCTCGCTGTCCTAATCCCTCCGCACCGATTACCGATGGCTTTTGTTCTGCTTGTGGTCGTGAAATCGATTCATCCAACATTGTTGCCGAGGTTCAATTCGGCGAAACTTCATCCGGTGCTGCCGTTGTCCATGGAAGCTTCGTTGGAGCAGATCAGGGGACTGTCACTAGAAACTTAGGGTCGCAATACCGACGTTTAGGTGGTGGGCTTAGTGATGCTCGAGAGAAGACTATCCGTGAAGGTACGTTGAATTCTAAATAAAGCGATATATAACCAATGATTTAAATAACTAATTCTTGTATAGCTAGAAATATGATGATCGGCTTTGCTCATCAGCTCAAGGAAATACCTCCAAATGCCGTCGACGCCGGCATCCAGATCTTCAAACTTGTTATGGAAGAGAACTGGCTTCAGGGGCGAGGCATGGATAAGGTTGCTCCTGTGTGCCTTTACACAGCTTGTCGTAGAGAAGACAGATGCAAAGTTATGCTCATCGACTTCGCCGAGCTTGTTCATGTAAGTAGTATACACTATGTTTTCTCATTCCCCTTACTTTTCTAACTCACATCCAGGTGAATGTTTATGAGCTTGGTCACATTTTCAAGGATCTGAATAGCATCTACTCCTTTCAAAACAACAATGTCAGGACGATAATTCCGGAAGATCTTATCTACCGCTTCTGCTCAAAGCTTGATTTCGGTGACTTCACAAACAAGGTTGCAGCCGACGCAACAAGGCTTTGCCAAAGAATGGGTAGAGATTGGATGGTTATGGGCCGTCGACCTTCTGGAATTTGTGGAGCCTGCATTCTCATGGCTGCGCGAATGTGGAATTTCCGTCGTACCGTCCGAGAAGTTGTTTACGTCGTCAAAGTCACGACTCATACGATTGAACAACGTCTAGATGAGTTTAAAGTGACTGAGAGTAGTGAGTTGTCAATCGAGGATTTCTTAAATCAAGAATTCCTAGAATCTCGTCATGACCCCCCTGCGTTCTATAAGGCGACCCAAGAATGGCAGGAGAAGATGGAAAAGGAGGGAAAGATTAAGAAACGAAAGCGCGACATCCAAGATATTGATGGTGATGAAATCGGATCGGGCTCGGATGCTGGGACACCAGCACCGAATGGTTCCACTGCAACACCTCGAGCTTCATCCACATCGTCTGATATGCCGCCACCTCCAGCTCCTCGACCCCCTCCTGATGTTTCGAGACTGCGCCAAGTCTCTGAGTATTTACCAAGGTCCTTTGACAGCACCGAAGGAAGAGAACTAGTCGCCCCGTTCGACCCTGACAGAATGCCAAAGCCAGCTCGTCGAAAGGGTATTGCTGCTAGAGATATTGCTACGTGTCTGAATGCTGAAAACCCGGATGCCGACGAGGCAATGGATGAACTAGCTGCGGAGTACGGTTCTTCTGAGGCTCAACCTGATAATGATCAAGATGTAGAGGAAGAGGAAACAGCCCAACCCGAAACCAAACGACGTGGTCGCAAAGGATCGGCTCAGCCACAACTCACTTTTAACGAAGAGTGGGAACGAGATGAGACCGAACTAGAGGAACAGATTAACGAAGTAATAAACGACCCACATAGTGATGAGCATAGAAAAGCTTTAGCTACAGCTGCGCATGTTGCTCACATCAAAGGCGAGTGGGCACGGTCTTTGCTTCCACAAAGGAAGCTAAAAACGGATGAGATCATTGGTGAGGATGAATTTGCCGATGACCCGGAGGTCCAATTCTGCCTACTCTCGCCATCGGAAGTAAAAATAAAGGAGAGCATATGGATCAACAAAAATAAGGATTGGTTACGCAAGAAACAGGAGAAAGACTATCGGAAGCAGATGGAGGAACTTGGACCTCCGAAGAAGAAGCGCACTCGCGTAAAGAAACCACGAATCGGCGAGGGTCAAACCACGCCAGCTTCTACTCCGGCCGAGGCAGCGAAAGAAGCTATGAGGAAGCGAAGCACTTACTCAAAGCGAATTAACTACGATGCTATTGATGACATATTTGGCAAGGACGAAACTCGCGGTCCTGGCTCCGTGGCATCTCATAATAACAGTGAGGCTGTCAGTCGCGCCGGCAGTGTGGTCAACGCGAACGGTGACAACGAAGCGGAGAACGAAGAGGTTGTGGAAGGAGAAAACGAGGAGGTGGGAGACGAGCAACCGGTGGAGGTGTACGATGAGTATTACGAGGATCAAGAGCAGACGGTTTACGATGAGACAGGATACGACGACGATAACTACGGCGGTGATGACTATGGTGAGGAGGAGTACTATTAGTTAAGTACGATCCTCGTCGCTGATTGCTGAGTTGGTAGATCTGCGCATACCCGCCTGAGTACCCTAGGTGGATAGCGTATTGATCAATGATGGCTTGCCTTACTTGATGTACATTTATTTCACATACAAGACAGCCTCTGAATATGTAGCGATATAAGATCTTGCTAGTTACGACATTTTGCGCTTAGTCGTAATAGTAACTTCTTATAATCAACGTTTTGACTACAGACTTTGGTATGACTAATAGGGTCCTACAAATATGAAATCAACTATGTGAAGAAACAGTCGGCCGGAGGATGTATCATGGGGCGGATAATGGACGCGAGGACCCAAGGTAAACGCCCACTACATGCATTCGACCAACTCAACTGCATTGCACCAAAGCAAATCACAGAGGTGCGAGTGATGCAGAGTATTATAGCTTCGGGGTATCGACAATTCTTTTATATTCACGAAAAGATCCCTTAACACCACAATTGCATGCAATTCCAGACGCCCGACCGCTTTCTTTTTCATTTGTCCTACATTTATAGTAGGCAGATAGATATCTACTCCCTCTGCAACACAACCAATAACCCCATAATCCCCAACATGACCGTCTTCAACCAAGGATGTTCACTCAGCATAATCGTCACATACCCCACAAACGGTACATATGCAACCACACTCCCAATAATATCCTTCCGCTCAAGATAATCCTGGCCCCGCGCGTATAACTCCGTATCATCAGCCGCGTTGTTATCCCCCTTTGTAAGTAAACGCGCGTGCGAGCCGGTGCCGAACTTACGAACGACGCGGTGCACTATGGGGATGTCTTTTCCGGCGACGTTGTATACTACGACTTCGCCGACGTCGGTTTCGGCGAGGATGTTGCGGTTCCAGAGGAAGAGGAGGTCGCCGCGTTGGAAGGCGGGTTCCATGGACCCGGATAGGACGACGACGATGGGGGAGGGGGAGTCGGCGAATACGGATAGGCCTTTCCACATCTGTGTTACGTGTAAGTTAGATTGAGGGTAAAGCATGTGACGACGCTTATAAGTTAGACAAGCACGGGGAGAGAACGTACCATGAACGCGGTGGATAGGATGAGGCCGAAGTTTAGCAGTTGAGCGGCTGCTTGCCGCGGGTTTTGAAGACCTGATAGCATTTTTGGTATTTTATATTTTATGGTATTATGGAATTGGGTATCGTCGCTTATGTTGCTGGCCTCGACAAGTTTGAGGCCAGCTTGAGGAATTGATGGAATTGGTGGAATTGAGCTGTGTAACTATAGGTATAGGATTATGGAAGCTTGGAGCGAAAGTGGCCTTAACTTGCTTGTCATAATTCTTATCGATAAAAGGCACTTGTCAATTCGGTCGGCGGACCGGCGCACAGTTGGGGAATAATTTGGACCAATGAGATGGCATGCTCACACTAGTCTGGCTTGTTTCGGTAGGTATCCCTTGTCGACCCACTTGGTGACAGGAACATGCATGGATTGATGCAGTACCCAGGTACTTGTCCAAGCCGTCGAAGTTGACTTTATATTGAAGGTGCAAGTATATAAGGCCTCTACATGTATGAGGCAACCGTGGGAAACCTGAGGGTAAGGGACATTGTAAGAGATATTCGCAGTTTCCTCTCACGATAGACAAGTCCAATTTATCTCTTTCCTCAGCTGCATGATCTATGTAGCTCGTTACTGCTGCGAGTTGTTACTGTAGAAGGCACAAACTTCCCCTAGAGTAACTTATGTATCAGTCTCTACTTCCAAATCTCGCTTCGAGTTGCACTGTTCTTGATCTCCTAGCTAGCGTGACGACTCGCAGCTTCATGCTACTCCTCCATTCAAGCTTCAATGCTCAACTCTCTTCTACTCTCATGCTTCTTGTCATCTTAAACCTGAGATGTAAAACCTACTACGTATTATCCACCCCCTTCTTTTCGAAATATAATCAACTATATCTATTCCCGAGTCTACATAGCCCCACGTAGCCATCGCTATCATGTCTAACACAACAGACAGAACACCTCTGCTCCCATACTCAGCGCACGCAGAGAGCCACCACAGCCAATCCTCGTCGGATAGTCACGTAAATCCCCCCTCCCGACCCCCCCTGTTGATATATGCCAAGAGTTCGTCTGACCTCGGGCAGCCGATCTATCTTCGAGCATGTCACTCATCATGGCGCGCTATCGACCAGAGATTTCTCTTACTTCTTCGTTTCGTCTTCACCAGTTACCTCTCTGCTGTGTTTGGCGTTGCGCTCAAATACAAGCTCGAGACTGAAGATGAACATACCCGTTGGCGTATCCCATTCCAATTCTCGAGCGTTGCCTTCTTGACACAGTGGGCATGGCATATGCAGACAACCGTAAGCATAGTTTTTATCTGGCACATCAGTAATAACGCTGACACAAGCCTTAAAATAGCTCTGGACGGCGATGCATCTTGCCTTTCCGAAAGCAATTGAGGTTGATCCACGAGAATGTCACGGACACAAAGCTAGGGCATACACCCTTCGCTTTCTATCGCCGCCAAACCGAGCGAATTGTTCTATTCGTCGATACCTCTTCAGCATGTTTTACACAACTGCCCACGTATTCCCCTTTATGAACACATTGTTGTATTGGGGTGTTCTTGTTCCCACTGGGCATGGGGGTTTCAAGGCACCAAAGTTTCCTCATCGTCACGAAACGGCTCTACCGAACGGCAATGTGACCATCGCATACGACCCGAGTAAGTGGTATACAACCGGTTCACCTCTTATATCAATTGGAGTGAGTACTAATAGGAATAGGTAAGGGGTTGTTTGACGAGGATACGATCAAGTCATTCAGCCTTATCAATATGTCGACCATCACGTCGGTCATCGCGCTTATTGAGATTGGCTTCCTCAATAGCATCCGTCGACAAACAGTAAGTGCTCATTTAGCATATTCTGAAGGTGTGTTTGGTTACTGACCGATATTTCAATCAATAGCCGGTTACAGCTCACGCAGTTGGCGTCATGTTTGCCAGTGGCGCATACCTTGCCTGGGCGGGACTTGGCAAAATTGCTACCGGTCACTCCGGGATCTTTTTTCTTGACCCTGAGCTCATGAAGGACGCACCGGAGTCCATCATCGCGGCGTGTATCGCTTTTGTTGCTATGACCCCTGGAGGTAAGGTTTCTTAATCTTTAAAAAGTTCGATATGCTGACGGTACTCAAACAAAATAGTTTTGACGTATATGTACGGGTTGGTAGCGATGCGCGAGACACTTACTGCAGCGCATCATGATTCGTCTCGTTGATCGAGACTCTTTGATACGGAATAGCGACCGGTTCGGCTAATGGTAAATCGGTACGGCTTGTTTTTTGAGGTGTTACCTGCGTTAGACATGAGAATCCAGCAAGGGACGGGCATGGCTGCTGACGGCGAACAAATCGTGGACGCTTTTTGACTCATTGAATATTGACCTAGAGCAAGTAGTTTTATTAATTGTATGATAGCCTATTAGTGGAGTTAAACGTGGGTATCGAGTCTGAATATGGACCTGAATAGTTGGAACAAGCAAGGACAAAATTGACAGGGTCCTATAGAATAACCTCAAATGATGGCGACGTTTCCATAATGCTCTTCTGTTCAAATGGTGAATTCGTGTGAAATAACCTGGGAATAATTATTAGGTAGGGTTCAGCCATTAAAGTACCTGAACACCATTAAAATCCCTGCCTTGTCTTACCCGACTTTTCGGATCATGGGGGTTGCCAACCCCACGCCAAACGAAACATCCTTCTTTTTTCAAAGCTACGAGAGTACCATCATGATCCGATAGGTACTATCATACATATGTATTAAGCGAGGACCAAACATAGTTTCATGATCAAAAGCCAATTTGTCGAAGGTACAAAACTAATGCATCAAAGTCTTGAGCTTCGAGGCTGTGCATTTTAATTGTAACAGTGGGACAAAACCTGAATCTCTCCATCTATCATCATTGGCGCCACCACCGAAGATCCGATGAAATCATACCCAACCATCGTAGCATTTCGTTTGTTTCGTACCATAACTGCGACCGTCTTAGAATAAAATACTACCCTTGATATCCTTTCTACCTAGGTACGCTAAAGATTTATTATTTTCGGATATTTTTATCTAGTTTCCCTAGCTTCGTATCATTATTCCGTGCTGTCAGTCATGGAATGCTTCACATCTATCAATAAAAATATGGCCCCCACGTGGTAAGTTACCCAATCGTACCTTGTTCTTAGCTTCCCAGTCGGTTGGTGTCATTGGAGTCATTGACAAGGACCCCCTTGACCAGCTGGGTCGCATCCATGATGAGGCGGACAGACCAAGACTTGTTCAATAGCGACCTAGGCAGACAGGGGGATGATTCATCCTGTTGTGCTTTGTAGTTACCTGGCTGTTGCCCGACGAAGCTGTCGATTTCAGATGTACTGCAGCTGACGAAGGCTCACAGAGGTAAGAAATCGACCTATGAAGAATCAGGGCTCATATTAATTGCGGCAGTGTGCCATAAACGCAAGCCGATGCGTTGATCTGAGACCTGAATTAGCGAATCAAGATAGAAAAGACAGGGGTCTAGGGTCTTTACCGCTATCATGGATGGTAGCGATGGTAGCGTCAACAGATAGGATAGGAATGGTGGGATAAACCGGCCTGGGGAAGGGGAATCCACACACCCATCTTCATCCATTCCGTCCATCCATTATAACCACCCACCCATCCACTACGTTCTATCCACCCACCTAGCTACCTATACTAAGGCGGCAGGCAGTAGTAGACAGGTAGGGATTATTGCTGGATAGATTGTGAGGCCCTACTGCGTGAGTGAGGCCCTGGAATTAGGCCCCCTGAGGCCTGTAAAGACGGACAGATAGCAACCTGAAGAAGAAGAAGAATATGCGGCTAAAATATTACAACATGGTCACTTTAGAAAATAGTATAAATATCGCCAACACCCCCCTCCAATTCTACCCCCCTTTCCTTTTTGTTCTTCCTCCCCACCACAACCACCAGGGTCGCAAAGCTACCTCCAAGGATATCTCCAGATACGTTCGTTCACTCTCGAATTGACTCTGGAATAGACCGCCCGGACCCCTGTCAATCTTTTTTTTTTGTGCGTCGACTTTTTTCTCATCATTTTCCCCCCATTCTCTAAGTCTATCGAAGGAACCTCTAGAATATACGCTCTTTTCGTCGCTCTCTAGTCAATTATACATATAGAAGAAGGGACAATTTTCGAAATTTCCCTTACCTCATAACATCCCGAGCCGAATAAACGACGAATTATCGTCAATCACGCTGTCTCGATTTCTTTCGCTAATACGTACTATTTCAACCGCCAACATGTTCAAACGCTCGTTCCGGTCCGCGGACCGAGTCGACAAGTCGGCGAGGCTAAAGAAATCCAACAACGGGAACAATACGGTTCGGGATCCTCAGAAGCTGGCGAAACTGCAGCGGTCGCTTGAGGAGATTCTTCCCGCTAAGAAGACCCTTAACTCTCCTATTGTCACTTTGACGGTTGGTAGAGAAGCGCGACTGTTCGCGGCCCACGAGGAGGTTCTATGTCAGTCACCCTATTTCGAAAGGGCCTGTCGGGACCAATACCTTGAGGCGCAGGGCAAGAGGATTTCCCTTCCGGACGAAGAACCCGAGATCTTCTCGGCAATACTCGAGTACCTCTACAAGGGTGACTATTACCCACGCTTGATGCACAACAAGCACCGAAACTCTTGGGAACTCGAGGACGCCGTGAGATCACCCGACCCTTCAGAAAACAACCGAGCTGGCCGCGGAGCCGTCGAGGCCACAATGTATGTCTCCAGCGTGGGCCAGTACCTCCTACGGGATACTGTCGTCTATTGCGCCGCCGATAGGTTCGGACTCGAAGAACTCAAGCGCCTGTCTCTTCGGAAGCAGGGGCTACAGAGCGGCATCGATGTCGGAACGATCCTTCGGTCGGCCCAGTACGCCTACGACAACACGCCGGACACGGACTCACGGCTACGCGCTCATTATCTCGCCCTAATCATCCGATGTCGCAAGACGTTTAAGAGGAGTGGAACCATGCAAGCAGAGATGGAACGGGGCGGCAAACTCTTCTTCGACCTATTCGTGGCCATGTGCAACCATCTCGACGACGTCGTGGAGATGAGCAATGCTCGGACACCAAAGACGATCTAAAGATCTACAACGACAACATAACAAACATGAACCCACTGAATATCTGGTCCCTTGAGGGGTGAAATATACGGCGTTGAACGAAGTGATTTTATTGTTTTGATATGGCGAGGAACGAAACGGAACTGTCATAGGGAAGGGATGATTATTTGCTTTTCCTTGTCTTTGGATTCTTCCCTCAACTCAGTCTCTCCCGGATATTAAGTCATCAGATTGGAACACCATTTGGGAGATAACATCACTCCACTTCTTGTCGAGGTTGGCCGACCAATTTTTTGATGATTTTTATTTTATTTGGGAATGGACACGGGGGTTATGAACGTACACGGTTTGCTTATATCATTTATCCCCTTGACTCTCCTTTTTTCTATCTAATGACCCTCCGAAACATTCACACGCTCAACTTCATTTTCACATACAACACCCTCATGGTTTTTCTGGTCTTATAAACTAGGCGTTTTTGGATTATTTTCTATCGGGCCCTGTTGGTTTTGCTTATTTCGCAGGACGAAGGGGAAGTCTGTAAGGAAAGAAACAACAACATCACCAAACGGTTTAGAAGGCTGGGAAAGGAGGAAAGGTTTGCGGCTACAATGCTTTTTTTTGCGGATTTGTCTTTTTTCACAACACACAGCGTTGCTTTTTTATTTGATTTCCCACCAAGCGAGTTCACGTTACCGGCGCAATATGATACCACCAGATTGTCATCAAATTTGATATTTTGGAAGCAACTCGCGAAAAAAGGAAAGCAAAGCCGAGAGGAGAGACAAATTGGAACACATAACATACGCACCACAGGCTGGGCGCGCCTCTTCGCCGCCGTTATCCATCTTCTATGTTCTTCAAGCGCAAAATCAACGAACGAACAACAACAACAACAACAAAAAAAAGAAACATCCCCCCACCCACAATCCCCTATTCCATACATAAATTATCCTCTGCTTGCGGAGTGAGAAATATTAGGAAGAAAGGGATGGACAAGGTAAATTGGAGAGAGTGAGAGTGAGAGACTGCTGCTGAAGCTGCAATGGTTCTGCTAGTGCTACGATTAAAAAGATGCTGGCATCATGACAATGATTATACTACTGCCCGGTCTTGACGACTGGGCAGCCGGGTAAAAAAAAGAAAAAAGATATAAATCCTGTCCCTAGTGGATGGGTATCACAGCTCTAAAGCCCTCCTGGGTGAGATCAATGAGAGATTCGGCCACCTCAATAATTGTCTTCTTCATGCACTGTGATGCGTGGTATGTTTGCTATCATCAGTGATCTAATTTGCGTATTCGGTATGGGAATATCCATTCTGACTCATTATCGTAAATTGTGGTAGAAGGTAAGATAACAAGATAACAGACCAAACTATAGTAGGTATTTTGACTTCACATAGCTAAACTTACAGTATATATAATGAAGATAGTTTAAACACGGTCCAGTTACATCAGCGCACCCAAGCACCATACCCAGATAGATCCACTAACAATAGGCACTGTCAATCACTAGCTCGTGCTGCCCCACCACCCCGCAGTGGTTGATCAAAGGTGGGATGAACGTTAATATTAGTAAATATTTTTCGACTCAAGCTTTCTAACCTTCACCATCTCTCCTTCATCTCTCTTCACATTTCTCACATCTTTCAAATAACACTCTTCAACGCCTATACCGTCATTATTCCAATCCAAATCCATCCAAGAATCTCAAATACACAATCAAAGACACGATAGAAATGGCGTCGTCCTCTGCGCCCGAGGCCTCGGCTTCGACTTCTACTGCCGCACCCGCAGCCGCGACCTCGAACACACAAGAGCCTGTCGCAATTGTCTGTGTCGGAATGGCGGGTTCAGGGAAGACAACATTCATGCAGCGCATTAACGCGCATCTACATGGGAAGCGCGAGCCTCCCTACGTCATCAACCTCGACCCCGCCGTGCTCAGCGTACCCTTTGAAAGCAATATCGACATCCGAGATTCCGTCAACTACAAAGAGGTTATGAAACAATACAACCTCGGACCCAACGGCGGAATTCTGACCTCGTTGAACCTCTTCTCTACCAAAGTCGATCAAATTCTGCAACTGCTCGAGAAGCGCACTGCTCCTGACCCCGCCAACCCGAGCAAAAAATTAATTAAGAACGTTCTTGTAGATACGCGTAAGTATTCTCTTTCTGAATCACCCATTTACGCATAGCGCAATTACTAACATATTTTTACATAGCTGGACAAATTGAGGTCTTCGTCTGGTCCGCCTCAGGCCAGATTCTCCTTGAGTCGCTCGCCTCCACCTTTCCGACTGTAATTGCCTACATTATCGATACTCCACGCACTGCCTCCACTAGCACCTTTATGAGCAATATGCTTTACGCCTGCTCAATTCTGTACAAGACTAAATTGCCGATGATCCTGGTCTTCAACAAGACCGACGTTAAAGATGCCTCTTTCGCCAAGGAATGGATGACAGACTTTGATGCATTCCAGGCCGCGCTGTCGGGTGACGAGGCTGCTAACGCCTTCGGTGGTGTTGAGGGAGAAGGTGTTGGTTCCGGGTACATGAGCAGCTTGCTCAGCTCTATGAGCATGATGCTGGAGGAATTTTACGCTCACTTGAGCGTCGTTGGTGTTTCGTCTATGACCGGTGCTGGCGTTGACGAATTCTTTGCGGCCGTCGCAGAAAAAGCAGAGGACTTCAAGAAGGATTACCGCCCCGAACTCGAACGAAGACGTGAAGAACGTGAGGGCCAGAAGCGCAAATTGCGCGAAAAGGAACTCGAGAAAATGATGAAGGGGATGTCTATGGGCTCTACTGGGACTAGCGCTATCGACAAGTTACCTCGCGTGGACGATGATGAGGATGACGACATGGTGGATAGTGATGATCGGGATGATGATGACTACGTGGACGTGGACGATGAATACGACCGCGAGGGCCTGCAATCTCGATACGAGGCTGCTATGTCGAATAACGACACAACGATGGAGGATGAGGCCAGTTTTGCGAAGTTCCTCCACCGTCAACGACAGGGCTAAAAAAAAAAAGGCATATCTCGGTATTGGTCATTGTCATATTGGGATCACACCGGTTCACGGAGTTACTGAGGTTATATAAAGGCATGGATTTGGCGTAAATTGATGATACCAATTTTCAGATTTACTAAAAATTCTCTAAACTTAAGTGCTTATGCATTTTGCCGTAATGAACTCCCAAACTCCATTTTCCTAACGTATTGATTGTGATGAGGTTGGCGAGTATAGAAACATCCTGTAGAACTCCTCACATAATGGTGTATGCTAAGACTCTGGGCCACGGCTTGGTATTCCCATCGCAAAATCAGGGCCGACCATCCATCTGCCGTAGTGAATTTGTTCAACTGCCAACCGTCAAAGCTGTCTCCGAACTATTCGCTCGCCTGAACCATCCATCTCTCGTTTCGCTCGCTGATCAATCATCGCGCCTCGAACTGAACCATTCTATACCAGAGTTAGCATCTCTTACTCAACGCGCTCAAAACTACAATTCTCCCCCCTCATAAACCACCAGCATCAAACAAGAGCGAAAAAAAGAAAAACTTACCGCTTCGTCCTCTCCTTATACAAAACGCGACATCCGCACTCCTTGCAACGAATAGGATCGGTGCGTTTTAGCGGGAATTTGGTCCCGCAGTCGCCGCAGATGTAGTGGATGCTGGCGCCGCCCGCGCCGACGCTATTATCGATGTCGAAGGCGCTGGGGCGCGGCGCGTTGCCCGAGGCGCCTTGGGAGGAGGTGGGGATTTGGTAGGTTTCGCGGGGGGTTGAGGAGGACATTTTTCGTTCTTGTTTTGCTCTGCTTGGGTGAAGCGCGGGATGTTGCAGGTGGTTCGGATGGTATGTAGTGTTCCTTAATTGTAGAGTAAACGTGGGATATCTTGTCGCGGTGATGTTTCGCAAGTCGATGTGTAGACAAAGGTGATGTATTGGTGATGGTTAGGATGGATTGCGCTGGAGGACCGATTGACAATCAATAATGAAAAAAAGGCGGTGGAGATGTCGAGGGGCGGCAGAATTTTAGCGCTTACCCAGGTACCTAGAAGGTACGTACTGTGCCGAGGACAATCGCTGAAGATAACGTTATGCGGGGGTGTTACCAACTAAAGTTTAATGTTACACATAAGTTCCGGGGTATTTACAGGGAGCTCTTCAATTGGAAATAATATACGTCAGTTTTAATAAGAAACATCATTTCTCACTTTTAATCTAGATCACTTTCTATCCCCTAAGACTTCATCCCGTTTCTCACCATTAATCGTTTCATCATTGCTTCAATCTTTATCATTCAATTGTAGAATAATATGTATTCATAGCAGCCTGTACCTCTCTTCTATATTCTTACACGCTCTACAGGAAACACCAAAGCTCTTTACTCTCTTCTAGCTACCTAGGCACATATCATACACCCGCAATGGCATCAGACGAAGACTCCAAAATAATCCCACCCTTCGACCCCGGCGCCATTCCCTCCGAAAACGAAACTCAATGTCCCTTCTGCGTAATATCAAATAGCTTCAACCCCTTCGACCCCTCCCACCCACCACCCTCAACATCCCCCTCCATCGACCCAACCAAGCTCTCTCCACCATCCTTCATCATCCTCTCAACACCAACCCTAATTGCCTTCCTCGACATCATGCCCCTATCCCCAGGCCATTTACTCCTATGTCCACGCGCGCACCGCCCCAAACTAACCGACGTGACACCCGACGAAGCGAGTTCCCTCGGCGCATACCTACGCATATTATCAGCAGCGCTGGTCCGCGCGACAGGAGTACCCGATTGGAATGTAGTACAAAATAACGGAGCTGCTGCAGCGCAGGTCGTGGGGCATGTACATTACCATTTGATCCCTCGACCGGAAATACGGGCTTCTGGGCGGTTTCGGGAGAGTTTTACGATGTTTGGACGGGGTGTGAGGGAGGATTTAGATGATGAGGAGGGGGTTGTTTTAGCTGAGAGGTTGAGAGGGTGTGTGGCGGAGGTTATTGAGGAGGAGGGGAGACGGGGGAGGTTGTGAGGGAGTAGGGAATGGATGATAAAAAGTGAAAGAAATATCATAACAGTCGAGTGGCATTACGAAGGTATTTATGGTGGATTTTTACTCATTAAAGATCTATCTGTCTAAATACACACGACAGTGGCACGGCAGACGTCGAGTACCACAGTGCCTGGGTATACAACGCCGTCCCTACCCCGGAATATCAGCAAATTACTCGTCATCGCCGAAGAATACCTTCACAGGCAACCAAGCATCACCACAGACCTTGAAGCGATCCTTAAGGTTGTTTAACTTCTGAATCTCTTCCGGCGTCAACTCCCATCCGTCGATGGCGAAGTTACTCTCGATTCGTTCGGGAGTGATAGACTTGGGAATCACGTCCCAACCTTGTTGGATACCCCATAGGAGCATAACTTGTTGCGGTGTCTTGCCCTTGCTCTCGGCGATTGACTTAAGAGTCTCGTCCTTGTAAAGGGGAGAGTTGGTGCTACCGAGGCAGGAGTAGCCTGTGCAGTGAATGCCCTTCTCCTTGCAGTAGGCGACTAGCTTTGGTGAGGGGTTATTGGGGTGAAGCTCGATTTGGTTGACAGAGGGCTTGATCTAGAATGATGATATGGTTAGCTTTCACACCAATTTCGGTTATAAATGGATTTGGAGCTTACCTTGCACGAAGGGTCGTTTAGCAACTTCTCGAGGTTGGTAATACCGAAGTTGGAAACACCAATGTTTCGAACTTTACCAGTACCGACTAGCTTCTGCATCTCACGCCAGGTATCGATGAAGTTCCAGTCGTCATAGTGCTTCTTGAGATCATCGGGGCGAGTAGAGCTAGGCCAGTGCATTAGATATAGGTCGACGTATTCCAGGCCAAGGTTCTTGAGCGAAGCATCAATACCCTCAGCAACGCGCTTGTGCCAGGGGTTGTCAAGCTTGGTGGTGATCCATAACTGTTCACGGGGAACACCTGCAGCGCGGATACCCTCACCAACTTCGGACTCGTTTCCGTAGGCGAAGGCGGTATCGATGTATCGGTAACCGACCGAAATGGCGTGCTTGACAGCTTTAGCAGTCTCGTTCTTGGGCGACTGCCAGGTACCTAGACCGATAGCGGGGATCTTGTCGCCTGAGGCGAGAGTGAAAGTCTTGCTATTAGGATGTTAGATGATGTCACATGTCATTTCTGCACTCTACAAGACTGGCGTACTTACCTAGTGTTCTTGATTTCTGCCATTGTATCGTCAAGATATGTCCAAGTCAGGAAACGAGAATGATCTGGTAAAGACTGAATATCTATCAGGGACGTCTCTGTCTTAATATTTATATATAAACATGAGTTGACTAGATGCGGGGAGATTGTCCAAGTGGAAATAAGTAAAAGTAATAGTAAAGTAGTATGCTTTTTCTAGTTACTTCTATCTTCCTAGCTTGGTCAAGCTCAAACATAGCGTTTTCTTCTTTTACTTTTAACATCAAAGTATGACGCAGAGGAAACCCACAATACATGTACTTTATATACATACATGTGTGTATGCATATCATGTACATCATGCGTATCATCATCGGCAAGGTACCGATTGTACCTGGTTTTATTACTATACTACCAGACTACATAGCATAGTAACTCGGGTGGGGGGATCTATTTCCCAGCTACTCGGGTAGAAGGGGAAGAAAGTGTTACGCTTTTCGGATTGCGACATCCGCTTGTAATTTTGATATTGTTCGCTTGGTGTACATATATCTCTTTGATGACCAAGCAATTAGCAACATAACATTTTGATATTTGTTAGTCAAGGTACAATCTAAAGACAAGAGCGATTTCATATTTAGAATTTGTCCGTCTTGGTACTTTTGCAAATAGTTTAGGAAAGAATACCTGGAAATAGATATGGAGACAACTTAGTGCCAGCTGTAAAACTTGCCTATTCTGTTCTAAACGCGGACCGATTGGCGAATCATAAGTTTCCACTATCACCACTAATTATAGGCGCGCCAGTGAAATTGAATCTGTGAATACAGTGCAGCATCGTGAGAATTACAGTTAGGAAGAACCCAACTAGTTTCCGAATTAGATGTATCAATAGCATCACTATTCTACTTCGTTAGACAAAAAAATGATTTGAGTATATTCACTAAATAGCGTATTGGGAATGATCCACCCTTGACTAACTTAAATACGTAGTATATATACTGCTCTAGGACCAATTTTATCAAGATACGACGAAGACGAATTTGTCGACTTAGGCACTGGTGGTTTAGTGGTAAAATCCATCGTTGCCATCGATGGGCCCCGCGTTCGATTCGCGGTCAGTGCATTTCTTTTTCACCAATTCAACTCTTTTGCAATAATCAATATTGTTTATTTTCTTTTCCTTTATTCTCCTTTGCTTCACCCTGCTCCGCCCTCCTTTTTTCCCCATTGCTTCATACTCCTAACCTAAGGATTCACATAAGCAGGCACACCCTTCCCCGCGCCGTCTACCCGTCTAATCGGCAACCCTTCTAAGTCCAACCCATCTAACACGCGCATATTAATCGGCGACCAGTTCAAAAATTTCGTGACCCAGGCTCGTTTGTGTTCTTGCGGAAACGCGGCGATTTCCTCGGGTGTGTAATTGGGAAGGTAGTTTTGGATAGGCACGCCGCAAATCCGGCAGAAGGTCTTGCGCCAGTAGTCTCGGCCGAAGGCGTAGTATCCTATGATTTCTGGGGAGCTGGGGAGGATGGAAACTTGGGACTTGGAGGGGTATATCCATAGGTATGCGTTCTAGATGTGTTAGTGGTGGGATATGGAAAAGATAGGTGGAGGGGGGAAAGTAATGGGGGACTTACTCGGATGCATATACTGCAATTGCAGTCGAGGAGATTTTCGTCGTAGGTGCTATCGATGGGCTTTGATTTCAATGCGAGTGTGATGGCGCCGCAGTGGCAGCTACCGGTGTATAATTTTGCTCCCTCGATCTGAGCTGAGGGTTCTTGGCCGGTGAATTTAGCGGGTGTCCAGTCTGATGGTGATACTGCTTCGCTCTCGATACCGGTGAGGTTTAGCATGGCATTTCGTGCTGCAGTTTAAAAGTAGGAAGGACGACTTACGGTTTTGTCTCAAGGTCCCACACATTGAAGTTTTGAAATGCTCGTAGCTGGAAATGTTGTGAGGTGCCATTGTGAGCGCGGTATAAGATAGCATGGACTTACATTCACATAAGACTTGTCGTCCACACGGAACAAGTCGGTACAGCAATTGGGGCAAAACTGTTTATAAACACCAGTCATCAGCCTTAATACTCAATGGTTCCTACCTAGATATTCATATAAGAAGAATATCCAGCCCACCAGATGCTTAGTATTCCCGAAATGATAGGTCGTTAGAGTGCCGTAACCACCCTTCACAAATGCAATATCATTAGAATCGGGCGGACATTGAAAAATGCCTCCTCTCTTGTAGCAATAACTGCAGTTGCATACTAGACCAGCCTTCACCTCCGGAAGGTTGACTTCGTAGACGTAGGCGGCGCAATGGCAATTAGCACGGTATTTCTTGAGAGGTGGTTGTTCTGCCATCGTTGTGATTATGTTTCTGGACGATAAGATCTTAATAACTATCTGTGGATAAGAAGACGAGATGTAATTGGGAAATGTCGATGGGGTCTAAAACTGAATGGAACGGGCGAGTCCGTTGAATCTCGCTGATATTCGAAAGTTGGATATGGAATGACAAAAGGGCGCATAATACATCCATACGTTTAGCGAATTGATAGTAGCTGAAAGGCGTTGAATCTTATATTCGTAACGGGTTAATGCTAAGGACTTGTGGGATTGGCCAATTCTTGCATGTAACATGCACGCCTAAGGCAATGCAATGCTTCTCTGGATCGTATATCATACAGGTCACAATAAACGAAGACTCAAAAGCGAGGCAGAGTTGATAGAGATGAACCGATGAATTGATACCTAGGTATCAATTGTAGCATCAGGGGTACCCGATCGAAGCGAGTTTCCCTCTAAGACATACATAATCCATCCCCTAATAACCCGCCCATAAGTCGCCGTCATAATTTTTCCTTTACCGTCCAAACTCCAATGATAAACCGCCCGTATCCCATAGCCCATAACCGTAAGACGCCCGCTAATAACCCCAACCCCAACCTAATCCCAATACCCATACCGATGCAGTAATCATAACATAGCGATACAAATCAATCTCAATCCTTCCGTCTCGTCTCATAAGCCACAACAGCAGCTTCAAGCTCAGCCAAACTCGTACGGTCACCATACGCGTTCTCCACGGCTTCTACAGCGGCATTTTGCTGCGGAACAGCCACTGTCGCCGGCGCGACGACTGCCTCGGCGCTGCGGAACATTTGTTGTTGTTGCACGTGGTGCTCTTTTTGCCACTGTTCGGCTTTGGCGGCTTTGTATTTCGCTAGGCCGTATCCTTTTGTATGTTAGCTATACACAATTTAACCATGTGTATTGAGGATTAGGGGATGTTGATGCGTGTGGTAAACTAACCAATTCCTACGGCTGCGACTGTCGCTGTTGCACTGTAATGTGAGTTAGTACATTATGCGTTGGTGGTAGGCGGAGAAGCCCGACTTACATTCCTCTTTCGATCCGGCCTGATTTGTGTAAGGCGGGGAGATAACTCGGGTGTACGGGAGATGCAGCGGAGAATGGTCGTGGTGTGTTAAGGTTCATAGGCATTTTGACGTATTTATCGAGTGACGGTAGATGAGAAGGTGAGTTATGAATTATAGTTGTACAAGAGCTAAGGTCCCTCAAGGTGGTTTCGTCGTTTGGTGTTAAGTGTGTATGTCTCGACGGATGTTGAAGGTCAAGTGTAAGACACTAAGGTATCTATAAGTATGCTGATAGATAATTGTACAAGTAGTACAGGTGTATAAGTATTTGTATGTAATAAATCTAAGTGTAGTCTATGTATCGAACGAACAGAGTCAGGTCTAACCATTACGAGGTAGACGTGGACGGGTTATATATAAGCATTTTGGAGGCATGAGCAAAATAACCAACGAACCCCCGGGACAGAACAGAAGCCCGGGCCAGACCCGAGGGGAATGTGGCAGAAACGAAAAAAAGCTTGGATACCGTCATGCTACCCTGATCTTCCCCCCCAGATTCGTTAGATTCAAAAAAGAGGAAAAGAAGTGCGTGGGAGATGCGTGGGAGATGCGTGGGCGAATAGGACGGGGATGAGCCGAGATGGGACGATGCTACGATGCGACGTACGAAACTCACGATCCTCACTCCCTTGCTTGGTTAAGCCCTGGTGGTCTTACAAGTTACGGTATTGGATTATTTGGGAAGGATGGGCGGGGAAAAAGGAGACAGGGTGGAAAGATCACCGAGGCCGCATATGCATGTCGTGTGATCGTGGGGTCATCACAAGCAGGACAAGCAGGACGGGAAGAGGAAAAGACATAATGCTACTAATTTATTAGGTTATTACGGTAAGTGAATTACCTGTTTAGTTTCCGTAGATAGCTGTGTCTATGTAAGAGCTAAGAGGGTATTAAAGAGCTTTAAATGGTAGGGGAGTGAAGCTAAAAGAGTACCGCCTTACCGGAACAGCCCGAGGTTCATTTTCTAGGTAGTTGTACCTACTGTAGGTCCGGTAAGTCAGTGCTCTGTTTCTTTTAGTTTCCCCTGAAAGCCCCGAATGAACCTAGGTAAAACCAGGTATATAAATATCCCGGCAGTTGATGATACTCTTGGCTGGATTTAAAATCCCAGGGAACAAAACGGAGGCTCTTTTTCTTCATCTCCATCTTTATAATCATCTAGATAATTATGTAGATCACGGTAGATATTGTTTCGAAATGCATCTCAGATTGAAACACGGCATATGCATTTCTGCATTTTCCCTTACCCGTCATCCTACGTAGCCAGCCTACCTACTCCAACATTCATACCCAATCGACCTACCATCTACGTTTCTCCCTACCTCTATTCCTGCAAGTGAGACATCCTTCATATTGTCAAAGTTCATCGGGCAACCAATCCAAAAATCCAGATGACAACCTTTATGCGGGGGACGAACACAATGTTGAGTTATTTAACGCCTAGACATACCTTAACATCGTTACCCATTCGCTCGCGATAGAAACAAATTGCCTATTCGGGATGGTCGAAGCGCGTCTAATAAACGAAAAATGCATGCATACGTACGCTGCAACCTTCCTCTCCCCTACCTAAGCTTACATGGATAAGCAAACAACCCATGTGAAGTTGTGGGGGAAAAGGAGAAAGAAATAGAAAATAAAAATAAGAAATAAAAGTAGAGCTCGAAAGAGCTTGGGTAGTTTGGCAAACATCAAACAACCGTTTTGGGTCGTAGCCGAGGTTCCACGCCAAGATGTTTTGATGTTTGAATAGACGGATCTATCTTATCGTTGCTTGGCTGTCTCGTGAAAAGCCTCGGATTCCTACTGAGTTAGGAGAAGCATTATCAATAATTTATTCGCTTTTAGGAGTTTCGGTTGTCGGATTTTGAGAAACCTGAATAATTTAATTCTTGGTGAATAGTTGGCCCTTGCTTATTCCGTCCTACGATTTATAAATTTGGGTCGTTATTAAGCCACCAAAGCACCAACAGCGGGTGTTAGAATGGCCGGTATAGTGAAACCTCACTGTTGGTTAGATATATCAAAAAGGAGATATTGAAGATATGAATACTTCATGATGAAATAATTGGCATTATCTAAACCACACTTCAATAAGTACCCTAGCATAACTTTTTCATCAATCCATGCTACCTCGACTTGAGCACTTGAGACATCGTTATCGTGGATATCACTACTACCAACTTTCTAGTTTCATAGACCTTTCGCAAGTCCGCCTTTATGCTTCGTTTTGCGAATAGGTACATACATAAACATGCCACCTCCCTGTCTCGCCAGGATTTTAGTGAACTTCATGATGATTGAGAAAACATTATCTACTTTTTAAGGGCATTCCATTCATCCAGATCAAGCGGCCGCAGTCCCAATCTTGTTCAACCCCTTAAGAGAACCTAGGCTTAGGGCCAAGCCTTGCGACCTGCTTCTTATGCGGACGAATCCAGTAATTGGCCCATCTTCACCTTCTTTTTCGATACTCAAGTTTGCTAGCGCATCCTCACCTGTAGATGATTAGCATCTTATCATTATATAGTTAACCAAAAATAAAAACTCACCGAAGACACTCCTGGCGTATAAGTTGGCACTCAAGAATTGGCAGTCACCCTTCATACTAGCTTCGGGTGTCAGGCAACTCATATTTGTGCAGGCCATCAGTTGCTCCAAGAAGTCTCGGAGGCTCTTGGCTTTGCTGTTAATGTTGACCTTGTTTTCCCACTCGAATTCAGTCCACATCGTGCGGAACTGTGTTTCTGTGCATGTCGCGGGTTGGATATAGTCCATAATGTCGACATGTAAATCGTTTAGAATGACAACGTTAGTGTCAGTGCTGTGAGCGCCATCATATACGACGTTACCAAATATAACGCCGGTATCTGTCGAGGAAACCTTGATGGTACATTGTACGTTGTGGAAGTCGTGAGGACCAAGGTTCTGTGTTGTGGGTCTTTCGACGACCTTGAGGTCACCGAGTGTAGCAAATTCGACCGAGAGGTTTTGTAGAGTCTCGGTGGTTTGGTTCACTAGAAGAACATCCAGGACAATATCAAACTGGTGTACTTTCACATAAGCCTCGGCGTAAACGGGATCGGAGAAACCAGTAAGCTGGACGACACGGCTCAACTTCGAGGATAGATCCTCAGAAACGGCCTCTCCACCGGTGGCCTTCTCCAAATCGAGCTCGATCTCGTCGGTGCCATCTCCCGCATTCTTTTTAGATAATTGCCGAATCTGGACAACATCATCGACCTGAATAGCAGTCTTAGCCTTCTCAAAAGCCACCTTAGCTGCTCGCTTCTTCTCTTCAACTTGGACCATAGCTCGGAAAGCCTTTCGTGTATCATCAAGAAATACAGTCTCGAGCTCCTTTCTTTGGGAGAATTCGGCCAAGGATCGGACACAGGACATTATTCTGTCGACGGAATCCTCGTCGATAGGGGCCTTGACGAATTGCGACTGACCGACACGGATGATAGAAATCATAATTAACATGGCTTCGGCCTTTAGGGCATTCGTTCGAGCATTGTCTGAGGATATCTCGGAGTGGCGCATGACGAGCTTGGTAAGGGTTGCTGAGAGAACAGTGGCCAAGTAGTAGTCGCCATCGAGGATTAGCTGTCGTAGAGGGGGTTTTTGAGCAGTCTTGACAGCCTCCAGCTTGGCCGCAGCAGCCGAACTGCTAGTCAAGGCCGTTTCAGTAGCGTATGTACCATCAGCGAGTACTCTTCTCGAGCCTGATGGTGCTGTCGACTTCGAGTGACCGTTTACTTGTTCCTTCTCTTTCTCCTCGTCGCCATCCACATTATCTAGCAGTCGCTGCTCGGAAGCAAGGATGGGAATTTCACCCAAGCTCGCGCGTATCCTCTTCCATGCATCTCGGATATCCTTTTCTTCGAGAGAGTACTCGCCAATAATCCAGATAATTCCACGGTAAACTTTTCCTGCTCTTACCTCACCGAGGGTTTCGACTAATCGGGCAACGATAGATGGTCGTAGCTTAGGGAATTTCTCGACAACCTCCTTAACGAAAGAGATAACGTCGACAGCGGAAGTATTACTAAAGTCAGCAATGAAGTCCATGAGCAGATCGACTACGCTTGCCGCGACCTCGGAGAACTTAATGGCACACTGGTGGATAGAGTGGATAAGGAGCTGGCGGTACTCGGCGTTCTTTTCGTATTCCTGGTCGACAGTCTTGGAGAGCTCCTTCTTGAGCAGTAGAATGACCTCTTCTACATTTTTGCTTGATACCATCTCTAGCGCAATAGTAAGAGCTTTTCGTCGGACATCAATATCGGGGCTAGAGAGAGCACGGAGGATCTCCATTACTAGGTCGTCCAATACACCTTCATTCTTTTGTCGCAACTGGTCTACTCGATCAAGTACGATAAGTTTAACATTGTTGTCGGCCTCTTTGATACTGAGCTCAATAAATTTGGCGGCGGCAGCCTTGACAGCGACGGGGTTGCTAGTTAGCGCTGTAAGGGATGAGGCAGCTTCGTATACGACGGTAGAGGCGCCGGCCTCAAGGAGGTCGAAGATAAGTCTCAAGTACCGGGCCTTGTGTTGGGAATTTTGAACTGCATCTTTTCGAATAAACTCAAGCTCCACCAATTGCAGCAATTCCTCGGCGTTCGGGATTCCTTCGAAAACGGAGCTTAGGTAGGCCAAAGCCTTCTCATGGTCGATGCTTGCGAGAGCGGCAAAAGCATTGCGCTTGCAAGTAGCATCGCTCTCGGTCTCGAGGAAGGTAGCGATTAGATCCGAAGCATCAGGGATAAGGGATTGTGAATGTAGGTAAATAGAAGAAATGGCGAAGACAGCATTCTTTCGGACGTAAGCATGACGGTGTTCGAGACAGGCTCGTGCAGAGGATAGTAGGGGTTCGATTAACTCGGGTTCTCGTAGCTTGCAAAGGAAGCGTAACGTATTTCCTCTAATGTACTCGTTGGGGTGTTGAAGATCGTTTCTAATACCGTTACTGAGTCCAAGCTATTAGCAAAGACAGCTTGTACCTCAAATAGGCAGTTGAGTATACTTACCACACCAGAATCATCTCTTGCTTTAATTTGCCAGTTGAGTCGAGTTTGGGGCAAATTTCGTAGTAAAAGTACAATAGCTTCTTTAGTGGCTTATACCTCGAGGGCATGACGAATCGAATAATGTGCATGAGCAGTTGAGGCATAGGGTCGCCGTTCAACATGATAGTTAAGATGCGCTTCATGGTATCGACTTTTGTCTCATCTGTACCCTTTTCTAATTGTATGCGCAGGTCTGACATGCTAGGGACATCTGCAGCATTGTCCTGGTGGACCAAGCTGTAGGCATTTTCGAGGAAGGTCGACATGCTGGGCAATTGGTGCGGTTCCCGACCGCCGGTGTAAATTCGTATCTGGTACGACGAGTATAGAAGGAACCGACAGGAAGGAGGACGGTTGGAAGAAGCTTAGATCCAAGTTCAAGAGGTGTATGGTAGAATTGGAGAGCTGTGTCGAGATTCAGGCTCCAGCTTTGGTGGGGAGAGGGTCAAAGTGGAATTGAATTATTATAAAAGCCGCCTCGACGTTAAAGGGGTGATTGAGAAAGGCCAATGCAAGTATGCATGCCAGAGAGAAGTGACTTCGTCAAGAAGGGCGGTGGCACTGTTGAAGATTGAAGATTGATGATAGGTGTAGGTGATTAAACGGTACAGGCTGGCCCAATATCAAAATATCCACATCCCACACTCAAAAAAGTGGAAAACACACTAGCCACGAACACACAGAAATCTGTCCCTCCTGAAATTCCCCGTGTTAGGAGTCAAGCCACGATTCCCCCGTTTATTTGACACGTGATGCTAGACTACTTTCTCCAATCAGCTGGAGAACTAGCTTCTCCGCCCCGCCTTAGTCATATTATTTTTTACAGAAGTTAACAAGACAGACCCGGAAGCTCACCTTTACAACTCAACCAATTGCTTACCGAACCTCCTAACATATAACCGATTCTATTATCATGACAGCAAAAGTGCAAAAGTATCTATATTGTTAGAAATTTAGTCATTATTGCTTAATTTGATTTGGTTATCGGGTCTATTCCTTATGTGTTTCCCCCTCAATCGCGAGATCGATTCTTAGTAAATAGTTGCAGTGTCAACATGTAGCTGATAACAAAACTCGCAATCCTTTTCGCGAGGTGAGCAAAATATCCCAAGAATCTCCAGGATCTAAACTAAGTAGAGGAGAATCAATCGTGCGGGATGGTCGAGATGCTTAAGCTATATAGAAAGCGTATCGTAGGATAGAGCTAAAGAACCGAAGCATCATTATTGACCACGGATTAAGTTACCAGGTTTGTCGATATATTGATCCTTTTCTATGTCCCGTTAGATATCTCGTTAACAATACGAGTTTCGCGCTTACTGTGAATGCGGCCGCGCCGGCAAGGTAGGTGGCGACAATGACGCAAAATGGTGTAGGCCACCATCGCCCGAGCGGCCTCAACATTGTCGTCCCTAGACAATTTGAAATGCACTCCAAAGGGATATTGCTCAGCTATTCCCCCTGTCGTGAGCACTTTTCCCGATTGGTGACTCCCCGAGCTTATACTGACATAGATAATACGGCTCTATTATGTCGATTATAATATTACGACAGCAGCTGAAAGACCTGCGCCCCTCCGTTCCTCTTTCCCCATTCGGCGTTTTTCTTACCCACCCCTAGTAGAATTAAGCTATTTCCCCGACGAAGATGAGTTCGGAACCATCCAAATGGTACCCAATAATTCACCTCTGGCTGAGTCTGATGAGGCTCAACTAGGGTCCTCGGGCTCCTTGAGCGTCTCGGGGACTAAGCCGCCAGGTGAGGCTGGCGGTCCTTATGCCACCGTGTCGGTGACATACCACTGAACCCTCCCCGGTTGAACTGTGTGTGTATATAGTTATAAGAGCTAACCAGCAGCAAACTACCCGCATAAGGTACAATACTACGGCCATACAGGTTTTATTCCTCTAGCGGCTTTGCATTTCACTTGCAGCCACTGGTATAGTCATACATATCACTGTTTACCCGATTGATCTCGACACCGCTGTCGAAAGTGCCTTTACTGATCTCCATTATCCAAGACACAGCATGTCGATCCTCGAATATGCCAAAAAAGGGAACGCAGACGATCTGGAAAAGTTGCTCCGCGGCGTCCGGACTGACATAGATATTCCGGATGACGACTATGGCCAAACACCAATTTCCTGGGCCTCTGAGTATGGCTACGCAAATGTCGTTCAACTTCTATTACAAAAGGGTGCGCGTGTCGATATTATGGACAAATGGTCACAAGGGCCATTACATTGGGCTGTGTGGCAAGGTCATTTTGATATTGTCAAATTATTGCTGGATAAGAATATGGGGAAAACGCCTAAAATCGACCAACAGAACTCAACGGGCCAAACACCCATCTCTTTTGCTGCTGAGGCCGGCCATGAAGAAATCACTAAATACCTTCTCGATAATGGGGCAAACGTTGAAATTACGGACGAACTGTCACAAGGACCACTGCATTGGGCTGCGAAGAAGGGGAATCCCGAGGTTATTAAATTGCTATTGGGGAACGAAGAATTCCGGCGAAATCATCTCAATGACCCAGAGTCGAAATATGGTCAGACACCCATATCTTTGGCCGCCGAGGAGGGCCACAAAGAAGTTGTTAAACTGCTACTAGAAAAAGGGGCAGATGAAAATATTCCAGACAACGAGAAGCGACGCCCCTTGAATGTGGCAGCTATGTCTGATCATAGTGATATCGTTGTCCTATTACTAGATCGTATCGCCGAGGATACATACGAGGATTTAACGCATCGGTCTCTATTATCTTGGGCTGTGGAATATCCTAGCCCAAAGCGTGATATCGGAAAGCTTCTTGATCTTCACGGTATTAATTTTTTAGACGATCGCAAGCGGGCCGCAGTGCATTACGCAGCTCGTGGAGGCTCCATTACATCGCTCAATATTTTGTTAGAACGCCAATCGAAATTTGACGATAAGGATGTCTTTGGTTTAACACCTCTCTCGCTTGCTGCGAGGCAGGGTCATTTGGACTTAGTACAGAAGCTATGCGAGAAAGTCAGCGATATCAATTCTCGAGACAATAATGGGTTCACCCCGCTAATGCACTCGGCGAGATTCCGTCACTCTAGTTGTGTGAAATTTTTGTTAGAGAGAGGTGCTGAGAAGGAGCACAAAGATAGCATCTGGGGCAAATCAGCACTGGCATTGGCTGCCGAGAACGGACACCTATTAACTGTCAAAGCGCTTATAGAGGGGGGTGCCGACCCCTATTCGAAAGATTTGGAAGGAAAAACTCCCGTGGCATATGCTGTAGGAAGTCTAGATCCTGGAGTGCTGGATTCCATCATACAACACCATTATGATACAGCTTCAACTACATCCACAACAAGCGAATTGCAGGAGCAGGGGAAACGCATTCGAACTCGTGCAGTCGAAGAAGCTTTTCGTTACTGTTTGTTATCCGGGTACAGTTGTGATATTATACTAGCTCATGAGAATTATCTCACTGCACGAGATCTCAACGGGAGATCCCTGGTGTCCTGGGTTGCAGAGAAAGGAAATATAGAAGAGTTTCGGATACTTTCCAGTCAACAAATGGATTGGGAGACGGCTGATAGTAGTGGTCGCACCCCACTCTCGTGGGCAGCGGCTAGCAAAAGGGAGGGTGCGAAAGATATCGTCGAATTCATATTAAACGAGTACGCTCGTGTTGATACATACGATATCAACCGTAAAACGCCGTTGTTCTGGGCAGCAGAGAACGGCAACAAAAGCATAGTCGAGGAACTATTATATCGGAACGCCGCAGCTGACCCTCGAGACAGTAACGGTCGAACACCACTCTCAATAGCTGCAGAAAAGGGACATTTTGCAGTTGTGAATAGTTTGCTAAGTCTCGCTTCTGTGGCATATAAGCGTACGCAGGAGTCACCCGAGGAAAAAGTACGGAAAACACAGAGGCGTGACGAGAAGGTCCCCGAGAAGGATCCAAAAGCATCTAGGTCCCATGTGGCTTCTGAGGGTTCTAGCATTGGGGACGGAAATCGCGTTGAAGTTAATTCACTTGACGGCCAGTTTCTTACGCCACTTCACTACGCCGCCACAAACAATCATGCCCAAGTCGTAGAAGTTTTGTTGGACTATGGAGCCGATATAGAGCTCGGCCCCGGGATCAGGCCCCTACAGGAACATCCAGGCATAAGTACAATAGTTCTTGATTTACTTGAAAACAAGCGGAATGACGGAAGACTCGCGACAAAGCTCTCCGCTGCAAGTGGTGCTGTTGATGACGAGTTTAATACACTCATTGTGCGTTTCCCAGAAGGGAGTGAGAGCGAGTTGCAGTCAAACACGCGGACGGTACGAGACCTCCTCGAGCATGGAGATGTTGCTCCGAAGGACTCTTCTCTTTCCTGCAAGTGGCTACATCTCCCAGCAAACAATGTAAGTCCCTGTGACTTTTCGGATATTCTTACTATGCTAACCGGATTTAAAGATGAGATGGGTTGAGGTCTGTTTTCCGCGAAAAAAAGGACGCTCATACGTTCCTCGCGCGTATGTATCATTGACATTCAGCAGGTACTTATGGCTAGACATTATGGAGAGGCCGGTCCTGGGTATCAGACGGCTCATAGAAACGTTCTGAATAAGAATTGGACGGGCCATCAGCACCGTACGCATAAACCATGGCCATATCATTCGCGTTTCATGCGGCCGGATTGCCAGTTACTACCATCATTATGTGAGCACGATTAATATACGAGCACAACTCTCCTAAATACACTATGAGGTTTAATTGCCTTTACTAACAAATACATAGCCAAGAAGGGAGTAATATCTACAACGACCAAAAGCAAGTCGACCGAGGCTAGAAATATGAATACCACATCCTCTAAAGCATCTAAAAAGGATCTACCAAAATTCGAAACCGAGCCGAAAGAGAACATACTTAAGACCACTAAACTCAACGACGCATCCCCGTCACGGGGACTCGTGCTGTTTGTAGGATTTGAATCGTCGCACTTCATAGCTTGTACCGCGATATGCTAATATCCCTTTTAGATGCCATACTTGCACTGGGAAAGGAGAGAGGAATTCCAGAAGCTTAAGAAAATCACGGATGAAAAAGAGAAAATATTGAAGCAAAGGGAGAGGACCAAAACACCTTCTCAATATGAAGAGGATAGTAGGAAAGAAGCGATCGAAGAGATTGAAAGGTCTCAAGGCGCAAACGGCACCGAGAAAATGTATTGGATGTACCTGGACGAGCAACATCCATTGCATCCTAGGCGAACGCTTGACCAGTATTACTACCACACATTGGATGATACCTCTGAGCGAGACAGTGATCAGACTGCTGCGAGATACTATAAGGCGAGGGAAAAGCAATTCAAGAATAACGACATTAAGGAGGTCTTGACGATGGTGGACCAGCTTTGGATGTGGGTGCTCCCGCGGTGTGGAAAAGCACCCTGCACCGTCATCACGGCCTTCCCGCAAAGAAGTAATAGAATTACTCGAGGTAGGCCAAAGCGAACCACTGGATTGATCGATAATATTCTGTCGACATGCTCCAAAATCCCACCAAGACATGGTCATGACTTAGCACACGTTATTGCTGCGGAGTGCGGAAGGATTTATCTCGACAGGACAAGTCACCGAGACGACTCGATCCAATTTTACGATATTTATTCAACATCAATTGCTGACCTCGTAAGAAAATCCCTTAAACCTACAATGACCGCCTCCTGCTGACACTACCAACTTCTAGACCCATAAAGAAACAAATCAATTTCGTAGGTTCCAAGACGCAATCGTGAACTTGAAGGACCAGAATGAGAAATTGAGAGAAGCAAGAGGAGCTCCGAGCAAAGAAAGTAGGGATTCGAAAGGTGAAGATGCTGAATTCGAACGACGAAGAGTCTTGGAGGAGTTAGTCGACATCGAACAAGATATAAAGAACCTGAAAGAGATCAAGGACATCCAAGACGAGTTGAATATAATGTCAGCCGTCTTCACGACACAAAAGAATGTCATCGAAACCATGCATCACATGACGCAGGACGAGGATAAACACTCCAACCATGGTGTCAACAACGAGAGTAAGGTCCATGACAGACTCGGCCATTCATCGCCTCTTTCCATTGTTGAGAACAACATTCGGGAGGTAAAGAACCTGATGAACTTCGCACAGATGACATCTGAAGCTGTAAGTAATCTTCCGATTTCAACTTTTTATATGCATGTCCCCCGAAGTTGCGACGGCTAATACTATGAGACAGTTAAAAGAGCTACTGGACCTTAAGAACAAGCAAGCAAATGTGCTCCAGGAAGAGATGACAAATAACATCAACAACCACATTCTCAAACTAAACGAGAAAACGGATAGGCAAGGGACGACATTGATGGCATTCACTCTCATCACTATACTTTTTGTAAGCCGCCCCCTTCTAAGATAGGTTAATCAGACTATCGCTAATACATGATATACCAGCTTCCGCTCTCATTTATGACTAGTTTCTTCGCCTTGAATATTGCCGAGTTCCCTCGTTCTGATGGTGGTTCGATGCTCTCGCTATCGTTTGTATCAAAGTACACATGTAAGCAAATGGGTTGTTAATTCAAATTGGCTCAACGCTAACAGAATCTTCGCAGTCCCAATATCCATAGCGTTCACTATCGGGTATGCGACTCTGGCACTCAATATAAGGTGGTTGGACGAGCAGTTTTGGAAGAAAGTAAGAGGACGTGAACGACCAAAAGATGTAGAGAATCCTTAAAATATTGAGAATTGGAGTAGTACATATTTAAGAATAACATTGGCGCCTTTTATCTAAAAATACTTAAAATACTATGGAGATTACGTGCACTGGAAAGTACCTCGGAAACCTTTTCCTTACACCATACCAGGCCCTAAAATTACTGACCGCCTTCACAATCCCTGCTCCCCACGCCAGACTAAATAGGTACCTACGTGCCCCGCCAAAACTTGCTAGAGCTTGCTAAATTGCCCACCGGAATTTAGTGTGATGAAAGCCTCGTCGCAACGTTGACACCACTAAATCTTGCACCTAACAACTTTAAACAATATCATACCGCCGCCCTCGACCCGACAAAGCAAGATTTATAGCACTGGACGAAGTCCACCTCCCTTCACTCATACACCACAATACCAATTCCCCGCGACAACCCAAAATACCGACCAATATGGCTACAACAGGCGAGCCTTTCTACATACGATACTAGTACGCGGAATCCTCAGAACACACCGAAGAGCTAGCTGCTAATTGTTGATCTCCACAGCTCAGGTCACTCCGGTCGATTCGGCCACGAGTTCCTAGGTGAGTCTCCCTCGACATACTACTCCGCCTAGCTTAGTATACAATAGGAAGACTAATAACGCCGCAGAGTTCGACTTCCGGGTGGTTGGCGACGGTAGAAGCGCCGTAGCTCGATACGCGAACAACTCGAACTACCGAAATGACAGTCTGATCCGAAAAGAGAGTACGTCACGTCGCATCGAACCGCGATTCCCCTCCCTCATCCGAACCAAATCCTCCAAATTCCCGTCACCGACATTGGCTGAAGAAGAAATATACTGGATATAAGCAAGGCTAACGAGAAAAACAATAGTGTGCGTTAGTTCGCTGGTAGTAGATGAGATCAAGCGCATAGTCAAGACGAGCGAGATCATGAAGGAAGACGACGCAAAGTGGCCCCAGAAGAACAAGGATGGTCGACAGGAGCTTGAGATACGGTTAGGAAATGATCACATATCTTTCGAGGTAGGCAGTGTCTTATCAATAGGCAACCCTAGCCGTTGTAGAACAAATGCTGACTTTACCGACCGTGTCTACAGACAGCCAAGATCGGCTCCCTAATCGACGTAACCGAATCAGCGGACCCCGAAGGACTACGAGTATTCTATTACCTAGTACAAGACCTGAAGGCGTTGGTTTTTAGCTTGACATCACTACATTTCAAGATCAAGCCCATCTCATGATTACATAGGACCGGAGTTACGGAGGGAGAAGAAAGAGGGAGGAGATACGCAAATGCGAGTTTTATGATCATCATTATGTACACATCGGAGTGCGTTGCGACGCCTCAACTACCCAGCTACCAGTCTCCCTCACACCCAACTGGAATATACCCCCTCGCCAATGCCGCAAAAAGCTCGTGAAATGCTACATTGTTTGTCATCAACATCATGTCTCCGTACAAATGGAGACCACACTACCAAGACACTGGGCTTCTCTGCTGTGATTCTGTGCTAGACTCCTGTGTCATTTCATCTTCTCCAATGGTTATCATGTCGGTGTTATAGAGTCAAGATGATGCCAAGTTGATATCTGCCAACTTGCCTTCATCTGCGTTAATTATGAGGGTGGTCATATAATAAGTTCTGGGATGTCGACCCTCGAGGACATAATTCGTCCATGTCAAAAGTTGTGTACCTGTATATCATGTAGGTACGGTTATCGGAATTCCACAGCGCCGAAACAGCCACGATCTTCCACATGTTTGAGTTCCAATTGCTGGAATCTGCGGTGTGACCATATTAGCAACGAATGCCTGTAACTTATAACCCGAAACGGCAATGGGAAAACATAAAATAGTGGAAAAGTGCAGATGGATAAGCTGTGATGGAATGCATAATGTGACGAATATAGGATATAATAAATGCAAAACAAAATAAATGTAGAAACAAGGGATGATGACACGTACTTTTCACTCTTGGAGTGGAAATATATTCCGCTAACACTGCCTTCTTTCTGATTAAAGCAGATGTAATAGAATCCCTCGAAGCTAGCACCGTTGATTGTACGGACACGATGATCCGGAACGAGGAAGTGTTCTTTCCATCGCATAAACACATTCTCACGTTGAGTTAGATTTGGGATATTAACGGGCCCTTTTCGAACCTGCTTAGAGTATTGTCGGAACGCCGAAAATTTGCTCCAGTGACTCAAATCAATCTTTTCCGTCGCGCCCCAGCCCGCGTGCTTCGTGATGAAGCCGTACTTGCTACCAATTAATTCGCCCTCGAAATATGTTGTCAAGGTCGGGTTGTCTTCCGTCAAGCCTGTCAATTACGTAACGAGTTAGCTGATCGTTCTATTTTGGTGGGAGGAAAGAAGCTCGACGAATTAATCTTGGCTGGGAACCCGGAGGCAATTCACATCGGGCGGGATTGGATCGGGGCGAGGAGAGGAGCTCACCTTGTATCTTCAGAAATCCACAGAGGAACGATTCTCGCAGATCGACATATTTGATTTCCACCTGCACGTCGTACACCTGTCGTTCCGACTGTTGCGTGCCGTGGAATCTACTACCGGGGCGTAAAAAGGATGATGGCGAAGTTGGTATTATCTTTTGATGGTCAGCTGTCAACACGGGCTAGGCATTGATGACAGGTGCGATTCCCGTCAGTAACAGAAAATGGGCGCATGGACTTACTCTGATGTTGGATGAATCCCATCCCATCAAGGGCGCCTCAAAGGCGTCCTCACGTACTGTTCCTGGCATTGTATTGTCTTCCTTCTCGTTATCTGCGCCTATGGAAGATACAACGTCATAAGCCACACCGGTTCGCGCTCGTCTCGACACTTCTTCTGCGTCGCTCCTAACCAACGCATCGTCATCTGCGTCGGCGGGTTTATGTGTAGTGGAAGTGATGGTGGATTGGGATGGGGAGTCGGAGCGGTCAGAGCTGAGTAGAGTGGGTTCGGTACCGCTCCTCGAATCTGGCCTGGGTGACTCTGTAGTCGATCGCGAGATAGAAATGGCGTCTTCGATTGCCCTAGTGGGCAGCGGTGCGCTTACGGGTTCAGGAGACGATGATAATTCTTGACCATCGATGTTCATTTCAAGGCCATCTTGATCGGGTCGCCAACTATTGCTTGTGGATCGAATTGCTTCTTCGGGGTCGGGACATGAAGAGCTATGTGTACGTGGAGGAAGGTCGGGAGGCGGATTCCTAGAAGGGGTAGGCATGCTGAAAGGTTCGCGGTTGACGATGACCGGGTGACGGTTGGCCGGGGCTTACAGCTTACAACGGTAGCTGGGGCCTTTGTTCTCTCGACCGACGAAAAAAATAAAAGTCTCGAGTAACAACAACAATAACGGGGGTTATGTCAACTATGGTTGTATGGGCTGCGCGTGAGATTTAACAATTAAGGCACCCCCCTTATGTATTTCGTTTTGGCGTGACTTGGAATGTACAAATTGTATAAATTAAAAACCAAAATAATAAGACGGGATAACAAAATAGTAATAAGAGAGAAGAAAGAGCCAAATTAAGAATCCAGCACCGAAATGATAATAAAAAAGGGAAATAATTAAGAAACAAAAAATAAGTTATCTCGTGATGCTCAAAAAAATAATAGAGAAGTAAAAAAGGTAAGGGTCAACGTTTTCCAAGCCGCAAGCCGCAACAGGAGGATGGACGGGCGAGAAAATGGGCCTCGCAAGGTCGTAGGGCGTAGGGGACTAAAAGCCGGCGCAACTTTCTGGGTCTTGTCTGGGTCCTTGTCTCCAGTACTGGGTCTTGTGAAAGTTGCTATGCTTGTAATATGCTGGTACGGGCTGCTATGCTATGTCGGATTGAACATTGAACCTGTTGCAAGTAAGTCTGGGGGTGGAGAAATGGGTCCTTACGCCGTTAACGCTTGTTTCTGGGCTTTTGGGGATAAGGGACAAGGGGAGAACAAGGGGGGCAAAGAGCTGAAGGGGGAAAAAAGACATGGGGTGTTGGCGTGTTCTAGGGGGTACTGGGGGTTGAGTACGTTAAGGAAGAGCCGTGAGTCTATTAATAGCGCCTTTTATAGTGTGCACCCCGTGGTTATAGGGATATTACCATACATGAGTAGCGCGTGGCACGTAAACCTAGTCCCCAATAGTGTAATTTTATGGAAGAGCAAGAAGGAAAGCACATGCCAAGAACTATGAAAATGTACCTAATGGAAGGAGTAATAGAAGGTGAGATGGAAGTTTCAAAATACGATGGTGACAATCCTAGCGAAACCATAGGCAAATAGGGTTAATTATCTTATGAAGAGGCCGTAAGCTTAATTTATATAAAAATACTAAGAAAAAAAAAAGATATCTTGACCGCCATGTATAAAGGAAGCGAAGAATTAATTACTTGCAGTTACTACGACGCTGAAATGATTATCCATGTGCATTCAATACATATAATTGTTAGTCTAGAACGAACACCACAAGAACAAGAATTGAACATAAATACTTCTAGATCCGTAATGTAGTATATGGTTTGTTTCGCATGCGGAATCACTATAATAGGAATGCTCTATTTGACTCATCCCCCATGATGTTTTTACATGGCAATGCAACTTTATGTATGTCTTAGACAAGATGTGCCATGTGCTGTATACCGCCTACTTTGTATTGGTGGGAGTTTATACCTACGTGTTAGCGGCGATGTTGTTGCTGGCGGATATCTCTAAATACCATGCGTACTACCTACAATTGAACCTCGGGCGATAGAGAGCTATACTTGACCATTCGAAGTGAGCAATCCAGATATCGTTTTATTCCATGCGATCATGACCCTCGAGACGCTTCAGACCGTCTATACTTTATGAAGTTCATCAAGTGGCTTGGCTACTTTATCCCAAGATGCGGGGAAATGCAAATTAAGTCTGCAAGATCTAAGGTTCTATCGCAGATCTCTCCTATTGTGATGCGAACTTACAGGAGGCGTAAGGCATGCGCAGGAAGAAGAGGGGAGCTTGCATAATATTGAGTAGGGTAGGTGTGATGACCAGAAAGGTCTATTCGGAATAAGCCATGAAGAAGATACAGGATTTGTAGGACATGTAGAATACGTCAGACATGCTTATAGTTTCATTAGGGGAGGTTAATGCTTTAGCGCATCTTACCGTGACGGCCCGTTGACGTTAACCTTAATGATGGAATCGCTTAGTCCCTATTGTGGAATGAATACTACACGGGGAGGAACGTTGGGGAATATGTGATTACGTAATTGATGGCCACCCAAACTGTCCGCTCTATATATACCAAGATGTCCGGTCCAATCGCTAGAAATTGGAACCTACAATTCGGGGTTTTCGGTGTTGTGACGCGATGGTGAAATGCGTGGCCATACATATAATCGTAACTCCAGCCACGAGGTTGTGACACTGTCTATATGGTGATGATTTATTGTTCAAGGACCATCGTTTGTATAATTGCTCTCAGGGGTGATGGTAGCACTGTCACCTACCCGAGCATCTAGTCCACAATCGAACCTCCGCCCTAGACTACCATGCCATAATCGGGCGTCCCGGCTCGTTAGATTGAACGTACAGAAACCGATTCGCTATTCCTAGATTTCACCTTGGGTATCTATTTCCCTCCACCTTTTACATCATAAATCGTAAGACCAATGACGATATGGCGGTAAATGATCACTCCGCCTTGATATCGCTAGTTGCTTCCGTTTTCTCAGACTTAAAACCTTTAAAATACGCTCGGCGGAATGAGTTTAAGTCATCCGCCGTATGTCCCTTTATCTGCTCCTCTCGCTTCCTTTGCGCCAGGGCAGAAAGGTCGACTTCCGAATCTGGTAGACGGCGATATGTAATCAGCCTTCGTGACCCTATCAAGTTCCGTTAGCTGAATTCCCTATCGAATTGAGATATATGAGGCCTACACTTATAGAATACTTGCGTACAGACAACCACAAGATTCAAGCATGGGTGCGTAGGTACTGGTATCTCTTGCTCCTCATCATTCGCGGTAGGCATCCAGAAGGATAGACGACCATTGTCCACTAACGTATCTGCGGCGAAATTCAATATGTCATCAAGCATAGCCGTGAAACTATACGGTTTCTTCGGTGGCACGAATGACGCGTTCCTGCTTTTTCATTAGTGACCTTCGGGCCAATTATTCGGGGGATACACCATACCGATAATTTCGCTTCCCCTTTTCCACGAGCCAGGCATCCTTATCCTCAGGGTCCCGGCACCCAAGTACTTTTAGCCCCTCTCTCACGCCATATGGTGGGTCACAGACGATACCGTCTAATATTCTAGCTTTACGCACGGGGCTATTCGTTAAATCACAGACGAAAACGTCCCCTAATAATTGCTCAAGGCCATATTGTTTGAAGTTGCCTTTTAGACTCTTCTTTCCGCCCTCGCCACGGACGCTACGACCGTCGATGTCGCTTCCCCAACCAAGAGCGCCAAAATGGGCACATGCGATAGGGAAACTACCAGTACCCACAAAAGGGTCGTAGAAGATCTTCCCTGGCGCGGCGAGTGCGATGTTCGCAGTGATTAAAGCCAGCTCCGAATCCATAGACGTAGTACTGATATATCCTCGTTTCTTGAGGTCATAGGTTTTAATCAAGTCTCGCACGCTATGACCGACAAGGCGACCGAAATGGATTTTTAAGGGGTCAGGTAAATTCTTGGGGACGGCCTCGAACTCCCACTGTTCAAAGATGGTCCATTTTTGCTCTGGGTTTTTGAGTAGGATAAGCCCGTCCAAGGGTAGATAGGAAAACGAGTTGATAAGTTCTAGTTTGCGTTTCTCTGGTCGGGAACCTTGGTAGGCATCTATGTTAATCTTGAATGAGACTTCTTTGTATTGGGGCCATAGATGGGGTGTGTCGCGCTTGATGATGGCGTGTAGTTCATCATACGTCTCAGCTGTACCCCAGTGCTCGTGGATTGTTTGCGCTAAGATTGAACGTCTTATAAGAGCTTTTGCAGCTTCCTCGGACGGCAATCGCACTATGCAGAAGGGTGACTAAATGAGAAGTGGGATGAGCGAGGTATCTATAAAATAAGGGTATTTGGATTATTACCTCGTTACTGTAGGATATCACCTCTAAATCTATTCCTTCAACTATAGCGAGTGACTGAATTTCAGCCAAACGAAAAGTCTCGTGAGACTGAGAAAATCGGATGAGGTACTCCATCATGAACCGTGTGTCTTGGGTCGTTTGGCAGTGGCCCAGGATAATTTAAATATTCCTGTAATGCTTCTACCTGCAACACACTCCATCTGAGGTTTGAATTTGTTATTTAGAGGAATAATTTGAAGTTGCCATTCAATATTGAATCTTGCGCGGAGATTTATAAAAGTGAAAGAGTTAAGCGCGAATTGTATTCTGAAGAAAATGACTGAACGGCGCTACTATCGATAGTAACATAAGCTCTTTTAACGCAATCTTTCTATTTAACAAAGAAGTGCATTTATGTATCGGAAATGTAGTTTATCTGACAAACAAGATCTTAAAAGTCCATATTTCTACCTGCACATACGAACATCCTCCTGGTTTTAAGCGACATATCTTTACTAAAACCGAATGGTGTCAGACGTTCCCTTATAAGCTTGATATCTTGGTAATATGCTCTCATTCGCGACACCAAGCGTCTACCAATCTTCGAAATGCTTCGTTACGTACGGAGTAATGGGTCACCTTGACCCCCAACATGTCCCTAGCAAAGGGAAGCCATGGAGTTCATTGCTGGCGCAGGACTTTGTGCACAAGGTTTATATACCCAATTTAATTGATCAATCTAAGCTGACTTATTTGCTTTAGGTGGACCTCATTCTTCCTCAAGAGCTGGTACAAATTGTCACCGACAAGATTGTTGGCGATCCAAATCGAGCGCCTACGTTTTACAAGGTCATCATGACTCTAGGGCAAATAATAGACGGGGATTTCTTTACCGAGTATATCAAGATAGGTAAAGTTGCTAGCGATCGTTTCCATTTTGAAATGCGAGACTTACATACGGGGAAAGGGAATATCATAATGCTCTCGGAGGGAAGATTGGATTCCGATAACGTATTTTCACTAAAAGATGGCAAGTAACATCCTCTAAGCCACCTAATCAGGTAGAAAGACCGCATGGCTAATTATATTATAGGCGTTCTCACTATGTATCTTGATAAGAAAACGTACGAAAGAGCTGGACTTGTCGGAAAGCCTCAAGGAGTAAAGGGTAATCGAGGATTTAAGCCACGTTGGGGTACGTTGAGACTATCGAGTTTCCGACCAAGATCACTAATCCCTTTTTCTTGAAGTGGTACAATTTGATCTGCGAAGTCCTTCAATGCTCCACGGCAAGAAGGGCTTTGATAGACTGGCATACGCATGCAAAAATGTGCTAAATACGCCACTCACTTGGCTTTTCCACAACCTTTCTAAAAGTAAGATGCTGTGTACCCCGACAAGTTATAGGTCAACTGACAATTCTATCTTAAAGCACCTGTCCCTGATCCGCTTGCGCGGCACTATCCCACCAAGTACACATCAAATCCAGATGTCTCTCAAGAACTGCTGACCAAGGTCCCCCAACTGAAACCCCCACCCGCCATCCTCTCAAGCCAAAATCGTCCAGACCTTGACGAATTTGCTACGGACCTATATGAATGGATCTCCCTCATCCGACTCGGTAGCCCGCGAGTAAATGTGGATGATAAGATTGATCCGTATTTGTCTGGGTATGCTGTTCCTGGCGAATCTGAGATGCAGGAAGGAAAGTTATGCCGAATTAGCTGGCAAGGCTTTATCCCTCCAAAGTGGACCCATCGAATTCTAGCGGATGTAATTCTCGCATTACCCTCTAAATCATGGTTTTCACTGAGCGCGACGTCCTTCGCAAGGGGCCTCGTCGGAGATAGTGCCGACTGTACTATTCTTAGGCCGCCTAATTCGCCCGGAGAATACTTCGTTTGGGATATCAAGAGACATGAATGATTTGCATAATCTTATTAACGGTAAATGATACCGCATCCGATTAATTTAGTCCTGTCTTGACCGGACATTGCGATCCGCAAGGTTTTGCTCTGCTATGGCGTCTAGGACTAGTCGTCTGAGTTCAGCCTGGCCAGCTTCTGACTGGAAATCGTCCCGCCCAGCTAATTCCTCTATCCGTCTTCGGAATTCGGGATCAACTTCGAGATCGTTTTCTTCGGCGGGCGTTATGGTGCTGACAGATACATTGAGGCCTTCGGGTAGAGGTGGCGCGATACCTGTGTCTCCATTGGTCCCGTTTAGTAGATCTTGAGCGCGACCAGCGTCCTCCTTGCTTTTTAGATATTCAGCAACTTGGGGGAAGTCGCCCTCTTCATCTATCTTTTGGCGGGCGGTATATCCCTCCGAACCTTTGATCTTGATATCGACTCCTAGCTCTTCGACCAAGAGTCGAGCAGCTTCCACGGTTTCGACAACAAAAAGGGCAGTCTCATCGTCCTCGTCGCGCAAATTGACATCGACGTTAAACTCGCGAATTAACGCACGAAGAAGGTCGAGATGGTTATAGCTTGCTGCTGCATGAACCAAGGAGTAGCCATGAGCATCTTGCTCGGAAGCTAGAGCTGGATTTTCGCGAAGGAGGGGCAGTAGAGATGGGCTGTTGTCGGCAGCTAAGAGGAATGGGTTGGCTGACATTGCGATAGGTAGATTCAGGTATAGTCAATTGCGAAATGCGAATTATGGCTTAGCTGCCTAGCAATCAATTACTTCTTTGTTATGCGCACGAAAAAAAGGGATCGTCACTTTTTAATTGTGGATAGGATTTATAAAGGAAAAAAAGGTAGCTCAGTATGACGCATTGTGATAAAATTTAGTGAAGCTACGGTGGATGAACCCCTCAGTCCTTTCCCAAGCAGTAGCTGTTTTTACCCCGCCGTCAAAATGTCTTCGGGCGCATATTGCCCTAAGTTTATTTCAGACCGCCTTCCATTTCAGGGCTTTTAGTTCGACATAGGGCCCATTATCCCGCTATCTTAGCCAATCTACGGCGTCGTACCCACCTATCAGGTACCTATGACAGAAACATCCCACTTGCCTCGTTAAACCCGAAGATCTTTATTGATTCGACGCCGTTCAATACTTCGATTATTCTTTACTATTAATCTGGACCTTTCATAAGAAGAAACAGTTTGATTCTGAAAAAGGGCAGACAAACAGTCAGATTACAGTTTGCACAAGGCTCATCACGTAAATACGGGTACATAAGATTGACTCTGTCGGCGAGGTTCTAGGTGACTCATGCCGGTACCTGCCAAACAATTCTCACCTGAGGTTGTAACTTCCAACGTCCAAAAATCCCAACCCACCAACCCACCAACCCGCCCTTACCAACTCGTTTATACCTTAAATAAACACAAACTCTACTACTTTATTCCCCCAGCCTAGCACGCCTTCTTCACTTCCTCGTCCTCCCTTCACCAGATAATTAAAAACAAGGTTAGTGCATATTAGGTGATGAAAGTGACCTACAACACAATCTCTACATCCTATAGCACCGTCACACGCCAACTTATTCCTACTCGCTCTACTCATTCTACTCTACCCTCGACTCTAACCTTACGGACAAGGTGCCGCAGGATACAGGAATACCTTGTATTTGCTTGGAACCGAGCTCACTTTAACACGACCCACCAATCACGCTCATTATTATTCCCAATCACTATTCAGCACAGGTACTACCACCAATCGACTATGGAGAACTCCGGTGTTCCCTACCGCGACCAGGACCCTCAGGAGATATCGCAGCTGGTTCGGGGTTTAGGAAATAACAAAGTCAACAAGGGCTTCAAAGCAAAGAAAAATACCTTCCCCGTTAAGGGATCCCCCGACAAGATTCAAGTCGACTCTTGGCGTCTTCATGATTGGGATTACAAGAAACCAAATCTACCTACTTATGCTCGAGGACTTTTCACAACAAAGAACCGTCGGGGCGACCACGAGATTGCAGTTAGAGGTTACGACAAGTTCTTCAACGTCGATGAGGTTCCGGAAACGAAATGGGATAAGATTTTCAAGAATACGAAAGGTCCATACGAACTAACTCTAAAGGAAAATGGTTGTATCATTTTCATTAGCGGCCTCGAGGACGGTACCCTACTTGTTTGCAGCAAGCATTCTACCGGAGACCGCAGCGACATCCAAGTTAGCCATGCTAGCGCTGGTGAGGGATGGGTAGACAAGCAATTGGCCACCATCGGCAAGACGAGAGAAGAGTTCGCTCAAGAATTACGGCGAAGAAATGTAACTGCTGTAGCTGAGCTTTGTGACGATTCGTTCGAGGAACATATCTTGGCGTATGGCCCCGATAAAGCTGGACTTTACTTACACGGCATCAACATCAACGTTCCTGAGTTCATGACGTACCCTAGCAACCTTGTCCAGCAATTTGCCGATGAGTGGGGTTTCCGTAAGGTCGGGCTCCAATCCTATGACGATGTCCAAGCTGTCAAATCCTTCTTAGAGGGTGTTGCGGAGTCGGGTGCGCATGAAGGTCGAGACGTTGAGGGATTCGTCATTCGCTGCAAGATGACCAAATCACCGGGAAACCTCCCATACGACGACTGGTTCTTCAAGTATAAATTTGAAGAGCCATATTTATTGTATCGACAATGGAGAGAATGTACCAAAGCTTTAATCTCCGGCAAGCCTCCGAAATTCAAGAAGCATGTGAAGATTACCGAAGAGTACCTATTGTACGCACGCAAGAGACTCGCAGCGGATCCCAGATTAGGCAAGGCTTACAATCAAAATCACGGCATCATTTCCCTTCGAGATGATTTCCTCAAGTTCAAGAACATGAAAGGCTCAGACGCAGCTAACCTTGAGAACGAGTTCGGAGGTAACGATTCAGCTTCTGTTACACGAGATATTGTCCTTGTTCCTATCGCAACAATCGGCTGTGGCAAGACCACGGTCGGCATCGCTCTGACACATCTTTTCGGTTGGGGCATCATCCAAAACGATAATATTCAAGGCAAGCAACGACCTCTTAAAATGGTCCAAGGTATTATGTCCCTTCTCATGGAACACCCTGTCGTCATAGCGGACCGAAACAACTCGGAACGTCGAGAACGAGAACAGATTATCAAAGACGTCAAGCTTCAACATCAAGATGCGCGGCTAGTTGCTCTTAACTTCGCCCATAGGGACATTGATGTGATTCGTAGAGTAACTAGGGAGCGTGTAGTTAACCGAGGAGACAATCACCAGACTATACAAGCTGCTTCTGATGAGGCTAAGGTTATTGGAATTATGGAGAACTTCATCCAGAGATTCCAGCCTTGCGACCCCGAAAGCCGCCCCGACGACGGCTTCGATCTAGTCATCGACCTGGACCCTACCCAAGATAGCCGCGCTAATGTTGAGACGGTGGTGATGGAGTTGCACCGCAAATACCCATCCCTAATCACCAATGTCCCCAGTGACGAAGATATGGACGAAGCAGTCAAGGCTGCTATCGAGAACTACAAGCCTGACTTAAGACACACAATTCCCGATCGAAGCCGACAACTGAATAAGAAGCAAGGCCAACAAGCGAAACTTCAGGAGGCACAGCCGCCTAAGAAGAAACCCCTGGAGTACATGTCCGTCTCTGTCCCCGCCAAAGATATCAGTGTGGCTCTCGAGTCCGCCTTCAAGAACACAGATGCGATGACACAACGGTTCTACAAACAATTACAACAAACCCGACGTATCCAACCTCTCTTCCACGTTACGCTGATGCACCGTAGTGCATCCGGGGACCACCCAGAGTTGTGGCAGCGTTATAAAACGCTCGAAGCCGAGAGTCAGAACCAGGATGGAAAGCTTGGCGAGTGTACTGTTCAACTCGAGCGTGTCATTTACGACGACCGCATCATGGCTATTGTTGTGCGTCTGGTTAGTGAAGCTGAGAACGAAACATGGACTTGCGTCAACAAAGTACCGCATATCACAATCGGCACACGCGATGACGGAGTCAAACCTAAGGAGAGCAATGATCTGCTCGCTCGATGGCTCGAAGTGGGCAGTGGAGGCGAGACCGGCATTGGCGAGCGGGTTCTCACCCCTCAGATCACTGTGAAAGGTACGGTCCGCGGCGTGCTATCGAGATAGGAAGCTAGAGAGCCGAAAGCTGCCAAACTTCGGAGGGAACCCCAGAGTGATAGGGTTAAGAAGAGAGGTAGAGGTCGACGCTCTAAAAGGGCTAAGAAAGGTAGCCCAGTAAGCGAGGAGAACAGGGGAGGAGGTAGAAGTGACCTGCTGAAGTTTATAGAGGTCCAGGACAGGATCTTATCAACAATATTCGCGTTAAGAGGCGAAGCATGAACCTTAGGAGTCGAGTAAAGAGAGATAGTACTCTCACCTGGTTTAGTCAAGCCGGACCGAGTTATCTACGCCGCCTTTCTATGTACCTAAAAACTCAATAAAAACAAAATATTAATTACTAAAAGACACGCCAGAGAAAGCAAGCAAGTGATGAAGCATCTCCCGTGGCTATATGCATTGTACTCATGTGCGACACAAAGTACGTGTAAGTATCACCAACATACATGTATTTCGTTTTAACCTCCTTTCTACTGTACTCGTAAATATTAGGCAACATTACACATCCGAAGCTCAAGGGATAGGTATGTGACTAAATATATATTTCCCATTTCCGTCTATGGTACCTAGATATCCTTTAAATTTCCCTTCCCTCTTTTCACATCCAGTTCCATCCGCTCGACATAATATCATAGCTACAAGTTATGATGAACTCTCGATTTTTGTTTCCCTGGTATCTCCGCTCATCAAGGGGGAAAATAGTAGAAAACCCTTCATGTAAATCCACATGACCCCATGCCATGCATCATATAATATTTAGTTTAAGCAGGCAACTTATTCGTCACCTCAGCAAAAGCCTCCCACTGCTTCCACGCCTCCCCACTTTCCACCGTCCACCTCGCGCGCCGTACACCCTCCCTCCAGCGTCCGCCTCCAGGTCCTCGCTCATGAATCACATTTCCATCATCGCCCGGCCCCATCGAACTCGTATTAGCCTCACATACGCCTGCCGCTACTAAAAACGCCGCTGTGTTCATCAACACGAACTCGAGGATCGGGTCGTTGGGGGGTAATTCATTACGCAGTAATTTCCGCAATATCTCGGCGTTTTCATGTGGTTCTTTCCCGGGTGACACGGTATTCAAGGGATGCGCGCTAAGTCCGAAGTCCGCGGGTTCAAGAGTAAAATGCTCGACATCGATAGCCCCGCTAGCATGTTCTACTAATTGCCAACAGAGTGTCGGACCCGCGCATGATACTTCATCGAGTTGTTCTTTACCGCATACGACTAAACCTTTGCGCGCACCGGCTAGTCGTAACGCTTCTGCGAATACGGGACCTAGGTCGTCGCGCGCTACGCCCAGCATACGGGCTTCGATTGCGTCGCCGAGAGGGTTGCTGAGGGGTCCTAGGAGGTTGAAGATTGTGCGCCAGCCTAGTTCCCGCCGGACGGAGGCTACGTGGCGCATTCCTGGGTGGAAGACGGGGGCGAAGAGGAAGGCGTAGTTACTTGCGGCGTATACGGAGGTGATTGTGGAGGGGCTTATGCGGTTTAGTTGTGCGGGTGTCGGACGCATGTTCATTAGGAGGTCGGCGGAGCCGGATTTTGAGGTTGAGGCGCGGTTGCCGTGTTTTGCGAGGAGGAGGAGAGAGGAGGCGAGGATGGAGGATGTTGTGGATATGTTGAAGGTGTTGTGGGAGTCGCCGCCGGTGCCTACGATGTCGCACTAGATGTATGTGTTAATACATATGTTCATGTGGTTGGCCTATCCTTCTTCGACCTCAATTATGTTAGCGGGAATGAAGAAGATGGGCTTACCAGTCCGCCGTTATACTTGCCCTCTGGCCTCCTTCGTTTAGCAACAACAGCCTCGAGACCCGCAGAATCAATCTTGGCGGCATGTCGGCGCATAGCGGCAGATGCTTCAGCAAGGACATCGGCTCGGCGATCCCAGCCAGTGAAGTGTAGAGCTGTTAGTAGTGATCCGGTTTGAACGGGACTGAGTTGGTTGGTGAAGACGAGGGCAATCGCATCAGCTATTTCTTTAGCTGTTACGTTCTCCTTTGCCGGATCAGGCCATAGACGTTGGAGAATTGGCTTGATGTCCACTATAGGGAGAGCTTGGTCTTGCTGTTCCGCCATTGTGTCGGTTGCTGGCCAGCCAAGCAAGCTTGAGGGGTGTAAGCTTGTATTTAATAGCTGTGTGTCCTGATCCTAACGTTTTCAAGCTACCCTATAGCTCCGGTGAGAATGTTAAAATAAGAGAAGAAGACTTATAAAGGTCAGATTGACCCTGCCCCCCATTTATGAGTCAAGGGAGAAGTTACAGTGTCAATTATTATACTTTACGCCCTGTAATTACCGGCATAAGGCCAGCAAGTTACTGCCCAGGTGAGATGATTTGCAGATGCCCCGCCATCCGATAGCGGGCTTTGGAGGGGACCCTTGTTGTTCGATCTCGCTTGCGGCGCAGGAACCCGCTGAATACTTAGGTACTTGACAGGGGTTACTGGAGACAAATAACTCCGGGCGCCGCTCTTAAAATTTACGCACGGACCTTTATGTAGTCGAAAATCGATTGGTCAAATCAGTGAATTAACTTTTTGAAGCTCTCACCAATCTTCAATTCTTCATTTCGGCGGCGTAAAACATAGAGAAATTTCTAAAGAACAGCAAATGATTATATGACAAACGATAAAACGGCAATTGGGAGGAATAACTACTGGTAATACGAATATTGGGACTTCACATTACTGCCAAAGATGGCCCCACGTGTCAATTGCTCCGCTAGGAGCAATATCAGTCGAGCGCTCCAGCGAACGACGAAGTCCCAAAGACCGATGATTATTCTATCCCAGAGCTCAATATCGGCTCTCAGGACATATGCGACCGCTTCTACATCACAGGTACCAGCCGGTATACTGAGATTACCCGATAACTATATCCCTCCGACACAACCCCCCAGCTCAAGACGACCTGAACTGCGAAAATCCCAACTCCTCCGATCGTATACTTCTTTACTCCGCTCATCACCAATCATCCTTTTACTCCAACATAATAACATTACGGCCGTAGAATGGGCCGCTATTCGAAGAGAGCTGCGCGCCGCTTTGGCCAAGGTACCAACACCTGCCGTGGGCCCCAATGACACCGGTGTACCCGTGAATATCTCGTCCGCCATCGAAATGCAGGTGATACGGTCACGCCTCTTCAGTGTCGCTATGAAGATCGTCGAGTTCTTTAATGCCGAAGCGCAGGCTTCTAAGTCCAATGCGTATTCCCACGATTTATCAGCCACGGCGTATGAGACCATTTCCAACGTAACTCCCGACGAGAACTCGGCGTATGCCCAGATCAACCCGCTACTCGTGGGACCTGTTGCTGTTGTTACTTTCCCGGCTGTGTCCCCGGCGCATCTAGCTGCTGCGCTATCAGTTCTGGCTCCTTCGCCGGCGTTCCCCGCGCCCTCGCGCAAGAAGTATCCTGGATACCATGACCCAATAACGCAGAGCGGGTTGCAGAAGCTGCTCTTAGTTGGAGGTCGGGTCGAAGGGCGTGTGTTCGACAACGATGGTGTCCGATGGGTTGGTGGTATCGCAGGTGGTGTGGACGGTCTACGGGCACAACTCGTCAACATGCTGCAAAGCGCCGGATTGGGGCTTACGACAGCGCTTGAGGGTCATAGTAAGGGATTGTGGCTTGCATTGGAGAGCAGGAGGACACAGCTTGAGGAGGAAGCTGGTGGTGGGGCTAAGAAGGAGGGGAGTGAAGATGAGAAGGGTGCATAGAGTAGATGATGCATTTATGTGTATGATCACACAGACAATGTATGAAAAATTAAATGGACATATTTGACCTGGGACTGTTATGATCTCAGATACCCTTCTATGTCTTTACGCGGTTATACACGCCTACAAGTTGTACAAGCTTATACAATGCTGTTTCTTGGGTTGCTCACTGCGGCTCTAGAGATGAATACACTTCTACAATTTACCAAGATTCTTAGGCAAATATATCCCCATTAAGAGGAAAAATACATCAGTATCAAACGTATGCACTTGCTACAATGCTGACACGAAAGGCTATAAAGAGTACGGACGAGATCTCAATTCTAAGATATATACAGTATTAACGGGATAGCGGGGCTTATAAATTATATGTGGTATATGAATATAAAATGCAACTAAATCCATGTTACACTAGACCCACCCGCTCGCGTGCCCCTGCTTATCCGCAACCTAGGAAGCTGCAAGTCCAGTCGCATCGCGTTTCCGCCGTCTTGGTACTTTCAATGTTCCTTCCTCGAATTATAATTTGACACAACGTCATCTCAACCGTGCTCCTACCTTATTTCCGTCTACTCCAAACTTAACATCTTCAATTCCTTCTTACAGCTACGGCCGGATTGATTTCGAAATTGAAGAATAAGAGAAAAAAAACCGAAGATGGACTTCGCACCCTACCAATCCTCCCCACCAGAGCACAACCGTCCCTTCTCACCACCCCGATCGACCGTCACCTCGCCGCGCGCCTCCTTCGATAACCGACAACAGCAGCAACGAGGTGGCTTTGCTTCACCACCGCCGTTACAACATCCGCAACCACAACGCTCTTGGCAGCCTGCGATCCCCGGTGCTGCGTCCGCGGGTGGGTATGCGGCGGAGGGCGGTGCGTACGTGAGCGAGTTCGATACGAGTTTGGGCATACGGCTGGATTATGAGGCGTGTCTGGCGTATTTGGCGTTCCCGCCGCTCGGCGCGATTATATTGTTGATTTTGGAGAGGAAGAGTGATTTCGTTAGGTAGGTTGAAAAATGTTTTGTGTTTGGGGATTGGAATTAGCAAGGGAGAGAATTTAAAAATATTTTATGGGCAGCTAGGATCATTGGTTCTCCGTAGGGGGGTTTGACAGGAACTAACATGTCTTTGCAGATTCCACGCCTGGCAATCGAGTCTCCTATTCACCGTCATCTTCATCATACATCTAATCTTCTCGTGGTCGACGTTCTTGAGTTGGGTCATCTTTATCGCCGATTTGGGTCTTATGATATGGTTAGCTCTACGCGCATATCGAGATGCAGATACACTGGACCGGTAAGAAGCTTGATGTCCCATTCTTTGAAAACATAGACTAACATTCAACAGATTCGAAGTTCCTATCTTCGGTCAAATAGCAACTCGAATACTGGACGACGAATAGAGCGCGCGAAGTTTCCTGTGATTCGAATTGTGTGATGAACGGCGGATGAGGATTTTATTTCACTGTATCGTATAGATCAATGTTGCTGATGTACATATACCCAAGACGCCCGAGATTGGCTTCTATTCTAATACCAACTAATAGTATCTAACCACCCTTACGTCCCAAGATTTGTGACTCCTCTGCTCGAAATGATATAGGCGGTTCGGCTTGCTCATTTGATTAGTGTGTTAGACGGCCGGGGCTACTAGGGGCAGGGACTGATCTCCAATATTTTAGAAGTTCACTACTTGAAATTGTGGATTCAGACAATCTAGGCTCAGTCGGTGATAGCCCTTGGCTTGATGTGATCTGAGGGACTCGTCTGCATAGGTACGCATGGCAGAGCTATTCGTCATTTTATGATAAGTTCAAGTGTTGTTGGAGATCAACGATGCGTCCCACAAGCCTATTTTTTTGGAGAATTTCTTATATTTAGTGGGGTGATGTCTAGAGTTAAGGCGGAGCCTCATGGTCGGGTTAGTAAGACGGAGGATTCTCGATCGTGAAACAATACATACGGTAAGTGTTGCGTTTCTATACCGAATAATACCTAGGTAGGCAAGGATTCCTCGACAGGGTACGCCATTGTTCTTGACAGTCTTACCATCAACTTTCTACCTATCGAGAGGAATTAATAGCCCGCTGGCGTTGATCTGGCTGGGTCTTTCGAGGCGATACAATATCCACTGGATACGAGCCATTCAAGCTGCTCGTTTAGTTAGTGACCTAGCGGCGTGGCACGTCAATAGCCGCCGCCATTAGCAGTAGATGACTGGGAGCGCTTGTTTCAGGCGGGTACGGGCTAGTCCGAGAACACTCGTGAATCAGCACTTTTTGCAAGGGACTAATGTATACGTCGTATAAAAATACCTGAGCTGAAGAATTTAGGGTCCTACATCATGGCACGTTAAAGATTCCTTCATGCAGCTAAGTACCAACAGGCCTGATAGTAGCCAATCAGAATCTGTGTAATATTGGCATTATATCGTTTTAGGAAGCTGTTGCAAGGTTTAAAAGTTACTTTAGCCAATGAGATTCGCGATGTGACAGTGCAGCTTAACCTTTAAGGGGTAATGGTATAGAAAAGATTCCACTTCTTTTTGTTCCTTGAGAATCTTCTGTTGTATTCTTCTGGAAGTATAGAATCCCCTTGGTAATAGTTATGTTTTATATGGCACTGACTCGCCCATTTGAATGCCAAGATTCTCTCATTTCACACCCCTGAAAAGCACTTGCTTCATACGACATAAATCTCACCAATGGCACGCTTGGCATCGCGTCGGGCGTCAATGGTAGTGCTTGAGGTTAGCAAAATTCAACAAGTTCCCAAGTCACTTACTTAGGTAGAATATCGAGAATCGAGTAGAAGAGATCGTAGAAAATGTTAGGGGATCATTTAGAATTAAATGTAATGTAATCGATCCTTTCCAGGATATTGTAACATATGATGCTGGTTGGCAGTTGTGGAAGGGTAGGGGAGATCTGCAAAGGAGCGGCGTAGAAAATCACGAACATATTGCCCTATAACCCATGCTATCTAGGACTTTACCTTATGTAAAGGGTTCATTAGCCCGGTTTTCACATTCAGCCGCCCATCCTAAGGGTGCTTACTCGATGTCTAACACATGGCAGGTTAGAAATCCATCTCTCCTTTGTAATTTATGTAATTATCTTCGTTCTTTACATCCCCTCTCCGCTACTCGGTAGTGAGAGACTCGTCGCTATGGCTAGCACAGGCTATCAACATATTATGCCTGAGCAGGCGGGACTTGAAGTTGTACCTCACGATTATGGAATGCAAGTAGCGCCACAAGATTATCTGATTCCCGTCACGACTGAGCAAGAATACAAGGCGGCACAACATGATCTCCCGATTCCAGTTGCGGGTGGACAAGAATACAAGGGAGCACCGTTTATACCCACACCAGCAAACGAGGGTCATTCCCCAGTTCGGAGGAACCTCAAGACGATAATAATTGTCGCGGTCGTTTCTGTTCTAGTAATTATTGGAGTTGTAGTTGGTGCTGTTGTGGGAACCCAAAAGAGTCGGTCATCGTTGTCGCCATCGCCTACGACAACGGGTTCTAGGTAAACTTTATACGCGTCGATCCTATGTACGGGCTTCAATTGCTGACAATTCAAAGTGACCAAGGTGATTCCTCGGAGGGCGGTGGAGATCCGGGAGTCTCTGAAGCTCAGATGACAGGCAGCCCAACGAGCGTGGCAGCGGGTCTAGCGCCGACAGCGATCTCATGGGGTTATCCTCATTTAGAAATATTCGCTTTGACAAATAACGATACATATTCCGTCTACCGTAAATACCGAAATATCACCGCCGAATCCGATACCGATTTCGTTCCAACGGGGAATACCGAGATGGAACTCGTAGGTGGAGGAATCGACACCAACACCACGCCGTCCATCGCTATAAACTGGTATATACCAGATGGAGGGCAGAACCGAACCGAACTTTACATCAACGGGAAAACCTTCGCTTATCGAAAAAGTCACACTACCAATGAGACCTGGGATCAACCCGAACCGAATGTGTGGGATAATTACCCACGTACCCAGTTCGTCAGTGCTCCCACTGCCGTACAGTACGATCCGTCGTACCAGGCCTTGAAGGTTTTCTATCTGGGCTCGGGGGATGCGGGACTCACGACTTTCTACTTTCAAGTTCATAATGGGGAACCGTGGTCCGACGAAATAAAAATAACATCGCCTGACTTACAGCCAATGGCTCCTGCGGTCGTCGCGTGGAATGGTGATGACACGAGGTTAGATATCTTCGCCGTGTCGAGAGCAAACAGCCACTTATTACACTCCTCGTACGTTTCCGAGACGGCGGAATGGACCGATTACGAAGATCTACACGGTTTCGTTACAACACCCCCGACCGCCGTATCGCGTACTCCGGGAATCTTAGATGTATTCGCTCGCGGTGCTGACGCGGGGCTCTGGCATCTTTCATACGACGATGGGAGCGAAAAGTGGACGAATTGGACTCGAATCAGCGGGGATACAAAGATAAAGGGCCAGCCGCATGCGATTAGTATCAGTTCGGATAGTTTCGACGTGTTGGCTTGGGGAAATGATAATAATATCCTGCATAAGCGGTACAATAGCACCGCTAAAAGCTGGACTCCGGATAGCGGTTTCACGGTCTTGAAAAGCGATCCGATTCGAGGACCCCCGAGCGCTGTGAGCGACGGACGTAATCTGCATGTTTTTGCGTACACGATGAATAATGAGTTAATTTGGAAGACATTTGATCCGTTGGATGTTGCGGGGTCGGATGCTGATGCGTCTACATTGGCAAATGTGCCTTTTGTTTAAGGACGTAGGTGGCTTGGAAAGAAAATCAGGGGGCTGGGATCTGCATTAGAAAGTACACACCCAGAAGGACGTCCACTAATATTTATAAAGTATTCCATCTCAGAGATGAGGCCTTAGCTGATGGTCTTGGGGTATACCAAGATATGGTAGCACCGTATATGACAAAATCGGACGCTACTCATAAAAAGACGGATATGACCAAGATATCCCGTCCTCTCGTGAAGAAGGCTGGATTTTAATTCGGAAGGAAAGAAGACGATGATATGTTCACGTTTCAATTCGGTGGGCAGTGATTCTGCACAGCATATTAGAGGGGTTAAAGCATGATTGGCCGAATCTAAGACATGGACGCGTAAGTGAGCATATTTGCTTTTACGATGTAGTCTGATAATGTACAATAAATATATTGATTTATTAATCGGGTGCAGTTCAATTTGAGGGATAAGATTAAAGAAAGAAAACAATCTAAAATCTAAAGCGTCGCAGTCGTTCTCGCTCTTTAATAGATGGGGCGCTCGTTGCAACCTTCCAATGTCATGGATATCTATGAGTTAAACTTAATTCTTGAATGGTACTGGAAGGGGCATTCTGGTCCTGCCCTTTAAAAAGGAAATCTATTACCTTTTAAGGTTTAGATTATTTCTTTCTTCTACAACATCATTATCCATTTAAATTCGAACAATACCTACATACCTAGTAAACAGTCACCTCTCTTGAACACCTAGGTACCTACCTGGTATTCTTTTTAAGAACAACCTTGGAAACTTCTCGCTCCTGGCCAACTGGCAATAATTCTTCCCAGCACAACCTTCATCACCACCTGCGTACTTCATTTCCCATATGCCCGAAGCCACTCTGGTCCCTTTCGTAGGGTATGGATAGCAGAGAGCGAGAATCTTGCGGTCGTCACCAATACTTGGACACCCGGGATTTGGAGGCCAAGCTTCTGCAATTGTGGAATAAGATGATTTAGGACACTGAAGTACTCCTCCGACACGCACAAATCTAGCCTATCAATCAGGATCAAGATAGCTCGATCTTGAAATTCAGGGGTAGCCCTAATAAGCAAGAGGATATCCTCCAGCAATTTCCATGCTAAGCTCCCTGAATCGGAACCTGTCTCCGTCCCAATTTCACTGAAGCGGTTTCGGGAGAGCTGACCTGGATTTTTCACAGCAATCAACGCATGAGTCTCCAGTAATTGCGCCACCAGGTTCTTAATGAGGATGGTGGGGGAGTACCGCCGGCCCTCACCTCGCTTGCAAAATGCATATACCACATTGAAATTCTCAAGTCGCTTAGAATAAGAGACAAGATCGACGCAGAAAGACGACACCCAGGATACATTACGCCGACCTAAATCCCCCGCAATCCAAATCAGAGTACGAATCTCTTTGGGTGAATTTGAATAGCGTGTGCTAGGAGTTGCGAGCTTGTATAGATGCCTCGGCCAGCGATCCTTTGGCGACAAGAAAATTCTCTCTCTATCATTGAACGCTGACTCCTTGGAGGGATTACACGGCTCATCAATAATCACAGACAGCATATCCTGGACATGTAGCATAACCTGAAAAAGCGAATGATCATAAATCGTGCGGAGTTGTTGGCTCATACCAGGAGTCAGCGATTGATTTAACAAATTCAGCTCTGTCGGCCCCAAAGTTGTCAGCCGCTATTCATTCCATGATCGAAAGCTCTTGGGTACTCACGTTGGGCGATGACCCCCATATTATCTCCAATATTAACGATTTTATCACGAGACGAGAGGCTAATCATCAAATGAGCCAATCTCGCTGCTTCAGTCACTTCGCTATAGTCCTTTCTGATAGTCTCAAGGATATTGTCGATTTTGTCGTTTCCCCCTCCCAGAAACCTAATCATCTTTGCTGCAGCTGTTAGTTACTCCTAATTTTAGTGCGCGGAACAAGCAACCATACAGAGCGTCCCGTACTTCATATATGAGCCGGAAGCAGCGATAAACGCTACTATGGAGACGAAGAGCTTATTGGTAGCTTTCCATATTGCAACAGACTTGACATTATCCTGAAGGGCTCTCATCTCCTGTCCGTAACCATCTATCTTCTCGAACATGGCTACTATTCGCTCGGTAAGTTCCCCGGCGCTCTCATATACCTTCGTTTAGTCTAGTTAATCAACCCGTTCATAGATTGCAACTACGTTCTAGGATAGGCATAACGTACCGTAATGAATAGCATGATAGCTTTCACCGCGACCTCGTAGTGTGTCTGGAAGGTGAGCTCTTTAGCGACGAGTATCGTTGCATCCAAGGTCCTCATAGCACCATACAACACCTTCAACACGAATTCGAATGTGTTCCTAATAGGTGGAACCAACGCATCGCAGATATCATAGACCTTTTTAGAAATGAGACCGCGCTTCTGATACTTCTCCATCCGTTTGTCTTCAGCTTGGCTGGCTTGCCTTTCAACCTCCTCCTTTTCTTCCTTTTCTTTTTGTTTAGATTTCTCTAGGTAAGCCTTCAACATGTCGAGATTCTTCTTTCGACCTTCGCTATCATTGGAAGCGAGAGGCTTGTTGGTGCATTCAATTAATTTTATCAGATCGGCGTCACTTCGCCGGTCTGGAATTTCGATCTCGATCTTCGAGACGTATAAACTGAGCGAGGACAATTCCCTGTCTAGTCTTAGTATAGTTCGAATGGGCGGATGATTGTCGTCATGATACTGACGTACTACTCTCTAGCTCAATGTCGTCGAACCATTTCCGCCGTCCTTCCTCGAGGTCCACTAATTCTGCCACATTTTCGTTCACGCGTTCCGTCGAATCATCGTTTAGATCTTCTACCACACCTTCATCTTTATCTGCATCACTTTTCGGATCTTCATACGCGTCTTTCGTCACGTCTTTGTTCGCCCGCCCTTTCGACCTGCTGGTCCTTAAGCTGTCCAACTTTCGAATGACACTAGAAAGTCGATCCATCTCATTAATGGTCTTTTTACTGACACGACAATGATACAACTGATAGCAGCTTGTGGAGTGAGTGACCACGGATATAAGTACCTATGTTGCCAGGGGATACACGAAATAATTGCCATGCATTAACAATAACGGCCCAACGCCTACCTAGGTACAGTTAAATACGATAGCTCATTTCTACCTAAATTTTAATAAGGCGACTCGCAAAGTGCCATTACAACCCTATGTAGGCCTAGCCAATATTTAATAGGTGCCGAGACGCATGATGATGTTGTCCGCGACCATTCTAGAATTACACAGCCTCACGCATCTATATCATTAACTTGGCCATTATTCTATATTAAAACTTAGAAATCCCTATTTCCAAACAGTGCTACTCCGAGTACCGTTATAACTCACCTAGCTAGCATGATCAGATAGCACTGATTTTGCCGACGTATCCCAATACAAGATAGATAAAACGGGCTACAACGCCATAACCCGAACCACCTGCATACACAAATTTGTCACATTCGCCGCTCGTCACCCTCCCCCAAACAAACCATAGATTCCAGCTAAGACAAAACGACAAGTCCGCGCCCCAGTATCGAGGATTCAATCAAGAGGATTGAGGTTTTAGAGCAAGCACGCCACGCTACAGGGGTTCAAGAAGTTGACAAATCGTCCTCACCACAAAGAGAGTCTCAGCAAAGCAATAACGAGCATGCCGAAGTAGACCCCCTAAATGAATACATCAAGTTCCGTAAAGAGATAGTAAGGAATTAGAAGTATGTATGGGTACCCGATGATGAGTTGGACCCAGTAACCGAAGTGTCGCGTTCAGAGGAGCGATTCTGCTACAAAACACATCGCGACGAGAAGAATTCATTTACGGTGTCTCAACGTGCCGCTTTGTATGAAATTCTGTCCGAAATTTTCCCGCCTAATCGTGGAAACCATGTCAGACACCTTAAAGATCGACTCGAATTCATTGGCGTGTACTCACTTCTCAAGTGCCTAAGTAAGCTTGAGGAATGGGCGAAGAAAGGGATAGGCGAGGATATGCAAACCGAACCAAATTTTTTAGGTGAGCTTTATCATCGGAAGCCCGACCTAATGCGTGTTAAGGAACGCCAATACAAGCTTCTTGAGGAGAAAAAGATCGATCACGAAGGATTGAGAAGCCTATTCGACGAAGACCAGTTGGTGGTGTTCCGCGAGCTACGGGACGAGTGGGTCGTTGCCCGGGTGCGTTTCTTTAGAGGGCTAACGTTATCCCGGGAGAGTAGTACCGAAACGGTGAATTTGGAATGTGAAGCCATTGAATTTGACGGCAAAAGTTTTAGATGTCGCGTGCACCAGCCGAGAGTCGCAAAATTCACGGGCACCAAGAACATTACAGAACTGGAGGTATACCCGTTATCCTACCATTCCGACCGACTGGAACTCATTAGGGGATCGATCGAATCGGGGAGGTGGCGCCAGTTATGTAACCAGCTAGTAACTCAAGATGGAACCCGACGACCTGCAGCGACAGTCATGCAGTATGTTGGATATTGCGAGATGTCTGGGATGCGGGTTGAAAGAAGAGGCATTGAAGAAGGTAGAAATGAAATTGACACTGGAAGAGAAGTATGTACCTTCTTCCCCAATAAGTTAATGTCCTTTCAATATAGCTAAGCCTAGAATCTAGATATCAGGCAGAGTCATAGTAGACCCTACAAAGTTTCCTGCCCGGAAGATATTGTTTACGAAGCATAACGTCGACCCTTTCGCCCCCACCGGAAAGCCCGAAGGCGACCCTCTAGAAAATGACCCTTTGCTTCTATGCCCTACAAAGGTTCTCGTATATAGCCTTAGCGATAACGCTTGGTATTACGTCGCGATGCGCAAACTAGAGAACCCCACCTGGGTCGACAATGCTTGGAAGCGCCTAGTCAAGCCTGGCTCGAAGTTCGCCGACAAATCTATTGAACGTATTAGGCTTCTCGCAAAAGCCCATGCGGATATCGATAGATCGAGACAGATGGACGGGAGTTTTGATAATTTTCGAGGAAAGGGGAAAGGGTTGACCTTTCTATTGCATGGACCCCCCGGGGTTGGCAAAACGATGCTGGCGGAATGTCTCCGAGGAGCACGAGAGGCCGCTATACAGACTTAAATTGGGCATGTTTGTTGGTAGCCTATATTGGGAATCTAAAATCGAAACCATATTCCAGCAGGCACATTTCTGGGGTGCTATTCTGTTGATTGACGAGGCGGAGGCCATAATGTCTGAGCGGACACCTGAAAACATGAAGAATCTGGCGTGGGTCGCGGGTATGTTATCGGGACCAGGCAGGTATCCCTTCAAGCACTAATATGCTAACTTTGCTGCGTAGTATTTCTTCGAAAGATCGAATATTTTGAAGGCATCCTTTTCCTCACGACAAACCAAATCCACATGATAGATCCAGCTTTCATATCCCGGGTCAACCTTGGAGTAAAATTCCCAAAACTCGACGAAGAAACGCGTTTCCGGATTTGGGAAAAGATACTTAGTGATCCTGAGGTTTCCGAGGCGGCTTCTCAGCTACTAGAGCAGAGGTCGACGTTGAGGAAATGGGCGGGAAAACCCCTGAATGGCCGGCAGAGTAGGAACGTGGTCTATTCTGCGCGACTCCTGACAGAGCCACATGGATCAAAGATCACTCGGGAAAATATTGAGGACGGTATACAAGATGCCACCGGATTCAGTAAGATAGATTTCTTTACCATCTCAAATCCTAAACGCGGGTGCCGATGAGTACCCGCATCTTGTTTAAACTCTTATTGCTCTTTAAAAGAACGAGACACTGACATTTTTTTCTATAGTGGATATGATAGAAGAAGAGATGAAAGAAACAGAGATGAACTATATGTCCCATTGGACCTGATGGAAGAAGCAGACGGGGTTATTTTCTATTCCATGTAACTCTGATGGGGTTAGGGGATCTGGTCTTTATAACTGACATTCATTAGGTACCACATCTTTAGATGTGATGATGATGAGAGGTCCTTCATGGATTAAGCCATTGTGGGTTGTCCTTGGTTGTATTCAACTAGCCACCAGCAAGAAACAGGAGGTAACAAGCCCTTAATGATGAGATAGGAATTTAAAGGTATACAATATCGTTATATCATAAGTCACATATTGGCTTAGTTGTGTCTACCTAAATAAGTAGGTGCCTCAGGTATTTAATTGGTCGTTCATCCCTCTTCGAAGGCGGTCATGCACGAACCACCAGCAAGAATAGTGTTTCTACACTGCATCTAGTTTGCTTAGCATATCTCGCACTTCCTTTCCTGCCAGCCTCTCCATATGCTCTTCTTTTTAGGGCAATTAAACCTGAAAAACTTATCCCTGTAAATCATAACGAGGAAACCTACTGCCCCAGGATTTCATTCTCCAACTACACCACACTACTCCTTTGTAGCTTCGCCTTCCCACCGACCTACTAGTCTCCTTGGTCTTTCACCACACGATTTCTACCAACACAGTCGGTACACAGTCAGATACGAAACAACTTGATCATATCGCGTATTCACCTGATCTTATCATTATGTCGACTGTCTGGAGTCGCGCGGCCCGCCGCTTCAAGACCAGACTCGACGCGCAATCTTGGCAAGAGTTCGTCTGTCCCGACCTACGGTAAGTCGCGTCCCTACTGGCTGAATTATGTAACTTCCAATTAATCGTGCTTTCTAGTTACATCCTCGCGGATGCATACAGGGGAAGTCGCCGATCTATCCACGTCACCCAGGAAGACTCGGTGTACCCCCATCACAATCGACTGCGTAAGTCAACCGTAGTGCAAATTCTTTGGTACAATTTTCTCGCGATACTAACTACGGTTACTTCTCAGCGACGGGCACCCCTCTAGCGACCGAGAAACGATCCGATTGGCGTTGGGTGTACCTTCTTTCCTCTCCGAGACATGTGAAGCGAGCTCAATCAATTAAGGTCGGATCAAAGTTGTTTTCCTAGGTGTCCTGTACTTTATCGTCGAGATTATAGGGGTTCCATCTGAACATACGGCGAATTGGGTGCGGAGTCGAACATAGGATGTCCCTAAAAACTGACCTAGACATCACGATTAACGGTAGGATGGGAGGCAAAGAGTAACACCAAATGCATTAACAGTACACCTGTCATTCAGCTTGATCTCGATGCTTGCTTGTTGATTAAAGTCTACTTCTTCTATTCCCACAGGTTCTATTGAATCGGATTAAAATATCGCGTCCGCTCAAAGGCTAGTCCCAGCTTGTGCCGCGACATCAGAAGGGGAATCAGTCTTCACCGCAGCTGACGAACTAGCCCCTGCGGTGACTCTCTCCATAAGAGATGTCATGACCGCCGGTTTCTCAACGACCCACCCATCTTCGCCAGCGGAAGCCCAGCGTATGCATTCAAGTAAGACGTCACCCCACCGTTTATGCGAAGGCAGCTGCATGAAAGCGTTGAAGGCGTGAGGTAGACCGGGGAATATATGCACCCTTGTGCGGACACTGACAATAATCTGATTAGCAAAATAATTCCCGGCCCAAAAAGATCAAGGGGATTCCTTACCCTGCATTCTTCAACTTCTGAGCATACCATAATCCCTCATCTCTAAGCGGATCCCAACCAGTAACCAGAATAGCCGTCGGTGGCATACCACGTAGATCCTTCTCATCCGCAAGCGCAGGACTCCAAGTCGGATCGGCGGGGTCGATATCGCGACCTAATAGATGAGAAAACCCCTTCACGCGCTTCATCGAGATAATAGCAGCGTCCGCGCACTGTACCACCGACGTCTTCTCCCGGTCCGCGAAGAGATGGTACGGGAACGCTTCATACTGCACCAAAGTCGGCATACCCAGGACCTGGCCCCGAATGCGACAAGTCGCGCCCGTCTCACGAACCCGCTTCAGCTCATTCTGGACTACATGCGCCGTCAGCGAAGCGCCCGCCGACAATCCCCCGATCACAAGCTGCGACGGGTCAATACTGAGTGTATTAGTATGCGCAGTAACCCACTCAAACCCATCAACAGCATCATGCCACGCAGTGAGCCCCGTGAATTGCGGCGTGTGTCGGTAACATACATGCACCACAGTAATAGACAGCGCATGCGCCATCCACGAACAATTAAACAACTCCGTATCCAACCCACCAAACACAAACCCGCCGCCATGGAAATACACATACCCCGGCAGCGTCTGCGTTCCGAGGAGAACGGGCCGGTAGCTGCGTAGGATGATGGATTGTCCGTCGCGCGTCGGTACGACGTAATCTTCCGTGTGCACGAGATGGCCTAAACCGGTTGTCTGGACTAGGGTCTTGGCGACGTTGGTCCGGAGGGTGTTGGCGTTTTCTTGTTGTTTGAGCGGTGGGAGGTGCTCGTCGGAGCGTGAGAGGAGGGTTGGGTTGGCGGTGGCGAAGGCGAGCCATTCTTTGCTCGGTTGGCCCCATTCGCTGAAGTCCATGGTGATGCTTGTGTAAGGGAGTTGGTATTATGTATACTGGATAAAGTGACAGTCGAATGAACCCTCAACCTGAGGGGGTGGGTAGGTAGATAATGCGCTTGCTTAGGACTTAAAGGCACGTAGTATGGATTAAGTAGGTAGGTCAATTGTCTTGGGATGTTTATTATATTTATCTATTTAGATGTTCAGGTAGATAATCAGACGACAATAGACTTACGTACGCTCCGTACGACATACAGCCAGCCGGGTCCGATTGGAGCCGGGTATTCGTCACCTCGGATGTAAGGCCGGAGAATAACGAGTAAGGCATTAAATATTGAAGATCCATGTGCAAGAGGTTGGTCTCTCTATATAAGTAAAACATTAGCTTGGGAATATCAGTAATTTGCTTATAGGAGATATCACCCCTCTTATCCCCTCATCAGCTTCTCAACAGCTTCTACGGACGGATTCAATTGGGGATGTTTGCTGAAGGGGCGTTTAACCCGACGGTCGGGAAACGAGGTCCTCTAACTGCACAGCTCCTTATTGGCTTCACTGCCCGTGTAGGTACTTGGCTAGGCGTATATAGGGCAGTCACCTGCGGAGTTACTATACCTACAAGATGTAAATAAAATAAATAGATACATCAGTAACCCCCACCTAGCTGTTAACGGACTTCCCAATTCAGAATCAAAAATGATCAATCAGGAAGAGGATTCAGCTCCGTGGTAAATCCACAAGGGATTAGTTAAGTAATTGATCGCCTGCATTAGTTGCTAACCGTATCGGGTCTCCGGGCTAATGGGTAGGTGGTTGGGAAAAAGCCATGGTCAACAAAGAGCCCATAACGAAGAAATCCCATCGCAAGTAAGACAAAAGACTAAAATATTATAGAATCAAAACTAGATGTAAGAGTTACAATGATTAGCGAGGTTCCAGTAGATAGATTGGCGAATGTGAGGAATCTGGGGAAGATCTCAAAGTCCACTGGAGACTTGTTCTTGGCGACGTGGCCAGTCGGAAAAGGGGTTAGATGATAGGCGTCGATGGCGTAAGTGGAAGCTAGCGTCGACAAGGGCCAATCAATAGTAGCGAAAGACAGGATTCAAAGGTCCTTGCGTGATTGATGAAGTCATTTGACGATAACTTTCTTCAACTTCAACTCCTTCACGCGATTTGACTCTTGTCTTCCCGTAACGTATCAGCTATCCCCTACTACTATGTAGGATACGAAAAGTTGATTGAAAGGTTCAATGGCCCAGGGCCAGCTAAGGAAGGATGGATTTAAATCGATTTCAGCCCCAGTCTCAATTCCAGCTGGATCCTAGCCCGTATAAAAAGCAAAGGGTTCCCCTCAGCCGACAGTGGTCCGCCACCAAGAATGCCCTGAACATACTATCCGTCGCATTCTGCGTCATCATACTAGGAATCGCAATTGAACTTTCAGTCAATCCATCTGTCCAGAGTTATATCGCAGTCTGGACCGCGCCACAAGCTGGTGTAGCTTTACTCTGGTCCGCTGGTACACTCATCACGACATACACAGCAAGACGGGATGGCCGGGATATCCACCCAGGCGCTCAAGTGGCGGTCCAGCTCATATTATGGCTCGGTTTTAGCGTTGGCGTAGGATTGACGGCTTATATTTTGAAATTCGCGCTCGAGTTCGCCGGTTTCGAAGATCGCCATGCACATCCACAGCTCCACGATTATTACTACCCTCATAACGATGGCTATGAATACTATAGCGGTTACTATATCCACTCCATGGAAGCCATAATAACATTTTTATCCCTTCTAGTGTAAGTCTAACGGGTTTTATTCATCTTCGGGTGTATATGTGTCAATAAAGGTGCTGATGTTGCGGATAGAATTGTTCACTTATCCCTTTTTGCTTGCGCCTGTGTGGAAACTATCAAGCAGAGGAGGACGAATAACATCCCATCCTTCGAGATGTCTTCGGAAAATACTGGGCACATAAAGCAGTAACTGTTCAGGCGCTAGGGATCTGCGGAATACAGAGACGAGGGAGGTTCGGCCTAATGTTGTGTGTCCAACTTCAGTGTCAGAAATGTGTTCTAGCCGCCAGCGCTGAAGAAACGAGAACAAAACGTTACATGCGCGCTAAGTCAAACAACAACCAACTAATTAAGAAAAGGGTTACTCAATTCGATCCAAAAAGCTAAAATGTAACTCATATGAAATCGATCATCGATTTAATAGTATTAAATCAGAACTCGATTCATGGTTCTCGCGTTCTCTGTAACTCCAAGTATGATTATGGATGCACATGAAGATGTGAGTGAATTCGAGGCGGGCGTGGTTTGGAAATCGTAGAAGAGACCTGATGATCCTAGTATCGCATGGGAAACTCGTTACAAGTCGTAAAGCACTTTTGTGTTGAAGCGGCGCTTCCATACCCCTATTCTATCCCGTATTAGCGCTAGCTAAGTATAGGTTCGTTGCGCATCCGAAAACCCAACCTAGAGATGATTGCCGTCTTTAGTGTTGTATTTGCGATCCAATTACGGGACCTTTTAGTTTCTATTTATCTATTATCCCCTGAATTGTGGCGGACTTCGGTGGAGAGAAATGCAGCGAAAGTAGCGAAGTAACCAAACTTGACACTTAAAAAAAACGTAACGAGGTGATTGTATCTACAATACGAAACTTTGAATCGTGGAGATGAAAATATTCATAATCAGGAGGTGGCTTGTATCCTAGGAATAGCGAGTTGTATGTCATATTACTAGACCGTCTCGACCTCTTTGATAGCCAATTAGCAAAACTAGTACCCGAATCCGCTTCGTATTCCAATTAAATGGGATTGTGGACTAAAGGTGGGTAGATTGAGATATTTTGGATGTAAAACACGTCGAGGCGTCAGCTCATACAACTGGGCAAGGCCTGTTCCCTCCGCTCAAAGGAAGGCTAGCAATGGCTTAACAAGTATCGGAATTCGGAATTATAAGAACATGTCGGCTTCAGATTGGTATCAAAAAGTGTCTAAACAACCCTGAGATAGTTTACCTAGGTATACGTTGAAGCTCCAGATCTGAGCCTAGAGAGCATATCCAATTTTATTATGAAGAGCAGACGAAAAGCAGAAGAAGCATACGAAAAGAAGCTACCTACGATGGCCTCATTCTCATAAAATCTGATAAATCACCTAGGTAGAAATTTCTTGTTCGAATTTAATGAAGGGCGACAATAGTTGCACTACGGTAGAAATTCTATATACTTGTACATAGGTGGCTACTTAGGTATTGTCAAAATCTTTAGGGCCTATGCCGCTAATATCGGGCCTGTTTGCTTTTCCATCTTCTTCCGCCAATGTTTAAGCCATTATATTCTAAAGTTCCTCTAGCATGATTCCACCCTCCTCACATTGTGGCGGTGGCAGCCGTACTGGGAGGAGTCCTTCACGAATACGCAGATATCTTGAAGCGAGTTGAATTGGCCGGCTTGACACCATATTCATCAATGCATGTTTTAATTGTAGTAAATTCCCTATCTTTCGAGGCCAAGAAGGGCGAGACACCAAGCGGCTGTACTAATCTCTCCGACTATTATCAACGTCACGATGACATGCCGTGGAAATGAAGGGTTCATCACATTATCCAATGTGTATCAGTTAGAATTTAACCAGCCTAGGAACTTTGCGGACCGATTTGACGTCAAAGAGATAATTAACATGCTGCTTGGTGTATTGGAAATATCTAGGATTACTGGAGTGGTGTAGATAGGGAGGGTTAAAAAGCTTTGATTTATGTTCAGGGATGACGTGTGCGATTAACGACGACGGGAATACTCTGGAGAAAATCCGCTATGTGCCAATATCGGTTTTGAAACTTGAAATATAACCCTAGGTAAATCTAGTTGACCGCGGGATTTCCGTTCTGATCCTGGCTGCCTTCGAAGTGAACGTTCCCACGTGAGATTTGCCCTAGAAGCGGCTCGGCGGGCCGTCTCTCCATAATTGCCCGGTCAGTATCGTCAGTTTATCATAGGGGGGTTTCAGGCTTTTGGCTGATGTCTACTACTTTCAAAGACAGAAAGTATGATGTAAAAGGTCGAATAGAAGACTCTCGTGGATTAGCAGGTGAACGTGTATTCCACCTTTTGGAAGATACGGGTAGGCTCTGGGCCGTATTCGCTAGCCGCCCCCAGGGGTGGGTTGTCTGGTGTTGAGATGCACGACATGAAAGAGCCTAATGGGTAGGTGTATATCAGCCAAAACCTAGTAATAAGACTTTAAGTGAAGATGCTGCACTTCTTAGTGGATCTTGATCTTCTGTGCTGTCACATCGATGTTGACGTATTGATGGTCGGTATCGTTCGTGGTTGAGCACCCTTCTTTGCTGCAGAAAGGATCGCTAAGCTTCGCTTAGAGGTACGAAGCCGCCGATTTTTTAGGGGACAGAAGAGAAGATGCGCCGTTCTCGGCCCCGGGATGATACCCTATAGGAACTGGATAAGAAGAGAGATGGTATTAACGAAATTGCGTCATGCACTTGGTTCACGTTGATATGGATCTTCAGAGAGACGTGCGCTAGAATTACAAATTGCAGAATTTTCTTTGGAGAGAGAAGACCTAATTGACCCCCAAGATGAGTATTATACCTACCTACCTAGCTAGGTACTTGAGGTCATCCTATGAGTTCTATGGGTAGGTACCTATAAGTATAGCCAAAACAGGGATACCGGGATTGGCACGAGCCTTACCTACATACGTAGACCTGAGCCTCTCCATTGGTTATACGTACGGATGAACTATAGTTCTTCGCAGCTTTCTATCCATTTCTATGTCTCCTAACTTACTTTCTTACTTTTTTTTTCCTCCCGTTTTTCTATTTTCTTTTTCGTAAAAATTGTACGGCCAATAATGTTCGAGACAAAACTTGGGCATCAAAAAAAAGGAGGTTTTCACGATGCTACCGTGGGAGGTATAGGGGACCCACGGGTCTCTTTGCGGTTGCAGTCTGAATAAGCTATGCATAGTTTTAGAACTCGATACCCGAGGGTGGAAAATCCGCCGGCTAGATCCAACATGGGGGGTCCATCATTTGGATCGACGTAAGTGTATCCTCAATAGTAAGGAGAAAGAAGAAAAGGTGACGTGAAGCTGGGTCCACCAGGACAACCCCGTCGAGGAGGGAAATGACCTCATGCCGAATTGTCAGCGACGGGTAAACTTGAAGATTGGGGTTAGAAAAAGAAAGTCGAGGATACGTTGAGGTACGAACAGTACTACTATCCCGTTCGTGCGAGGAGAGGCAATCCGGGTATTTGCCGAGCATCCCACGCGTGGCCAGGCCCCCCGAATAGGCGTAGCCCCTGTTGATCCGGGAGTGAAATTGAAGAATTAAAAAGAGAACGAGCCTAGAAGTTGGTAGTTCTTTGCCCTACCTACCACTTAAGAATAGTGGGCACAGTAACGGACGATTGGGATGATATGTACACCGTTATTTAAATCATAGTTCATTTAATATGTTGTCTTCAGCTCTGTATAGCTATCTATATAGCTATCTAGGTGGCTACTAGGGCTTTGGCATAAAAGGATTGGGGGACGAGGCGATATTGACGGCATGAATACTACTATAGGTACGACGGCGCAGGCATACCGGAAGCGTAAGGTGGATATGCATATCAGAGCAGGTAGGGTCTCCAGCTACTATGTAGTACCTAGGTATACGTAGCGTATGTAGCAAATATGGTATATGTTGTATGATGGCAGTGATGATGGTGGTGGTGATGGTTGGTCGATGGGTCCCAAATGCAACCCAGTTCCTGACGCGTCTTAAGTCCTTACCTAGGTAGTTAGATTTCCAACAAGGGCATGTAAGAGCATGTAAGAGAAAAGAGAAGGACAAGTTCTATTTATTGTGAGAGGAGGATTTTTCAACTCAACATAAGCACGTTTGTTGGTGATGGTTGTGTAGTATCTAGATTGAAAAAAGATTAGAATCCTCCGGTCTTGTTTTCTAATAAAGGAGTGTTCGTTCGTAACCCCCCTTTTATTACATAAAAAAAGGCGCCTAGGTTGTCTAGGTTTAACCTTTCAACGTTGCTATTTTTACGCACTGATGCCTACCTCATATGAATTTTCTTACTAAATGAGGGTTGTACTCATAAGTACATCGATGTTAGTTAATTCGTACATCATAAATAATATAACATAGATATGTACAAGTAGATGTACACATAAATATACATACGACAATACATTTACATTTATGCTGCATGTGATATGCATACTATGATGTATCAATTCCAGGTACATCGGACCTAATAATTCGATCAGAAAAACCATTAATCTGCTCGTTCTTATCAGTCAAATCGTTTTTTTCCCTCTCGATGTCAATCACCAAGTCCTCGGCCCTTCTTCATAATTCTCTTGTCCTAGGTGCATAGTATGTGCATGGCACATCTGCATTGGCCCTATAATCCTGGTTGATCAAGGTAGGAGGAAAAAACAGGCTGTGCGTGGAAGAGGGAATCGAACATGGGAGAAGAAAAAGAATTATGAGAAAAAAAATTTGATGGCTTTTTTTTCGAATCCCACGTACTTTCCGCCGAAGTTGGGTACATTACCTCACCTGAGGTGCGTAACACTACTAAGGCACAGAATTCGGAAAGTCACAATCGCTTTTTTTTTTTTTTTTTTTCTCCTCTTCCTTTGCACAGACGCGTCTTTAGATCTTTTGGTCCGGATCATTGGAGGGTGTGTGGATGCCCTAGGTCTCACCGAGCTTCCTTTCCAGTCTATTGACGCCGTCAAAGTCCTTAAAATTGCCTTGTTCATATATTCCTAACTAAGCTTCCTACCTATGCTTACAAGCAATCATACCTTATACCTACCTACCTACCTATATCCAAGAGAGAAAGCGAAAGAAACAAGAAATAATAATAACAACCCAGCAGATCCCCTTCCCCCTAAGCAGGTTTATCATCCCGTAGGCTACCTAGGTAGGTACATTATTTATGCTCTCTTCTTGTTTCCTTTTTCAATACCCACTTCGGCATCGTTTTCTCCTTCGTCTTCTTTTACTGCCTCATACCTAAATATCGTATCGACCGTAGGTACTGTACGTACATGTATTTTAATCATGTCAGACTTGGTCAGCATGCATGTGGTTATTAGGGCTAGTTCCAGGGATCGAGCGAGCTATCAATCTGCATGGCCAACAATAACAGCAACACCTACATATATATGTACATAACATTGAACCCCCTATATAAGTATCCAATGGGCAATTGAGGTCTTACCTAAGGTGGGCATTATACATACCTAGGTACATATATACATGGTAGTTTAGTTGAATGTGTTATTGATGGTGTTAATGATTGAGCTATTACAATCAATAGATGTACGGGTACCTACATTGTAGCTCGAATACAGTTTCGAATGGATGGCGCCAACACGGTATTTTTCTACCTAGACGCGTTGGAGAATATTGTATTTTAGGTATAGGGGAGCGTAATAGGGGGGTAATTTGGGGTATCGTTGGATGCTGTATCACTAATGAGAACCCTGAAATGTGTAAGTGATTAAAATAAATACTTTCCCACGCATGTGTACAATTTAATTCCGCACAGTGTGACCATACAGTATACGTACCTCGCTAGCGTTAGTCTATTTTATACTTTTTTTTTCTTTCTTTACTGCAGGACGGACCGCCAAAAGCAGCCTCAAGGCTACATCCAGGGATCCTAGCTGCGTACATATGTACCCTTGCTTACCTTTGCCTAGGTACCTAGTTCTCCAATCTTTTTTTTCAAGTTCCCCCTGGGTGAATTTTTTTTTTCTCTTTCTTTGCAAGACCGAACCACTAAGACGAAAAGAGCAAGGAGTGGCCTCTTTACGGAGAAAACGCAACAAATGCGCCGACGACTTAAGCTAACTGGAATCTCGGCCCAGGGTCGCGTCGAAACACCTCAAACATCGCACCACTTGCAGCACACACTTTCATCCCGTTCCTACACTAGCAAGTTCCTACTGCTGCCGTTGCCGCGCCCTGCCCTGCTCTGCCCTGCTGCTGCTGCAGTTGCTGCCTTTCCCTTCCCTGACTGAACCCTCTTCCTTTCTTTTCTCTTACCCTCTTGCGTGTTGTTGTGTACTGTACTGTAGTGTTGTGTTCGTGTGGTGCTGAACCCCCCACCCCCCTACTCTGGGATCTGATCCCCTTGTTCCCTCTCGTCTCGGCTACGCATGAGGCACGTACATACATACACTACATACGCTACGTACATACGTATATACACATCATCATACCTATCTACACACCTATCTACCTACCTACCTTTACCTGCCTACCTACTTAAATACGTACCATATATACATACATACAGTACAACAAGGTCGGCAAGGGTAGGGGGGTGAGGTAGATAGATAGGTAGGTAAAGTAGAGAGGTAAGTGACCAGGCAAGGTAGCTACATCGTAGCTAGCTAGCTGGCCTGCTGGCTACTACTGCTGCTGCTACTACTGCTTCTGGCTGGCCACGCCCACCGTTCGAGACGCTGGACCAGAACCAGACAGGTCCCGTCCCCCCCGTCCCCGTCCGTCCCAATCCACGCCTCCCCGTCCCCTGCCAGCCCTAGGTCGGGTTTCGTGACTTGGCCCCCCTTACGCAGCAGCGTGGAATCGGCTTGCCCCTGCTCAGATCGCGCCCCCATAAAAAATTGCAAATTAAAATCAAATCAAATGGCAGAGGCACAACAGGAACAGCCACAGGCTCATCAACCTCAGCCTGAACCCGTCTTTGCCGCCGCTGAAGAACTAGCCTATGCCCTCCCACATCAATCGCGGGCCAAGTCTCCATTATCACAAGCTACGCAAGAGCAGGAAATCCAACAACAAGGGGCGCAGGGGCAGGTACAGGTACAGGTAGAGCCACAGTTAGAACCAGATGTTAGCGCCTTCGATCACGATCAAGATCACGCACACCTACACCAACACCCACACCCACGCGCACGATCTCCCGATTTACAATCCCCAAATAATGCAACTACGACAGGAGTAGTAGTCGCCAACGCGCAGGAGCAGGAGTGGGCACAAGAACAGGAACAAGAGCAGGTACAAACACAAACACAAAAACAGACACAGGAACAGAAACAGGGGCGGCCCCAACTTCCCTCGAATCATCTCAACGCTGTCAACCAGAATTCGACCTCGACTTCGGCCTCAACGCCAACGCCAGCCTCGCCCGTATCCGTCCCTAACACGACCACCGTCGCTGCTGACCAGGCCACCCAGCCCTCGGCGACGGAGGCCACCAACGGCGCTTCGCCCGATCATCAACATTCGCAACATCACCAGCAGCAAGAAGGTACTGCGCCGACCTCGGAAGCCATGTCGAATAACCCACCTCACCATCCCCAGGGCCCGCCTCGACAATCCGCTAGCTACCCGACCTCGACAGCGTATGCGACGCCCGGCATGATCAGCGCACACTATGGATATGGCAACCCGGCGGCTCAAGGTGCCGATGTGTACAGAGCAACAGCTGGGGTTCCGAGCAATGCTATGGCGTTGCCTAGTATGCGCACTTTCGACCCGGCTCAGCAGCAGGCCCAGCAACAGCAGCACATGGCTATGGCGATGCCCGTGAATCCGGTGCCTTCAGTTCCATCGATGCCGACGCAACAACATATGTCATACTTCGGACAACAAGCTGTTCCTATGACTCCTAACAATGCATATGGCATACCTCCAGACGCTCTCAGACCACAATACGGTATACCCACTGGTGGACCAGGTAGCGTATTAGGTGGTCGACACAAGAAGGTAATTGGAAGAATGCTATCCCACTCGCAACATTTCTATTTATGTCGGCGACTAACCTTGTGATTTTATTTGTTATCGTAGGAAATCAAACGTCGAACGAAGACGGGTTGCTTGACATGCCGAAAACGACGTATAAAGGTATGTTAACATTATTATTACTATTCTTTTCTTCTCCTTTTCTATTGACGACTTACCCCGGGTAAATATTTGTTCATATGACGAATTGAGGGGAAGAGGGATGGATTTTAAGATTGATGATGAATGAACAATTACCAACTGAAGAGAGAAAGAAGATGAAGAGAAAAAGGAGTTACAATGAATAAATGAACTAAAAGATAGCCTGGGAGCTTTTGGTCAATTGCATCGATACTTCCCATTACACACCCAAACATCTCATAACACCTACTTCACCTTTTAGTTCGGGGATCAACCGCGCAGAAAAGAGCTACCCGGCGGAGCAAGCAAAAGCAAGCAAGTGCAAACAACACCGATAGCTCCAGAAAATTGGTGTCTATCAATCGCCCGGGAAGCAGCCCCGAACCCCAAAAAGGTCAAAAAAAGCAAGACCCTCCCTCCCCTAAACTTTCCATTCTTAGTTCATTCAAACCCCCCAAACTCCAACAAGCAAGCACTTGACACTTGACCTTTCATAGCTCTGAGCTTAAGCTTTGCTCGTCTATTCTTCCCCTCCATACTACTAGCTCTTACACATTTCACCCCTCTTTCTCCTTTCACCACCATTAACATCACCCCACCATTTACCATTTTCAATACACAATTCTCCCTTTCTTTACCAACATCATACCCAACATATACCAATATCCACATACCCTAAGACCCTGCATATGCAAACATTCTTTTTTTCACTTTACTATCTTTCATACCTAACCCATCGCTGTCCCAAGCAATCATTTCTATTACATCACAAAAACGAACGGTTTAGTTATTGAGTATCCAATCTAAACTTCACCTTCATAGTGCGACGAGCAGCATCCGGTCTGCAAAAACTGCCAGAAATCGAAACGCGAGTGCTTGGGATACGACCCCATCTTCAAGAACCAGCAACAACAGCACCCCACTAATATTCGACCGGCTCCTAATAATTCGTCGAGCTCCTCTTCTATACCATCGAGCCGACCTTCTGCCCCCTCCGCCCCCGTCGCTGGTAGCGCATCGGCCCAAGCCTCTTACAGCTCTACTTCACTTCCGCCGGTAATACCTAATAATACCACTCCCACTACCGCACCATATACCGGAAACCTGACAGCCGCGGGAACAGCTGCGTCGACGGTCAAAGGCGAACCTCTCGAGTATCCAGCCGCTATCGATCCTGCACTAGACCCCGTGCTGACCACTACGCGTATGTCGACCTCTTATTTCCCACCGACCAGACCTAATCCTGTTGATCACCCTTCACCATATATATTCCGTCCCGGACGTACTGGTCCTTTGTTTGTTCCCTCGCATCATTCTGTTTCGCTTCTTGCGTCGTCTTCCTCTCGGTAGCGATCGTTGGCTTACACTGGCTTTCTAGAAAGAAAGATGAAGGTCCACGAATTAGTGGGCATGAGTGGTGCCGTACCCCCGGCCCTAGACTCTCCTTTAACTAGCGAAAAGATGGCCGAAGTTAGAGATTTATATGACCAGGTTTATGCCCCTGGACTAGAGAAATTTTTCGAGACGGAATGGTATACCAGGCCTCAAGGTGTTGGCGTCTTGGTGTCGAGCTCGACCGTCAACGAGATGTTAGCGGGGTTTTTACAATCTATGGTAAAGACGGATGCCAATGATGTTGCTGGAATGCAATACTCGGCCAACCTCGAGTTTCGAGTGGTTTGGGACTTGGCCTCATTAGTATATACGACGGAGTACAAGGTCAATGTTGGAGAACATTTACCGCCGCCTGATGACGGATGTGAGGCGCGAAACCGAGTGGCAGTCTTCGAGGTTCTGCTGTCTGGCGACTACCTCGACCAGAATCCACTTCAGTCTCCTCCCCCGACTGCCGACCTACGAATCCATCGAATCCGAGAGTTTAAATTCTGGTACCTCCTTGCCGAATTTCTTCGTATGAAGGATCATCCAGGTTTGGATATGGCGCGTCAACGCGAGTATATCCTTTCACAGATGCGTGAGCTTCTAGATGGTCGTGAGAATCGCGACGTACTTTATTCGCTTGCCGTGATACGTGCGCTCGCACCGAATTTCCCTCCGGACTTTGAGAGCAGTTTGCCTCCTCATCTTGATGAGACTGATCCGAAAAGTAGGCTGGCAGTAGCCCGCAAATTCATTCAGGATGAAGCCCAGGTCACTGGTGGAACGACGAATGTAGTTCGCCGTTTCTCCGAGCTCGCCGTCAGGGCTTTCATAGCCCCGGGGAGCAATATCATTCGGAGATGATGACGATGGAATTTACGAGGATTGAAATGACAATTTCATATCAATGTATTAATATACTCACGAAGACCCAATGACCTTTGTTGATATAGCATTCGGAAGCGACGAGTATTTCGATGGTACTTTTCTCCAATTTTTTCCCCAGCATGGCCAGTTCGATCGATTATCCCTCATTTTCTACCGTTACCTTTGTTCTTGATAAGATTATATGCGGAGGACCATATGGTGTTCGGCTGGAGGAATTATAACGCATAGAGCAGACCAGAAAGGGACCCGATTGGCGTTGCGGCATTCTACGGAACACCAAAACAATGAGACTACGTTTACGTCTTTTATTATATCCCCCGAGTACAGTGTACGAATAAGTGTTGAGGAGAAGAGTATTGGCGATGAAAAGTGATGGCAGGATAAAGGGCGACTGACTTTTTCCTCGGCGAGACTTGGACGGGCAAAATTTCGGTGTCCGTGACGGAATTATTTATTTGATTATGGGAGCGATGGAACAAGGTTAACCGCCTATTTTAGGTACGATACTTGGAACGGATTCATTTCTTCTAGATGTGCGAAGGAAGTATACCTCTTCCTCGCCTGTTACGGAGTTCTTTTTCCTCTGCGGTGAAGCTCGTCCGGACAGTTATAGAAAGCAAGAGAGAGCTTTCAACTAATGCGGCATCATAGAGTTATACGGTAGATAAAAAAAGAAGAGATGGCTATTTTTTTCATATTATGTTACCATTGTCGTGTATAGTAGTATCTCATTCACTGAAACGTGTTGACGAAATGTAACGCAAGAGCGCATCTATTTTCCATTTTTCTAATCAGCAAGAGCTTTCGACGATCTAATATTAGCGATACGAATTAATAAGGCTACCTCTCCTCTTGGCCACTCGCAGTGTGAAAAGAAATAAACCAGCTAGCTTCTACGTGACGTGGGGGTCCTAGCTTAAGAAAATGGCCGATGGCCTCTTACGTAAAACCTCCCGAGTGCAAATCAATTTGCAGAAAGCGAGCCGAAAGGATGAAATGCCTTTGATTTCAATTATCACAATCATTTCATTTTGATAGATATAATATTCGGATGGAAAACGCGCGTTAGCTGCTTCTATTTTCTATCCAGATCCGGTTGACGGATGATGCTCTCAGCTCTTTTCTCTAGCTGTAATAGGTATTTACCAACAATAAATGGTCTTAACCATTTCCTCGGTCTTTGTGAAAATATCAAAACGCCATGAGGGGAATCATGTCATGCATCAAAATGCCAACGCCGTTTTTTGTTGAAAAAAGTATGACCTGCCGGCACTCCTGGTTCCTTTTGTTTCCTCGTACCCCGTTCCCTAAATCCATTGATGCGTAGACTCATGCTTGTTGAAACACAGACCAACCCCCGTAGAATCGTGGGAACTCTAGTAAGCTATAGGTAAACTCCGGAGTGCACACGGTATTGAGATCTGTGCACGTCGAATAAAAAAATGATGTACACGGTTGAAATTAGTATCGGTAGCTGCGGGATATTGTTAGCAAGAAAAAGATCTAGAATAGTGGGAGGAAAACATACTGGTCGCTCTTGAAGGGACCCTCGAGTTCCAAACCAAGGTATTCACCTTGTACCTTGGTGAGGGTGGTGAGCTCAGCGTTGACGTGGCTGAGATGTAGTCGGGCGACTTCCTCGTCCAAAACCTTGGGTAGTACGTAGACACCGACGGGTAGCTTCTCCGTCTTGGCGAAGGCGACGTACTTCTGGCCGAAGGCCTTATCTTGAGCCTTGAACAACATGATTTGTGCAAGGACTTGGTTGCTGAAGGAGCAGGACATGACGAAAGAAGAGTGACCAGTGGCACAGCCGAGGTTGACCAGTCGTCCTTCAGCCAAAAGGATAATGTGTCGGCCGCTGGCCATCAGGTAGCGGTCAACCTGGGGCTTGATGTTCTGGACGCTCTTGGCGTTCTTCTTCAACCAGGCAACGTCAATCTCAATATCGAAGTGACCAATGTCTGAGGATATGTTAGTCATTATAAAATTGGAATATGATGAGGGTATGCATACTGCAAACGATGGCGTCGTTAGGCATGGCCTCGAAGTGTTGGCCAACTAGGATGTCTCGGCATCCAGTAGTGGTGACAAAGATTTGACCAAGGGGAGCAGCCTTCTCCATGGTGGTAACTTGGAAACCAGCCATGGCAGCTTGGAGAGCGTTTATGGGGTCGACTTCAGTGATGAGGACACGAGCACCCATTCCGTGGAGAGCCATAGCGCAACCCTTACCGACGTCACCGAAACCGGCGACGACAGCAATCTTACCAGCAATCATGACATCGGTGGCGCGCTTGATACCGTCGATCAAAGACTCACGGCAGCCGTAAAGATTGTCGAACTTGCTCTTGGTGACACTGTCGTTGACGTTGATAGCGGGAACAAGAAGCTTGTTGTTCTTCAACATACGGTACAGGTGGTGGACACCGGTGGTAGTCTCCTCAGAGACACCGAAGCAGTCCTTTAGCATCTCAGGGTACTTGTCGTGAACGAGGTGGGTCAAGTCACCACCGTCATCCAAGATCAAGTTGAGCTTCTTGCCATCCTTGAAAGCAAGTAGTTGTTGTTCTAAGCACCAGTTGTACTCCTCCTCGGTCTCACCCTTCCAGGCAAAGACGGGGACACCGGCAGCAGCGATAGCAGCAGCGGCGTGGTCTTGTGTGGAGAAGATGTTGCAAGAAGTCCAAGTAACTTCGGCACCGAGAGATGTTAATGTCTCAATCAAGACGGCGGTCTGGATGGTCATGTGTAAGCAACCGGCAATGCGGGCACCGGCGAGTGGTTGATCAGCGGCATATTTCTTTCGGATGGCCATCAGACCAGGCATTTCGTTCTCGGCGAGTTCAATCTCCTTGCGTCCGAAGGCGGCAAGGGAGAGGTCAGCGACCTTAAACTTGCTAGCGGGAGCAGCCATTTCTAGCATAACAGTTAGTAGGTCATTCATATGATAGAATGAGGAGGAATGGGATATAAAGGGACAACTTACTGAAGTAATTGATTGAGGCTTGAGGGGAAAATATTAAGGAAGGGAGATTGAGATGTTAACCGGAGAAGCGGGGTGAAGGATATCTACACCAGACGGAATTAGCAACTCGAGCTCTAGCAAAGAAACTTGTAAAGCAGCGTTGACTTACTTAAAATACTCAATGAAGAGTATATTGAGGTGATAATAAGAAGGATGGGAAGGGGGAAAATGTAGTAGAAAGAGGTTAAGAAGAGATAGAAAAGAGGAGAGAGCGAGATAAAATAAGTAGGAACTATGTAGGAACTAGGAGGTAAAAAAGATAGGGAAAAAGGTACTTCCAAGGTCACTACCTCTAAGTAAAGTTACGGCTGGTACGGCGGTACGGTAGCTACGGAGTTGGTGGGGGAAGGAAAGTGGAAAGAGAGAGCCTAGATACAGGATTGATTGGCCCTATTGGGTTGTTATTGGTGCCCAGGTGGTACCTGGAGCATTTCGATTATTTTTTTTAATTCAATTCTGGCTACCCCTCTGCCCCTCTTTCCTTCTTTTCCTTCACAAGCACCTGCCGGACCACAAAGATTGAGTGGTCGGCGGGTTTTGCTGACAGAGTTACTAAACTCCTTTTGGTTTAGAGGATTTGGTCCCTGAAAAATGCCCCTCACTCGGCCTCATCCACCCACTCGGCAAATCCTTTTTTCTACGCGGTTGGGGAATTCAATAACTCCGTGTACAACGGATTATTTCTTATATTACGCCGCTCCAAACGCTTGTAATAGGTCAATCCTGCCCCAAAAACGCCCGTTTTACCCCCCCTTTTAGCGCTTAGGTAACTCCCCATTACGGAGAAGGAATTTATGGCCGTCAAGGTAGACCCGATCCTCGCGCGGGCTCGGCCGCAAGGTACATTAGGTCCACGATATATACTCCCTCCAAGGAATTCACTACGATATATGGAGGTACGGTAGAAATTGATTAAAAATGTAGGTGCCTGGTAGTTAAAGTGTCTTGTAGGTAAGCTTGAATATGGAATCTCTACACTGTGAGCATCGGAAATCTTCAGTATTCCCTCTTTCCTCCTTAACACGTGATAGAAATTTGGCCTGCTTACGCTCGTGATGAGATTCGAAGACGATCAATATACCTTATTCATACCGTTTTTTCTTTGGCTTCAGAGCTAGAGTCTCAATTTTTATGTGAAAAAGACCCCGACTAAGGGATACGTAGCAGTATCAGAATAACTAAGTAGAATTTATTCTACAGACCCTGAGAAACCCTAGAACGCCCCGGACGCCGAGCCACATGCACCTATATCAATTATAACCCTTTTTGTTTCTCTAGTGACTTTATTCTGGGAGAAGATTTCCTCTAACAGCAAACATCTTGGCGCTGACGTTGGCTGTGAATCCGTCTATTTGCTTGCTGTATTGTTCGACCTGTTTGGCGTTCAACATGCCTTCCAGACGGCTAGGCTCCTGAGGAAGCTTGAAGATTCGTTGCCACTCGTCTTCGGGTAGCGGCTGCTGCTTAGCCGCAATTCGTCCCGCATTCTCTGCTTTTCGCTTTGTTTGCCATGCCGTAATCTTTGTCTGCTCGCGAGCTAGCTGCCTCTGGTAGTATTGGTGGTTGTTTAGTTCAGTGTAATGAGACTCAATGCTGTCGAGCAAAAGATCGCAGGTCTTCTCGAGGAAAGGGTCTATCGAGAGATCAAGAACATCGATAGATGGGTTGAGAGGCAACTTCACAGGGTCTCGCTGCAAGTCGGAGAGAGACGTCGGCAATGTCAAGTCTTCATCTGTGGGGATCGCGGGTAGTTGATGAAGGTAGGAGGTAAGAAGGTGCGAGTTGTGGACGTTGACAGGAAATTCGACAAGGATATCCTTGAACGAAAGCTTGGATTTTTGTAGGCTGGTCTACGTTAGTATCTCGTCATTTGATACTTGGTTTTTAAGCATCGCCTTACCTTTCGGTGGTGAATTTGCCCTCCTTGTATGCAGTCATGAAGTTCTGGGTCAACTTGAAAGCGCGAAGGCTCAGAGCACCCTGGGAGCTTCGGCTAACATCGTGCACCAAAGCCACTGCCCGGTCGCTCTCACGCTGGTAGTGGTACTGGTTCTCAATAAAGCTAGAGCTAACGAAGTTACCCATGGTAGCACTCGTATACCAGCCCACGCTGTTGGCGTCGACGTTGACCTCCTTAAGATGTCGTATCATTTCGTTCTGGTAAACAATGTTCGCCTTGGCGCGGGGAGCGGCGGCGGCGAGAGCGGACGCATCGTTTTGGTGACCACCTTCGAGGTTTGCGATATCAACGGTAGGGAAAGGGAAAGTGTTGGTGATCTCAAGAACACCCTCTTTATCCATACCGACGATAGAACCGGTAGCGGCCGTAGGGAAGTTGTTTGAGCAGTGCTTCACTATTTTCATAACAACCTATATGCGCCACGCCGAGATTAGTACACGTGTAGCTGGCAGCTTTATAGCGAAGAAGGCGATTCTAGGGCTACTAGAGGGGTAAACGAATACTAATTTGAGAGAGAAAAAAAATTGTTACTTACCAACGCCTCAACCTGAACCGTCTTGAACGGCGCATCCTTTAAAGAGTCCGCCATGATCGCAAACTTCTAAACTAGTTTTCGCCCTGTTATTGTACAATATTGTATTGACTTTGGGGGATGAGTTCGGGTTATCGGGTTTGGTTGTTGTGACGATGTTGCGATGTCTTTCCAGATTTTGTTGTTTTAGTGGGATGCGATTCTTGTGGGTTTAGAAATTTAGGTAGGCGGGGAAGAATAGCAAAAAATGATTACATAAGTATTAATATGCTTTAAGTAGATATCGGATAGACATATGCTATATGCATTTATAGTGCTCTATATAACTAGTAGGACTATATGAATTAAACAAGTTCGAGGCACATGCTGGCGCGTCGGCATCCCAAAAACATAACCCGTAACCCCCGTATCCCCTCTTCTCATTTCTTACAATACTTCCATTTTCATACACTACTGATAAAGCATCCCGCGAAAATAACTCGCTTGAACATCCCACTCTGAACCCCCACGCTCATGTTGTCATTCTCCATGTCGACATTCCACACATTCCACAAATAAACCGTATTTAAAGAGCCTCAAAGCAACGTCGTCCCTTTTCTGAGCTTGTATTCTTTTTCGTCATATGTCAATTGTCTCATCTACTTGACCATTACTAGCACTGCCCAGCAATGCCCGCATCAACCTAGCAACCGAAGTGGATTGAAGATATCACGAATATCACCTATACCACCTATACCACCTATATCACCCTCCTTTAACATCCACAACACAAGCGCTAAGGCTCGTGTTAGTTGCCCTCCCTTTCATTTGCCACCGGGAGAGGAATAGTGCCTAACTTCTTCCATCTTGATCATCTTCACGGGTTAATACTCGATTAGGAGAGGGAAGATGGACTTCCGGGTGTGCGGATACACAACGATCTCTATTTGTTACTTTCTATCTTTTCGTATCTTTATCTATCCCTTTCGTTCTATCTAAGCATATCTTTGCGCCGAAGATCTTCTATGCTCTATCACCATCTTGGTTAACAGAACCCGATAACCGATAATACCTTGCTGGAAATCACAGGCCAAAAAAAAAAAAAAAAAAAAAAAAACACAATAAAAATAAAAGAAACGACAGGGTAACCGGTCAAACACAGACGGCCCGCTGGCCGCGGACTAGACTCCTTTTCTCTCATTCGCCAACGCCTGTCGCCTCTATCTCAGGCACATGAGGGTCAACCATACCGGGTCGGCCACCGTGCAGTGTACTGCAACCCTACGCCTTCATTCCCAGTCAATAATCTCCCAGCTTTGCACGTCATCCCGGATGATAAGCCTGTGCCGGTCAATCTTCCAATGCGAATACAACGACCGCGTTGCCGCCGCAGCCTTTCGGTGCCCAGGGCCGACTCCTCCCTTTCTCGCATCCTCTTGCGATCTCCACACACAGGTAGCTAGGTTCCTGCCCTCCTTATCAGGATGTCCGAACCAATACCTACATCTTGTTAATGCGCTCTTCCGCGCGAATCTGAGCGGGGTGGATCACTTACTTCAGAAAACCTCCACTAGCTATCGCTTCCGCATGTGCTACCTCATCCAAGGCACCTAGATCCTCGTACTCAGTCGTAGGCGGGATCTGAGATCGGAAAGCCACAATGAAGAAGGAAGTCTCTTTCCAGTTATGGCCATGCGTTCGCACGAGCCGTGTCAATTCCTCGATTATTTCATTCCAGTTGAAAGTCTCTGTATATGGGGCGGTCGCATAGTCTGGCCGCAGACTTCGCATGCGAGCAAGCGCCCGAGCGAGCAATGCGTTCTCTGCATCCAGAGTTCTCAAGTCGAGAAGGTGTTCCTCTTCGGTATATGGCGATTGAACCAGCAAGTGCCCCCCTTCGTGCGCGAAGATGCCGTCACTGCTACCCAGAGGTGATGCAGCAATCTCCTGTGTCGAGATCTCTATTGGTTCCTTCTCTTGAAGGACTACGGGTGAGGGCCCTGAGAGGTGTGGTGACACCTCATTTACAGCCATGGTTGGTGGGTTTGATAGAGAAGTCTCTAAGTGTTGGCTGACCGAAAGCGATAAGAGAATGAGTGGATGATGATAATGATAAATGGTGTTGAGAGTATGAGAATTCTTGACAAAACTTGAAGAATCCGGTAGCTTCAAGGCAGGGCTCAAGGTGGTTTTTATGCAAGGAGACCTCTAGGACATCCAGGTGATATGGGATGATGATTTCCAGGAATCAGGACTGCCGAATTAAAGGGACGGGAGTCGGTTTTTCACTATCACTACGCAACGTTGTGAAGCAAGGAGATCTTCAAGTTACCATCGTTCGGCGGTATGGCGAGCGGACCCGGCTGCATGATAAAAGATTGGGATTAGGTATGTCTAAGTAAAGCCCTTTGTTGCGTGTGTAAGTTGGTGAAAATTTCTGGGTCATTCTTGATCCCGGAATTGATCGCGCAATCCCACAAACCGTTGATACCATTGAGCCACAGCATTTAGCCAGTCAGCCCAAAGTTGGACAATCTTAGCACTAAAATAGTACTAAGATTACGAATTTCGACCTTATTAACTCGAAATCCATGACATATAAATCGACTAGCTACTCATTCTTGTTTTCCTTTTTTTTTCTTCCCCATTTCCAATCTATATCCTGGGGATGTTTGACTAGACCCAGCTTCAGCATCCACCTGGATATCTACCTAGGCGTTTGATACAGCCCGTTTGAGCAAAACGCCCCTTGGAGCATCCATGCAAGCGCAGCATGACCCACATACATGTGTATGTGACCTCGATCTTGATAGACAACGTGCTCGAAAGGGCAAATATATTACCCATTCACCTAGGTTACAAGTCATATATGCTAGGCATATGTACATGGCTAGGTACTTAGGTACTTACCTGGGTATGTATGTATCAATGCTTAGATCATCGTCGAGGAATTGACGAATCGGCGTAGATCGGGTCAGTCGTCACCTCTCCAGTTGTTACATGAATATGACAAACCTGCAATGTACCGCAACCGCCGAATAAGAAAGAGAAAAGATATGTTAGCGCCATGCGACTAATTCACAACGCACAGCTTAGACAAAACACAACGATTACGGTCAGCAAATCGTACATTGGCAAACGTCCCATCTCGCATTCACTTTTGTCACACCCCAACGCCGACGTGGCATGGCTTCAGAGAGAAAAGATGGATGTTCGGGCTACTTAGGTACCATCACAGCAACATCCGCCACCGTCGCTCGGAGCATTCAGCTAATCCGGTTGCTACCCTATTCCGAATATCACATACCTATATGTAGTCGATAGATATGGGATAGTACAGGAGATAAACGAGAACAGGAGGACCGTCGCAGCCGATATGAATGCTACGTTGGCCCACCTTTAAATCCCGGAGGTATTTTCCCACAAAATGGTTTTCTTTTCCGTATGTATCCTTACAATGGATATGTATGTTTTGTACCACGATGACCGACATGCTACAGCAATTGGTTGCGTGCGAGAAAAAAAGGAAGAAAAAAAGGGACCGCAACACAAGAGGCACAAGGTGGCGCGACGCCGATGCCGGTAGGATTTCGACAAACGTGTAATTCCCCATGTAAATGTAACTTGGACCGCTCTACAATCCGCCTGAATTGCCTTTACAAATCAGAGAAGAGTGATTTTCGCTGCACGGCCGATCCGAGCTGTTGGGGCTACGAACTCTCCGAAACACCGCTCCAGCACAGAAGTCGAACACGTGCCCGACCAGGTTATTAAGAGGAATGGAGCCGATATAACTGCTCCGTGTAAATAATGGCAGTACCTTGCGAAATCCATCTTCAAGGGAATAGCATAGCAATGTCAGTAAAAAGCAAGAGAGTACTTATTTCCAATTAATGGCATGTCTGAATATCTCGCACTGGCAATTATTAGTAGCATAAGACATTGAACCATATCGATATAAGCCCTTATCATTAAGCCCTGATCAATTGAGGTGTAGCTGGTAATTCTTGTGCTACCTCTTATTTACCCCGACAACGAGAGAGTGATATGTTGATCAGGAAATTTCTAACTTATTCCATTACCTGCTAGGAAACCCGATGCCATTCTGATAATAGGTAAATAGATGAATACCGCTTCTAAACCCATTTGCACTTGAACTCATCATTATTACCGAATTGTCTCCCTATTTGTATCACTTATTAGCTTACATCGCGAAATCTTTACTTTACTCCGTAGGGGCTCGCCCCCGTGATTAACTTAGTTCAATTGCCTTCAACTCCTTCGGTAACTTTATCAAGGAGTTGATAGGTACGATTCATAATGATGTGCTATTTTCGTTGGGTCGTAATGGGTGTCCTCACCTGAATATGATTTTGGTAATGGTGCTATGATTCAGAACTATCATAAAAGCCGTGGAGCTTTCGCATCGAAATTGCTAAATGCCGTGATACCCTCATCACACTTAATCCGGTAAGGCAAAGCGAAATGGCAAAATGCCAAGTAATCATCCCAACCAAGGCCAGATTTAGATATCCAAGCAATCCTATTCACAATAACAGATCAAAACGCCATTGAAGGAGATCGTGACGTGATATCATCGGTATAGTGATGGGCTTTCCGTCCCTTCTGATTTTTACTTCAACAGCAAACCCTTCGACTAGATAATCTGTCGCGGGTACCTAGGTAGATACCTGGATATATATCACTTATAGTACTCTTATTTACATGAGAATTGGTGTTAAGGGGAGGTCCAGTGGCTGACAAGAACCGTAGACCCTCCGATAACTTCTCTACCCCAAGGCTTAGGGGAGTCTACTAACCAGAATTTATAACTATAATTGAAATATAAATATGACATTTCACAAAATCCTTCAAGCGTACCTAATCTATATCATAAACTAATTCCATGTCCGCTATCAGTCGGTGTGGACGTGTAGCTTCAGGGGCCGCAAGTTCCGGAATGCCGCTTCGAATTGCCGGTTGATATGGACCGGGAAAATGTATAGCGAAGCGCCAAATATGGTTTATCATTGTCAATACTAAGGAGATATGTGAGGGTTAGCAGATCCGCATTAGTGTCTAGAATTTGAACGATCGTTACTGGAGGGTTGTTGACCGACATTGAAGCCACGACATAAGTCCAGATTAGGTATTCAGCATGACTTTCTCGGAGGAAGATGAATGCTTATCTCAAATTATGAAACGTTTCCGTGCCGAAGCTGCGGAACGGCTCTCGGTGCTTGGCATGGTCCCGACAAACCTACTGGGTCGTCGAATATCTCTTTTGACGAGCCAATCATATAGAAGATGTTTAGAACATGCTCGGTCGTAGACTTCAATAAATACTCATTAAAACGAATGAGGGGCTTAGAGAAGAGGTATTAATCATTTCCTCGCTAAGTAAGTGGAATAAGGAAATTCGGTAAAGAAGATCGTCATCAAGACGCTATTCTGCCAACCACTGAGTCCCTCGTCGCCTCGTCCCGTTCAACCAGTCAGCCGTAATCGGTAATCTGGGGGTTCTTGGCGCCTCGGGGACACCTAGTGGCTTCGTTGTCTATATTTCTTTTTGGATACCGGTATAAAGACGATATGATAGCAATAGTGTCCTCGTGACATCCGTGACTTCACCGCATACAACACCGTCGCTGAACGGCACGGGTTCATTTCTTCCATCGACCTTCCTTAAAGATACCTGTATTCAAGATCATTTCCGAGGTAATACCATATTCGGTGCCCCTCAAGGATACCACATAGGGGACCTGACGATCTCTCTTCAGTATGGTGGGTGGCCCTGTACCGACCCCACGGGGAAGGCTTGAGGCCATTGTATTGGCCGTGGGCACGTGGGCGATATTAAACACGACATTCATTGTAGAAGGTGTGACGTAGAAATTCTCGGTTGGGTGGATATTGATTTCCAGCCTAACTGAGTACCTGGACAATAAGGCAAACAACGGTTGGACCGGAAAGCCATTGCAGAGCGGTGGTGCCGGTTGGACTCTCCGGTATGGGGCGTATCTCCTAATAGACCCGATCTAGCGACACAAACATGTCAATCCCACAGAAAACATAAAAATACCTGTATGGATCCCCCAGAAACTATGCAAGAAATACCGGTCGTTTCGACATAGACCCCAGTATATGTTTGAAAATTCACCGAAGTCCAGTCAGGGTTGTACCACGTAAGTCGCATGATCTAGTCAGGTGCTTGTGCATCGGTATTAAGATTATCCTTCCTGGTATAAAGATTAGTTTGGGTGATTTAGGGCAACGTTTATCTCGTCAGCCTAATTATAAGGGTCATGGTTGGTTACCAAGAGGTTGATATATGGATTCACAGACCCTCTACCACAGCCTACTACGTTCTCCACAGTCGGGATTTTTCGTTTGGATCAGGTACAAAAGATAATGGGTAGCAAGCGGCCAAATGTTTCGGCGCTCATTTGAATACACGATATATCGTCAGATAATTTGCTATGTGGACTATGAATTTAGTCTAACTCCTGGTCATACCTGAGCCTAGGCTAAGTACCTAGGTAGTTTAGGAGAATACGAGTCGATGATGTTACATCTACAACAAACACACGTAATACAAATGATATTCTTAATTTCCCTGGGGATACACCATGGTAATATTCGTAGACTATCTAGAGGCAATTCCTCGTAAATTGTAGCTGTCTACGTTAGGTTAACATGTCGTCGAGGTTGGGTATTCTCGGTGAACATGGTAGACTTAGCCTCAATTATCGGCGATAACAACATCGCGAGTACCGTTTTTATGGAGGCCTTTGAATATTGGGGATATGGCTAGGTTCTTCCCCAGATCTACGAGACGAAGTTTCCGAACTGATATCATGGGTCCGCTTGGCATCACAACCCGACACTGCTGATTCGAGGCGCAATGAGGGGCTTCTGGTTTGAAACCACATCTGCTGTCTCGTCAAGAGGGGATCCTTAGATTCGGGAAGCTAAAAATGGAGACGCTATGTTATGAGATAGGTTTACGGACACCGGTAGCAAACCACATGGCGGCACTTGTAGTTTCCTCATTTCCACAAAGGGACCAATGTCCTTACCTTCTTCTAGAATGAAGTAGAAGTGTGTCAGAAGAGCTCCGAAGGCTATTAAGACACCACGTGCTATTATTTCGCGGCCTGGATTGTCAGAGACATCTTGCTTCAAGGATAATACCCAGTAGAAATTATGGAGCGGAGGTTCCGTCGGTAAGGTCGACCCCATAGGAAAGATAACGAGATGGACTCCGTTCTGTTTAGTGTCGTGATAGATTCGTGTATACTGTTTGAGGGGCTATGTAATAGTGCTATGAGATACTTCCTATGATCGGTCCTCAAGACGAATATATAAGGGTAGAAAATCTGCTCGTTTCTAGTGAGAAACAAAACATCCTCATCAGCTCAACTCATCTACAAAAGACTCAGATCTTTGAAAACCCTTGAAAATAAGCAAATATTAGATATCCTCAGTACTTTGGTCTTCAAAATGATCTCACCAAGCCGCCTTCTCCCTCTCTTCCTCCTATCACCTACGCTCGCACTTACGCGTGGCTTCGTCGCATACAAAGAAAAAGGGTGTAATGATCCCCTCGATATCTGGAGCGATGGGGTGCAAATTCCGAACAACACGCTCCTCATAGACCACTCGATTAGAGAGCAGGGTACCTACGCTGGTGGTCGTACTTACGAGAATATGACGTTCCCGGCCGCCCATGCCACCGGCGACATGGACCAAGATGCGGGAGTCCAGTTCGTTTACTGGAAAATAGAGCAGCCTGACCCGGGTTGCCAGTACATGATGATGAAGGAAACACCTAGAGGATGGCAGGTACTCAGCCAGATGCCTGGCGACGAGATGCTGAGAATAGCCCAGGAGGGTTGCTACTATACTGCACTTGCTGTGAGTCCGAAAACATATATCCACCCAAAATTAGGCAATTTGCTAACGAATTATGCGACGCGAACAGCCGAACGACAACGTAATCACTAGCTACTGCTGTGGTCGCGATGATTGCGCCGTTGCGGAAGTCGAGTACGAACACAAGGAAGCCCAGGATACCACCAACGGCGGTGACCCCCCGACCTGTACTGTGAAGAAACTGTATTCTTCTAGTCCTACTGTCGAGGATGGCGAGCAGATTGCTGTTACTAGGCCGCAGACCTGCGAGGCTCCTCCTGCCTGCACCCATTCGATTACCCAGAGCAGACAAATTAGCACGGCGGTATCGCACTTCCAATCATTCTCCTGGACTACCGAAGAAGGAATCGATGTACATTCACTACCTATCCACCATGTCTAGGCAATAGGTACTAACATCACTTCTGTATAGGTCAGCTTCGAGGCTGGTATTAACTTCATCGAACAATCCACGATCAAAACGGGCCTAGCGCTTAACATTGCGCAAAGCTGGATGGATGAGACCGGTACTACCCTTACGCAAACCAACATCACCGCTGCTCAAGAAGCCGGAAGACAAGAAGTCGGTACTGTGGCTTTCTACTCGTTTACACCCCAATATGACTGCTGGAAGGGAGATGTCAGCTGTGGTAAAGATAACAGTGGGAACGAGAAGGTGCTCGAGAACATCAGCTTCTGCCAGCCCCGAATCTCGACTACCGGGGATCCCGCTGGAGTTTTCAGAATGGTGTACACTTCAGGGTGATCTACTTCTCATTTGACTGTTTTTTTTCTTTCTTAGGTAGTCTTTTTCACTATAGTGCTTTTGTCTTTCTATTTATTGTTGCGAATTCAGGGATGGATAGGACGGATGGATGGATGGGACAGGGTTCGATAAGCTAGTTGGGCGCGAGGGATTGGAGAAAGGATATGGGATACCTCTACCTACATAGGCTTGTTTATTTCTCATTTAGAGTATGCTTTTATCTTCATTATAATACACTTTTCTTCTTGCCAGCCAATTTTTGGCTACTTCGTACGTTCCTAAGTATAGGCCGCTGCCAACCGCCGTCCACTGTATGATAGTTAGTGAAAGGTGGGGGGAGAGAGGGACGAGGAGTGGTTGGAACATGTAATGGTACTTACGACAGCACGAAGAATTGCGCCTCTAAAAAGGCCGGGAACACCCCTCTCAGCGATAACCTCGCGTGCTACGGCGAGGCCACCTCGATTATTATATCTGCTTGCATCTTGCGGTGCAGTTATTCGATCATGGGCGCCTTGCTTAACGTCCCGATCGCTACCGGCCAATAACATCATCCGCGTCTTGACCACATCCATGGGGGTGGTAACAACAGCGGCAAAACTGCCTGCTAACCCCGCGCTCGTCCCTGTAATTACGCCTGTCTCAAGTAAATTCTCTTTCTGTCGGTCGAGGGATCCAGGTTCACTAGCATTGACGCCCGGTCGGCGGCCCCAAATCCGGGCGCGCAAAAATTCGAAAATTGGGAATTGAATTGCCGTGAAGGGCAGGTTTCTTGCTACTAAAGCGGTATATCCCGAGAGCAACTTGCCTCCGGCTCCGGCGCCTCCCAAATGTTTCAGAGCCTGAAGCGAGGCGGATCTACGTGAACCACCAGAATGTTGTTGCAACATTTGCGCATTTTGTTTGATAACTTCAGATGGAGTGAGTACTAAACACGAGGCGCATTCCGCTATGGCCGAAGCACCCGAATGCACGAGGGGTTGTGGAAGACCCAATGGTAATCCATGACGACTGATGAAATTCTTGGCGGCTTCGTAGGTGGTGAAAAAGGTCCCCGCGGCTGGTAATGTGGCGATGATAACTATTCCTAGACCTTGATATAACCCCTTAAAAAGGTGCCTTGAGGGCAATTTTGTTTTAGTAGTTGGATCGGCGAAAGTCTTGATAAAATCTCGACTTTGTTGGCGAGTTTTGAGGGTGTCCAATGGGTAAATTATCAAATCTACAATGAATGCTGCCCCGCCGCCGGCCTAGGAGGAAAAAGAAAATCGTCAGAATACTTCACATACAAGTAGTGATTCATCTCCCTATGACATGCGATTTAAAAACAACAACATTCAACTAGGCTTAGGAAATAATAAAAAAATCACTTACCAGCATGACATCGAGGTTGGAACTACCACTCATTATGACTACTCTCCGGTAACCCCGGGAAGTCCTGAGGGAGTTTTTAAAAATTGTGAATTGTCTTCGCTTGCGTTTCGTTTGTTGTTAATTCTGAATTGTTAATGTACATGTATGTATTTGAAACTCCGATGAGTGATGAGATTGATAAGATTATGCACAGTTGCTGTAGTGAAACCTCGGCGTCCGGATTAGCGGCACCCCTATAACGATATGAGGTTATGATGACATATACGACTATACATTGTAAGGGAGTAAGTGATTCTTCTAGGTAGGCCGTTCTTGATATACTACTTACTTCATTGAGAATATAAGTGATATATATATTATCTGGGTGTCTTTATTTCGTACCTGTTTTTTGTCGATTTATGAGGTTTCTAGTTTTGAATTGATTTACCTCTTCAAATTTGATGTTGAGGTTATTATATGAATATTGCTATATGGAGTGGCTTCGGCCCCGATATGTTATGGCCTGTTAAAAACGCTTTGCGAAGTGTCATTAACTAAAAATCTGATAGAAATGATGAGGATGATTGATGTATCGAGTGCTGTGCTGGATCGGCGGTGTCGGAAGACGATATGTTTTGGACTGTGCTGTGTAATTGTATTAGCGCGAAGTCAGCGACAATGTAAGAGATTCAAGGATGAGTGCGCATCAATGTATTAATATGTATTAGATATGTAGATATAGTCTAGAGCATGGGGAATTCTGACCAGTTGCTTGTCTATGATTTATATAAGGGATCTATGTTGATTGGCAGTTGAACAAAACAGTGTCAGCGAAGTTCTATGTGTAGCAAGGCCAAGATGAGTATCTTATATTAATCGTTTCATCTCACATTGATTACGCAGAAACAGACGGATATCATATAACGGCATCACTTCGTCCTCGAATATCCCTTTTCCTGTGAGGAATTCTTCAACCATCTGTGCCGCTGCTTCTGAACGTGGCACATAACGCGGCATAATGGTGCGTTAGATCTAAAACGTGCTGCGGTAAACTTGTTGCTTGGATAATCGATCGGACCTTGACGGCACCCTCTTCTTCGATTAATGACCGTATCGTGTGGAGAAGTTCAGGAGAAAATTCCGAGTACCAACGATACTGCCAGGTCACTAGGCGTATGACAGCGGCGACTGTATCCCGAGTATTCTTTTGTTTCTCGAACGCTCGCAGAATGCCTGATAATGCTTTGGGACTGAACCGTGCGGCGAGACATGCTCTGTATGCCTCAACTGCTTCCTCGTGGTGCTGAAGACGTTCTGCGAGGGCGCCAAGGATTTCCCATTCTTCGGCTGACTTCTTGTATTGCATTGACTGCGCCCTGTATTGAGCCATCTGCGTCCTCCATATTGTGTATACACGGAGGTCCTCGTACAAAACCATGAAGAGACTGTCAAGCCATCTCTCACATAATCGCTTGTTATTTAAGCGTGAGAGATGCTCGTCGGTGGTGGCACTCTGTCCAATTCGTTAGTATTGCCTTAATTAGTGGGAGAAGAATACCTACCGTATCGCCATCAGCTTTAACCTCACCAGGGTCAATGGTATGAGTTGGCTTCTCTACGCTGTCTCCCTCGCTATGGCCATTCGTTAACGTAGGCGCTGCGGAGTCGGCATCGGTTGCGCTTTTCTCTTCGTCACTTTCTTCGTCTGTCTGGTCCCCATTGGTTGTGGGCTCCGGCGTTCCGCGTAATCCATCGGTACTGGGATTACGATTGCTTGCTTGAGGTTGTGGGACATTATCCTGCTTCTCGGTTCGATACTCATCCTCCATGACAAAGACAGTACTTCTTATCTTGAGAAGCTGATCCCAGCCAATTTTAGCGGTCATTTCTGTTAGAATCTTGTAAGCTAACTTGAAGGTACCGCGATACGACGCAGCACGGAGATTAAGTAAGCTCGGGTCGACCTGTTCGGAGTATCTAGACTCCGGCTCGCTATCGATCTCATCTAGTCGGGTCTCTGGCAAGATAGGGAGGTAGACGTCCTTTGGTTCTGGCATGACTGGAGCGTCTTTATCTTGGTAGGTAAACATCGGGCAAGAGTTCAAGATCGTCAGTGCATTCTCCCAGTCCTCCATAGCAACATAAACCTGCGCTAATCTTGCCCACGTGCCAAATTCACTTGGGGCTGCGATGGTACTACGATCGGCACAACCCAAAGCCATCTTTAGCCTCTCCTCTTTTTGCGCTGGTGTCTCAGCTGCTATGGCCTTCTTCAGAAGGAACTCGGCTTGCGCATCTAGCATAACATAATCCATTGGCGAATCCTTGAGCGCCTGGTAAAGTACGCGTACGCCTTGTACTTCCTCATTTCCCATAAATAAGACCTTTGCAAGCAATGACGACACCTCAACATTCTGTGTCCTCAGCTTCTCGAAGAGATTAATACCCGAAGCGAAGCGTCCTGTTGTATGGAAATATTTGAGCAGGCCAGCGGTCAAATGGTTCGATACGTTATTGGGAACCTGGACGACGGAATCGGAGCCCAATTGCCAGCCTAGCTAATATCAGCACGTATTCGGGGCCGATAGCTATGAGCATACATACCTCTGAAGAACAGAGACTCGGCAGCACTTAGAAAGCGGTGTTCGGTCTCGGTGTTAGTAACGGGGTTGAAACGTCTCGCACCCATAATCTTCCTGATAGTTTCGCCGCTTCCATCGTCCGCATATGAATAGGCTCGAAGGACGCTGCAAAGATAGGTTTCGAGCCAGAATTCATCCGTAGCTTTTCGCTTCTCTCCCCTTTCGTCGACACAATAAGCCTCAACGGTTCCTGGGATCGTGACATGAACGCGCATGTCAAGCCTAGAGAAGGCATTGTAACAGCAATATAAGCCTTCCACAATCTTGTGCGTGGGAACTTGGCCGTGTTCTTTATAGGTAAGCGTGTTTATATAGGCGGCGAGACTGGCAGAGGAGGATGCGTCGACACCGGTAACATGATGATAAACTCCAGTCTGCGCTCAATGGTATTAGCATTTATTCTTGCGGGTGATTTGTTTAAGAACATACTTGTTTCCCGGCGCTCCTGAGATTTTGTTTCAGGAGGTGGACTAGATCGGGTGGGCCGAGTTCGCGCAAAGATGCCAAAGTCTCGGTACGAGCTTCGATTGATTCATGTAGAACATCCTCCGAAATTCTACCTCTGTTGTTAGCTCAATTTCCAATTGTACATTGCAATTGGAACGGGGGGAGAGGGTGGGTTTACTCTGGAACTGCCGGTGGAGGCATTGTAACGGTTAGAGTAGTCGACTCGGAAAACGGTCGTCGTGTGGTTGTGTGGGTGATGCGGATGTAGTACAGTTACTAGGGGATATCGTGATATGTGTTCTTCTCTTAATTTCGAATATTGGGTATATTAAGAATGACCAGATCCAATTCGGAGGAACATAGTATAGAAGGCATTAAAAGAGTGAATGGCGTCAAGATAGAAGAAAATGATTGCGCTTCAAACTGCTATATTCCTACGCACGCACGCATAAGATCGGAAGCAGACGAGCAGTACGTTGAAGTTGACGAAGGTTGACAGGGTCTTGACGGGGGAGCTTTCGTGTCTGCTTGTTTGGAAATCGCTTTGAATTTCTCAAACTTGGATGAACAAACGCACGGACCAAGTTTCAAGTATTACTGCGTGTCCACCCTTGTCAGAGCCTGCTTTCCTCCAATAAATCCATAACATCTTATTCGGCCTTCTAGCTCGATTTAGTGAGCCAAAAGAAGGAAAGTGCTGAATGTGGTACGGATACATGGGGTACGTACATCATATAAGCTACTTCGTACCTTGCGCAAGCTTATCTGCATCATGAAGTACTTCCTAGGTACCTAGATACCACGTTATAAGGCTGCTCGCTGCCCCTGTACCCCCACAATTATACGTCGATTATCCTTTTCCTTTAATTGATTTGATTGGAGAATAATAATCGTGATAAGGCCCACCTGAGCTGGCGTACTATGTACATAGCAAGCTCCTTCCCGAATCCCTTGTCTTTTATTATTTTAGGTAGGTACCTTCAGCCTTGCGATTTCGCGGTTTAGATGAATGATTCGCGTTTCCAAAAATCTAACCATTCAATTATTTTCTATACGCTGAATGGTAATGATTTAGGTACTTTCTAAGGCATGCTCCATATTATTTTCCAACTTCCACTTTTCAGTCGATACAACGTTGCCATATAATCTACGATACCATCACGTCCATCTTGTTGATAGCATCTACAAACGGGTGGAGTCTCGGTCTAGTGCTGAACCGCTGAGTTGTCGTGATGCGACGTACACACCAAACTTAGGCGCATACGATTTTAAACCACGGCGCAATCCTAGGTGCGAATCGACAACATGGTCAGCTTTGAGTATGAGAACCTTAGAGACGATGGTCACTAATTCTAAATGTAGCCGGCGTTTTCTGCCATCAACCTCGAACCCGAGGAGAATATCGACGAAGAGATCGACAACACTCGCGAAATTCAGATCGATGAAGCACTTAAGCGTTTCCAGGCGGCTCTCAAACTCCACGCGCAAGGACCTAGGCACTACGAAGATGCTTCCATAGCTTATGAATCATTGTTCGAATCCGATATTTTTCGATACCCCGATAGCGCGACCGATTTCGAACGTGCCGAACGACAGTCAGACCCTCGACAGCTTGGCTTCGATGCCCCCTTCTCGCAACCGCTCGATGTCTCCCAAGCAGATATCGACGGAAGTGGAAGTAGCTTGCCCCAGACACTTTACCTCGCATACAAGAACCATGGACAGTTCGTATTGGACAACATTAGGTATTTGGCCAAGACGGGAGGGGACGCAGAATCTGTATTAGAAGATAGGGGTGTCATCGCGAGCGCCCAGAGAGCTCTTTATGAGTTCAGCGCCGCTTTGGACTTTGATCCTTCAGATGCTGAACTCTGGAGGCGAGCCGCGCGGGTTGCCGCTTTTCTCAACAGTTCTCGAATCGGTCGATATTGCCTTGAAGCTGCCATCGAGTTGGACGATGACCCAGCCGTGGATGAAGTTGAACCGCCTTCCCTGGCTGAGGGTTTCGCGGGTGAACAACTGAAGAGTCAACTCAATGTCTTGTCGGACGATCTAGCGTTGTCGCACCCGATTATGAAACCGTTCCTGAAGAGATCAATATCAGATCGTCTCAAGAAACACCTCGATCCCTTTCCGTTTCTTTCGAACCCTACAAATTCGCTTATGCCGCCTAAGCTTATAGCGGCGGCAGACCAGCAACATAAACGCCTCGTTCTTAACGCGACCGTAGCATCATGGGCGGATTTAGGCATGGCAATTGTGCATTCTGTCGCGGCCGGTGGCATATCCGGGACTGCCGTGACTCTGAATTTACCCGAGATACCGGATGCTCAAGAAGATGTCCAGATGCTAGTCGAAAGGCCCAAGCCGGAAATGGCGGAAGAGAGCGGGTCCGCTCAGCCAGCTTCAGAGAGTAAATCCCTGACGTATTCTAAAGATGATCAAAGTAATTCTCCGAAAGAATGCGCCGCTGAGAACGGGACTCCTATAGAAGATACGCGGGCCGAGCGTAGTGTCTCGGTTCTTTCTCGAAAGCGTTCACAATCTACAGCGGGGTTGCCTGATGGAGCGGATGAGGAGGTCATTGACCAAAAGAGGAGCAAACGAATCCGTCGCCGAGAAACCGCGGGAGAAGTTATGGACACGAACACGCAATATGCCACTCAGTTACAGCCTTTTCAAGCTGCTGACCAAAATCTTTTCCAAATAACACGTAATATGATGGAGAACTTAGGAGTAACCGATCGCGATACTCTCGACCGACTAGCCGAAGTTCTCGATTCTTGCGCTTCTTCCACCCGGACTGCTAAGCTTGCACGATCGGCCATGGTTGATTTGCGTGACGCGTTGGTTAAATTCGACGAAGAGAGCACCAGAGTGGTCTTCAATAAGAAAGAAACATCATCCATTGGTTTCTCGTCGTTTCTCGAGCACTCAAAACCGGGATCTCAGAACAAGCCCGCAACGCCCATGTTCCATGAGACAAAAGGGTTGAAAGCCTTTGTCGAAAGAGTAAACGGAAATTGGATAGGAATCCAAGATGTAGCTTTTGAATGGGTCCGTCATGTGTGTAGGACTTACCTCACAAGCAAATGGTCAGACACTATGAAGACCGCCGTGGTTCAAGTTATCAGCCATTTGGACGAGGACATCTGGAATCGTATGCTATACGAGCTCAATCATTATGATTTATCCGACGATCCAGCAGAGACATTAGCTATGATTGACCAAATGGTTCAAATGCTATTCGAACTGCATTTAGATGTCTATGAAAGAATTACAAATCCGAATAGTGCCGTAGATATCGGTATCCGTGTGGAAACCAAGGGAAGATTAGGACGTTGGCTTGGATTTGCCTCGCAAATGAGTCAGGATCGTTCTAAGGGCGCCGATCACTCTTTATCGGTCCGGTTTCTCTGGTCTTCCGTTTTTGCCGTTACCTTGACGGAGGGCGTATCAAGGGACCACGTTCTTCAGTGTTGGAAGAGTCTCCGTGACAATCTCGCCGAGGAACAGGATTCTCCTGATCTCCGTCTTCCAAATAATGCAATCATGCCAGAGGTCTCAGCTCATGCTGCTGATAGGGAAATATCTAAATTGACGACAATGGACTTCTTCCTAGGCTTGTTCCAAAACGACCTCAGTAATCCTGTATCGATTATCGAGAGCCTGGAACCAGTTCTCAACCCGTCTTCTGTTTATATAGCAGCACAGGATTCCGAGGCATCGGATGCCATGACGGTTGACAAAAGTAGTGAAAGTTCATCCACTGCTCACGAGGGATTGCCTATCTCAGAGATTGCGAATCAAGGTCTTCGCGATCTTTGGAAATTTTTGTTAGGTACCAGCACCGAACTAAGATTATTCTTGTGGACACGCCTAGGGGATGCCTACAATGCCATCGACTACACTACTAAACAATTCTCGTGCCTTCTCAAGAGCATTGAGATGATCGTCGCGGACTTCGAACAAGAACCTTACCTAGCTGTGTCCATTGAGTCACGTCGTCCTCTATTTCTGAAGATGCTTAAGTTCCTAGATGAGTTGCTGATCCAGGCACTTTCAATGGCACTTAACGATGCCAAATCATTCGACATTGTGGATGATGAACATTTGAAGTCTAGCATTTCAGCTCTAGCGAAGCTATCTTGCATACTACACGTATGCTGCATGTACGAAGACGAAGTACGTGTTGGTATGAAGCAACATGCTTCAAATGGAGCAACTTTCCAATCATTCCTTACGAAGTTACGCGAGATGCAGGTTCGGAACTGGTCGCTGCTTTACACAATGCTTAAGGCCGGAATCGCTCAGAATAGGACGGGTTTCACAACACCAGATAATGATCTTGCCGACTATCTAGCGGCTATTCATCAGGTTTTGGGCCTTAGGAAATTCTGCAAATCATCCAACAAAATATTCCTCAAAATGATGAGAGTAGAACTCCTAAAGCAAAACCTCATAGACAATTGGGAGGACTACCTTGGCCAAGTTCTCTACGATCTATATGGTTTGAAGCTCGGGGTCGGCTTGAGTGAGGTACAAGATCATGGCTGTCCCTCTGAAAAGCTCGAGCGACGTAACACGACAGCGCTAGTCGAGAGGGTATCTATTCTTGCCAACCGCATGCCTATGAAAGATTTACTTAAATCCGACCTGAAAAACACCATTGAGCACATGCAACAGGCCATCGGGCAGACCAAGTCAAACCAACAATTCATACAAAATTTACGAATATTCAATCAAACCCTACAAAGACCTATTCCACCCCTACGCCTATATGAAGCGCTCAAGGGTAACATATCGATTGATGCCGTTACCGTCAATACCCCAGATAGCGCCTTAGCAAGGCATAGATGGTTTTTCCTTTTAGGCATGATCGCATTCACCAAATTTAAGGGCGTAGATCTTAACAGGCGGCAGACACCGGGCGCTACTGACGACCTTCGTATCGGCGCCACCTTTCTACGTCAACAACTCCAGTTCACTCCCGATCAATGGGATGCGTGGTTCAGATTAGCTGAATGCTTCGATTATGAGCTCGATGAATCTGTACTCTGGACCGCAGACAAAATGAATAAAGAGAGGGCAGAATTGGTTAAATACCAACGTAGTGCGATCCACTGTTATACCCTGGCGTTGTCTCAGTCACGAAATACACCACCCGAGATGCTCGGGGAGTCTATTGACGATATGCATGATCTGTACCACAAATTCGGAATGCGCATGTATGCTTCCAGCCGGGAACCCTTTGCTATGGAACCCTTCCACCACTCAGAGCACAAGCGGTTTGTTATCCTCGAATCCGGTGTAGAGTCCAAGGACCTTCATTCTCAAATGGAGGACTACAAGGTTTGGAAGTATGCCGCGAGATTGTTCAAGAAAGCTATGGAAGTCAAACCAAAACAGTGGCAGTAAGTTTACTTCGATTTGTTATTAAATGGAAATAATGGCTAATAGTTCACAGGAATCCGTACATGGTGGCCAAATGTATCTGGAAGATGTATCAGAAGCCTCCGACATCCCTCGATCATAGAGATAGACGAGACCGACCTACGATGGAATCTGTCATTAGCGCTCTTGAAAAGGCGATTGAGGTTGTGTCTGCATTGCCGAAACCGCGCCATGGTCAAGACCCGATCCTAGAACCCCATTACAAAATCGTATCAATCATGCATAAACTTGTTGTGAGAGGAGACATTGCGCCGCAAGAAGCAGCTGATATACTTCAGCGCCAGCCATACGCCATCCAGGATGGGGAACATGTCGAGATCAATGAGCCCGAAGACTGGGAACCGTATGTCATCCAGACGCTCGGCCATCTAAAAGAGAAGGATAGATCCAATTGGCAACATCGCATTATTATGCGCCATGCTAGAATTTTATTCGATGAGAACTCGGAAGACCAGGGCTACGTTCAAGCAATGGCTGCATTCGGCGTGTTGAGGGAGTCGATGCTTACCAAAACCATGGTGATGAACGTATGGAAGTGCGACGCCGAACGGCCAGGTCGACATCACGTTTTTACTGAGCAGTACGTGCGGTTCGTGGTTAAACTCTTAATTGTTCTAAAAGATAGGACAAATTTCGAGGCTCTACTCCGTCGCCTGCGCAAAAAGGGTGCAGATTTTTACCATTTCAACGAACTCTGGCAGATATGCTGCGTCGAATACCTCCGTCTGATTCGGCAGACATACAAAATACCTCTAGTCGTCGAGGACGATTTCAAAGCAGTAAGCCCCGAAGAGTTTGATATCATCACGTCCAGGATTAGTGAGTGGTCATCAGACTCATCTTCATCTCACCCTGCACTTAGTGCCTTGCAGGAAACTATCGAGTTGAAGAAACTTAACGCTGGTTTGATGAAGGCCGGTGCCATTGACGATTTAATCAGCGATTGCTACACGGCATTATATTTCGAAATAGGGAAATCCTTACCGGGTCCTGCTGTTTCTACTCTCATTGCAGAGCGGGAGCAAGCCCGTCTCCGCGAGGAGGCACGCCAGTTGGATAAAGCATTGGAAGCCAAACACGCAAACCCACTGACGAATCTCTTGAATCCCCAATCACATGAAAACTCGGGGGCTGAAGGGGCGGCTGGCGATTCGGCCCCGGCGAATCCAGAAGGAGCGCAGCGGCCTCGTAAGGCTGGCATTAGAAGAGCAGATATTCTTCGCAAGGCTGAACAGGCGGTTCTCCGTGCCCAAGAAGGCCCAAAGCCTACCAGCGCCAAATCCCGTGGCTCTGTTTCTAGTAGTAAGACACCTGTAGCAGAGGAAGGAAAAGAAGGCGAGGTGAACGGCGATTCGAGGAGCGACAACGGCGCACCAGAAGTCGATGTCGAGATGAAGGATGAAGAGGTTGAGGGCGACCTGAGCTCGGCCCCAGGAAGCGTCCACGATTCAGCTGATGACGAGAGTGATCTTAGTGATGCGCCCCCGGATGATGTGTTGGACGAAGATGAGGCCCAGGCTCTCATGTTTCCTAACTTAATTAGGAGAAGTATGGATACAGAGGCTGATGATTCCGATAGTGAAGAAGAATCTGATGGCGAGGAGTCCTCAAACGAAGAAGGCGAGGATAGGGAAGACGTTGAGGAGGCCGAGGAAGCTGAAGAAGTTGAAGAATAGGTGAAAACTCTTCAGTCGGTTTTTCTTACGCGCATTGTACCTTAGTATAGGGGCTCCTTATTGAATGCACCTGGCGTTATTATTTAGGAGTGATGGCGAAAAGGCTTTAAGCTAGATTACAGGGGGTTCGGTGTGTGTTCCCAATTCGCAGGGCTGGCTGGTTAAATACCTGGACTATCTAAGGACGTAGGTCTAGAAAGAGATGGTGTATGTTCGAGGAACGCGGTTCGCACCGATCGGCTTTTATTCAATAGGCGGAGTTTATAACGAGATATATTACTACCTGGGTACATTTAAAGGATCTAGCAATACAGTCATAGGCGATACGTCCTCAGGGTTCGGTTGTCTAGGTGTTTTAAATGCTGAGTGATAGACTGCAAACATTCTGTAAATAAGGGGTTTTTTATAATCTATATTTACGGCTTATTTCAAATGTCTTAAATACATCATGTCCATTTTTACCTACGTACGCACCTTTTTTTGCCTCGGTGTTGTCCAAATTATTAACATTTCATATAAACAGCTACACATATGTTAGTCTTAACCTCTTGAATCAAAAGTCGGAGACCGGTTTCTTACCATTCGCATACAGCGAATAATTATCCGCGTTCAAAAGCGCCTTTTCAGGAGGCAGCGCGGAACTCTCATTATACCCGTAAACAAAGTCATTGGTGTGAGGACTGAATACATCCTCGCAGTGCGTCATCTCGTGGATCGTCGTGGTGGCTTGGTCTTGGTGGTGACATGCTTGTGGTAGAGGCGGGAGGGTATCATAGAATAGTGGGCACATAATCACAAAGTCAAAGTCGAATTTTGTGTACGCGTTTAGAGGTCCTTCGGTTTCGCATAAGTTGTAGTAGTCATAGCAAAAGTATCGAGAGGGACCCGAGTCTGTAGTCGAGCACTCCTTTGCTGCGGCCTTTAATCGGTCCGTTACAGTCTGTCGCGTTGTCGATGAGTTGGTCTTGAAGTACTCGACGAAGCGTGCGGACGAAGAGTCCGCGGCATCGGCAGCAGCAGCAAGGGCTAATGTTTCGCAGTTCGCTAGGGCTGCTGTGCTTGCGGCTAGTTGAGTGGCATTGCAGCCATCTTGGACGTTCGTGCGCTCTTCGAGGGGGTTGGAGCTTAAAGCTAGGGGCACGGCCGCTGCCGCTTTCGAATCAACGTACAAGCTGATGTTGTTCGATTGATAGATCAAAGCGGGACCGGATAACTGAGTAGAACCAGCTGGTGCTACTGGTAAGAGTCCTGTAGTTGAAAACGTATGCGTTCCGGACTCGGTGAAGTCATGCACGGTGGCCGCGCTGATAACAGTGCTAACTGACTCCAAAACCTTCAGGAGGTGGAAATTCTCGAGTTTGAGAGCATCGTATTTAATGCTGGCATGGATTCCTCTAAATGGGGCCTCGATACCTATACCAATCAGTATACCAGTCTGACGTCCTTGGATCTGAAGGGGGTTATTACCCGCTTCATTCACCGCTGTTACTTTTTGAACAGGCAACACCTCATCCAAAATAGTGCCGACTTTTAACAGGTTGAGATCTACAGAACCGACGTTCTTAACAGTCGCAATCAACTCCGCAGCCCCGCCAGCTTCGACCGGAGCCAGCGTAACTTCGAGGTCTGATGCCAGTCTACTGTACATCGGCTTCAAGACATGAGCGCCGATGCTTTCAGCAAGACTAGCTACGGCTAGAGCAATCCCTATGTGCTTCATTGTGAGAATCTTAGCGATATTCTCAATCCACCGCAGAACTGTTACTATCCTAAAGCTTCGTTAGAAGTGTTGACGAAATATCATATTCTTTATACTTCAATCGTGTCTATAATTCTTCCGAAATGAGAGATCATCTCCGTGTGGAGAATCTCGTGTTCGGTGCCCAAGCCGCTTAAGTCGTTCATTGTAACGCTACTAGCCGCGAGGATTGTATATCTAAAGAGGCGCATAGTGTTGTATCCAAAATGGGTCTAGCAGTATACGAGGAATAATCATATCAACTACTTCGACTCAGCGCGCGAACCACAAAACGCACTCAATTTCTCAATTGCTCAATGTCCCCGGGGTATATTATCTGCTGAATCTGTCAAACAGTACTTGTCTTCGTCGTCATGCAACATCCATACCATCGCTTTGTCTTAGGTCCCAGATGGAGGACCCAATTCCCCTGACAGCCCTCCCAATACACCAAAATATTTCCCAATAACCTGAATTTATGAAAATAAAAAGTACACCGATAGGAAGACGCGCCTGTCTTGGGCGATGCGATATGTTCTTGTGTGGACTTTTCTCCTTTAATCTTAATGATGGTTGTCACTGGAACCGAATCGACCAGCCACAAAGGTACCTAGGAAGATGCCTCCAAGTACGGAAAGGAAGTAGCCCACGTTCATAGTCATCACCGCCAACATACTATATCAATTACCTAGGTATCAGCCAATGCTTCGAAAAAGTCCGCCACATTCGAAAAGCGCAATAGTACAGCTGGAGGTGATTTGAGATGACTTACAGCAAGTACCCGACTCCTCCTATCACAACCTCAAGTAAAGCGCGAGTTGCTTCGGTCGCGACTCTAAACGGATGGCCACTCCATTGAGACCTGAATTGGCTTCCCATTGTCTCTAGTTCGGTTTTGCTACCCGGGTAATCTTCCGAGTCTGAGGATTCGATAGTCTTATGGCGACGATGGAGCGCGGGGTTGGAGTCAAAAACGATGGTTCGTAAGGCGATCATGAGCCGATGTATCAGTGCCAGCACTATTAGGAATATGCACATTCCAGCGTAAGAGCCCTGCCCCTGCGGCGTGAAACCCATCGAGTACAGAGGAGTAGTGACGCTCTGGAAAAAGACCATGGCCATGTCGGCCGAGGACATCATCATGGAGGAAGATGAACCCATATCCATGTCCATTCCGCCGGTGGATGATGGCATTGAGCTTCCACTCGTCATCGTCATAGTCATATCCGCCATTGAGGCTGAAGATGCCATGGTCATATCCATCTTGTCACTAAAGAATGGGTTGTGGATATTGCTGATGTCCGAAGGCTTCACGTGAGAGAGACGTGATATGTGGGAAAGAAGTTAAATGGTGAGAGGGGAACAGGATGTGCACTAGAGATCGAATAAATAACGTATTAGATAATAATAGATACCTCCAGGGCTATGTACGTAGCACAGTGTTGTAGCGAGTAGGTGGGTATTGGTTATATTAGTTAGCATACCACAAGACTGAGACATACCTCGGTGTTCTTATATGACCAATCTCCCTACTTATCTTTCCCGTGCCACAAGTTGTCTCTTCTGATTGAAGCTTCTATCGTTGCAGAGTTGTGACAGAAGGTAGCTTCAACTACGGGAATGATACTATAAAACAACGGTGTTGAGGTTTGGGAGTATCGGTTTCGTGGGTCTAGACGAATAGATATTTGCTCAAAGTAGCTTGATAGACAACCATGCGTGGATATGTTGTATCGATGTGGTTAGACACTTGACCACCTGGGCACCTGAGAGAGAGAGAGAGGGAAGGGGGGGAAACCCGATGTAATGCAACAGAGTAGGATCATGGAGAAACCTGCGCGGCCGTGCCTCTTTTTTTTTTTTTTGCTTCTCATACGATCCCTACTATATCACATAATCACGGTGTCACATATCATTAGATACCTACCAACTTACCTAGTTAGATACTAGTTACCTTGGGTAGGTAGTGAAGAATTCTATGTTATGAGAGGCTCATCATCAGCTCTCCGGGTTCGTGGGTCAGGGTCTTAAGCTAATGGGTGGGTCGACCGGGGGGGCCTCTTTTCCATTTCGGGAAAGTGTGGGATTTAAATCTGCTCAAACCTTCTCATTATCACCGAGCTGACCGGTGTTAGTGTTGGGGTGGCTTAACTAAACACACACCCCCTCCACGTTTCTCCCCTTCTTTAGCGTCGTCAAGATATGTAAGTTGCCGCTTTGTGGGACAATACGTACGACTCTGCCTAGGTTAGGTACTTATGTATCTCTAATATACATGAGATTCGTAATATACGCCCTGACATTGAATGAGATGGGCCTATCTTGTTTAATTAATTATAATATCTATTTTTTAGAATTGGTAGATTGGAAGGTACTCAACTTAGCAATCTATCTAAATCTAAAGAAACTTCGTAGGTTAATAAGTGCATTCCTGGATGTTTGTAAACTTAATGTATGTAAACGCCACCAATGACGTCTAAGTATTTTAAGTTTCTTTTGTGGGCAACTTGCTTATTATTGAGAGACATAATTAGAGAGGGATCGGAATGCCCCTCCTCCTTTCCTTCACCTAAACAGTCTTAGGTAAATTGTTGACGATAATACTTCGCGCTTCGACATCCAACAATTCATAAATTAATTAACATAAATTAATTAATCTGCTAACATACGGGTATCATATTATGTAAGGGCCACTTATGATGAATATCAATATACACTTTTTATTTAATTCGATTTTGTTTTTTCCTGCACATCTCAATTACCACCTGAAGCCTTAGTTAGTAGGGGTTCATAAAGCAAATCATCAACAATACGAAGATAAATGGCAAACTTACGAAAAGACTTCCGAGTGCAAATACACCTCCCGCGCACCAGACTTCGACCCCACAACTCGTAATTGCGCCGCTGCTGCTTCTTCCTGAACCGTCTTCAAAATATCCCCTGGTCCACAAGCGACGATACCAACGGAAAGTCCAGGTTGAAGCGTCGCATCCCTCACAATCGTTGTGATATCTGGACGACCAGAAAATACGTTTATCGGTAGACTGCTCGTAACTTTATAGCTTCCGTTAAGCTTCTCATCAGATCGCTCGGGGTCTTTAGCTGTACTGTTACTTTCAGACTCGGGCCTGCCAGTCTGATATACAGAGATGCTGAGATTATCAGGTACCATCTCGATCCCGTTTTCTTCCAAGTACTCCAACAGCGCTTCCTCGTACCATTGAACCAATTGGTTATCCCTTGTCGCAATCACAACTTGTATCCTGTTGATGTATTTTTTGTTTCCGGTTCTTGCTTGCCATGCTGATTGCAGTAGGCTCTCCATAACGAACGGTAACGAAAGACCCGCACCAGCGCCACAGGCCACGATAAGGTTGTGGTCGTAGGTATGTAGAGGTCTCCCCCGAACTCCTCCGTATGGTCCATCCAATAAAACTGGTACGCTAAAGCCCGGACGTTGGTTGGCGGCATTAGCGAGACGGGCTGTTAAGCCACCTCTTGGGTGGATGTAGAACGTAAGTTTCGAGTTTCCAGTGCTGCCTTTTGTGGCGGGCAAGCTACATATTGTGAAAGGATGAGCCGTAAATGCATGCACTCCTAAGTGAACGAAACGAAGAAACATATGCTGACCGGGACGCCATGTGGTGTCGACGGGGATCGTCACTTTTAAAGTGTGCTCCGAAATCATCGTAAAGCTAGCGCGGCGCGACAATCCGAATTCGAAGTATGTTCGGATTTGGGAATAGAGGAAGGATAGCGTGTAGAGGACCCCGGTAGCGATGAAATAATCCCTGAGAATAATATCAGCATTCAAAATTCACGATACGGGAAAGAAGGCCTACCCACCAAGAACTGAGTCGAAAATCGCAATGAATGAAAAAGAATACGACAAACACGATCGCCGCCACGTAATGAGTCAATCGGAAAAATTCGTAGAATCGGTCCCTATTACCTTGTAAGCTTCAATTTCACCCTACAAAGTTGATTCGAAAACTAACCTGATGAATCGAAGAGAAAAGATTTGGAGATACGCCTGTGCGATTATGGCAACGACGCCTGTCCAATACACGACGCTGGTATTCCATTGGTAAACCATATCGCCTTTCCAGATGTGGAAAACGATGAACGGAAATGTATGCTATCGTCTTAAGTTAGCATATTATTAGGTGCAGGTGTTTTAAATTGTCATGCCCAAGCTAAGCCTTGGTGGCCAAGTCATGATAAAAGGGGGGGGATAAATTCATTCCGGATGAGACATACGACAAGAGCCAGCGCAAACATCGCCCATCCGACCCAATTATGGAATACGATTAACCGTTCATGGGAGACACCCGTCAAGGAAGCGATCATGTTGGCTTTCGTTGATAATATGATCATAAAGGGTAGACACGCCAAGGCCATAAACCCGGTTCTTGTCGCAATAGGGGGCGAGCTACCATAACTGAGCGTTCGTGTGTTCGGCCAATAATAAGGTTGCGGACCTAATGTCATTGCTGCGAAAGTGCAAAACAATGGTTAGGATGGCGGACATATACACGATAGTGGCTGGGCTCGAACTCACCCAAGAAAAATACAGCGCCAATGACTAACAAGAGAACGACTCCAAAAGACGGTGCATTCCACCAGCTTGCAATCCCATTGTGACGGCGATAGGCTAAGTAACGAATGCTTGCTACTAGCTTTTGCCAAAGACTCTTTTCTCTGAGAGATTTCGGTGCAAGCCGCTGACTGTAGAATCCGATGAGACATACGCCAATAACTGCGACGAAGAAGTAAACTGTCCCTAGAGCATAGACATGATCCGACTGGTACCTGAAAACCTAAGTTAACAAACTTGGATTCGGTGGATATATGATGATAGAGTCATCTTTCTAGAACGTACCAGTACCTCCAGTGGCTGTTACGATAAGCACACTGCGCCGGAGTCAACTTGCATGTATCCTCCCGGGACGAATGGAGCATCACCGGCTGGTCCAGCCAGGGAGTCCCCATCATCATCATCATGTCTCCGTTCATCTTGTCTGTCGTATGCCGTAGATACGGTGGTAGGAACGTTGAAAGTTGGGATTGTCGCCAACGAAAGAAACAGGATTACTTCAAGATGAACATGACGACTGTGGGTTACTTTCTGTAGGTCTTAAGACATTTATGTAATGACACAAGCATCTCGTCTCGATTTTCGTTCTGCAGCTGAGGGAGTTACGAAATCCGACAGGCTAACACAGCAGGTTTCTGGGTTCCCCCCGGTCGTATGATAACTAGCCCCGTACAAAGCCACCAATCAGTAACTTCTCGAATCTGATCACTTCTTACTACCTGTGTTTGAACGGCGAAGATTATGAGTGAATAAGAAGGGAGGGGGTGAACGTATTGATGACCCTCGCTTTGCTGTGGGTCTCTTGCAGGGATGCTACCCACGGGTGGCACGCATTAGACAAGAAGAGTCTTCAACTTCCCAGGTGGTTGGTTCTCTAAATTGCTCACCATGAAAACCACGTTGGCAAGTTGGAAATAGGAACATGGAAAAGGCAAAGTCCGAGCTATGCTTGCTACCTACCAATTCCTTTCGGGAACCATCTCACTTACAGACAAGTACCAAGGTATGTAACTAGCTCATTCACCTAGACCGGACTCCCTTGCAACAACTTCTCCTCGTTCCATTTCTGACACATGATAGCCCAACATGTTTCTATGGGATATCCGGACTCCTTTCATAACACTTGAGATCCGTAGGGTACCCAATATGGGTAGATGCGGATAGGGGCCGGACTTTGCATAGCCCCTGAGACATTGTATCACCACTAAATGTGATTGGTTGGTCTGCGTACGAAGTTCTAAATGGCTCTGTGAAACATACGTCCTTGATTGATCAAAAAGACAGCAATATGTCCTACGAAATGTTCGGCATTATGTTCTTTCCGTTAAGCCATACCGAGAAAAGGCGTTTCCTCCATCGTTACACTGTACCTCCATCTTTCCTCATCTAGTTGTACATCGGAAATGTCAAAAATACCACCCCTATCTTCCCCTTCCCGACGGCGAGCACATAGCATATCAATGCCTCGGTCGAGTATTCTAAGGCTCCCACACCAATATGCTAATGACAATACAGAGGCGACAGACCGGGCCAGGAAAAATATTCTGTGGTTAGACTCAGCATTAAATCCATATTCGAACACTCTTACCACGAGCGCAGGGTACTTACAGCGATAGGACCGAAAAAACAAACGAGGCTTTGGCGAGAACACAAGTATCCGCCACACTCATGTCTAATATGTCACAACTCTTCTCCAAGTACCACGGTCGCACACTTGGATGGTTGGGGTCCGTGAAATCGCCAGATGATTGGGCGACAATGCTGTATACCCAGAATCCCGACAATAGTACATCGTTCATAGCATTCCAGAAGCAAGAGAAGCATGGGGTAACGCTAGAATAAATCATCACCATACGTGCTAAGCATATAACAGTAGAGAGGATGGAGATGGCTAGGTTCGATTCACTGAGGCTGATGAAAACGTCAGGTCTTGAGTATTATCGAATTTAGGGGGCAAAGTAAATTGAAATGGTTGTTATGGTGAAAAGGAAGTTCACACTTACCGTTGATCCCAAACTAATGGTATCTCAGGGGGTTTCTCGTAATTCGCGTAGAAGTATATCCTAAGACGAGGGTTGGAGTTCCAACCGTTCTCTCCGCCGATTTCCCACAGCGTTTTCCTGAATTGTTCGGGATAGGCGCAGCATAGCAATGACATCGTAGTAATAGCAAGTACAAACTCGACGACCAGCAATATGGCACCGAATGGCCCTATCTGAGCCATTTGATGATTGATTATCTGTCGTGCCGTTTCAAAAGTTCACGGATGCAGAATAAAGAGTCCAGATAAAGGGAAGGGCTCCAGTGTCATCTAAGATAGTCGAATGAACTGTCCAAATGTGTAACATTACCTCAGGTTACTCCAAAGGGCAATTATTTATGCCATATACTAAACTTGTCTCCTTTGCTTTGGCTACTTAGTACACAAGTAAAGATAGGTATCATTCCTATGGTTGCAGCCCCTTTCGAGATGCAGGGGTTGAGTTATTATGAGCAAGTTCCACAGTGACCGGACCACGGGCGGCTGAGGTCCGGGAGCGCCAGTAAGCGATTAATATATTTGCTCTCCTTACCGGTTCGTGTATTATATGATGTTTCGTGTGGAAGTAATGAAGCCATGGATCAATCTTCTCATATTCAAGTCTCACTATAGCTACGAGGAGTTGCGTCTAGATATACATAGGGATCGGGGGCCTCTTCGATGTTTGGGTGGCACAAGGGAGTTGCGGGTGGAAAGGCACTGTCATTATAAGCCTTCCTAATATATGGCAGAACAGCTACCTTCAAATCAAACTATTCAGTCCAGGTTAACACCGCCTCCATACCCAATTCCACTTCTCACTGACACTTGAATTTCTACCTCCACCATAGTATGCGTAAGATGCGGCATTCGTTGACGTGAATGCTACGCGAAAATTTACATTCAAGATTCCGACGTTACCATTTGAGTCGGTACATTGTGACCAAACAAGGCCTTCCATCGGGATACTCGAATGGATGGTGATATCTCGCGTGGAGCTTGAGTTGGGAGGATTCTCTACCGTTTCAACCGAAGAAATCTATAGGTTGAAAAGTATTAGGCTAGTTGTTATCATTGCATGATACATATGCTGCACTTACTGTATTTGCGGCGTCTTGACTGTAGTATATGGTGACAAACTGCGTTAACTTCACTTCTTGGCTTAATTCCAAGTGCCCCTTTGTCCAAACATCTTTGAGCGCAACCTGCCAACCTGGCTCACCTCCCGCTAGGTTCATATGCGCTTGACAGTTGACAGATTTAGGCTTGCTCCCTCCGAAAGATGCTGCAAAGTCAGGGAGCGTGAAAGTAAAGTGTCGCCATCCACCTGAAACTTGCTTCTTTCCGCCATTTTGGGGACAGCCATTGCCTGAGAAAGATACCGATTTAACGACCGGTGGTGAGAATGGCGCTGCTGAACTATCAGGCAGGGCTATGGGTTCCTGAGGCACAATAGCAGAACATACTGCCAAGAACAATACAAATGGACCAATAAAATACATTTTGTTAAGTAGAAAATAGTAATTTGGTAAATATGTATATGAATTTGGGTGCTTGGATCGATCTCAGGCGTGTTTACCTAGGTAGAAAATCCTATATATAGTCGTAGGCTAATAGTGGCGATAACAATGTTAACTATCTTTGAATTCGTCGCTATTCCATGATACCACTCGTTATCGGATGTACACGACCCAGTCGCTGCGATGATTGGTTTCCATAGATCGGGTTCTTAGCTTACAGGCTTGGAGTTCTGGATCACATTCCGAATGATTTTAACCATATTAACTACACGATATATCTCCCCAGAAGGATAAAGTGGCCCCGCTGAGCGCAGCCCTAAGGGTCTAGATTGGGTTAAAAATAGTAATTGGGGTTCTCGCTCCCGATTTCCGGGTAATAATTATACTAGGTCTAATATAATGCCCGACAAACTATCTAGATGTAATCCATGCTCATGTGCCTCTTAAAATAATTTCGAGGTTCCTTACTCGAGTAAATGAGTAATTACGTGGATAGGTAGGTGTCCTTCAGGGGTATCACGTGGCTACTAGAGACAGCTGAACCGCCGCCAACGCACTCTCTTATAAATTGGGAGGGTCTAATATACCCGCATACAGTCTGTATAGATGTAGCTAGTTTGAGCCTATGTTACGGTAAAGTATTGTTATGGCGGAGATATTCAACCTCCCCGACTAGACCTTCATTGCTACCTGGAAATCGAGGCACATATAAACAAGAATTTTGACGGCGACTAACTATTAATAATCAGCCTAGATTAACCCAAGAACCTTCCTAGTAGCCATAATATCTCGCGGAACAAGTCTTGCTGTACGCCCACGTGGGGCTGACACAAACTGTTCTTTCTCGGATACCCCTTCGAGAGGATCGTCAATAAGTGGATCATGCAAACCCTCAGTTGGAAGAATCTCGAAATGGGCGATCAGATGTAGGAATACGGTATAAAGTGCTTTGTGTGCAAGGTGATTTGCTACACACATACGGCCCCCAATCCCAAAAGCGAACTGATGGTAATGGGTGCCGCCGTGTAACCATCGCTCTGGCGCAAAGGTATTTGGGTCCTCGAATAGTCCTTCATCTACAGCTTGAAGTTAATAAGACTCGCTCACGGCGCCGATGAAAGTTGAACTGTACCTCTGGAACAAGCCCATGAATTGACAAACATCATTGTTTTCGGTGGGATGGTTGCACCTTTCCAATGTACCTCATCGTATGTCGCTCGAGGTAGTCCGAGCTTTAAAGCAGTGTAGTATCGACTGATTTCTTTAGTAAAAGCGTCAATATACTCGACTCTAGTGTGAGCTACATCAGGCGCTGTGAGTAAAGTCGGATCAGCATCAATGATAGACTGGTAGGCCTTTCGCTGTACATCAGGTCGCTGCGACAAAAGTAGGATCGTCCAGGCCACTTAACTCATCATAGTTAGCACAAGTTGGTACACCATGGTTAGGTAGGTAGATACGTAAATTACACAAATGCGACTAAAGAGAACGGGGGCCATGGGGTACTCACACGTGGGTTGACTGGTATCTGCTCCTGCCATCATGCTCAAACTCACACTTAATATCTCGTTGTCTGTCAATCCCTTGCTCTCGGGATCTTTTAGGACATTACCCTGAATGCAGGGTTGATCAATTCCAGCAGTAACTTGCTCCTTAAGCTTTTCTAGTAACATTTGGTGGTAGCCAGTTCTTCGTTTCCCGATGTTAGGCATATAATTGCCGTCTCGCAATCTTGTCCACTCTGCTAGCCTGTTCAAAGGTCTCAATAGCGGTATATAGTTCTCGTAGTTGCGTGTCGTATCGCGAAGCCGAGTTATTTCAGTTTCTACATGGATAATTTCCGCAATCATTGCATTCGAGCGCAAGTCTTTCAAACTTTCGACACTATCATACGGTTAATACTCTAATCCCCTACCGAAACAATATGATCATGGGCAATTTACCGTGTCCCATAGTTAAGTGTGAGAACTAGATTCATTGCAAACTTGCGTACCGCATCACGGAAGTCCACGGTGTTGTTATTGGCAGATAACGAAGCATCAAGAATGTCCGCCAAGAATGCTCTAGATTCAAGGTTAAGAATCTGAAAAGGAAGGAAGTTAATTTTGACCGACAAATAAAAGGTATAGAATTATAACATACCGGGAAGTACGAATCCACAGCTACCTTGTTCAGCGCAGTGGCAGCAACCTTTCTCCTTCGTCTACAGCTCTCATCCCATGGACTAGTTCCAATACTAGTGACCGAACCGCTTTGGACCTTTTGGTGTAGTACGTAGAATAAGGGCCTAGAATTTGTCGCTTCGCGTTGCCCTAAAAATAAAGCTCTTGCTGAGGCAGCACTATTGACGATTACCACAGTACGATTTCCTAATTGTACTTGGAAAACGTCGCCATATTGCGCAGCCCATGACCTATACTGCTCTGCGTGAACCTTGCCCCAAAGCCATGGTAGACTTCCCATCAAGGGTAAACCACGAGGACCGGGCAGACCTGGTACTCGAGCTAGGTACCTGTTAACTTCGCTCCCGAGTACATATATCACAAAGATCAAGATAAGGAAAAGGATAATATAAAGACTATCCCGAGGAATGACAAGAGAGGAGTAAAAATAGAGGGAATCTGGTTCAGTATACGGCGTCATCTCCGCTCGCATCCGACTTGTTACTCGACAGTGAAATCTTGAAGCTGAATACACTATTAAACATTTGGTAGTGAAAATGGAGGGTTCACAGAACAATAAGCCAAGGTATCCAAATACCCTGGAGTAGTGGAGTCGCTAGAGTTCAATCACGTCTTAACCGCACCTAGATAGACGAGCTCTATGTTATCGCCTAGCAGGGATTCTGTGAAATGGTGTATAGCAAATACAACTTCGATACCAATACGGAGTTATGGGAGAATCCAGGGATACATATTTATTATATAAAATCGAAATATATCACTCAGTCCACCTTGTTTAATACCTATGAGTCTCGTATTTATATAGGTATGTAAAGCGTTAACCTTTAATCCATACAATCCCTACTCCGTGCATTTTTTCTATTCTTCAAAGCTAAGCAATTCATATTCACTGTAGAAACGTAGAGGTTGTGCGAGAACGCCAATGCCGGGTTCGGCACCAGAGTCCCGGGTGTTGGAGGGTCGGCTATGGCATCATCCGACCCCGGAAGTTCGTGATCCTCACCCACCCCCTCCGCCTTATCAAATTTCCTTGGAGATTGAGCACCGAACTGTTATCGGAGCCTAGTATGGCTAGCATATATACGTAGCGATAAAGGCGAGTTCGGGTCCCAGCCCCCGAGATCTGCTGCCATGGTGCATGTGCTTGGGCCTGATTCTATTGGTACCATCAAGTGGCATTCCTAAAGCTTGGTCGATGATTGGATATATCCAGCATGGTTCTTCATGAGCTACTCATGAAGATAGTCTTATTGTGTACTAGGCTTATTAATATCAATGTATCAGGTAGCTAAACAAGTATGAACCCAGCTATGGACCGCATCCGGCGCAAAGATAACGGACAACTTTCCCATTAAGCAGTGTGGAAAGTGGGGAGTTATCCAAGGGATAGCTACTAGATGATAAACCAATTTCGTTAGAAACTCATGCAATCGCCTTCAAAATGGTGTGACTCGACGTCGTCGGCTAGTTCCCGAAAGTCCAATACGCGCCCGTACATACTTAGGTATAGTAACATATACTGCTCAAACCACGCCTCATATATTTAATCAAACGGAAGAAAAGGCTCCCAGTGTCGAACTTCTGTTCCATAAGTTCTTAGACTATTTCCCCTGAGTCATGGCGAACATTGAAAAAATTGCGCATCATGCCAGCACCGAAACCGTCCTGGCGGATAACTCCGATGCTTCAATACTCACAGCCACGAGACGACGGCTGGTTCAAAAAACCGATCTTATTGTGATGCCTGGTCTCGGTAAGAAATCCTCAGTTGAAAACATCTAATATTGACTAACATGCTCAGCTCTGGCATACTTCACTCATACGCTTGACCGTGCTAACCTCGGCAATGCAAAAACTGATGGGATAGAGAAGGATCTTGGGTTGGTTGGCAACCAATTCAACTTGCTTCTCATCTTGTTCTATGTCCCTTACTCCGTAATGAACATCCCTTGGACCATTGCAGCTAAGCGTTTCAACCCGGCTGTGGTGATGCCAATCATCATTGCTTTATGGGGAATTTGTACTCTGGGTGCTGCAACAACTAAGTATAGACCTGCCCCTTTTTGGCCATGTCCCGCCAATTGATTCGCGCTATCTACCAAGCACATGTTTTATCTATCGGACATCACAAGGGAATATACTTACATTGCGATGTAGGAATTTTAGCCAAATACTTGCCTGCCGTATTCTAATGGGTACGGTCGAAGCTGCTTTCTTGCCATGCGCAGTTTATTACTGCTCCTTGTTTTATACGAGAAGAGAGCTCGCGCTTAGGACATCCATCTTCTTCCAGATGGGATTCATTGCTGTAAGTGCACTCTGACATTATATAAAAGGTCATGTCAACTAACAAATACCAGGGAGCGGTCAGCGGTTTGATATCTTGGAGTGTGTTCCGGTGGAATGGGTCTTTGAAGGTACCTAATACATAAAACATCATATCATCACTCGAACGGACCATCTAACTCTTAATAGGGGTGGCAATATCTCTTCATTATTGAGGGTGCATTGACAATTGGCATCTCTATCTTGTTACTCTTCGCTCTCCCTAGGAGTGTACGAAAATGTCGATGGTTTTCTGAAGAGGAAAAAAAGATTGCGGTTGCTCGTCTCGAAGAGGACTCACATGATGAAGATAAAATATTTCGCTGGTCGGATGTGAAGGAACAACTTCAACATGGACCAACATGGGCTTTCGCTTTCCTTGCACTTATGCATGGAGTTGGGCTAGCAAGTAGTTCAAATTTCTTGCCCGTATGTGGCAACCTACACCGAAGCTCTCTCTTGATTCATTGCTAATTTTCCTTGCAGACACTTATTAAGCGACTGACGGTCGATTCTACAACAGCCAATCTCTATACGATAGGTCCGAACCTAACCGCGTCTGTAGTGTTACTCACTACAACGTATTTCTCTGATCGATTTCAACAGCGCGCCTATGCGGCATGCGGCACCTTGTTCGTCTCTTTAGTTGCTTGGGTCTTACTTGGCTGCCTCGACCTTGTCAATAGTGTGAAGGTGGGATATTTCCTCACATACCTAATCACATTTGGGACTTTCACACCTGGCCTTCTTGTGCCTGTCTGGCTATCATCAAACATGCCGACAACAACGGGACGCGCCGTAGCTCTCGGCTTAAGTTATATGGCACAGAATTTAGCCGGCGTGGTAAGCTCGTTGGTGTTTCGCAACCAAGATGCACCAGTTTACAAGCCTGCGTTGATCACGGTAGCTTGCTGTCAGGGCGTTTTCATCGTTGCATGCCTTGCTCTAAGGAGATACTACTCCCAACTAAATCAGAAGATTGGTTTAGGTGGCGCTTCTTTTGCTGACAGAACGGATAAAAGACCTACATATAGATACGCAGTATAAAAAAAAAGCCATGGGGGGAAGGCGTCCCTGAAGGGACACTGGAAAAGGGCGGGTGTTCCTGCTACAGTGTGAATCAGAACATAATCTTCGGTTAAACCACGATAAAAGAACCAATCAAGGTCAACTAGGATCGTTGTGGAGTTCACTAATCTTTCCTAATAAAATTCGGATCCATATTTTGATTGGTTGGAGCTCAAGCTTCACAGTATCAAAACACTGTAGAAGTACCGTATTTACCTAGGTACGTTTTGACGCGCTCGAACGAACAATCCATTAGGAACTAGGCAGCCGACACATTGCATTCTAGAAGGTCCTCAACCAGAATGGTTCGTAGGTTTCTTCGTATCTCGAGGGCTCTATAATGTGTCAGTACAGTATTGCGTTATGAAATTACTCAAGAACCACGTTTTCAAGCCTAGATAAATGAGTCTAGAGTCTAGACTACTGTTCCTCTGTTCGTACGTGAGTCAATTAGCTGGGCTTTAATGGAAGGCAATGAAAGAACATTGACTGGCGTTTACCTCTAGGGATGATGCAGCGAGGCTTTAGCTCCGCAACCAATCGAACAAACAAAAGCTGGGATGAATGGGTAGCTTCGGAGCTTAGACCTTCAGTTTGACTCCAGGTTACTCATCGAATTACCCCGTAACATGTCTCGGATGACGTGTTCTCCTTCAACCATGGCGCACAACAGGAGAATGAGCGAAAATCATTGCTGGTAGGTAAAGCTGATCTCCTCGTAAACTCCGGGCAATTTGGAGTCAGTTTCTTCGTACGCCAATGTGAATGTTTCCTTGTCGATAAATCCAAGTTTTCGATAGAAATCAGCTGCCTCGAGAGTACTTTCCAAATATGCAGGAACGTTATCCTGTTTGCATTGTTCCATTCCCCATCGGACCATCATCGTTGCGGCGCCCCGGCCTCTGTATTCTGGATCGGTACCCATGAAAGTGAGACCTTCAGTTTTGGTGAGCTCTATCTTGTTCTTAATGTAATGCGACAACTGGGTTATTTCTTACGATAACATGGTGCATCTCCTATCGCACGGAATTGTGCCTCTTCGGACTTTCTAGTCCAACCATCAAGAATCTTGAAGTCCGTTCCTGTTGGCCAAATCCAAGGTGGTTCAGTATAGTCCTCGTTTGTTAACACAGGATGTGCCCACTTGGCAAAAGCGATCACCTTGCCGTTTGCTTGACGTTGAAGATTTGGCTCAGTGCCCGCTAATTCGGAATTGTTGCTTATATATTCCGAGGCGCAATCTCGAACGACGAGGACGGTGGTCTTTGGATCGTCTATGTCGGCTCGAGCTTTTAATTCTATACTTTTCCTGAGCGCATCCCGAACGGCAGCTGTGGGGAACTGCGTTATCAGCATCGCGTTGGAGCCGAATGCGGCCATGTGGATATCGGAGATTCGGATGGCGTCCGCATGTTTAGCAGCGCATAAGATGAGTGGCATTTTGATCTTAGAGTGGAAAAGTGGTAGCTGAGAGTAACATAATTGAGTGGCGTGATTTAGATTTGGGTTTATCTTTAACAGGCGACAGCAACAGCCTGAAGAATGATGACTGATGGAAGCGAGTGGATTCGTTGAATGCATGAAATGGATAGGTAGGTACCTAGGTACATTTTATCTCATCCCTGCACCTCGTCACATTATGTAACCAAGAATCTGGGGAATTGGGGAATTGCCGAGGCTCACTAGGTAGTCGAGACCCTTTTTTTATCAGGTATGAAGGAATACATCCTGACACCAACACCAGCGCCGACGCCAATACGGTGTGTTTTGAGCGTGGTTTTAGGATTGAAGTCACTTACATATATTCACCGTACACCCATTGGCATAAATGTGTTAGTTCCTGCGCTGTGATTCTTCTTTCTTCCAACTCATGCGATGAACCACGTTTGTGCTCCTCGTTCGAAATGGTGGCATCATTTGTAGAAGCCACAGGTGTTACAGCTGTGGACTCGCATACTTACGCTGCCAAATTTGACACAGAGTGGTGTGTAGGATCGGGTACGTGTCTTCATGATCGCAACAGCTTGGGCGTCATCATTAACATAATCCTCATATTATAGTCCCACATGGTGGCGTTGTGACTTCTGTCTTCCTCCGCGTTGCCGCTACTCACTTTTGTACTACACTCGCAGCACAAAACCAGCCACATACAATTTCCTTACATGTCGAATTTTTACGGCGAACTCAGGAAGGGCCTGCAAAACTAGTCGTTCGCGATGTCAAACTCGGTCGACAGACATCGACTATCCACATCACGTTGTCGCAGGACGGCCGCGAAGAGGTAGTAGGTTACCTTACGCAGTCAAATATGAATACCGAGGCCGGCGTTTCTCTGAGGACCTTATGGTATTTGCATCCACCATCGCGTCCACCACCTCTCGACTTTCCTAAACTCTTCGTCGGTGGCGAGGACCCTCACTGGATCGAGCAGACGAATAGACCATCCCCCAAGTTTCGCAAGGTTTCTAATCGCGTTCGCACGTTTCTGCCACGCGAGGGTCAAGTAGCGCTAGGCCTAGTCGACGAATGGTTACGTCTCGAGTCGGGAGAGAGATTTACGAATGAGAGTATAGGTTTCGTATCCGATCATTTCGCCTCGGTCATCGAAGGTTTATGGCGTAACGAGAGGAGCGACACCCGTCTACCACCCTTTTGGTATCCAACCGTGGCCCTCAATCTAGATATTAAAAAGATCCTACCGCCCGAGGGTGTCGAATGGTTATTTGTACGGGTACGGACAAAGTGCATCAAGGGTGGGAGAATGGATCTCGAGGTAGTTATTCTGGATCAGATGGGGGAGATCGTCGCTCTCAGCCATCATGTTGTATTGGTTGTTGGTACAGAAAGGAACCTGGCGGCGCGCAGAAATGGCCAAACAAAGATATGAAGCGGTTAACACAACATTCATCTAAAATAGATATAATGCACCTAGATAAATTTGCGATATTCTTTTTATACTATGTTTATTTGGATATTATTCGGTATGTCACCTCCCTAGATTAAGACGATGAACAGATCGATGAGAAAGATCTAATTTAATTTGATGATTGCCCTAAATGATAAGGTGGGGACCTCGGGAGCTTGTGACGGGCCAATTAGCGATAGGTACCTAGGTAGTGACATGCTTCGGTATACCGGCGCCCACGGAGCCCGGGGATCAAGGATACAAGGGTCTGCATATGCACGTACCTACATATGTAGGTATTATATTAATGTTCTAGGCTTATGTTATCTTCTATTCAGCTTCCTAGCTTCTTAGCTTTCATATTTGTTTCTCCTTTTCTTCAAGAGCTTTGAATAAAAATGATGTATATGTAAATGAAAGTATTCATGGTCTTCACATTGATAATACTACTTTAGTATTTCTTCTTCGTTTCTAATTTTCTTTCATCTTCGCTCGTTTTATCGTTTTTCTACAATTCCGCCTCCAATGGCTGATGCCGCTGGTACCGTCATTCCGGCTTCTACGCCAACCGCTACTAATATTTTGTCATTTGCGAATGGCGTGTCTCTTACTCTCGCAGGCGATTCCCTAGTCGTAAAAGGTATTTGATACAGCTATCGAATGTTTTTTGAACGCGCTTTTACTAATTTCGTCGCAATATCTAGACAAGGCCCATGCAAAACGACACCGACGGAAGTTTTGCGGCGTTGGTATTGGTGGCACGTCTTCCGAACTTCCAATCCCTCTTTACAATGTGCTCTGGGCAGAAATCGTTGCCAACGAATCCCTAACCATCGACTACGCAAATCCGATATCCAAAAGTCACCTTCGCGTCACCAAGTTAACATACCCGACCGCTGAGCTTACCCCCGAAGTAGTGAACCCGTGGATCGATAATCTACTCAAGCAAGCCTACAAGACAGCTCAACCAAATAAACGCGCCAAAGTGTTGGTCAATCCACACGCGGGACCTGGTGGTGCAGACAAGGTCTGGGAACACGATGTGAAGCCGATATTCGAGGCGGCGCGTATGACACTGGATGTGGTGCGAACTAAGTACTCCGGCGAAGCGATCGAAATTTGCGAAAACCTTGATATCGACGCCTTCGATATCATAGTTCCTTGCTCCGGCGACGGATTGCCCTACGAGTGCATCAATGGATTGGGTAAGCGTTCTGATGCACGTAAAGCCCTGCGCCAGGTTGCTATAGCGCACATGCCGTGTGGAAGTGGGAATGCGATGAGCTGTAACCTAAACGGCACGCATAAAGCAAGCATCGCGGCACTCGCTATTGTCAAAGGCGTAAGGACACCGATGGATCTGATGAGTGTCACGCAAGGCGATAGGCGGACACTTAGCTTTTTGAGTCAGTCGGTGGGCATTATAGCGGAATGCGATCTGGGAACGGAAAATCTGCGCTGGTTGGGCGCTGCGCGCTTCCATGTAGGTCTCATACAAAGGATATTTAGCAAAAAGGTATATCCTTGTGATATCGCGATGAAAGTTGAGATACCAGAAAAAGCGGATATCAAGGCACATTACAAGCGCGAACAGACGGAATCCGACTACACTACGCGAAGAGAGAAAGACGTCGTAAGTGTAAGGGAAGCATCCTTGGCCGCTGACTCTACTACCAGCGAAACGGACAGTGGAGAGGGATTGCCACCGTTGCGATTTGGGACCATCAATGACAAGCTCCCTGATGACTGGGAGAAGGCGTCGTATGACAAGCTAGGAAATTTCTATTGTGGAAACGTAAGGACCATAAATCTTATGTCGTTAGTATCGTATCACATTTGCTAACATCGGATAGATGGCGTGGATGGCGCCCGATGCCAACTTCTTCCCAGCAGCGTGCCCCAATGATGGCTTGATAGACGTTGTATTCAACAATGGCGACATCTCAGCGGCCAAGTACGTGGAACTGCTCACCTCCGCTGAGACCGGTCATGTATTTGACAATCCTCATGTGACGTATCGAAAAGTCGCCGCGTATCGGTTCACCCCTCGTAATCAGAAGGACGGATATATCAGCATCGATGGTGAACATACCCCATTTGAGCCTTTCCAAGTTGAGGTTCATCAAGGACTAGGTACGGTACTATCAAAGAGTGGCAAGTACGAAGCAGCTGGTCCACCAGATTGGGAGAAGGTCGGTGCGTGAAATTGACGGACGTTGGCGAAAAAAAAAATGTATTAGGCTGGTTATGAGATACCCCAAGGTAGACGTAGACTTGTAGACTCGTCTTGTAAACATAGGTGTGCACAGCTTTTGCTGTGATTTGTGTATATTGATCGGATTTAATAGTGTTGGCAAGCGTTGTCGAATTGCAAAGCAGATTTTATCTCCCAGCCATAGGATATATCCCTCTGAAAACACCCAAACTCCGTATCTTGTGAATTGGTTCCAAGTTATAACAAATACGCCAGTTTTCAGTCATCGAAACCACCCCAACCGTTTCGATCATCATTATCATCCCCATCCAACTCTTCATCCTGTGCGTCGTCTCTATTCCACGGCAACCTGTCGTCAGCAAGTGACTCCCTCGCCCTTAGTCGTACAGGCTTGCAAGTAGACTTGGCTTGTATCTCCACGATATGCCGTAATCTCTCTAGAAATTTCTTCGATTCTTCGGAGGTCTCATCAGACTCCTCGTCCTTTAAAAGTTCGAGCTTTTCCGCCTCGTCGACCCAGATATCCAGTACGTGTAGCCGCAGGCCGACAGAAACTTTGGAAAGGTCGCCGGTTTTCTCAAGAGGCCATTCTTCTAGTAGTCGCAACATGTTTTCGGCGCGAGTGCCAGTCCACCTCTTGCCTTTTGTTTTCGTCTTTCCGTCACCAGCCCAGGCTATACTGGCACCGAAGACACGTCGCACTAAAAGTAGATACTTCTCCATGCGCAATACGTCAATAGAAGTCCACTCGCGGGAGAGGGTAGCCCAGAAGGCGCGGAGGAAAGGAATCACGACAGCGCATTCGTCATCGTTTGGGGTGGGTAGTACGGATAGAAGGCCAGCGAGGTCCGCGCAGAGGTTTTGCTGTGGAATGGGTCGATCGCACATCCATACGCTGTAGAAAAGGCCTTTCCATAGTTTCAGATAGTCAATTTCGGTCAGTTTGCGGACGGTGGTCGGCGCTGTCAGGAACGTTCGTAGGGTATCTACGGCGGAGCTACGTGTTTTGCGATCTGTTTGCGATAGTTCTTGTCAGCTACCACGAATGAAGTGACGGATGATGAAGGATGCAATTGGAAAGGTTTGGGGACGTACCGCTAGATGCAAGATTTTTTATAAAGGGCATATTCTGCCCCTCGGTCGCCATCTTGAAAAAGAATACCGAGTTCTATTTCTCCAAGTGAAGCTGATAAAATATTGATAAAATAAATGATTGAAGAAAAAAAGAATTCAGTCCCGCCATGTCGGAACGGGACGACCCACTAAATGATAGCGCGGAATCATTCCGGGATACCGATTGTACCTAAGTACTAGTGCCCCGCCCCTCTTTAAACTGCACTGGAGCGCTCTACAAACCCCACTACATCTTCATTCGTTTATATCACGTCTTCAAACACCACAGAACACAGCAAACGATGAAAAGTACCGAGGATACTGCAATACCTAGTTGAACCACTAAATCGTACACTGAGCCGCCATAACTCCTTGAATAAATCCAACAACCAATTACTACTACATTCCCGCATCGACTCCCTAGACAACTCCCAGAACCATCCTAAAAGTTTCAACGAAATCCTTCACAATTTCCACAACTTCCATCAAATATGTCGCCAATTATTTCCTGGAAACTATCCCGTATACTACTTTGACGAGGATGGCAAACAGGCTGAAAGCTGCTAGTATAAGGGTAACTAAAATCAACCGTGAAAGATGATAGCAGGTTGATGAGAGGTGCTCAATGCCTTCTATTTGGAAGTATTTACTCCAACCCCACGCATGGTTTACCGAAAGACATGCCACGGTGATAAGCGCGGCTTCTACTGCCAGCGAGAGGATAATTCTGAAGGCGCGAATGCAGGTATCAGCACGACTTTTTGCCTCTTCCGACGCCTTCCTCCTATTGTGGCTGCATATGGTTGAGACCAGGAGCAAGAACAACAAACCAAGGAGCGTAGCTGAAGCGACGAGGTAAGCGAAAACCTCACGGGCGTTGTTAATAGCCGAGCCCGTTCCGTGTTGTGTGAAGTACGGTAGCAGCTCATTTTCGACAAATGCTGCAAAAAATCCGTGCCCTACTGCTAGTAGGAGAATAACGATGGCGCGAAGGACGCCGCCGAAGCCCATCGTGTTGGTGGATAATAAAATAAGTTTGATAAGGTCTAGATAGGTTAGTGTTCAATAATTCACTGTCACAGTTTATCCGAGTATTCTTCAAGATGGAAGCTCACTTTTTATTAGGTGTTCACGAAAAGGTCGTGACGGACTGAGATCGGTGATCGTCTGTTGGAATTGTGAGTAGATAGAGAGCGAATTTGGTTGAAGTTTGCTAGTGTTAAATAATGAAAAAAGAGAAATGAGGGAATAGATGGAATGGAGTTTAGGTGTGTTTAATAACGATTTAAGTAGAAATGTTGAGAAGCCGCCAAGTAACGATTTGAAGGGATGGGGGTACGGGTGTGAGCTGTATGCACGTCCTGTACGTTAATGCCTATACACCAAGACACTTATGGCCAGACGACGACAATGACTCAGGTATTATTGCGTCCGTTATAGTGTTAATTGTACCATCACCATACATTGGACGGGCAAGTTCTTACCTACCTAACTAGATATTGTCGACCTGACCAAGTTTCCTGCGTTGGCAGTCGCCAGACAATTCCCATAGGAGTATGCCCTGACCTGGAGTAGTAACAATACATTAGGCGTTTATCGATCATACATGTACCTACTTGGTCATCTAGTTGGGGTTCAGATTTATTATAGGTAGGAGTAGGAATAATATTCTACGTTCCGTGGATTTTACACTACGATTACTTAGATCGACGTTCGCTACCTAAATTGCTATGATACTAGCTAAAAAAAGGGGGGGGATAACCAGCAAGAAAAGAACGCAAAGGAGTTTGGCCAACACCCGAGTTGACCTGTCAGTAGAACAACCCCGAAGGAAGTCCCTAGGGAGCCGTGGTGACAGTCACAGCTACGAAAATCACACGCCCGTAAAAACATGGAGGTCAAATTCTAATTGGCCATCACCTCTCTCACTAGACTATGGGGCATCCCCTGTGATCTTATATAATATCCTTGTTCGCATAGTTTTATTATCGTATTCGACAAGTAGCAGCTCTAGATGCCTCAGTACCTAAGCTCTATCTAGGTACAGAATCAGGTGAAAGTGACCCAGACCTCAAACATTTGCCAAGTAGGATTGGTATCCGCTTCCGCCTCTGTGTATACGGTCGTGATTTCGCCGGATTCGACGTCCTTCTTCTGGGTCTGCTTTAGCAGTCTAGACTTTACATCTAGATTCCCAATCCTATCCTTCCATTCATCACGGCCACAAACTTCTTGCCATAGTTCCTGCCAGGTCCGGTCGTCATGATCGTACTTATGACGATACTCCTTAGACCCTTGGGGCTTTTCGAAAGGACCAGGACTGGTGTTTCCGACGTGGGCCCCCAAAATCAATACCGGAGCCCCGGTATCCTTTCTTAGAAGTCGAAGACAGCGATCAGCCACGGTCTTTTGATCATCGAAAGAGAACAAGTGAAACACAGCAGTTAGGTGTAATATAGTAACTCTATTGTCCAGGACATTGAACTTATCTTCGGTTGAGTTCGAGAATAAATCCCCGGGACATAAGAAGCGGTCTCTCGATAGCTTTTCCGCATCTCGGAATAATTCAAATCCAAAATCGATGAACTTGGGTTCTATGTCACTAGCCCAAAGCCTATGTGCTGGCATGCCATCGTAGATAAGTTTGCGTACGTCCTGGCTAAAACCTGTACCAAGATCCAAGAACAACGGTTCGACCACTCCATCTAAACTAGGCCGTTTTAATGGAGATAGTACATGCTGTTCGTATGCATAGTGAGTTGCTAGAGGGAAGTCTAGGAATCTGAAGCTTCCGACACATGGGTACGGAAAGCATGCATATGCCTCATCTCGAATCTTAACGACATGACCAAGTTGTGTGTCCTTAGGTATGCCAGAATAGGACGCGAGAAGACCGGAGATAGACTTCGGGACGGCCTCTATTTTCTCGGCGAACTTAAAGATATCTGTTGATGATTCGTTTTGGGTTGTGCTCGCCATGGTGTTGATCGTGGAAAATCAAAACTACTTGAGTTTATGGGTCTGTGTGGTAGATATCAGTAAGAAGGAATTGACCTAGCATTAAATATTATTGCTATGTCTGTATTGTCGCGCCTTTAGTGTAGGAATGTAGTCACTGACGAAGTTGCGAATGTTCGTTTGTCCGAATGGCGATCCGAAATAACCCGTGAAATACAACACCATCAAACTCCGGACAGAAAATAATGGCTTGATAGTAGAATCAAAGCTGCACATCAGAATAGATAAGTGTTCAAAAGAGGTGGTATACGCATCACATTAAGATGCGGGGATTACACGGTAATGATAACCATCCGAAAGCCCCTTCGTCATTGGGTTAGGGATAAAAATGCAACTTGACTTCAATGCTTCCCTTTTACCTCTTTTGGCAAGATGCGACTCATCTAAAGGTAACGCCACCGTCAAAAACTCCATAATTCAGAAAGCGGATCTTCTTTACGTTATCATCCTTCAAGACTCTGCAAACTTTCTTGTGGCCCTTGCCTTTCCATGCCTTGGTTTGACAGTCCTTGTGTTTTGGTTAGCATCCTCATTTGAAATATATCTGGGAATTGGGATACCTTATTGCAATAGTGAAAGGTCTTGCAACCCGCACACATATTGAGGTTATCCTTGGTCTCATCACAGCTGTAACACTTCTGCTTAGCCCCTTCTGTAGGTGTGTACTTGATGACTTCCTTGTTCATTTCGAGAACCTCCTTAAAGCTAAGGGATGATCTATTGTAATGAATAACCGGTTTGGGTTTTAGTTATTTCTAGGATGAATTGCTTACCATAACGCTGTGGGAATCTTCCACTCTCACGCCAACAGTTCCACCGAGAAAGTAATGGAATGTCGGGTAGAAGAGAGCGATTGTGTAACCGACTTTGAAGTTTTTCAGGATGCGGGGCATATCATTCTGATCATCCGGATAGAAGGCAACGACGAACGGGTTTCCTTTATGGTCCTTGGCTACAATTCGTGGGCGGAGGAAAGTATCGGCCTGGATAATGTCACCAAGGAGGCACCAATGTTGGCCATTAATGGGTGATGTGGAAGGGTAATCCTTAAAGGATAGGAAGAAGTCTGAGTCCTCGAAGGACCGAGGCCGAGCTCGAGTACCTATTTTTAGGTATCGTTTGAAGGGGTCTAGAGATTAAATGAGAGGTTGACTCGGATTGAACTACTAATCCGCTTTAAAATACAGGGTTAGATGGGATTATACGAAGAAAATCTCATGTCCCAACCTGTCCGCAAACGAAAGAGTATGTGAAACAAATGATTGTCAACCAGACCGCTTGTTAAGAGGAGAAAACGCCAGGCGTTGCTGCGCACGGAGCAACTTGGAGTATCCAGTTGGAGTGAGTTTATCATATTATGACTTACATTATGCTGTACATAAGGTTATTTTAATACATGTACATTGTTTCAATCATTCATCGATCGATCTTGCCTCATCCCAGAGATAGACACGGGGAAGAACCATAGATGGGTTTAGGATAGAGGCAGTTACCTAGGTATATATGCTTTCTGACAACGAAGTTGGATGCTCTTTTTAGTTGCAGTTGGTGGGGTTGTAGGTGATTGAATTACTTACATGAACGCCGCTAAGTTAGGTTACGTAATACTGAGTACCTACAATAATTAACCTGACTTAATTCAAGACGCGTCCATCGCGTTCACTCACTGTCTAAGAACTCTATGGAGTGTGAAGAAATAAACCTTCAAAACTCATATAAATTATGGGAAAACTTGGATGCCCATGTAAACCTCTTAATTCTCCATCACGAATTCCTTACACTCCATAATAGCTAAATATAACATGGAGAAAGCTACGAAGCTTCACTTCTACTATCACGGCGAAGCAGTGAGTCACCCCACTTGTCACAACATCGCAATACATAAATAGATATAGCGTGCATGTATGCTAACCATGGAAAATAATTTTAGGGTCGCGAAGGAGAGAAACAAAAATGTCATTTTTGTCAGATTCGTTCTTTCGCGACGCATACCCGCTATCCAGTGACTCTAGTCAATACGGAAGACAACGCTGCGCTGGATCCCGATTTTCGGTTTGTGGATAAATCCATCCTCGGTAAAGATGTGGAACCAACTAGGGAAGAGTTCCTCACCGGCTGCGAGTGCGCTGACTCGGAAGATTGCCAGTATAGCACTTGCAACTGCCTTCAGGATGTTGATGACGATAGTTCGGATGAGGAAAACGGGGATGGCACATATGGCGACGGACCTCGGAAGAAAGTATACGCCTATCATTCGCACGGTGTTAAGGCCGGGCATTTACGTTCTAAAATTCTCACATCACGAAATCCCATCTACGAGTGCCATGAAAGCTGTGCTTGTGGTCCGGATTGCCCCAATAGGGTTGTAGAGAGGGGTCGGAGGATACCGCTGCAGGTCTTCAGAACTAGGAATCGTGGCTGGGGCGTGCGGAGTACGGCGGACGTTAAGAAAGGTCAATTCGTCGACAAGTACATGGGCGAGATTATCACTGCGCAGGAAGCTAATCACCGGCGGGCCAAATCCCACATAGCGGAGCGTAAAGACGTTTACCTCTTCGCACTGGACAAATTCTCAGATCCGGATTCGTATGACGATCGTCTCCGTGGACCACCGTTAGAAGTGGATGGAGAATTCATGTCTGGTCCAACTCGATTTGTCAATCATTCTTGCGATCCAAATATGCGCATCTTTGCGCGGGTGGGCGATCATGCCGATAAACACTTACATGATTTGGCACTGTTTGCAATTAGAGATATCCCGCGGGGTGAGGAACTGACGTTTGACTATGTGGATGGGGTTGATGATTCAGAAAACGATGCGCTTGATCCGGAGAAACAGAAGGACATGACGCGTTGCCTGTGCGGGAGCAAGCGTTGTAGGGGGTACCTTTGGTAATTAATCGAGGGGAATTTATGCAGTGATTTAGATCTATTTGGACCTTCAATCGCATGCATGGAAATGATTACCTACCTATTCTAACGTCACTAAGCGAAGTGTGCAACTTCTACCTAGCTCAGTAATACCGCCGGTCCAGTGTATTAATCAAGCAAAAGTACTATTTGTTTTTGCTGCATGTGTGTTGGAATTATAGGTACATGTTTGTCCGGCATAAGAAATTTAATACTGCCTGTGTATGTATCTAATTACAGGTTACATGTGACAGACAGGGCAGACAGGACGCAACCTTAAAGCTAACCTCTCACTAAGAATAATAAGGTTAGCGGAGACAGACTTGGCGCTCATAAGTTCTAGGCCGGCTTATCACCCTTGTCAATGCCGCTAACTCGTTGGCGGACCAGCTACATTTGAAGCAAGCAAGTCCGAACCATGTAAAATACCTAGATCCACCCGATCTAACCGACCCCGTTATTTTCGTGCTAAGCCTCAAACCATCAAACCATCAATCTTCAACTTCCAACATTCTAGTGGTGAACGACCCTTCGTGGAAATATTAGCCTTGACTTCCGTTATATCTGGCGAACAAGGCTGAAAGTACAATCCAATCAATCATTGGACTGGTAAATTCAAGAGTAGGAAGAAGAGGCGCCAATAAGGGCGAATATCCGAAAATGCGCTGAAACGGTATACCCCATCACTTATTCTAGGTGGCTCAATAATAAAGCGCAAAAGCAATGGTATGTAAAATCGCCAACATTTCTTCCGTCAGCTCTACCTCAAATCCATAGTTTGCGACATTTCGGTGATCATCCCTTAACCATCCAGAATCTCACGAGGTTCTGCCGCTGACTTCTCGCAAATTACTGCTGGACGGGACATATTTCCCTCGTCTCGAAGTTCAACTGACTCTTATATTCTTAGGGCTGCTGTTTCTCGAGACCCGCCGGTCCTAACGCACCCTACCCAGGGGGTAGCGCCGCATCACCCTCTGCGCGCGCAATTAACTCACCTCCGCCGTTACATCCGTCTGCGACCGATGATAGTGCGCCAGCATCGCGAGCCGTCTCTCGTTCTCACCAATCCCCCCAGTCGCCCCATTCACAGCATCATTCACATCGAATCCATGGTTTTCAAGCCTCCCTGTCGCAACATATAGACAAACCCTTGCGACGCCACGAATGGGTTGCGCGCGATCGAACATGGACACGTTCCGAGTTAGATACAGAACGAGCCGATTTCTTTGATACGCGGGTTACTGGGCGGCCTGAAGTATGGCAAGCTTTGAAGGCAGCGTTGGAGGTTATGTGGGAGGCAGATGTGGGCAATGCGGCTACGGGAGAGTCAACAGACGAAGACGGGACCGGTGGGTTGGCTACAGCCCAGAGCATACTGAAGGCTGCCGAAGTCACTTTACCCACTGGTGACTTATCGAATGGGGTATATGATGCACTTGGGAATTATTACGCACTTCCGGAATGGATTGTGAGCGACCCCGTGAACGTGACCGAAGAAGGTAACGCGAAAAAGAGTAAAGATGACATTGATCGAAAGGGTGAGGATGATTTAACGGGTGACGACATGGACGAGGTAGATGAAGACGAGGCGGTACGACGAAGAGAAGAGAAGGGTAAAGGTGTCGTGGATATGAAACATATGGTGAAAGTTCGTGCTCGACTTAGCGAGAACCTCCCGGATGTGATAATCAGCATTAACCCCGAAGAAAGCGTCCGAAGCTTCGCTAGAAAGGTAGCCGAGGAGTCGGGGGTGAGTTATTTTTATTATATCTTCCATCTCCCGAATTGGTTTATCCGGGAAGCATATTCTAATTGCTCGACATAGTTATCATCGACTAAACGTGTGCGTGTGGCCTACATGGGCAAGATTCTTAAGGAGAACTCATCCTTGCAAGGTCAAGGTTGGAAGAAGGGACATGTAGTTAATGCGCTGGTTTTCAACCGGTAGCAACGGTCGTCGCCACTGTATTTCCTACCCGACTCCCATATTCTCGAACGAGCCCCTTCACACCTCGAGCCCTGGTTTTGAATTCGTTCCACGGGAATTCCAAGCCATTCTCGAGCCATGACTAAGAGAATCGGGCTCATTGATTGACGGCAGTCCTTGGTTTATTTCCCCACCCAGTCAACCGCGTTCGATGCTACCGATCCGACCAATACTTTCCATTATTCGATGAAGCATTCTGCTCATCTATTCTACCTGAGAAACCACATCGCCAAGAGAGCGAGAACGCGACCCCGTTATTATATATAACCTCATCATTTATAAATATCCCGACCATTACGGATTTACTCTTAATAATCTATATGCAACACTTAACGGGTTCGCCTTAGGTTTTCACCATTTCTATTTATCTACTTCCTTACGACTCTGCATCGGATTCCGGACAATACCCCATTTTCGTTATCATGCTGCGTCAGCATTTGGCGGATTATAGGAGTTAGTATGGCGTGATTATGATCGATTGTGCGATCGACTAAGGGATTTATCAATGAATTTATGGGCGCAACGAAGCGTGGCTTTGGGTATTTAACTATCATTTGGCCTTGACTATAATCAGATTGAAATATTTTATATTAATCATAAATCTACCAGGCCATTGGATACCTATATATTGTCCGCTTCTTCAAAATCGATTCTGGTGACTTCCGAGACAAGTTTTCTACACCCTTTTCGTATAGCTACTCCTGTACGATTTACCTGAGGAATTACCTGAAGGCCTTTGGCGCCAAAGGGGACGCGCACATGTGGATTTGATTACAAGGGCTTTGAGGTTAAAAGCGCGGGTTTACTGGTCAGAAGCATTTCAAGCGATTTGATTCGAAGATTTGTTATTATACTTAAATACATAATCGTAACACGAGTTGTTGTTGTTTTTCACCAATGAGCTCACACGATCACATCTCAAATTCTGCAGGCAGCCGACAGATAGAAGACCATGGTAAAATGATGGGTTAGACAAGTGAGCTCTGCTTTCTTTCTCATCCTACTATTGAATTCGAAGCATCTCGAAAATAAACATTTATTTATCAGCGCGGTCGTATATCATTATAGACATCATCACGATGAGATAAACCCTTATAATGGCCCCCTCGATTGTAACGGATGATTATTACGCGGTCCTCGGAGTCACCAAAACGGCAAATGCCGATGCCTTAAAGGCCGCCTACAGGAAACTAGCGAGGATCAGGCATCCTGACAAAAACCCCGGAAAACCAACTGCGACGGCCGAGTTTCAGCTGGTAAATGAATGACTGCTTCACTGTGCAATTGTGTGAATACCTAACTAATTGTGGGGGTAGCTCGAGGCGGCATATTCCACGTTATGCGATCCTATCCGACGGAGGGCATACGATCTTCGATTTCCGACCACATTTACCAACAATGGACCGACAACTCCGGCCTATTCTTATACTTACGCCAGCACAGCAAATAGTGATTCATTTAGACAGAAGATCCATGAAAAAGAGTTAAGACGCGACCGTTTAAGGCGTGAAAAGATACAAAAAGAAGAAGAGGTTTCGGAGGTAAGGCGTAACCTTGCTCGGGTCGAAGGGGAGATTTGGAGGTTGGATGACGATGAGAAAAGAGACGCTGCTGAACACGCCGCCGAGAAGTCCAGTTGGTGGCGATTGTTTTCGTCCGTCATTGGAGGGTCGCAAATGCAGTATGAGGAAAGATCCAACGAACGAGACCGCCGTCGTCTCAACAGAATTGTAACGAAACGCGTCAAAGAGAAGGAATTAAAGCAGCACCAAGAAGGTGTCGCGCGACTCGAGTTTGTCATATATACTACTCAAATCGAGATCAATGGTTTAACACAAGAGATAAACAAATGGAAAGGGGAACAGGAAGAAGCATGTCGGAAAGAAGCTCAAAGACAACGAGAACAGGAAGAAGCACTGCGACGCGAAGCACAAAAGCAGGAAGAAGCACGTCGAAGAGAAGCGCAGAGGAAACGAGAAGAAGAGGAAGCACGACGAAGACAAGCCCAATGGCAGAAGGAACATGATGAGATACGAAAGAAGCAAGCCCAAAGGCAACAGCAAGAAGAGAATGCAAGACGGGAAAGGACACGCCGGGAGAAAGAAGAAGCCGAGGCGGCTAGGAAGGCGTTCGAAAGGGAGGAAATGCGCCGACGGGACCAGGAAGAAGAGTCAGCTCGGGAATTTGAACGGGTACTCGAACGTATTCGACGTGCGACAGCTCAGAAGGCTGAAGAGCGTCGACGTACCGAGGAAATCCGGCGTACCGAAGAGCATCAACGCGCTCAGAAAGAGAGATCTGAAGCGAAATCTTGTGGTCATATGGAGTGGTGGAAAAAGGTCAATGGTTCTCATATCTGTTCTCACTGTTCGATAAAGACAACTCAATTCGCTCTTCAGTGTCCGGAATGCAAGATATTTGCATGCGCATCATGTCGCAAGTTACTCCAGGCAAATGGCAGACGAGGTAGAAGATCTAGACGAAACTAGGGGAAATTTGTATCTTTAGAATTTATGTGACCAACGAAATATTTCAATCATATCAATTATAGTACTGTACTGTATTTGAATTAATGACCGTAAATTCCTTGGTCTATTCGCAGAGTAAACGGAGCAGTTACCCCTCATATACCTACCGTATTGTCACCAATTTAAGTAATTAGCTGTTACCGATTTGTCAATTAATCCAATGAAATCCTAGGATGTTCCATGTTCCGTTTATTTGATACCTACCCCCGAGCCGATGGCTATCCCCGTCCCTTAACACCGAAGTAGCTGGTATGTCAAAACTTTTCATCTAGGGGAATCAAGTAAGAATACAACACCCAAATTCAAGCACGCGCCTTGGATCCGTCAGCTATGATCATAACATACAGGCATCGAAGTCCTCCTACTTTAGTTCTAATCTTGACAAGAGCTTTTGGAAAATGTTGGTCTTTCCATATCGATCGACGACTTGTGGCTCATTTCCCACCATGAGTGTTTTGGAACGCGGATCGTGTTCGTCCCGCAATGAACTTCACCACCGCCTTCGTGCTGGGAATACCAGCATTAATATACACGACACCAAACCCTACTTCCTCATACACCTTATTAGTTGCTTCTACTATGATGTCCTTGCCGTCGATAACAGGGCGCCACGGTTTGGGAAATAGATATATCGAGTTACTTAATACTACACCGTTCAAAACGCCGGGGTATAATGCAGCACCGTGGGTAACACTATAATTTAGATCTGGGGCGACTCCATCGTCTGGTCCCCAACGGACGCCCGTCTCGAGTATCATCGGGACCCAGTGAGCGTTAGTATCCGGGATGCCGGTTTTTTCTTGTAGTGTATCTCTGACGCCTTTGATATGCTCAGCGAACCGTTCGTTGTCGGCAATCAATTTATCAGTCAGGATTTCGTCAATGGTACTATTCGGAACCCCTCTCGGAATACTAGGAAACGATTCGTCAGGCTGGGAGAATGCCTGGAGACTTCCATGGCCAGCTTTTTGAGCATTTTGAAGAATCTGAAGTCCTCTGATCGGATCGGCTACAAAAAGAACCCATCCATGCAATGTGTTATCAGCTGGGAGAAATTGAACCATCTCATCCACATGACCCACAGCGAGCCAATCCGTATCTAATATGAGGGGATCTTAAAACTCTTGAGCCTTCACGTAGTCGTACACATGCGGCGATGATGGATAGGACTTAGCATGGGAACCTTCAATCACCCGCCCAGCTGGAAACGATTTTTCTTTGTGCTCGTATGGGGGAATCGTCTCGAGGTTGCCCATAAAGTCGATTTCATCCCTAGTTCCACCTGTACTGTAAACAGCTCCTCGACCGGTGTCTCTTAAATATTCGAAAACCTGCCTCCCTGCGATACGTGATCCTTGTGAAGAGCGAATGAAAACCTGAAGTGTAATGGGACCAGAAGGACCAGGCATACTAGTATATCCGGGCTCGACAATATCTTGAGTCCAGATGCCATCCGAATGATTGAATAGCTATAAGGGCTTGCTGATATCTGGTTGATTGAGTATAGCCTTTAGGTCGGACACAAATTTCAGCTGATGCGGGGTTATTGACTCGTTGCCGTTGGTGGTCAGCACTTCAGATACGGGCATAAGGTGGTGGAATATCAGAACTGGTGCGACGCGGAGATGGACGGTATCATGAGACGAATTTAGCCCATTCTGTATATCGAAGTTGACCTCAACTCGACCGTCCCACCCGCCGGGTCTTCTTGTATCTCGGGCATCTATTCCAAGTTCGACCCCCCCATAATAGAGGGGCGGGGAACTTGTAATCATTTGTTGTGATGGTCCATCCGTCTGTGGTCTGTCGAAAAATGCAAACATCTTTTCGGGCAATTTCTTGCTCAATGCGAATATTTCCCCAGGCATCTTCGGTGACGTCGGATACCGGTACAGTCTTCAACGTTGTCATATATTCCGACGATCGCTGTATGTCATCAGAGGCGTCATTGCAGGCTGCAAGTGCTTCATCAGACAGTGGGTCTTTAGAGCAGCGACGGTCCGTGTCGCCGATATTTTCCAAGACGGCTCCCGCTTTATCCGACCACTCCAGTTTGTCATCAAGATCACTGCCTCCTTCGACGTCAACAACACCATCTCGATTGCTGTCTGCCCTGATGTCGGCTTCCCAGGCAAAACAGACCTGGCAAACCAGGGCCAAGGCAATAACTACCTTCGATAACCGCCTGCCAATGAACTGGGGAATGGTTGATGTGGATGGAATTTAAGATAGAGCGGTGTGATGTGAGTTGTTATTGTTTCGGATGTGTACCTCCTGTATTGATGCATTGATCCTTACCTAGCTAGCTATTAGCGAACGGCCGCATGCAGAGAGGGGGGAAATTCGATGTAATTCATTTTCGTTGTGACGTTACGGTCTTCCTAGATTGATGATGGTGCACAGCTACCTTGGTAGCTGCCCACAGCTTGTAAACCGCTTTCGTGGGTGGAAGGTAATATATTCATCGTCAATCATTCGATATCCACGGATGTTACGTCTTGCATGATGTACAGTTTCTGCTTTGCGTGATGTTATGTTGCATTTCAGCTCTCACCAGCTCGGCAGTACGGTCTTGGGAAGAATACGGGAGAGACGCTACCATGATGGAAGAGGCGAAATATGTCGACGATGTGAAGTCGCTGAAGTCGCTGAAGTCGCTGTATAAATACGTTGTCACCGGTGCATTCTCCACTACGGGTGCATTTCATACTATTGATCCATTCCCTACCGTTAATGCAATTCACATCGTCAACTTATCTCGCGCCTCATCGCAGTGCAAGTCATTCATAATAATACTTTCTACCAACCATGTCAGTCCCTCTTACTCATCGAGTTGGTGGCTGGCTGCCCCCAGACTCTGACGTTTTACTTCATTGGGTTCGACGCCTAGTCAAGGAGGTAGACCGCAGGGCTGGGCATAAGGAATTCAGTCCAGTTGTCAAGGATCTTCGTACCCTGATTGAAAGCACCCCTAGGCTCCGTATGCTAGCTTCAGCTATGTTTGATGAGGTCCCCGATAAGGACCCATACAGAACGGACCCTAATGGGTGCAGGCAGGTTCGGGACTATCATCATATGCTTTGTTTGTTTGATATTATTGTAAACGAGAAGGCCCCGGAGTGGAGCAAGACCGAATATAATAGCGGATTGATCGGATTCCCGTTCAATGCCATCCTAGATTGGCCTATGGCGACCCCGAGTGGGTACGCATTCTTCCTCGACAAGGAAGTCAATGTTCAACTTAGGAACGTTCTAAACTACTGGAGAGACAATGTTCTTAAGACAAGCAAGTCGCTATATGTCGTTACCAAGAACGAAAAAGGGTGGCTTAGCGATGAAGCTACTGTATGCGTCGTAGATGACGCTGGCGCACACGGTAGTCCGTTTCACGATATCTTCAAATGTGACCTTAGCGACGAGGACCATTGGGGCTTCAAAAGTTGGGACGACTTTTTCGTCAGAGAGTTCAAAGACATCAATGTTCTTCGACCAGTTGGTAGAAAGGACGACTTGCGCTGGGTCGTGAATTCGTGCGAGTCTAAACCATTCTCACTCCAGATGAACGTCAAGGAATACGATACATTTTGGTTGAAGGGACAGCCGTACTCAGTGGCCGAGATGATGGGCCACCACGAGAATGCAGCAGATTTCGTCGACGGGACGGTTTACCAGGCCTTCTTGAGCGCTACGTCCTACCATCGTTGGAACTCACCGGTGAAAGGGAGGGTAGTACACGCAGAGGTTATCGAAGGAACATACTTCTCAGAGCCTACCATCACCGGCTTCACAAACCCAGTTGGCCCAGATCCTGCCGCACCCGATCAAGCACAGGGTTACATTACTCATGTTGCCACCCGAGCAATGTTCCTCATTGAAGCGGACGACCCAAAGGATGGAGGTGGTAGTATTGGCCTGATATGTGCCATCTATGTTGGCATGGCTGATGTCTCAACTTGCGAAATAGCGAATAAGTTTAAGTTCCCAAGGTCAAAGCCCATTGCGGTGGAAAAGGGCGAGGAACTTGGAATGTTCCACCACGGCGGCTCAACCCACTGCCTTCTGTTCCCGAAAGACTTGCAGCTACGATGGGTGACAGAAGCTTTCCCGGGCGCAGCTAAGAAGAATCTCCCAATTCGAAGCAGGCTGGTTTACGTGGAGAAGAATGAAGGTTGAAAGGCCAAAGAGTGGGAAGCAATGGACAACCGCCTTGAATAGGAAAGGGCCCGGGCTCACGTCACACTCTCACGATCGTTGATTCTATTAGTATCACAAGATCTACACTCTTTTCTTTAACGAATAACGATCCGATCCTTCCCGTGCCGAAATACAAACTATTGTGTCAGTGGCGTTTTGTGGCTTGATTATCTGTGATTGCCCCGCAAGATCATATAGCTTTGATAGGTAAAGTTGCTGCATGTCTCACCGAAGGGAACGTAGCCATTTCGACGGCCCAATATGTTGTGTACGGTCGGAACCCTTCCTTCCCCGACCGCCGCCGTCCGATATACTAGGGACGAGACGTCTAAGACAATTTACCACGGGGTAAAGATCAACGGTGTGGTGGGTCGTTTTTCAGCTCTCCCTTAAATATGGGCCTCCATTTCCGCTTTTGGAACTTGGCATCGTGGCCCGGGCCGCTCTGAGCAAGGGTATTAGGTAGTGAAACAGAGTATAAAGCGAACTAGCCGTGCTTATTCATACTTATTCGTTTTATGCTGGTGGTACTAATTGAAAATCGGTTATGTAAGTCTATTAAGGTATAGCGACAAGTAGGATCTAATCTAGTAAGGATACAGTAGGGATTAAAACGATTAAGGGGTTAAGAAATCTGGAAATAGGTACTAAATATAGATAGTATTCCAAACGCAGCGTAGCATCTCCATTGCTTCCCATTACTTAATGCTTTATATCCGCGGATAGTCTCAATCATGAAAACTCGTCGAATTTACTATCTACCCTTACGATTCTCGCGAGTCTCGAGACGGGAAAAATGGGGCAAAAATTACGCTACAACCCCCTTCTTAATGAGGATATTCGAGTTATTAAGCTGCTTACACAAGTAGATGATCCAACTCATGCAGACGGGCCTGTACACTGCCAAATCGTGCATGTCTCACTCCATGATTCTCATCGAATTGACGGCTCCAAGACTGCGGTAAAAGGATCCAATGGTGTCTGGCCCGTGACGGTGGTTGATGCCGACGGTGAATCCAGAGCATCACAGCCAGTGAGCTACAACGCGCTATTTGAAACTGGCTTAGCGGAACGCGTCATCCCGTTTGCTCGCCATCCTGAAACGCGGTACTTTGAGAGACCCAACTTTCTAAAAAGCAAACCAAAGACCAAGTCTAAGCATATTGCACCAGCATGGGACTCAAGCGAAGATCCAGAGGCCGACCTGCCTTGGCGATATACGTGGGGTGATTTTGTCGCTTTATCTTACGTCTGGGGAGATCAATCTATCAGAAAGGAAATCTATGTTGATGGTGTCCCCGTCTCGGTAACGGCTAGCCTTGAGTCGGCCTTACGAGAACTGCGAAATCATATGCGTATCCAGCAGGGGTTTTACGTTTGGGTCGATGCGTTATGCATTAACCAAGAAGATCTCGATGAGCGTTCCGCTCAGGTGGGGCGAATGAAGGAAATTTACCATACTGCATGGCACGTCGTCATATGGCTTGGACCCGAAGCCAATCGCAGCGACCTGGCGATGCTGGCGCTTCGATATATGAGTGTTGAATCGGAACGGGGAGATGTACTATCTAAACTGTACAAACGAGTCGAATTTTACGTTGTTCGGTTGCCGTTTATGCAATGGAAGCATGAACATACAGCCCTGCAAATACGGAAAGGTGCGCTCAATGCCATCCATCATCTCCTTTCTAGACCATACTGGCGCAGACTCTGGATTATCCAAGAAGTCGTTCTAGGGTCTAGGAACTCGCCTGTGCTATGTGGTAGTAGTTCTATCCTGATTAGAGACATTTTTCGTTCGCTGCGGATCATGGAAGCGGATGGTGATGCTCTAGGCCAATACATCATTATGTCTGCCCGAGGGGCAGACATCCTTACACGGAAATGGAGTTTTAAAGAAGATCCCTATGAGATCTCTGAGAAGTTATGGGAAAGGCCGGTCGCAATGGCAGCATTACAAGCCTTGGATACAAATCTATCGACAACAAATAAGGGCGTATACGACGCCCTGCTACTCAGTCGAGAAGCGAAGGCTACCGACGAAAGGGACCGCGTCTACGGGATCCTTGGACTTCCTCATCTCGCAAGACTTGTCAAGATCCACCCCGACTATAATCTCACGGCATCCCAAACCTTCATCCTTTTCTCGGCACACCTCATTTCGAGCGGAAATCTGAATGGTTTACGGCTGGTGAACAGTCCAATTCCACCAATAGGTACTAAATACATAAAATCAACGCACTTCTCGCGGCCGCGCGTGCCTCGATTGGTCCATGGACACCGGACCATTCACGCAGGCTGCGAGCATGGCCTGCCCTCTTGGGTAATCTGCTGGTCATGCCCACGCAACCCTGCACAACCGTTCAACCACCGTTCCAGCTCTCTGCCTAATTTTTCGTCGCTCCCGTCGCCGTCGCCCCCTCGAATAGCTGATGACCGATTTCTCACGACAAAGGGGCTTATATTCGAAGACATTACAAGCCTAAGCGCCTTCCATGCGACAGAATCTTCAAAATCTTACCCATTTTCCGCACATGACCCGCCATCTAGCCCTTACGGCTCGCGCGACTCGACTCGCTTAGCCTTTGCACGACTTCTCACTAACAATGATCCATCAGGCCCAGACCCGGAACTGCTTCTCCTCCCACGGCTCTGGGAAACTGGAATCATGGGTGTCGATGCCAATGTGTTCGGAGTCAAGGACTTCTACTATCGAAACCTGAGCTTGCGGCTTTGGGATGCATGGACCATCGACGGCTTAATTCGCGACAAGAAACAAAGCCAATACATGAACCGTGTCCGTGAGAGTGCAAGTACAGCTCCTAGGATCGCACGTATCACACCGAAACATCGGGAAGCGCTGAACACAGCTATGCGGATGCTTGCGTGGCGGCGCCTAGTTACCACCCGCAGCGGCTACATGGGTCTTGTACCTGCGGCGACGCAGCCTGGGGATGTGGTAGCCGTTTTGGTCGGGTGTGACGCGCCACTGATACTGAGGCCAGAGCTTACTGGGCAGTATTCAGTTGTTGGTGAGGCCTTTATGCAATGGGTGACGGGAGGAGAAGTGCAGCAGCGGCTAGAGAAGGGGGCTTGTACGATAGAGGACATACGTATTTGCTAGGATAAGCTACCTAGTTTAATAGGCTCGTGGCTTCAGTGTCCAAAATACCTTATTCTGGATTTACAGGGGACTACTCAACCGACGGGTGCTTGAATTCAACTGTTACCCCCACAGCTCCCCCATTTCTTCAGTTACGTGTTACCTTAGGGGTATGGCTTCGACATGTGCAGACAATCAGATAGATGCTGTGCGAAACAGTAGTGCTACCATAGAGAATGGTGTTATAACGTCATCTGCCCCTCCGCCGGAAACGTGCCCGGAGTTTCCTCCTAGTTTGGATAAGGAGATGGAAGTCAATGTTTAAGGAGGGGATGTATTCGCCGTGGGTGCAAACTGGAGCTATGATAATTCGGTCCACTATCTCCAGATGTGTCTAGGTAATTAATGTGGTTTGAATCCGAGCTACAGAATGTAGCTATCAATTGACGAGAAATATGAAGAGGAAAAGTTCTATACGTGATATTGTTGCAAGAAATAGCTAAACCGAAAATGACAGTAAAATATCATGTTCCATTAAATGCGGGGGCGGAGTTCGGAGTTGGTTGTGGGTAATGAGAGAATTTTAGTCATCAGCATCTGTCTTAGCCCGGTCCCTTTACTTTATTTACTCCGACCCGAATACCTACCAACCCAAAAGATCTTTAATCTAGTTAGATCATAAATCCGCGTCGCGATAATTACCAAGGTAGTTTATCATTCTTCAAGTTGAAGAACTCGCCAGACGTCTCATCTCGGGTCGCTCCATCAATCTGCCCTCGGTGGTAAGCAAGGTGGGAGATATAAAGACCATATAACTCACTAATTTCATCATACCCTTGACGCTTTCTTCGACGGTATACGTAGCTTTCTCTAATCCCCACTCCCTAGCGATCCAATTTCCCGGTTCGGTTTGGACCAATCTTGATAACTTTCAGTTAGGAATTGCGACGGCTTGTACGTGTGGCTACTTCTTACCCCGGAGTGAGTGCGACCGCGATAAGCCATTCATTCGTGAAATGGATTGCACTATCAACCGCGCCAATTAGCATGATGAAATACTCTGTATTCTTGACGCCAGATTCCATTCGAAGTCGTACAGCAACACGGGCAAAGGATGAAATAGGTTAGGTAGGTACTTACCGGGTAAGCCAATTCAGAGAAGCTTTGGCTGCAGCATAAGAAGTACCATCCCAAGACCTAATTTTTCCCATGAGGGCGATTGAACCTCCACCCGTTGAGATAGACACCCATTTGGGTGTTGAGGCCTTCTGCAGCAGGGGGCGACATGCCTGAAATAGCATGAGAGGGCCTATAGCGTTGACTTGATACGTCGTCGTCATCTCTTCAGCTGTTACTCTTTCAAGTGGCGTGGTCGGAAGTGGGCTCCCGCCTGCATTGGCGATAACAATGTCCAAGTGTTCAATCCCTTCAGCCCTCACCACTTCCAAAGCTCTTTGCGCATCGGTTGGTGAGGTATTTTCAATTGTGACCAACAGCAACTTGGATCCATCAGCTGCGGGGAAGGCTTTCAATTCTTCGACACCCGAAGCCGAGGCGGCACTTTCGCGAATACTGCCGATAACAATATGCTGCGCCCTTGAAAGATACGCCTTGGCAAAGCCATTACCTATACCTATGAGGATAATACTGGGTATTAGCAGTAGGTAACGATGATGATGAATACTTGGGTAGACCTTGATCATACTGCACACGTCTAGAACGGTGAAATGGTGCACATACCACGACTCACGCCGCTTATGAAAACCACTGTGGTCATGATGGGCAAATTGAGATTTAGAAGTGCGAATACGACGGCGTCCGGCGTAGTCAATCGAGCAAGTTACTCAATTATGGGCGGTCGCTGTCGAATTAGGTACTCAACGGTAATGAGTGCGCTCTATATATACCTTTGTTCGAAGTCAAATTCAATTCATGGATGTGAGGGGAGAGAATTCGGTTGTGTTGGCAAGGTGAGTTGGTACGAATTAGGCGCTGGCGAAGTCCAACAGGCCCTCTCCATACACTTTCATGCTAGAAAAACCGACTTGCGCAACCATACTATTTAGGAACGAGCCGAGGCCTTCATTTAATCGATCAAGCTTTTATATATCCTTAATGGGTTAGCTTAAATTTTTACATTTAAATTTAAGTGATCTGAGCTTTGTCCGACATGTAGCGCGTTATTTCGCGCGGGAAGAGAACAAGCTTGACGTCCTCTGGAACAACGCCGGTATCGGGCCTAACAGCGTCGCATACGAGGTGCGCACGGCGCAGGATTTAGAGCTCTTTACGGGAGTGCACTGCGTAGGCGCACTACTTCTCGCGGAGTTGCTGCTGCCCTAGCTCCGGGCCGCGTCCTCTGAGCTTCCTTCGCGCGTCGTCTAGCTGACGAGCATCCTTGTAGATACATAGGCACCACGGAACGGCGTTAACTTTGCCCTATTAGAAACGGGCACGCGGGATCAGACGACCAATTACGCAGCTTCAAAGGCCGGTGCATGGGTGCTTGGACTGGAGTTTGGCCGGAGGTATGCCCAGGATGGCATTCTCAGCATCGTTATGAACACTGGAAACCTAGACGCTGGGTCATTCGAAGGGACGTCACATTTTGCCATGCTCGTGATGAGGATATTATGGCTACAGAACCCGGTTTTTGGTGCATATACGGAGCTCTTTGCTGGATTATCTCCTGATGTCACAAGAGACACACACGGCAGATATATCTTCCCATGGGGTAGATTGATCCCCGATAGCAATATCGTACGCCAGGATGTTCTAGAGGCCGCCGAGCCGGAAGAGCGGGGTTGGCTCGGCTACGGCAAGAAGTTATGGGAGTGGTGTGAGACAAAATGGGAATTTAAGTAAATATGAAGGGAAGTAGGCTCAATGTACAATTTCATGATAGGACGTCGTGTAACTTGGTTCGGGTCATGGTTATTTTCTGAGAGCTACCCCTAACAACTCGGTTTCCTCATGTGTATCCCAAAATGAAGTTCAGGTAGTGCATCATCTAAACAGTTTAAACCCACCAGGAACACCTCTCTGGAAAAGTCCGTCGGGGTCGTATTTCTTGCTTACTTCCTGTAGCATTTGTTTGTTCCTAGGACCATAGGAAGCACTCGGATCCTGAAAGTCTGCGGCATAATTCAGATAAACGAATTCTAATGCCGTTTTATTCTCTTTGGCCATTGCGCGGATTGATTCCAAAACCCCTTTCATCACCGAGCGAATTCGCCCATCGTCGCTCTTATTCTTCCAATAATTCAATAAGAGGACTGATATCACCGGCCCGCCCGAGGAGTCTAGACCTAGAGAATTCCCACCTTTCGCAACCGACTGCTGTAATAGAGAGACCGGGTAAGGCTGGAAGGTCAGCGAACTAGTTAACCCTTCACATGATTGAAGAGGAACTATGGCCGCTGTGTAGATGTCGCAAGCTGCTTGTAGTGTAGTTTTATCAGCCCTGACCGTCATGTTCATATAAACACACCGAGTTTGATTTGAGACACCAGCTGCCTGACTCGAAGCCATCATGGTAAGACTTAATGGCTTAGGTATGCCTGGCTGTTTCACCTGCGGTTGGATACCCGTGAATGGCTCTAGAACGGCTGGGTTCTCAACGTCCTGTGTATAGTAAACTGTGTTCATACACATATTACCACCCATAGAGGATGAATATCCAATACTGATCATGAGGTGAGTATTGGGGTCTGCATCTGGCTTCTGGACTTCTGCGACAAGGGCTTCGATCTGACCAGGAAAATTCCCGGGGAAATAAAGGACGTTGCCGCCCCAAAAACGACCCTGTTTGAAGGTAGGCATATCAAATCGAGTAACGACACCGAAGTTGTTTGAACCGCCCTTCAGGGCAATCCATAGGTCCTTATTCTCGTGAGCGTTGGCATTTACCACACTCCCAGAAGCGAGAACAACTTCGAAGTTAAGAATGTTGTCGCATATGAAACCCTCCCGGGAGGAAAATACAGAAAGGCCGCCTATGCGAGATAGATATTAGAGAGGTGTTAAAGGTTCTTGTAAGAAATACGTACCTGCTAATGCCAATCCACCAATTCCACTTGTTCCACTTCGACCACCTGCAACAGCCAGGCCCGCCTTCTCTAACGTCATATCTACAGTACCCCAAAGAGCACCAGCCCCGATAGAAACAACATTATCCTTCAGCTCAACAGAATTTAAAAGCCCCAAGTCTAGCGTAATACCGCCATGGATATTAGCGCATCCAGGCAAGGGCATGTTTCCGGCACCCCGGATAGCGAATGCAATTTCGCCCCCCAAAGCGAATGGCTTGATTATTCGGAGAAAGAGGCATACATCTTCGGCATTAACAGGCTGAAAAATGCATAAAGGTTCTAATTCACTTTCCTGGGTAGCTAGGTACGATTTATTTCGTTCGTTGTAGAGCTCGGTACCTGGTAAAAGAATCCGGGAGAACGCCTCCTGCAAGGCCGCAATAGCTTCTGTAGTGCTCATTTTGTCAAAAACCTTAACCAAAATAGAAAAATGGTGAAGTGATTGTGGAATTTTTCGTCGCCAGTAAACGGAGGATTACACTGAGTTTTAAAACCTGAGATTCATCATGTAAAGGATCGTTTTAAGGTGGGTATGTGGTGGTCCTTACTTACATCGACGTAAATAAGCCAATGGATATTCAGTGGACTTGAACAGGTTATTATGTAGTTTTCTCACTAATTTCGTAAAACGGTATTGCCGTGCACATGTGCATTGACTTAACCTGCGGCGATGAGGATCGTGCAGTTAGGATTTTTGCGATTAGGTTGTATTTTCAGAAACATTGACACTTCATCGGGGCAAATATGCCAGTATCACGCTTTCTCTCTACATGTTGTAATCACCAAACTTGCCAACAATAGGAAACAGTCAATTGCTAATTGATTGTACAGTTTTCGTGCGCCATGAGGCTTCGATGACTACGGCCAAAACGCCAGGGCTAATCCTGGTCTTTGTTAACGAGCATCGTATTTCCATATCAAGGGCTATCAGACGTCAAAAAAAGATAAGAGTAATCAGGCAAATGTACTTAAAAATAGGTACCTACCTTAAATACCTAAAAAAAGCAGGTATCCACTACCCCTGATTACGTATCTCGCGAATCTGTAACGAACAGAAATTACATTCTGGCCCTAGGTGAATCCAACGTCATCCTTCTAGAGACTTAAGGTCCTCTTTTCCAATTAAACAATTTAGAATACATCCACCGCGTACCTCTCCTTTAAGATGTCAACCCACCACTCGTCGACCTCAGTTTCCGTCTTTGCGCCACACCGACGCACAGCCACCTTCTTATATATCCGCCGCGCCACCTCCTTAACCCCCTGGCTAAAGGCTCGACTGCCGCACACGTAAACACGCGCGCCAGCATCCCACAACGCGGCCAACTCTTCACGATCTGCCCACACACGATCTTGGATGTACCCGGAAAACTGTCCATCGTTGTGCCCGGTGCGCGAGTATGCGTATCGCACATCAACGACGCCTTGGCCGTAGCGCGATAGCTCGGTCTTGTACGGCGCATGTTGGGGGGTGCGGCAACCAACGAATAGGACTGTGGGTGCGCGTGTAACAGAAGAATTATTCTGTATCTGTGCGACGCGATGCGCAACAAACCCCATAAATGGCGCGATTCCAGCACCAGCGCATATCATAACGACGGGTGTCGATGGATCTTGAGGTGGGCGGAAGCGCGGATTTCCAGGACGCACGCTGCAGGAAAGGGAGGCGCCGGGCTGGAGAGCTGCAAGGTAGTACGATGCGAGGCCCGGGTCGCCACTATTTTGTGTTATGAGCGACCAAGTGAGCGTACATTTTGAGGGCGACGTGAGAGGGGATGAGGAAATGGAGTAGAGGCGAGGTTGTATGGGTGGTAGGATGGCGGTGAGCTGCGTTATAGAAAATGATATGCTGGGATGTGCAGTGAGGAGCTGTATAATTGATGGACGATGGGAAGGAGGCGGCGTTTTGGAAAGGCTTTCTTGAATGGCCTTGAGCGAAGAAATGTCTTGCTCGTTTCGACAGGCCCGGATGAGTGCTTCGACTTGCTAGATGGTTAAGTTACGTTAATATATTCTTCTCTTGATGCAGATTGTAGTCTCTTCCTGGATAGGCTTACCTTGGAACTTGCAGGCCGGTTGAGCTCATACTGAGAGCAAGTCGCCTCTATTGATGGGTCAATGCTGTTTGCTTTGAGGATTTGTCGGAGCTTTTCCTCGTGCTGTTTGGGGTTTTGTGGGCAGATTTCGAGATAATCTCCCACTTCGTACGAAGTACCTCCTGGGAGATCAATCTCCATGTGAAATTTGGGACGATCTTCATCGGTTGTCAAAGATTTGATTTGCAGTACTCTGGCTTCTGTCTGACTTATGAGTGTGGTTGAGCTTGCTGTGGAGTTTTTGCTGTACTTGAAGCCATTTCAGAATCGATACAGCTCAGGATACTGTCGTCGCTTGCCTTGTTACCATATAAACTATCAATTGCAGGCCAGAACACAGACGCGAGCCATGTTTCGAAGTCGCCCAGGATATTACCTTCACCGGCGTCCGCTATGCCCCTTTGGGAAATACGATAAGCTCCACGCTTTTCTAGGGTGTTGTCAATGAAGGCTGGAATTGCCTGGTACGTATCCTGCCATTCCCCTAAATCGAAGCAATTAGAAATTTTCGCCAGATATCTTTATGATAATATTAAGAGGCAGCTTACGATTGCCACAACCGAACACGGCGTATTTCACCTTTGTCAGGCTACTGCCATCTTGGCTACTTAACCAGGCGAGGAACTTAGTTGCGTTATCTAGTTTCATCTTATTAGCATCCGATGCATCGCGAAATTGGATGATCTCGTCTTATCCACTGACCAGGCGGTTGTCCGTCGTAATGGGTAGATGAAACAAAGACAATAGGACGAGTATCTAGGAGACCATTTTGTACCGTCTCGTCTAGTGGACGTATGGCGCAGATGAATCCTCGCCGCTTAGCCAATACTGCTAGTCTCTCTGCCAGACCCTTGCAAGTTCCCGTGTTGGATCCAAAAAAATCGACATAGGTTGGAATTTTATGTCTTGTCTGCTCTCGTTCATATCGGCCGAAGAATCATGAGGGTGAATTTCGAATTCGATATCAGATCCATCGTACAAATCCCGTTGCAAAGTTAAGATATTGACACTCGGTCGGAGTTTAGCATACATGAAGAGACCACGAGGCTTGAGCGTCCCTGTCTGCTTTATGGCCATCTTCCACTCAGGATCCACCATCCTGAAGTCGAACTTTTGCACCAGGATTGCTGTAGCCATAATAGCCTCTTGCATGGCAAAATCACTCCCTGTTTCAAGTTAGAAGTGACCGATCGGAAAGGGAAGCACCCGTCTTACCAATACACGCCCTGGATCCATGACCGAACGGCTTTTGGCGGTTAGGTCATCTAAATATGGGTAAAAGATAGGGGTTAGTCGTACCTTATAGCAATTTGGTGGTAACTTCTTAAAGTTTTCTTCTAGCATCCTTTCCGGTTTGAACTCGTCGGCGTCAGAGCCGAAAATGCCACGGTCTCGGTGTAATTTGGGAAGAAGGATCACGCAACAGTCGCTTGGTTTGATCACCCACTCATTGCCCAGAGTTGCTGGCTTGTCACCAATAGGAGAAAGGGAAAAACCAGCAGCAACAGGGTAAAGCCGTAAAGATTCTTTCAAGCAAGCTTTTGTATATGGTAACTTGCTCAAATGGTCCGGCGTAAGAGACCCGCCTCTTAATACGTTGTCGATCTCTTCTCGAAGTTTCCTATACTTTTCTGGATTCGACATCAGAAATGCGAAGAGGAAAGAGAGTAGACCAGAAGTTGTCTCGTGTCCTGTAGCCATTAGTAAGGAGTGATTTGGAAATATGTTGCGATATCCTACCAGCAATCAAGAATGTGATCATGTTGTCAATTACAATTTGGTCCGAGAGATTCTCTCCTGTAATAGGATCTGGTTCATTGAGCATGGCGTTAAGAAGGTCTTTTCTGTTGGAAGGATTGGCTCGCCTATTGGCAATGACTTGTCCAGCAATCTCGTGGAGCAAACGAGAATTTTCATCAAATTTATAGCTTGCTCCCCATAGGAGCCAAGATAGCCAACGAGGCCGGACCGATCGCAATTGAGACTCGGATAAGGTAGCTATCATTGCTGTAACAAAAGGATGTAGTTCATTTGTGTAAAAGGAATTAAACCGCATCCCCATGGCGCAGAGACCAATGGTGTCAAGTGTAAGTCGCGTGAAGTCAGCCGTGACGTCGATTGGATTCTCTTCACCAAAGCGAGCCCACTTCAAGACCAATTGGGAGATCATGTCGTGCATTTCTGTCAAATGAGACTTTTGCTATGTGTCTATGGGGGAAGGAGAGGCTGACCGGAGAACATGTTTTGAATAGGTAAAGGGCCGAATGATGGCACTAATGTTCTATGGGCAATTGCCCAGCTTTCTTGACCATAGTCGGCTGTGAAAAGCCCTTCCGGCGTTAGATCCTTCTGTGATCGTACAAGACCGACAGGGACTTTCACGAAGTCATTTCGAGAACAAATCTCATTGACTAGTTCATAGCCGGTAACAAATATTCTATCGGCACCGCCTAGTCGTAGTTTATAGATTGGGCCATAAGTTTTAGCGAGGTCTACCCAGCTCTGTATCGTATTCTCTAGATCAAGGTCTAAGAGGTTTCCTATAATTGGTAGTGGTCGTGGGCCTGGAAGAGGTGGCATTTTCTTGTGAAAGGCTGTTCTGTTCTTGCCTTGGACTTCTTCTCTAGGCAGAAAAGTGGCTTTGGCGAGTTACGACGAGTTAGGCGATGGAAAAAATTGCTGGCGAGGATCGGGTGGTAGGTTGATGGACATTGAGTGTAGGAAAAGGAGAAGTGGGTCCGGTCCGTCCCCCTATCGCATTTCATACGTGAGGTACCTAGGTACCTGATGTGCTTGAAGGTGCCTAAATTACACGTACCTACCAACGTCAAGCATGTACATACACAGGTACCTTATGTATACACACCTGCGCTTGTACCTAGTACGTACATCATATACCTGCCCGTTGTATGTATTTAGGGGTAGGATGTATCTAATTGCAAAATGTCACAAACCAGCCTAGCGACTACCCCAAAAGACCCAGAAGTGGAGAATATCATAAGACCAATCACGGGTAAACCACGGCATAAGCGAACTTATACGATCTATATGATCTAACGGATCTGTTTGATCTGGTTGATCAAACAGATCCAGAAAGACATAACAATCAAAAGAAAGGAGGAACATTTTCTTATATAAACTACGTTCCACATGTATCTAGTCACTTACTTCAGTTCTTTAGTTATCAATCTAAGTCTATTCACTACGAGTAGGGAAAAGACTCTAAACCTCTGACGAACACATTTTAATTAATCATACTTATTACAAACCTACCTACTCCTTTTGTTTGACTGAATTTATAGGTCGGATACGTCAAGGGTTTCTTAGTTCAAAGGGTAACAATAGTTAATCTAAGGTTAACAATTCTATTCATCAGAGAAGCTTAGAGTCCTATCCTTAGTTTGTATTCGTAGGTTTCGAAGTAATCAACACAAATCTAACCACTAACAGACATACGAAACACCAAAGAGCAGTTTGGCATAAGGTACCTGGAGGACAAACCGCACGCCGGCCCAAGGAAGGGCAGCATGGGCGGGATCATACTGAACCGCCGTATCGCCGATAGTTTTGAAGCGGTTGACCCATCAAGCCGCCTTCTTGAAGACATCCCTAACGCTAACGTACAACCCCCGTCGCCCGTGCAACCTCCACCCCCTCATTTTTCCACCAATTTGTTACAAACCAAAGAAAGGGAGCTATAAAAATCCACCTTTGGTGACATGCGGCCTCATAAGGGTTGTATAAGGAAACGGAGAATGGAACCTCACCACGTGATTGAATTTTGGGATTTCTAAAATTGCTACTCCAAATCAACGAGTCGTGAAATAGCGTCTTAGTCTTCTTGGGCTTAGACTGTTAGTTTCCTCCTTCCTTCGGGCAACAGCTTTCACCCAGCCGGCAAGTGTCGTCTCCCTTCGTAGAGTCCTACCCTCCGTCCTTGCCGGTATCGTTTGTTCGGGGTTTCCGCATGTTACGTATGTCCGCCGAGAGAAGTCAAGAGTTGAATCCATGTACATGGCAGATCTCGCTCGAAGTCGGTCCTCTCTATATACCACTCACATTGACGGTTCGGAATGGATGTGATCATCGTTCGATCCCGGACACGACGTTACCAACGCGTAATCGATCTGACGGGAGATTGTCGAAACTGCCGTCAGTGCAAACAAGTCATTTCCGATGAAGATAACGGATACTTCTTCGAGACCTGTGGCTGCGTATGTTCTAGTGATACGTAGCTACCGAACCTGCTGACCAGTTAGTAGATTGTCTGCTCGAGCTGCGTGCCTGTGCAAAAGACCGCCGTATGCGCATACGCGCCTCATGCTGGTAGCTGGGACTACCAGCTTTTGAAGCCGCTAATCGGGATGGAGGAAGACTGCAAAATCTGCTTCTCCCAGCTCGTAAGCCCTGCTAGACTACAGTGCTGTGGTAGGTCGCCCGCTCATATTGGAATGCTAGCTCGCTCATTCCTCTATCCAGGACACGTGTATTGCGAGGGATGCCTTTGCAGGTGGCGTCAGGGGCAAGATCTAGCAAACTCGCAATGCCCGTTATGCCGAAGCCCATGCTGCTCAAAGCCCTGGTGCAAGGATAATGAGTGCATCCGATCTGTGAGCTGGTCCCTCGGTATAGTGATAATACAAAAGATATGGCAATGGGATGTGTAAGAGAGGATTAAGAGAGCACGTGCGAGAAGAGCAGACTGTTGATGCCGTGTTCAGAGGCTTAGCAATGGATACATAGCGTGACGAAGGATCGTATTGATCTACTAAGTATCGGACGCGGAACTAAGCACATTAAAGTAAGAATAGAATGAGGACTGAAAATAGGTTCAAGACAAAACCACACCTATAAGTGTCAATCCTTTTTTTCAAACCCGGCCTATAAGATGTGCGATCACGGTATGATCAGCTCGATGGGAAAATAATTTATTTTTCACTCTTGTCTACGGCATAATCATGAAGCGATAACACAACCGTCATTATCGCCGTTTAAAAGTCGTCCGATACGAGGCACGAGAAGATTCTTGAGAGAAATCTCGAAGGTTCGTTGTCAATCAACGACGCGTTTGTCTTTGGATTCCATTGCTTCATCTTGGCTGAAGCCAGTATCGAGCCCGACCGGACTCGTCCTCAATCGATCAGACAGCCGATTGATATCTTTACATAGCAATTCCACCGAGTCACGCAGTACGCCCATACATCTTTGGAGCCCTAGCATCGCGGTAACTAATGGAGCTAAGTTGCCAGTCAATCCGTAAGGATCCTGGTCTGCCGAAGATCTGGCTGATTCGTCCACGTCGGAATCTGGCACAACAAAGTTTACAAGACTGCCGGTGCTATCAGAAACTTCGTCCGACACATCGTCCGACTCTATCTCTGGAACAGGAGACTATTAGCCCTAATATTAGAATATATGGAACGACGATTAACGCTACTTACCGTTCACCTCGCTCGCCTCGATGTCAGAATTGTATGCTCGGATGCTCATAACAATTATATGTTCGATGTATAGCAGAATATGGTATTCCTATGCCACTTACTACAACATAAGATATGTATCATAGCTTCTTATATAAGATTCCGGCTCAAGATGCCTAAAGCGATGACATGTGGCCGAACAGCCCAGGCCTATATCTTGCTCCCCAGGGGAGGCGTAAAAATGGCCCTATAGGTACACACGAGATTCCTGGATAGCCTCTCGCCATAAGTAGGTATGGCCTGTTTCGGGCTTTACTTACTAATATTTCATTCTCGGGCCTTAAAAACGTCCTTATGTGAGATTCGGCATGCCGTACAACACGCCCAAGGGAACTAATTTCTCTGTTTAAAATCAAATCAGGGACACGTTTTGTAGTCGAAAAGACGAGAGGCCTGAAACTTGAATGTCGGCGTGTCTACTGCGGTTTTGCATGAGAGCTTAGTCGTTTTATATTTGCTTTTTACTCTCTTTCATTTTGATATTGCTAAATAGGTTCGAACTTTCGTAACGATTATTGCGATGGCGCTTATCCGACTCCAAGTGCTAAACCTATTTAGGAAGCCTTTCAAAGGGCTCTCGGTATTTCTCGAACTTCCCGGCTCGCCGTCCCTCGCGTATACGGCCGAGACGACGGAGCAGCCGATCGAGGTCTGGTACCCCGTGATGTCCGAATTACAAGACCCTTCCCCCTGGAAAAGATCAGTCGAAATAAAGCCCGGCGAGAGATGGCGGGTAACCGTGTACATGAATCCGTGGGACCAGAGCCTCTGGCCTTCGATCTCGTTTGACATTCGCGGGGAATCCCGGCTCATTACACTTTGTCTCGGCCCAAATAATTATAAAGTTTCCATATACAATCATAAGAGAGAACCGTTGCCTTTATCTACCATGGATTATCTGGCAAAGACTATAGCTATGCTAAATAGGGATGAAGGGTTGGAGAATTCTCACCTTGATTCGGATTTTAAGGCTTTCGAAAGTGATATCACAGCAGAGAATGGGGACGAGGCGATGACGGACCTATCGGATTAATATATCATATTTAGAATATTAATGTATTCATAAAACAGAAGACTCCCACAATATGGGGTTGTGAAAACGGAAGATTCCCACAACAACGGGCTATGAATTCGGAAGACTTACACAGCAACAGGCCACGAAAATGGAAGTGTTACGAACCCGCCTATTACTTCTGTTAGTCTAACTTCATAGGTCAGATACGTTCAGTTCGTTACAGTTGGGTTTATGAAGAGATATGCTAGGCACCCTCCACCCTCTCACACACCCGTATCTCTATAAAATACGGTATATTTTACGATACTACCCCTTCACAAGCGAGTTCTATATTCATGTTGGGTATAAGTGTGACGAACCTATACTTAGGTACTTCTAAATATAGCTTCAACAAGGGGGTCTTGATTTTAAGGTAACAGTAGTCGTAGAGATCAAGTGGAATCAATCAAAATTTAAAAAATACACAAGATACCTAAAAGGAAGTTAAGAGGGGGAAGGGGAAGGGCAAAAGCTCGAGGCCGGTACCATATACGCCTGTAGAATAGCCTCAAGATGAGCTAGATATCTACCTTGGCGAGGCCACTGTCAACGTGGCAGCTTATTCAAGTGATCAAGTGGCTTGGCGGCGAGACATTGGTGTAAAACGCTTCACGAGGCTCTCATATATGGCGGTTGATTTCCTCACGACACCCTCATTCACGGCGGAAACAGAACGGCAGTTTAACAATACGATGGTATCTGCATCGAGAGCTCGCCTACAACGCCATATGATCGGGGAATTACAGAGTCTTCGTTTTTAGAGCTTAGCCAGCGTGTATCAGCCCAAATTACCACTTTATATACTTAACCGGATATCAGGGATCGAGTTAGAAGGCAGTGAGGCTGTTGAGTTGGATAGATGGGCAAGAATTGGCTGACGATACTGTGAATAGCTTCTTTAGAATGACGGCGAGCAAGTTGTTAATCTAGTTGTTACGAACCCGCCTACTACTTCTGTTAGTCTAACTTCATAGGTCGGATACGTACCCTGGGTATCTTGGTTTGAAGGGTAACAATAGACTAGGGTTAACGATTCTGTTCGTAAAAGAGATTTCCAAGTACTCTATATTCAAGTGCTGTCTGAATACTTAGATTGAAAGCTAAGGAACTCAAAAAAAAAATGAACGACTAGATACATGGGAAATGTATGGTATTATATAGAAAATATCTTTCCTCCTTTTTGATGTTTTGTTTGATTTACTTCTTGCCTGGATCGTGGATCGTGACTTCAGACTTACACGATCCATGATTCAGTCACGTGATTCTTCTTTCTTAGGTAGATACTTTTTCTGTTCCTTTGGAAGTGGGGCTTTTTCATCCTTGGTTTGTAACAATATTAATTAATTTTTTAAATTAAACGTTTTCGATTAATATATTTTATATATATTAAAATTTTAAAATAATACATTGTTACAATCCCACTGAAAACCTCCTGGAACCGGAAATCGGATTAAGTCTATATCCGATACGACGGTTGCTCTGCGGACATCACAGAGCAACGTAGAGCAACACAGAACACCACAGAGCATCGAGGAGACAAGGTAGTAATACAGGCAGGACCTGTCAATCGGACCAAGGTACGGGAGCTGTAAAAACCCACCCTTGGTGACATACTATCTCATAAGGATAGTATGGTGGAATAGTATAAGAAGGATGGTATTTCCTCTGTATCTAGTCACTCGTTCTTTAGCTATCAATCTAAGTCTTTGAGAGATTCTTAGAAATCAGATCTTGAAGAGAGAGTACCAGCAAACCTCTCTAACGAACACTTGTGAATCTCTTGACCTACTTGAGTTACTGTTACCTTCAAATCAAGAAAACCCCAGTACGTATCATCCCTATTAGGTAGTTAACCAGGACAATAGGGAGGTTCGTTACATACATATAATTAATTATGAAATTATTTTAAATATATATTTCTAAAATATCAGGTCTAAGGGAACGCTATAACCTATTGCTAAGCTCCTTAAATTACAGCGCACCCCTATTGAAAAATGGGTCTGTCATCTTGCGTAAAATGTTTTGGCCGGTTAGCGGGTTATCTTCACCTGGTCCTGGGTGGTAGTAGTGGTTATTATGTCGCCAGATTTTCTTCCCAAGGGTTATCTCAGGTGGCCTCAGACTAGAATGCGTAATGCCAGGTAATAGCTAGAATGCGGTATTACTTAACATTGAGCATTCTAATCTGAGGCTACCTGAGATAATTGAACTATGGAACACACTGACCGGAATAAGAAGCTTTTTACTTGCCACGCTTCGCAAGACGGCGCTGGTATAAGGACTCATGATGAAATGCGGAAATGCGTCCCTAGGCGACTTTCTCAGATCGCTTTTAGATTATACAAGGCAAACCAAACTCACGTAACCAATATGCGTATATTATGTCGTCCCTGTCTAACCTCAACACCGCTCTCCGTCTAATAAACGACTCCACCCCCACCCGATACCGTAGAGGCGTCGGTTCCGCGTGAACCACGTCTTACATTACATTAGCTGACTAAGCTTAGGCCGAAACGGAACTCGTCAACCATCACCGTCAGTTTCTTTCTCTGCTTCTCGGTTTCTGATTCTCGTTTTTCCTCACCTCCTCCTGCCTAGCCAACCCTCCGCGGCCCTGTTTAATTGGCGAGCGCTTTCTGGGGGTCCCTGGTCCCCATTTCGTTAAATAAATGGAATTCCCCCCCCCTCCTCGTTCCTGGCCCTGCGGGCGCTTTCCAAGCTTCCTCTCTACGATTACACGCGCAACAAGAAGAAGATAAGGTATGGCGCCGCGACACCGAATTCCCGAGAAGCGCTTCGAGGAGGACGCTTTCGAATCGTTCGCCGCCTTCGCATCTACGACCTCCGGCGAAGTATGGGAAGTGTCTGCTGGGAAAAAGAGCCAGAGGGAGCTTGCGATACGAAAGTGGAATAGGTACGCCGCGTCGATCGCTCCCCGGTGGCCGGGGCTCGCACGGACTAGCTGCTAACTGCCGCGAAGATTTTTTTAACGAAGTTTATACCAAAGAACGAATCGATCCCGACGGCGTGTGGATCGGTATGTGCTGCGACGACGACGAGGCGAAGACGCACTGCAAGATCTTTCTGCAGTGGTATGTCAAGAACTCGGGCAGATGGGAGGTTTGCCTGGGTCCGGAGGAGCACGAGTGGAAGCGTGAAGTGGCAGCTGCCATCACGGTTACGGAGGTGTGGAAGTGTTTGGTCGTTGAGGCCGACGCGACCGTGCTGTTGCGGAAAAGGAAGGAGGATCGTACGCACAGGAAGCGGTGGATGCTGGCATTCGCCGAGAAAGACAAGACTGGCTCCGTCGCGGAAATATCTAGGGTAATGCCAGACATCTCTTTCTTTCTTTCTCTTTCTCTCTTTCTCTCTCTCTCTCTCTCTCTCTCTTTCTCTCTCCAATAGCGTGTCATCCGGACTAACTGTAGCCTCCCAGTGGATCGCCGGGCCCCTGTCGAGAAACTTCGACCTCACGCTTGAGCAGACTTTCGTGAAGCAAGCGGCGACAGCTCAAGACATCGCCCTGTTCCTCGACACTCTCTGGATCCGAGCCAGCGATATCCCGCTCACTGCCTCGACGCGTATCGCTTTCCACACATACATGTTGGTAGCGGGCATCGGCGGTTTCCGAAATGCGTCGATCCTAGGCTTGCCTTACAAACACATACGTTTTGCCTTGGTGCGAGATCTGGATGATCCGGCATCCACGAAGTTAATCGCCCACATTTTGATTATTCAGAACAAGCGCCGGAAGGGTATACGCCGCAACCAGGATGACAAGTACGAGTCCCGCTTAGCATCTTTCCCTTTCCCTTTCCCTCCCTCTCCCGTGTTCGTTGCCGTAGGCTGACCGTGCTTGCCGGGTGCCAGGATTGAGTTCACCATCACGTTTGTGCTGGGTCGCTTTTTCTGCCTTCTTAGCTTGCTTACTGCTCGCGCCCTAGCCGACGACGCGTTTGAGGTCGGGTATGAGACGTTTGACGATCTGCTGAATCACCCGCGCCTGGAGCGGGGGTCCGACTACCTGCCTCTCCCGCTCAAAGACGACGTGCTAGACCGGCGGGCTATCCCGTTGGGCTAGGAGAAGCTCAATGAGATATGGAACCGCACCATTCTAGTCTCGGGACTTCGACAACACGTAAAGCCCTATGCCTTACGGGTTGGTGCGGGCGGTAGGCTTAACGGTACGTAGAAGCTTATCTCAGTCTAGTCCCCGGCCTCTGACGCAGCCTCTAGGTATTCTTGAGCCTTCCTTGCGAAATTACATCCTGTCGCACTCGTCGGGCATGTTCCAGCACAGTTACCAGCCTCGGCGCTTGGGGCGAGACCTGGGTACAATTGCTTTCGGCCAATTGGGCGGCGGTAGTGGCGATGAGAGATTATTTGAGTTCCTTCGTAACTCTTCCCTTGGCCGTGACGAACGGGCTCCCGTCAGCCCGACTGCCGAAGACCTAGCGGGATTCCAACGGCGCCGAGACATCCAACGGTTACGTACCGAGCTTGAGGGTGTCACGGACCCCGCTGCCCGGAACCTTATATCGCACAGAATAGCCGGCATCGTGAAATCTTTGTCCCGCCAGAGGGTGCTCCAGCTCCGCGAGACGTACTTTGCCGAAGCCGACCGAAGAAGAGGACTCGGGCTGCCAACTGATGATCTCGCAGGAGCCCCCACGGTCTCCCAGACGCCAGACATGCGTGTAGGCCGGTTTATGCGGCTGGTCGGTTCTGGGTATGGGCTTGGCGCTATGGATCGAGGCCCGGGACTGGAACGATGAACATGCACCTGCCGCATTTCCGCCGTGTAGGGTGGATAAGAGAGAGTTTCAGAAGCGACCGACGGGCGCAGCCACGTTGTCAGTCCAGACACCGGTCCTAGTTGTGTCCAGCGCGGATCGTCAAATGTTCTCTGAGGTAGTGGAGGTGTAGATACGACACTTCGTTGGGAGATGCCTGATGGAGTCTGGGTTTCGTACATAAGAGAATCGATCGTGGGAAAGCTATTCTCTCTCTGGGAGTTAAACTGTCTTGCGAAAGGCAGCGAGGGCGCCTGGGGTCTCGGAGAGAACTGGATCGGCGCTGGACTGTCTGGTATGAAATCGCTCCAAAAAGGAACTGCTTCCATATCAGCGAACCCTCGCGGAGAATTTTGGCTCAACCGGTAAAGTGACGGAACTTGCGACCGAAAGTCCGATGCTGGACTTGGTGCGGAGTGCTCGGGCTGTTTCCCATACAACACTGATGAGGGCAACGCTCCCATCCTGTCCCTATTCTCAGTGTAGCTCGGGGTAGATAGAAGTGATGGTACTTGCCGCTGGTATTGCGGAGTACCGACATTTACACCTAAATACGTTAAAGGTTGTCTTGACACATGCCTCTCTCGGCCGTGGTCTCCTGGCGTTTTGTAGGATGCAGAGGTGTCGGGAGACCAAGATGGTGAACCTGTCTCATAATCGGGCTGCTGAGGGTTTCCAATGTCCAAAGACGGTACTTGAGATCTCACCGCTGACCAGATCCCGGGCGATTGGTGATCGAAACTCCGTAAGTCTTGCCTAGTCGAGAAGACGGTTTCGGTCACTCTATCATCTTCGGTCACGTCAGCCTATGAAGCACTATGGTCAAAATCTGCCATCTCGACGTCTTCCACCACCAAGTCTTGCATTGTGATATCCCCCTCATCCCCTCCACCCATAACAATATCCGTACAATACCCCGTTAGTTCGATGCCGTTTTGCTCCATGTCCGGACTGGCGGGGTTAAGTATGCTGTCTTGAGCCGCGCCTTCTTCTGTCTCCTCGATGCGTTCTAATTCCCAACGACGCTGACTGGAAAGTGGGATGACTTGGTTGTCTGAGCCGGGCTCGAGTGTAAAGGACCCTAAGAAGGCACGGACGAAATCCCACTGAAGGTAAAGTACCGTTGGGAAAGTCGCCGTCTGCATTTTCTGCGCCAGAAGCGGAAGGAATGCCACTTGCTGGATTTGCCGATATATTCTAGCATAGGGCCTTCCCCATCGGCGGTCCATACAAGTAGCCTCGACATCCGCAGGGCCATCAGACGCCTGTGTGGTAAAATATCGGGGTCCCCGAAGCCGATCATTCCCCAAACCCCTTTCTCGCATCGCCTCGCTCGAGAAGCCCAACAGGAAAGCTCTTTGGTAGAAAGCGGCGACTGTCGACGGCCTGATGGCCGCACGAATCCTGTCTCCAGGGTCCACTTTGGGTGTTTCGTCCGAGAGCTCGGGAAAGCTACGCACGGCGGCAAGGAACACTTGCTTGAAAGCTACGTCAAAGGAAAGGGGGGAGTGAATGGCGCGGAATTTCCCTTCTTCAAACTCAACAAGCGATTTATCAGGTAGCTTCCAGTTGTCCTTTAGCGACTCAAGCAAGGGGGCCCGTGGTTTATCCGGAAGCAAGTAAGATCTGATGATCCGAATCGCGATGGAGAAGAGTTTCATGTTCTCGTGGAAAGACTTTATGCTAGGGATAACAACGGACATCTGGAGGATACGCTGTTTGATCTGCTCCCTCTTCCACCCGTCATGGACACCCGAAAAGACTTGGCCTTCGCTTACTAGAGCACAAACTAATTTACTCGTGACAAGTAGAACCAGAGCGTACACATAGGGCCGTGGCGTTTCAGATTGGACAACGTACCTAGGTAGCTTTTCTCAACATAGCTCTAGTTTGATTCATCCTCTTAATTAAACTTGAGAACTTTGCGCGTGAAACGTGTTGGAGATACATAATCCACTGACACAATAACGTAGCATGTTAGACGGATTGGTTCGAACTAGGAACACTTGTTGGTATTTGCTTGTTCGCTTGGGAATAGCTCAAGGGGTGTTTACAGCTGATCGTACCTACATAGTAGGCTTCAGCTCGGCCGGTTTATAGACAGTCCTAAGACACGCCCCGCGTATATATGCTCCAGGGGGGGTTACGATATTGTGTTCCAACGTTCTACAGATAATCCGGGCGTGGATACAAGAGGCCAATTGTTAATCAAGCTGTGTTAAAAGCTAGCCCCTCTAAATATACATACTCCTCTTAGTTCCCTGCACATTCGAGTCTGAGTTGCTGCCAGCAGCCACATTCTTGATTTATACCCCTGCGCTTTACGCACGTCTTCCATCTCCTGAGCCCATGACACATCCTGAGTCGCGATGCTCGTTTGCCGGTGACAGTTTTGTCATAGTCTCCTGAACAATAGTGCGGTATTGGTACATCTTTTCCTCGAGTCTAGACAGTGCCTCTTCTCTGTATAACTCTATAAGGACTTTTTGTTCAATTTCTGACAGTATTGCTTGGAAATCTAGCTCCAGATGGATTTTCCCTTCAAGATCGGACAGTATCGCACTTAGATCTTTCTCTTCTTGGGCATCTAATTTGTGGTCTTCGTCATCATACCGTGCCTTCCGCTCGGCTCGGCACTGCTTCAAATAGGATTCTGCCTTCTCGGCCGGTGGTTTGCCATGAGTGATCAATTTCCGAACCATATTCCTGCCGACTGTGAGTGCTCCTTTGTCTATACCGTGTTGTCAGCGCTTACACAAGTTACGTTTCAGGAGTGTCAACTCTTATCTGTACCTTTGTAAGAGAAATTATTTAAGCTAGGTGAAGGAAGATGGAGAAAAAATAGGAGAAGGGACGAAGATAGTTTGCGTACAGCCAGCGCAATATCACGGTACCGCCCTACGGGAGGTTGGGACCTACCAAACCACCTATCGTAAGTCCCAGCCCAACGAGTGGTGATCATTGGAGGTCTGGACCTTTCTAGGAGGACTTGCAGGTACCTACATAGTAGGTACCTCTTACGGATGTTGTAACCGGCTTCTTCCCGGAGGAAGTTTTGCCCCCTTCCTGCACCCAGACAATACTGATGAGGTTGGTAGCACTGATGCAAGTTTGTACTAGGAAGAGAAAATCCTGTCTAGAGCGCCGTTGCCCAACTGCAACCCTAGGTTGAGGGAACGTTTACAATTTCCTGAATCCTTGTAGCTAGCATCCCCGTTGCCAGGTGCATCCGCGAAACTAATGGGAGCCAATTATCCTTTTACAAGCTGCTCTGTCAAGCTTTTTTGTATATCAACTCCGTAAATTTGTCATCCTGGTAAGCAGGTCACACACTGATGGGAAATCCCATCGCGATGTTTTGAACCGACGATAGAGTCCTGTTCCTGTACTGGCACGCTCATTACTTGGCACAACCAATCAAGACGCGTCGTGAACCACGGTTTCAGTCTGGCCTGGACATTGCAACCTGCCAACTAGCTTGTGCAATCTGGCTACAAGGGGTGGAAGACGCGACATGACTTGAAGGAGGTTAGGAAGGCTTGTGAGAAAGAGGACTCTGGCAAACAAAGGCTGCTTACCTAGGTACTACACCTCTCCAACATACAAATCACGTCCTGTCTTTTTCACTCCATCTGCGTGTTCTATCGTTGGCGAAATTCAACGATCACATTTTAATACAGGTGTTACAACCCAACAGGAGGAAGACCAGGGAATAAGGACCTGGTGGGGCCAGGGTGACCAATCAGAGGAGGTCTCTGTGGAGGCAACAGAGACTGTGTGTCAAGGCTTATGTAATGACCTCTGGAGGTCTCTGGGAGCGTCACAGAGACAAACAGAGAGGAGGTCTCTGGGAACATCACAGAGACAAACAGAGAGGAGGTCTCTGGAGGTCTCTGTCTGGGGAACAGAGACCACTCAAGTGAAGGATATATAAGGAGAAAGTCTCCTATGTATCTAGTCATTCTTTTACAGCTCTTTAGTTATCAATCTAAGACTATTCTTTCGAGTATAGTGAGAGGACTCCAAGCCTCTCTGACGAACAGAACCAACTTAACCACTTGACCTACTATTGATATTGTTACCTTCAAATCAAGAAACCCCGGATTAGCCAATCCAGCAACGACTATACCTCTTCGAGGCATAGGTTCGTCACAACAGGCCACAAGGGACAACCGGTATTAGCCTCGTATTTTAATTTCCAGCCCAATATTCGACCTTTTATATCAGTATGAGTGCAATTCGACGGGGGACGAAGAGCCGAGCGAGGGATACAGCCCGCTACGCAACGGCTGCTACCACGCGAAGGTCAACACGCTCAAGAAATGGTAACGGGGACCTCGTCGAGAAAGAGGCCGAAGACAAAGAACAACCTTATCTACTCACGTCCCTTCCCTTAAATTTAACTTCCAAGTACGTAAACACGGGCCCGGGCAGAATGAGCCTCCAGGCTCCCAAGGTCTCCAAGGTCGAAGTCTCTCCCGAGGAGAAGGAGCGTGTCCTGAAGGCCCTGGGCCTTATCTTGCAAGCTGCTTGCAATTTGGATCTGTCTGACCAGGGAGGGCTTCCGATTTCACTGGACCGCAACCGCGATATGATCTGGGATTGGCGTTCTGTAGAACTGTCAGCAAAGGAGTACGGCGCCTTTGCGTATGGTATGGTCAGCCACGAGATAGTGAAAGGCCACATGGACGCTGTGTCGTATGACTGGACTCCCCTCGACGGCCACAGGGGCATCCTCAGCGTGCGCCAGAAGTGCGGCTTCCAAAGACTGCTGACGAGGGTCCTGGACGAAGTTATTAGTGATGCCATGAGTAAAAACGAGCTCCTGACGTCACTGACAGAACATACGGATTTGGAGACCCAATGGCGCGTGCCAGTGATGACAGGTACTGTCGAGGGCATACGCACGCCGTGCCGCTCCTGGATCTACTATCCCAAGGAGAAGAGGGGGAAGCAGAAGAACGGAGTGGAGGGGAACGAGAAGGAGGATTTCAACTTCGTGCTAGAGGTGGGTATGGGCGATAAAACGCCGATACTGAGAGAGCTAGCAGCCTCGTACATTAAGAAGGGCACGCTGTGCGTCATGACAGTCAAATTTGAGCGCCATGGTGAGTACGATTATGCCTGGTCGTACTCTCTATACCGTCGCGGCAAGGCGATCCATTCCCCAGGACAGGTTACGACTTACGATATGGTTTGCGGCCAGCAGGACATACGGGTCAAGGTGAATGAGCACGGGATGGTCGAGTTCCCCGTGGGACTAACGCTGTTTGACTTCGTGCCGTCTAGCGTTTTGAAGAAGCACGGCGTGACTAGTGATAAAAACAAGAAGGCCGTCATTGATCTGAACATGAGCCTGGGGAGCGTAAACTTGTTGGAAGTAAGACTAGGTGGGCTTTATACCGGCAGGCCGTATACTCCGTCCAAACATTTACAGATATGGGAATGGTTATTGTGAAGTGGAAGCCGGGCGCAATTTTCTCGAATCAGCCGTATTTATTTCCTTCCTTTCCCTCTTATTTTAAACTCACTCTCGATACACCTAGGCTACTACCACTCATTGATATATTCCAAACGCGTGAGACTATAAGGAAAAGGGGGAAATAGTACACTACCCTTCTTAACTGTGCCACTAATTTTTCTACTAATTGAGAAACCTATCCATACCTTTCACGGATAAAGTTGGAAACTGATGAAAAACAAAGTACACACAATTTTCTTAATATTCTCAAATATATGCGATTCTAGCATCTCCTTGGGGATCGGTATGCTCTCTAGAGCTTCAATGGAGTATAAGGCCAATATGTCATTCCGGGATACCGAAAGAGCCACCCGAGACAAACGGCAAAACCGCGGGACCTAGACGATTATAACCTAAAAACTGCAAGATCACCGTTCCCAGGGCTGCCGGGAACATATACCCGAGCTCTAACACTCTTTCTTTGATTGGATAAAACTGTCCGTGGACTACTAGGTAGTATGTACTTAACGAGCCACTAGATAACCCCATATATGAATTCTACCATCAGGAGGCCTTAGTAAAATGCGATCCTGAGTATTGCCGCTTTTGGCCGGAGCACAACCACGGCCGAACCTTAATTTATCACAGCACACTTTTCGGACATCTTGCACAAAAGTGATCTATATTCATTTCACGCTACCGGCCTCCGTAACAAATGGGTTCGTTCCAAATTTCACATATATTATGGTATAATAGCAATGCCGAACCAAACTCTACATGCAAATATTCCTCTTGAATGATCCCGATGCCTGCGAAAGGCAAGCGCTTCAGTGCCGTTCTGAGATGCGGAAAATGCTACATATAGAACTTTTACTTCAGTCGGAGCTAAGTAGAAATGGAACATATGGATTATTTGTTTAGAGAGTAGTATCATGCTAGAATTAGGAAGTAGTGTTCTGTTTACACTGGCCTTGCTGGCGTTGTGCTGGTAGGAATTCTACCAGTTAGTGAGTTATGCCATGATAGTATATATCCTTTATTAGATACTTATTGTACTGGTGGATAGGCGTATTATAATACGTAGTTTGAATTGTGCCGACCTGAGTTTGTGCTGATATCTATACATATTCGTACCAGTCAAGGCTTGTGCTGGCTCAAGTCTATGTTAGCATCCGTATATAGTTGTGTCGCTTAAAACCTGTGCTGGTCCAAATGTGTGCTAGCATCCAGGTATGTTCATGCTGGATCTGGATTCATGCTAGCATCCGTACATAGTCGTGCTGGCCGAAACCTATGCTGGTCCATGTGTATGTTGGCATGCATGAGCCGGTATTGTATTACCGATTGGAATGGGACCAGACCAGTATAGGCGCAGGCCAAAACTGGCCTCTTAACGATTGAAAGTGATATGGGAAAAGATATCTGCGAATGATATTGATATACCTAGGTAGGTTGCTTACTAAGATAGCAACAATAAAAATATCAATCTTACGCCACGAGCAATGAAGACTCTGCCTCAACTACAGTCTACTGTAGAGGAGGCCTCGAGGGAATAGGGTGGCCTTAGGAGTCAACTAATCATTAGTCCCTAGGGACTTGCTAGATGAATAGAAAGGATTTACAAGGAATGTGATGGTTTTCTAGAAAGCTAAGCTGTGGAGGCGCTCAGAATAGATGTTCGGCTCGTATGTTAGAGTTGCATTGGGAATACCTGCATTAATTAATAATAATAGGCACAAAATACCTACTGTTAGCCAGGCTGAACACGGAGAGCTCAAGAGCGACCGTATCTGGGTCAAAGTCACAGCTTCTAGCAAATCGCTCCCTGTGTATTCGTTTTCAAGACCAATCTGTCTCAACTTTTTGGCGGGTAAATATTTCTGCTTAGTAGTCTACGCCAGGCAGTTGCCTAGGAATCCATTTTCTTGCGTCTCCCTTTTCACGCATATGTACTCCGCGGGCACCCAAGAATTTTCCCCTAGAGGAAGAGATCACCGCTTTACCAACCATCACAACCAGAAATATTAGCCTAAACTTGTCTAACAAAACCTCGTCGAAAGAATCTTGATGCGAGCGAGGCTATTCCTAATCCTGGGGCTTAACAGATACTTAGTGCCTACCTAAGCAGCAAGACGCTGAAGTCTTCTACCACCTTCCATTTCAAGAAAACTTTCTCAGGCCTCCAGAGGCTAATTACTTGCTAGATAGTCTACCAGATCCTGTGCAGTTTTGATGTGGTATGAACAGACTCAAGGAAGAAGGAGGCTCTTCTAGATCGACGCGGTTGCCTTTGCTCGGGAGCTTGTCTCCGGAGGCCACTAAATGTACAACATCTGCTCACAACATAATGGGGCTATTATCAGTAAGGTTGCCTATATTATGCAACTGAGACACACTGATCATCACGTTGGTCGAACTCGAGCCGTGGGGCAAAAGGAAGCGGATGGTAGATACTTCGGTAGGCAAGTAGTCTCCTCGTGATGACAATTAGGTATGAAGGTCATATGCGCTACATCTGCCACTAAGAAGATGGCGAAGATTTAGATGCAGATATTTCTGACGATAAATTGATGAAAATCAAACCACCCTCCCTCTCCCCCCTAATTGATTACCTACCTAGTAGGTGGATCTATAGTTTGAAGTAGACCAGCATGAAGCAACAAAGTACAGTTCTGGATCAGGCGGGGTCATTGGAAAGGGCAATAGTAGTCTAACGAGCCGCTCTATAATTTCTCTACACCACTTCTGAATTAATGCTGGTGAAACTAACAGATTTTCTTATCAGAAGAAAGGGGGGCGTGGTCCCACAATATGGTCACTGTGCCTCTCCTGTATACTAGGTAGTTAACATGTCTCCTCTCTTGTACCTACCTACCTACATAGTCACCCTAGGTAGAGAGTCGCCGTGAATCATATTGAAATACCGGCGGAGAGAACCGTGGCGAGCTATCTAGAGTTGGGCTTATTGCGTGCGAGGCAGTTGGTTCGATTCGTATCACAATGCCCATCCGTTGGAAGTCCTATGAGGATAGACGAAAACTCTCAACCCTCAACGCTCTCTATCACCTGCCCCTATACGAGTTCAACCCCCTTCATTATTTTATGAATGATAGGATCGCGTCATGCCGGTCGTCGACCACCAACATCACATGTGAAAAGCAGTAACAACCCATCCCAGGAGTGCTTATGCTATACCAGGCCAGGCCTAAGACATAGCGTTGTGACTTCTTTGCAACGATAATGTGGTTGTCTACGTTCGTATTAGATCCGCAGTAATAGTGCGGCACCCGAGGCCTTTCTAGATACCCCATTTCATTTTCTGACTCCATCTTGACAAAATCCTTCAGGGAATCTGGCATTATCACATAGACTTAAAAAAGCCCTGGGATCTCCAGGAGCTTGCGAGCAAATAGCAGACATCTCCCTACTATGAGTAGTCATGGAGTGCCAACGTGACGAGAAAGGCGACCATCCTTGATTTAGTTTCCAAGGTTCATTATGCAACCAGTATCTTACACGTCAACAACACCATCTACGTGACAGTATTTGACCCCTCTCACTGCGTCTACCTGCTGCTGGGTGCTACGCAAGAATCTCCAACGATAGGGAGTTTTGTTTGTTGGAAGCTAGCATGGATCAAGAGGCCATATGTATCATCGTAAATCAGCCAACACGATGGTCTAGTGTTTGTGTTTGGACACGGCCTACCCGATGACCAATTGTTCGGCAGATCGCCTTTCATTGAGAAGTGGGATCGATATATCAACCAAGCTTTGTCTTCCTGATATCGATTTCCGACATAGCACTGGCGGGAAATTTTCCACCCACATGTAAACCACGCGCCGAGCAATGATGACCCTAAATCAGGAGATTTTAGAAAATCACCGAAATTCCATCTTCTCCCCCGTGGGATATATTGAGATCTAACGTGGTCGTGCTCTTTCCGGTGCTCCTATACCCTGTACATCTCGAAGTCCTCCTAGAGTAATCATACGCAACGTATGATTAGCGCTTTCATGCAACAAGACAACCTTTCTTAGTATGACATCCTGTACTATTGTCTTCATAGATCCTTCACCTTAATAAATATTGGTACTTGTAATAGTTGACGCCTTCGGATCATACCTACAATGCGTATTACGGCCCGATTCTACGTTATATCTAGCTAAGTAGTTACACAAACGATGCCAATCTATCAAGCATAGTTGGTGGGTTCATGTAGTATCGAAAATTCGGAGAAGCCGGGAAGAGAAATGAAGCGAAGTCTTTTCTGGCCTCTCGTTCGTCTGCATACACCCCCTAGGACTTTTCATACCTCTCCTATCGTTTCGGTTGTGGTGACTCTAGCAACTCAGTAGATGCGTAAGGTTACCAGTCTTGAAACCAATGAAGCGCTTCGTGGGTCAAAGTAACCTCAGTTGGGAGTCTTCAAATGCAAACATCTTACGACAAAAACAAGGATTGGAGCACGACAGCTCTTCGGCTGCATCAAACTCGGATTGGCAGAGTGACCTTTGGGCATTCATAACAGGCATCCGGTAGTTTCCATAGCTGCAAAAGCTATCGCTCGCCGATTAAAATAGGGGCAGATAGACGGCTTTGCGTGGGCAATGTGACCCGCAGATCACAGCCTGCTTACCTGCCCCTTTCGTGAAGCCAAGTTTGAAAACCAGAGGCTTCTATCATCGGATTATATTCGCCATGTCTGCAGAAAAGAGTCGATCTACGCAGGATTAATGTTTTTCAAGCGCTATTCCCGGAAGTA